TACATGAAGTTATTATTATTAAACTCTAATTTAATATACTTCTTAGCTTAACCTAATTATTATTCTTCTATTTCTTTATTCCCTTAATTGTAGCTTATATCTATTTAGTATAGAAGTCTAAAAGTCTAGTAGCTTACTCTCTATTAGTAAGATAGCAATCTCTTATAGTAGCTTTATACTAATAAAGCTAGTAAGTAGTATTAACACTATTAAATAGAGGAAGTTTAAGAGAGCCTACTATAGATATTAGTATCTTTAAAGCTACTAGGCGAGATTTAAACTAGGAAAAAAGCTAATCTATAGTATTTCTTATATTAATAGAGGAGCCTATAGAAGGGGCTCTGCCTATAGAAATAGATATAGGCCTTAGAGTTTCTTCAGAAAAGGGTATAGAAAGAGAAGTATTCTTATTATTACTACTTAATAAACCTATAATACCTTTAATAGTATAGATTTAAGCGGTATTAAGTCTAAGAGATAGAGTAGATATTATAGTAGATAAGAGGTATATTAAGCTGAAAGTTCTAATAAGAGTAAATAGAGATCCTTTAAAAGCAAGTAGTATAATAGTAAATAGTACTTAAAAGCTTTTAGCAATAATTTAGTACTAGCTTTTTATAAGAAAAGAGTTCTATAAATACTTACTAGCTATCTTATAGTATTTTCTATAGTATTACTTCTATTTACTACTTCCTAGATTTTAGAGCTATCTCCTACTAGTTAGAGCTTTATTCTAACTAGAATATAATTCTATTCTCCCGCGCTAGTAACTTAGATCTATCCTAAACCTCTTTATAACTACATTTAAAATAGATAAATAATAATCTTACTAAAAGGATAGCTTCTAGCACCTTTTATTAAATATTATTTTCTTAAACGCGTATTCTTTTATATAAGCTATCTATATTCTTTATAGCTAAACATATCTCTTCTAGACTACTATTTAGTAATTATATCTAACTCTATATATTAATATTAGTTATTCTAATCCGAACTAAGTCTTCATAAGGTTAATTTAATATCTATATTATAATACTAAGTTAAGAGAGTTCTCTCTCTAACTATTATTCTATCTACTAATACTTTACACCTAGTAGAGCTCTTAGAGTTTACAATATTAGTAGTTTCTTATAGTAATATATCTACTGCCTATATACTATTCTTAATATAAATTCTGATTCTTACAATAGCTCTTATCCGCGAATTATATACTTATATATTATCTTATAAGTTCTCTAGCATAGTTGCTAAAATATTATAAGTAAGAGGTTTAAGTATAGACTTAGATAAGTAGGTTATATATATCTATAGAAGTAAGATATTAAGATAGAACTATTAAGATAGTAATAGAACTATAGTAATAAATTATATAAGACTAGATAGTATATAGAACGAGTGTAATACTACTTAATATTATAATACAACTAGTAGTTAACTATTCAAAGAATCTTAAAGCTCTATACACGCAATCTATACTAATTCCTATATAATAAACCTTCTACACTACTATACTATATACTAAAGTAAGTTTTTAAAGTAGAAGATAAGGTTTTACTATATTCGAAAACAAAACTATTCTTTAAATATAGTAAAGAGCTACATACTCTATCTTTACTATACTCTAGTGATTAGTATTATTATCTAGAGACAATACCTATTGTAATAGAAATTAATTATTTTACTTTTCTATAATCCTATAAGATATAAAGGGAGCTTTAGGCTACTTCTAGGCGTTCTACTAGTAATACGCTAGCTAAGTAAGAGTATATAGTATTTACTTCTATATAAGAGAAGCTTAGTAGAATTTAGTCTTCTACTAAACTAACTATATTATTCTACCTATATGTGCCTTATTATTATATTATTATATTAACTCTAAGAATCTATATCCTCTAATAAATTCTTTAAAATAGACTATTATAAAAGTTCTATAGAACTCTTCTTACTAGATAAGTAAGCTCTAAGAGTGAAAGAATTAATAAATATTAAAGTAGTAGTTATTAGATAAATAGAGTAAGTGTATCTTATAGACTTAATTCTTACTATATCTACTAAAGTTTACTACTTACTTAACTCTATTACTTATATTTATACCGCCTTATAATTCTTTATAGATCTCTATTTAGTAATAGAAAAAGATAGATGTACTATAAATACTATCTACGTTTTATATAATTATAACTAGTAGTTATTAAATAAATAGAGTAAGCGTATCTTACTAACCCTATTCTCTACTAACTATACTATAAGGGCTGTATCTACTAAGGTTTCTATTACTTTAACTACTTATATTTATACTTTCTTTTAATTTTTCGTAGATCTCTACTTACTAATATTAAGAGAAAGGTATACTATAGACTCTATCTAAGTTTAATATAATTATAATTAGTACTTATTAAATGAATAGAGTGAGTATATCTTACTAATCTAATTCTTAGTATATCTACTAAGGTTTACTATATACTCGACTCTATTACCTATATTTATACTACCTTTTATATTCTTTATAGATCTCTACTTACTAATATAAAGAGAAAGGTATACTATATATACTCTTTAAGTTTTATATAATTATAACTAGTAGTTATAGAATAAATAGAATAAGTATATTCTATTAACTCTATTCTCTAGTAAATCTTATTTATATATCTTTAGCCTATATAACTATACTCTAGAAGTGCTATACTTACTAAGATTCAAATTACTCTATATACTTCTATCTATACTACCTCTTAATTCTTTATAAATCTCTACTCGCTAATATTAAGAGAAAGATATACTATAGCCTCTATTTAAGTTTAATATAATTGCGACTAGTAGTTATAGAATAAATAGAGTAAGTCTATCTTACTAACTCTATTCTCTACTAGTCTCTCTTATAGGCTATATACTCTAAGGTTTAAAATACTTTAATTACTTATATCTATATTACCTCTCTATTTTTTACGGATCTCTACTTAGTAATAGAAAGAGGAAGGTTTACTATGGGCGCTATCTAAATTTAACGCGATTATAACTAGTAGTTAATAAATAAATAGGGTCGGTTATCTTATAGGAGAATAGGAGCCTATCCTGAGTTGCTGCACCTACTAAGTATCGATTTTTATATAAGAATAGGGTACTCTATTCGAGGATCTATAAGTATAGAGACGAGTCTATTATCGCTAGTATAGTAGTATTAGATAGAATAATAGGTTATAAGATTCCTATTCTATAATCTAGCTAGAAACTAGAAGGTACTAGTATAGTTAGAATAGCTAGAATTAGAGCTATAAAAGTAATATTAGTTTTAACTAGCTATTATCTTTTAGATATTTCTCTAGAGATTAGTCTATTATCTTACTTCTAGGCTAGATAGAAAGAGAAATTCTTAATAAATTAGATATTCTTTTAGAATTAATAGAGGGTAAGATTAATAAAGTATTTACTATTAATACTAATTATCTAGTTAATTAAGTAGCTTAGTTCTCTAGCTTATTCTTAGATAGTTTTATTAAATATTAGAGGGAAGAGAAGGTAATTAATAATAAAGTCTTAGAGCTTATTAACCTTCTCTTTTATAATAATAGACTTATAGCTTACCGCTTCTTCTATAAAGGCTTAAATATAGTATATAGTTCTAATAGTAGCTATAAGTAGGTCTAGAAGGATTGCTACTAAGAAAGCTAGCTTAAAGGCTTACTTAGATAATAGAATTCTATTAACTTAAGACGAGAATAATAAGGTAATACCTTAAGTCTAAAAGAAAATAGAAGTAAAAGCAGGAGTTTAAAAGAGAGAGTAAGAGAAGAGAGAAAAGAAAAAGAAAGAGGAAAGTATAAGTAGGTTAGTAGTAAGATAGATTAGTAGTAAAATAGATAAGTTTAGTATATTAGTTAGTTAAGAAGAACCTAGCCCCTAGCTTAGTTTCTAATTAGTAGGTTAAACTATAGTTACTTTTTAGATAGAATCTAGTAAATAAGCTTAGATTAGAAAGACCTAGAGCTATTAGTTAATTAGAATTATAGTAGTAGTATAGTAAGCTATATAGTAGCTAGTAAGTATTAAATTAAATTAAACCTAAGTTAGTATTTATTAATACGACTATAGAGGGTGCTACTAGATTAGTATAACTATAAGAAGTGCTAGTTTAGTAGAGTTAGTATAACACTTTAGTCGGCTTACTAAATATATTATAGAAGTCTTTCTTTAGTACTGTATAATAATAGCTAGTTGAGTTAATTAAATAGTCGAATTCTATAGTATACTTTTAGCTACTATATATTACAATTAGATCTAAATATCTCTAAATAATTATAAGTATATAATTAATTAAGTAAGTAATAGTTATATTATCTTAACACAACCGACTATACACCTATTATTTAGTTAGCTCTTACTATTTAGACTATCTTACTATAGCCTAGATCTATAATAATTAAAAGCTAAGTAAATAAATATATATAGTTATAAGATAGATACTTTAGTACTAATAAGTAGCTTATTATCTTATTAAAAGAAAGCTAAATACTATTATATAATATTAAAAATCTATTTTAGCTTACTTTAGCCTTCTAGTATAGTACTTAATACTATATATTATACCTATCTTATAATTTAGTATAGCTTACTTACTTTAACTATAGCTCTTAGCTACTTTCTATAAATAGATAGATAGTAAGAATTAGACTAATTCGCCTCTATATAGTACTATCTAGTAAAGTATAAGATAAGATCCTATATATAGGCTATAGTATAGATTCTTTAGCTATTAGATTAATACTAAGATTATATTAAGTATTAAAAATTCGTATAATTTTCTAGAATCTAGAAAGGATCAGCCCGTGAATATTATACTAGATATTAGTTTTTCTTAACTTTCCTCTTTATACGCTGTATAGTGCACGGCATAGCGAGAGAACTTTCCGTAACAGAAAAGTCTGATACTAAAATATTGGACTGAGTACAATCTATATACGGGCCGCAGCTAGGTATCTGTCTACACGACGGCTTCGCTAGCCCTAGAGAAACTTTTCTAGCGCGCCCGCAACACCAGCCAAATCCTCGAACACGTGCCAGTGTGCCACATTCCTCAGTACCACCAGGTCTCGTGTCTTCGAAACACTCTCAGCGTACTTCTCGCACAACTTTCGCGGCGACACTTGATCCTCATCACCGGTAATGACAATCGTCTCCGCGCTTATGCTGTCATAGTCAAGCGTATCCGTCGCCCCAGCCAGCGCCGCACACGCTTTCGCGTAGCCCTCTGGGTCTTGACCAAGCAACGACAACCGCACAGCCGCCACGCCAACGGGATTGCACTTCTTCGTGTGGTCAGAGACCCCGGTGGAAAGTACGGCATCGACGACGGCGGCCATGCCTTCGGTCCGTGCAATCTCAGCGCGCGCATAAGAGCCCTTGCTGGCCGCCTCGGGGAGCGGGGAAGGCGGCGGGCCGACCAAAACGAGCTTCTCCACGAGCCCCGGGTTGGCGAGCACGAAGTACATTGCGATCAGGCAGCCCATGGAGTGCGCCACCAGCGTCGCGCCCGAAGAGATGCCGGCGTGCTGGAACACGCCTTTGACGTCTTCAGCGAAGGAGGAGATGCTCAAGGTGCTCAGGGCCGATGTCGGCGAGAGGCCGTGGCCCTCGAGATCGAAGAGGTGGAGCGAGTGAGTCTCGGCTAGCGAGAGCGCGGTGATTAGCGGTTTCCAGTATTCCAGCGTCCCGCCGAGCCCGTGGACGAACACGATCGGGGCGCTGCCTGCGCACCCGAGGGACTCGTAGTGGAGATTCTTGCCGTTTATCGTGGCCAGCCCACTGCCACCTGGGGATTTGCTGAGATTGGTTACGGGGACGGAGGATTCGCTTTCCACGCGCTCAACGGTGTAGTTTGTGGAGGATGGTGAGGCGATCTTGTTTCGAAGACAGCCCAGCCCAGTTACGGAAACGGTGATCTCGTCGCCGGGCTTCAAGAAGACTGGCGGCTTCTTGCCGATACCAACGCCGGCAGGCTTTGATCCAATTCGTTAGCGGTGTAACAGAGAGGTGAGGTGGGATAGATACTCACGGTCCCGGTTGCGAGCACGTCGCCTGGCTGCAGCGTTTGTCCCTCCGAGAGCGTCGTGATCAGATGTGGTATCGAGAAGATCAGATCTTCTGTCGTAGCATTCTGTTTGAGCTCGCCGTTCACGTGCGTCTGGACACGGAGAACTTTTGGCAGATGCTTAAAGGGAACGGCAATCGGACCCTACTTCTGCGTCAGCACCTTGCCGTAACGCGTCGATTATGAAGATGTCTTGCAGTTGCAGTGGTTCGGAAGGCGCGCCTGTTCGCAAGCCTGTTCACGTACCATTGGGCAGAATGTGTCTGCCGATTTTCCGATGTAGAACTGCTTGTGGTCTCGCTGCCTCTCCCGTGCGGTCATGTCATTGATGATTGTGTAGCCCCAAACATGGTTTAACGCGTCCTGCTCGCTGATACGGAAACCAGCTTTACCGACGATAACACCAATCTCCCCTTCGTAATCGAGGCTCTTGGTAAACTCCGGATGTGGGTAGATTTCTTCTCCATTGGCGATGATCGATGTTGCCCGTTTGGTGAAGATCACAGGGTGCGTGGGGATGTCAAACTTGTCGGAGCTGTCGTACCCAGAGCTATTGAATTCTTTCGCGTGCTCCGAGTAGTTTTTGCCAACAGCTAGAATGTCGCGGCCGGTAATGGGTGGGAGGATATTGGTTGAGGAAAAGGCGAGCGGCTGGCTGACAGCCACTATGTTCTCCTCGCCTGCCTCAATGACTTGATAAAGGTTGGAGATGGGTGTGCCCGAAGCGAAAGATAGAGGCTGAATGCTATCTTGACTTTCCTCATAGTGTCCGATGCGCGGAGAACCCGTAGCCGGATCGAGGAAGGAGATGTAGTTTGTAAAGCCCATACTTTCTGTGGAAAACACGGTTTTCTGAGACGCGTGGTATCTGGTTGAGATTAGTATGAAGACTCGAGTTTTCTCGATGGGCCCCTAGGTTAGCTGCTTGATTGTCTTCCTACTCTCGAGATAGGCCATGTGCTGGGAGAGCAGGAATGATATGGAAGGCAATTTCAGACACGCATTGGTCCTGCAGCACACAGTCTAGAGAGCACCAGCCGGCTTCATGGCCGCTCTACAGGCCCTAGAGACCCCACGCCGCGGACTTCGGGCATGAAGAGAACGATGTCCATCGCGATTCTGGGCGGCATGGGGCGTCTCCTTCCGAGGTGCCAGGGGAGGGTTACTGTCGCGACCCCTGCCATCTCCGCCATCTCCGCCATCGCCGCACATCGCCGCACATCGCCGCAGCTTGCCCACCGCCGTTGTGCACAGTCTTTGATCAGGCGCTACAGAAGCGGGCAGCGTCGCTGGGGAATGGTGCGCGACTGCCACTGAGCTCCGACTTCGCCTCAGCTGCTCGTTGATTCGCTCTGATGGGGCTGCCATAGTCTGGGGCTCGAGCTTACTGCGACGTGCTTCATGTAGGAGCTCCTAGGCAAGCCCCAGAACGCTTCCCCGTAGCTCTCCGCGCGTTCGCTAGGCAAGCCCAGCTGAGATGAGACGAGAGCTTTCCGTCGGGTACAAGAACGACTCTGTAAATTCCTACTGTCTAAGCTGCTTCATCATCTGTTCCTTCCACCAAGCAGTTTCAAGTCCTGGGCTTCCTTTCGCCTCACTGAAACTAGATCTGTTGGTCCGCTCATCTCTGTTATAATGGCTTCTACATACGACCAGGCTAGCAAGGCTGAAGCCAACGGCGGTGGCACCGATTCTGAGCATCTGGAAAGGCTCCGAACGGCCGCTGGGCATCTGGATGACCGGACGCAGCCATCTCTGCCGGTTGTACATCGCAGCTTCGCGAACCCATCGCCCCTGGGTCTTCTTTCCTTTGCGACAGGTATGGCGCCTTGATCGCTCAGGGGTGTGGAGGAAATCTTTGACCAGTACTAGGGATATTCTTGATCTCAATCTACGGCGTTAATGCGAGGGGAGTCATTATCCCCAACGTCCTGGTTGGCGTTCTGATCTTCTTCGGCGGAATATGTCAGTTTATCTCTGGCATAATGGAGTTTATCTCAGGCAACACGGTAAGCTGATCCTGAACTAAGGGCGTGCTTCAAACACCGCTGATAACTATAGTTTGGCGCCACGGTGTTCCCATCTTACGGGGCTTTCAACCTCTCCTACGCAATGATCTACCTGCCCGGATCCGGCATTCTTGCAGCCTATACGGACAGCTCTACCGGCGCTCTCAGCCCAGATTTCAATCAGGCACTGGCTATGTACATTTGGGCTTGGTTCATACTAACAGTCATCTTCACAATCGCGGCTATGAGAAGCTCCTGGATCTTGTTCCTCGATCTAGTTTTCCTGGATGTTGTGCTGATACTCCTGGCTTCTGGATTCATGGTTGGAAGTACAACTGTGCTGACGGCAGGCTATGCATTCGGATTCATAGTCGCCTTCCTTAGTTGTAAGCCACCCCGTTGTAACGCAATCATCTTGTAGGACAGTCTGAGGCTAACGTTTGTTGCTAGACTGGGCTGGCTGCGCTGGACTTTGGGCCGGCGGTATCACCCCCATTGACCTGCCCACTTTTACGATGTACAAGCAAGGCTAAGATGGTACGTGCGGGTTGCACTGGGGCTACAGCAGCCTTTCACAATGGATTTATGCTGGACTCTGTGTAAATAAGACGTAAAATCAGGTTCTGCGGTTTTTTGTATCTGCAAAACAGGCATGCTTCAGTCCATGATTTGTCAATGTCATGTCATACTACTTGGGGCCGTTATGCAGCATGCCAGTAGTCCACCTCAATTGATCTGTCACTAGACGCAATGGCGAGAGAACTCAAGATGTCTCCGATGGCCTTTCAAAGTCTGTTTATCTATGACGATAGAATGCTTTCAGATGTTCGTATGCTTTGTCTTTTCAGTGGCGGAACCCTCTCCAATAGCAGCTCATGCGCAAAACAACGCTATTAGAGGAACAAAGTATGTATAAAGATTCCAAAAGCCCAGTCAACACCATATACCCGCTGTCCCTACCCCAACAGTCAAGCAGCTCAAGCTTCTCCACAAATGCCACGGAAGGAATTATGTAGAAAGTATTCAGATAACGTAGTAAGTTGCAGCAACCGCATTCCATTAATCCAACTTTACCACTCATCCGCGTCGCTATTGAATCGTCTCAGCCCAACATACTTCGGCGGCTCCTGAAACCGATTCTGGATCTTCGCAGTCCTGCCAATGCGGAGTGATCTTCCGAACTCCTCCAGGTGCTCCTTGCCATGGAATCGCCAGAACTGCCATGAGCAGTCCGAGCCGGTGAAGGCCTTTATGACAGTATCGCCTCCAGGATGATTGTTAACGAAGACGGAACAGTCATATACAATGGTGTCTATAACTATCCAAATACGCTCTGGCACGTCTTTCTGGATCTGCTTCGCCTTGATCTCGCTACTGGGGATGAATGGAAGGTCTTTATCAGGCGTATCGGTGCTCGCAAATGGTCTGACTTGCGGTGGCAGCGCTGTCACCTGCTCGGTGGAGATAGATTCGATGTGTTGTATGCTTGGCTTGAGGCTCGCAAGGTCGGAAAGCGGCTCTTGAACCGTCTGCAACGCAGCGCCTAGAGTATCTCCCTGAGATTTCAATGAGACAGCGCGATCGGGCTGTTCGGTGAAGTGTGAAACCAGTGCTTGATGCTTGATCTTCAGCCAACCCATGGTGGGTTGATGATGGTACCAGAGAAGAGCTTAAACCGATGCGGACGCTCGAAAGTGACGAATTGAAGCCGGTAATCAGAGCGAGCGGGAAAGAACTCCATAGCTTCAACGTACTCCATCCACTAGGTCTACTGGATGCCGCTCGCAAAGGCCTAGGGCCAGCGGACATGAACGGAGATGGCGGGGTTGGCGCAATCAGCGTCGGCTAGAGGGTTTTGATCGCCACTAGGGTCTTCCCCGCCTCTCAGGCTTCTCCACTGTCGCGCTAGGTAAAATACGAACATGCACTATAGAAGGTCTGGGGCAGGCCAAGGCCCGAAAGGGGTGGCAGCGACATGGCCTACCGTTACCCTATGATTCTGGAGAAGCGCGGCCGTTCTCTGCATGATAAGTCTTACTAGAAGAGTAACATTTACCCATCTTCCATCCATTGCCAATGTCCCTTACTCTCTGCTTAAATTCTCCAGACCGTTCCGCTTTTGACTTCCGTCGATATTCTTCGCACGCCTACGGAGCAAGCATTGTCTGCCACCTGATCGCTGTATCCTTCGCCATGGCACCCGCCCGGACTGCAGAACCACCCGTATCATGGTTCACCAACGTCGACTCCCCAGTTCCTCCACACGTTGGACCTCCACGAAACATCGCTGCAATTGACGCGCTGAAATTCGACCCCAGCCTCCAGCCCAAGCAGTACAATATACTTGGCACCCATCCTGAGTCCAAGATCCTTTTTGCAGATGTGAGCATTTTCGATTCTACAGGCAGGGAGCCCTTCCGAGGGGATGTTCTCATTGAAGGTACGTGGTCCTAACCACGCTGATCCCGTGCCGATCATGGGCCCTGAGGAAGAGCAAAGCGAGCAAAACGGCTTACCGCATCCAGGAGAGCGAATTGTCGCCGTCGGAGACGTTTCGAATGTTGAAGAGTTGAAGAAGGATCCGACGGTCAGAGTCTTTAACGGTAGGGGACGCACCCTCATGTCCGGCCTTGGAGATGCTCACACGCACTTCACCTGGAACGGCGGTGACCTCGCTCGACTCGGTGAGCTGGGAGTGGAAGAGCATGTCTTGCTTACCGTGCGGAGCGCCCAATGTTTCCTCGACTCTGGCTACACCATGTAAGTCAACCATTGTTCGAAAGAGGGTTGCTTGCGCATGTTGATGACCTCAGGTGCTTTGGAGCTGCATCAGCAAAGGAACGCTTGGACGTGGTGATCAGAGACGCCATTAACGCCGGTGATATACCGGGCCCGCGTTACCTAGCGAACGGCAAGGAAATGGCGCGACGGGACGGAGCTCTTGTCGAGGGCATCACTGCCTATGCCGATGGTCCGGAAGAAATGAGAAAAGTGATCAAGCACCACGTTGCTCTTGGTGTAGACAACATCAAACTCAGCATGTCAGGCGAAGAGGTAAGCTTTTACCGCGGATAAAACTTAATGAGTGGAGGCTGATACCGCGCTTCCAGATCACGGAGATCAGGTCTGCGCAAGATTGCTATTTTAGCGATGAAGAGACTGCAGCTTGTGTTGATGAGGCCCACAAATATGGAAAGAGGCTTTGTGCTCACGCTCGTGCTCGGGACTCCGTTACAATGTGTGTTCGACACGGAGTCGATGTCATATTCCACGCATCTTATATTGACGACGAAGGTGATAATCCCATAGCTCTCCTACCTTCAGCCTAGATTCGCGTATTAGTGAGTGGTGACTGACTCGCTGTCGCAGGGATGGACATGCTAGAGAAGGCTAAAACGAAGCACGTTGTCGCTCCAGCGATCAACTGGCTCATAGCAACACTTTATGAAGCGGAAGCCTTCGGTTATACGCATGAGCAGGCCGAAAAGGTGGGCTACAAGCGCGAGCTTGATGCCGCCATCGCAGGACTGCGAGAGATGCATCGGCGCGGCATCGTGGTCCTACCAGGAGGCGATTACGGCTTCGCATGGACGCCGCATGGCACTTACGCGCGGGACCTGGAGCATTTCGTCAAGCTACTCGGGTTTACTTCACACGAGTCTCTTATCGCTGCCACTGCAGGCGTTGCAGCGCTGCTGATGCGGGGCCATGAGCTGGGTAAGATCAAAGAAGGCTACTATGCAGATTGCATCCTTGTTGATGGCAACCCACTCGAGGATATCTCGATCTTGCAGGATCATGATAAACTCAACATCATAGTTATTAACGGGCGAGTCCACAAGGCTGGCCGGAGAGAGTATGTGCGGGACAACGTGTCTCTGCCCGTGGCTGGTCAGGATGGAAACGTGCATCCTATCGCGCCAGACATCGATTTTCCGGAGGTGAAGAAGCAGATGCAAAAGGCTTACTAGGATACGAGTCAACACATTCCTTGAAATTTAAGCCAATTTTTCTGCATTCCACCGTTCTTTAGTACGAGAATAGGTTACTCGCGGACGGCTCTTTTACACTTATAGGAAGTAGTTCGAGCGTTGCAGTTGCGAATTCTCTCGCACTCAGACTCAGTTCACACGGCCAACGTGTAAAGCAAAGCAATCAGAATCAGTACACTACCTTGTCTTTCGGCCAGCAATTTTGGAAGGCTTGCACAGACTGAACACGCACTTTTCGACACCAAAATCCAACCGCTACTCGTCTTCGCTAGAGGGCAAGCGATACTCGCATGAACCCGCCCAGAGTCAACGTGAGAATGTCAGGGCGCACGCCACAGTACCAAGGATGGCAGGCTTGGGGGTGCGTAAGTTCTCGTGGAAACTGTAAGCGGTTGCTCATTTATCCCTCACGATAGAAGTCTTAGTTTGTCATTGGCTCGCGGAACGCGATGTTGTTAACAAGGAGATCCCACTCGCCCCATGATATTGCAGCAGGGCTCAGCCATTGTTGAGGCTGGAGCCGGTCGAGTAGGGCGTCGACTTGAAGACTCTGATTTGCATCGAGAGCAGGACATTCAGCCGAACCTGGCATAGTGGTATCAGGTGTTATGGCGATAGTGGAACTTACGAAATGATTAGTTTATGCTCAGAGTGAAGGATGTTTGAGCCCCTGTCAACCCCCTGGTACTCGACACTCACAGTAGATAGCGGAGAACAGGCACCGCATTCTCGCAAACGCGACTACGCTCTGCCATCGCCTCGAAGACGGCAAGACAATTCTCCAGGGTTTCCTTTGTGTCGTAGTACTGTACGGTGCTATCCGTCGTCGCAAGAACCACGAAGAGGACGATTGACGCGTGAAAGGCATGGAAACTCCCTAGGCCTTCATTGTACCAGCGGAAGGAAGCGAATTCGGGGGTCTCGAAGAGCGTTTTGTGGATTCCTAATAGGCCTCGTGCGCTATCGATACACCGGCTTCTTGAGTTTTCGACTTCTTCTGGCTTCGTGCACGACAGTGCCTTGCTGAAGACGGGACGGTGAAGGAGGAGAAACAGTTGATGAGAGTACCCGAATAGAATGTTGAGGTGAACTACGTGATGCACAGGTAACGGTCCGCCTCGCGACTCCGAAAGGTAGTTTGCGTTCCACCTGTCCTGTTCGCGAGTAATTTCCTGGTCCAGAGCCATGATAGATTGATAGGAGGGACGACGGAGGCCAAACATCTGCTTGCAAATCTTGGAACACAGGTCATAGAGGCGGAACTTGTGGAGGAGATACGACATCTGAGTGGGCGACTCAGTCTCAGAAGGAAAACTGCCAGCCACCAAATCGATATCATTAACGTTAGCTGGTAGTTCAACGTCGTGGAGAATACTGCGTGGATCGAGGTTGCCCATGGTTGTGTTCTGGATTGTGTAAAGCATGGTCAAGCCGGCCCAGCAGCGCCTTCTTTCCTCACACTGAACAAGGTTGAGTCCAAAATTTCTGGGGTCAACATGGCAGCCAAGCGCCAGAGCGATGTTGTACGTGGTCCCAAGCAATGCCCAGGTCTGGCCATGACTATGGTTAATGCCGTAGATGAGGAGGATAAGCGCCTGTAACGTGTACATCGTGTGTCTCCAGAGGTAATGATCAGCAGCAAGACATTGCATCGCCGACACCCGATAGCGCGAGGATAAGTCCGCGATGTTTTTGGAGCTGAAAGCGCTCCTCCCGAGATCGTGAAGCAACGTACTACTATCGTCCAGAGCAGTCACCGCAATACTCAGGATGGCGAAGAGGAGCGCCAGCCATGACAATGAGACACATTGTGGATCGCTTTGAAACTGCAGGTAATCGGAGTCGAAAGTTGGGTCATGTAAAATATGGAACAACTATGAAGACTGGTCAACGGTTGGTAGGAGCGGGCTTTGGGAGGATACCTACAGGAGAATAGACTTTAAAGAAGACAGCCTTGAGTTCGTCGCACTGCCTGACCGGTGGAAGTATCATCAACAAATCCTTGATGCGAGCAGTAGGGTTTAGGTCGAAAGGGAAGCTGCTGGACGAGGTTCCAGATGTATCATCGAAGCTTCTGACCGAAGCTGCAAGTGGTGAATCATGGAGGACTGAGCCCCATTGAGAGGCGCGTGGTTCGTACCGAACATAGCCAGATGCCGACACATTAAGAGTTCCGACTAACAGGGAAGGCTCATAGGAGAGCGTCGATGGGGACGGTTGCTGAACGAGGGACAGCTCGCACGGATCGGAGGGGCTCTGAGATACGTCTGTCGCTGGAGTTGTGGGAATCGTCTGCCCATCTGGCAGGGTTAACGAAGAGAAGACGTTCATGTGACCGCGGATCAAATCTTCGAGATTCCGAATTCGAGATAGTAACTCTTCGCTGCCCGGGCTGCCAGACAGTTGCTCTGGTCTTTGACAGGCTTGATTTGTCCGCCTCAAGTAGATGCACTGAGAAGGCGGTATACCGCGTCGTACGCAGGTTCCGCATGGCCCTAGCGGACTGCGATCTCGCGGGCATCGAATCTTTCGCGCCCGACACGGCTCGCAACTAACGGGCATACGACGGTTCGCGTGAGGCGCCATTGTGAGCCTGACCGCCTATGAGGAATCGAGTGCCGTGCTTATCGAGAAGATGGAACGCTGCACTTTGTCAGGATCAGCCAGCGATTCCGCCTGACTCCGACAGCTGGATAGAGGGTCGATGGATGGACGGATGGACGAATACGCCGTACAGTCGGTTGCAAAATGTGCGGCCGCCTTGGCAACGAACTCAACCACCCCCCCTCTAAGGCTCTTCGTCTATAGAGCACGCGCAATGCCTTTCTTTTAGTTAGGTATCTTAATATACATTCTTTACGGCTATATCTATGTCACGGTTTAAACTTAATATTCCTTAGCGTTCGGATCTTCTACTATTCTAAGGTTATATACTCTATATAAGAGAGTTTTCTTTCTATTAAGCTTACTAAGCCTTCTATACCTTATATAATATTTTATATATTAATTTAATTAATTAAGTTCTAGTATTAAGCCTTCCTGTATTATAATAAGTCTTAGAATAATAGAAGATCCAAATACTAAAGAATATTAAGTTTAAACTATAATAAAACCCGACTATAGCTAATAGATAATATTATACTTGAATCGTGCTTTCTATTATACTATTCTAGACTACTTGTTGAGCAGCTTATCATCTTTATAAAATATGATATGAATTAGTTTATCAGCGAAGTAGGCTTGCAAATAGTACCGCGACGATCTCAATAAGCGTTCAAGCTATTATCGCGGGCTCGCTTTAGTGAGCCACTCCTGAATCCTCCGTACCGCCACGCGAGGCACATCCTTGTATCTTTCACTATCGTACATATCATCGATAGCCCGCGCAAGACGTCGCGCCTTCGCAATTGTGAGCCTCTTTGCGTTTGCCCAATATTCCCTTTGCACAAATACATCCACCTCATTCGCTAGCTCCCATCGCTTCTTCCGCACGGCAGGATTGTCGGCCCTTTCCGCGGCGCAGAGCGCACAGTTGCATTCGAACCCCCAGGTGGTCATCAAGGCCGTCTTCCTTGCGTCGTAGTCACTCGACTCGTCGTAGCTAATGAAAATCTCCTCGCCGGCGGTAATGGGTTGAGTGGCGCGGAGCACCATCACGTCGCCGACGAATTCTCTCCCAAGGTTGGCGATACAAGAGTGGTTGATGTAAGCGGCCCGGATCCAGAGACCGGTGCTCGCGTTTCTCGCACTTTCTTCGCCATACTGGCTGCCTGGGCTAAAGGCGTTGCGAGATACAATGTCGTATACTCGAAAGGTATCGACGACTAAACCATCTTTAGTCCGGGACACATTTTTGCCATCGCCTTGGTAATCGCCGTAGAGATCCATTACCCTTTGGATCCAGGAAGCATTGCTGAGAAGCTTTTGTACGGTTAATTTGCTTAAACCTAGAGGTGACACTCTGATTCTGTCGTCACGCACGTCGTATGTCATCGCCGTCAAAGCCTCGCTTTCATGACCCCAAACCACAGAGAAAGCTTTGTCGCACATAACGATCTCCCCGACAGGTATATTACGGGTTGCGAACATGCCGCGTCCTCGCCCTGGACTATCTCCGACCTTGATGTCACCGATGAAACTTGCGGCGTCGACCCGCGGATGAGCTCGAGAGAGGCCGGCCCTAATCTTCTTCCAATTATATATTCCGGTCTCTTGCTCGCGGAGGCGTGCCTCAATCTTTCGCAGATTGATAATTGCGTCTTTGTCTCCCGGCGTGAGCTTCTGTTGCTCCTCAAAGAAGGCCTTCGCCTCGCGGTACTCGCCTAGAACGTACGCAGCACAACCGGCACGGAAACATGCCTTGCTGTCGAGATCTTTGGATCGCTGGTCTTCTCTGCCAGTAAGGGAAGCTTTTGCATCAGAGTTTGCTTCTTCTAATCGATTCAGGAGGAGATTGACGTGAGCGCGATTACGAGAGATGTCTCGTGCCAGGTCGGGATTCGTGTTCAACACAACGTCTTGTCTAGCGACCTTCAGACCCTCGGTATATTTTGCGTGAGCTAGCGTTAAATCGTGTTGCTTGAGCGCGGCATTGCCCTTATCTTTGCACGTTCTAGCGAGCTGCTCTGCTGCTGCTGTGTCTGCATCACTGGCCGAAATCAGACTATGATTGGCGATGGCATCCCTGCAGACAATCAGATCTGAAGGATGGTCAATGCGAAGGGTAGCTTCGCATTGGTCGGTGAGAGTGAAGTAGGGCTCCTTAACGAAAAAAGAAGACGCTGATTCAAGAACGTCCTCGCCGTGTCTTGACTTGTGTAGGCACACCTCCAATCGCTCTGTATCGTCTCCTTCTTCGTCCTGCACCATGGTCCATGACCTGGCCGCGAGCGTGACAACTGGGCTCGCACGCTTGACGGTGAGCTGGCGGCCACGATGATGTGTATCCATTTGGAGCTGGGCGAGTTTTATGGGCTGTAGGTCTTGAAGTGAAAGGGTGCATGGCGGATACGGTTGCCCTACGGCAAGGGCCGGCAGTGTACCTCCCTGGCCTTTCGTCTGCGTCATATCCATATCTGCCATGAGAGACGCACCAAACGCTTGGGTGATGGCGGTTTTGGAGTCTCTTGTTCCTCGTGTATGGCCGACAAGTTCGGAACATTTCTTCAACCTGTCTTTGGCCGTGTTCCGAATGCGCTCCGCCTCTTGCTCTGTCAAGAAGACGGTATTTTCCTGGTTCTGAGAAGCCATTTCGTGAAGGTCAGGTAAATTCTGTACTTACCTTTGCAGGTAGGTAGGAATCTGCTCAGGGTTAGTCCCTTCGTTGAAAAGCGATTTGCAGTGCCTTTGCTGCCTAGCCGCCTCAGACCGGCATCCTTCATTGGATATCCCTATGTAAGCTTACATTCCCCCTTTCTCGTAGTACTGCGCTTCGTCCCAACAAACGTATTGCTATAATACACTAATATTAGAAGACGGAGCCAAGACACCGATGCCGAAATAATACTGGATAAATATAGCACTACAGATACGCGCAGGAACGGTCAACGGGCAGCAATTGTCACCGTACGGAGTGGGCGCGAGAGATGGAGAGCTGCATTTATTACTCGACATAGTTACGGCCCTCATATATATCCCGCCCAGGTTCCAAGGTCACCTAGGTTCTTAGGTAAAGATCCATGATCTGAAATCACGTGAGGGTTGATCCCGTGACAGCAAGCTTGTATATAGATCCTTTTGAAAAAGCGCGACAAGGCTACTCTAAGTGCGTGGTAGGCGCTTAGTATGCTTTGTAACTTGTCTCCATAGGACTACTTCTGGAGATCGACGTCGTTTCGGAAATTTCGTCCTCTTTAGTGAGAAAATGTCCGAAAGCGCCTATAACATCCATTATGATACGCACCCTACTGTTGCATCATAGTTACCGGGGAGCTCGAGCGGCATTGGTCGTGAGATTGCGAATTATGTTGCATCCCAACCTGGCCAGCGTCTCATTGCAACCGCAAGAGACCCCTCTAGCCTTTCATACTTCGCCGATAACCTCCCGGCCATCCTTAAGCTTGCTCTGGACGTCACTTCACCAACCTCGGTCGACGCCGCCTTCAAGGCGGCCGCGGCCCACCTTGGAGCCAACTATCACATTGACGTTCTCGTTAACAATGCGGGATATTCACTTTCAGGTGATATCGAAGCGGCAACCGAGCAGGAAATGCACGATGAGTTCGAAACTAACTTCTTCGGTACCGTGCGTGTCGCCATGAACGCTGTCCAGGTAATGCCCACGGCAAAGGATCACCGCAGTAGCTTGAACTTCAACAACTCCTCGCTCGCCGGTGTATGTGTTTTCCCTGGCCGTGGCGTTGAGCCCAAACGATCACAAAATGGTCACGCACTTCAACATGCCGGGCAGCATCGCGGGCTGTGATTTTTGCGGTATTGTGGCCGCCGAAGCAGGAGAGAACAACAACAATAACAGGGCTTCTTCTTCGGCGGCGGCGCGTTTCCCCGCAGGCACGAGCGTCCGCGGCGCTTTGATTCCGTATAATCCAGCCGATCCTGACAACGGTTCCTTTGCGCAATTTCTGCGTCGTCGACGCTCGTCTGCTGGTCAAGGTTCCCGACGGCTGGAACGATCTCGAGGCCGCGTCGCTTGGGGTAGGATGGTCAACCGTGTCCTTGGCCTTCTCAGATCCCAACGCGCTGGGCCTCGAGGGTCTTCCTACCAAGCCCTCTCATCAGTCAAAGGACCCTGTGCTGGTCTGCGGCGGTGCGACGGCTTCTAGCACTTTGGCCTGTCAGTTGTTAAGCTTGTAAGTTGAAGACAAAACATTTTTTTGACCAAGCGTTGGGGCCAGCCTTGATTTATTTTCAATGGGTTAACAGGATGGGCTACACTCCGATCGCTATCGCCTTCAACAGGTCCCTGGAATTAGCTGTGAAGTATGGAGCAGTTAGGACAGCGTCTTCCGCGTCAAAAGATTGTGTGGAAACCGTCAAATCGCTCGCGGGCAAGCCCATGCGTCGTATCCTCGATTGTATCACGGACGCTGAATCGGCCGCCATTTGTTATAGCGCCATGGCTCGTACCGGCGGTACCTACGCCTGCCTCGAGGAGTGTCCCGACGCCTGGCGCACCCGTCGTGCCGTCGGGGTGAAGGAAGTCATGGGTTTCCAGGCCCTCGGCGTCGATCTCAACCTGGGAGCCTCGACGTACACGAGGCCTGGTGATAAGAAGCTCATGGAGATTGGGATGCAGTGGGCTGGCGAGATGCAGTCGCTGATGGAATCAGGCCGCATCAAACCACATCCTTTGCGTGAATTGCGGGATTGATGGGAGGCCATCATCGAGGGTCTGGAAATGTCGCGGAAAGGCGAGTTTCGTGTGAGAATTCCACAGGATTAGACAGAGTGCCTTGGTGCTGCTTATACGAGACAGTTTCAATATTCCATTACACAAATTGGTCTCTGGACTGAATACAACTCTTCCGTGCACTATACGCATGTCATGACCTCGAAAATTTGGCTAGTCACGCTTCATGACTGAGGAGGATAGTCTGAAAATGCAGTGTGTATTTCATGCATGCCTAGAGGCTTCGCCTTGATAGCTGCCTAGGTGTGGTCAATTCTATTGAATTGAGACCAGAAGTCTTTCTTCCAAGCGTTTACAAGCTTCGTAACCGTAGGGTTTCCGAAAGGAGATTGCTGAGTTGCAAAGAAACCTGCAACTCCCAACTCCCTGTTAACCCACCACACGATATTTGAAGCTCCACCCCATGCAAGCATGTTTCCTGGTTGGCTTATCTCGGGCACTGGACCTACGCACAGCAGACCGCCCAACCCGTGGTTTATATCATCCTCCGAAACAGGTCCAGCAACGGTATCCCATGCAGCCCGCAATCCCAAGAGCATTTGAATGCTTGGTGATTTTGGAACAAGCTGTGGAGTAAACATCTCAGAGATGGTCGCCGGCTTCAAGAGTTTTGGCGAATCCGAGATCAAGTCTGCAAGTACGGCAACGTAGTCTTTCGCCGTTGAAGACAAGCCACTGCCACCTTCCTGATCCTCGGGGTTGTCAAACGCCCAACGGTCGCAAGGCTCTAGTCGTCCATCGTTTGTTCGTATAGCGCCCTGCATCACCCTTGCATTGTACTCGGGATGCCTTGAGATGTTGAACCTGGGAAACGGACTAGAAAGCCCCAGCTTCTTCCATATATTCTCAACCATGTAGTCTTCCAATGACATTCCATGATGCAGGCGGCTGACAGCGACACCTGCCCAATCCAGGCTGCATCCGTACAACCAACCAGTGCCCGGCTCAAAGACCAGCGGCATCATGTATCTTTCCGTGACTTGGTAAGAAGGTTTTTCCTGGTTTCGAGATTCTGCCCTAAGTCTCAGTAGCCGGTGTGTAAATCGATAGCCTAATCCCGAAGTATGGGTAAGAAGGTGTCGGGCGGTGATTGCGTTTTTGCTCCGCTCAAAAGTGAAGTCTGACCCAGATACTTCTGTCAAGATTTCCTTGCCGTCGAACTCTGGAAGTATTTTGGTGAGTGGTTCGTCAAGACGTATGAGTCCCTCATCCACACATTGTAGCAATGCAATACTGGTAATGAGCTTCGTGGCGCTCCCGAGTTTGAGAACAGCATCTTCGCGGAGAGGTGGGGCGTCGGGCGAGAGTGAGTCATAGCCCGCAATTTTGCTGTACAATTCATTTCCTGAGGAGCTCAGCGTTAGTACTCCAAGGAGAAAAAGACTCTAAAGGTGGAATACCATTTCTGTCCACGCATTTACATATAACTCCATGTACCTTTGCGTTTCCTTTCTCAGTATAGTCGGCAAGGAGAGCATCGAAATCGGACATTTTACACACTGTCGCAGGCTTTTGCGGGCTTTGGTAACGAGGAGAAGTGTAGGCTTAGTAAGGTTCGTTGAAGGTGTATGTTGGCAAAGAGTATAGAATACTTGGAGGTAGACGAAGGTCTAAGGAATGCGCGTTGCCAAGGCGGGAAGGCCCCTGCTTAGCGTCAGTCCTTAGGTAGCTTACCGTCTTGTTAGGGGAAAGCTGAATGCCGTTAGAGTACGTGACGTTGAAAGGCTGCCCCAGCTCACCTCAGCCTCCTAGCATGGTCTTTAATACTACACATTGCACCCATCTTTCAATCTAGCACAGCCTGCTTGCTTCAACTACAGCTTTCAGCTACCTGCTACGGGTGGATGGGTGGCAAGAGTTGGACTGATGCGCCTCCACATGGTGCCGCCTGGTGAAGTGTGAGATGAGGTCCTATTCCCAGGCCATAGCATAGACGTGAGGGAGACACAAAGTGCTAGTAGTATACTTAGTTGTGTTTCAGAGCCTGAAGCATCCTGGTCAGCTGCCTTCATGCCTGAAGCGTTTCCACCAGCATCATTTAACAGTACGTGACACTAAAAGTAGCAGCAAGGTAAGAACCCTTCCCTTCCGTATCTTTACTCCCGTTCTTCCTCAAATCTTCCTCCTTAAATGGTCCTTCTCACATCTTCCGCATCACGTCTTCTTCTTCACACACTCCCTCTTCCCGCTGGTGGCCGCTTGGTGATATCTAAACGCCTGATCGACTATATGCCCACGCCAGCCAACCTCTTGCGGCATCGGAACATTTTGTGAGGACGCAGTCCAAGCCAACCTCCGGGTGGATTCGACCGCAAACACACACGAGTACAGCTCGGCGCGAAACCTTAAACGAAACCGACAGCCAGTCAAGGCTTCAATCCGCCTCTGGAGGATGTGCATAATTGCATTACCAACATCCTCAATGAAGCCAACATCGGCGCCGTGAAGCTCCAGCAGCTCACCTTCGAGCAGTCGGTCAGACGAGCCCCGTGGTCAGCGCATGTGCGAGGGCCCACGGGAAGGAGCAGCAAGGGAGCAAGTCGAATCGTAGCGCGCGGCCCACGGAGCAGAAGAAATGTTGCAGCCCCCTTGCCCACAGTCTCAGTTGGAGGACGTGGATGGTCACTCGGCTCGAGCCCGTTGAGCATCACCAACCGGCCAAAGCCCTCGACAACGCCCGGGAATACAGCCCGGCAGTACACCCGGCGCCGACGGTTTCGCCACAACCGTCTTCAAGTACTCCACCAACAAATCTGCGCACACGCTGCAAAACTTCGGAAACGCCGAACAGGAACAAGCCATTCTGCCTGCGAGCATAGGTGACGCGAGTACTCGCCCGATTGAGTATGCTATACAATTGCCTGGTCAGGTCACCAACAGTTGCCAGAGCAATGTATCGGACGATCAACTTCGTCTGGGCCCAGCTGCACGACTGCGAATCGAGATTAGCCAAAACGCGGCAGCATTGTCGAGCCAGCAAAAGCATGTTGCTGTGGTGGAAAAGGCCGTCAACAGCTTACAGATGGGGATGCGTCACGTCATGGGGCTGGTAGAGAGTATGAGAAAGGAATTGCAGGCGCGGTCTGCTACGCAGATCACAGCACCGGCGTAGGTGGACGAAGCGCTTAAAGTCTTTACTATCAATCTCTCGAACGTCGCTGCAAAAGCGAATGAGGTAGACGTACTGAAGATGCAGCTAGAGCTTATAAAGCGCCGCCTTTAACGGATCGAGCAGGGGATTGCAGGGCCCGCGTCCGTTACTGCGTCATTTCATTCTCGTAAGGAACCCCCGACCGTCCATGGTCTACCGCACCCTCCTTCTCGGCCCGCTCATCATGTTCGTCATGTGTCAACACCTATCCGGGCTGACGCGCGAGTGCACGCTTCATACCAGCCTACGGAATCATCCTATGGTCCCACATCGACTTCGGATGTGTCTTATCAAACACTACAGGCTCAGCCCGAGCCTGCCGGCAGTGGATGGACTTCTGCAAATTCCAGCCATGAACGCGGTCCTTCGCAAGGACTTGATGGCCGCATAGAACCGGCGGCCCAGTCCATCGGCGAGCCGAAACACCCAAAGCTCGCAACCCTGGCGCCACAAATACGGCACAAGCGTGACCAGAGCTACAACACCGCTACTGGATCGCCTACCGCACACAGTGCTATAGATACCGATGGGAGTGGGTCGAGGTACGATCCGCCGCCGAGTGCTGCCTCAGCACCGCACCATCCGCATTCCAATCCCACGATGTCCACAGCTTTCTTTCAATTACGACTCAACTAACTCAACCAATCAGCGCGGCCCCGACGATAGCTGGCGAGCGGAATTACAACGCCCCACCGACGGACCACTACCGAAACGCGGCGGACGTGGCGGCGGATAGAACACACATACTGTCAACAGCTACTACCAACCGTACACTCCAGGCGGCAAAGAACGTGGAGGTCCGTCCGTCGCGGCTCCGGTGGCACACGGCATCCCGATTCCACCGCTTGACTATCCCCTTCGTCCGCCGGACCGGCCGACCCTTATGCCCACACTAGGCGAACACGCACGAAGCCTACGCGGAACGCAGACGGCATCCTCGTCCGCAAAGACGGCCGCCCGGACATGCAATCCCAGTCCTCGGCAGCCAACCTGCACAGAGTGCGCGCAAAGAAAGAACACAAGAAAGATACCACAGAATGGCACAAACTCCACACGTCCACATCCGCCCTCGCCAACACGCCTATATTTAGCCGCGACGGTGGCTTAGATATGCCTGGCCCCACGAGCTCAGGCGCGGAGCCAATAGAACCGAGCATGTTGGGGCGACACGCGGACATTTTGAAGCAGGTTCTCCCGCGCGGCATTGATGAGACAATAGGCGTGTATAATGCCGCGTCTTTATTTCCGGACAGCTCGCCCGTAAGCTCGGAGGCGAAGGCTCAGCCCGGGAGAGTCAAGCTCAGGGAAGAGGTTGGGGAGATGGCTAGAGATAGGGTGAAGGCAATAGAAGAGAATGGGGCGGCGAATCAGGTGATTGAGAGTCCCTGTGTGACCGTTATAGGTAGTGCGAGCGGTGGCGGACACCACAGGATCAGGAGACGCAGTTGCCGATGTTTGGGAGGGAGGAGTAGGGGTTTCGTTGCGGAGAACCTTATCTAGCGTTTACTCTATTTAGCTTTTCGGACACTAGTAATTAGACCGTTTTGCGTAAAGGCGTGGCGTTAGCTTCCAAGCATAGCCAAGCGCACATTCTATTTAATATAGAATTTTGTATGATAATCTCAAGCAGCTTAGCAGCGATATAGATCCACATCACCTATTCTAAGAAGTAAATTGACCGAAACGAAGATCTGCAATATATCTTTGGATAGGCTGGGTGGGTTTTTAGCAGACTCCACATGCAAAAGACTATCTTCCGCTGGGAAGACCCTGGGAATCATCTCGGCCAAGCATTTCAAGAAGAAGGGAGTTTGTTGGCTCCGGATCGTTTCCATCAGCTTAACTACGGCGATCCAGGACTGAACGGTACGTCCGTTAGTATCGTTGTTCATCCTGCAATCATAGTACATGGGAACAGCAGCGGGGATAATCCGGACGCCTTTCGAGTCCTCTCGCGTGCAGTAGTATATCTCTCACAGCCTGTAAATCTCTTTTCAACTCAAGCGGATATATTCGACCGTTCAGATTATTGATTATCTAATACCCAAAGAAACGGTCATGCAGGGCTCTTTGCTAGCAAATTGCTACCAGATCGTTTTCTTTTTTTAACTGCTATACTTAATCATAGTCCAAGCTAGACTTTCTTGAAACACTCAGTTCAAAACAGCGATAACTGATATGCAACGTACCGGAATTGCCGCTCAAAATTTTGGGTGTCTCAAACTGCCTCACTGTACCTGGGCATTCACAGTCGAGTAAGACGGAAATGAGGCAATGAGCCGACGCAGTCATCTCAGCCTAGGCAGCAATCGAGAAAAGGGGGTTCGACGTACTAGACTAGAGGCGGGGGCTTGCAGAGCTGAGGCTTACCCATATTTCTAGACATTTGCCGACAGTGAGCTGTCGGTTCAGCTAGAAGCCATACTATGAACTGTAGGGTAGCGTAGCCGAGCTGAGTGCATATAGGTGTGTTGTAGAGTTCAGCCACTCATATTGGTGGCGCAAATACTGCAGGATGCCTAGTTGCCTCGTCTCGCTTCCGCCGTAGGGGCCTCAGCCTTGCACAATGTATGTATGTGACGGAGTAGATTGAGAGTTTTTCGGAGTCCTATCTTGAATCCTGGCATGACGCTAAGGAGCTCACAAGAATAGCCCCTTCTTTAAATGAGCCTCGCTCAATCCCACTTCTCTCCTAAACCGTAACTCGGCAGTGACTCGCAATGGCACGCAATTCCCGATCCATCTCCATCGCGGTTATGGGCGTGACTGGGTCAGGGAACAGTACGTTCATCAGGACGGCAAGCAAGCTTGACGTGGGCGTTGGCCATGACCTTAAGGCTTGGAGGTGTCAATCCATGTGGGTATCGTAACATGGAAACTGACGTTCGGGAGGTACCGAAGGGGCTATGCCTTACACGTTCGAATGTGCAGGCTATTAACTAACCCTCATTGACACCCCTGGGTTCAAAGATACCTTTCGCAACGAAGCAACTGTTCTCAAAAACATCGCTAGCTGGCTTGAGCAGAGCTACCGCCAGTGACCACACAATAAATCAAATGGAATCATCTACATGTACGCAATTACCGAGCGGCGGATGAGTGGACCTGCCGTCCGTAACCTCGTCGTGTTTCGTGAGCTCTGCGGCGAGGATCCTCTTAGTAACGTAAATCACCACCGGCTCGGCCGCACCACCAGCTCGGCCACGTTTTTGTATGAGCGCCTTAGTAAATTGAAAAATCAATATCTTTACAGCCTCCTAATATAGTTACGTAAGATTTTAATAGTAGATAGCATACACCTAGAAGTATAAAGTTAGTAATCTATAATCTAAAAATAGTAACTACTAGTCTTATTATTTAAGGTTAAAGAGAGTTCTATAGTAAACACTAGGAAAATTAAAAGACTAATATCTTAATAACTATTAGCGAATTAGGGGCTCTTTAAGTGAGTATCTAGAGTAAATAGCTTATTAGCACTATAGTTAAAATCCTATAGCTATAGCTTTACTAATTAAAAAGTTATTAAAGAAACTAAGTACTTACTAAGAAATACTAGAGAAGTCTTTATAGAGAAATTTTAATTTTAGCTTTAACTTTTTAATTAGCTAAGCTATAGCTATAAAATTTTATATACTATAGCACTAGCCTATACTCTTTAGGCTTAAGTAGTAAAAACTATAATAAAGCTTATACTTTCTAAGAAATAAGCTTTTCTTACTTTCTTAGTATTTTACTAGTAAACTTAGAAAAGTTAGTTTAACTCTAATTAGTTAGGCTATTAAAGGCTATTTTTAGTATCTTTCTATCTACTCTTACTCTTCTATATATATAGTGTAATCTGTTAAATTCTTACGTAATTATAGTAGCTAGTTATTAAGATATTAAATTTTAAAGTTCATGGTTTTCTTAGGGAAACGCGGCCGAGCTGGTGGTGCGGCCGAGCTGGTGGTGAAATACGTTAACGTCATTCTCGTGACTACTGGGTGGGGTGTTGCGAAGAAGACAGGAGAGCTAGATCAGGCTCTAGAGAATGAGGTGCAGCTCCGAGTGGATAAGGATTTCTAGCAACCAATGATCGCGAGGGGTTCTAAGGTCGAGAAGTTCGAAGACACCCGGGACTCTACACTGGACATTATCATAAAATTGCCGGACGGCAACCAGTCCTTTTGCAGATCCAGGAAGAGCTCGTTGACCAGAACAAGGATCTCGTGAACACTTCAGCGGGCTTTGCTGTTAATAAAGAGCTGAAGGAGCTGAAAAAGGGTACAGCGCAAAGCTTCAGGAGATTCAACGACAACTAGAAGAGGCTAGTGCCAAATATGACTCAGAATTGCAGGGTGTCCTTGCGCTACAGAAGGAGGAGTTGGAAAGATTGCGAGATGACTCGAGACGAGCTCAAGACGAGCTCCGTTACCAGAATCGCAACGCTCATCGGGACGCCGAAATTCGTATTAAAGACCTGAAACAGCTGCTAGTTCGGCAGATGCAGGAAGCGGAGCTGAGCGTCAAGGCGCAGAGGATTGAGAATAGAAGGGAGTTCGAGCAAATAGTTGCAAAGTTGATGGAGGATGAAGGCAGGATTCGTACAGAAAAACGCCGCTTCATGGAACAAACGATCGTGGATCTCCAGGAGAAGAAGAAGAAAACCCCCAGGGGAGCAAAGGCTTGGGTAGAGCACTGCTTATGAGCTTGACAACGGGCCTTGGTGGAACAGCGATGAGCTTATTGGGTTTTCCGTTATTGGGGAACCCATTCGGTTTCGGTGCTGAGGAGGCGCCTTGATCATTTGCTGGTTGCGCAAGAATGGGAAGGGTTTTGGAGTCGGCGGTGCTGCGTTGCTCCCCCTTGTTGTCCTCTTCCGTGAACTATACCCTACGCGATCTGGCTCTCGGAACAGTAATCGAGTTGTAGTAAGCCATTTATCTAGCTAATGATCATTTAGTGGTATTCTTCCGTAGTGCTCGTGCGGATGAGTTAGCTTCTCGGGACTGTGAGAGGTAACACAGTCTGCCGAGGCGTCGTCACCACCTGACATCGACAGATGAAGGCTCCGCGGCCCAATACTTCTAACTATCTTGCGTTATGAGAAAGGTAGCGGGCTTGTTTCTCCGATCTCATTCAGTAAAGGGGTCGTTGGCGCAGTTTCGCAGCACAAAGTTGAAGAGTAGTGAGAACTTGGGCCCACTGGAGCTTTTACTACTACATGAGACAGCTGGTTGGAGGCGTGATGCTGGAGGTTTAGCTACCATTAGCTTAAGGTAAGAACAGAGAATAATAAGGAGAGATAAGCGATGAATGAGAGCTGATAGCAGTATGATGGGGTTTACGCTGTTCTATACGTATGGGTTAAGTTGACGGCTCAACGTGGCGACTTCTTCTTTGTAGCCACGCGGCTGACAATTAAAGCGTCCTCGCGAACGTTACCACTACGCTTCCACTATCCATTTGAAGCTAACAGAAAGCCGGCTTTCTTGTCTTGCCTGTCTACTAAGTCTGCTGGTCCATCGGAGAGTGTAAGTATGTATTATAGATAGTGGTAAGTAGGGCGGAGAGAAGTGGTTAATAGAGTGGCACTCTATAAATGATGGGATCTTGCAGGCACGCTCTTCTTATCAATCGCGTGGCAACAGCTGTGATTTCAAGATACACATACCTAGGTCCGCTCGCATTCTGTGCTTCCTTAGAGCTTTGACCTAGGCGTTTCGTTAGTATTAAGAATAAAGTGCTTAAGTGATATGCAGTAACATATCCGCTAGGAGGCATGTTGTACGGTATTGGATTCTGGATGCGAGGCATAAATTTGGGTGCGCGGAAGATTAGGTGCGCGGCGTAGATTTCAGGTGCATGGCATAGAATTTTGGTGGGCGGCACGGGTTTTGTGTGGGCGGCATGATTTGTGTGGGCGGCACGATTTTGTATAGGCGGCACGATTTTGCGTGGGCGGCACGGTTTTTTGTGTGGGCGGCACATAATTTTAGTGGACGGCACTGTAATTTGGGTGAGCGGCGTGGAATTTAAGTGCGCGGCATGAATTTAGTAGGCGGCATTGTAACTTAGGTGAGCGGCGTGGAATTCTGGTGGGCGGCACGGTTTTATATAGGCGGCACGGTTTTGTATGGGCGGCACACGATTTCGGTGAGCGGCATGGAATTTGGGTGGGCGGCATTGCAATTTGGGTGGGCGGCACGGTTTTAGGTGGGCGGCGTGAATTTTGGTGCGCGGCACAGATTTGTGTGGGCGGCATGGAATTTGGGAGCGCGGCATGGAATTTGGGTGGGCGGCACGAAATTTAGGAGGGCGGCACGAATTTTGGGAGCGCGGCGTGGAATTTAGGAGCGCGGCATGATTTTGTGCGGGCGGCACGGGTTTGTATGGGCGGCACAGATTTTGGTGGGCGGCACGAGTTTTGGTGCACGCGTCTAGGCAAGTTTTACAAGCTATATTGGCTCTCAACAGCATATCAATCCAGTAGAATGCTAAAAGCTGGTTTGAAGACTAGAAAAGCAATCGATTGAACTTGAATACTACTTAATTCTCCTGACTGAGCGAGAGCTTGCTTCGGACATCGATTACTAGAGGGCCCTTGATACCACCTCATTATCCTCCACTTACTAGAAACCCCTCCCCTTCACTAACTGTCGCCTTCTCGATCACAGGTAGCTTCCATAACACCAGACCAAGATCCAGTTAGATCTATCCAACCCTGCCTATGCTTGTCGATCCGTCCTTAAGCTGCCTAGAGTCTACCTCGTTGGACCGTCTAGAGGCTGTCGGCTCGCGATTGAGCACCGCTTTATTCAGGCAGTAGGTGCCTCTCAACGTACTCAGCTGCCGACTGCGAGTGGTGCTTGCATACTACAGGTGCTTTCGGTAGAGTGGAAGATAAGGTGTATAGATCCGTGACCGCTTTGTTTATAGAAGAAGAAGCAGAAGCAGAAGAAGAAGGAGAAGAAGGATCACAGCTGATTTCGAGCTGCAGCAACGAACGGCAAAGCCGGATCTCTACAACCTAGCTAACAACGCCTGCGAGCCTAGAGAAACTAGTGGAAAGAGCGTTGCCACACTCAACAAGAACATGGCCGTCAACTGCCGTTCATTGGACGTGAAGTCCAGTAACTACTAAGCTTAACTGCTGTACCACCCCGGCAAGGGAGGATATTATGGAGGCGCGCTGAAGAAGAGGACATCTTAGCCCAGACATTCGCCGTGTGCGATTGTAACTCCGTGTATTGCAAGTGACGAATTGCCTAATCGGGAAGAAAATCACCTTGGCCCGTAGAGACATACATGCGACAACATTCCAGTTACCACGCGAGTGCGCCAGCCTCACACAAGCCTTCTCGGACTCAACACCTCACTTCCCACCTTAGCAGAATCACAACCTCACCCAAAGTGGAGGGATATTCTACGGCAGCCTCAAGTCTTACCCACACGCCCAAGCGACATCCCAGCAGAATCAGGGACACCGTCCCATATACAGTTTTGAAGCCTCATCAAGATAGCTGCGCTCTCCCATCGCACCATCTCTGACGCCTACACCTTTCCGTCTGCCACATTCACTGTGCGTACCTCTTAATGGCAAGCCAAGCTCGCACGGCCACAGCCCACACTATCCGACGCCCCGACCTGAGTCTCGTCCTATCACGGCCGCATGCAGGCTTCGCATCGTTCGGTCTTGGAGTCGCGACGTTAATCGTAGGATGCCAGCCGGCCAGAATTGGCCCACGAGTTCCACTTCGACAAACGCAAGCGAGGCGACATTCCACACTCGAGGAGGAACTCAGGGCCGCCTAGACTTGACTCTTAAGTTCGGCTCAAGTCATTCACATGCGATGGCTTCGTGGACCGCAGACGGCGAAACCTCGAGCCCCTTCCTAAACCCCGACAGCCGCCTGCACCCTACCTGTAGACTTCCAAAGCCTCCTTATCCCCAGTAAGCTTTCCCCGACTGTCTTCGACCGTAGTGGCTTACCAAGGGTTGAGAAGGCATCCTGTGGGAAGGGCTCGTGGAGGGTTACCAAGCACTCTGCAGAGGAAGCTCTCCGCTGGATATAGTGGCCTGTACCCGAAGCTCACCGCAGGTCTCTCTCCGTCCGTGGATTCAAAACGGCAGGTCAGGACGTTAAGCCGAATGTTCGGGCTTTTCAAGGGCGGGAATCTTTTAGAGCGCCAATCTCGTAGACGGCCTCGGTGTTGGCTTTGCGATCTCTCCACACATAGACACGCTCCTCCGGATTATAATGTCAAAGTGTCATGGTGTCCCGCTGTCATAGTCCGAGACGAGAGACCTGGCTAACTTAACCCCTATCTAATCACTTTCCTTCTAGCCACTTCTCTGCCTTGACGTCCCGCTCATTTAGACCTCACAGTGCGTACATATCTTCATCTGCCCCTAAGCCCAGTGATCCGGTTTCCAGAACCCTGCCCGAGCTACAATTTCCTAAACTCTCCTCGTCCGTAGCTAAGCTCCACCCCAGTTTGTCTGCGAGGCCTTCGAAGCTCTATATTCGCTACCCGCCGTCACCCTCGTCACCAGCGCGCTGCGTGACTTGTCAGTCGGCCGGAGTGTCGGAATTAGGCCAAGATCGCGAGGAGAGACAAGTCGTGGTGTTGAGATTAGCCTATCGAAGCAGTATCCGGCTCCCAATTCTTGCTGAGCTTGCGCACATCTCTCTTGCGGTCCTATTAGGGCTTCCGAGTCATAGATTAAGGCAGCCGTTGGTCCGCTTGCTATAACAGCTCCAGATGTTAAAGCGGGATGTCGAAGATGTCCAGGGCTTCAAGCCGCAAGAGTCTCAGTATGGGGCTTGGTGGGACTGCGAAAGAGCGTGTAGGTCGTGGCAGCCATTTGCTGGACCAGGAGGTCTTCAGTCGTTTGTGGGCATATGGCGTTGCGCGAGTGGCTACCGGGCTGTTGAAGTGTCACTTAGAGGTTTGATCCATTGTCGCTATAGACTATTGAGGCCGGCTATGTCAAACGTCACGGCAGGTGGCGGAGGTTGAGACATTGGAGCGGGTTGAACACACCGGAGAGCGAGAGACACACCGAAGAAAAAGGCTTTATCATCTATAAGAACGCTGCCAACTTTGCATGACGCTATGTGAAGGCTGTGCGTACAAATGCCTGCCCCTCCGACGGCTTTCTTGTTGTTGGAGCCTTGCTTGACGGTGACGGTGTGAGAAAAGGCTATCGCTCCAGAAGGACTACAGAACAACCATCCATCTGGATACGCTAGGTGTGAACTCTTAGCCGTGCGGGGAAGGCTAAGCCATCAGAGGCAACGAGGATATTGGCTATTCGAAAGCGCACAAGCGGTGGCGTGGCGACGTTCATGAGAAATGAGAGGGTTCAAGGGACAACTCATCGGTTTCCATCTATATATCACTATCACCAGCTTAACAAGTCCGCACTGGTTCAAGCTGCAGCGGTAGACATAAACTGTAGTATCCATTGTTCTGCCTCGGATGGCTACACCACCACGCTCTAAACCTCGCGCAAGTCTGAGAACGAACGAGATAACTCCCAATACAATATGCTTATCCCAGTGCGTCCATCATACAGCGTCGCAACCAATAAAACCAGCAACCTGTAGAACATGTCCGTTCCCGCACCGCCAACGCCAAAAACACCATGCGTGACACATCGCTAGCTATGATACCAGAACCAAGACGCAGAACCCCATCCCCTAAATCCGCCACCTCGGCCTCTCCTCCCCAGCCCCAGGCGACGCACCCAAACTACTCACCCTCCCACTCCCCCCACCTCTACTCTCCCTTCCCGTTCCCATGGACGTCCTCCCCATTTTCGCCTTCCCCGCCGCCACCCTACCAGCCGGACTATTCTCCCCACCACCATCCTCCTCGACCGATGCAGCGATAGACCCCAGCGGAATGCCACTGACCCTTCTCCCAGCAGTCCCAAGCCTGAGGCCCGGGTTCGCGATTTGCGACAGCGGTCGCGCGGCCGAGGACGGGAGTCTCGAGGCTGTGGGCGAGGCCGGCGACAGCGGCTGCCGGTGCTTGTTAGCCGACGAGAGCGCGGCCGTTACAGCAGACGGCTGAGGCGTGATCGACGTTGGTCGCGGCAGCGCGGAGGGTGGCGGTGTTGAGTATGGCGAGTTGCGGCTCAGCGGGCTCGAGACGGGGATCCCTGACACGGAGGAGACAGAGCGGATACTATTCCGCGCCGTCGACGGCGTGGCAACGCTTTTCGCGTGCGGACTCGGCGTCACCGACGGCACCGGCGGCAGCGGTTTAGTGGCTAACCCGAGCACGATATCGTTCGTGTTCGTCGAGGGGTTCCAGCGCGGTTTCGGCGGCTGTGCTGTGTCCGACCCGGCAGAAGCCGGTGGGGTGCGATAACCGTGTGATGGTGTGGGGGTTGACGACGGTGGCAGTGGCGGCAAGCGGGGCGTAGTGGGTGACTGCGATGCCGCGCGCTGGGGCGTTGTTTCTGAGGCGCTGGAGCGCGAGACGGCTGTTTTGCGGGGGATACCGCTGAGGCTGAGGTTCGGCAGGGCGGACGGCATGCTCGAGTAGCGCCGTCCCGTGGGCGTGGGTAGGGAGCCAGCGCTGCCTGTCACGCTGCTGCTGCTCTGGCGCGACTTGCTGAGGCCACCATAGCCGTGTTCGCTGCTCTTGCGGCTCATGAGGACGACTGAGGAGGCGGGTGAGCTGCCGGGCGTGGCAACCATGCTGCTGTTGGCGGAGTGGTCGGCGGTTAGGATCGTGGAGATGGAGTCGCGCAGTTGCTGGTTCTTCGGAGAGTCGACGTGCTTGATAGCCGCGTCCATGGCGGCCATGTCGTTCTTGAGGTCTGCCCAGCGCCGCTGCATGTCGGACTGCAGGCGCAGGATCTCGCCGTTGAGGCTCAGACGCTCCTTCGCGCCTTTGTCGATGATGGACAGGATCTGCTCGATCGCGGGGGGATAGTGCGGTTGTTTGGAGGTGTAGTATTCGATGCGCTTTGCGAGGAGTTCGAGGTTGTGAGGGTCCTCTTCGAGTGCTTCGGTCAGCTTAGAAAGGCTGCGTGCGAGGCTGTCGAACATGGCGGAGACTTTTTGGCCGGCATTGCGGAAGAGGTGAACCCAGCGGTCGTCGCTGAGCTCGCGCCTCAGGGCCTCGGCGTCGTCCTCTAGCTTCTTGTATCTTGCCTCTAGGGTGTCTCGTCGCTTATCAAGCTCCTCGCAGGCCGTTGGGAACACCGCACTGCCGCGGGCGCCGAAGTGAGCGAGCCGCATAGGAAGGAAGTCGAGTGATGCGCGGAGCGGCTGCATCTTTGCAAACAGCTGGAGCAAGTTCGAGTCCTCCTGCACCTGTTTGGCGGTCGGGCTCTGTATGGGACTGTTTAGTGTGAGAGCCGGCGGCAGGCTGTAGCGGTTGTTTGCGGTGACTCTGGCCTCGGTCTTCGGACTCTCTACCACAATCCGTTCCAGCTCCCCAATATCCAGGCCGCTGCCGCTTTCGCTGTCCAGAGGCGCACTTTGGTGCCTTCGCTCTTCCATCTCAAATACCAGCCGACCCAGTGCTTCTATCTCCAGGCCAATCTCCCCTAGCACAGTGTTCCAGATATCCTCCCACTCCATTGCTATCTCCACTTGCTCCTTGATGGCTCCGAGTGCGCGCTTTATGTTCTGCCACTCCTGCACAATGCCCTCCATATGGGCAACCATCCTTTCCAGCTCCTCGGTTGTCAAACTTGCGATGTCGTCCCGAGCTTGCAGGTTTTCAATGGCGACCACGTAAACAGTAACCAGACTCTCGAACCGGTTGATAGCCGCGTCGACTTGGTCCAGGCCTTCGCGACCTCCTGCTGCGGCCCATTCGATGTCGTCCTCTGCATCCAAACCGTCGAGCACTTCTGACGCCTTGTTCATCCATATTCGTATCTGCTCTGCCGCGTCCTCGAGCGCCCGCGCGGCTGCGGTGGAAGTTGGTATAGATGCAATGCTTTCCGAAAGGGACGAGGCTTGCGGGAGCCTGATGGACGTAAGTTGGGAGAGCTGATTCGTGAAGGATGCACGAGATAGAGAGTAGATGGAGTTCGTCCGAGATGCGCCGTAGGGGTTGAAGTACGCTTCGTCGTCGGTAGAGATTCCTTGGGAAAAGGTTCCATCCCTACGCGGGGAAGTGAGCATAGGCGGAGTGTCCTTCGGCGGCGGCGTCGGGGGTCTTGATGGCTCTTCCTCCGGCTCTTGCTCGAGGTCTGGCCGACTGCTATTTCGCAAGTCCCCTGCCACCTTCCCCACATCCGGCAGTCGGTATTTCAGGGTGTCGTGCTCGGCACCATCGAGCTCACTCTCGGTATCCGACGGACCCATCCTGTCGCTCGTGCTGATGATCGAGGAGTGATCACTTTCTAGCTCCGTCTGCCCATCCATAACAAGCTCCGGCATGCTCCCACCCGTCAGCTGCGGCTCCAACCGTGGATGGGTCCTGTTCCAGGCCTGCCCTCTCCGCTCCACTCTGATCGAATGGGCTCTGTGTCGGCTGTCCAGCTCCCTGAGGTGATCCTCGGGTATCCGTCCGATATCGACTCCGAGCGCCGGGCTTGAGACGGTGCGGTTCTTGCTTCGATGGCTGAGGAGTCTCACACGCGCGAGAAGGCCCGGTGAAGGCTTGCGGAGGGCTCGCCGACCTGCGTTGGGGGATTCGGCGGAGAAGATGCCGAGATATGCGGTCGGTGAGTCGAAGTGGTCGTTGGAGAGCGAGGACGCCGAGGAGGGTCGGGCACGGTGGTTGGAGGGTGTAGCATCCGCGACGACAGCTGAAGGAGCCAGAACTGCCAAGTACTGGATATGCGAGGTTGGAGCTAGCATTGGCGACGTGCGGCTGCAGGAGGGATTCTCTTCCACGCTGCAGGGGGTTTGCTATCTGCTGTGGTCGAGGACATGAGGTTAGGTTGCCAATGTCGAGATGCAGCCTGAGACGCGCAGCTGGCGCGTTCTGGCGGGGGAGGGAATGCAAGATCACACGGCCGTGGACCTGGAAATCCGACTCGGTGCACTGGTGCCAGCAATGACAGTGGCTTGCAACGCGAGTTCGAGAGCAGCAGAAAGCAGAGAGCAGGCAAGTGGGTGAAGTCAAGCAATGTGGGCAGAGTGGGCTTGTTGTCAGAGGCCACGAAATCGACGGGGGTTCGCTGCAGCTCCAAAAGCCAAGCCCAAAACAACGCGGGACCGAACGGCATCTCAGGCACCGGATGTTCGAGGGGTTGTTGCTTGTTGCCCTTGCGTTCCGTGCCGCCCGGCCAGCTTGAAACTTAGCAACTGTGGAGGAGCTACTATCCGATACTATCTGATATTGACAACCTGGTCAATAGTGCAGACGGTATCTATTCTAAGCCTTTCAGCATCAGTCATAGCTATGTACAGAGTACAAGATACTCCGACTGTTCCTACGTGACGGGGTATCTCACGGCCACCAGATGCAGTTCCAAATCCTGACGCCTCAACCATGCATGCATGCCAGCCAGCCACAGAACAAGCAAAATCTTCTCAAGCACGCGGCAATCCCATCAAACTGCTGTAGGAGACATCACTGGCTCAGTCGCATCCAGCCCATCATGACAAGTATCAATCCTTAGCGTCGGCATCTTGCGCTGAGACACTTGCTTCTGCTCCCTCCACTCCGCCGTGATCTCCTCCCTCACAGCTCTGCTCCAAGCCAACAGCGCATCTTCAAACCCTCTCCACGCAGCTTCGTTAGCCCCTTGCACGACACCCATAACGTCGACGCTCAGCTTAACCTCCCACCGCAGCGCCGCGGCCTTGATCCAGAAGCGCAGGTTCTCGGCGCAGCGATAGGGCTTCGCTGTGTCTGTATGGTATACTCTGATTTCCTCGAACTGCCGGCGCGACTTACGGACTAGCGCGTTGTGCAAAAGGACCAACCTCAAGCCTGTACGTAGAGACTCGAGGAACGGCGTCGGCAGCGAATTTTCGTCTGATGATTCCGTCCACCGCGGGAGCATGTCCGGCTCAGGGGCGAACGACTTGAGGAACAACCATTCGCGCTCCCGCTCACGACCGGTCCAGTCGTCCTCTCTCCAGCTCCACTTCTCGCGCTCCTGCTCCTCTGCGCGCTCCGTGGCCTCATCGGTGTCGAGGAGCTTACCAATGCCGGCGATCCATTCCAGTATACTCTCCCGTTCGGGCTGCCGTACCCCACCTGCAAAATTGCGTGTGGCCATACGCTTGAGGACATCTAGAGTCTGGTAGAGCTCTTTCCTGATCACACGCTCTGGCTTGAGGGCGTATAGTCGCTGGGGCTGCTCGTGCGCTGTGTAGTAGTTCCTCGCGGCCCGTATGGCAAGCGTGACCGTGTCGAGAATGTGGAGGCCTTCAATCTCGTACCAGCCCTGAAAATCCGCGGTGTTGTCGGGCGAACCACATTGCGCGGCGGTGTCTCTGCGTGCTTCTGAATTCGTGCTTGAACCGTCTTTTGTCGTTCCTGATAGCCCCTTCTCCGCCTCTTCAAGCGTCTCCCGCAGTTCCCTCCGCAGCACAGCCATGTTTGGCGGCGGTGGGACGTAGACTGGCCGCTGCAGATATGTGCTGACTGTCGGCGGTAGCATGATGGGCTCCTGCTCTTCCCAACTCCCACTCGTCTCATCGTCGCCGTCGGGGCTGACCAGCAGTCCGTTCTGTGCATCGTCCAGCGATAGTCCAAACTCCGATACGCTCTTCTCAGTAGGTGAAAACAGAAAAGTCGAACTGTCTTCACCCCCGGCACCCTCTGAACCAACCCCACCAGCCCCACTCGGCTTCCTCGCCTTGGCCAGCTGGCCTCCCTTCCCGTCCAACAATCCCGTCCTCGCAAAATAGTACTGCAGATGCGCAATACTCCCGAGGCTCATGACACTCTCCCGATTCCTAGCCGAGTCCGAGAAGACTGTAGCCTGGGGCCGCATGTACCCGCGTCGTCTGCTGGCGCCGCCTTCGGAGACCGAGCGATTGGAGGAGACCGACCGCCCAGAGACGGAGGAGGACGAGGCGGTCGAGACGGAGCGGTCGAGGTATGGGATGGCGGAGAGAGCGAGTGTTGGTGAGACCCAGGGGGGAGGGGAGGGGCTTCGGGAGTATGGTTCCTCGGAGGGGGGGTCTGCCATGGTGAAGGTACCTGGGTAGCTGTAGAGTATAGAAGGCGCTGCCGGCGACCAGTGGCCTTTGTGTTAGATTGTAAGTAGTAAAAGAAGGTACGGTGGGGTTTGGGAATCCTGCAGCGGTTATTGTAGACAGTAAGCGGAGACACGTGTGGAGCTTGAGGCCAGCGAAGGTCTGGAGGTGTTTCAGATAGGGGGTTCTGTAACGGCGCTGCCAAGATATTGACAACAACGAGCGCTAGCTGTAAATAACGCGTAACAATTCGGCGGTTGACATTGAATGGACGTTAGCAAGCTTTCGAACAGAAACCATGAGTCGTTTGGCAGCTCTGTCGCGCTGAACAGTGCAACAAAGTCAATGCCTTGTCCCCTACAGCAAAGCTCGAGACACGGGGATTCGGCATCAGGCATCGAGGATCCTCAGGGTTCGAGGTCGCTTGCGCAGCGTAGGGCTGATCGACGTCATCGCATGCCGCGAGATCGATGAGGGGACTCTGTGGAGAAGCCGGCCAAGTGCAGTCTTTCAGTAGTATTCACGTAACCCGTTGACAACTGAATGAAGAGATTCTTCTCTACAACCGCAACCAGGATGTCTTCGAAGCGAGTACGGCAATTCTCTGTCGAGCTGCAGCCATACTCCCCTGTTCCCTGACTAATCAGTGTAGATTTCTTTCAAGGTTGAGGGAGATGTGCAAGGTCAGTATCTCACACCCTCCCCCCAAAGGCCTCCAGAACAACCACACTAATTCCGTACGCTCAGGCGTCAACTTCCGGTAACTCTCATCACTACACCCCCCACACTCCAACCAACAACCCCCGCAGCTCCTTTACCGTCAAGCAAGCGAACAAAGTCGGCGTCACAGGCTATGTGAAGAACGCTTCCGATGGCAGTGTCAGTCAACCTGATCTCTCGAGTTTGCTTGTTGGGATCTGACAGAGTATTCTGTTAGGTGCAAGGCGAGGCGCAAGGCGAGGAGAGCTCGTTGAAGCAGTTCGTTGAGCACTTGAACAAAGGCCCTTCGGCGGCGGACGTGAATAAGGTCGAGACGTCGGACATTGAGCCGAAGCAGGGGGAGAGTGGGTTCTCGCAGTAGGAGGAGGGGGTGATGTGGGTTAAGATGTAGGTTGGAGCCCGGACGTGAGTAGTAAGTAGCACATGAGGTGCTTTGGTGGGAAGAGGGCTAAAAGAACCATGCATGGCTGAGCTTTGGTGAACGGTTTCGCGCCTTTAGCTCATCTTGAGACAAGCACTCTTCAATGCATACTGCCGAACAGCATGTCTCATACAATGACCATATGCTTGGAGGAATTCCGGGTATTTGGAACCAGACGTACACGCAAAGCCACACAACCCTTTTGTTACGAATGTACTCATAGTTAAAAACGGATGGAGAGCAGTAAGTACAGCTGGGCCTGCGGTCCCCACGTACCTAGGTCAGCCTTGTCGCGAAGTCATGTGACCTGGATGTTTCCGATTGCACTGTCAAGGCTGGAAGCTTTGCCGAATGGGCTCAAGGAAAGTTATGCTGCCGGCAATGGATAGAATACTGCATATAGCATCGGCTGTAGAGTTTGGACCCTGATCGGAAAGCCCTCAGCTGCCTTACCGGACTCGAGTTTGGCCAAACGGAGGCTGTCGAATGTTCTAAGCCCCCAAATCAAATGATATACGTTGCAAACATACCTTACGCTCCTGTTTCGAGCCCGCCCTTGGCTACTCTCAAACAACGACAACTAGGGATTTCCTTGTCTAACAAGGGATTTACCTAGAATCATGAGGGCATGGTTGCGGCCCGGCAGGGCCAGAACTCTCTTGCTGCTTGGGGCCATTGCACCTTTCCATATTACAGCGAGCCCTACGGTAAATGTAGCTCTGCGAGCTTCCTTCAGCTCCGCACCATATCTCGTCGAGCTACTGTAAGACCCTCCCAATCATCTCCCTGTAGCTTTTCTAACTGACGCCAGAGAGACAGCTGCCGAAGAGAACTCCACAGCCTATTTCCCCCTACTTGACCGTATAGCGGACGGCTACTTCGACAAGGCGGCGACAGATTACGAGCTCTACACCACCTTCGTCCAGCTTCTCCATGACGATGGCCACATCACGGACCCCGATACGCTCTCCTCCTTCGAATTCGCACTTTCAATCCACTCCGCTGCCCCAAGGATAGAGGCACATTATCAGTATTACAATACATCTGTCGAGCAGGCGCTAGCCACAGTGCAGGACAAGCCATGCGAATCATGGGTGGCTTTTGGCGACAACCAGTACTGCTCGCCTGAGCTGGACTCAGCGCAGGGAACCCTTAAGAGCCACAGGTAGCTCATGCTTACCTCACGAAGATCGTCTTGACGCATTACGCTGACGGCACCCGTAGGACTGATGATTTGCCATTCGATCGCATACTCGGCGATTCAAGTGGTGCATTACCCTCTGTTCTATATGCAGATATTACATCGCCCAGCTTTGGCAGATTCCACAAAACCGTCAGTCGGTCAGCAAAAGAGGGCAAAACCTCCTATCGCATTCGCTACAAACGTTCGGCTTCAGGTTCGAACGAGCCCTTGGTCATCAACGGCTATGGTGTGGAGCTCGCACTCAAGCGAACCGATTACATTGTCATCGATGACCGTGAGGCAGAGCAAGCTGGCACTAAGGAAGCGCCAAAGCCAGCAGGGGACACTTTGCAGGATGAGGACGTGTCAGACCTGAAGCCTCTGTCAGCCTCTGAGCTGTCTGGCCTAAGCCTCAAGACTGCGAGCTTTGTACTAAACACCGAAGATCCGCTTGACACCTTATTGAGGATATCTCAAGATTTCCCCAAGCATTCCTCTGCTGTCGCTGCGCATAACGCTACGGCCGAGTTCCTTGCTGAACATAGCAACAATGGCGAGCTTGCCCTTCCACCAGGTTACAATGTGTTCTGGATCAACGGCGTGCAGGTTGATCCTCGGAAGATTGACGCCTTTTCCTTGCTCGATCATTTGAGGCGCGAACGCAGGCTCATCAACGGACTACAATCCCTCGGATTCTCTGGACCCGAAGCCATCAGCGTTCTGTCTCACAGCGCCGTTGCAGAGGCCCAAGCTGAGGATGAACCTCAACGATACGACTATCGAGATGGTCCAGAAGGTGGTAACGTAATAATTTGGCTTAATGACATTGAGAAAGACAAAAGATACGAGGACTGGCCCACGAGTATCACTGCTGTAGGTACTCATGGCCGACTTATGCAGCGAAAGCTAATGGCATCCCACAGCTCCTCCAGCGAACCTATCCCGGACAACTACCGCCTGTAAGAAGAGACATCCACAATGCCATTGTCCCTATCGACTTCTCCAATCCAAAGGACGTGTCGACAGTGGTTGAGACGCTGCAAAACATCATCAGACGCAATATTCCCATTCGATGGGGATTAGTCCCTTATACAGGATCGCCGGCGGCCGCCCAGCAAGCTCGTGTCGCCTATCATCTGCTTGACGCTTATGGTCTGGGCGCTTTGATGACGTATCTCGAGAATGTATGTATTATCTTTCCCACGTCTCTTGCTTCCGCTAATGTCATCAGTCCTCCGCGAACAAAAAGCTCTTGATGCCCCATCAGACGACGTTCGACTCCGTTACTACGGATCGAAGGTTAAAAAAGGACCGTGTATCAAGGTCACTGCAGGAAGTTCTGCAGGAGGAGTCGCTGGAGGACCGCCTCCAAGGAGCCAAGAAGTACCTGATGCGCCTGGGTGCATATGGTGATAGTGCCCCAGTTTTCGTCAATGGTGCGACTATTCCCCGTACTGAGGAGTGGTTGCAAACCCTGAGCCAGAGAGTGGGCTTGGATCTGCGGAGGATCCAAAAGGGCGTTTTCGAAGACGAGTTCACCGAGACGACGTGGTTGCCCGCCCAGTTCCTGGCATACGCCTCACTTCGACGCAACCCGCTGATCATCCCTGAAGACGAGACGAACATCACGCTTCTCAACATGGGGGAAATCATCAGCGAGCATGGCGACCTGTTTTCGAACTGTCCTCGCATCGCAGTAGCGGAGGGCTCCGACAAAGAGCAGTGGGCAACGCTGATGTTGATTGCTGACTTCGACTCACTAGCCGGTCAACAGCTCTGGGTCGATGCTATCAACTTTCGCAAGCAGCATAGCAACGTGGAGCTGATCTTCGTTCACAACGGCGAAGCTTCATCGAAAGTTTTAGACACATCTGCGCGCCTCTACCGCTTCCTCGAACATGGGTCATCCGATAGCTTAGAGAGCTTAGAGGACGTGCTGGCCTCGGAAGTGAGTTCAGAGGACACCAAGGAAGCTGCACATTTCTGGACGTCCGTCCAACCGCTTATCAGGGCGCTGAAGCTAAAGCCGGGAAAGAGCGGTTTGACGCTGAATGGCAGGCTGATTGCGCCTATCCCAGAAGACAACGCCTTTTCTGCAGAAGATTTGGAGACCCTGCTAGCTTACGAGAGCAGGAAGCGTGTTCAGCCTGTGTTTACTGCGGTCAAGGCTCTGGACTTGGTGGATAAACTAAACTCGCCTATGGCTGTGGCAATGCTTTCGTCCATCGTAGCACTATCAACCGTGTCAGATGTCCCTGAAGGCATCTTCGAGACTGCACCCACTCAGCGAAGCGATGTCTTCAACACGTGGAGTGCCGAGCACACAGCTATCACAACCGGCGACCAGGCGACGGCAGCCATTCAGGTAACGGTGTCGCTCGATCCTGCTTCTGAGGTTGCGCAGAGATGGGTACCAATCCTCAAAGCACTGTCTGAGCTCAGTGGCGTGTACCTTCGTCTCTTCCTCAACCCGAAGGAACGCTTAGATGAGCTTCCAATCAAGCGCTTCTACCGATACGTCCTCGACTCGAGGCCATCGTTCGACGACAATGGCGCTCTACAAGGCTTGAAGGCCCGATTCACCGGGCTACCTGAGGAGGCCCTGCTCACCATGGCTATGGATGTACCTGCACCATGGCTCGTTACCCCGAAGGAATGCGTTCACGATCTTGACAACATCAAGCTCAGCACGCTGAAGGGCTCTTCTGACATCGATGCCACATATGAGCTTGAGAACATCCTGATCGAGGGCCATTCGAGAGACGTCACCCAAGGCATTCCCCCTCGAGGCACACAGCTTGTTCTCGGCACCGAAAGAGATCCACATTTTGCCGATACTATCATCATGGCCAATCTTGGTTACTTCCAATTCAAGGCTAACCCAGGTTTCTACGAGCTAGGCCTGCAAGCTGGACGGAGCTCGGAAATCTTCACCATCGATAGCGCCGGCACGAAAGGCTACAACGCACAGCCAGGAGACGAGACGACAGAGATCGCCTTCATGAGCTTCCAGGGGGTGACCATGTACCCTCGGCTGTCTCGGAAGCCAGGCAAAGAAGATGAAGACGTGCTTGAGCCGCCGAAGTCTGCCGCCGCTGACATGGCATCCAAGAGCACTGAGCTCAAAGACAAGGTTCTCTCCAAGCTCGGTCTCTCCGGCACCAAAACCGAGAAGGCCATCGCCAAAGGCCTAAAACGCGTCTCCGGCCTGCTCACCAAGACCATACTACCGACAAGCGCCGTAACCCGCTCCGCACACGCCGACATCAACATCTTCTCCGTCGCCAGTGGCCACCTCTACGAGCGCATGCTCAACATCATGATACTCTCCGTAATGAAACACACCACCCACAGCGTCAAATTTTGGTTCATCGAGCAATTTCTCTCACCATCCTTCAAGGCCTTCCTGCCCAGCCTAGCCGCCAAGTACGGTTTCCAGTACGAGATGGTGACCTACAAGTGGCCGCACTGGTTACGTGCCCAGAAGGAAAAACAGCGCGAGATCTGGGGCTACAAGATCCTGTTCCTGGACGTGCTTTTCCCTTTGGATCTCGACAAGGTTATTTTTGTCGACGCAGACCAGGTCGTCCGTACAGACATGTATGAGCTCGTGACGCTGGATCTCCACGGTGCGCCCTACGGCTTCACGCCGATGTGCGACTCGCGCACCGAGATGGAGGGTTTCAGATTCTGGAAGCAGGGCTACTGGGCCAACTTCCTGCGCGGGCGGCCCTACCACATCAGCGCGCTGTACGTCGTCGATCTGCGGCGTTTCCGGCAGATCGCAGCCGGCGACAGACTACGACAGAACTACCACCAGCTCTCCGCGGATCCGCAGTCTTTGAGTAATCTGGACCAGGACCTCCCGAACCACATGCAGCATGTGCTCCCCATCTACAGCCTTCCGCAAGAGTGGCTGTGGTGCGAGACATGGTGCGCGGACGAGGAGTTGGGGAAAGCGAGGACGATTGATCTGTGTAATAATCCCATGACTAAGGAACCGAAGCTTGAGAGGGCGAGGAGGCAGCTGCCGGAGTGGACGGAGTATGATGAGGAGATTGCGGCCTTGGCGAGGAGGTTGAAGAATGGGGACGGGGTTGGAGGGAGGGCGCCTATTAAGGAGGGGGTAGATGAGCGCGGGTCGGAGACTGGGTATGAGGAGGATGATGAGGGGGAGGGGGAGGCGGTGAAGATTGGTGTTCCGCCGCCACAGGGTGGAATTAAGTCGCGTGTGGTGGATGAACTGTAGAGTTAGGCCTGCGAGTCTTCGCCATGGCGTTGATCTTCATACATCGGCGTGTGATAGATACTGTTTAGAATCATTGTTTTCCGGTCTCAGAGAACTTTGGAAGTTGAAAACCCTTGGGCAACCTATGTGTACTGGCCCCCGATTATACGTAGCCTATGTATGGTTGCAGAAAAATTACAGGTAACGCTAACAGAACATTGCGATTAAGAGCCATTCGTGCTCGGTATGGTATATCCTCCCCATATAGCCTCTATCTTCACCACGACACTCATTCCCCAACTTTGGGTTTCTCCGCTCTCTCTTCCTCGTGGTAAAGCTAGACGCGAAACCCCTCTAGAGGGATAGAAGTATCGTTGACCCAGGACCAGGGCAAGGGTCATCATGCCCATCGATCCGTCGGTCGCCACTGCACACGTTCGATCCAACTGAAGAGTCATATACACAAGTCGCCTCTTCTTTCTTTTCCGCCAAAGTCCCCTTGCGGCTCGCACACCATCCGTTGCATCCCCGTTTCATCCCCACGCCATCCCTCCTCTTCATTCCACACAGCCAGAACGCCCGACTTAGTCGCGATTAATAACCCTCAAACTCCTCCTCGGGTTCAACAACACGCCCTTGGTACCCCAGAATGTCGGTTCCTGGCCCGCAAGCAGATCGTCCGTGCTGCTCCCCGCGGAACTACTCCTGCCGAGCGCATCCCTCGTCGGCGTCGGATAGATCCCATCCACGCCCGCCGCAGTAGACCCGGCGGGCCGCCCATTCCCTCTTGCGCTTCCGGCCCCTGCGCTCGCGGTAACCGCCGACGCGCTCTCGCTTGAGATCTTGACGCCATCTGGCCCGCGGCGATCACTGCTCGTCTTGGCGCTGGACTCCGGGACGAGGAAGGCGTCTTTCTCCGCGCGGGACGGGTCGGCTGCGTTGCGCTGGGCCATGGCGACGTGGTTCTTGTACAGAATGAGCTGTTTGCGGTAAACCCAGGCGCAGAAGGCGAAGTAGCAGGCTATGAGGAAGAAGAGGCCAGCCACGACGCCGGCGACAATAGCGCCGATGTTGGGGCCGCTGCTGCCCTGGTTACCATAGCTGCCATCGGGGTTAGGGACCGCGGTCGCGGTGATGGTAGAGCCGTCCGAGGCGGTGACTGTGTAGGTGATGGCGCGACCGGTGGCCATGGGGCCCGCGGTCGCGGACTGCATTGGGACGGTAACGGTGGCACCGCCGGTGGGCGAGCCGCCGATGACGGAGATGACGGCCTCTGGGACGGCGTAGCCGTAGGAGCCTTCAAGGCCGGAGCCGATGTCTGAACCGCGCTGGGAGAGTTGCTGGCTAAAGGGGTTGTTAGACGCGAGGTTCTCTGGACTGTCGTTGTTTGGATCGCCGCTGGCGCCGGGCTCAGTGTTGGAGAAGCCGCTGATGGCTGTGTACTGGTTCACCCATTCGAGGCTGGAGAGATTGAACACGTAGACGCCGGGGCTGTCACAGCTGAGGTCTTGCCCCACGTAGCCGCCTACAACAACCATCTGCCCGTCCCAGATGTGGCACGTGTGGCCGGACCGGCCGTAAGGGACGGGTTGGTTGGTTTGATCAACCTGGATCCAGGTGAAGGCGGGCAGCGTCAGGATCCACATGTCGTCGTATTGGATCTGCTCGCCGGCTGGCTGGAGGTTCTGGCCGGCCCACATGTAGACGTTGTAGCTAGTACCGTCGGCGGCGGCTGCGACGACTGCGCACGGGTTCACCCGTTCTTTGGGTCTTGGGCCGTCGGTGGCTTGCTTGTACCAGGTTGAGGTTGCAATGTCGTATACATCGATAACGTTCATTTGCGTCTTGGGTCAAGTTAGTGGAGAGGTCGAAGCTCATAACAAACTCAACTTACAAAAGTTCTAGTATCACCACCTGCAAGTCCAAGTAGAATACCTTCCTCGCCGAAACCAGGGACGTAGACAAGAATTCCGTCAGCACGCTCGGTGAAACCAGCCTCATCCTGCAAACCACCTTCGGTGATGTTGCGCCACACGCCGCCTTCGCCCGCAGTCTGCCCGCCGGAGAGGGTTTCGACATTGCTGTTCGAGAAGCCAGGAAGGGTGAACTCAAGAAGGGACTTCAGATATATCCGAGCAACTTGGATCGACCAGCCCTCGGTCGTGTGGGTGTCGAGATGGCCTCCAAAATACCATCCCCTTCCCAAAGCGGCGACACCTGCGCCTGCTCCCTCTGCTGAGCGTTGAACTGCCTGGCCAGCGGCCACCGCGTTTTCGCCGGCAGAGGTTTGCGGGTTGCGATGTTCGATCCATTCGCTGGCCAGAATGTTGTACTCCCAAAGCGAGTTAGAGGTCGGTGGGTTAATCGGATTATCCGAGAACTCTCCTCCATACATGAAGAGAGACGTGCGGGAGTGCCACAAGTAACCGTTTGACACAGCGGGCAGACCGGAGGGACGCGGGAGGCCGGTTACGGCAGGCGACGAGATCTGCCAGGAGTTGGTCAAATCGTAAGTCAGGAAGTCGTTGTTCCAATGGTTGCTCGTCTGGCTGGCATCGTCCATTCTGCGACCGCCATATACCCACAAAGTACCGTTGACGACTGCGCTTTGGTGGCTCCACCTCTTGCATATACTAGTTTGCGTGTCCTGCCTCTTCAGTAGCGCATGGTCACCTAAATCAGCTGGTGTAGTGGCCTCTCGCGGTATCACGCCTCCTCTTGCTCCAAGCATCGTGTGTTCGGATTTGCCAAGTATCGGCGTGTTGTGAAGAATGGGTACTGCGATGAGCAGTATGGCTGCAAGTATCCCGAGGCGGTGGTACGTCAAGAGTTTAAGCGATCGGGAAGCCAAGGGGTGAACTTTAGCTGAGGTCATGTTGGTTGAGTTGAATGTTGAGAACGGTTCGTCGTCGCTTTCGACCGCATCTCCTCCCTCCAATTCATCCCAATCGTCCGACGATACTGAGATGTCCGATGTACTCTCGAAGCGGATGTTGTGAAGGGGTCGTTGAACCGGCTGGGGTGTTACAGACCGTACAAGCGGGTCATCGTTCATAAGGCCGGTTTCCTTGAAGACCGATCTCCTTCGACCGTGTTCTTGGAGGCTGACCGCCGACATTGCTTCGGCGGCGGAATATGGTTGTCTTCTTGGGAAAAGCGGAGTTCAGCTGTTCTAAGGTTGACGATAGCTGTAATGACAAATTGGGGATCCACGATGCGCGACTGGGACGAAAATAGCTCTGCAGGTGTTCGCCGCTCGCGCCAACAACCCGGCGGCGGTGGCGAGACGTTCCAAAAAGCAATAGCAATGGCAATGGCAAAAGAAGTAAGGAGACCAGTTTATTGCAGCAGAGACACGACGACAGCGTGAGGAGACGAAGGAACAGTGTCAGGACATGGGAATTGCAGGAAAGATTGCAGGACAGAGGACATGGCCCGGTGTTGTGGGCACGGTGGAAAGCGACCCCCTCGAACTTGTCGCCATGATTTGCTGCCGAGTCCAACCCCGGCCGTTGTTAGCGAGGACGGTACATTACACGTCATAGGAGGCGCTCCGAAGGGCAGTTCGGGCGCACATCGCCTGGACGCAGGCAAAGCAGCAGCAAATGAAACCCGCGCGATCAACGGTGCGCCCGCCAATGCCCTGCTAGCCCACTGCACGGACAGCTTTCCGCTTGCCATCGACGAAAGTTACCGGCCAGGGGGACGGCGTGGAAATTGACATGCAGCGAATGAACCTGCCCGGGTCGCTTTCTGATCCGGGGCAAACGCTGTTGAGACTGAGACCAAACTCGCCTTGCTGCTGGGCCGGCAGTCCTCTGCTCCAAAGAGCATCCTTGATGTCCCTCCACCTCGTGGCTAAACGCTCGACGCGGGAGTCTGGAACCTGCACGGTGGGCTGTCATGATGTTGTCAAGATTGGAGCCAAGCGATACCATCGGTGCTGGGTACCTACGAGTACTCCGTACGAGGGCCTGAACGACCGTCGATACCCCAGAGGAAGTCGACGTACAGTGACACAGTGGCGCGCCGCCTCTTCTCCACAACCCGTCTTGGCTGTTTCCGATGACGATCCCGCAAAGCGTGGCATTTGCGGCGGTTGTGGCTGTGGTGGCTTGAGCTGTCAAACCCCGTTGATAACTGTTGGCGGAGAGTTAATGACGAAGCTCGATTTGACGGTTTGCCGCGGGCAAACGGTGGCCGCTAGTTGTTCTCGAACCTTGTCGGCATTCCGAGCGTTGAGTTGCACCCATCGTATATGCATCAAGGATGACCAACATCGCCTTGAAGTACGGCGTAACATTGATGTAGTCGAGCGGTTAAGGCGACGGATTGCAAGACCTAATATCGCGTGTACAGTAACACGCAACACGCAACACGCGACACGGATGGGACTAGCCACCAGCAGGCGCAGTCAAAGTCTCTCGACGAGATTATGCACAGCAGGACAGTTGGCTTCAACCAGCCTTTCCACGCTTACGCAGTTACGAAACATGTTATATTGTGAGCTAGGAGAGAGGAAGTGCTACTATTCGCGAGTGCATTTTTCATCATCAAAGCAGCAAAGGTCATTGGCGCCCCAATCATGGCTGCTAATTTGGTGCTCAAGTTGGACGAGGCCTCCATGGTCCAGATTAGAGCTTCCCCGGGGTAAGCGTAGATGGACCGCCGTCGCTTGAGTCGGTCTTTGTTCATGAATGCGTGATTCGACAAGCGCTCGAAGCCCCTTTCCTGAGGTAAAGATCTGCCGAGCGTAGGTTTGATAGCGGGATCTGACATTCTGGGCGAATGTGACTGTGCGGACGGATGTTGCGTCAAAGGCCAGTCTAGGGTAAAATATCGGTGCTTGGGCAGACGCTTCCAGGATTGTCCATCTGTATATATTGGGTCTACTACCTACGTAGAATGATGTATGCTGTGATGCGGTCCAAGAATCGCCTCTTCGCGTGGTGATATCATCTGGACGGTAGTGTCCAACTGGGTAAGTCATGGTGAAAGAAAATTATTGCGTTCAAGGAATGAATATAAGGTCAGAAATAATATAGCAGAGAGCGAAGGACAAGATCAACAACCAGCACAATTACGCCCCACAGCCCCAACGCCGCCGCTATGCCCATGTGATAAACCATTGCCTCGCGCCACGCTGCACCAACAGCCCCCACTCAGACACTGAGAGCATCTCATTGCCTCAACTCTCCGCTACTCCAGTATGTGTTACCTCTACCGCTTCGCAATGCCACACCTCGCCAAGCAAACCTCAACATCCTGCGCAACATTGGCCGGAATCAGCGCCCTAAAACTCTCGATATCCGCGCCCTCGAGCGCGTCAGGGAAACCCAGGGTAGCCGCCACAACGCCCGCATTCAGGCCAAAGAAGTTCTGCGCGACCTGGCTGGTGCCCGGATCCTCGTTGTTCAAACTTGCCACAAACGTCGCCGGCTCACAGCCATTGTTGAACTGGTAGTGGATGCTACCGACAGGGAAGACGGCGCCCTGGAATTTGGCGATGTGGCCAGTGACCTCGGCGCTATTGCCCGCAGCCACAAGCCCGTTCTCGACGATGAAGCCGAAGTCGAGGGAGCCATCGACTACGGTAAGGAACTCGGTCGCGCGTGGATGCGTGTGAGGGGTATTGATGCCGCAGGGGTTGAGGAAGCCCATTGTGGTTGAGATGCCGAGGTCCGTGAGGACGGGGAAGGTGGCGATGTTGGCAGCTTTGAGGGCGCCGCCTGTAGGTGTGTTAGTACTAATAGTTAAAGGCCCGGAGGGCATGGCAGCGGATGGGCAAGGGAGAAAGACGTACCTTTGGCGCCGTTGGCGGGCGTGGCGCCATTGAAGTCGAACACGACTCTTTGCTGCAGCTCCTCTTTAGGGAGAAGCGCACCGCCGGAGGTGAAGAGTTTCTTGTAGCGGTCGATGGCGGTGGGGGCGTCTTGAAGCTCGGAGATCAGGGCGGAGAAGTCGGTTTGCACTGGCGCAGGCGCTGCAGTGGTGGAGGCAACGGGCTGCAGGGTAGTTGTGGTAGAAGACGGAACCGGCTGAGGGAGAGCATTGACGGCGCCAGCGGCGAGGGCCGCGACAAGGATTTTGGCGATTACGGAAGGCATATTTTATTGATAGAAGACTGTGCTTGAGACAAATGATAGTGCGATAACCGTAAGGAAATGGAGACCAGGAAATGATAGAAGAAAGGAAGAAACGACCGAGAGTACTATTTGGGACGAGTGCTGTGTGCTGCTGTGATGAAAGAAGACGTATTCCGACGACTGGGTGCGACCTTCTTATACTAGAACTGTAAGGCTTACTGTGACCTACGATATTCTCTGTGCCGTTCGGTCCGTGCAGATTGTGCTGTGCTAAGTCCAAGCCCTGACTAAATATAAGCTTATGCTTTGAGTTAATTCCGCACCCAGTCGTAGTCTAAGCACCAGGTTGCGGCGCATTGCTAAACAGGTGAGGCGCAGAATGATCGCATGTACACGTAGACATCAGCGTCAACAAGCTGGATGCTGGATCACACGCTACTCGAAGGATTTCGCTATGTTTCTTGGCGGACGTTATGTTAAGCCGCCGGATCCGCCAAGCGACTCAGCCTTGCGGCAGGGTAAGCAAACCAACACGACAGCCAAGAATAGATTCATGAGTTGAAGATTTGGAACACTTGAAACGCCGGTTTAAGGGTATCTACCAAGGCCTTTCGCTAATATGTCCTACGTATGTCGCTTGAGAACAGATGTACGAAAAGCGCACGACAAGGAACGCACTCGCGAAAGACTAGACATGCGGCCCCCACTGGACCCTAGGAGTAAGGCTCATACTAAGCTGGCGTAAGAAAGTATAAAATAGGTCAAAAACGCCGGAGATCAGTGTTGCCCAGGAGCGGAGGAATGACCAGAACCAGAGTCTATTTCCATCGGATCCTCTAGCACCCAGAACGGCAGGGCATCTAGTGCAAATCCATCGTCGTCTGAGGGCAACGATGGGGGCCCTCTAGTACTTCCCGTCTCATTCGGCTCATCCACCTCAGCAATGTTAAGATGTGGGATATCCTCGAAGATCCACGATGACCGGTCATTAGGACCCCTGGTACGCCGGCGAAGGCGCCGCGCACTCATCCCCACATCGTGGTCATCAATGGCCTCGAGGTCATCGGGATCCGATGCGCCCTCGACGCTCTCAGCATGACTGCGCTTGTTATACGGTCTGGCGCTCCAGCGCATCCTCCTTCGGTCCCACCGCCGCTGACGTTCCTCTGCGCCATCAGAGTCTCCATCACAGCGCAGCTGCTCAATACCGCGGACGATGCCGGTTGGTACACCCATGTCGTCTTCATCGGCTTTGCTGCTGGTAGCTTCTTCGTAGTTATCCGGCCAAACAACCTCTATGTCGCTGTCGTACCCAGGATCCGTCTCAAAGACTTCCTCCAGATCAAGATCAGTACTTCGCATTGACCTTGTAAACGTGGGCCTTGGCGGTGGGTCTACGTCGACCACGGATCGGTGCAGAGACCCAGCACCAGCCGGCCCCGAGGCGCTTGAGGGCCGTGACGACAGATCCTTTGATTGCGGTCTTCGATAGTTGAAGTGGGGGCCCTGGCCGATAGGCTCAATATGCTGGTCTAATGGCGGAGACTGTGCGAGATTGTGGAGCGGCATTCGCTTGTACATAGGCGACGTATGGCTTGCTACGGAGGGGAAGCGCGCGTGATGAGTGCCAGGTGTGGCGGGTGGGGAGGTGGGTTGGCCGTGAGGGACATTGAAACCTGGCTGCCGGCCAGATCCCTCCATGGTGTCGCGAGAAAGCGTCAAGATGATTGAACCCCACGCCTTTTGAGAGGGTTCGAGTGGGCGATCAAGTGAAGAGGTTCGTATGCGGGACGGAAGTGATAGGGTCAAGGCACCGGTATTCGGTACAACAGGTCGACTCTTGGATTGAATGATCTTGACTTCTTGGGCATTATCATCTTTCTAGAGCGAGCTGGTGCTTGTGACAGTCGTGTCCGAGCGGGGGTCCTGTTGAGCGCGGTCGATGAAGTGCGATCCAAAAGGTGGCAAATTGGATTCAGCTGCAGGACTGCAGACAGATCTCAGTGAGCTATGGGTGCCCGCACGCAATGAGCGAGTGCCGTGTCCCTTGGTCGGACGGTGAGCGTACGGGACACGCTGCGAAAGACGGGATGAGCGCGAGATTGGCGGCGGCAATTGCTGAGAATGATGGAGATGTAGCTTCTGCGGCCCCTTGCTTCAAACCCTGGCGTACTGCTACGGGCTGGTGGTGAGAGGGACGACAGGAGTTCTCGGCGTGGTATTTATGTCAACAAGCGTGCAGACTCAAGTTGGCGGCGTTGGTAGGTGGTATGCGTTGGCAATAAACGCTGTGTGGAGCATGTCGGGTCGCTAGAAAGCATGTGCATGAGCCTGTCACCCTCGTTCTGCACGCTGAGCACACCCGTCTGGACCAATACGGTCTGGACATGAGGGCGTGGTACTGTGGAATTGCATGATACTGGTCTTTGTCTGTAACCAGTATAGGAGAGCGAATAGTGACGACGACGAGGATGAGCAACGGCGAGGCGATTTGCATTTGCCCTGCCCAGGTGACTGAGGCTGAGTCACGTGCGATGCTGTAACATATCCTGCATGCAGCTAGTGCAATACAAGGCTTGGCGCATCACCTGGGGCACCTCGCTCGAAGATTACAGAACACATTGGCAATGCGCACACAAGGTTGGCACTTCGCAACGAGACCACGCTGTATTGAAACCTCGAGGGCCACCAGTAGGCGCAATTGGTCGCTAGCGCTTCAGCTTTATTGGCAGCAAAGGACCGCATGCCTAGAGCTGCGGCTCCTCCCTGAATTCCACCATGTCTTCCCCTACCATGCTCACCAAGGTAAGCTCGAATGCTTTGACGCCAGCTCTGAAGGGGGAACTGACTCTCTTGCAGTTTGAATCCAAGAGCTCCAGGGCCAAAGGAATCGCCTTCCACCCCCGAAGACCGCACGTCCTGGTATCGCTCCACTCCTCCACAATCCAGCTATGGGACTATCGTATGGGCACACTGCTCGACCGCTTTGAAGAGCATGATGGACCTGTGCGAGCTGTGGACTTCCACCCTAGCCAGCCCCTGTTTGTCTCCGGAGGAGATGACTACAAGATCAAAGTTTGGAGCCTCCAGACTCGGCGATGCCTCTACACACTGAACGGACACCTCGACTATGTGCGGTCCGTCAGCTTCCACTCCCAGATGCCCTGGATTCTCTCATGCTCGGACGATCAGACAATCCGGATATGGAACTGGCAGAACCGGTCGTTGATATGCACCATGACAGGGCATACCCACTATGTTATGGCCGCGAAATTCCATCCCACGGAGGACCTCATAGCATCTGCGTCGCTGGACCAGTCGGTACGGGTGTGGGACATATCGGGACTGCGGAAGAAGCACTCGGCCCCCACGTCCATGACTTTCGAGGATCAAATGGCTCGTGCGAATGCGAACCAGGCAGACATGTTCGGCAACACAGACGCCATTGTCAAGTTTGTACTGGAAGGCCATGACAGAGGGGTAAACGACATCAGTTGGCACAAAACGCTACCATTGCTCGTCAGCGCAGGAGACGACAGGCTGGTCAAGCTCTGGAGGATGAGTGAGACGAAAGCGTGGGAGGTCGACACTTGTCGAGGACACTTCCAGAATGTCAGCCAGTGCTGCTTTCACCCATCGCAGGATTTGATTCTGAGTGTGGGCGAAGACAAGACGCTCCGGGTCTGGGACCTAAACAAACGAACATCAGTTGCGTCATTTAAGCGAGAGAATGACCGGTTCTGGGTAATCGCATCTCACCCCAACCTGAACCTCTTCGCAGCTGGTCACGACTCCGGCGTGATGGTCTTCAAGTTAGAGCGTGAGCGACCAGCTTCTACCACCTATCAGAACCAGCTATTCTATGTGACCAGAGACAAGCATGTTCGGTCATACGACTTCACCAAGAATGTGGAGTCACCGCCTATGCTATCATTGAAAAAGCTTGGGAGCCCGTGGATACCCCCCAGGACTCTGTCTTACAACCCCGCTGAACGCGCTATACTGGTTACCTCGCCCGCAGACGGTGGCTCTTATGAGCTGATCAGCCTTCCCCGGGACGCTAGTGGCGCAGTTGAGCCGACAGACACGAAGCGCGGGTCTGGTAACTCCGCCGTTTTTGTGGCCCGTAATCGGTTTGCGGTTTTCCAGCAGGCTACCCAGCAGATCGATATTAAGGTATGCCCTTTATCCTGCTCAACTTGAACAACTTCCGTCTAACTCAAATAGGATTTGAGCAACTCTACTACGAAAACGGTGAAACCTCCTCATGGGACGACCGATATTTATTGGGGCGGCCCAGGCTGCCTGCTTCTAATCACGCCTACAGCGGTTGTTCTCTACGACATCCAGCAGAAGAAACAGCTTGCTGAACTCGCAGTCAATGCTGTCAAGTATGTCGTGTGGTCGAACGACTCTCAGTACGCGGCATTGCTAAGCAAACACAATGTCACAATTGTCACGAAGAACCTTACCCAAGTGAGCACTCTACACGAAACCATCCGCATCAAGAGCGCGACATGGGATGATACTGGTGTTCTACTCTACTCGACACTGAATCATGTCAAGTACTCGTTGATGAATGGGTAGGCTATTTCAAGATACTGTTGCTTACATATACTGATCCGGATGTAGTGACAATGGCATCGTAATGACCCTCGATAACGTGGCTTATCTTCAGCATGTGAAAGGACGAACTCTGTACTGTTTAGACCGCGCCGCCAAACCCAAGCTTCTCACCATCGACCCGACAGAGTATCGCTTCAAGCTTGCACTCGTGAAGAGGAATTATGATGAGATGCTCAACATCATTCAAAATGGGTCTCTTGTGGGTCAGAGCATCATCGGATACGTGCAAAAGAAGGGCTATCCTGAAATTGCCCTGCAATTCGTGCAAGATCCTCAGACCCGCTTCGAGTTGGCTATCGAGTGCGGCAACCTCGATGTAGCCGTCGAGATGGCAAAGCAACTGGACCGGCCGAAACTCTGGCAACGACTCAGCACTGAGGCGTTAGCTCACGGCAACCACCAAATTGTGGAGATGGCGTATCAGAAGCTGCGCAGCTTCGACAAGCTGTCATTCCTCTATCTTGCCACTGGAGACCAGGAGAAGCTCACCCGAATGGCCAAGATCGCAGAGCATCGAGGGGACATGACTTCACGTTTCCAGAACGCACTCTATCTCGGAGATGTCGAGAACCGCATCGAGATGTTCAAGGAAATCGACATGTACCCTCTTGCTTACACGACCGCTAAAGCGCACGGTCTGGAGGAACAATGTCAGACCGTCCTGGAGGCCAGCGGCCTCAGCGAGGACCAAATTGTTCCAGCAACCTTGGGTGAGGCGCTGTCGCCTCCGAAGCCTGTGGTTCCGACCTACAAGGCGAATTGGCCAACCAGGGGCACTTCGGCATCGATCTTCGAAAAGGCGCTACTTGGTCAGACGGAAGGACTCGAGGATGATCTTCTTGCGCCTGCAGCGAACGGTTATGCGGCACAGGATCAGCCAGATATTAGCGCTCCTCGCGACGCTGATCTGAGAGATGCTGAAGACGACGAGGACGCCGCTGGCTGGGACATGGGCGACGATGCCGACGCGGAAGCAGAAAGCGACTTCGTCAACGTGGAGAGTGCCGATACCGGGGCCGGGAGCAGCGAGGCTGACATGTGGGCACGGAATTCGCCCATTGCGGCCGATCACGTTGCAGCCGGCTCATTTGAGACTGCGATGCAACTGCTAAACCGACAGATTGGGGCGGTGAATTTCAAGCCGCTGGAAAGCCGCTTCGAGGAAATCTATCAGTCCACAAGAACATACCTCCCTGCCAACCCCGGTATGCCGCCACTAGTCAATTACGTGCGCCGAACACTCGACGAGACCGACTCGCGGCGAATCTTGCCGCTCATCCCCCGCGATCTCGAATCCATCGTCACGATTGAGATGGCCGCCGGAAAAAGCGCCATGCAAAAGAACAAGCTCGAAGAAGGCGTCCAGACCTTCAAAAAAGTCCTCCATCTCCTCATGGTCAACACCGTCGCCTCACCCCAGCAACAACAAGAAGCCAAGGCCATCATCCACACCGCCGCGCAATATGTCCTGGCCATGTCGATCGAGCTTGAGCGCCGAAAACTCACGAGCAACAGCACCGACCTCTCCTCCTTCCCAGACGACGTTAAGAAGCGCAGTCTCGAGCTAAGCGCCTACTTCACCGTCCCCGATATCGAGCCCGCGCACAAGACCCTCGCACTCTTCGCGGCCATGAACTTTGCGAACAAAAACAAGGAGTACAGAACCGCGCTCAGCTTCGCCAATGCACTGATAGACCGCGGCACCAGTGCTAAATTTAAAGAGAGCGTGAGTCTACCTCCCTTCTCCTTCCCCTCAAGCCAATTCCAACCTCCTCGCTAACAACCATCTGCTTGACCTAGGCCCGCAAAATTAAAACCCTCTGCGAGCGCAACCCTACCGACGCGATCGACATCGACTTTGACCAGTTCGCCGACTTCGACGTCTGCGGCGCGTCCTACACGCCCATCTACGACGGATCACCGAGCGCGAGCAGCCCGTTCTCGGGTGTGAGGTATCATACCAAGTTCAAGGGGACGGTGTGTCGGGTTGATGAGGTGTGTCAGATTGGGGCGCCGGCTAGTGGGCTGAGGTTGTTTGCTTGAGCGGGAGATTATGATCGTGGGATGAGGGAGGGAAATTGTTGAGGTGAATTGGAGGGTGAGGGCTGGGGGATGTGAGATGGCGACATCATCCACGACGCGTTTCGCACTTCGTGTTTGTGCATGGCGAGGTCATTGCTTGCTCGTTTGTCTTCTGGCTGTGCGGGTTGTGCGGAGCGGGCACCGGTAGATCTGATGAGAACGGCGTATGAATGAAAAGCGGTCCGACTGGCTGGCTTCTTCAGCAATAAGCTCAACACACTTGCTTTCACAATGAAGCTAGATGGCAGCACTAGCAGAGAACACATGGTGAGCGGATTCCGAATACTTTAATCAGAATGACTGTACTATGAACGAGTGACCAGGACTATGTACAGTCAAGCGCGTCTGCATATCGCCATCAATGCCTCGCCTTCGCCAACTCCTCAAACGATTAGTGAGCTGTTTACAGCCTCGACAACCCAACAATCTCCCTCGGCGCATGGTACGGCGGGACCTTCATGTCCAACGCGCTGCCACTGTACCCAAGATCCTCGCCAACCAACACGGCGCACTTCTCGCCAATCAGCAACGCGACGCTGTAGGTATTGCAGCCAAGGTTATCCGGGCAGATGGACAGATCCGCGACCTTCAGGCCCTTGACGCCGTGCACGTTGAGCCGCTCATCCAGGACACCGTGCTTGACGATGGAGTTGCCCTCGCGGGGCGCCATGGAGCACGTGCCGAGAGAGTGCCAGGTGGTCTCGACGTGGCGCTTTGTCCATTCCTCGATGTGCTTCAGATCTGTGGTGGTGTAGTTCAGGTCTTCGCGGATCGCTTGCTGGTTCGAGTTCAGGAAGGACATCTCTGGGGCCTTGCCTTCGTCGAGGGGCATGGTCCATGAACCTGTGGAGTTGTTAGATTACGAATGTTCAGGAAGCAGGACGATAGGAGGGGGATGTTTACCGTGCTGGATGCCAGAGGTGATGTGGTTGGGCCCGGCGTATGCCTGTGTGGTCGCGAGGTCCATGTCCTTGGCGCGGGCGGGAGAGTCGAAGGCGAAGAAGGGATGCATGCCGGTTACCTGGTTGATAGCATCAGTCTCGTGGGTTTTTCGCCGAACAAGAATATTCGTGAGTTTTGAGAGCTGCTTACCTCGCCGGCGTAGGCATCCATCCTGCGAGCTGTCTCACGGGACTTGATGTAGCCCCAGACCATGGGAGCCATGTCGCGCTTGTCATTCATGAAACCGGCATCGAAGTCAGGCGCCTCGTATGGGTTGGGGGAGACGATATGGGTTGAGCCCCGGGAGAAGGGGTACTCGAGGAAGTGGAACATGGTGAAGAACTTCCCGGGCGGCATGTGCATCTGCAGAGCAACAGTCAGTACACCTGCCCATAATATCCACGTAGGATCTGCTCACATGGTCTCCGAACCAACTAAAACCGACAATCAGCTTCCAACCTAATCAAAGTACCATTGGAATCTACTCACCCAGCAATGACTGAGTAATGCATAACGGGCTTATCTGGCTTGTCTTTGAAGTAGCTGTCCCATCCGCTCCTGAATTCCGGGAATGGCCAGCTGTCCATCTGCTTGAGCTCTTCCTCGGTCGGGCGGACTTTCACGCCAGCTTCGATACCGTTTGTAGCCAGTGGTCCAGTGCCATTGATGTTCCACTGGTCGAAAACGGTCTTCTGCACTGCGGGATCGCCGCGCACGAAGTCGTCAAAGGACTCGACATGTGGCTTCGCGCGGTAGGTGGCGAAGGTGAGATAGTGGTCCTGGAAATTGAGACCGACACCTGGTAGGTCGACAAGCGGCTTGACGCCCGCCTTGCGGAGCTTCTCTGGGTCACCTGCGGACACCTTGTTAGCGGGTTTTCATGAAGGGTTCCTTAGGAACTCGATCGACTTACCGATACCAGATCGCTGCAGAATAAGAGGCGAGCTCAGAGTACCGCCGCTGACAACAATCTGCTTCCGTGCCCTGTAGATTTTGGAGTGGTTCTGGCCGGGTGAAAGCGGCTTGGTGGGAACTGTCTGGACGCCAACGGCACGGTCTCCCTCCAAGACAATCTTGTCCACCTTCGTGTTGAGGACCAGGTGGAGGTTCTGGTGCACCGCTCGGGTGGAGTGGATGTAGCCGTGGGCTGAGTCGGACCGGCGGCCAGTGTCACTGCATCTTCGTGAGCGCTGCGCCTCTTGTCGCCTTCGAGCCCAGAACTTACCGGTTGATCCACTTTAGCCAGTGCTCAGCACCGTGGCCGGTGACAAGATCTTGTAGATCATCGGTAGTGGGAATGCCTTGGGACTCCGTAGCCCGCAAGAAATCCTGCATAATCGGGTAAGTGTAGTTGCCGAAAGAGACCTTGATAGGTCCCTCAAAGCCGTGGAGGTCGCGGTTGTTGCAGGAACGCTGATAAGTCTCATGCTTCTTCATGAGCGGGATAAGCTCCTTGGTCGTCCAGCCCGGTGTCTGGAAGTCATCGTAGTCGGACCATGAGGCTCGAGTGTACATCTGTGGAGCGGTAAGCGACAACTCAGGCTGTAGCAGTTTTGTCGGACAAACCATGAAGTTGATCGAGGAACCACCACCAAGGATGTGGGCACATGGCACCACAGCGCGGCGACCGCCAAGCCATTCCGAGGGACGGGAGTAGTAGAAGGAAGCCGTCTTGCTGTCCAGCTTCATGTTCTTTGGGTAGATGCCTGGCCGGTAGACCCTTGTGGCACGTTACAATCATTGCGTCGAGATTCAAGGATCGCAAACATGTTTACCATGGATTGTTCAGATTGGTCTCTCCTCCCTCGATGAGCATGACCTGGAGATTGTGGTCAAGGTTGGCCAGTCGACCAGCGACCACGCAACTGCGGAGAACCGTTAGCTATCTCCACGATCTGAGGGTACACATTGGCCATACCCGCATGACCCACCACCGCACACGATGATATCAACCTCATCTGGGATGGTCATAATGGCGACTGCTCGGGAAGTATATCAGTGGAAGTGAATTGGGTTGAAAGGCAGAAGGGCTTCAGCGTGAGCTCCAGAACCCAGGTCGTGCTGTTTGCCCAAAGCGACAGCAAACTGCATCTTTTAAACCTCAGATACAACCCCGCATCTCAGACAGCCGGCAACAAGGGAAGCTCCACTTCGGATCAATCCCAAGCTGCAAGTTGCAAGGTCCGTGAGGACCAGGTCCCTGTCTGAGGCTACTGATACCTATCAGAGCTCAAGATAGCATCGAAAAGAGCCGATAGAAGCCATGCGGACTGATTTAGCTGCAGAAACCCCGCTTGGATCGCTGCAGGCAGGCTCCATGTCATGACCAATAGGTTTGGTGTTGTACGTGTTCTTCCGGGCTTTTTGGAACTCCAGTGTTTCACAAATCCAGGCCGCTGGATCTGGGCGAAGTACATGGGTGGAGTCGCAGACAGGCAAAGCTGTCAAATTGAGGTATCCATAGGGTACATTGTACACTGTGATGCGGAGGCACTTTCTGCGGGGAAACCCTGGCCACGGAAATTATCTGCGAGCTGGACTCGATCGACCAGATACCCGTGAAGTACGTGATACTTCATTCGGAGGAAGGGTTTAGCGGCTGAACAAGGCATTCAACCCCCGTGGCTTGTTCCCAGCCCCTGACGCGCATCTTCAAACTGAAGCACCTACTGAAAAGGAGGAAGGTATGACAGTGAGTTGAGAACAGAAGATGATGGGTTCGGAGCGCCTCCGAGTTGAAGCAGGAGAGAGGAAAATAGACAATCTCGGTGTCATCTTTTCATAGCACTCATACCAAGCGCCACGGCGTTCGTACCAGTACTTGGCTTTGCGCGGGGTACGCGGGACGCTAGTGGCATTAAATCGGCTTCTACTTCCCGTTTGTGTACCTTCTGGGCGGTGCCTAGCGGTACAGATACTTCTTGTTTACCAGGCCACGATGTGCGATCGTCGGATGTGAGGTTGAAGGAGCTGCCAAGGGGCCCTGAGGGGCGGGGCCGCTACCACCCACTAGGTGCATTAGCGCATTGCGGGGAAGGGATCTCCGCACCACCCTTTCCAAGCGGCTTGCCTGGCCGTTATGCCTTCGATACCATATTGCAATGGTGATAAGCTGCTTGAGATGCCCGAATGTGTTCTGCTACTAAATATGCAATGGGTTACCTCGTGTACCCATGAGAGGATTGAAAAGGGAGCACGCTCTAGAGAAAGGACAGACGATCTCTGGGTGAGCTGACAGGAGTGAAGCTCAGGAGAGCGGGCAGGTGCCGGCGCTTCTAGTGCTGCATGCGCAGGGTCTCGCGCCTGGGGCGTCGTTTTGTGCGGAACAATCGCGGGAACAAAGCGCATCCGCATGCATCGAGAATGGTGCGGGGAGCCATTGAGTGCGGCTCGAGCTTGATACTCAAATCTGCGTTCCCAGTGACCGCCTGTCAGGGCCGCGGCCAGCTACCATCTGCCTGGAGATCTGTTGAGACAAAGCTGTCTATGCCGAACAGACGTGCGGCGGAACCCAGGTATTCCATTATCAACGTTGAACGGCTTCCTGATGAGAGGGACTATCTAACTCCCCTTGAAAGCTAAGTGAGGTGGGTATAAGGGTTTCTTGGAGCCGCTGACCATGGGCGGCTCCATTGCCAGTGCGATGCTCTCTGCGAGGTGCGCCATCCGGGACTACTGGGTGGCTGCAGATCTTCTGGCAAGCTAGCCAACGGCTTGCGGCTTTCCTTTTGAATTGAGTCCTGGTTGGAATGAGGGAGCTGACGCAAGACTGCAGCGTGCAGAGAGGGAAGTACATATCCGGCGGAAGAACATTGTGCCGAAGTACTCGTACATGAGAGATCTACTAACACAAGTCGGCAATTGGAATTAGTAGGGATCAGGGGTACGTCCCATCTGTCGAACCGAAAACGCAGGTCTTCGAGTCCATGGTAAAGGAATATTCCACCAATACCTGGCTTCGTTGATTTGAGCTATGGCCGCTCTTGGATAGCAGCCACCTGGGTGACAGAAATTGCCTGACTCTAAAAAACAGATAGGTCTTCAGTCAGCTTAGGGAGGCAGGCGGGTGACAAGAATCACTGGACTCCTAGATTGCCGGGCTCTTAATCCACTTCACAATCACCAAAATTTGTTGACTTCACCACGTATCCAAAGAGCTCTAATCTGCCTGTTACACTCCTGAGTGTCCCCTGAACACGCTTACAAGGCAGTGTGCTACGGAGAACTGCTTCTGTTCGTGACCGTTATAAGCTGACTGAAGACTTTTCTGTTTTTCGAATCCAGCGATATTTGTCAACCGAGTGGAGGTTTTGAATAGACGCAATCCTTCATGGCATGCTGCCATACAAACATGTGCGAGCTATGCCTGGAGGTAGAATGGTTAGAGTAAAGATCTTTAGAGACGTGGTGAATCTACTAGACTTCGGTGATGTAGGAGTGAGTTTTAAGTCCGGTACTTTACGAGTCCGGCTATTTCTGTCACTCGCGTGGTAGCTTACCTGCGAGGCATAGGACAGCATGAAAGCAAGAACCGCAACGGAAGCGTATCGACTGAAATGAACATACCCATCTTAACTACTGGAGGAGCGCCGCCTCAGACATGCAGTCCCAGAGATCCATGCGCCGTACCAGACTTCGAAAGCAGTGAAGGGGAATCTACCACCAACTCCTGCAACACCTGGGTCGCCACTTTCAAACATGAACCATTACTACGATACTGTACAATCTCAAGACGTCGACTATATTATGTCCTTCCTCTCCCATCCCGTAGGCTGCAAGTGCTCAATGCCCTTGGTCGGATGCGGCCTCGTCAGGTCTCTGTACTCACTGACGTACGGGTTCGGGTCATTCTTCTGGTCCAAATTGGCAAGCGTGTGATTCACCTCACGATGCTTTGCCTCGTCTGCACGGATGTAGAGAAGGAGATCGCGCATCGTCCGCTTCCCCTCCGGCATCTTCCAATAATCTATCGCGATCTGTGGTGCTTCCATCTTCTCCCACTGTGGCAGCCTTCCAGCATCCAGATCGGCTATCTCCCTGGAGTAGGTTAACACTGCCTCTTCTTCTAAAAAGCCGACGAAACGATGGCAGGTGCGAGGCGAGATGAGGTAGGAGATGAACATGGCGTTGAAGAAGACGCCTTGGGCGCCTAGGACCATGATCCTCATGAACGGGCCGGGGCTCGCCATTTTTAGGAACGTAAGCAAATGCATCCGCTCATTGTAGGACTCCTCGAGGAGCGTTTCGATCCAGCCGTTGTCCCGCTTCATCCGCCGCATGCTATGGAGATGCCTCAACATACCGGCGACGAGACCTGGAACACCAGCGACGCTTTCGAGGAAGATGTTGCGGATGAGGTACTTTCGCTCCGTCATAGCGTATCTCTGATTCGCGGCAGCCGGATCCTTCTTTCCGAGGGACACAGCATGGTCGTGCTTGTAGCCGGTTGCGAGGTCCATGACCGTGCGCAGCATCCGGATCATGCCGAGGGCGACGTAGTCGGACCATGTCTTGGCCTCGCGATGTGCTACGGTGACTTTGTTGATCTGCTCCTCAGTGTAGCTGCCATTTGTTAGCATCAGTCATTGATGGCATGCAAGGTAAGGGAGCTCGAATCCTAAGACTTACATTGGATGCTCCCAAGCAGGCTTCGGGTGCTTGACCATTGCTGTCTCGGCCTCTGGGAAGACCTCCTTGATCTGAGGCTTTGGGGTGGAAGAAAACCCTCGACGAGTGGTCTTCCATGGCTGCTGAGGAATGACGACGAAAGCTGGCCTGAGGCCAGTCAATGTGGATTGGTGTTGCAGCCCACTGATGGCTTTTGCAAGGCGTGCGGCGGACCGCTTAGATGTGAGAGTTCCGTAAGATGTTGCTGTCCTTGTCGAGAGCATTGGGCGTGGTTGGTGTATGTTCGATGATCGAAGTCTCAGTGGAATTATCTGAGTAGAAAGGTTGTTTGATGGTGGCGTTCGTAGATGAAGAGGACTGTTTACAGGCTTGCCTAACAGCTAATATATCCTTTGCCTAGAGGAAGGATTTTGGTGAAGCGTTTCTGTCATTGTCTGCCGCCGTATGCGGACGTCCATAAGTCAGCATGTGCCAGACGTTACTTCGCAAAGGGCACATTGCGGCGTCGCCGCCGGGCGATTCTCGTCTCTTGCGGTCATCCATTGCGCAGATTCGGACTCGCTCGTATTGCTACGCTACGCGTTTCCTCGCAGCGTCGTGGAAGCGTTGTAGGGCTGAGGCTGAGGTGATGTTCTTCGGATGTTTGCGGCGCTGTGCTCAGAATGTCCGAGAGGGCGGCCCGAGCGCTGTGCAGAATAGGCGGGTCGAATGTTCCTGCACAGCCAGTGCCAGCTCTCGGCCGGCGACGCTTTAATCGCCCACGAAAACGAACCGGGCATCTCGACATTCGCCCATGCACGTGAAGAACCATCAAAAGTGTCAGCGTCAGCTGCATCTGAAGACTTTGCGCTACCACAATCTCCGGAGAAGATCGAAGCCGATTGCTCGCCTTACGAGCCAGAGGCAAACCGTGCCCTTCTTGACAGTGCATACGTGGAGCATCTTCTATCAAACGCTGCATGGGCCAAAGCGCTCGAAGCCAGCGGCGTCTTGGAGAACATCAAGCAACATTCAACAGACGATATATTATCAACGGCCCGCAAGCTTCCCGCCGAGCGAGAGGCATCTTTCTAGAAAGAAAGTTGGAAGGGCGTAGAACTCTTCAGCAGGGGATGAGGGCGTGACGCTCCTGATAGAAATATGATGGCCCTGATTCATTCCTCAAGTGAGAAATCAAACGGCTTGAAAGCCTTTTTGAACTCCTCAGCATCCGCGACTTCATCCTCATGCGTCTGCCCGCAATCCTGCCAGTGCGCCCTTTTCTCAAGCCCCAGCAGCTTTGCGAGTACTCGTCGGCCGAACTGGAGATCGAAACGGAATGACGCATCAAGCGGTAACACGAGAGATGTCTGACTCCCCTCCATCCATGCCTTGTCCGAGTCATCTGATTCGCCAGTTGCCTTTGTCGGAGGGCTCCAAAGAAGCACCCTGAAGAAATCACTCTGCTCATCCACGCCATCGCCAACGTCCCTCTTCTGAAAAGCCGGGTATCTTTCATTCTCTGCTTCCACTTTGAAAGCAGCCTCAACCAAACCGCGTTTGACAAGGTCCACTGGAACTGGGAGAAACTGCCAGTGAGTGTGTATGCCACCAGCGCGGCTGACTTCCCACGTCACCGCTCCTAACTTGGAACCGCCGATAACCGTGATCATGCTTTGCAGCGCTTTACGGTATCGCTGCATCTCGTTGTACACATTCCGACGGTCGTCATCGGGTTGTATTGCAGCCAGAGTGGGAGCATGCGTTAGCGGGATGATGAGAATGTGCGAGGGGAAGTTCAGTGAATCATAGGTGCTCGACGTACTCAAAGGCCCCTTTGCGGTGGTCAGGTACGCATCGGTGCCGATCGAGGTGATGAGATGTGTTGCAAGGTTGGGGTTCGACAAGCAGAAGAAGCACTCCCCTGGCGTTGGCGGCGCAGCCCGCGCCCGCTTATGTGGTCGGCGGTGGTGACTCGAGTCGGTCGAGAATCTGTAAGATGACTCCTGACTCGGCTGAGCAGGTCTTTTCTTACCAACGAATGAGAGAGGCGAGGATGTTGTTCCGGCGGGTATCGCTACAGCAGGCGCAGCCGAGGAGTCGATGGAGAAAGCGTATATCCACTTCTGCTTCTTGGCGTTGCCGTATGATGCCAAGCTTAGAAAGCGAGTCACCGGGTAGGTGTCAGGTACGGCCTCTGAAGGAGCATGGAAGAACGGCTCGCGCTCGTAGAAGGCCTCTGATGAGGTCGAAAAATGATAGCGTGGTTTCAAAGCGGAACATAGATCTGCGATGCACTGGTGTGATGCGGGATCTCGTCCAAAAAACTCCACTTCGATCTTTGATCCTGTTCGAATTGCGGCCGGCCATTGACTGGTTACCAGTATGTCCGCCGAGTTGGCACCGCGTAGCACTTTGGCGTCATCCTCACTGTAGAATGGCGAATACTTGTCTTTGGATATCTCGGCTGTAATTTTGGCATCGAGGTTGCCACCTAGAGCGACAATCTTGATCCCTTCAGATGTCTTGATGGTGGTTCGCTTCCCCAGGAAGTACAGGTTGGGGCACACTTCCCCTGATGCTGACTCGAGCCTGTCAATGATTGTTTGTGGAAGTCCATGGCTCCCCAAGGCAAAGTACGTTGGCAGCGGCACGTCAATCTTCCCTTCTACCAGGTTCTTGACGTTCTCATCATCTTGATCCGTTGCTGTCACGGGGTCGCTGAAAAGATTGCCTGCGATCAAGGCGAAGGAAAAGGCGTTTTTCGCATGCAGTGCTGATATCTTCTTGAATACGTCGACAAACTGGCCATTTACGTCTCCGACCACAATACTGGGTACGTATTAGCGTTCTACTCTCTCTACCAGTTCGTGCCGTTTTCCCAAGACTCGCAGAGACTCAGAGGCAAGAAGGAAGACACTGGAAAGACTTTGGAAGTGCAAGGCAGCGACGACTGCCTATGCGCTTCTCAAGGTAATCAAAAGAACTTGTCATCCTACTCACATCTTCGAACTCATGTTAAGTTATTGGTGTCGAACGGCGGTTTGCCGCGTCTTTTCCCGTGACGTCGAAGTGCTTGGATTAGCGCGGAAGCGCGGTGCCAAGGCTTCGCGGCGAACCAAAGCTCCGACCCCAGATTTCGCCTGGGAACTTTTTTTCAAGCCGCAAGTTGCAGAGGCAAGTCGCAAAGGCAAGTCGACCGCCTGCGAGTACCTACTAAACCTTCAGTATGCCCGCCATGTCCAGAGGAGAAGAGCCAAAGGCCTACAAGGTCTCAAAGAGGAAGGGCGGCACGCAGTCCTCACGAAAACACCATTTCGAACCCTTCTCCAAGCGCATCGCTAAGCTCAGTATTGACCCCGTTCGCAAAACCCGCCGTAATGATCTCGATGAGAATGGCGCCTCCGAAACCTCCTCATATTTCAAGACTTCGTTCGACGAATGGAAGGACCTCAACCTGTCCGAGAGCTTCGTTAGCTTCTCTCGAGAAGTCGAGCCGCTCTGCGAGAGCCTGCCCCAGATACTCCATTATGATGAACGGATAATGGACATATTGATAAGATATATTGAGCACATGGACGCACTATCTTTGCAGCCGTTGCTGGGCCTCGTATCACACCTTGCGCACGACCTGGGCGCAAGATTCGAGAGGCACTTCCAGCGGACAGTAGCTGTTGTATGTAAAGTGGCCGCCCAACACTCTGATATAGAGGTCATAGAATGGAGCTTTGCTTGCCTTGCCTGGCTGTTCAAATATCTCTCGCGACTGCTCGTGCCCGACCTGCGGCCGCTGTACGATTTGATGGCGCCGCTCCTGGGTAAAGCTCCTCAGAAGCCTTTCATTACTAGGTTCGCCGCGGAGTCAATGAGCTTCCTGGTAAGGAAGGCCGGCGCCGCTTATCACAGGAGCAAGGAACCCCTCCAATTGATTATCAACCACGCTCTCCAAGATCTAGAGACCACCGTAAGCGAAAACAATGCTCCACTTTATCAGCAAGGCCTCAGTACTCTCTTCACTGAGGCAATCAGAGGTGTTCAAGGAGGCTTGCATTCAAGCGGCGATGCGGTTTTCCGCGAGCTGCTCGCCCAAAGCCATCAGTCCAAGTCTACGGAGCGCGGGAATACCGGCGCAAAACGCATTGTCCACGGAGTGCTCGTGGCTCTGATTCACCATACAAATTCAGAGACCTTTGCGCCTATCGTCGAAGTTGTCGTTCCCTTTTGTCAAGCTTCCGCAACTGGAGCTACGGATAGTCAATTGAGAGACGCGTCGCGCTTGTTGTTCATCATTTCAGCTGTCAGAAAGGGAACGCGTATCCACGATTGGAAACCTCTCTTGTCTTGTATCTCCATTCTTGTAGAGTCCACCAGCTCGAGGTCTGACGCCGTAGACTCAGGAACCGCTTCGGATATTTTGGTGGCGTTGGCGGTAGTCTTCCAGAGCGCGCCACTGGAGGTTGTGATTCCTCACATACGGCTACTAGACCATCTTACCACGGATGAATGGGAGCAACATTTTCTTCCGTTCTGCAACTTCTTTGCTGAGCTTGGTCGGGAGCGGTTCGAAAGCCTGGTGCTGCCACATCTCCAGAGGTTCATCGCAGGACACTGGAAAAGTCAGGGCGACAGATTGAGTCTCCTGCTGCCCAGACTTGCGAATGATAACCTGCAATCAGCACTGACCTGTCCTCAGCCCTGGCAGGAGCACATGTTGAACGAGTTCCGATCATACCAACCGCCGAACGGAACAAGCATCACAGATCTAGAGCTTGCATCTCTCTGCAATGGATACCTTGAAACGCTCAAGGTAACGAGCATGGAGCCACAGCTCGGCGCGCAACTCCAAGGACGATTGTTCAAACTTCTGCAGAGCATTCTGCTCAGTTCTCCCAACACGACCGAGGACGACTACTGGGCAAAATTCGCTGCTGGCCATTGCTTCAGTTATTGGACGGCTGCGAAAAGTACGCAGGACCCTGAGCTGAAACTCTGGCCTCTATTGTGTCAAAACTCCGGCAGATTTCGCCGTATGCCAGCATTCTGGAAAGCTATGTTACAGTACCTGAGGCCGAGGGCGAACCAGCTGGATCTTAGCGAGCCCGACACGTCGTTACTAGTAAACGACCTCGTGCGCTGCCTTGCGTCGCCATCCCACGACCTCCGGTCATTGAGTCTGGACACTCTCAAAGCGGTCATCACGGCCAAACATAAGGAGGAGCCGGAAGCACTCTCTGTTGCGATCGTTATTGAAAGCATGCCACTCAACATCGAGACTGCACGGACTGTCTCCATGCACATCCGAAGGCTTGCAACTAGCTACAAAACTGCGTCCTCAGACCCCTGGCTGGCACGAGCAATCCCAAGTTATCTCTTCGGTCTGCTCCATGTCAGGTTTTCGCAAGTATGGGACGACTCTTGCAGCGCTCTGAAGGAGATCTGCGAGCTGAGGGACGGCGAAGACGTTGTTTCTGAGATAGCCTTCAGCTGGCTGCACAGCGCAATAGATCACGAGGACACACTGGTACAGTCTCAGCCTGGAGGCATGCGAGATGATGGCCCAAGCCGAGCTATTACCGAATTTGAATGCACAAATCTGTCGAGATTGGACCGAATGGCTGAAGAAAGCGAATCGTTGCTTCAAAGTGCCGCGCAAGAGCTGCAGCAATCGTTCCTTGCGTTCCATCATGAAGTCCCGTTCATAACGCCGTCAAGCCGGTCACAAGCATTACGCGTTCTACATGCAATACCGCAGGTGGCAGAGAAGAAATCTCGATTGCTGGTACCTATATTGTTACGATGGGTTGCCGATGTAGAAGCAGTCACGGAAGCCGTTCAAGGCACTGACGAGGAAGATCAAGCCATTAATCCGAGGTCTTTTCTCCAGAGGTGGACGCGCAAGGACCAGAAGGCTATGCTCTCTCTCTTTGCTCAATTCAAGAATCCGAAAGTTCTCTACAAGTCCGCGGAAGTCTACTCAGCGCTGCTTGGCCTCGCGGCAAACGGCGACGTCGAGATTCAAAGATCGGCACTGAGGGCTGTTCTCACTTGGAAGAGTGAGCACATTACTCGCTACGAGGAGAATCTAACGAACCTACTCGACGATGCCCGGTTTAGGGAGCAGATTTCAGTGTTTCTTAACATTGGCGACGATGACAGCACCTTACAAGAAGAGCATCGGGCCGAAATCATGCCGCTCATACTAAGACTCCTTTACGGCAAGGTTATTGCTCGTACTGGTTCAGCGAGTGGCCGGCGAGGCCAGGAGTCCAGGCGCAAAGCGGTATTCATTGCACTTACGCGATTTGGGCTGGAGGATGTTCGACAGTTCCTTCAAATTGCGCTTGGTCCTCTGGATGGTGTGTCCATCGTGCAACAACAGGATCTCCGGGAGTCTGTTTTGCAGCAGGAACTGCTTAGTCCGAGAAAGCAATCTGGACTGGTAAACTTATTGGAAGACATGCTAGACACCCTTGGGACTCAACTCGCTCCGTTTACTGATGCTTTAGTGGATCCAATTCTCTACTGCATGATCCGGGCCTCTCGCGGTATAAACAAAGACATGAGCCTCGCTGAAGGGGAGAAAAGCGGACAACAGCTGTCACTACTACGAGCTATTCGACAAGTGGGTTTCCATTGTCTCAACATGCTGTTCGCAAGTTCTCCCGATGCTGATTGGTCTGCATTCGCGGCTGTCATCGTCCAGGAACTGATAGAACCAAGACTCGAAAAGCTTCCCATAGAGTCCGCACAGTCAATATCCGGCATTCTGCGACTAGTGTCAACCTGGGCCAGTTCGCCCCACACAGCCGGCTTCTTAGTCGAATTCAATCCGGACATTCTCAACAAGGTTGCAGACTGCCTTGAGGTTCCTTCCGCCCAGGACGAAGTCAAGCTCTTCGTTCTCAGGGACATCGTAGGGCGTCTCATATCTGTAGCCAGACAGGATTCGGTCATCCGCACGCAGATAGTGGAACCGAAGTCCTATCACCTCTTGACACGGATTGCGGGCTTGTTGCAAGGCAGTCCTAGTAAGGAGGTTCTGGAAGCCGGCGTACAAGCCATTGCCAATCTTGCCGATTTTGTGGTTGGCACATTCGAATCGGAGAAGCTGATTCGGATCTCGATATTCCTACTGCAGCAGCCTTCAAAAAGGGTCGCTCCAAGGACAAAGAGCGACTTGCTTCGGATTCTGCATCGGTTCATCCCTATGAGCGTACACGACAGCAGTAGCCCGCTTTTCGCAGAGACATTAGAAATTGTGTCTGCGCTGTTTGCATTTTTCCAGGACAGCATCAGCAGAAGTCTCCTGTGCGATGTGCTTGAGAGTCTTAGTCGGACTGATCCTGAGCTCGGGGAAACAGCTGTGTTATGTAGAGATCTCAACTCTTTCTCGACGTCCAGACTCGACTGTCCAGACTTTGAGCGCCGTTCGAAAGCCTTTACAGCTATCAATGAAGTACGGTATTCATCGTTTTCGGCAAAGCAGTGGCGGCCGCTACTGTACAACATGCTCTACTTCATCAAAGACGACGAAGAGATGGTCATCCGAGCTAGTGCTTCACTTGCACTTCGTAGGTTTATTGAAGTAGCAAGTGCTGTTAAGGATACCGATGCCGAAGCATTCGTGGCGCTGCTAGCTACTGCAGTCCTACCTGGTCTTCAAAACGGAGCACGAGAGTCTTCGGAGCTGGTGAGAACTGAGTACCTGTCGGTCGTTTCTCAGCTCATCAAGCGGTTCCCAACTTGGGCTCCTGTCAGTGACATGCATATCCTTCTGGTGGACGACGACGAGGAGGCGTCATTCTTCAGCAACATCTTGCACATTCAGCAGCATCGTCGTTTCCGCGCACTACGGCGTCTTGCTAGCGAAGCAAGCTCTGGCCACCTTAGAAGCAATAACATAAGCCATTTCTTCATACCGCTCATCGAACATTACATCTTCGACAAGTCTGACGACGAGAACGCTCACAATCTTGCCGCAGAGACAATCACGACTATAGGGGCGCTCGCCGAGTGGCTTGAATGGCCGCAATATCGAGCGCTTCTACGGAGATATAGCGGCTACATGCAGAGCAAGCAGGACATGGAGAAGACCACCATTAAGCTCCTCGGAGCGACTGTTGATGCTCTCAGCCGGGCCGGGCTAGCCAGAGGGTATGTCTCGGTCGACACGTCGCCCATCGGTTCCGCCAGCGCCAGCCAGATTCGAGAGGAAGCCGAAAAGGCTACTGGCAGTCTCAGCAAGCTTGCCGCCACCATGCCAAGTCAACAAAAGCTGTACGCGGACTTGATCAACAATCTTTTACCAGCCCTGACTGCATACATTCACCGCAAGGATGAAGCCACAGTCAGCCTGCGAGTTCCTGTGGCGGTTACCGTAGTGAAGCTGCTTCGACTTCTGCCACCGCGTGAGTTCTCTGCTCGCCTGCCGCCCGTACTTTTGGATATCTCTCATATCCTCAAAAGCCGAGACCAAGGCTCCCGAGATATGACTCGCAAGACTCTGGCCGATATCGCGCTCCTCATCGGGGGATCATACTTTGCCTTCCTTGTGAAGGCACTTCGAACCGCGTTACAGCGAGGCTATCAACTGCATGTTCTGTCTTTCACAGTACATTCGATCCTCGTTTCAATGTCACCGATCTTGAAACCTGGCGATCTTGACTATTGCCTCGGGGAGATAATTGATGTTATCATGGATGACATATTTGGAGTGACAGGCCAAGAGAAGGATGCCGAAGACTACATCAGTAAGATGAGGGAAGTGAAGAGCAGCAAAAGCTTTGACTCCATGGAGCTGGTGGCGAAGATTACGACAATTGGCCATCTGGTAGACTTAATCCGGCCGGTACAGAGTTTGCTTCTACAGAAGTTGGACTCCCGAACAGTCAAGAAGGTCGATGAGCTCTTGCGTCGCTTTGGTCTCGGAATCATGCACAACGTCTCGATACAAGATCGGGGACGGGACATTCTTGTCTTCTGCTACGAACTTATTCAGGAGGTGTACAAGCTTTCGACGGAACCGCTATCCCAGAATCGAGACGATGACTACAAGATCAAGCGTTACTTGATAAGCATGAATAGTGCCAACAAGCTCGGCAACCGTGGAGCAATTACGTCTCACACATACAAGATGGTACGGTTTGCGCTCGACGTGTTTCGCTCTGTCCTGAACAAGCACGATGCGCTACAGACACCGGAGAATCTTGCCGGCTTCATGCCTATCATCGGAGACGCTCTCGTGCAAGGGCAGGAGGAGGTCCAAATATCGGCAATCCGGTTGCTTACAACCATTGTCAGCCCGCCCTTCGTACCGCTTCCAAGGATTGAATCGGACGCTCCAACATACGTCGCTGAGGCCGTGCGAGTGATACGTGGAGCCCCGAGCACTAACAGCGAACTGGCTCAAGCGGCTCTAAAGCTCATCTCCGCAATCCTAAGAGCGCCTCGCGACTTCACTATCAAGGAGAACGACCTAGCCTACCTGCTGAAGCGGCTCAAGCCGGATCTCGAAGAGCCTGATCGACAGGGTGTAACCTTCAATTTCCTCAGAGCAGTGATGAGCCGTAAGATTGTCATCGCCGAAGTGTACGACGTGCTCGATACCATTGCACAGATCATGGTCACGAATCAGACCCGCACTGCCCGCGATCTCGCTCGTGGAGTGTACTTCGATTTCCTGATGAACTACCCCCAACGCAAGGACAGATTGTCTAAGCAACTCGCTTTCTTGGTTAAGAACCTCGACTACAAGTACGTCGAAGGGAGACAGTCTGTCATGGAAGCGTTGCACCTTGTTCTGGGTAAAGTGCCAGATGAACTGGCGCAGGATGTCGCGGCCACGGTATTCGTGCCTCTAGTCATGGTTCTGGTCAACGACGACTCGAGCGGTTGTCGGGAGATGGCTGGTGCACTGTTGAAGAGAGTCTTCGAGCGAGCGGACAATGAGCGCATGAAGACCTTCCGGTCACTCCTCCGAACATGGTTGGAACAAGACGAGCAGCCGCTGCTCAAGAGGGTCGCTGTCCAGTGCTGGACACTATACTTCGACGTCATGGCAGCGGAGGAGAAGGTCGCCGAGAAGGAAACGAGATATCTTGTCGAGCATCTGACATCAATCCTGCAACCGGTCACCAAAAGCAAAGACGACAGCGACTGGGAGCTCTTGTATTACTCGCTGCAGGCCTTTGCCAAGATATCCGAACTATCCAACCCAGCTGCCTTTGCTGCAGATACAGCGCCGCTCTGGTCAGCAGTACGCGCCTGTCTCTCCTTTCCTCATGCCTGGGTCAAGCTGTCAGCAGCGCGTCTCATTGGTCTCCACCTGAAAGACTTTGTGAGCACCAACGCCCAAGATCTGGGAACCGTTCCGTTGCTTGGATCCGGAGGACTCCATCTCAGCGGCGAAGACATGATCCAGCTCACAATCGCCGGCTTGCGGACACTCAAGCTACCTAGCGTGACGGAGGAGCTCGCAGGCCAAACAGTACGAAATCTGTTGGTCTTGGGCCGCTGCTTCGCTGCGAATGGCCTTAAGTGGCGATATCCTAACGCCACAGGTCCAGTCGCTACCGAGGAGTCAGAGAACGAAGAAGCCGAGTATGAAGACACACATATGGCAGAAGCGGAGAGTGAAGAAGCGGACGTCAATGGTACCGACGGCGAGCTCGAAGAACCCGAACAGAAGACCGTGCTCCAATATCTTATTGAGCGTCTGTGCTCCGTCCTCCGCCGTGAGCCCTCATCCAACCGCGCGCCATCCCTGTACACCCACACAGCCTCTCTGCAACTCCTCGCCGCGCTCTGTAACAGCCTCCCCACCTCAGCGCTTCAGCCCTCCCTCCCTACAATCCTCCTCCCGCTCCACAACCTCACCGACCCCGCAATCGCGGTCCCGCACTCCAGCGACCAAGCCTTCGTAGTCGCGCACAAGGCGCTGCGATCCACGGCCCAGGAGCTGATGGCCGCGCTGCAGGCGAAGCTCGGCACAAGCGAGTATGTGAGGGTGCTGCAGGGTGTGAGGCAGGGTGTTAGAGAGAGGAGGGAGGGAAGGAGGGTCAAAAGGAGGATTGAGGCCGTTAGGGAACCGGAGAAGGTGGGGAGGGAGAAGAGGATCAAGAGGGAGAGAGAGAAGGGAAAACGGAAAGAGAGGAGTGGGGAACAGAGGGGACGGAGGAGGGGATGGTAGTAGGGAGGATGGAATGGGAGAGTACGGGGTTTTGGAGTTTGTGTATTGTGTGTGGTGTGATGTTGAGGACAGAAAATTGGGCCCGATGATTGGGGCTCGCATTTGCTGGTGTTTGCTGGTGTTTGTGGAATGGCCAAGGATGACGAGATGCTATAATCTCGATGGCACGTGTTTTGGGCCGTGCCACTTACGTGGTGACTTATAGGCGTAAGAGTTTCGCCTTGACTGCAGTCAGGTTACGAAATTGAGAGAGTTCGGAACACTTCGTATGAGCTCCACGTTGGCGAAGCCGTAAATATATGCAGGGTATGCTTATCCATACTACTGTGTTATGGCTGTGCGGAGCGCGGCGATGAAAAGCGCCATGGAAAGAGACTATCACAGACAGGCAACGGGATATGGGTAAACCACTACTTCATGGCTTAGTGAAGGGGATTGGATCTCTGTCGAGCTAAGGAACTGTGACTGTGTACGATATCTCAACGGAAGTTGAATTCTGCCTTATTCGACATGCTCGGTGCCTCTCTCGAGTTCTGAGGTGGCCTTCTATTCGCTGTGCTTTGCGGAGTGGCAGTAGATCCCGAAAGACCAACATGTTTATTATCGAATAGCTTGCAAAATTTGAGTTGTCCTGCAGCATCAGTTTTACCCCAGGTTCTGTTGTTAACAGATTCGAAGACAAGCCAGCTCAGACCGCTCTTCGTTCAACCCTGGCGTCCCCCGAACTTTTGATCCAGTAATTGCACTGTCTTGCGCCATTGAACAAGTCAAACCCCGATTAGGTTGACCGGAAGGGAGATCTTTTGATCAAGGGCGGTATAACCTCCATTATTGGCTCGCCATTGCGCTTGACTAGAACACCTTCTTGCACTAAGAGTGACGCACCTGAGGCTCTGCAAAGCTTGAGGTGTCGACGTCCTGACTGCGTGCAACTCCAGCTGCCAGAGTTGATGCGTGCTCTGGAGCAGTCCTGGATCCCCTGGTTTGGCCGAGCAACACTTGGCGAATCGCAGCCATGAAATGGCATGCGAGTTTGCCATTGATGGAATGGGTGGTCGGTGAGACCCAGACAACGCACAAGTCAAGGCTTAAGGCGCAGCCTTTCTTCTGCAGCGAGGCGCGTCTTTTAGGGGACGTGATTTGACGCGTGAAGGAGAGCGCGATATCAGGTGCTCTTTCCGCCCAAGCGCAGACGCCGGGGATATGGCACGCACTGCTACTGGCGCGTAGGATGGGAAGGTCAAGGATGTGCGGACATGTCTTGCAGGAGGAGCAGTCGTTAGTGAAATTGAACGGCCAATGGCCCATGATCTTATACACCTCCATGCCACTTCACGACGCCTTAAGAGTCAGAGGGAGGGGCAGTGAGCATTGAAGTAGGGTAGAAACGCCATCGATGGCTATGCTGCCCGGGCCGCTCAAGGCTTTCTTCATGATGAACCTGAGCCAGCATACGTTGAACTGGCCTGACATTGAGTGGTATATAAGGCACCTTGTGCGCCCCAAAAGTTTGAACTGGGACGAACACCACAGCAGTTAACTGTTCCTTCCATTGACGCTCCTTCCAAGTTTCAGACCGTCAAAGTTTCACACCACCCTCAGCAACTAAAGAATGGTGTTCTTTTCCCCAGAGATCATTGTCTCAATCTCTATCGGCATCCCAACTCTTCTGATAGCCCTGCTGACCTGGCTGGAGGCCAGAAGGCGCAGGCACACGGCTAGAGGCACGGCATCACTCGAAGGGTCACAGAGTACTGGGCTGATGGATGGGCCTTGCAGAGTTTAACAAGGGGGATGCCGTCTATGAAGCTTTGCTTCTTGGAGCCGTTCACCTGTGTGGCCCATCGTTCGGACTTATGCCAGCTTTTGTGCTGGAACTAAAGCCGCCTGCGCGGCCAACCGCCTTGCGAATGCCTCAAAATACCGGGCGGTGCGGACCATAATCCACTCTCTGACTGCTCGTGCTAACGTGATTAGGATGCGTGTTACTTGACCATTGTGAATTGACAGCCGTACCGCTTAGCGTACCTATAAGGGGGACGGCTTGTGAGAAAGTTATGCGGTTCATGCTGGGGGCTTTGAAGCGAAGAAAAGTTACAGTGTTTTGAGCATTGTTCTCCGAAGGGCTTGTTGTGTTTTACCATCATACTTCACTCTCTTCACTACCTCTCTTGCAAGGATGTGAGCCTGTATTCAAGCATGTTTTCGTATATAGGAGCAAAACGTCATCGATAGATCTTCTTTGGGTATCGTACAATCCCGAACCCACGCCCGACTAGTGACCAGAAAGATAAAGCAGCACTCATGGCATCGACCCAAGGGAAACTGACCAAGGAAAAGGATAACGAAGAGGCAGTGATGACGATCAGGTGACCAGAACACAAAGGAAACTCATAGACCAAGGATCCACCAGTACGATATGCGAGCAACACGTGACTGCGACCAGAAGCGGCACGACGTGAGGGTATCCAAGACGCCCGCGACGAACGAGACTGAGCTACTCCATACCAACAGAGCTGAACAGTGCGGGCAGCAGAGGTTGACGAGGCGTGTATCCCGCTTATGCAGCCGCCTTGACGGCCTTGGGAGCCTTGGGCTTCGCGGCGGCCTTCTTGGTAGTGGCAGCCTTCTTCGCCGGGGCCTATGCCAAGCGCGTTAGCAAGTGGAGCATCGCATAAGGTAACCATGACCAGCGCGATACGTCGACGTCTCTCCATCGCAGGCGCACAGCTCAGACGCGTGAAAACGCACGTACCTTCTTCTTCCCCTTCTCAGCGGGCTTCTCAGCAGCCTTCTCAGCAGGCTCAGTCTCCTCCGGTTCCATATCATCGTCATCGTGCATCTCCTCCACCATCTCCTTAAGCTCCTCGGCAGCCTTTGCAACCTCCTCAGCCTTCTCCTTAGGCGCGCTCTTCTTAGCCGCAGCCGGGGACTTGGACTTTGCGACGCGCCCGGTGGCCGTCTTCTTGTCGCGCGGCTTAGACGTGTTCGCCTTCGCCGACGCGGCCGTCTTCTTGACACCGGCCTTCTTCGCGCCCGTGCCGGCACCCTTCTTGGTGCTCGCCTTGGTGGTGTCGGCGCCCGTGTCCGCGTTCGGGACGGTGCGCGGCTTGGAGTTGCCGGTCTGGGAGCGCGTGGAAGCCATTGCGACGACTGTAACTTCCTGTTGAAACGGAGTTTACTTGTGGTTTGTGTGAGACTGGCGACCGCGTTAAACAGGTTTGAAAGTGGAGCGAAGGTGTTGGGGTGGAGGAAACTGGAAGATGCGAGCGCGCGGTGAGGGGGAAGTGCGCGGAGCGAGGAACCAGGCGCGTGATAACGTCACAACAACAACGCGCGCGCGAAACATGTGCGTGCGAAAATAAGTTCTTACCTTCTGTGAAGCTATGCGACTCGAAGCGCGTATGTAAGGGCAAAGTTAAGCTGGCGAGTGTGCGGTTCTGATGTTGTTTGTGGAAGGAAGAGGGAGGAGGGGAGGTCGGAAGATCGAGGCGCTGAGCTCGAGGAAGCGTGTCCGCGCTTCCAACAAAACAAAGCCAGACGCCCTCGGGGCCAAGCACCTTTCGTTTCAAGTTTAGAAGGATTTACTATGCAAGGTAATGGCGCTGATGATTATCGTAATTTTATTGGGCACATTTCAGTAGGAATGCGCCCAAAGCTTTTATGTGATCCCCGTTGCGGAGGGGATCCGTTATCTCATTCCTCTGACCTCTGCTCACACCACCGACATCCACCTATATATCAGATCCCTCATTCCCTCAGCTTCTCCATGCGCTTGTTCATACTGCAATTAGGTCAGCATGCGCAGATGTTATCAATGTGCGTGGCAACGTACAATGCGAAGAAGGCAAACTGGCTGGCCGAGATGCCGTACTCGTAAACGAACCTGCTGGCGAGATAGCTTCCGAAGATGGCGCGAAGATAGTTATCTGGGACCTGTTCTTCGTTAGCAAACGGCTAAATTGCAGCTGTAGTGCGATGCTGAGCAGAACTAACCCGCTCAAGGATGGTATCAAGACCGATTTTCTCCAGCAGGAGGTTCGGTAGAGCATCGCTCAGCACCGACTTTCGCAGCTGGATGTTGTCCCACAGCTCGGTGTTCTGCAGCTCTTCGTCCAGCTTCGTAATCGCCACACTAAGCTTGTCGCTCAGGATGCTTCTAGACTCTCCACTGCGCTCGTTCTCCCTCCAGATCGCTTCAAACTCCAGCCGTGCGTTGTTCTTGATCGTTTGCTGCACCTGCTTGACGTAGCTGTTGTAGAACTCTGGCGCGGTTCCGTCTTCACGATGGCACATATGCTCGATGAAGCCGGCATCGTCGAACGATAGCGAGGCTAGCACCTCCAGAGATGAGGAAGTGACGCCGCCCTTGTTCGCAGACGCATCCTTGAACAGGATGCAGCCGGCTTTCTCCAAACGAAGCTTCGCGTCTTGGGTGATGAAAAGATTGGCGCCTTCGACGATGTATGGTATGGTGCACTTGCCGTCGACGATCAATTTGCTCGCAGTGCTCAGGTCGATCGACTCAGGCCGGCCTCCACATGGCACGAACATGTCGTACTGCGAGCCACCACGGAGATGGAACGTGTTACGGAAAATCGTGCCGTTGCGCACCAGCTCTCCGCTCGGAAGCTTGACGTTGGTCTCATCAACGAGCACGCGATAGCCCTCTGGAGATAGCTTGGAGATGTCGTACTGGGATATCATGACCCGCTTCTTGGCGAGACGAACCAGCTCTTCCCTATCCAGTCCGTTGGGATCAACCAAAACGCCAGAGCCATCCACGATAGCGGTGTATCGCTCATTGGCTAGGAGAATCTCATTCGAGCCAAGGTCGCCGTCTGGTCCGCCAGTCTGGAGCTTGCGTACTTTGCTGGGATCGAGCTTCAACTTCCGATAGATACCGAGGACGTATTCTCTGACCGACAAAGTCGTCATTCCGTACTCGTCGTGAGGAATGCCGCCAAGCTTAGGACTCTTGCCGGTAAAGAACGACTTCCACCATGGTGCACCTCTGGCTCTTGCGTGTTCTGTCGCCCAGTCTACGAGATCTGCAGTGTTCTCATCGGGGCCCATGAAAAGAATTTCTTCTTTGCCATGCAGATCGACGATGGGATCCTTGATGCCGGGACTAGAGGGCGGAAGGAGCAGATCCATGATGCTGTCTATGTACTTCTCGAAGGCGACACGAGCCTTGTCTTGGTGGTGAATATCAAGAAGAATAACGCCTTTTGACCCGCCTTCAGGGATATCTTTGTTCTTCCTTTGCTGGGTGTTGGCAAGATTGTAGTTCTCATCGAAGAGGGACCGCTGGTTGATGGTATACGCTTCTGAGCTGCGCGATTTCACAATTCGAATACCTCCACGAGCGATGTCACGAAAGCGCAGGTGGAAGCCGCGGAACTCAGAGCTAATGACCAAGAACATGCCGAAGAGCGGCTGTGGATACTCTTCGGGAGGCAAGAAACCGGGGTTCAGTCTGAAGCTGAGAGCTACCTTCGTCGGAGTGTAGAAGTTGGTTTTCAGAACAGCATTGGAAAAGATTCGGAAAGCTGTCATCACCATGTTGTGATGCTCATTGACTGTGGTGGTCGTAATGAGTTCCTTCAACTCGGCATCGGTGAGGACCTTATCAACCTGTAGGCGAAGGTAGCTCAGGGTTGGGAGGAAGTCGTCCCGGTCGCCCCGGGTGTGCACGTAGTGCGTGTTGGCAAAGGTAAGATAGAGTGAGTGGACAAGTTCCGGATACTGGTTGATGATCTCCAGAATATAGTCTGCAGTAAAGGTCTCAGTACGTAGGCGGCGCTTGAGCTTGGAGAGTAATTCAGCGTGGACGCTGTTGCCGTTCGAGCTCAAAAGCGAAGCCAGCGTATGGTATTCAGTGCCTAGTCGGTTGAGGAAGTGTCCCACGAAGACCCACACGCAGTGCGCAAAGATCGTCTCCTGCAAGCTCAGCCGCCCAGTGGCAAAGTGACCCATGAATTTATTCTGTGGGATGCAGTACAGCAGCGACACCTCCTTGATGATCTGGTGAATGGATGCTTCGATAGGTGGAAACCGCCCGGAGGTGGCTGACTGAGGCACCGGTCTGAGATAGATGGACATGATTGTTAGTCCATTCGAGAACTGTTCAACGTATTTTCGTGAAGACGTGAGACCGTAGTAGTGGTACAGATCGCTCAGAGCGCTGAAGAGGCCCAATGCAGTCCTTTGCTTAAATGCAAGCACAAGTCTCTTCTCGCGCGAACCTTCAAGCTCGAAGTATTCTATGACAGGTCCAGTCCTACGAACCGCGCTGTTCAGGATGCCTTGATAGATGACTTTGGTATTCTTCGTGGCTTTCTGCAGGAACGTTTTTTCTCCAATCTTCTCTATGTCAGTCTCGTCGGGTGCCGGTGTCGGGTTGTCGAAGTGGCATTGATATAGGAAGTAGCAGCGAAGTTGCTGCTCGCTGCCTCCTGGAAGAAGACTCGTAGAGCGGAAGCTCTCCACGCGGTAGCTTCTGCCACCTTCAGATCCATCAAGGTACTTTGCTTCCAAACGTTGCTCATAGCGGGGACCGTCCAAGACTGAAATGCCAGGCTTGCTTGTATCTATGTATACTGCATGATCTGCAGCCTCCTTGTCCAAGCGGATCTCCAGCCGCTTGTCGTCACGTGCGTATGCGGCTACTTTGGCAGCGTAGAGCGAGTGTATGTGGTTGACGATCCTGATGCACAGAGTCAGCACTATCTTGCGATAGTAGCGGCATCGATGCCGCAGGTAACCTCGTAGCGAGGTTGTAGATACTGGCCTCAACAGGTAGACTCACGCTTCGACAGTTTCGGTCGAAAAGTACATGTCGTCGATGCCGAGCTCGTTGTAGAACCACTTTGTCTCGTTTTCAACGAACTCCGCTGGTATGAATCCCTTCTCTTCGACCTGGTCCATGACCCTAGCAGACGTCAGCTCGAGACATCTCCACATTCTCCTCTCAACGGCCTGATACGTACGCCTCCATCTGCTGCTCCTTGCCCTCAAACTTAGGTGCAACATATCCTGGGCCTTGTTCCTGAAGTATGCGGCTGGGAAGCGTGCCCGGTACGCTGAGGTGGGTCGGCTGAGGCGATGGTTTGCGGCCCGGTGTGCGGACGACTTGCTCCAGAAGCTTGTTCTGGGGCGCTCCGTTCGTAGATATTGAAGCCATAATGACTGGTTGCGCAGTGTCTTTGGATGGTAGGTGCTAAGTGCGGTTCGGATGAGGGCACTGCTGGTTAGGTCTGGTGCTTGTTAGAAGTTATTGACGAAGTGACGAAGCAGTTCTGGGTTCTGAGAGACGACTGGAGACTTGATGAATAAATCTAGCTTAAGTACACAGAGGGAACCGGGCATTCTGCAAAGAGCTAGAGCTCCAAGCTATGAACAGTAATGTGACCAGCCGTGCTCCCAAATTTATAATAGCGGGATGGCGCAGCACAGGAACAACCAGGGACATTCCTCGTGTGCCGAACGGGTTTGGAGAGATAAGAGAAGCAGAACAGCAATTGGTCGGGGGCCAAACCCGTACCTGCGGCTGAATCTTCAATCCAGCAAGCTGACCGTTTCGTCGTCTTGCGGTCTGCAAGCGGCCCTGGCGGGATACGTGGGTTACGTGTAGGGCTGATGAGATTAGGGGTCTGGGCGAGCTAGGGAGGAACCGCAGCCGTGCGTTTATCGGTCAAGGTGTGGTCGGATAAGAAGCTCAGAAGGACGAAGCGAGCGGTCAAGGGAGATGGATTGAGGATGTGTCCAAACGAAGCGTCAGGTGTGCTTTTGAATCCTCAATATCCATGTGGGCATGCCTGCTGCAGAGTTTTGCAGAGTTTTGCAGCGTTACGTTTCTGACGGTTCTTCGCGGCACAAGTGATCACGATGGCCAGGGTCCGCGTGGCTGGGAACCTTGGGACCTTGGGACCTTGGAACCATCCGACTGGATGGTTAACCGTACCTGACTAGGGCCTCAAGGCCGGGGAAGGCGGTGCTCAATCCCCAGATCATGTGCTCACGCCTAGTGCGCAACTGCTTCATGCGGGGACACGTGGAGTTCGTAGAGCAAAATAAGCTACTCAAGCACCTGGGTAGCGTTGAGGGAGAATACCTGGATAGGTACCTCACCTCAGTTTCAAGAACACTATGGGCTACCTCTGCAACCAGTAGTCGATAGCTGGCGACTTCTGCTGGATTCACAGCTGCAACCCATGCCATAATGCTCCTTTGTGCTTCATGCTGATTGTGGGCTGTCTGTTCGCACTCACTTGTGGAAAGAGAGATCTGAACACCTGGGGTTCCCAGATGCAAGAACCTCGTAGACGGGCATTCCCATTGCTCCCTTGGATCAAAACACGGCTTGAATTTACCTTGAAGCTGTTCTCAGCTAGGTGCAGTGCAAGTGGCCAGCTGCAGTCCATCTACGAGGAAGAAGTGCTGGAACATAAGGGGTAATGTCGACGCCAGGGCGAACAACTGCTCGATCTCAGATGCGGAAACTCATACCGCACGAAGCGCCCATGTTCGATCAGACTTCGAGAGTCTCTTGCGTGTCATGCAGCTTAGCTTAGCTGCCGAGCGAACAATGGACATGATCCATCGCACCCGTTGGATTGGATGAAGCTCAGAACTCAGACTCAAATGATCTGCTGCCCAGCTCTGAGATTACGCTTAGAGCATCATTCATTCCTCACGACTGCTGCCAGCCTTGCAAATTTCTCGAGACGACTCAACTAGCATATGATAGTCAATGTCTGTGTGCGGGAGATTTTCGCTGAACTGAGGATAGAAACGCGTGGAACAGCAATATAGATTGTGCCTGAGTAATTGAGCACGGACAGTGGTCCGTTCAGTACAACCCCAATGGGAGTACTGCCAAACGGCAGCAAGGCGAACGTCAGGTATACGTGCTCAAGTGTCTAAACAGGAGAAACCTCTTCGAGAACCTTGACAGCCGCAAGCGGCCTGAGGCCAAAGTTCGCCTGTATTTGGTGCTGGAAGACCGTGTCGGTCTACATCCACAAGGCTTCCAGCAGAGCTTGGAGATGGCAGACTCGAGTAGCGCGAGAAGGTGAGATGCGCGCTGAATCGCTGGTCCCGGAGAGGGTAGTGGCATGAGCGGGTGACGATTTGCTGCCAGTGACTGAGACTGAAACACTATTCAGTCCTTCTGCCAACCATCATCTGCCTCTGTCTCGCGGCACCAGTGTTCGAGATGACCACACGGTCCGTAGAATCCCCGTACATTCATAATGTGAAGAAGGCGCACTCTGAGCTGCCTTGGGGGTGTTTCTGGATAAGTGTTGAACCCTTGGCCTGATCTCCAGGGTTCCAATTGCCGTAGGGCCGGATGACGCTAAGACGAAAACGAATCTCTCCGGATCGCGAACACGTCTTGTCTTGCCAGCTAGGACAAATCCTGCAGACATTCGCCAGTTCGTCCAGATCGCAACAATCTGAGGGAACGTTCATGGCACCCATTGCGATTGCCTTTCCTCGTACCCTCGTTTGCCCTCGCTGCCAGCCTCTGCGGTCGCTTCTATCCGACAAACATTCTATGTCCTCGTGGCAGTCTTCGTCACCCGATAACACCCGCCGGTAGCTGTCGCATTGCACTGCCTCAGAGCCCATTGTGCTTCCAGGCGTAGCCTCCGACATTCGCTGTGATTGTGGGAGAGCCGCTAAGACAACGGCATTGGTATACCTGCGCCAGCTGAGCCTTCGGAAGAAGGCTGCAGATCGACGTCGCGGACGTCAAGCTTAAGCAATGTCTGCAGAGCAGGGCAGCGTGCGTATCTCACATCGCGCCCCTACCCCAAACAGCTACTGACCCAGGACTGGCAACACAGCAGAGCTCCGTTCTCCTGGGGCCACCCTCAGCACCTTCGCGCCTCGATGACTTACGGTACACACTATCCCAACCAGTAGCCGCCTCCTTCATCGGCGGCGGTGTAGCCGGCGCCGTTTCACGAACAGTGGTCTCACCTCTCGAACGCCTCAAGATTCTGTTCCAGATACAGAGCCATGGCAGGGAAGAGTACAAGATGTCGGTCCCCAAGGCTTTGGCAAAGATGTGGAGGGAAGAGGGCTGGAGAGGCTTCATGGCTGGCAATGGCACCAACTGCATTCGGATAGTCCCGTACTCCGCAGTACAGTTCGGTTCCTACAACTTCTACAAACGGGTGAGCTTCTCCAAATTTTGCAAGCAAGGATAGAACAACACGGAGGGATTTAGCGAAGGGAGAAAGCAACCATGAGGAGTTTGGCGAGCCGCAGCGAGAACCCGAGCTCCAAAGCACTAACTCGAGCCCCCAGTTCTTCGAGGATTACCCAGGCGCACCCTTGGGCGCTTACCAGCGGCTGTTCTGCGGTGGCTGCGCCGGCATAACTTCCGTGACATGCACATACCCTCTCGATATCGTCAGAACACGATTGTCAATACAAAGCGCTTCGTTCTCGGGTATCAGTAAGAAAGCTGGAGAAAAGCTGCCTGGCATGTGGGCACTGATGGCATCGATGTACAAGAATGAAGGAGGGTTCTTCGCCCTGTACAGAGGCATAATACCCACGGTAGCTGGTGTAGCACCATACGTGAGTACTACCACCTTCTGCGGGATCTGGAGCTTACCACGTCGGTAGGTTGGTCTGAATTTCATGGTCTATGAGACCATGCGAAACAAATTCACGCCAGAAGGCCAGGCGAACCCTGGCACCCTCGGGAAACTTGCTGCTGGCGCGGTCTCCGGTGCTGTAGCGCAAACCTTCACATATCCTTTGTAAGTCGGTCTTGCCCAACACGGACCAGCATTAATTTTTGCACAGTGATGTTTTACGCAGGAGATTTCAGATCAATACGATGTCCGGCATGGGATATCAGTACAAGTCCATATTCGACGCTCTGAGGGTTATAGTAACCCAAGAAGGCTTCCGAGGTCTGTACAAAGGCGTCGCGCCTAACTTACTGAAAGTGGCGCCTAGCATGGCCAGCAACTGGCTAAGTTTCGAACTTACTCGGGATTTCCTCACGAGTCTAAGAACTCCGGAAGTATGAGGACTCACCATGAACGATTACATCTGGGCGAAGGCAGAGAGGCACCGAACGCTCTGCACGACATAAAGTCTTCGCGTCGCCTCCGTTCCGAAGAACCATCTATGTACAACACCACATGCCGGTGAAGAGGCAACACCGCTGGATGCTCTGCTTTAGCTTGGCGTGTCGGAGCTGGAGGCGCTGTAAATCCAATTATTTCTGTGTGATTTTGCATTCAGGATAGGTGGAGCATAACGGGAAGCGGGCGTTTTGGACGGCATATCTCAGCGAGTCTACTTAGAGTTACTAGAATTGGACTCGCATTACAACGGCGCATCTAGTTCCGTAACAGAGTTCAAGAAAGCGCCAGCTGCCAGTGCTAAGCACTTCGTACAGGAAAGAACCGAATGTCCTACTCCTTTTTCAAAGCGGATGGCGGGGAAACCCCGGCGACTGAGAGTTGCACCGGCGAAAAGTTCTCGCGATACCCGAGCGAATTCTGAGGCTGAACCCACAATGAACTCTGAACGTCGCGACGCGGACACCCATTGAAACCTTGGAAATCCACAACACCACCGCCCAATACCGTCAAGATGGGTAGTACGTACACCATTTCTTACTCCAGCGCCCTCAGATCACCATGATTCCCGAAGTTTCGCTTTCGCCGAGCTCGTTGAGAACCTGGAGAGATGCACCAAGATTGGTCCGCTGACTTAAACGCTTGCGCAGTCGACCTCGACAGGCACCACGTCCGATCGAGCCATCGCAAGGCCCCCAAGAGCGACAATGCCTACTTGAAGGTAGAATACACCCTGCTCCGCCGCGCGCACACCTTCGAATACTACACTGCACAGCCTACCGAACTAGAGCTGACATCGTGCGCAGCTTCTCGTCAAGCTTTACCGCTTCTTAGCGAGTACGTTTTAGAGCAATGGCTCCTTGAGAGCTCAGCCGCCTCCTTGCGGACATTGCGAGTAGTCTGTGGACTGCGATCTGACTGCGTAATGCAGGGAGGACCGATAGCAAGTTCAATGCCGTCGTTCTGAGGCGTCTGTGAGTCTCGCAGCGTCAGTTCCAAGCCACTGCATCGGGCTAATGAAGAGGAAGCTGCATGTCCCGCATCAATCGCCCGCCGATGTCGCTCTCGAGAATCATCCAGACCGCCGCCAACGAGCACGCCGCGAAGACACACGAGGGAAAGACGATCGTTGTGATCGGTAGCATTACGGGTACCCGAGACCGAGCTCCAGTACTGGAATGCCTGCTCATACATTTCACAGACGACGTACGGCTGCTCGAAGTGCCCAAGCTCAGCATCGCTGCCATGCGCTTCACCGCAACCGCACGCGCTCGCATCGTCAAGGCCGGAGGCGAGTGCCTGAGTGAGTCACCCAGCCACCGGTCGTTGCGCATTCGAGCTAACCCATCCGGCAGCCCTTGACGAGCTCGCACTGAGGGCTCCTACTGGTGCCAACACCCTTCTGCTCCGGGGACCCAAGAACGCTCGCGAGGCTGTTAAGCACTTCGGTTTCGGACCTCACTCACACAAGGTGGGCTCGCTACAGCTGGGTGCGATAACATGGCAACAACTGACGATCGTTACAGAAACCATATGTGGAGAGCAAGGGCAGGAAGTTCGAGAAGGCTCGTGGCCGCAGACGGTCCAAGGGTTTCAAGGTGTAAGCGGGTTATGATTATGGCACCTATCGGGGTGAGGATCTTGTGGAGTTGCTGCGGTAGAGTTCGCTACAGCAAACCATTGTTGTCGTCAGCTCGAGTGCCTTGTGCAACAAGACCTTTCCAAAGCGATCGTTCTATATCAGCTGCGGGCGCTCATTATGATAACAGCGCTACAATTGTCCCACTTCAACTTCGTGCACGAATCCGAAGGACTTAGGGGATGCCCATGGTCTTGATGAGCTTATCGATGAAAGTGTAGCAATGATGATACATAGGGTAGTCAGGTAGAAGTTTTTCATACCTGCCCATGGTTTGCTATAGAATAACCGTGCTTGACCCGTGAACTTGAGGGGATATCCCCAGCATCCAACCCCAAAGCTCTCCTCAAGCATATAAAGTGCCTGGACTTTCACCATAAACACTGATGTATTATATCAGAACTCGCCTTACCCACAAATTGTTCAGGTGGATTTACAATTCTGTTACTACGCAGCAGAGCAAAATTTGCCAAGCTAGACCACTCGACGTGAAATCTTCATCTTCACGAAAGCCGCAGATCGATTTTCAGGGCGCTAAACTTGGTCTATTTCTCATAGATCACATAGCCAGACTTTCGTGTTAGAACTGTGCCCACCACCTCCCACTGAGTAGGCCAATTACGGAACTATACTACGCCGTGAGTGATTGAGCTCACATACAGCATTATGGACGGGAAGGTCGTCGGTGTCCTCGGCGGTGGCCAGCTCGGACGAATGCTCATCGAAGCCGCAAATCGCCTGGGCGTCCGAGTGAACATCCTGGACAGCCCGGGCGCGCCAGCTAAACAAATCAGCGCACACGACGGTCACGTTGATGGCTCGTTCAAAGATCGCAAAGGCATCGAGGAGCTGGCATCGCGGTGCGACGTGCTAACCGTCGAGATCGAACATGTCGATACCGAGGTCCTGGAAGACGTTCAGGAAAAGTTTGAGAATGTCATTATCGAGCCGAGCTGGAGCACGATACGGCTGATCCAGGATAAATACCGCCAAAAAGAGCATCTCGCGTCACATCAAGTGGCCACCGCGGAGTCGGTCGCACTGGACAGCAACTCGGAGGAAGAGCTGCGGAATGTCGGGAGTAAATTGGGTTATCCGTTCATGCTGAAATCAAGGAAAGAAGCCTACGATGGCCGTGGCAACTTTCCTGTGCGTTCAGAGGAAGATGTTCCTGCGGCACTTCAGGCGCTGGGTAAAAACGCGCTGTACGCGGAACGGTGGGCGGACTTCAAGATGGAGCTGGCGGTCATGGTCGTCAAGACGCAAGATGGCACGCTGGCTTTCCCCACTGTTGAGACGCATCACGAGAACAGTGTGTGCAAGCTCGTGTGGGCGCCAGCACGGGATATACCTAGGGATGTGACGAAGAAGGCACAGGACTTGGCCAAGAAGGCTGTGGCAGCCTTCGAGGGTAAGGGTGTATTTGGCGTGGAGATGTTCTTGTTAAAGGACGGCTCGTTGTTAATCAATGAGATTGCACCTCGACCGCACAACGTGAGCCCCTCCTCGCATCAAATCCCCATACCAGAAGCTGACAATCCTCCAGTCGGGCCATTACACAATAGAAGCCTGCCCAATCTCCCAATACGACGCCCACCTGCGCGCGATCCTCGACCTCCCAATCCCAGAATCAAGCCTCCGCCTGCGAGAACCAGCAATCATGCTCAACATCCTCGGCGGCAAAGCCGCAGACTCCCATATCGCCTTCGTCCGCGACCACGCTCTCGCCAACCCGCGCACCAGCATCCATCTCTACGGCAAAGCCGAAGCGCGCCCCGGCAGGAAAATGGGCCACGTGACAGTAACCGCTTCAACAATGCGTGAAGCCGAAACCTTGATTCAGCCGCTCATTGATGCTGTCGATGACGCCGCCGGCAAGCCCCTCGGTCCGCGCGAAACGAAGCAGGAGAAGCCGCTTGTGGCCGTCATCATGGGGTCGGACTCCGACATGCCGGTGCTCAAGGGCGCATTCGAGATTCTGCGGAAGTTCGGCATCTCCTATCAGGCGCGGATCCTCTCTGCGCACCGTACGCCGGACCGCATGTTCGACTTTGCCAAGCGCGCGGAGGGGGAGGGCTTCAGAGTCATTATAGCCGCGGCGGGCGGCGCGGCGCATTTACCTGGTATGACGGCGTCAGACACCGTGCTACCTGTTATCGGGGTGCCAGTCCGGGCATCGCATCTGGATGGGCTGGATAGCTTGCTCTCGGAGGTGCAGATGCCGAGGGGGGTGCCGTGTGCGGTTGTTGGGATTAACAATTCCACGAATGCGGGATTGCTTGCCGCGAGGATATTGGGGGTTGCGGATGAGAGGATTAGGAGGGCGATTAGGGAACATCAGGAGGCGTCTTGGGAGGAGGTTAAGGCGAAGGATGAGAGGTTGAAGGAGATTGGGCCGGAGGAGTATTTGAAGGGTATGGGGAAATGAGAGCGTAGTCATGAAACTTTGCTGAATCACAGCCGTATGATAGTCTTCCTCTCGTCCGTGTTGACCATTGTCTCAACGAAGCTGGTCACAACATAACCTAACACTAAGAGAATGAAGAGCCGTCTCGCAGGGATTGAAACAGCGGCGGTGACACTGGGAAGGCCGCCATGGAAAGAGCTCAAAACGTTTTCCTTGCCTGAAATATGTATCGACTAGATAGGAATTACTGGACTTTACCGTCCTCAACTCTCACTCTGATCGTGCCACTTATCCATGTCCTGCTCACACTCCATAAACTCGCCGACAAAATGTAATTGCAGAAGTCTTCACCTTCCTGACACCTTGTTTGTTATTATATATTGCAAAATCCAGCTTCATCAAGCACATACGGCCACAGATCAAAGAATACTGGGCATCCCGTTCGCTCTGCCACCACATAAGCTTTGAATCGGTAGATTAGTAGTTAGGTGGGTGACCACTAGCGAATACCTACTGCTGTATGTTTTGCTTTTTGGCCGTACGCTCTTTTTTTGAAAGCTTAAACAGATGTCATTGTAAATGAATGAGGACTTACCATACGTATTGCATCTTAGCTGCCGCGCTATACAATGTAGAGGCTGTGGTTTGCACAAAGCCCGTGATCAACACCGCCAGCAACATGGGCAGCGCAGTCGTCAATAGGCGACCTCCTAGTGTAAACTGTCGAGAGTTTGACCGTAAACCTGATTGATCTCCTCATCACATCGCATGAAACGCGCCGTTCTCAGCTCCAAATTGGAAGGTCGTCCACTCTGAGGCACACGTAACAAGTACCCCCTTGCTTAACGGCGCATCTCCCGCCCGTCCCAGCGTCAGAGAATGTCCAGCCTGAAGCGAACAGACGGCGAATCACACAACGATATCCAGAAAAAGTCCCAGCTTTAGAGATGCCCAAAGGTCCTGAGGTCAGATTTAGGTGCTCGGTTGCGTGTCGATCATTTCCCGGACGGACGAATGACAGCGCCCGATTCTCCACACCTTATCTTTGAGGGCGCGGAGTGGTTGTTGCTGTGCCCAAATTGAGCATGCGGCTAAGGGATGACCCGCTGCTAAACACGCGCCCCCCGATACGCGCTGTGGGGTGCGTGGGTGGCAGATTCGGCTGCTGAGCTTGGCTCTTCGTGCACCTTCCCGAAAGGGTATCTGGGGATATGTAACTAGGTACTAGAGCTGAGGAGGTTCCCCCGAGCTGTGGGGGGTAAGCAACACGTGTGGTGGGCTGTGGATGACCCGGTAATACAGCTGAATTAGTGTATGAATAGCTGCTGAGAACTGAAGACTACATATACTACGGTCACGGTTCTCGAGCAGTGGAGCTGCAGAGGCAAGACCAAGCACCACCTCCTCCCTACCCGACCTCCAAAGCACCGCCCCTCGCCCTCCGATCCCACCATGCATCCCTTCACTTTCCTCCTTCCCCTCGTCCCTCTCATCACTGCCCTCCCCGCGCCCTTTGCGGCCCCTCCAAACATCCCCACAACCTCGGCCGCACAAACCCAACTGTCTGGCCTAAGGGTAGCTCCCCAAGGCTCACAGACCGGCTACTCGCGCGACCTGTTCCCGCATTGGACGACGCAGTCCGGAGCCTGCAACACGCGCGAAGTTGTGCTCGCGCGGGACGGGACCAATGTCGTGAGAGACTCGAGCTGTGCGGCGGTGTCCGGAAGGTGGTATAGTGCGTTTGACGGTGCGACGTGGAGTGCGGCGAGCGATGTGGATATTGATCATATGGTGCCGTTGAGTAACGCTTGGAAGGTGAGTTGAGACTGGCGCGATTGCTTGTAGTGGAAGCTGACGGTTGTGAAGTCCGGGGCGGCTTCGTGGACTACATCGCGCAGGCAGCAGTTCGCGAACGACTTGACGAATCCGCAGCTGATCGCTGTGACGGATAACGTCAATCAGGAGAAGGGCGATAAGGGGCCTGAGGCCTGGAAACCGCCATTGGGTAAGTCTTCTGTTGAGTGTTGATGTCGATAGAGCGCCGCTGACAGCGAACGACAGCCTCATATCACTGCACGTACTCGAAGATGTGGATCAAGGTGAAGAGCGTGTACGGCTTGTCGGTGACATCGGCGGAGAAGAGCGCTTTGCAAGGCATGCTTAACACGTGCTGAGCGCATTGAGGGGAGGCTGGCGCTGTGCGCTCCAGCGGTTCTCCGAGGTGCTGGGCACCGATATTGCGGATGAGGTATCTTTGGGCTCCAGTGTGGCTTCGTTTTTGTAAAGACGCGTAGGTCGTTATTCGGCCGGATATCCGGGATATGTTCCAGGACAAAATAGTTTAAGAACGATGTCAACTCCAGCGCTGCGGATGACCTTGGTCCCATAACACTCATAAGTGATCAAAAATGGTGGTTGTATTGTTGGAGTTCCGACTTAAATGACTGGAACGAGGATATAGGGCTAGCTAAAGGTGCATGAGACTGGTCTGGTCTAGGCTCAAGAATACTGGAAGCATATTAGAAGGGTACCAGATTTGATGTATATGTTTGAAAAATAAGTGTGACTCAAGTGAGTAACTTACAGACAAGGTTATACCATCTCTAAATCGCTCTGCTTCTCTCTCTCGATCTGCTCCGGATCTACGATGATTATACCTTTGCCTGCCATCTTCCCACCGTGTACCAGCTCTGTCAGTTCGGTAATCTCATTCAACCCGTTGAACGGATTCGTCTTGACAGATATCCTGTGTTCAGCAACAACATCCAGCATCCGCTTAGCCTCTTCGCGTGAGCAGATCAGAGAGCCGCGGACCCTTATATCTCTGAAGATGTACTCGGCGAAGGGTATACAGACCTCGGTAGGCTGAAGGAGAGAGTATAAGCAACACCGTTGGCGATTCAGCTTCAGAGAACTTACCTGAGCAATCTGCACCATAGTCCCATGCATCTTCGTGATTGCACACGCAGTCGCAGCTGCGTCCTTCGCCTCGGACAGATTGATCGCGGCGTGCACTCCCTCGCCATTCGTGACCTTATGTACTTCTTTGACGACTTCGTCCTTCCCCTTCCGCGCATCGACAACAACGTCTGCGCCAGCTTCCTTGCTCAGCGCCAGTCCCTCGTCACGCGCGTCGATGCCCACAACCATCAAGCCCAGCGCCTTTGCGAACTGAATGCCCAAATGTCCAAGTCCGCCGCCCGACCCTACTAACGCAATCCACTCCCCTGCTGCAACGTCAACAAGCGCTCCTCACATCGTCACTCGCAGGCCCAGCACCTACCCGCCTTAAGCTCCGGCAAAATCACCCCCCTAAAAACCGTACACCCCGCACACGCCAACGGCGCCGCCGTGCCAAAGCTCACCCTGTCCGGCAGCTTCGCTGCCCACCGCGCATCAACAAGCACATACTCCGCGAACGCGCCCTGGGTCGTAACTCCAATATACCCGTCACTATTACGACAATACTGCCTATAGTTCTCAGGACCCAAACAATCCCCACACTTGCCGCACGCATTGCGCAGCAAGCCCGCCATCACCCTGTCGCCCTCCTTGAAGTCGTTGACGGAATCTCCGACCGCGACGACTGTGCCGGCGCCCTCGTGGCTGGCGGTGCACGGGAGAGAGGTCCCGAAGACGCCGGATTGGACCATGCTGTCTGTGTGGCAGTAGGAACCGACTGCGGTTTTGAGGAGGAGGTCGTAGGGGCCGAGGGCTTTGGGAACGGGGACGGTACGGATCTCGTAGGGTTTGTTGTACTAAGGGGATAGGTGAGTAAGGATTCTGTGGGTAAGGGAGGGGATGGGATGAGAGGGTTACCTCGACAACCTGAATCGCCTGCATCTTGTCTGGTAGATCCGAGAGGCCCATCGTGGAATCGTGTATATGAAGTATCTTGCTCAAGAGGACAAGACTCAAGAACAAGTGCGGTAATTAGAAAATATACCTATAATGTATGGGAAAGAGGAAGATGCTCAAAGAGAAAGAACAGTGACAGGGAATTAAGAGAACAGAGGTCCGCGATTGCGGAGGATCGACATGCATGCTGTCATTGTGCACCTACACCCAGGATGCCTCGGAGCAAGGCCGAGTCGATTTAGTGATGCTCGGTGGGTGCACCAAAAGTCAGTGAGCAGACCGAGCATGATTAAATCGGCTCGGCCTCGGAGATGGGTTTTAGATGTCAATTCCTCTGCCTCTGCCTCATGGCGTATTGGATAGCGAACCCATAAATCGCAGTACTCTGCCAGTAACAGTGCTGCCAAACCTCCGACGTATACTATCGCAAACAACGCAGAATACGATGAAGACCGATTGTTCAGGATCATGTCTGAGGTTTTCCGGCGTCGCGCAAACGATCTCCCGCATTGGGATCTGGTTTAATTGCTCATGTACCTCTTCATCCTTTAATGTCAGGTGAGGAGCATTTTGTGAATGATGTTTCGCTCTTTGTTATCAGAACATGCACTACGTATGGCATTTGCTTGCTTGTTGACTCCTCACAGGTATTTGTCACCGTTCAACGAACATCATTTCTGACACTCTGCACCTTTATAAAACCCCTACAACCTCCTCGCTACTTCGTAGCCACGGCCCATCTTGCCGGCATATAACGTAATAACTCTTACAACTATACAGTATCCTCATCTAACTCTCTGCTTCCGGCAGCTATTTTGCGGTGCTCCCAGCGGAAGTAAACCCCATGCACTCCATTCGTGAACAGGATCAGTCTTGCGGCCTCTGCACATATCGTGACTATACAACTGATGCGTGCTCAATCTGTGCATCAGTATGGTGAAATAAGAACTTTAACCGGGGTAAAGCGACCTCTGTAGCCCTTCTACGGGAGACTGGATCGTCCATGGCACACAACTCGGCATTCCGCGTCGACTTCAGCGAAATCCCGAATACCTGTATCAAAGTGATTGGACTGGTAGCAGAGCCAACTCAAGGCATAAGTGGCCGGTCGATGTTAAAACGCCTTAGGCCGGTCTCCTGGCTTGTCTTGACGCCGGTTTTCTCGAGCTCTTCCCAAATACTGGGATAAGCCTCTCTGATCCACTGTTCCACCTCTTCTTGCTTACTATAACCTGTCGTGGCGTTGAAAATGGTTCCCAATCTGCACTGGCTGTTAGCATACTTCATCTTCCACTTCACTGATGACAACGCCAGGCAAATCCCGCAACTCACGTAAAAGCATCAGGCTCCACCCCCACCATCTCCTTCATCCTCCCAACTTCCGCCTTTACCTCGTCCAGCAAATGATTCCCCGCCAGCGAGCCCACATACGCCGCAAGCAGCTGCGGCGTAATCTCAATCTCCATCTTCCGCAACCTCGTCCAGATGCTCTTCGCCGGCCTATCACCAAATGGCGCCTTCTCACACGCCCAGAGCGCAATCAGGATGCTGTTATAGCTAGGCCCCTCACGGGAGCCTACAATATCCTCCCAGAACTCGAGGGCGCGCTGTGGCTGCTCGCACGCCGTGTAAGCAAGCATGAGCGCGTTGTACAGTTGGGTATTGGGCTCGATATCCGAGTCGAGCTTCATCTGGTTATGTACGAGTTCGAGGCTCTCTATATCTGCGTCCTGGCCGTTGCCGCCTGAGGCCTGCGCGATGCCCTCCAGCGCGGCGACGTAGGTTGAGATGTCGGCGCGGGTATCCGGACGGATGTGCTGGCGCATATGGTTGAAGACATGAACAGCCATGTCCGGGCGGCGGCGGCGGAAGAACTCAGCCATGATCTGCGTGCGGATGGTGCGGTCAGTCTCGTCGAAGATCTGGTGGAAGATCATGTAGGTGTCCCACACCCGGCCCGTGCTGTTTGCTCTGTTGAGGCAGAAGTTGACGAAGACGTTCCGGATGGCGGCGCGCTGCGTCATGCTGAAGTGGAAGGTGTGGGTTTGGAGCAGGTCGATGACATCGTGGAGCTCGTCGCGCTCTAGATGCAGTAGGCAGAGGGCGGACACCGTGTCTGGCTCGAAGCGGGTGCGGCGGGCATTGAGGTCTTGGACGACGGCCATGATGTCGTCGACGGAGTAGCGGCGGGCGGCGCACATGGACTGGACTAGGCGGTTGATGGCAGGGATATCTTCGTTGTTAAGTACCTCCTCGGCTTGTAGCTTGGCGTAGGCTGCCTTGGCTCCGTCCACGTCTCCGATAGAAAGACGGTAATTGATCTGCAGGATGTAGGTCTTCGCATCCGGTCGGATGTCCCATTGCTGGCCGAGCAAAATGATGCGTTCAGCGAAGTAAGGGTCGTTTCGTGACATGGCAAACTCGACTAACTTGTTGATGGTTTCGACATCCGGTCGCTTGGTTTCCAAGTCTGTTCCGTCAGGATTTGCTTTGACCATAACTCTCATCATGCGGTCTATCTCTTCGACTCCCTTCCCGGTCCCAGCCGCCCATATGAAGAAGGCGTCCCACAGTTTCTTGGGAGGGTTCTTGTCTGCGATGGATCGAATGATCGACTGTCCCCATTCCAGATCGTTGTTTTGCAAAGCGCATCTCAGGACGGAGGAATACACATCATGATCTGCGGATAATTCTGGACCTGTAGGCTGATTGGTGACGGGATAGTTGAACCAGTACTTCGTCCGGGCAAGATCACCCCTCTCAGCAAAGAAAATGGTTACGGCTCCACGGAGTTTCCTGCCAAACGGTACTTTGTGTCGCTGCATCATTTCGAGGGTTGCTAGAAGCTCCTGCTCGTTACCCTCCTTGGCAAAACCCTGGACGACGTATCTCCAGAGCGTTAAAGGCTGCCTAGTAGCATTTCCTTCTTGCCACACCTTGTTCACTATCCCTCGAGCTTCGAGTGCTTCTCCAGCATTGCAGAGGGTAGCGATGAGAGGTGGTAGATCACAGTCCACGCTGTCGGCTGGCTCTGATGGGTCCGCAGCCTTCCTCGCCAGTATTTCCTGGTGCAGTGCTTTCGCCAACTGGGCATGCGTACCGCTTCGTGTAGTGGGAGCCAGTATTAATGCGTCCCTCGCAACCCTCAAGTCCTCAAGATCGAGCCACGGCTCCCCACCGGACCCTGGGTTCTTTTGCAAGTGGGTAAAAGTCCAAAGCGCATACGAGGACTGCATATCCTCAAGCGGCTCCTTCGAGCGAGCCTTTGCGCGGAAGAAGTCTACCCACGCTTTTGCCAGATCTTCCCCAGGAGGCGGTCGAGTTTTTAACTGGGCCATCTTACCGAGCTCCAGCATCTTGCCCAGGCCTGGGTCGAGGTCTGCCTCAAGCTTGACTTTCCGCTCCGGCTTGCGCAGGAAGCCGAAGATTGTACGGCGCTGCTGACGACAGTATACATTCTGGAAAGCGAGCGTGGTTCTCGGTGCTCGACAGGCACATGCTCGCGAGATGATGGGCTTGTTGGACAGTAACTGACGGAAGACGTGGCGAGTGAGATGAGACGGCATTGCGGAGGTGGAGGCGGAGGCGGAGGTTGATAGCATCTGCGGTTTGCGGTTGACGAGTGGGGCGACGGATTGGAATGGAGGCGGCAGTCAAGCAACCATATCAAATAAAATACTAACACAAGTCGAAGGGAAGGGCGGATGAATATACAAGAAAGAGGGGTTTGGATCGCGAGGTTGATGCTGTCAGGCCGCCTCCTCCCCACGCCAACGCCAAGCATCGCAAGATTTCTTACGGGCAAAGCGAGCGCTAAGCCATACTAGTGATTTGTTACCGGTTTTGCCACGGCTAAACGTGCCTGCAGAGCGTTTGATACTCACAGCTCGAAGTACTACATCACTCGCGGTACAGCAGCAGCACCAATGTCTCTCTCACGCCTAAAATCAAGCTTCGTCGCTCCGAGCAGACAATGGAGCAGGGCGTTCTCCTGTACCGCGAGCAGACCACGGGAAAGCAATACCTTCTCCAGTATGCCGCTCAACTCACCCCAGCATCTACTAGCACAGTCCTAACCATGCTGCCAGTGCTCGAAGCGCTCTCCAGTCCATCTCCACGCCAACAACCCCGATCCCGTCAACAAGCGCCCCGCACCACCGTTGTCGACCCCTCTACACAGACTAATGGCCTGCAGCCGGCCCGGAGCAGCACCCACGCCTGGGCAGCCAACGTCCTTCAGCAAAGCGAGCCGAAGCCAGTCGACCCAGCGGTGCGCGCTGGGACGATGCGCGATATTGACAATTCCGCGACACTGCGAAACATGGAGCTGCAGCAGACTCGACGATGGCGGGTTGGGGACGTGTATGCGCCGCACGACTTGAGCGGCGTGGAGGCCTCGAAGTGGAAGAAGACGAGGAGGTCCGATAACCCCCAGGCGCCCCTTGCGCGCTCCCCATACTACGATGCTGACTCTGACTGCAGACGCCCCACCCACGACGTCTTCGACTTCCTCGGCATCGATCCCCTCAAGGAATACAAGAACTTCGCCCTCATGTCCGAATACATGACCGAGATGGGCCGCATCAAGCACTCAAAGGAGACAGGTCTACGGCCTGTGAATCAGCGGAAGCTGGCTAAAGCTATCCGGCGCTCTATCGGTATCGGGCTCATGCCCAGCGTGCATAAGCACCCGGAGATTTTGGCGAGGGCGGCGCAGCCCAGGCAAGGAAGGTGAGGAGGGAAGTTGGCCTAAAGCCGGAAGAGAAAGAGGGGGGAGCCCATGCGCTATGTATATTGTGTATAAATAGGGATGTGTGCCTTACTCGAGGGGAGACAGTGGCATATCGGTAGAACCGAGGGAAGAAACCTTGGCGTTTTGAATTACAGGTTCTTCTCTAACACTATGGCTCGCGGCTTCACGGGCCTGAGAGCGTAAGTAGAGCCACTCAGTCAGGCCGGGAATGTTGTGGCTCTCGTCTTTGTAGACCTGGTGGCTAGACACACGTGATGAATGAAAAACATAACTGCGTGGAGTCAAGCCATAAGGCAGGCAGGATTGCAGCTGCATTGTAAAGAACGCACTGTGAAGAGCCCTCCATCGACATCTAACACCGCCCGATTCTGAGATCTATAGGAGCCATCCCATATAGAACACCTATAAACCAATGCCGCATGAACACTTCTTCCCTGTACCAGTACCAGTACCAGTACCAGGCACCAAACACCGAATAAGCGTCTTATAAACCGTGTATATCACTCCATCTCTCACCTCCCAGCCCTCGGTGCACCCCCAGCCCCTTCCCCTTCCGCTCCTCCCGCCCCTTCCGGCCCACCACTCCCCCTCTCCATCCTCGTCCCATCATCCCAGAACTCGACATCCCCCTCCTCTCCCTCGCCCAAAGTCCCCCTTTTGACCAGATTCCCCTTCTCCTTCATGATGTCCTCGAGCGTAACTCGCTTATCTGAGAAAATCTTCAAGTGGTCCGAGATAAGATGCCGATTCTTGCAGCCCGGACACGTTATCAGCACCGTGCCGTGGTAGTAGCCTTGCTTGCTGACGCGGTGCGTGCTGCGGGTTTTGCAGCGCGCGCAGGTGAAGGTCATCTCGTAGGAGGGGACGTCGGGGCGGGCGGTCTGTGATGAGGACGACTGGGGTTGAGAGAGAGGTTGCGAGGCCGGAAGAGAGGAGGAGGAGTCATGACGGACGGTAAGGAGGGACCCTAGGCGTCGTGAGAGCGCTTTGGGAAGATGTGGTCGTTGGAGGGGGGAGATGCGAGGTGTATGGTTGTGGTGGAGCTGTCGGGCTGGCGCAAAGAACGAAGAGGTGAACTGATGACTTGGACGTGCAGCGGATGGTCGCGGGAGATGGCGGATGAGACGGGATGATGCACGCATCTTGTAGGGGGTTGGATAAAGCACTTCTGAATGGTGTATCTGACGTTCTCCCGCAAATCTTAGAGCTTAAGCTTCATCTTGGAGAACAAGGGTCCAGTATCGATAGGGCTGAAGGCCGCGGCTGAACCCGCCACTTAACAAAGTGACAAGGTACCTTATCCACGGCCCTCACTTCACGAACGCGGGCTTCCGCTAAATAGTTACCTAGAGTTTCTGCGAGTCCCACTGTTCAAGACACATCTTCACAGAACCTAAGCCCCAACTCTCTCCTACTCCAAGCAACTCCACTGCCGTCTCCATCTTACAACAGCCCTGAGGACATCGTACCACTCCCACGTCGAGCCACCAACAGCACAAGCGGTGTATTCAAAGAGCTTAAGAACAGAATAAAGAGGCACTCATAAAGCGAAGATGCTCGCCGGCAGGGGTGGCAGAAAGATTAGGCCGCCTAGAAGGGTAAGCCTTTCACCCATCCTCCAGCGAAATCCCACAGCTATGCGCTGCTCCCCCACACAACATACCTATTGTAGCGCTGTGGGCGCCGAATGCGAGAGCAACGAACCTCTCAGAACTTGGACTCGCCTATCTCCTACGAGCATTCCGCTAATATGGTTTCTTCTACCACTCAGGGCCTCCACGGCGATGATGTAGACTTCGAAAGCACATGGACCACCCTTGCCTCGTCCTTCAAAGAAATTCACACCAAGAACGCGTCGAAACTATCCTACGAAGAACTCTACCGCCACGCCTACCGCATAGTCCTGAAGAAGAAGGGCGAGGTCCTCTACGGCCGCGTGCGAGATTTCGAAAAAGAGTGGCTCAGTCAGACGGTTGCCGCAAGCATACAAGGCCTGGTGACCGGCTCTCTGCGATCCGGCGCGCATGGCTCAGCCGCAGTGACGACCGCGAACGAGCGCAGGGAGGCCGGTTGGAGATTCCTCAAAGGCCTCAAGGAAGCATGGCAGGATCACCAGCTCTGCATGAGCATGTTGGCGGACGTGCTGATGTACATGGTGCGTTGTACGCCTGGACAGCGAGCTGTCTGAAGTACTAACAACCACGCAGGACCGCGTTTACTGCACTGATCATCGGCGACCTTCAATATTTATTACAGCCATGAACCTCTTCCGCGACTGCATCCTCCTTTCCAAATCCTCCTCTGAAGCCGACAGCCTGACAATACTGGCAATTCTGAACGGCATCATATTAGATCAAATACAGATGGAGCGCGACGGCGACATTATAGACAAGCATCTGATCAAGTCTTGTGTATACATGCTGGAAGGACTGTACGAGGCGGATCAAGAGGTTGAAGAGCAGCGACTCTACGTCACCTCATTCGAGACGGATTTCCTCAACGCCAGCCGAGAGTTCTATAGGAAGGAGGGAGAGTTTCTCCTCCGAGAGAGCGACGCTGGTGCCTACTGCCGCCACACGCAGAGGCGGATCACCGAAGAGCAGGATCGATGCCGCTCGACGCTCTCGGAAACCACAACTCCAAAGATTGAACAGGTCGTGGAAGATGAGCTCGTCCGTAACAAGCTGCGCGAGCTGATCGAGATGGAAAGCGGAGTCAGGCACATGATTGACAATGACCGCTCGGCCGACCTCCGGCTGATGTACATCCTCAACTCAAAGGTCGATCCGCTGAAGAAGGAACTCACATCGGCGATACAACAGCGGATCAAGGAAATGGGAGCAGAGATCAACGCGGCAGCAATTGCAGCTTCCCAAGCACAGCCCGCACCAGCTGCGGATGCGGAAGGTGACAAGCCAAAAGCGCCAGGCGACCGTGCTCTCAGCCAGCAGACCGTGGCAGCATTAAAGTGGGTCGAAGATGTGTTAAATCTCAAGGACAAGTACGACAGTTTCTGGAAATTCTCTTTCGACTCAGATCAGGGGATGCAAAAGGCGATATCATCCAGCTTCACCGACTTTATCAACTCGGCCACGTTTACCCGCAGTTCAGAGTACATCTCTCTCTTCATCGACGAGAACATGAAGAAAGGTATCAAGGGCAAAACAGAAACGGAGGTCGACCAGGTCCTCGAAAAAGCCATCATACTCCTGCAATACGTCCAAGACAAGGACATGTTTGAGCGGTACTACAAGAAGCATCTCTGCCGGCGTCTACTCATGAATAAGTCCCTAAGCAACGACGTAGAGAAGCAGATGATCTCTCGGATGAAGGTCGAGCAAGGCAACAACTTTACGCTGAAGCTCGAAGCCATGTTCAAGGACATGACGATCTCGGAAGAGCTGACAACAGGCTTTAAGGGGCATGTGGCCAAGCTGGGCGATGCGGATGCGGCGCGTGCCGAGCTGGCCATCAATGTGCTTACGAGCATGACCTGGCCGCTCGAAACGATGGGCAGCTCTGGCGATAATGAAGAGAGCAGAAAGATGCGATGTATCTTCCCGCCAGCAATCGAGCGGATCAAGAAGAGTTTTGAGAAGTACTACTCCGATAAGCACTCTGGCCGCCAGCTCACCTGGCTCGCGAACATGGGGTCTGCGGACCTCCGGGCCACCTTCCCAAAAGTGCAGACGAAGGAAGGTATTAAAGAGCGCAAGCACGAACTTAATGTCTCGACATATGCCATGGTTATTCTCCTCCTGTTCAACGACATACCTGCCAGCCAGTCCATTACGTTCGAAGAGATCCAAGCGAAGACGAACATCCCGACTAGCGATCTGGTCCGCAACCTGCAATCACTGGCCGTCGCGCCCAAGACGCGCATCCTGATCAAGGAACCCATGTCCAAGGACGTGAAGCCAACGGACAGGTTCTCCTTCAACGAGGGCTTCTCGGGCAAGTTCCACAAGATCAAGGTCGGAGTCGTCACGGCTGGGAACAAGGTCGAGACGGACAAGGAGAGGCAGAGTACCGAGGAGAAGAACAACGAGTCGAGAGGGTTCTGTATCGATGCCGCCGTTGTGAGGATCATGAAGTATGTGTTGCTTGAGTGTCTTTAACTCCAGACCAATTGACTGACTCCGAAACAGGCAACGCAAAGAACTTACCCATCAGCAACTGGTGACGGAGACACTGAGCCAGCTAGCCACTCAGTTCAAGCCCGACATCAACATGATCAAGAAGAAGATCGAAAGCCTCATCGAGCGCGAATACCTCGAGCGTATCGATGAGGCCAAGGTGCCGTCTTACCGCTATCTGGCGTAGTCGGGCCTCAGCCGCTGCTTTGGATTTGACAGGCAGCAGACTCATCTTGTTCACGGATCGCCAGCACATGGCTCAAGATTCTACAGCGCGTTGCATTTCAACTGGCGCTTTCGGCCTCAGTCTTTCTATCAGGCGGTGGACACTGCTCTCAAAAGACATCGCTCACATATCGGGTAAAGCGCGGCTTCGGTAACGCGGAGAGGCGCAATGCGGTGTTCACGATAGTGGTTTCAACACGGCGCACAGGAACAACCCCGACCGGATGGAGACATGACGTGGCACATGGATCTTTGCAGACTCTGCCGTTCGACAGTTCTGGCATCTTTGCGACTGGATTTTCGACATTCTAGGTAGCTACTCAGCGTTTTTCCGGGTACGCGGCGTTTTGCTAGCTATTCCGCCACGCATCTTCTAAGCGATCTGGTTCGAGATGGATCTGGATGGGGGTGGAAGACGGGCAGGTACGGGAGGACTGCATAGCGTTGCTTGATGTAGAGGTTCGATTACACCGAGACACATCTCCGCCTTGTGGAGGAGGGGTTCTGGGCTTCCCCGCGACATAAGATCCGGAGGGTAGGGTAGCGCGAATGGAGCAAGATCCGCGATGATCTGGAGTAGAATCGTCTGGTCTTTAAGTTCTGTGATTGACTACTCGATGTCCATGACCATCTAGATCACCGATATCAAATAGCAAATGGCTATCATCAGTATGCAACCATCCTCATCAGAAAGTCCGGACCAACCGCATCTGCACCTAGCAAAATCGACTATCGATGGTCCGCATTCATGTCCGTGTGAAATGCAGAAACGCATGCATCAGAGCGCCAGGGCTGGGCGATCAAACGCGCGGCAACAGCCCATCAGCAGCCCTCCAGGGTCTCGTTTCGTCAGTTTCGGGCCATGTGGAGAAGGCCGATGCATGTTCTGCCGGGCGATCACTTTCTTGTCGAGCGCCTGCCCGAACAAGAACTAAGTTATGTGGCTGCATTAGGGCTTTTGGCTTGGTAAACATGTGAAAAGACGGAGGATGAGGACTCAACGAGCAGTGCTGTTCGGCTGCTAAACGGAAATGGGTTTAAGGCTTCTGCAAAATGGAATTTTTCTAACAGAGAGAAAGCGTGTTGGTCACATGAGTGTTCGCCATGGGGATCGTATCACGAAGGAGTGGCAGGACGCTGGATCCTTCGAGACTGGATGTACAAAACGTTGCACGTCATGATCCGAGCGCTGTCAAACTCCTCGTGGTTAAAACCGTGGTCGCTTCGTGGTCCCGTTGCCTGACTAAAGCCAAGCTCATCCACGGTAGACTTTGTTCGGGCTAGAGTAGTTACAAGTGTGCGGTTGGGATTGCTGCTTGTCAGAAAGGTTTGAACGACTGCAGCCCGCAGCCCGCAGCCTTCTGAGCATCGCATCTGGCCGAATCACAGCCGGCACCGAACCGAGATGCAGCTGCGACTCTCTGCGACGTTTCCAGACCCCGGCCGGACGACAAGGAAGCTCGAAGCTGAGTCCCCCAACGGATGACGCCTTGCCCTGATGATCGCCAGTGCGGGAAAATCATTCAGGAACAGGACCGGCTTCCCGGCGAATCAGATTGCAGAAGCGCGAAATGTTTTCGAACCCTTCTGCAGACCCGGAACGGCGACTCGAGGAGGCGAAACAGCGGCTCACCGCTCAGGCCGTCCCGTCCGGCTTTCCAGCATGCTTCCGGCAATCAGGTGCTGGAAGGCCTGTCAGTCCCGACACTCTGAATGTGAGCCTCTCCTTATCCGTGCAGGCGAGCGGGTGCAGACGCTGTCACTGCTGTCGCGGCTGTCGCTGAGGCGTCGGCCGTGGGTCCAGGAACCCGGTGTCTGCAGGAACGGGCTGTGATGGCTTGCGATGCACGACAATCCCGAAACACCAACTCACAGCTGTCAGCGCCAGGTCTGACACGGACAGGACCTCGGCTCCAGCGACTCGGACTCGGCCCTGTAGCTAACGTCTTGTAGCAGCAAATCATGGGACCGGTTGAGGGAAGTGCACGCCGGCTCGCCGCCAGTGCTGGCTCCGGGCCTAAATCCCCTTGGATAGCCTGGACGCCTGGTGGATACAGGTGCAGAGATTGCGTGGACCACATGGTGAAACCCAGCACTTCGAATTCGAACGGAGTATTGCACCTGCTCCACCAGAGGAAAGCGCCCAGAACATCCCCGTGTAGGTTCTCCGTTGGATAAAATCCCCATGTTTCCCCCGGCATAGCTTTCCTTTCCTTTCCTCTTCACCACAGTCCTCACGAGTCTTCTGTGCTGTTGCAGTCTCTCATTCGAGCATCCGCTCAGTCCATTCATTGTCTTTTGTAAAGACACAGTCATTCACTTTTTTCTCCGCAACAGCCCAGGTCGGCCGTGCTTGAAGCGCTCCAGTAGCTGCTCATACGTTCACTGTCACGCTTGATCTAGCACTTTTCGATATCCAAAAATTCTATCCAAGATGCCGTCTTTCTACGTCACTCTCGGACTCCTGTCCCTCGCGGGCTCCGCTCTTGGACACACCCGTCAGAACGGCCGCCACGGCTGGAGGAAGGGCAAGTCCACTGGCACTGGCACCGGCGCGCCCTTCCCTACTGGAAACTCGACTGGCATCTGGGGCACTGGCACTGGCACTGGCTATTACCCCACTGCCACTGGCACCGCACCCTCCTTCTATGAGTCCGCTTTGTCGTCTGTGGTTTTGGACGCTGGGGCGGAGTCGACCACCACCTCGACCTGCACTACTTCCAACACCGTCTACGTGACCACGACAAACACCCTGACCGTCACCGTTGAACCCGAGGAGACTGCCAGCAGCGTCGACGTCCAGGCCAGGCAAGAGACCAGGACCCGCCGCACCCGCACTCGCACCCGGTACGGCGCTCCGGTCCCCACCACCTCTGCTGCCTCCTCGGCCGTCGAGTCTGCCGCCACTAGCTCGGCCGTCGTAACCTCCACTCTCGAAACCGTCGTTGCCAGCAGCGCCGCCCCCTCCAGCGACAGCTCCTCCACCACCAGCTCTGTCTCGACCCCCACCGTCCGTGCCATCGGCGCCGGCAAGCGCGGTCTCGCCTACAACAACGCCGCCCTCTGCGCGCCCTTCGCCTCCTCCAGCCTTATCACCTGGGGCTACAACTGGGCCCAAACCTCCTCCGGCCTGGACGGCAAGTACAACTTCGTCCCCATGCTCTGGGGCACAAACTCCATGTTCACCAACGGCTGGGCCGCGGCCGCATCGTCCTTTATCGCGAACGGCGGGAGCCACCTCCTCGCCTTCAACGAGCCGGACCACGCGCAGCAGGCCAACATGGCGCCCGCCGTTGCCGCGGCCGCCTACAAGGCGCACATGCAGCCGTTCGCCGGCAAGGCCAAGCTCGGCTCTCCGGCCGTGACCAACGGCGGCGGCGACATGGGCCTCACGTGGCTGTCGAACTTCATGTCCGCGTGCAGCGGGTGCACCATCGACTTTGTGGCTGTGCATTGGTATGACAGCGTCAACAATGTCGAGTACTTCAAGAACCACATCACCTCTGCGCACACCAAGACTGGCAAGCCGGTGTGGTTGACTGAGTTTGGTACTATTGATGGGAGCGACGCCCAGAAGGCGGATTTCTTGAGGAAGGTCCTGCCGTGGTTGGATGCCCAGGACTGGATCGAGAGGTATGCGTACTTCATGGTTAGTGATGGTATGATGGTCAATGGCGGGTCGATGTCGGCGCAGGGAAGCGCTTATGCTGCTTAGACGGCTGGGAGTGTTTTGGGTATGCGAGTGTCACCTGTTCGGGCACGCAGTGCGTGTTGGATGTTCGGTTCTCTGTGGCATATTATAGACGGGCTTTTGGGGGATATATAGATGGAATGGGATCTCTAAATCATGAGGTTCAAAACTTTGCTTGGCTTTCAGTGATCCGTGACCAGTTTCCTCTTGCAAGAGATCACTGTCTTTTGCATGCGACCAATGCTCAGTTCGCCCATGCACGGATTGTGAGCTTGAGTGCGAAGAGGTCTCGTTTACTGTGATACAGCGGCACTTATTATTGAGCGGTTGGAAATAAACTCAGACAGTGATATCCAGATAATATTGACTCTCAAGTTTAGCGAGGAACCTTTTTAGGTTCCTTGTATGGAGTTTAGCACGTAATCGCTTCCTTGATATAAGTGTGTGCCGTTGCGGGACATGGCCGTCTCGAAATGTGGTGATGAAATCCCAGCCCGCTGATTCGGCGGCAAGATACCCGCCAAGACCCTGCTCCATCGACGTCGACCTTCCCACGCCCGTTGCCCGAGCACATCGACGCCGGCAACAATGGCTTCAAAGCTGAGTCCCGCCCTCTTTCGAAGCTCCGCAAGGACATTGCGACAGTTCCACAAGCCGCAATGGCGCTCCTTCCGCACTACCGCCTGCGCCCGCAGCAGCGATACCTACCACGTCGTACGTCCTCCACCGTCCGCTTACACCTACTTTACCACCTACATACGAGTAGCATCCTCGCTGACAATGTCGTCTAGCACAGAGACTCCCCTGACAACAACCCCAGCATCCCCTTCAAGTTCACGGCGCAGAACGAAAAGCTCATCAAGGAGATCCTCTCGCGGTACCCGAGCCAGTACAAGAAGGCGGCCGTGATGCCGCTGCTGGATCTCGGGCAGCGCCAGCACGGCTTCACGAGCATTAGCGTCATGAATGAGGTTGCGCGGATCTTGGAGATGCCGCCTATGCGCGTGTATGAGGTCGCTACGTTCTACACGATGTATAACCGGACCCCGGTCGGGCGGTTTCACGTGCAGTGTTGCACCACGGTATGCGCCCCCCAAGGCTCGCCCACGGCACCTACTCCATCCACGCATCGGCCCTTCCAGCCGCGCACAAGACACCCAGACATCGCGTATATCTGACTCACAATCCCTCTTCCACAGACACCCTGCCAACTCCGCGACTCCGACAGCGTAATGCGCGCCATAAGCGACCACCTCGGCATCCACGCGGGCGAAACAACGCCCGACGGCCTCTTCACCTTCACCGAGGTCGAGTGTCTCGGCGCCTGCGCAAACGCCCCCATGGTCCAAATCAACGACGACTACTACGAGGACCTGACCTACGACTCCACCGTCTCACTTCTCAAGGGCCTCCAGCAAGCCGCCGAGACCACGGGCATGAGCGGCGGCGCGGCTGGCATGGGTGGAGATTTGGGCAAGGACGTGGGTGAGGCGGCTGATAGGGGGGTTGGTGGGGCTGGGGAGAAGCAGGTTGGCGAGCAAGGACGCGGGTATGAGGCCCAGGGCGTCAAGATGCCGACGCCGGGGCCACTGAGTGGGAGGAAGACTTGTGAGCCTGCGGCGGGGCTGACGAGCTTGACGAGCCCGATGTGGGGGAATGAGATGTTGAGGAAGGATGGGGCATTGTGAGTTTTATGTATGTATCAATGTGTGTATACGCTCGAAAAGTTGGCACCGCGGATATTGTTTGCGGAGAGATTCACAGGAGAAGAGCCCGTTGAAGGTACTTGGCGTGCCCAAAAACAATGCGGCCCTAGTTTCTATCTTGCCAAAAGGCGTTTCTTTTTAGTCTTGCGTTCTATCAAGTCTCATTCCACTCACGTGACCTTCGGGCATTTCTCAATCACTACGTGTCTTTCTCAAAAACAGCTCAGTCTGTCGATGACATCGTTTATCTATGTAGAAGGTGGGGAACTCGTCCTCTTGCAACACACTTGTGAAAATCAACGAGAAAAAGCGAGTGATGGGGATATCATTGTTCACCAAGCCTTCCCGAAGATAGTGTTCGCGCTTCATCACTTCATCACGCCTAGTCTGCCATGCCAAGAGCTCAACACGACCTTTCAAGTCATCTTCCTTTATGAATTGTTCGAGAGACAGGACATACTCCAACCAATGCTAAGTTGACTTGGAGGGGAGCACTGGACATTGTGCGGTCTCTTCACAACGGGATAGGGTCTTGCTCATGACACAATGTTGTTGTGACAGGCCATGAACGGGAGACCTTAATGACGATTGACGGTCAGCTGTTTTAAGCCCTGCCGAGGATAGACTGTGACAAGCCTTGCCGATGGTAAGCCATGTTGTTGTAACGATGAGCGTCAAGTACCCCGTGGGCTAATCCTGTTAGCAGGAGCCAGATCAAGAGTCAACGGTCTCACCTACCGCCCGTTTGTTTGAGACATCAGCAGCGCCGGAGGTGGAGCAGAAGGCTCGATCTCTTGCACGAACCCTGGTGTGTAGCTGAGCGGTGGGCCCCAGACTGGTATGTTGCGGAGAAGCAGAGCTTCGAAGATGGCATTGCTCTGATCAGAGACTGGGCAGGCTACTCGTCAATTAAGAAGCCCAAGGGGGGCTGTGCAGTACGGTACCTCTGGCTCTCTGCATGTACCGCCTGGCTTCCAGCCAAGTCAACAAGGCGAGCAGAAGGGTCGGAATGCCAATAGACAGAGAGACGATGATCTCAGGTGAGAAAAAATGCATGCTTGGATTGATGGCTACGGATTCTGAAGGGAGTTGATTGACTGTGGGATGGATGGCAGGTCCCCGAACTTTGATGCATCTTTGCGCTTCTTATACTTGCTCCACCCGTGTACGGTGTACCAGTGTGCCATTGGTCCTTGGTATCGTCCGCAGCCTGTACGAGCGCATCGAGAAAGGTCAAAGGAAACCTGACCAGGGATTGAAACATGGTGTGTCCAATCGCGTGGGAGTCTGATGCCAGCGGGCGCCGATCGTGCTGCTTGGATGATCGCTCTGTGGCTAGTGACGAATGCGCCACTTCTCTGCACGTCCGAGGTAAGGTTATTTGCTAGGGTTGCACGCGACTTGGGAAAATACGCTCGCTCCAAAGCCTATCTTTACCCAAACCATGTACATAGGTGGACATTATTTTGCCATCTGCCTACGCGAATGTAAGCCCTCGACCCTGAAATATCCAGACAGACTGTCAACAAGGAGATCAAGGGTGTTGAGGGTCATTTGTGTGGTGATTGATCTGGTGCTTCCACTTGATTTTGGTGAGGATCAGCCTCGATGGGAAGCGTTTTTCCTGACCCGTGTGAGTGTTGTGGATTGCAAACGACGGCTGACCCCACAGGTTGCGATAAACTACTCCGTATTGTCCACCCCGTCAAGAAAGAATAATAGCAGCCTCGGGAGAACGAAGCTGTACCAGCCATCCCAGCCATCCCAGCTATGCCACCTCTGATGACGCGGCAATACATGCTCAGCGTTGGGCTTTCTTTCCCAGCATTAAATTGTCTAGGAAAACTTATGGACAAGATTACTGCCACTGGAGAGTTCTCTCTATTTCTGCACTAGCCTAGCGGACATCCACATTCTCGCGCCTCTAGGTAAGGCGTGGCTTTGCGCAATCCAAGATGCCGTGTCTATTAGGCTTGCACGGCTTGCTCTGGACGTCGCCACGGCAGCTAGCAGCATCTAATGCCTAGCGTGTGCGGTGCGAGGTGTTGTTCTTCCTGAACAACCTAGCACATCGCCCAATTGCGTAAAGACCAAGGCTTCCGAGATGTTCTGTCATCTGCATTATATTTCAATCCCTGGTCAGATCTCCCTGAGCGTTTCCTAACTCGTCCGTGCGGGCGGCCATTAAGGGACCAGTGCTGGCATACATAGCTCTAGTTGGTCCTCCACCCAGTGCTGGACTGTCCTCAAGCCTTATCTCAATCTGCTGTCTAGGACTTCGGAAGTGTTCTGCGCAGCTGAGGACAAGGCCTCCACATTGTTCTGTGCGTCAGCCGCTCATGCCGCCGTCATGGATTCAAGTAACCGAAAGGCGGTTTGATAAGCGCCTAGAGTAGACAAGAGACTTTAAACACGCATCGTCAGAGTAAGATCGAGAGGACCTCTATTTTTCTGGTTCAAAAGACCACATAGCGTTATCATGCGTTATCTCAGGCGAGACCTCATTGCCGCATCAGGGACGAAGCTACGTACACCTACATTTTCACCTGCCAGCCTACTTTAACCTCTTCCCCCGCTGCTTTACACATCTGCGCTCTACGCAGCTACAGCACCACATCATTCGATAATCTCTCCGCCCCACTTGACGGCGACCTGCCCCACACCCCCATCCACCCCGTTGTGCCTCTCCCTCTCCTTGATCTTCTTCCCCGCTGGGCTCCCGCTTCCATTCCGCCCGCCGCTCCCCTCAGCCCAACACAGCCCACTTGTCCGCCTCAAATTGTTCTCATGCTTATTATCCCTTGTGCTCGCAAACTCGAACGACGCCGGCTGCTGCCAAATCCCCAGACCGTCCTTCTTGTCCTTGAGACTCCACTTCTCGATGCCCTGCGCGGCCGTTGGATTGGCCGCCCACGCCTGCTCGGCAGCATAGGCGTCCTTGAGCTGGGCATACAGCTCTCGGTAGGCGCCAGAATCCTTGCCCCAGCCGCCGTTGCGGAGGTAAGCGCGCTTAAGGAGGTCCATGTGCGTGGAGGCAATCTTGGCACCTCCTTCGGGCGCCAGGACACCGTCTTCGTCGACGGCGACAAGGGTCTGGCGAAGCAGATCTTCGTGAATGGCCATTGCTTTTTTGTACGCGCCGGCCGCGGTATAGAGCTCGGCGAGCAGGCGGAGCATCTTGAGCGTCGTGTTGTCGAAAGCACCCCAGACCCGCTTGAGATTGTAGCAGATGTCTTCGCAGAGGTGGAGCGCGGCGTCGTGGCGGCCGCTGGCGAAGCGGACCTCGACGAGCCGCCGGCCGATCCAGACGATGGTCGTTGAGGACCAGCTGGTTTGTGAGTGGCGAGATGACCAGAGGTCGGTGAGGATCATCTGTGATGTGTCAGCATCAATGCTTCGTCCTTGGACACACTGCCATAGTCTCTCACCTCTAGCGCAGAGTAGTTGCGCTGTTCACCAAGCAGACCAACGAGCTCGTTGAGTTCTTTGATCGGCATCTGGATGAACTTGACCTTCATGTGCAAGGCGGCGTCCAGCACATCGGTGAGAATCGTGGTGGAAAGCTCGAGCATCTGCTGGTGGAGCTTCTGGTCGGTGCAGCGCTTACATCCACGACCCGTTAGATACAAACATATCCTGAAACCTGCATCGACGGTCTGCTGGCTGGCAAACCCACCGTGCAGACGGATGAACCTTGAAAGGAAACTGGCCAAAGCAAGGGCCGAGTCAAAGCGAGAAGCATCAGCATGAATGCGGACCGCGTGGGCGGCATTCTCGATGACGGCAGCGTCGTCGTTGTTGCTGCCCATCTCATGGATGCAAATGTTGAATAGCTCCCGGAGTGTCTTGGACGAGGTCTGAGAATGCAGGGCCTGGGCAAAGATCTCGAAGAGCTCCTTGTCGACTCTCTGGTACTCCTCGGTACGTCGCTGGCGCTGCAGGAAGATTAACAAGCGACAACCATGGCTCAGCGTGACCTCGAAGCCGGACTTCTTCCGGATGGATTGTGTGTAAGATTGGTAGAGCAGCGTCTCCGTCATGAGGCTAGCCATGATCTCTGAGAAGGAGCTCTCGCTCGCTGAACCCTTCAAGGTCTGCTCGAAGGCGACAATGAACACAAAAGACCTTCGGTCAGCCCCCTCAATGGAGATACCATGCTTCGAGTACGATTTGTAGTCTTCCGTGACAACCTGGCGTCTCATCTCTTGAAGCAGTCCATATGCGGTCTCTGTCTGGTTTATCTGCAGGTAAAGCTTCGCTATGGTCGTCGCAGACTCGAACAGCCTAGTAGACTCCTTCTCCGTGCGCACAATCTTAGTAACCGATGTATTGAGTGTTTCGACGGCCTTTGTCTGCATCTCCACCGTGTTCTGTTTGGAGTAAAATGTAACCAGCTCGCTCAAATGCTTGATAGACGTCCGCGAAGCATAACCATGGCTTGACACGGTGCTCTTGTATTCTTCCGCATACATGGAGATCGCCTTAGATGACGTAGAGCTCGTAGTCGCATACAGTGTCGTCAGCCGTTGCTTCGCCTCTGTGGTAATCCTCTGATGGTAGTCGAAGTGAAGGACGAAGACTCGCTCGTTTTCTTGAAAGTCTCCTCATACAGTGAGACAGCTTTCTCACGATGCTGCTCGTTGCGCTCGTAAATCCTGGCCAGTTCGAGGGTGGCCTTGATGGTGAGCTCGTGGTGGGCCCCGAAGACGGTCACACAATTGCTACGGAACTCCTCAGTAATCTGCAACAAAACGGAGTAGTCAACCTTCAGCTCCTTGTCGAGGATGTAGAAGTACCGCGAGTAGATCCGATCGACAGTCTCGCTTATCCATGCATAGCTCTTGGTATGCTTGGTGAATATCATCGAGAATAGGCTGTAAAAGTGGCGCGCATCATTCCGATGTTTGGCATTCTCATGGATGGAGCACAGAGCGAGGGCCGTCTGAATGGCTTCTCGGTGTATGAACTCAGGATCTTTGCCGAAGGCTATGAAGACCTCGTAATAATACTTCTCCGCCTACTGTAGTGGATGTTGATGTGGACGTCGAGGTCGAAGTAGTTGTTGTTGTCGTCGTCGTACTAACCGTCGACTCAAAGACTTCACGGAGGATCTTCTCTTCTTCTTCACTGGTATGGGACGATGATGTCTGGTAGGTCTCTGTGATCTGCCTAGTTGTCTCTGCAAGAGACACCGCTACTGACGACGCTTCTGACGAGGAGATTCTGTCCGTCTTCTTGTAGTAGCTCCACAACGACTGGAAAATCTTGTTGGCTATAGTGAGAACTTCCACCTCTCGGAGCTGCTCACCAACCATGCGAACACATTTGATGATCTCTGTCGTCTGATGCGAGGAACTTGTTGATTCGGAGAGGACGTACTCGAAGTCTGACCAGGTGCCCATCAATATGTTAGAGGCTTCCTCAATACGCTGGTGGCGACGTAGAAACCGGACGTAACGGAGTGTAATGTCAATCCTCCTTTGCTAGATGGTGGTTTTTTTGCTGATGCGCGCCTCCCTCGTAATGCTTCGCCAAAGCGCCACCAAGATTTCTTCAGCCTTGGTGATCTCCTGTCGCGCCCCGTAACAATCAATCATGCTCGCCGCACAGTCGATCAAGGTCTCGTCAGTGATGGACAGCGACCGCCGAGCTGACCAGTAGGTATCAATTTGGATCTTGATGATCTCATCTTCCCTTGATGTCTGCTGGTATGGCTCGATGAGAAGGTTGAAACATGATCGTATTTCGGCATGGAATCGACCGTAATGCTCCACACACATCCCGTAGACTTCGCCCACTATATCTATGGGCCGGTCGAGCTCGTTAACCTCCCGATGCAAACGCGCAAGCGCCTTGGAGTACTTGATGGAAAGCTCGTGAGAAGCGCCTCGTGTCTGCTTCATATGGGAGATGATGTACTGAAGCATCTCCTCCTTCCGCATGAAGAGCTCGTCCCTCGAGTGGATTGGGAACGATGCGGTTGAGTCAATATCGCCTGTCACACAGATCGTTATGATTGGATTCGTCCGGCCCAGGACGTGTTGACTGATCCTGTATGCTTGGCAGAAGTACTGGCCCGCTTCAGCGTGACGTGACACCTTGAGACACAACCGCGCAATGGCGACAAGTGATTGTAGAACGCACTCGCTTCGTTCGCCAACAATAGCCTTACGTAGATTCAGGGATAGGTGGTGGCGTTCAATAGCCACGATGACATTGGTCTGAACGTCCCAGCAGCTGTATTCCATCAAAGCCAGCAGGGTGGACGACGCAAAGCAACTCTCGAACTCATTGACGACGTTGTGCTTCCCGCTTGGGTCATACATTGGCGAGTTTCAGAAGTGTATGATCCAGTAGCGGGCCGCATACTCGAGTAAAGTGTACTTCCGGAAGAGATCCGCACTACGACTGTACTGCAATGGCTCAGCAGCCAGCGCTGTCGGCTGATCCACGAGGACCTTGACATAAGCAAGGCACCTGGTAACGAAGTCGTAGTGTGCTTCCTTGAATATGAAGGGAAACTTGGCGTTTTTGCTGGAAGTGTCTCTAGAAGAGTTGGCGAGGTTGAGTAACTCCTGGCGCACGCTCTGATTGCGGAGCCGCACAATACCGTCGCGAATGTCCACCAAGGAACCAACAGCACGACTCACATCTTCCTCGAGGTCGGTGAGCCTTGGAGAGTGAGTGCAGTCCGAGGTGTTCAACTCCAGGGGAATTTTGATCTCGGCGAGCGTTAGAGGTCGCTCCGATGCCAACAGCCAAGCCAGAATAGATCGTGTATCCCTATTTTTCAGATCGAGACACCACAGCAGCACCTGGATGGCTTCGCCAAGGGACTTCGGGGCCGTATCCAACGCTTTCATAACTGCAGGCAAAGTATTCTCCTATTCAAGAATCTCAAGCGTGATGATAGCCCACGTGAAAGAGCCATCAGCGGAGCTTGTCAAGTTGTTGACGAGCTTCTCCTTGTCTTGCTGGGGCAGACCCCGGAGTTTTGTGGAAGATCTCACGGCCTTCATGACGAAAGACCGGAGGTCTTCTGGAGTATGTGAAGCCTCGACAGTGAACAGTCGCGCGTGGTGAGATCCAGGCTTCTTGAGCGGTTGGCTAAGTACAATGCACTTGGCAGCACTGCTACCCGCCATTACTTCATGCAAGCGGTCAAGCAGCCGGACGCTTGCTTCATCTCCGCCGAATATATGATCCAAACCATGGATGACCAGCATTAGGCTCGAATTGCTGCGGAGACCGATGGAAAGCGCTTTCCACATCGCCAGCTCCAGGTCGGCATACTTACCTTGCATCATCAGCTCGTAGGCAACACACAGTCGCTTGTACAAGCCGGTGTCACCAATGTTATGTTCCAGAAGTTGCAAAAGAAGGCTTTTTACAACACTTGAGTGTGATATTTCTGTCATCAAAGAAGGATCTACGTAGAAGTAAGCCAAAACCAGGCAATATAGTGCCAGATTGCAGAATACAAACCGATGGTATGCGCCAACACCTCATAAGATTTTCTTCCTTGCGCACGTTGTAGGTTCTCAACGATCCAGGATCCGAGCACAGTCTTGCCGGTTCCGGATCTGCCGTTCACCAAGGACATCTTGTCGCGGCTCCTAACGAAACCCATCAGGAAAGGGCGAAACCACTCGCAGGTGGACTCCTCGCGGCCGCTTCTGGAGCCCATTCGGTTGGACATCAGAATTTCAATTACCCTGTCATTAAGGGCGAGGAACTGCCGGATATCTTGAACATCGATGGTAATGTCTGCTGAACCAATGCTCTGTTCAAGCTGACATGACCACATGAGATTCAACGCGGTGTTTCTGTGTCCAAAGAACGCGTCTACAGTACTTCCAAACAAAGTATCGAATTCGGTCGAGCTTGTAAAAGCCCGAAGGCTGGAGTAGTAAGTTGTGAGACTGGAAACCAGTTGGACGAGATCGGCGGATGCAGCGACGAGGGTATGCTGGACATTTTCTCTGAACACGAAAAGTTCGCGATTGCGAAGGAAGGACAAAAGGGTCTGACCGATGCTGTAGAACACAGCAAAACTTTTCTCAAGGATGGCAATGTGGTCAGGTCCCATCTGGTAATAAAGTCAGTTGCATTGCGTATCATGACAATATCTGGACACAAACCTCCAGTAGCACGACGCAATTCCTTAGAACTAAGCTTGCCGCTTCTTCACTGTACGATACGAAGCCCTTCAAGGCCTCATGATAGAGCCAGACCTGGGTACCGAAGAGCTCGCTCCACTGGAGGACTTTGTCCCAGTTGCTGCCGGGATGAGACATGCGGCGAAGGCGTTGCGCAGCGATGTAATCAAGGAAATCTTCAATCTTGTGCTGACCCTAAAAGAGCTCTTGAACCTCGGTCGACGAAGAGGAACTGAACTATGTCTGGCAATTGGTCATGATTCGGCTGGTGGTCCCACGGAGTGTAGAACCCTTTTGATTTCGGATCGCTCCGCAACAGTCTCACCGTTGACCCCATCATCATACGATCTATTGGCGGCCTCAAAGCGTGAGGGCATCATGGCAGATAGGCTCGATTGATGGTGGCTTTCAGTGCTATTTGATGTGTTAACATGCGGATCGAGTGGGTTTGTGAGGAAATGCTAACGACGGGAAGCGGTATCTGGATGCTGGGAACTACTCACGCTTGAGCTGGCTTCGTGCTGTCCGTTCTATTGTAGTAGGTAAAGCGGTCTCTGGAACTTAGCGTGACAATGACGAGGATACAATTGCAACATACCCTGCTGTTTTCTCACCCCGAGGATGTACTGTACAGTGACAAAATAGGCATGAAACAACTTTAACCACGAGGTGCAGAGAGGACAACATACAAAACTGAATTGGCCTCAGAATGCGGGGGCTGTGGTGTATAATAGAACCCCAGGTAAGCTAAAGGGGGTGTTCCACATCGGCCAACCCCAGCTCACCGTCTCCGAAGGGATCAGCCTGTCCGCTGAACTCTTGACCAGGGCTCAATTTGAAGTCGCGCCTGAAGGTTGAGGCGGGCATTGCAGTAGCTTGCGCGCTTAGTCGTAGTGCACGCTTGTCGCCGAAGCTGCTGCAGCGGGCGAGGTCCGAACGCGCCGTCATTCGCGAGGCGGGAGCTGAAGTACCCGGAATCCAGGCATACTGTAAGCTGATAGTACGCCGAAAAGCGCATGGTGAGCCATGCCCGAAAGGATGTGAACTGCGAGCACTCTACAAACCCATTGCATCATCACCAAATGGAGCGAACAAGCTGAGATGGCCAGGAAGGAGCCGCGATCAATGGTGGAGTGATAAATGCATTCCCGAGGGCGCTGCAGGCTTTCCAATATCTGCTGTCTCCTTTCGATTCGCTCAGTGGCATTATGAGCTCTCATTTAGTCGGCTGAAGGTGTAGCATAGCCAGAGCACCGAGCGGCGGTCGCACGAAATGGGTGCCGTAATGACCTATAGCGTAAGAAGCTAATGCGAGATGGATTGACTGGAGTCGCTTTTGAGGCGCTCCTGAGAACCCGCATACGATTCGAATGGCGTAGCTGAATTTGGCATCAAAACTGAATGCAGCCAAAGTGGTCGCCTAGGGCGACAGAATGGGGAACGAAATTGAGGCGGGGAACAGAACGAACGAGCAGAGACGCGTATAGACAAACCGAAACGAGAAATTGAAAGACGCAGAGCGAGCACCAACGCAGAGTTGCGCCTGGATATCACCACTGCCTGTGGGGAAAGCTCGGTGCTTTCTGCTGTCCACTCTTTCAGTCATCGACAACTTTCAGCCGTTTTTGTTCGTTGAATCAGAACGAAGACACGGTGTATGGACGAAGCCATTGGTAATGGCTCATCCTGCATCGAGGTGCGTCCAATACTCACATTCATGGCTGCAAAAGCAATCCTCGATGGACACCGCGGACGTTGAGTTTGGGTTGGCTCAAGGGCGAGTTGAGGCTCTCAGGATCGGGATGAGGGCCACAGCGGCAATCCGACGGATCGGCTAGCCGTGCTGCTACTCCCGCACCTGGGTTTCCAAGGTTCGCTCGAGTACGGAGTACATACCTACAGAGTATCTACCTATGTAGATGACGGAAAAGAGCGAGCCTTTGAGCAGGCTATCAACCCCATAGCTAGACAACCCTTAAGTAACTTTTGGACTTCCGCTATAAACTTAGTATCTACCATGATCTTTACCGCGATTCCTATGGCGCTGGTACGAGTAACTCAATAAGAGATAGTCGCCTCGGGCTCCCTGTATGCAGCGTTCCCGCGCATTGCATACCACTAGAGACTTCCTAGCGTGCGACGCGGGCAGCCCTGCAAATCAGAACGAGCTCATAGGGCTGCTCCTTATGGCTTGCATGGAGGGCAAAGCTGCGTTATGCTGAGGTGTGAATGCGGTTCAGCAATTTCTCTCTTCGCTTAATGCATTTGTTTAGATCTTGTAAATGCTTGGTTTTGACATCAGCGTTTATTCAAGAAGTGAGGCTTGCTGTGGATGGGTTGTACTAGGCTGTCAGCTCCTAGCTCCTAGTCTCTATATGAACACTAGCTTCTGAAGCTGTACCTGGAGTTAGCATAATTACAGCACGGTATACTCCTGAAAACTGCCGATATAATGGAGACCCAATACACAGTGCTTAGGATGGTTTGTCGATAGGCTAACATTATATTAAGTGCAATTAATAAGCAGTGTTCATTGTGAGTCATTGCTCTGCTATATGGAATAAACAGTGTCCTATCTCCTAGAGATCAGCGCAGTAAGACTACCACGTTCTTTAACTGCAGGTGTGACATCCCATCTTCACTCGCTCTCGCACGCCCTGAACTCGCACTGCTTATTCTCATTGTAACTCGAGTTGCTCATATCATCGCTCCTCGTTTGATATTTTCCTATTTCCTCACCATCAAACCCGTCAGCACAATGTCGTCTCCAAAACACCTCACCGACAAGCTCTCCACCGCCGTCAAAGCCGGCGACCTATACCTCATAAACTCGCTCTACACCCAGCTCGCCTCCCCCCGTTCGTCCCTCGACGAGATAGCCCAGCAAGCAGCCCAGCACGCCCAGCCACTGATCCTAGAATGGTGTTTCCATCAAGGCCTCACTCTTCCCACTGACTCCATGAACAACCCCTTCTACCACGCCGCAATCAGCAGCAGATGCCCCCTCATCTTCAGCGTCCTGCTGCACCACGGCTTCGACCTGAACGCGCACTGGAGCGAATATCTCGGCGACGCTCTAGTCGTGGCGTGCATGCATGGCGACACCCCGTTTCTCCGCTTCTTGCTCGACAAGGGCCAGGATCCCAATCTGGGCCGCGGCTGCGGCGAGTACGAAGCCTTGACCTGGGCGATCGTTGGCGACGAGTTGGACCAAGCTACCAGGATGGAGGTCGTGGGGCTGATGCTGGAGCATGGCGCTAGGCTGGAAGGGACGGGTGCTGCGATTGCTGCTGCCGAGACGGGGAATCTGCAGGTCTTGGAGATGTTGTTGGAGAGGGGAGGACCGGAGTTGTTGGAGGAGAAGGCGATTTGGTGGGGCGTTAATGGTCGTGAGTCGATCGACTCCGAGGGGACGCCGCTTTATCGAGCTTGTAGGGCTGGACAGAAGGAGGCTGTGGAGTTTTTGCTGGCTAGGGGTGCGGATGGAAGATCTAGAGATAGGATTGGGAGATCTTGCTTAGACGTGGCAAGGGCAGGTAGATACGATAATGTAGTGAAGCTACTTAAAGACAGAGGACTCCAAGAGTGATTTACGTTTGTACTGAAAGAGACGCAGCGGCCTCCGCTGTTGTAAATGTCAGACATGAAGCGGCTTCGATGTATACATGTTTTGCCAGCAGTGTTCCCGTGAATATTTGACAATCAATCTGACTTCCCTAGTTTCGGATCGGTGGTGTCCTTTCTATGGATGGAATCATTTCCTGCTCAACCGTGTGGTTAAGGAAAGACCGCATGGTCCAGCTTGACTCTCCCGCTCACTCACTCTCCAGGTCGCTAGGTTCAGACTCGCTCTCACTCTCCCCCTTCTTCTTCCTCCCCCTCCCTTTCTTCCCACCCTTCTCCGCCTTCTGCTTCCTCTTCTCCTCCCTTTTATCAACCTGCGCCTGAATCCTCTCCCTCTCCAACCTTCCCTTCTCCGCCAACTCCCTCTCCAACCTCAAAAACTCCTCACTCTCCGTATCCATCCCCACCAGCCTCTCCAACAGCTTGATCTCCGTCGCCCAGATCCCCTTATCCGGAACCTCCTTCCCCGTGACCGGATCCTTGACATCAATCGGCGTCTCCAGCACCATAGGCAGCCCCACTAACCTCTCCTCATTAACCACATTCCAGAACGCTCTTAGGCCGAGACAACCCGTCCCGATGTTCGCATGCAGATCCCTCCCGCTTCCTAGGGGGGCTTTCGAGTCATTCACATGCAGCGCCCTCAGATACTTCAGCCCGATCACCTCGTCGAACTCATCCAGCGTCCTCTTGAACGCAGCAGGCGACCTTAGATCATACCCTGCAGCGAAGACATGGCACGTATCCAGACATACGCCAACCCTCTCCTTCTTCTCCACCTTCTCAACCACGTCTGCCAGATCCTCAAACGCCGCGCCGAGCGTACTAACCCCCCTCGCAGCCATCGTCTCAAGCAACGTCACCACAGCCCCACTCCCAGGATCGGCATGCGCTTTATTCAGATTTCTCGCTAAATGCGCTATCGCCGTCTCCCGATCCTTCGCCCCACTACTATTCCCAGGATGAAAGTTATACAGCCCTATACCGAGCTTGTGGCAGCGTGTCAGGTCGTCGAGAAAGGAGTCGTAGGCTTGCGTCGTGCGGGCCGCGTCGGTATGCGCGAGGTTTACGAGGTAGGAGCCGTGTGGGACGATGTGCTGGCCGGCGGAGTAGGAGTGCTTGGTGCAGGCGGAGGCGAAGAGGGTGGTGTGGGAAGGGTCGAGAGGTGGGTTGGTCCATTTGCGCTGGGATTTGAGGAAGAGGGCGAGGGCGTTACCGCTGCGGTGGGTTAGTGAGGGTGGTATTGAGATTGCGGTGGTAGCTGGCAAGGCATGGGGAGATCGAAGGAATTGAAGGGGCGTTTGATGGGGGGAGGGGGAAGAAAGTGGAATATTTACCCGATGTGCACGCAGTTCGTGATGGCGTTGTGGACACCTATAGCACAGCAAGTCTCAGCCAATTTTCTGTTTGTTTGTTAAATCTACTTGTACAGCTATAGAATTTCTCCGCCCACGGCTTACCTCCAGCACTCGAGACGTGCGCCCCAACGAGCAGTTTCGTCCCAATGGTTCGCGCAGCGAGAGGCATGGCTTCGGCTTCCTTCTCTTCCTTGGTCTTGCGCTTGCGCTTGACCTTGGTGACGACCGTACCGTCCTCGCCGTCCTGCTCCTCGGTCTTGACCTCCTCCTCAATAGTAGTCTTAGTCTTCTTTGCTCGCTTCTTGGGCTTAGCCGGCGTGCCGTTAGCGGCGGCTTCAGTACCAGCTTCAACCTCGATCTTGACGTCGATCTCTTCGACGACCGTAGCGGTCACCAAGGCCTTCTTTGCTCGCCCGCGCTTCTTCGGCACTGTCACCACGGCTTCGCTGCCCTCTTCCCCCTCAGTCTCCTCAGCGTACTTAGGCTGAGGCCCTTTGGCTCTCCTGGCGCGCTTTGCAGGGACCGTCGCGTCCTCTGCTGGGCGCTTCCGGCCTCGCGAAGCAGATTTCGAGACAACGGTGGACGAGATGGTTTCTTCTTGCGTCACTTCAACGCTTGTAGGCGCAGTCGACGCGGTACGGTCTTCAGCGATATCTGATGCGGCGGACGAGAGCTCAGATGAGGGAGATCGAGCCATTGCAGGGACTAAAGAGCGTGTTACGTGGTGACGTAACAATGAAGCAGACCGCACGGCAATTGAGACAACGAAGCAGCGTTGTGGAGCGTTGCTGGATAGGAGAAGCCGAGCTTGGACTCGGTGGTCGCGACGCGAGGTCGTGACAGAAGCACTTTGGATCAATGTTTCCCCGATGCCGCGCAGCTGCAGGGCTGAATATGTTATCGATAACATGAGGCTGAAAAAAGTTCGGCGGTGATATTCATGAAATCGCCGAATATGTGATATTCATGCGCCTCTCCACTCCCTCGCCCACCACAACGTCCAGAGCTCAGTCCAGTGAGGCGGCTACGCTGCCACCACGGTCATAATGCCGAAAGTCAACAAACACCGCAGCAATGGCGCCCCCAAGTCGCCCTACTCCTCCCCCGCCGCGCCGCCCAAGGCTTCTAAGCCCGCGCACTCCATCTTCAAAATGAACACCGACATCGGACAGCACGTCCTCAAGAACCCCGGCATCGCCGACGCCATCGTACAAAAAGCGGACCTCAAGCAATCCGACACAGTCCTCGAAGTCGGGCCCGGTACCGGCAACCTTACCGTCAAGATCCTCGAAAAGGCCAAGCGCGTGATAGCCGTGGAGATGGACCCGCGCATGGCGGCCGAGACGGTGAAGCGGGTGCAGGCGACGCCGATGCAGAAGAAGCTCGAGGTGCTGGTGGGCGATGTCATCAAGACTGAGCTGCCGCGGTTCGATGTCTGTATCAGCAACACGCCGTATCAGATCTCGTCGCCGCTGGTGTTTAAGCTGCTGGCGCTGCAGCCGGCGCCCAGGACGATGATTCTCATGTTTCAGCGCGAGTTCGCCATGAGGCTGTTTGCGAAGCCGGGGGATAAGCTGTATTCGAGGCTTTCGGTTAATGCGCAGATGTGGGCGAAGATTGATCATGTCATGAAGGTGGGGCGAAACAACTTCAATCCTCCTCCGGCGGTCGAGTCGTCTGTTGTAAGGATTACGCCGAAGGTCCCGAGACCGAGGATCAGTTACGAGGAGTGGGACGGGCTGCTGAGGGTGTGTTTTGTGCGGAAGAACAAGACGCTAAGGGCGAGCTTTTTCGGCACGAGTAGTGTCATGGACATGCTGGAGGCAAACTATAGGACGTGGTGTGCGACGGAGGGTGTGCCACTCGAAGAGGGACCGGCGCCGGATGGGGAGATGGAGGCTGACGACGGCGGCGACAGAGCTGGAGATCAGGAAGAGGAAGAGTGGGGCGGTATTATGGATGTGGATGAGGAAGAGGACGATCTGCCCGCTTTCTTCAAGGAGGAGGCGGAGCGGAAAGCGGCGCTGCTGAACAGGAGCGGGAGCAAGAGGAAGAAGAAGGGGAAGGTGGCAGAGCTGGTACGGGAGAAGGTGAGGAAAGTGCTGGAGGATGTGACGGAGCTGGCCGACCGACGAGCGAGGCTATGCGACGAGACGGATTTCTTGAAGCTGCTCTCGGCGTTCAATGATGAGGGCATACGGTTTGCCTGAGAGCTTCGTCGCAAAGATTTGCCCTTTTCTGGCGCATGGGGACATTGCATGGAACGGCGTTAGGATGAGACCGTCATTGATGGAATTAATGGAGTTCATGTGTCGAGAACCCATAAAACGCGCAGATGGGTTTGGTGGATTGGTTGAGATTTCAAGGCTGAGTGAGGATTTCACCAATAAGGGTGGTGAGTATGTAAAATTGGAAAGCGTGTCGATGTTCCGAGCACCACAAAATACCATACAAAGATTATGCTGGTTCAAGTCTGGACAAAGGCGCTCGAGACTACTTATCGCATGAACAGAGAAACGGGCTGGCAACTTTCACAGGGGTTGATCCAAGACGTAGCAGCAGAGTAAGATGGTGTTGGCTAAGCTACAAGACGGACATCATGCAGCCACATTGAATTCCCACCTCCGACCCACGATCCCGAGCTAACTTGTCTATTTGGTCTCGTCGAAGACATAGGTGAGGTGGCACTTGCCGCAGTACTGGCGGTTGTGCATGGCGGCCATGAAGACACCGGCGCCACACTAGACATGATGTCAGCTGTGTCCTTTGCATACAAAATTGATGATCTCACCTCTGGGGTTGGGCACTCCCTCCTCAGTCGCTCGATCTTGCCATCACCATCGACCTTGTAGTACTTGAGGACAGCCAACTTGGTCTTCTTCCTCTTGTGCTTGATCTTCTTCGGGGTGGTGTACACCTTCTTCTTCCTCTTCTTGGCGCCACCACGCAGGCGGAGCACAAGATGGAGCGTCGACTCCTTCTGGATGTTGTAGTCGGATAGCGTGCGGCCGTCCTCGAGCTGCTTGCCGGCGAAGATCAGGCGCTGCTGGTCTGGCGGGATGCCCTCCTTGTCTGCAGAAACGTGGGTCAGTGAAAAGCCCGTCGTGGCGAGGGCGACAATCAGGCGCACCTTGGATCTTGGACTTGACATTGTCGATGGTGTCCGAAGACTCCACCTCAAGGGTGATAGTCTTGCCCGTGAGGGTCTTGACGAAAATCTGCATGGCGACCTGAGAAGCGGCGGCGGTCAGTATGGCTTCGCAGTCTGAAGGGATGCGCGACGGGACTACTATGGAAGAAGTACTCACCTAGACAATTACGATTGTCCTCCTCAGTCGGCGATGTGCAGAAGTTGAAAGTGCAGGGCGTGGGAGGTGATTTTTGGTTGTGCGGCGGTCGGCAAGTGTAGGGCTGAGTTACATAATCCGTTTCCCAGTGAATTTAGTGTGTTTGAAATGGCTTGGCATACGCCTCGTACTCGCGAACTTCAGTTCAGTTCGTGCGCAGCACCAACCGCACTCATCAACTTCACAGTCGTCTTCACTTCAGAAACATCCTACATCGCCGCGCAATTGCATCCAGAAACCTCTATCACTAGAAGTCGACAAACTTCCGAGGAGCCCAAACCCCAGCGCAGGCTCCTGCACGAAGCACACTTCACGGCCACCGTGCCGGCCGCCCATTAATATCAATATCACATACTTCGTACCAGTACTGAGAGGAGGCTAACGTCTCTTCCCGCCCGGCGGCGTGCGGCTCGCACTGCGTGAGGTTAGAAAAGGCTATCGAAGCAATTGGCAGGACAATGCATTGACAAGTTGCGCAGTACCGGACCAAGAGGAGATCCATCCTCGACCACGGACCTATCCGGACTCGACTTGCATTCAAGATGCTGTCCCCATCGACCTCGAGTATTCAGAAGCGCCGACAGCAACACCGGCGGCAAAATTCCACACCCACTATATTCGAGGCAGCACACCTACGACCACTACCTGCGACCATTCAACGACAGAACAGCCACCGACGAGGCATGAGCTTGGACCAGAAGCCAATTTACCGAGGACCATGCCAGGCGACTACTAACCTAGCACCCATCCCGCAGGAAGGAAGCGTAAGTATCACTAACACAGGACAACTACAACCACAGCACTCCATGCAAGTAGCGCAGCAGCAGAGACCAGCCCAGCCGGGCTTATCCTTCCAGGAAACACAACATTACTATCAGCAACAACCGCAACAGATTGAAGGGCAAGCACATGGGCTGCCATGTCAATTGCAACAGACTCAACCACGGACTTCACCCCAACCTTCACCGCAACAAATCCAAGACTTGGAGCAGCACATAAAGTCAGTCTACGGGTCTTATGGAACGGTCTACGTGAACATACTTCCCATCCCTCAGCCGACTCCACAAGAGCCAGCGCCGGTAGCCAAATCCGAGGACTTGGATTTTGCGCCAATGCCGACGCACTTTGATGATCTGCCTGAGATCAACCTAGAGCCCTCCGTAGGCGACAACGGACTAGGATTGGACTACGAGCTCGAGATTCCGGAGAGCGACATTGGCTACGAATCCTCGTACTACTCAGAAGCACTGTCACCCGGTCGTTCTCCATCTTCTTCACCTCGACACCAAGACATCAGCACATTCCTAGATGGATTCAACGCACGACTATCTTATCCAGCACAAGCCTCCCTCCTGCCCACCTCCCAGAGCAGCCCTGCCCTCGATGCCTTCCTCTCATCCCCAAGCAGACCTCCCCTATCCCCCCGGGCGATGTCAATCACAGACATATCTCTCGACACCACAATTGAAGACACCGGCATCTCCCCCGAAGAAGTCCAGCAATACATCAGCGAGCAAAACACCGAGAACCACCGCTGGACATGCCTCTTCCCCGAATGCGGTAAGACATTCGGCAGGCGCGAGAACATCCGATCCCACGTGCAGACCCATCTCGGCGACCGCCAGTTCCGCTGCAACGGCTGCGGAAAGTGCTTCGTCCGCCAGCACGACCTCAAGCGCCACTCCAAGATCCACACGGGCGACAAGCCGTACAAGTGCCCCTGCGGCGGCGGCTTCGCAAGACAAGACGCACTGACCCGACATCGCCAGCGCGGGATGTGTGTTGGTGGGTTCCCGAGCGCGGTTCGCCAGCCGGCACGACGGGGGCGGCCGAAAAAGAAGCGACCGGACTTGGAGGAGCGAGTCGACAAGGCGAACAAGGCGCGGAGAGCGCTCGCCTCGACCGCGTCCTCGTACAGCGATTCTCCGAGCCCCGAGCATGACTCGCCGGGCAATAGCTCAGACTTTGAGCCCGCGCAGTATGCAGACCCGCACTCGTTTGAGATGCGATCAGATCCATCGTGTGATCCTTTTGGGTAGCTACACCTCCTCACAATTCGAATGATGGTAACACAGCTAACAGCCCCAGCTTCAACAACCAAACCTCCCCCTTCGCCTCCTCCCCGCCTAACAGCACTGCCAGCCTCGCCACATCTAGCCCCTTCGACATCGGCTTAGCAGGTGACACCCTCTTCCGGCTGACCGCGGAGGCCTTTGCCCAAACCCCGCCGACCTCTCCAAAGAACGCCGACGACGCAGATGCCCATTCTCCAGCAACAGACGCTAAAGACGACCACGCCACCGCCGACTACGCCCCCTTCAAAACCTCCCTGTCCTCTTCAAAACCGCCCTCAAACCCCTTCACCACGCCCCCCACCTCCCCCGCCTTCCACGCGGAGACAGACGCAGAGACCGACATCTTCGCAGACTTCGACGTCGCGACCAGCGCGTCGGGCTCGTACGACACGTCGAGCTTCCCCATGGACGACGGGCTGTTCGACGGCGCGGATCTGCTGAGCTGCGCGACTGATTTCCTGGGGAGTCCCGAGGGGGCGTATTCGGCCGAGGAGGCCATGGGGGCCGGGTTGGCGTGGATTGACGCGTTGTGAGACCCGCTTTTTCTGTTTCTAGGACGGTGTGCGTCGATTTTGGGGTATGCGACGAGCGGGACTCTTGTTGCGGCAGCTGGCTGAAGTTTAGGGACGGGTTACTAGGTTGGCAGGAGGGGCGTTCAGGATCCCTCGGCAGGGCTTGAGCGCTGGGCGGGCACCAAAAGGGTTACGAAGAATGACTATTCCGTATACTATATTTCTTTGGAGGGACTCTTACAGACGCGCGGAGATCATGTGGCGGAAAACGACATGTATCTTGGGTGTTTGGGTAGGGAAGTTGGCGGAAACATAGCATGGCAATGAGAGTGGTCTGGACTGTCTCTACGACTGGTGTTTGGGATCCTTGACCGTGAGGAAGATAAAGTAGCTAGGACCAGAATACTATCGGCTTCTATCTCGCAGCCTTAGTGATCAGCTGCTGAAGCATGCACCATAACTGTCCAGACAATGGGGGGCTTTGTTTCGTTTATCTCAACGTCGTTTATGCAAATGGCAGCCACCTTCGGGTGATGAAAGAGTTGGCCTTGTCGCCCAGATCGTTTCCCTAATCACCGTTGAAGGGAAACGGAGGCTCTGCCGTATGAATTGCACCATCTTGCGCTCTGCTGCGGGATACATGAGTCACAGTTACGATTACGCAACCCGCACGCTGCGGTGCATCATGCCCGGTACTGGCAGTACTGTAACAAGCACAACAGCGTCAATCAACTCAGCAAACCATGTGAGGTTGTCACATGATTCCATTAGCGCTACCTAGAAACTGTAGACACGAACCCTCCCATTCATCCCGCCGTCTTTCATCCCATCATCCAGCAGTGTCTGTGGTATTTAAAAGGAAAAAGATCCACCCTGCCCATTCGCTGGTCATCATAGCATGTCGTCGTGATACGAGAAGAGAGAGAGAGAGGTACATGGAAGAGTTTTATGTCGCATGAAGTAGCGCACGCCAAACGTAGCAGAAGATGCCAAGGTGAAGTCAGAGAGAAGATGTGCTGAAATGCGTCATGAGAAGATGGGACAAAAGACCCAACCGAGATGGATCGCTACCTAACGGCGGTCGAACCACTTCTGGACAACAACAAGGCCACAGGCCACAGACCACAGCAGGAAACGTGTCTTTTTGGGGCGTCTACGTGATACTGTGGAGAGGCCGAGTGGTGGGAGTGGTTGGTGAGAGAGTGACAAAGCTTGCGTAGCCAATGCGTGCGAAGCATGCGCGGAGGATACTCAGCCTTGCATGGGACTCGTGAATGGATCACTGGAGGCGAGCTGGCTGAAGGCGCTGTTGAAGGACGCAGTCGGGTCGTAGCTGGTCGAGTGTGAAAAGTTGCGAGGGAAGGTATTGAACTGGGTAGCAGGGTGAGATCGCTCCTCGAATGGAGAAGCGAGACGTCGGATGTGGTCCGCCGGCGAAGGGAGCATCAAGGTATCTCCCGAGGGCCCCGGGTTCGACGCACTGAGGGCTGCGGAATGACTCTCTGTAGGGGGCTCAAATAGAGCCGACAGACGCTGAGCACCCGAGGTACCGTCACCTGCATCGCCAAAGCTGAAGCCGCGACTTCGTACCCGACGGTGGCTGATTTCAGCAGGCGGGCCAAACAGCTCTTCAAGCAGACCGGAGCGTCGATGTGTAGGGCTCGACGGGTTCAGCAATTCCTCCAATTGGTGATGAGCGCGGCGCTTGAACGATCTCGGCAACGGCGCCGGCGCGTGCAGCTGCAACGGTGACTCCAGTCTAGATGCTGGGAGTTCGCTCTGTTCCGGCTGCGTCTGCGGTTGAAAGAAGCTGGTATTGATTGGGGGACGGCGCGGAGCTGCACTGAATGCGGAGCCAAGGGTGCGTGACTGTCGCTGCACCTGGTTTCCATCGAACCCAAATTCGAGCTGGAGTGACTGCCCTTTCTGGTGCGCAGCTAAACGACTACGGGGCTCAGTAGCCCACCGGCTGCGCGCTGGACGGGGCGTGATGTCACTCGCAAGCTGAGAGAGAGGGCCGCCAGGCTGCATGGACGCTGCAGTGCTGGTGGCCAATGAGATATGCATATCTCGTGCGAATGCAGACTGTGGCTCTGAGGCCGTGCTTGGTGACGTAGGGATCACAGGTTCTTCCTTTGGATCCGACTTCGAGTGTGGAGAGGAGGACGAGAAAGGTGATGGAGACCTTCCATGCAGCAAGCGTTGATAGTGCGCTGACAGCGTTGGCGTACGCTTGCAGAGATGCCTCAGCCGTCGTCGGGTTGCCGACTCTGAACGAGGCCATTGTGCATACGGCCCGGCGATCTGCGCTCTGGTGGGCGTGTTGCTTCCGCTCTTCGGCGCTCTGAGAGTATCAGGTGAGCCTGCGCGTTGCGTCCGTCGAGGGTGAAGACATGAAGCGTTTCGCAACGACACAACATGCTTGGGACCTTTCCAGCTGCGTTTGGCTTCGCGAGCGACGCGATGGCAAACACCAAGAGGCGGTGCAGTTCCAGGCAGCATCTTGAAAGGCGTGACAGTGGGATCCTGCAGATACTTCAGATAGATGATCCAGAGATGGTTATCCATCTCTTCTGTCCAACTTGCAGTTCTCCGTATTCTCAACCGTTTCATCGGTCGCTGGTCAAAGGATTGGTCCAGTGGCGACGTGACCATAGCGGTGCTAGACTTGAATGTAGGGAACATGAACGGATCAGCGGTATCACTGTCGGGGCTTGTGCAGCTACCGCCACGTGAGTGAAAAGAGTCCGCGCTACCACGGGACGACATGGAAGAGTTGGATATGCTGGAATAAGCGGATGACGGACGACTGATGCTCTCTCCGGGAAAGCTCTCGTCAGTCATGTGCCAGTCGTCGTTCGCCGCACGGGCTCCGGCGTATTCAGCAATCTGTCCGACAGGAGTCTTCGGCGGAGAAATGGGGCGATTCAATGGCGTCACTGGCGCAAGGCACTCTATTGACATGCCCGAATTGAATTCAGGCAGAGGTAGATACTCTTGAGAGGCGGGATCCGGCGTCTCGATCGTAGGGATGGAATGCTCGCGGGGGGCAGAGTCGAGAGTGTCGGGTGTCGGTATAGCGGCCCGTTTGCGCCGTAGTCGAAACGTCTGTCGAGGAGGTGCTGGCGGCCCTATGTCTTCTTCTTTGGGCTCTGGCTCAGGCGTGCGAGGAGCTTGGCCGTCCGCATAGTGGAAGGTGAAGTTTCGGGGAAGGGTGATGGAGACGTGAGGTCGCACAGGCGGCATCTTAGAGGAGCCCAGACGAGTTCCCAGACAGCAAGGTGCGTAGTCGCACCCTTGGGCACTTCGAATGTCGCGACCAATGGATCACGCTTCTGCAAGGGGTTAAAGGACGCCGGACAGCTGGGAACAGCAGCACAGGCTTCCAAGAGACTCTGGCGTGTCTAGTTTTCCTAATCCCAGGGTTGGATTTGGTCCAAATCTAGACGAGGATTTGCGCGCGTATCCAGAACAGCGTCAGAAGCTGTGAGGAACTGCGATGTTACACAAGCACTCTAAAGGCTATTTCAGATCGTATAGCGAACTTGAGACGTCGCTATTCTGTTTTCGTTCACAAACTTTGATCCGTTGATTGTGTGTGGCCTGGAGCGGCGAGAGGTGTTCGAGCGAGTGTGGTGAAGCAAGATCTAGGCAGCGTGCACTGCGCCGATGGCGTCGTACGCCGGGAAGGTCGGCAGCTGCAACAACCTAGCAGGGTTCGCTGGACGCTGTGAGGAAGTTGCCAGAGAGAAGCGACAGTGGCCGAGGGTAGGTGCGATGTCGGGCGATGGATCGCGAACGATTGTCACAAACTCGGTCGCGGTTTCGAGACGAGGAGCGTGTGGACGAGCAAGGCCGATGTCTGCGCGGTTCTCCAAGATATCAACAGGAGCGCATAGCCGACGAGATGCAATGGCAATAGGGCGACGGCGAGGGAGGGTCGGCGGTGTTGTTGTTGACACTCGGCGCAAGACGGAGGGTGGAGGTGGGTGGGTGCCGTGGGTGGAGGAAAGAGCGCGGGTCCCAAGCGGCGGACTTTGGCTGAGCGTCCGAACCGGGTTTGGCGCTAGCGGCGACGCTAGCGGCGCTAGCTCACTCGGCCGCAGTGCCTTAAGGTTATGCGGTGAAGCAGGTTTGAGCGCCAAAACACCCCAGAAACACTCCCCGTATGCAAAGCCAAAGAGAAGCTCTACCTGTAATTTCCCTGCGAGTCAAGTCTGCTCCGTTGAGTTGCGTTTGGGACCCCCGATGTACGTTGCCTTGCGAGGTTCTTGCGGGTGGAGGTGTCAGGTGGACCAGCGCTGCGCATTGGCGAGCAGCGGCACGACGAACATGTTCAAGCACGACGATGTCTGAGCCAGCCAGTCAACCAGTGCCCGTGCCTGTTGGACGAAGATGCTTGGCTTCCGTCCTGAGGAGGTGCAGCGGTGCAGTGCGTTCTACAAGGGCTCGCCGCTACTGCGGGAGAGCATCTTAACGAAGCGTTGGACTCGCGCCGTTGCTGGCCAAAGCGGCCTTGCAGCGAGGTGGCGCCTCAAGGGACCAAAAATCAAGAATAGAAAAGATAGAAGCTGGTCTGCACCAGGGCTTCAGCATAGAAAGAGCAAGGCGCGTCGACAGCAGTCCAATGGATGGCCGAGCTGCTGTGGTGCCGTCCCGAATTGTAGAACGCGTCTTGGGCCCAAGCTCGTGCTAGCGCGTTTCTTTCGTGCCGTGCATCGCAGCTACCTTATTCTCCCACATCTACCAGCGGGAGGCTCTCGCAACCGTGGATGGCGCAAGAAAGTCACCGGCGCCGCTTCGCAAGAGAACCGACAGCTTCCTCTATTCGCCCCAGCACGCGTTGTTTGTTTGTGCCATCGAGCGACAACTGACCCTTCAGTTGCGAAGCGCAGCACTCAACGCTTTCTCGCGCGCCATCAATCCATGGCAGTGCAGTGCATCGCATTAACCTGCCCTCGAGAATGACAGAGTGCATGAGCCTGCTCCCGCGCCCTGCGCACGAGTCGGAAGGCTTTTTGCTTTTGCACCTCACCCATGCGTCTCAGACCCCTTTGACCCTTGCCGACGGCAGCATCGCGCTCTGCCCGTCCCGAGATGTCGACATTTCGAACATTCGAATCTGCCGCGGCACCCGAGTGAATGTCAGATGTCAAGCTCCCCGCTATTTGACGTGTTTTCACCCCCCAGGGCCCAGTATCCTGATCAGCGCAGGGAGGACTCTGTTGTTGCCACTACGGGGGCATCGTCCTGCCTCGTGCTCGCCCTTTGCGTTCGATCTGGAGTGACTTGTTCATGCACCAACGCCATCTACCACGATACCGCTCTGCGGTTGGATCCCCATCTAAGGTCTCCAAGCCCGGCTCCGGCCTTGATAAGGTAGCATTGGTCGAGGTTGAAGCGCGTGGGGGTAGAGCAGCGGGTACCTGATACTCGTACAATATTCCGCGACAATCACCGTCTTATCCTTAAGTGGGAAGCTTGAAATAATATTTGGACTATCCAGCACTATCCTCCACGCAGCGTTGTTCACGAACGGAGCGGATCTCCCTGAAATGGACATACAGCACCGTTGTCTCTTCGGAAGTGGGAACGGCGTAGGACTTCACTGAAGCTCGCAATTCTCTAACACACGAGTAGGGTAACAATATAGCATTTGCACTGATGGCATCTCTGCTACATGTCACGAGCTCCAAGTAGATTGTCAAAGTCATGCTTCTACCCACAGCTTCATTACCAGAGGCCAAGCATTGAACTACATCACGTGTATCCACAATCATCACATCTCACATCTCACGTCTCACATTGGTGAGCTTACTAGCAAGCGCAACGTCATGTCTTATAGTACTACTACTTCTGTCTGCTCTTCTCGCTGTTCCTTTTGCTCTTCGTGGACTTCGCGCTCTTCGCAACCTTCGCTGCCTGAGCCATCTTCGCCCTCAGCTTCAGTACGCATCCCAATAACGTGTTCGCACCCACGAACGGGACGCCACAGACCCGCAGCCGGAGATCCACATCCACGAACCTGACCGGCGAGAAGCCTTTCTTCCTGGGCTTGACCCGCTTTGTCTTTTTCTTCCAGTCACCATCCTTCCCGTTCACGTCCGCCTTGCCAGAAGCCCGCCCATTCTTCGCCGTCGTAGCGGCCTTCCCTCGTCCCTCCCCAGCACGCTTGACCCCCTCAGCCTCCCTCACGACCTCCCCCTTCTTCGCTCGGCCCATCATGCCCCATCGTTGGCCTATCCTTAGATCCGCCCCGCCGCCTCGCCGCGACGCCCGTTCCGCATCACGCTCCGCTTCCCGGGGTAGTTGAACGGGCGGTCCCAGCTGCGCTGCGCGTTGCTGACGGCGCTGACGGCGCGGATGGTGCGGATCATCGAGGTCTGGGAGATGAGTTGGCCGCGCCGGAGGGAGGAGCCGTAGGCCTGGTTGGGGGGCCGGGGGTGTTAGCGGGGGGGTTGATGACAGAAGGGGTGGGGGCGAGGGTGGAGAGGGCGAGTGTTGGGTGGGGGATGTTGAGGTTGGATGGCGGATGGCGGATATTAGGGTGAGGGGGGGTTCATGAAGGGCAGGGCGGTGGGGGTTTGACGACGGTGGAAGGTGGGAGGGGTTGGGACTCCTGGGGTATGGGCCCGAAGGCAACTTGAGAGGGGAAAGCACATTGAGAAGGCATACCTGGATGGCTGCGGCTAGCGACTGGAGGTTCGCAAAGACCGGGGCGTTCATCTCGTCGTGCCATGTGCGGCCCTGAGATTCGATCGCCTGGGCAAAAGTCGGGACGGTATCGATGTACTGGGCTTCCCGTCAGCAACCAGTGGGTAGACGGCTACAGGGGATTCTGGGTTTGGGCAGCGGAGGGAAAACGTACGCTGAGGTATGTGGTCTCTATGGCGCCAGTCTGGCCATTCGTAAAGGCGTTCTGTGGAAGCGGTGTCAGTGGCCGTACAAATCGAGGGACGGACAAGCATACCTGGTCGGTTTCGAGAGATGCTTTCGAGGCGTTGATCTGAGCAGAGATGTTGGCTATCAGGTCCATGGTCGGCTGTAGACAACGTCAGCATGAATGCAGAAGCCTTCTGGTAGAGAAGCTGGACAACATACAGTGACCGGGCCGTTGTAAGCGGATGTCCCGTTGGTGATCTGCGTGCTCCAGATCTGTAGTGCGGCGTCGCTAAGGAAGGCTGTCATGGCCTGTAGGTCGGTGATGCCGTCGGAGGCTAGTACGGTTGTCGCGAAAGAGAGAACGAGGGTTGCGAAGATTGCGACGCGCATGTTGGCTGACGTGAGGAGTTGAAGGTAATGTGTATGGATGATGGAGGAATGTAGAGACAGTTTGAAAGAGGACTGGTAGGGATGCTTGCGAGAGGACGATGATGAGTGAGAAAAGAGAGAGAGAGAGAAGGAAAGAGAGGTTTGAGATGATTGGGATTTCACGAGCGCTTTTGATCGCTTGCATGCCTTCTGCTTGGAGGTAGCCACGATGGCACAGAAGCCCGCAATGGCAGGCGCGCCTTTCCATACGTACCTACAGACCGCACCTCCAATATTGCCCGGCCGTGACTTACCACTGATGATTTACCAGAAGTTTTTAAAAACAGATCCATTTGAATGCGTGGATGTTCGTCATGTCCCCAGTAGCCTTTCGAGAGAGCAGGAAGAAAGGTCGGAGCACACCTCGTCGGCAAGGGTTTAGGCCTTCGCGTGTTCTTATCACTACGCCGTTCGGTCACCGTCGCTGACCAGTAGATGTCCTTTTGCAAATTGGCTAAAGGCCAATCTCGAAGAGCAACACTGACACGGACCCTTTGGATCTTGCCCTTGCATCAGGCGTTTCATCGCTCAGCCCATGCCATGAAACCTCAGTCTCCACCGCTCCTGACGCATGCAAGACAAGGCAGTATACACTAGATTTCGTGATGCAAGGAACTATGTAGCTCATACAGCGAACACATCTACAGGAACCTGATTACCGATCCTCCACGGCGCCCCTTAGATCTATCAACTCAGCAAGTCTAGCAACGCCACCCGCGATAAGCGCCGCGCCCATTTGGTAACTCCGTACATGTGATAGGAATACAAGGGGACTTTTGCGCACAGCTGCCGGCAAATGGTAGGATGAGATGATTGAGATTCCTCGCGCGAGAGCGCTCAGATGACATCTCCAGCTGTGAAGCCACCCGGTCGTCCACCGGTGATTTCGCCGTGGACGGTGTACTCGCTGGACCATGTTGGGAACTCGCTCATGGCCGTTGGCGGCATGACTTCGGTGCTGACAACGGCGATCTTGAAGTCAGGAACCCGCGCGGCAGGAACCTCGGTGCCGTCCACCTGATGAGACGGGAGTTAGCTCTGTTGGAACTGATGTTCAGTGATGTTCAGACGGATAACCAGCTTACCTTAGTGATGCGCCATTGAAGATTCCTCTGCAAGTAAGGCACCACGATGCTCTCATCGAGACCGCCCAGCTCCCCAGCCGCCATCTTGGCTTCGAGCACTGTGCTGAGCGGGACAGTGCCGGCAGCCTGTACGCGCATGCAGCCTTGGCAGGTCGGATTCGGCATCGCGAACATAGCGTAAGTCCCTGCGAGTGTGTTGTCGTTCCACCAAGAAGCCGAATCGGCACCCGGGTTGCCCAGGAAGACGTAGACTGTGGATGAACCGAGACCGAACTTCTGGGCTTTGATGTTGACGAGATACTCCCGAGTTGCCGGGGCTGGCTCATACGACAGGTTCTTCCGATAGCCATACTGGGGAGAGCATGACTGAGAGCTGTCGTCTGCTGTCAACTCGTCGCATCCGTCCGCACGCTGCCTCTTGCGCAAGGAATCTCGCTTCTGCGGGGACATTGCCGTTGACGGTCCATACAGTTCGTTGATTGCTCTTCTCAGCACTGCCGTGTCATTGCCGGTCCCGAGCTCTGGATAAGTATAGCCGAAAGTCAAAGTGGAACGAGCGCTTTCGGATGTCCAAAAGGCACCAGATGAGTCCGAGTGAAATGGAGTCAAGGCTAGAGACGGTTAGCAACACATCCAACGCAGTGAGAGGGCCACGCTTACGCGATGACGCATCCAGAACTGTGCCCACAGGATACGACCAGGACGGTTGTGTCTGCTTCATTGGCTCAACATAACTGTCTGGGTAGAGTGCTTGCCACATTGCGAGCGTTCGATCCACCATACTGCACAGATGTAAGCCATAGCTGCAGAACTCTGTAGTCGCACTTACGTATGGTGCAGCCAAAAGACTGGATCAAAGGCCGACCACGGCAGATACCACATGTGACCTCCGATGTTGTTGTGAGGGACGTTGTGAACAGCCTCGAGACTATCCCATTTCAGTGCGTTGTCAGCTTTCCAGGCTTCGGTACCTGCATCCGTAAAGTTGTCGTACGTCGTTAGGACGTTGTAGAGTCGATCTCGCAGCATCAAGCGGTCGAAGTTCATACGTTGCACAACAATGTCGTTGCCATCGGGTGGCCGTCTGGCTCGTGGTGGGTCAGGTTGGCGTAAAGTCATGTTTTGCATTATCCATGGGATGTCAGAGATCTGCAACGGTCAGTATCAATTCTCGTACCATTCAAAAGAAGATTAGAGACTCACCCATGGCGAGAAATCGTTGGGAACAGGGTGAAACCTATACGCGTATAGCGGGTTCGGTATTACAGCGGTGCCATTCGGGAGGGTGACCTGGACGTCGCGGATAGTAAGACTGTTGGGGAAACTGTTTTCACCTACAGGCGGCGCGGCGGCCCAGTCCCAGTACGGCATGCGGAACGTTCTGGCAGCGTTCACGTAGAAGTCGTAACGAGAAGTATTGCGGAAACCAGCAACGACGTCGAGCATGTTCGCGTATAGGATTTGCTGCAAGCGGCTGTTAGTAGCGGTCATCTCATTGAAAGAGCGAGGACACACGCCTCGAAAAGGGCCAGATAGGGTCTGTGCCAAGTCAGGAAGACGTTGGACCCGTGCATGCAGTAACCGCCTTCACCACCGGGGTCACGCTCTACGCCATCCCAGGCAGTGTAAGGCAGTCCGTGGATTCCTGAGATGGGTATGCTTTAGCATTGGGCTATTGGGACATGCGATTCCGGAGAGCAAAGATTACTGACCGGCAATCTGATAGTACGATAGCTCATTGCTCTGGTCTGCCTTCTGCATGCGGTCGAGTGCGAGTAAGTAGAGATTCCATTGATCTGGCTCCTGCTGCAGCTGGCGGATCTCGAGACGAGGCTGCGGTGGTCCTCCATCCCTCACGCCAGTGACCCTGAAGGGCGGGTTCGTTGACTGCCGAGTATCAATCGCCTGCCGTGGATCAAGTGCAATGTCTTCGATGACATGCAGTCTAAGTTTGGGGTTGACGGGATTGCTCCATGTAGGCGCGCACAAAGTCTGCAAGACGAGAAAAAAGCTCAGGGTCAACGACGGCAAGCTGCAGACCATCTCGATGTAGCGACGGTTGCTGTGTTGGTGCCTGCAGCCCGACTTATAAACAGAACGAGTGGACGATCAATGACGGCAGCGAACGAGCGTTAGCCACAAAGCAATGGCAGAGGAATGATCAACGCCCATGAAAGAGTCCAAGAACAGGTTCGTGAGAGAACGGTGTTACTAAAGTCTCCGGGGCAGGCGCGTGACGAGATGCGTACGTCGTGTCAAGGAACCCCGTTAAGTAACCGCAACGGACAGAGGCGGCCGTAAAGACCCGCCCAGGCGAAGGAAAGCGGATTCAACGGGTGAAGGAAGTGAATGAAGGAGATTGAGAGAGGATTGAGAACTCCTCTGCCCGTGCGATGAAGCGAATGTGGCAGACACAAAGTCTGTAGCGTGCGGAGGCGTGGATGGATGAAGCTGGGAAGCGTAGAAGAGGAAGAGGTTCAGCCGACCGGTTCCACCGGAGTCCATCAATATATGGCAAGGCAGGCGCCATATATCTATCGATAGATCGACAGCAGCCGCTATACGCAGCGCAAACGCCTCCTTAGAGTCTAGCATCTGTGGAGGTAACACCGTTTGGAGCCATGACAGGCGTTGTGGCGTTACGTCCCCGCAGCCGTCTACTCGATGATCTACAGGTGAGCCCCTTGAGCAGATGGCGGTTGACACCAGCATTGGGAGTTTATTGGACGCTCCTGGTTCTCTTGACGGGAGCTGATATTACTGGAAGGAGGCACGGTTGGTGGTTTGACCCCGCTAGCTCCCGAACGACGATGGCGCCAACGGCCGGCCGAGCTTGCCCCTGTTTTGGACTACTGGGACGGACCAATGGAAATTCGTTCTCTAACCTCACTTTCACCGCTTCGAACGTCGCCTCTTGTCCGATTGTTCTGGGGGCAATCGAAGAACAGCGAGGGACAAAGGCAGAAACAAGTTTCAAGACCAGTGAGCTTCTGCACGATGCGGAGCCCCTGAAGCGAGAGACAGCTGTGTGTTACAGTAGCACAACGAACTCCTGCATACTGCCTTGTCGCACTTTCGCATGGCGGTTCCTGGACGAAGCAATCAGACGCAGATAGCCGCAAGCCAATGTCGGAACCAGCAGCGTGGAGATGTAACCCTCTTCGCGTTATCAAATCCAGCCTGTGGCAGCCGAGGGACGGCAACTAAACGAAGCCGTTATTTTTGTAGCAGCTTTCGTCCTCTTGAAGATTCGCATGCCGTTCCTGGGAAACTGCGCGAGGCCAGGCTGAAACTATGCTTTGTTTACCACGAGTTAAATATAAGCCACCACGCCGGACGAGCCGCGTGTGCCAGAGACAAATCAAGCTGGTATCCGAAGAGAGACGCCTGAGGCATCCCGTGATAACTCCGCCCCAAGCTGACCCTTACTCTTGGCTGCGAGACGTGCGGCCATTTCCCCGCCGATGAAAATCCATCCAACCGACAACAGAACTCCAGATCATGCCTTTCTCAACCCTTATAACAACCCTCAAGCCACCCCACCATCCTGCGCCCCGCCCTGTTCCTCACCCGCTCCAAAATCCCCAAACGCCTCATTATCCAAATCAAGTCCCAAATCATCGCCTGCACTCGTATACTCCGCCAGCGCGTCGCCCGCGCTATCCAGCGTGTCGAAAGCGCCAAAATCCGCGCCGCCAAACAGACTACCGGCGTTGGCATCGTCCGGCGGCATCGGCGCCGAGGCATCGTTTGACAGCACCGAAGCATCCTGACCGCCGCCGGCGGCGCTTGTGTTTGTGTTTGTGTCTGTGTTTGTGGTCTGTTGTACGCCGCTATCAGCACCGACAACCTGGCTTTCACCGCTCTGCTCAACGACGACCCAGTCGCCGTCTCCCGCTTTTTCGTCGACCACGTCGTTGGTTAAGCCGGTCATGTCGACGTCGACGTCGAAGTCCATGTCATCCATCGATGGCATGCCGGCGACGTCCTGTTGCCCTTCGGCGCCCAAGCCGCTATGGCTTTGGGTCTGCGCGCCTTGTGCCGGCACGGCAGAGATGGCACTTGGCGTCGCCCCGGCGGACTGATCCTGGCTTCCTGTATTGGATAGATGAGGCGGTACGAGATTTGCTGCTGGCGTTGAGCCCATGGAGTGGGTCGTGTACTGTTCAAGCAGCAAACTGTCCGCGTCCATTGTGCCATCGCCTAGGATGCCGTTCGCCGCTCCGCTCTCGAAGAAGAGGTCTGCAGGCGCGTTGCCGTTACCGTTGAGGTCGACCTGGTCGGGATCGTTCTCGACAAGGCCGCCCTTCTCGACGCAAACGACGTCTTTGCGTGGAGCGGTGGTTACGCCTAGAGTCTTCTCCACGTACTGGACAACCTCATCCACAGTCTCTTTCCCTGGTTGATGCCTCGTTTCACTGGACTCCCATACCGCATCTCGTAGCCGCTTCTCGGCCTGCATGTACGTCTTGATGCTCCGCTTCAGATCCGCCATCTTCTTCGCGTGCTCGGTTTTCATCTTTTCTATCTCTGCCTGCTCAGCCGCCATGAAAGCTGACACGCGCTTCTCGAACTCTTCAAGCTGATCCTTGTTGATGGTCTGGACACGTTGGTCTGGTGCGTTAGGCTTCGAGAGGTCTCTCATGGGTTCTGCGTTGGGTGCGTCGAAGAGACCGTCGGTAAGTTGGCTTAGTTCGCCCATGAGACCCAGACCCAGATCGACAGGCGCAATCTGTCCTGCGGCGTATGGCGAGGAAAGAATTTCCTCCATCCACTCATGATGTTGGGTATACCTCATCGTGCTGATATCGCGAGGTGTGAGATGGTCGAGCAGATCGCCCAGAGCGTGATTTTCCTCATCCTCTAAGAAAGGGTCATGCGCCATACCAGCAGTTGGCTGTACGCCGGCAGGCCCCGAGCCCGGCAACTGTGAAGGTGGCACTTGTCGTGGCCGTTTTGCAGGAGGGGGCCCGACAACGCCGCCTTGCGCTTGTGGATAATACTGCGCGTTCCTGGCCATTTGCTGCATTGGATTCGGATACGCAGCACCTACCTGTGACGGCATACCTGGCAAAGCGCCGGTGAAGTTTATCTGTGGCCAGTTGAGTCTGTCGTGGAGCATGAAGGGCTTCCGGAGAAGCTGGCCTTGGCTTTCCAGATACTGTCGCTCTGCCCTAATTCTATGCATGTCGGGGATCATGGAGATGCGGTTGACCGGATAGCGGTTCTGCGGGTCGGCCGGACCGTAGTGTACTAGCCATAGCGAGTTGTCTGGGGGTGGACCTGGCGCAGCAGGATTCTTGTTGACTATTCGAAACCGTCTTCTGCAGTGAGTTGAGATGAGCTCTCCGGGTAGATAGCCGCTTCTGTGCATGACCATCTCCATTGTCTACATCGACTCATCAGCTACGTCCGACAGCTACACTGAGCCCAAACACGCACGTATCCGCGAACTTCGATGTTGAAGGATGCTTCTGGATCGGCCCAAATGTAAGGATCGCTGGCGAATTGACGCCGCTGTGGAGACATCCACTCCAGAAATACCATGCCATCATTGGGAGGGTTGTGTAGGTAGGTCCATGCGACAGCAGCCTGGTCTTTGACGACTCGAGGTGCTTCGAGGAGGTAACTTAGGGCGTCCTCTGGGCGCAGATGGGCTAAGGTTGGGTATCGGTAGTCGGATATCAGATGTACGTGAGGAAGCTGTTCAAAGTGAAGAAACATCAGCGCTTTTCACTCGCCAGTGTTCGCTGTGGACAAGACTCACGAGGGCTGGTGGGACGCCAGCGCTTGGGTCTTGTTGCATTGTTAGACTTTGTAGTCCTGCGTGGTATGATGCGCGGTTTCCTGCCAACGGATTACCGAGTTGAAGTGGCTATGCGTGAATGCAGTGGTTGTAGGCGCGCAAGCTGATCCTTGGGCGACCACCACCGCGTCCAGCTCGAAACCGCGAATTGACTTTGCCAAGGCTTTCACGTGATCAAACAGCGTCTTATGTATGACCCAAAGTTTGGCGGCTTAAGCATGGAATATAGCTCGACGGCAGTGATCCGTGGGTCCATTGCCCTGCTGGAATACCTCAAGTGGTTACGCTTCTCACATCAGTAGTTGTTCCCACCCCTTGACGTGATTCATAGGTCCAGCTCAACCATAGGGATATCGAAAATGGGCGAGAGCCAAGCTGTAGCAACGAACTTTTAATAAGGCCCGCTACGGTTTGCACACGCAGCACCACTATCAAGAAGGCAAGTTGAGCAGGAAGATGAGTCTATGATGTTTCATTGAGTCGTCGTATCGCTAGGTAGGCATAAGCTCCTTTAGTACCTCTTGTAGTCACCCTCAGCTCCTTGCATGCAGTCAATTCCTTCCAGTCGCCAGTAATCAGCAACCCTTGATCCAAAGCCGTATTTTCGCAACGTAAGATCCGCCAAACTACCATGAAACTAGCAACGTACTCTTGATGATGCTGCCGTCCTTGGGGCATGTCAACCAAGCACCTTGAGACCGCCCTTCGTCTTGCTCTGCTTCTTCTGCACGCCCGCACCCGTGTTCGCTCCACCCCCAGCCTTGTTTCCGCCCTTGCCGTTCTTCCCGTTCCTACGCTTGTCCTGGGGCACGGTCGGCCTAATTTCAGTGGTGCTGCGCGAGATCGTCACCGGATGGCTGCCAATGTACTTCCCCTGCATCTCCTTGCCAGCCTGGAAGAAGTCGTCGCCGCTGCTAAAGCTCACGAAGCCGTATCCCTTGCTCTTAGTTGTTCGCTTGTCCCTAACCACGTGCGACTTCTGGACCGAGGCGTAGCGAGAGAAGGCCTTGAGAAGAGATTCGTCCGTCACTTCGCCTGCAAGATTGCCGATGAACAGGCGGAAGTGCGTAGGGTCCCAGTCTAACAGCGTAGAATCTTGCCAGGTTTTTCCACCACCGCTCCGTACAACGGTCTTCTGCTTGCCGTCGGCATCAGCCACCACGGCAGCAACACCAGTATCCGTATGGACGGCCGCGTTCATGTCGACGTCGCTGATGGGATTCGTTGCCGCTGCGCGTCCACCCAATGGAATGGCATTAGCCCCACCTGCCGAAGCGGAACCTTCGGCTTTGTTTCTGCCTGCTCCTTTCACTGAGGTGAAATCGTCCTTGCCAGCATATGCGCTCTGCCATTGCGCAATCTGTGCTTCGTACTCGGGGTCGAACGTAGAATCGCCGAAGCGGCCTCTAGCTGCGCCAACTCCGCGCGAAGCGCTATCCTGTTCTTGACCAGGGAGAGGGAACGGATTGCGGATCTGAGGCGGAGTCGGCTGCGCGTACGTGTCGTTAGCTTGCGGGTAGTAAGCTTGCTGTTGATAGGGATTCGCTTGAAAGCCACCGCTGGTGTAGCTGGTCTGAGGGGCCGAGTATGCGGTTGGGGGTGCTGGGTGAGCAGAGATCGACGGCTGCGATTGCCAGGTCGGGGTGCTTGATGCTACGGCGCGCGGTTTGAAGGCGGTGAAGCCGCCGTATGCACCGGAGCCTGGGCCCTTGCTGTCATTGTTTCCATAGCCTGACGCGCTGCGCGAGCCGGCCGACGGGGTGAAGGCTGGCTTGAACGACGAAGGCGGATGAGCGGATGGAGGCGGGCGCGCGGGCAGAGAAGGATGCAGAGTCGAAGAGTTGGAGCTTGACTGTGACGCTTTCAGACCTGGAGGCGGTGGATATGCCATGATGAATACGCTGCCTGTGTCGTTATTCGGTGAAGGCAAGACTTACGACCTCAAGCGTTGATCCGGCGCGCTGTGCAGGCGAAACGCTGGCTCTGTTGAGAGCTTCCAGGTGTCTAGGTATACTTGTGCAACAATGCTTGAGGTACGTAGAACTAGAAGAGCTGGGGGTGGGTGTTGTGGGTGGGTGTTGTCGAGGTTCTTGCGGTTGGTGACGGTTGGACCTTCCAGGCCGTTCTGTGAAGCAGACGGCACAACCTTGAAAAGGGACTAGCGCGTAATTACTAACGCTTACGCAGCACATCAAGGCTACAAGGCAACTGTCTCGCAACTCCAGCAGCATTCGAAGATGGAAGCAGACATGGTTAGGATTTGTGATATGGAGGCCGGATTGTGAGGCAGCTTTACGCAACAGGAAGCTTCAACAGAGTTCAAAGGCCGCTCGCTCGCTATCGCCGTGCTCAAGGCCGGCCAGAGAGCCCGTGTGCTCAATTGAGCCTTGCAACAGAGCTTCTCCGGCGGAGGCTTTTCACACGAATGAGGATTGGGTAAGCTGCAGCCGTTCATAGGCCGACAGCTCGCACCCGTGCGGTCATTGGGTCATTGGCGGACAAGGCGGGCGGAACAGAAGCTTGGGAGTCGGAATCGCGAACTTTGGTGGGATATTAGAACGCCGGCCCCATATATTCCTACACAACAATTATCCTCCACGCACTCCTGCCACACCTTCCTTTGTTCACTGCTACACTGAACACCACTTTGCTACAGCAGACACACACATCAACCGCCATCATGAGCTCTGAAACCGCAGTGTAAGTTGATTCCAGCGCCGTGCTGCCCCTCCTCTGCCCCGCTATCGTCATGTCGATTTCTTTTCCTCAGCCCACAGCTCGACGGACTGTGAGAGCGGGCCGCAATTTCAACCATTGCAAACTGTAGCGACCCTCTAGAGATCACTATCCGTCTTCCTCGTCTTCCTACAGCTCACAGATGCCTTGACTGACTGTAGCGCGCGCCTTGCCCGCATCGACGTGGGCGGGCCTGCGCATTCTGCTCCCAGTGGTGACTTCGGTCTCATCGGTTTGGCCGTCAGTGAGTGTTATCCGCGCGGTTCCGGCGTCAGTGCATGCTAACGTGTATACAGTGGGCCAGAACCTGATCATGAACGCGGCTGATCACGGTATGATGTTTAGCCTAGCTTTCCGCAGAACTCCGCTGACAGAACTTAGGCTTCACCGTCGTTGCTTTCAACCGAACCGTCTCGAAAGTCGACCGGTTCTTGGAAAATGAGGCCAAGGGCAAGTCCATTATTGGCGCCCACTCGATACAGGAGTTTGTACAGAAGCTCAAGAAACCGCGAAGGATGATGATGCTTGTCATGGCGGGCAAGGTTTGTCACACGGGCGACCCTTCGCGCTTATCCAAGATGCTAAGGTGCCATAGCCCGTCGACGACTTCATCGAGCTGCTCCTGAACGAGGGCGGTGTTGAGGAGGGTGATATCATCATCGACGGTGGTAACTCCCACTACCCGGACACCAACCGCAGGACAAACTACCTGAAGGCCAAGGGTATCCGCTTCGTCGGAACCGGCGTGTCTGGCGGCGAGGAGGGCGCTCGTTACGGCCCTAGCATCATGCCGGGTGGTAACGAGGAGGCGTGGCCGTACATCAAGGATGTGCTCCAGAGCATTGCTGCTAAGAGCGATGGCGAACCCTGCTGCCAGTGGGTCGGTGACGAGGGTGCTGGCCACTACGTCAAGATGGTCCACAACGGCATCGAGTACGGTGATATGCAGCTGATCTGCGAGGTAAGCTTGTATTCGACTGAGCCCGCAAGATTGGCGGCCCCGTCGCAGGTTTTAAGCTGACCTTGCATTGCAGGCGTACGACATCATGAAGCGCGGTCTCGGTCTGTCGAACAGCGAGATGGGTGACGTCTTTGACAAGTGGAACCACGGCGTTCTCGACTCTTTCCTCATCGAGATCACCCGCGATATCATGAAGTTCAATGATGATGATGACACCCCTCTGCTTGAGAAGATTCTCGACTCGGCCGGTCAGAAAGGTACCGGCAAGTGGACTGCCATCAACGCGTTGGATCTCGGCATGCCTGTCACTCTGATCGGTGAGGCCGTCTTCGCTCGATGCCTCAGCTCTCTGAAGGCCGAGCGCGGCCGCGCGGCGAAGATCCTTGATGGACCGACACCGAAGTTCGAGGGCGACAAGCAAGAATTCCTCGACAACTTGGAGCAGGCTCTCTATGCCTCAAAGATCATCTCCTATGCCCAAGGTTTCATGCTGATCCAGAACGTAAGCAAACAAGCACACATCCCCCATCTGGTGAGAAGTCATACTGACTTGCACATTTCAGGCCGCCAAGCAATACTCATGGAAGCTGAACAAGCCAGAGATCGCACTTATGTGGCGTGGTGGCTGCATCATCCGCTCAGTCTTCCTGAAGGACATCACGAGCGCCTACCGCAGCAACCCCGACCTCGAGAACCTCCTGTTCGACGACTTCTTCAACAAGGCCATCCACAAGGCGCAGCCTGGCTGGAGAGACATCGTCAGCAAGGGTGCTCTCTGGGGTATCCCCACTCCTGCTTTTAGCACTGCCTTGAGCTTCTTCGATGGGTACAGGGCGAAGGATCTCCCAGCGAACTTGCTGCAGGCTCAGCGTGACTACTTCGGTGCTCACACCTTCAGGATCAAGCCCGAGTACGCGAGCGAGAAGTACCCAGAGGGCAAGGACATCCACGTCAACTGGACCGGAAGGGGAGGCAATGTGTCCGCTTCCACCTACACTGCGTAAGGCAATAGATAGTTGCTGGGAGATAGCGATGCACAACCACGGTTCCAAGGCGGCGGAGGAAGTAGAATGACGGGATGAGTCAGATGTTGATAGCACCAAATGCAATCTATGGCAGAACTGAACCATCTCGTCGTTACGGAAACTCAACATATGATGATGATGCAGAAAAAAAAAATGGCAAAAGGCCGCCCGCCCAGAAGGCCGATCCGGAGGAAAACTCGCCGAAGCTACCTTGGTAGTTTTCTTACTCAGACCCCAGAAAGCAACTAAACCCAGAATGATGCAAGTAAGAACTGAATCAAACGCGATCTTGTGGACTCGTCCATCAGACTTGCTCGACAGGCTACAAAATCAGCAAAGACTCATTTCTGAGAAAACCCCTGCCGTAATGGGAATTTTTTTCCGGCGCCTAGATGTTAATAGTTCCAGAAGTAAGAATCGAACCGACGCCTTTGAATTTCAATAACGCCGTAAGGCAAACCAACGCCGTAAAGAAGTTCGAGCCAAGTCATTACCTACTTGACAAGCACCCCAACCGGCCACAGTCATTACCTACTAGGCGGAGACGAAACCTAGGCTTAGTGGATTGTATAATGTTGCTTGAATATCAGGTACTGCCAAAGCCCGCTGAGCCCGCCGCCCCTGTCGACCCGAAGATATTTTTCGAGCGCAAAACTTCCGGACAAAACGGATGGTAATCCTCGCAGCACTTCGGGCCTAGTCGGAGACGGCATGGCATCTGCCGTTCTGCTGACGCTCTTAAGCTTCGAGAGCTGCAGCCGGTCCATGGTTCCGATATCCAACAACAGAAGAAGCTGACTGAGACTGTGAGATGGTGGGTTATATTGCGGCGCACGCTCTCATTGCTTCTCAGGCCTGGGGGATTGCCCGACTGGCGGAGGAGCTTCTACCACAAGCGCTTCCACTCTCCCAGCAACGCTTCCCCGCTCGATCCGCTCATGGGGTACCTCTCGAGCCCCAGATGATGGAGTCCATGAGAGCATACGGCGACGTATCTTGGTCCAGAGCAACGCTCGGCGAATAGTTACGGACCAGCGCTTCATCGAAGCCAAACGGCGCATCCGAATCACGCGAAGCGCAACCTGTGGCCGGTGTAGCGCTCACGACATTCTGCACCGCACCCATCGGCTGCACCATAAGCTTTCTCAAGGCAGATAGGGACCTCGTAATTGGCGCAGACAGCTCGGCCGGGTCGACCTTTGAGGTGACTTCCGAGAGAACCGCGATCAGGCTGTTCAGCAGAGCGCGCGCTCGTTCATTCCGTGACGGCTCCCCTAAAATGCCCAAGAGGAGGGCTGAGCTCAGGGACCGGTGAACAGCGGCCCAGGACCGGGTGGCGAAGACCGTCACGTTCTGCAAGCCGAGGAAAGCTTCGACCGTGTTCGCCAGGTTGTCGATGCAAGTCTGCCGATGCGTTCGCAAGAGATCGTGTTCCGCCAGGGGGCTGATGGCGGGCCGGCACAGCTCTGAAGTGTTGTAGGAGAGGTGGAGGTACAGAACCCAATGCTCCAGCTGGTCTTGCGTTGACCTGCATCTCCGTGAGTCTTTCAGGTAGTCCGCCGCATCGGTCATAATCTCCTGGAGTTCCTTCTTGTAGTCGGTGATTCGGAGCAGGGCGTCGTGAGAGGTTTGTGGCTTCGCCCGGTCTCGAACAATGTCGAGGCCGACTTTACAAACCCTGTACATGCACTCGTCGAACGGTCTGTTACCTGGCGTTGAGGACGGGCCCCTAGGAATGGGGTAGTTGATAGTCTTCTCGGAGGAAGCGCGATCGTAGGATATACTAATCAGGGACTCTTGCCAGCATATGGCCCACCTGAGAATTCTATCAGCTTACGGCTTCGCCGGTGTTACTCGGTGGGATTCAGCGCCGTGCTCTTACCATGTGCGAGACTTTACATGTCTCGTTGCCGCTGGAGTGGTGGCAGGGCATCGACGGTGCAGACCTAGTGTTTGTGCCAATCTAACGTTTAAACCAAGTAATGACCAGGCGACACCAGGGTTCATATTGTTGGAGATGACGTTGCCCAGAGCCAACAGAGTCTGAATCGTCTCAAGAGTTGGACTGGACAAGAAGTTGGTTAATCGCAGGCACTCGAAGCTACAACAAACTATGAGTAGTGAGCACGGGGTCAGAAGATGCGCCATACGTTAACAGCTCCCACCAGGACGAGCCAGTCATACGCATCGAGTAGATGATACTATAGGAAAAGACGCACCATATACTTGAGAAGTTAACTCCCTCTCTTTCCTTGGCAGGCTGGAACATTGGCATCCAGAAGCCAGTGCAGCAAAGAGCATGCCGGCCCAGTGCAGACTCTTTCCGTATATGGACTGCTCGGTAACATCATTGCCATCCCCGGGCTGACAGCTTGCGCGGTTCAGAAGGAAGAGGAGCAGCTCAGATTCAAATGTTTCGACGTCGGCAACAGCAGGATAGACCACATGAGCTATCTCGCGGTAGTGCCTGAAGAAGCTCATGCACTCGGAGTCGCTTGGTAACGCCCGGGCAAGCTCATTGACCTTTGCTCCATGCGGCAGACCCCACAGGTCTACGAACGGGTATGTCGCGTTCTCGTTGTCCAGGCCGAATATCGGTAGTATGCTCTTTCCAAGAAGCTCCTTCACCTCTGGCCGATCGTGCTCCCCTCTGCCCAGCGCAAGTACTAAAGCTGCCACCGAGCTGCCACCTAGATGTACAGTCTGACCGGTCAAGTCGTTCTGCGTGTGGATCCCTTGACTGCTAATATACCGGCTTTCGCTATCCATGGCAAGGCCTGAGGGCGTGCTTGTTCCGGGCGAGTGGCCGGCCGCGCTAGCAGTCCCATGCTGCTCAGAAGCATGTTTTATAATGCCTTTCAGCTCAGCCAGCGACTTCTCCATTGTATTGAGCTTGGAGCACAATCGGTCCCACTCTTCTCGCGACAGCATCACTGTTGAACCGCTGTTGCCGTATGTGGCGGCCGCGCCGTTGTGATACTCTGAAGGTGCATCTCGGTAGCCGTTTCCCGTGTTCGGTCGCTTCGCTGGCGGGTGATTCTCCGAGGGAGGATGATAAGTACAGAGCTCGGGATGTTCTCGCACTACGGACGTCAGCAGTTATACAGCTTTGAACTGCCGCGATGGGTCGACAATGGATGGGCAAGAAAGAGCACTGACCGACACATGTTTTACACGGAACTTGCTGATCGCATTTGACCTTTCTCTGACGGCAGGGATAACAGCTTTTGTACTCTCGTGCCTTCCTCTTTCTGCGCAGGATCTCATCAACATCAGATCGAGGCGTTTCCTGTAGTAACTGAGGACTTGAGCCCCCCGGATCATCCATGGTCCTGTGTAGGATCTCATCAACGCCGGACCGGGGCGTTTCTTGCAGGAATTGTTGGAGACTTGGGTTCCCCTGGCCGTCCATGTCGATATGCTCTGACTTCAGCGGCGTCCGCTCCATCTACCTAGGTACTTCAGAGGGGTTGGGGAGATGCGGTTGTTGCGAGACGCCCCACGTTCAGATCCCTGTACGTGTCGGCAGGGTTCGCTGAAGAGTACATTACCGCAGCCAATCCAACATCACAGATATAAAACTGGTTAATTCAGGCATTCATTCTGGCTCGAGAGACAACTTCGATGATCCACGCAGTCACAGCATCAATATCTAACATGATCATTAGTCCAATTCAGGCACGATTTTTGCATAAACTACGCAGCTAGCTGAGATGCCGCAAGGGACTTCCACCCAGCTTCGACCCTGCGTTCGGAACAGTATTTTGAGGCATGAGTAACAACATTTACTTTCCTTACAAGTAGTCTAGGATACCTGCGGGTATGAACATCCAGACGCTAAGTAATAATCAAGTTGGATATGCCATCAGGAAGTGAGCGGCCTCAGCCGCCAGAGTAGCCCGTGCCGTTTACAGATTGGCCGATTGCCTATATGTGTCGCGCAACCACCACAAGCGAGAATCGCGGTAGGGACTATAGTTGAAGGGTTCCGCACTTTAGAGACAGCATTTTGCTGGACACTGTCTGGAGGGACTTCAGTCTAGATGAGGAAGGATTCATTTAAGTATACTCAAAAGTTAGCAGCCATGAAGTTTAGGCGCTCAGCATATTGGGGGGTTTGATGGTCAGGCGCGCATTCATAAAGAATGTTATATTGTCCCGTATAGCGGGCGACGTGACGCTCGTAGAATGGAAATAGCACACGGAAGAAGGATCCTACACATAGTTAAATATCATTACTGACAGCTTTTAAAGCTATGAGACTGCTATTAGGGTCGAGAGAACACGAGCAAACACTCTTTACCTGCCGGAATGTTGATACCGGATTGCCTAAAGCCCTTGCCCTTACCTTTCCGGCAATGGATGGATACCTGTATCGTGGCGGCGACAAGGCGAAGGTCCGTAGACCTCTCATCGATATCGCTCATTGCGAAGACATCGACGGCCTTCGACGGTCTAGCAAATCATACCACTTATCAGAAGATCTGAAATCGTGATAAACAAGTAGTCAATCAGGATCACGGAAACTTGAAAACGACTATCTATACATGTTCCCTTGGTTTACCGCCCCCATCAGGAGCCGCTTCCATGGGTACGAACGCAAGAGTATGAACGGAAGTGTGTCGATATTGTCAACGCTCCGGTCCAGTAAAGATGCCTACAACGGCCAAACACAATGATGAAAATCTGTTGCTGTTCGAAAATTCGGCAAGCACTCTAGGCAGGAGATGGAAGCAAGAGCAAGCACTGCACCTATTTCGGAAATCCTTGAAGACTGCCGGCACTCACATGTGGCACCACGCATGTCGAAAGAAAACCTTGCGAGTGGCGGCAGGTAGCTGTAGTTTAAAACCGAGTGAATGAACACGATGAGCTACTAACCTTGCTCCACTGTTTATCAGTAATACGAAAAAACCTGAACAGAACGAGGGCTCTTCATAATGACCACTTCCACAGATATCGCAAGCTTCCCGGACTGGGTGGGATGCATGTCTTGGCGGCATGAAGAACCATTTGACTCGACTCTAGACTGCCGCCGTGGCCATATGGTACGTGTTGACATCTTAGCATCTGAAGTTCCCGTTGCTCTAACAAGATGCCGGTATCCTCTCTAGCCATTGGGCTCTGATAAGCGTACAATCCAGCCGCTTCAGGTTGCTGAGCTCAGCGTCGTGAGCCACCGGATGTCTACTCTGGATAAGTAACGTTACCGTCCATGGATCTGTGAAGTGTCTCGCAGCGGCTGGCAGAAAACAGCTGCAAGTAAGCATGCACGTGATGGAAGCCCAGCATGAAGCCTGGTGGAGAAACCTCCAAGCCGGTACCGAGTGTGATTGGAACTTTGCGAGATCTAGTGCCCTATTGGTCGACGGTAAGAGCCCTTTTATGCAGCCACCTGGTTCGCAGGCCATGCCGATGCTGGGCGCATCACCTCGTCGTAGAGACCGAAGAAGTCCTTTGGTCCGCTCGGCATGTTAATCATCAGGAGCTGTCGCTCGCCGGACATCTGAGCCGCCGTGTCGGTGTCGAGAACAAACGCGTCTTTGACTCCATTGACCTGATCGAGGCAAAGCGGCATTAGGCGTACAGAGACAGCCAGGAAACATGCTCGAGGTGATGCCTGCTCCCAGACTGCAACCCGTGAGCTGGTCACTGAACGCCTGGGCGCATTGAGACCGGTTGAGCGAGTACCATGGACAGGAGATATGACAACTGCCGTTCGAGGCGGATAGCAGCATCACCCACAGCCTACTCGTACCTATTACATGGGGATACCCAGGTGGGTTGGAGCGACAGGGGGGTCAGAGTGGTGGTTTTGCCTTAGCGGCGCGGGATCTTGGGAAGCGCGATGGCTTGTGCGGCTTCTTTCCCGTCTGCAATCATCCAACGTCAACCCTCCTGCAGCTGCCGAGTGTGTACGAGTAGCAGTGACAGTCATCGTTCATCGTTTGAAATCGCGAAAGGCATTGCCCCACCCCTTCCTCGACCTTAGCCGTGACCGAGACCAGGCCCTCGGTACTCGCACCGAACTTTCCACCATCCTCGCGCAAGCACGAGGTAGACGCGGCTGCACTCACAGCGCCTTCCTGCGCGCCCCCCTTCACTCGAGGGTACGTAAAACCCTCCTCCGTGCGCTCATTGGTGTGGTGGTCGAGGTGGAGGGCAGTCTCGTCATCCCGTTTGGATCGAGGCTCAGCGCGGAGTCGGCGTCGGCGGCAGCGGCAGCAAGGAGAGACAAGGCAAAAAGCCAGGCAAACTACTCGTTTGTTGCATCGGTCCCTCAGGCGTCTGGGACCCGCTCGCGAGCCTGTCCAGCTGCCCAGCCATATCGCTGTTGTCCATATTGTGCCGTCTGTTGTCCAATCCGGTTGGCTGTCGCTGATACTCAGCAAAGTTAGCAGGATCCACGCTCTCCAGCAGCTGCGACTGATCCCTGTCCGCGTCCCAGGACAGCCCCCATCCTGCAGACAAAGCGAGAAACCGTTACCTCTACTTGGAGCCTTCCTTATCCACCGCTACAATGGGTAAGTCTTCTCACCTTCCCACTTCACCGTCGCGCTTGGCTGGCGATCCGCTTCACACTGTCTTTTCTCCAACTCGCGCCCTGATCCGCATCCCAAACGCCCAGCGGCTCACAGACTTACTCTAATCTCCAACCCCAGATTCAAGCGACAACTACCGTCCTGTAAGTTGTGTCTCCCAATACCTGTCCGCGCAGTTCCACCTGTTCCCCCCCAGGACACAGCTCAGGAATTCAAATCGGCAGCACTCATGCTCGACGGGTTTCCTCGGTTGAGCTCGCGTGTTGAGAAAGGGCAGCAGCAAGCGACGGAACGTTGCCGCTAGCTTAACTTGATCTCGGAACAGACACCTTCACCGCAACCCATCTCGCAACCACCAACTCCTTCCACCTCATCGATGGAAGCAGCACGCACTTACGAATCACAGCGCGACAGATCCCGCTCGCCTCGACGCCGCTCAAGAAGTCCACGTCGCAGCCGTCGCTCCTACTCCTCGCGCAGTCGCTCCCGCAGTCGTGACGACTATCGACGCAGCGACCGCCGCTCTCGTTCTCCCATCGGAGGTGCCGCAGGTGCGTCGGGTGGATATTCAAACTCATACGGAGCTGCAGCGCGGGCACCGCCACGAAACCCCGAAGATCGTGCTGTCGCGAAGGAACACATGATGCAGAACCTACGGGAATCGAGTCAGCAAGACCGTCGCGTCTATGTTGGCAACTTGTCCTATGACGTCAAGTGGCATCACCTCAAAGATTTCATGAGACAGGGTGAGCGCGCATTCGACCCTTGTGTGCGATGTTGCTGCTAACTGATGGGCAGCCGGAGAGGTCCTGTTCGCCGATGTGCTGTTACTTCCCAATGGAATGTCGAAGGTGGGCGCCAATACATGATATGGCTGGTTTTCTGGCTCTTTTTGGTTATTTGAGGACGTTGGATTGACGGGTTGGACGGTTGTCCGCGGGTTATGTAGGGATGCGGGTAAGCCGCCCTCACACCTCTATCTCTGCATCACTTTCTCACAACAAGCAGGATTGTGGAATATGCTACAAAAGAGCAAGCCCAACAAGCGGTCGCGACGCTCAGCAACCAAAACCTCATGGGTCGTCTCGTCTACGTTCGCGAGGTACGTTGTCTCGGTTCAACCTCTGCATCACAACCCTACACCTGGATCTATCTCTTTGAAAGCACGTAACTAATGATTGTGTGGACACCAGGATCGCGAATCGGAGCCTCGGTTCTCAGCACCTCCCGGTGCCGCTCGCGGCGGATTTGATGGCGGTATGGGTCGCGGCGGCTACGGCGGCGGCGGCGGCTTCGGTGCTGCTCCTGGAGGTGGCGGACGCCAGATCTACGTCTCCAACGTCTGTCCCCTTATCCTCTCGATACCCCTACACTGAAGAAGTTGACATTGACTCTCCTGCGTAGCTTCCTTACAATGTAGGCTGGCAAGACTTGAAGGATCTGTTCCGCCAAGCTGGTACGTTACACTTTCAGATGGACAACGCTTTGGAGGTAGCACGGCGGAGGGCTACCTCGCAGTCACTAATTATTTCACAGCTCAGCAAGGCCAGGTCCTTCGTGCCGACGTCCACATTGCTCCTGACGGTCGCCCCAAAGGCTCCGGCATCGTCGCTTTCGAGTCACCGGAAGATGCCCGCAATGCAATTCAACAATTCAATGGCTACGAATGGCAAGGCCGTAACCTCGAGGTCCGAGAAGATCGCTTCGCTGGACCACCCGCTGGCGGATTCGGTCGTGGTGGCTTTGGCGGCGGGTTCGGAGCTCGTGGTGGTGGGTTCGCAGGTCGCGGTGGCGGCTTTGGCGGCCGTGGTGGCTTCGGGGGAGGCTTTGGAGGCCGGGGTGGCTATGGCGGTGGCGGTGGCGGTGGCGGTGGCGGCTACGGCGGTCCTCCTGGCGGCTACGACGCGGGTGCTTCATCGGCTCCTCCAAACCCATTCACTGATCATGCAACCGCTGGCAACGAGCGCGGACCAATCATCTACGTCCGCAACGTACGTCCTCCCTTATCACTTTTTCTACTGTCGCTGACTGCAGTAGCTGCCATGGTCGACCAGCAACGAAGATCTTGTAGAGCTGTTCACCACGATCGGCAAGGTCGAACGCGCCGAGATACAGTATGAACCCAACGGACGCTCACGCGGCACCGGTGTAGTGGAGTTCGATACGGCTGACAACGCGGACACCGCTATCTGTAAGCTCCCTAGCACGGTCGGCTTAGGGGGTTGACAACTGCTAACTATCTCACAGCCAAGTTCACCGGCTATCAGTATGGCGGTCGCCCCCTCGGCCTCTCGTACGTCAAGTACTCCAACGTCAGCAACGGAGATGCCATGGAGGGAACCGAAGCTACCGGCGGGCTTACTCAAGATCAGATCATGTGAGCCGTTGATGGTGCATGATACTGCAGCGTCTTACTTCGGATCTCGCCTAGAGCATTTTTGATCTCGGGAACTGTCTTTCCTTATCTAACCTTGGCTAGGTATATTCCGCAGCCCCTGCTGAAACCCCTCTTCGTGGATTCCATCAGGGCTTTGAGAGGCTATGCCTGAGCAGGAACCTGTGGAGCGGATGAAAAGTCGTTCTGTAATACAAATTGCATTCTAAGCTTACATGAACTTTCGGCGTTCTAGACTTTCTCACTTGTCACCCCCGTACCTAGTGGGTATCAAGTAGCTAGGAATCTAAACGGAGACCTTTTACCCCCCTTCCTCGTATCGCTTGCATCATCCACTCATACACAGTCCATTGCACGGCGTTGACAATGAATGCCCTGACGTTACAGATCCCAAGGCCCCTGAAAAACACGCCGATTCCCTCGTTGTGGTAGGCGCGCCTGGCAACTTCGAGAGCTCCCACTCGGCGACCGTCTTCGGCTCTGAGCGCCGCTTGACTATCACGCAGAAGGCTAGCCTCCTCTGGCAGGCGTTCTAAGGATGCAGTCTGTACTCTCGTTTTTATGACGTCTGTGCGTCCAGTCAATCAGAATTGCGTCCTATTCTCTGTCGGAAAGCAGACAAACCTAATGGAAATATAGAAGTCCACGTGACAATGCCGGCTAAGCCGCCGCAGAGCATGATCTTTGTTGCTGTCTCTCTATCTGAGTCTTCTGACGAGGCCCAAGCCTGCTTGCACAGCTCGTAGGACCAGAAGCTATCTGTCTCAGCTTCGCATCTCCACTTCAACCGAAATTGTGAAAAACATACTAGAAGCCATAGCCCACCGCATCCCTTATGCTAGTAATCACACCGCCGTGATACAGCCCCTTCACGCCCTCGTGCTTCCATACATCTCTCGCTATCGACCACGAACTTGCAGAGCTTTGAGAGACTTGGGCTCGGCATTTCACGAGCTCCGTAGGGGCTGATACTACAAACGTCGCGAGACCTCCCAGAGCTCCTGCACTCCAAACCTTGAGCAAGCTGGCCGGTACCGATGGCTCATCTCCCAGAAGCACTAAAGTGCGGTTGTAAGTCATGAACAGGATGGCATTGAGGGCTCCATAGCCTAGAATGGGCGCCGTGGCGCCTGTGCTGAGCAAGCCATGTCAGCGCATGGCCTACTCCGTAGGCGTAGAGCGATGACATCTCTACATCTGGCCCTACCTTTGACAAGAGTGCCAGCTCGGTCAAACTGACCGGCCAGGGTCTGCGGCGATGTGGTCGCTGTTGCCGCCGGGATAGTATCTGCTTGGTGGCGCGTTTTCAGCAGGTCTAGGGGATTGCCAATCAAGATACCGGCCGCACCGCTGAGGTAGCCTGCCCAAAAATCTGCGGACATGGCTGTACCGCACAGAGATGCTCGGTGTTGTGCTGCTGTGCCTCGCTGGAAGCGCGGGGATTGGTGGGGTAGCTTCTAGGCGATCTTCCATCTCAGGCTTCACACGTGATATTTTGACTCTCCGCCGCAAGCTCCGTGACGGCATGGCTAGGTAGAAACTTAAACACAGTACTACCTTAGTTCTCGGTGGGAGGCATTCTGTCCTTCGCCTGCTTCTTTGCATCTCACTTCAGCACCTGCCGGCTGGTGCTCTACACGAAGGCTTCCAGATCGAAGCTCTCCACTAGCGCGCACAGCCCGAGAGTGCCGACGGCCCGCACTTCGCCACAAATCTTGACGCCCGACATCTGCTCCGACTCATTCTCGACCAGTCCAGCTCCCTCTTCCACTTCCCAGTAACTAACTACAACTACCCCCGGGGCCCGCTCGATAGACGCTGACATGAGCGTGCAAGCCAAAGTTCCCCCCCATCAATACTCATCCAACAAGTACGAGATGGCTTCATCCAGCCGTCAATGCCCCGTTAACACCGCTGCAGTACTTCTACTTACCTAGTCGCCTACCCAGCCCAATAGCGCTACATGACTGCGCTCCACAGCAGCGTCAACCACTACATGCCATCCAGGCTTGCCGGCGATACTTGGGACTTCACCGAGGTTCACGAGCTTCTCAGCAAGCTTTCGACTCCGAGTCCAGCAGCGAAACAACGCGACCCCATAGCCAGCCATGACAGCTCACTACCCGTCCAGGAGCTGCCCGATGACATGCTCTCTGCGAACAAGCCGGCGAAGCACACCGAATTCTCTGGTCTAGGCGACTTACGCAATCTCTGGGACTTCCTGGGCGCCAGCCGGAATACTCTAGAAGTGCAGCCCCGTGCTGCTACTCCCGCCCTCATTCCTGCCAAACCCTCTACTTCTCCACCCGCTCCAGTTACACTCGAGTCAATTCAGGACCGGGAAACTTATGCCTCAGATGGCGCAATCGACTGTATGCCATCGAGCAAAAGCATAAAATGGCGAGATGAAGTGAATGGCCAAGAAATTGCAGATCCACCTTGCGTCGCTCCACCAGAAACACCGCTCACTAAGAACCAACGGAAGAAGCTTAGAAGGAAGCAAACACAACGCGAACGGCAGGAAAAGCTTAAGTCTACGAGTGACGCAGAGTCTGAAACGGACGTTCAGCAGACGCCAGCTAGGAAAGCTAGTGTGCATACTTTGGCGGGTAGTGCACAGCCTTCTCAGCAAACGCGGTACGATCTGCGATCGAAGACGGCTGCGTCGACACCGACTACCAAACCGACTACCAAACCTGCTGCAGCGAAACTCTCGGCCGAGCTGGCCTCTCTATTGACTCCACTAAAAGCAGATGAAACCAAGCCTTCGGAGAGGGTGAAACCAATTAAGGCTGAGAAGCCAGAGCCAGCGGTGCAGCCAGCAAAGTCCATTCAGACGACACCTTCGGAGCCACCAGTCAATGTCGCCTCGACTTCAGCAACGCCTGCAACACCCAAAACTAAACCACTGCGGCCACCAAAATCCCCGGAGAGCAAACGAAGACTTTCGAGCACTGTCCCTGTATCTGCACCAGCCACGCCTTTCATAGAACAAGCACAGCATCTTCAGCAAACGAACATCCCATTTCAGCAGCCTCTCCATGCTCCAATTGTTGCATTAGGTCAGGGTGCAACCACGCCGAGTATGATACCTTATATCGTCAACCCAGGATTTTACGCGCAACTAGCAGCTCAGTCCATGGGCAATCCTCAGTATCCCCCGGCTTTCCAGCATTCTCAGGCACTGAAACACCATATGCAGACGCCGGCACCAGCACCGGCACCGGTGAATGTCATCCCTACACCAGTCGCGCAACAGTCTCAGAAATTGGCGCTGAGGCAAGGAGCCGACAGGCACTATCATTTCCTACTCAAAGTCATCCGAAATTTTGGCGAAGACATGAAGTGGTTAGTATCGCCGGCGCAGTCAAAAGACCATAACACTTCTCCTACTGGTATCCACGTGTTTGTGGATGCATCGAACATTCTGATCGGCTTCTACGAGCGCCTTCGGTATGCGAAAGGGATCCCGAAGGAAGCACGCATGACGCGCCCAGAGTTCGACTTCGACGCCCTCGTCCTCCTGCTAGAACGACGGCGTCCAGTCGCCAAGCGCGTCCTCGCGGGCTCCAACCCCTACGTCCCGACCTTCGAAAAGGCCAACTCGATAGGCTACGAGTTGAACATCCTCGACAAGGTCAAGAAGGCCAAGGAGCTCACGGAGCGCCAAAAGTTCTTCCAGCAGCGCGACCTCGAGCGCGGCCATGGCCGACGTTGCTCTCACTCGGGCAAGGAGAACGCGAGCGCTGGCAGCGGCTCTGAAACGATCGCTGCCACCGGTCCCACCTCCGCGCCTGAGAAGTGGGTCGAGCAGGGTGTGGACGAGATTCTGCACCTCAAGATCCTGGAGAGCGTCGTCGACGTCGATGTGCCGAGCACGATTGTGCTGGCGACGGGGGATGCGGCTGAGGCGGAGTACTCGCAAGGCTTCCTGAAAATGGTCGAGCGTGCGCTGCGGAAGGGGTGGAAGGTTGAGATTGTGGCGTGGGGGAAGAGCATCAGCTTCGCGTACCGCGACAAAGCGTTTGTGCAGAAGTGGGGGGATAGGTTCAGAATCATTGAGCTGGATGACTATGTTGAGGATTTGCTTGATGTGTAAAACCGCACTGGGATGCGGGACTTCCACATGAAGCCGTCGGGGTTTTTTGGTCGGACGGGGAATCTGTCATGGTTGGAACAATTCATGACTTATGGTTTGCACAGTGTACGGGATTGCAATTGGGAGGAGCCTTCACGGTGTCATTGCTTTTCAGTCGTTCAGCGGACAACTATTGAGCCGCATGTCTCTTTACGGCGTGGCGGCTATTACAGGGTGATCTTACATCAATGACGCAGTGCGCCGTTAATTTGACCGGGTAACACTGTTTACTGTATTTTCGATGCGAGTAATTCCACGGGCTTTCGAAGTAACACATCTGTGATCTGTTTCATTCCTTCGGTTACTGTGCAAGCATCCACCGGCGTTGAAAACCGCCGTTTATCGGGCATCTTGCCCAAACCTTGAACCCTACCGCATCTGCCGAAGGTGCTGACCAAGACGAGTCGGAAGTGAGACTGGGCTTGGCTCGGGTCGGGAGCAGGAGCATCCGTGTCGCTAGCAGACGAGGAGAACAATTTTATGCAATTGATCCTGAGGCTTTGTCTTGTCAAACAGATTTTGCTTGCTGAAACACCAGAGGCACAAACGGGACATTGCTTCTTCGCCGACACAAGGGTCCTGAGACAAAGAGGCTCTTCCAGCCGCGGTGCGACGCGGTCGCGTTCCTGCAACCGCTTTTTGACAGCTCGCGGCGGACAAACGCCGTTGTTCCCGTTGGGGATTGCAGCGGCCCAGTGCCGGACTCCGAGTTTTCCCAGGGCGCGGCGCGCTGACATCAGATGGCGACTACTGCTTCAAGATATCTCGGATCGGTGATGCTGAGAGGGCCGAAAGCAACTCTTCAGTGCGTCACAACGAGTCTGAAGAGCTCTAGCAGGCGCCGAGGCAGCCTGCTGCGCCACTGTTCTGCGTTTCGCGTTCGATGTCTGTTGCGCTGCAGAAAGCGAGGACAAGCCTGCAACGACGTCAAGCCACTGCGTGGCCGCTCACGCGACTCCGCAGCACGACGCATGCTCCGTGAAAGCTCCGCCCGTCTCTCCCTTGCCAGCACCGGTCTCATTTGCCAGCTGCAACCTATCCCGCCAAAGCCTCAGCCCGCCCAGCGCAGTGCCGGGCAGACAGACGTCCCGTCGCTTGCTGACTTGCATATGACGGGTGCGGCCTCTGCGCGGGTCGAAATTTGGTGGAACTTCGTTTAGCGCGCCGAGAAATTGCGCTCTGCCAGCCACAACCACCTAAGCCTCCGTCCGCAGCCGCTTCCCTCACGCGCACCCCATCTCTTTACCTACCCTCACACCTTCTCGAGCCTCGCTGCCTGCAGAGTACCTTTCCGCTCAGCATCTTACCGCTATCTCACTGGGGCAGTCTTTCGACCATACTGCGAAGCTTGAGGCCGCCGTTGTCTACCTCGGCGACTGGCTGCCACCTCGACATCTTACTGTGCGGATCGACCGACGATCCCGCAGCAGTAAACCTTCCGCATACAGACCCTCTTACGACCTGTTCCCTACAGATGTTCTCCACAGCAAAGGTCCTCCCGGCATGGCCGTCAATACCAGTCTTCATACCGCATAGGGTGCGCCGGAAGTTTCGAGCGGCACGGTCAAAAGTCCACAGCAGGCAGACGCCCACGTCATCCATCACCGCCCTCGAAACCTCCTTCGACCCCGCCGACACCCTCCGGTCGCTGCGCAACCACCAGTGGTCATTCTACGATGGGCAATACGTGTTCCTGGCCATCATTGGCATATTTTCGCTGTCAGTCATTGAGGAGCCTGGACCTTTTCTGAAGACAATAATCGCAACGCTGTTAATGGCCTCCCTGATCATCCCGATAACTCGGCAGTTCTTCCTCCCCTTTCTCCCTGTGATTGCCTGGCTTGTTCTTTTCTATTCCTGCAAGTAAGTCTACCGTCTGTGTTCGCCCCAGCTTGTGCAGGATCGAGGTCTTGCGGCGCTCCATTTTGTGGGCAACGAGGAATGTGGCTGTATCGCTTGCCGCAAGTGCATTGCAAATGAGAAAATCGTACTAATCTCCCTGCAACAGATTCATTCCTGGAGACTATCGACCGCCGATATGGGTGCGTGTCTTGCCAACGCTCGAGAATATCCTCTACGGCGCCAATCTGAGCAACATCCTCTCCGCGCATAAGCACGCGGTCCTCGATGTTTTGGCATGGCTTCCGTACGGAATCACGCATTTCGGAGCGCCGGTCGTGGTCTCAGCAATCATGTTCGTGTTTGGGCCACCCGGTACAGTGCCAACGTTTGCGCGGGCTTTCGGATACATGAACGTTGCAGGAGTCATCATACAGCTGCTGTTTCCCTGTTCGCCGCCCTGGTACGAGAACCTCTACGGTCTCGCGCCGGCCAATTACAGCATACCAGGATCTCCCGCCGGTCTTGCGCGTATCGACAAGCTGTTCGGTATCGAGCTTTACACATCTACATTCACCGCCTCTCCATTGGTCTTTGGAGCGTTCCCGTCGCTGCACGCAGGCAACTCCGTCATCGAAGCTCTCTTCATGAGCCACGTCTTTCCGCGTCTTCGACCGCTCTTCGTCCTCTACGCTTTGTGGCTATGGTGGGCGACCATGTACCTCTCGCATCACTACGCCGTGGACCTTGTTGGCGGCGCTTTACGTAAGCTACCCGCTTGTATCGTTCAGTGACATCGCTAACGTCTCACAGTCGCGGCCATTGCCTTCTTTTTCGCCAAAGCCAATTTCCTGCCGCGGTTACAGAAAGACAAGGAGTTCCGCTGGGACTACGATTACGTGGAACTCGGCGAAACTTATGATGGTGTCGCCTACGGCATGTCGAATCTGTATCAAGAGTTTCAGCAGCCTACTGCCGACAGCGATGAATGGACCATCGGCTCATCCTCTTCATTCTCGTCCGGAACGCGAAGCCCATCGATGGGTGCCAGAAGTCCAGTCGACGATTCACAAAATCTGTGGGAAGGAGATACTCTTGCATCCCATTCTGATCACGAGCGAACGTGAAACCAGTGATTAAAGACTCTGGCACGGTAGCACTCCGCACCCCGCTTCCTCAAACCCTCTCACCGGCATTAGCCCGGACACACTTCCTGAGGAGGACCATACAATCCTCGCTCACGCTTACGAGTTATGCATCGCACGGCGTCATCCTAGCATTTCCAGCGGTCATCTTAATACTAGCGATAGAGGGCATCCGGCATCCAGCATCATCCGTGCCACTTTGGCTACGCCGGTGGGTCCAGTCATCGAAACTTGGCGGCAGCCATACGAATCCTAGCGAGATTCACCGTGCTGACCATCATGTTCATTTTCTAAGAGCCTTCCCTCTCGATCGAGGTACCGAGGGGGAGCCGATTCGGACTTTTATGCTTTTTGGGATTCATCTTTGCTCATTATACCCTTAGACATTCGCTTGTACTGATGCTGTATCATCACGGTCGCTTCTGATGCGTAAAGAGGATGCAGCGTTGGAGCCTGCACGAGCGGCCAGGACCTGTGAGGCGATTGGAGCCGCGGTGGATTTTGGAGGGCGTGGTACGTCAAGGGACGCGGTGGATTGTACAGAGGAGAGGAATTAGGATCGCACGTGGTACTACACTGCATCGAAAGTTCAAGGCAGGAAAGGCAGTGGACCAGGGCAGAGCGTGAGGGAGCAGGCCGTATAATTGCTAGTCGGTAATGCTTAATACGTCGTCACGGCGTGAAATGGGAATAAGATCTCCCTCCTTTCAGAAAGATTCCTTGGTATGCTGCGATGATACTGGCACCTTTGTTGCGACAGGCATGGTCCCTTGAATTGCTGAATCGGTTCAGCAATGCTTAACGTTACCATGCTAAGTCGAGATTGGAGTTCGAAAACGATGCCAAGACTACAAAAAGTGCCTCGGAAGGTTCCAGGCTGCACGTCACCTGCTCAGGCGACAGCTCGCTTGACGCGACGCGCCGGATCCAGGTTGCCTCACGCTTTGTGACCTTCGTACCGCCACCAAACCCCCAACTTCTGCCACTCACCATTCTTCTTCAATTGTGTTTCGGTTGGGACCAGTAGTTCGGACAAGATGTAAGAGGCATACCATCATATCACACGTCAACATCTAACGCGCGGTAGGCACCGTCCGAAGTTGGTAGTCTTGATCGAGGACAAAGAGAACTGCGCGCCTGGTTCGCAGAAAGCTGTCCGACTCTACGGGGGCACACCACAGTCTGTCGACCGCCTTATCCGACCATTCAAATGTCCCGGCTCTGCAACGCCTACGCGAGCTTCTGAGAAGCCCGCAAGGAAGCGGCGTAAGATCAGCTACGCAGATGCGGATGGCAGCACGGAAGACGGGGACAAGCCGTACTCGAACGAGGACCGTCTGGCCCTTGCAACCCGAGATGTTAACAGGTTTCCAATCTTCAAGGTCAAGGACAAGGAGACGACCTTCCGCGCACGGTTCGCCGTACCTCTGATCAACAAGGACACCGGCGCCTACAATGCGTTCCGGCCGGCGCCACTTCTGGGAATGCGACAAGGAGCCGTGTTTGTAGCAAAGCCCTTGCACGACCCCAGTGGAGAGTTTGCAATCGTCCTCTACGATCCGACAGTCGATGACAAGCCGGCAGCGAAGGGAGACGCAGAGCAGAAGGCGGACGATGAGATGAAGGACAAGCCAAAGCTTGACGAGCCGATAATGCATAAGAGCTTGGCTGACATACTCGGGCTGAAGAAAAAGGTTGAGGACCGGCCCCGGGTCCCTGTCGTGATTGATCCTAGATTGGCAAAGGTTCTCCGCCCGCATCAGATTGAGGGCGTCAAGTTCCTGTACCGTGCCACCACCGGCTTGATCGACCCGAAGGCGAACGGTTGCATCATGGCAGACGAGATGGGCCTGGGCAAGACTCTCCAGTGCATTGCCTTGATGTGGACGCTGTTGAAGCAATCGCCTGATGCTGGCAAATCGACCATACAGAAGTGCGTCATCGCTTGTCCATCCAGTTTGGTCAGGAACTGGGCAAACGAGCTCGTCAAGTGGCTCGGTAAAGATGCGGTCAACCCGTTCGCCATAGATGGCAAGGCTACGAAAGAAGAGTTGACGCAGCAGCTGAGGCAGTGGTCCATCGCCAGCGGCAGAGCCGTCACTAGGCCTGTCCTTATCGTCTCTTATGAGACCCTACGGCTGAATTGTGAAGAACTTCGCAACACACCCATCGGGCTACTGCTGTGTGACGAAGGCCATCGCCTCAAGAACGGTGAGAGTCAAACTTTCACTGCATTGAATGGATTGAACGTCCAGAAGCGTGTCATCCTTTCCGGTACACCCATTCAGAACGACCTTTCCGAGTACTTCTCGCTTCTCAACTTCGCCAATCCAGACTATCTAGGGACGCGTAATGACTTCCGCAAGAAGTACGAGCTTCCCATTCTTCGCGGCCGAGACGCGGCTGGCACGGATACCGACCGCAAGAAGGGTGATGAGTGTCTGAAGGAGCTGCTCACGCTTGTCAACAAGTTTATTATCCGACGCACCAACGATATCCTCTCCAAATACCTGCCGGTCAAGTACGAACATGTCGTCTTCTGCAACCTGGCCCCCTTCCAAACCGACCTTTACAACCACTTCATCAAGTCACCAGACATCAAGCTACTTCTACGCGGCAAGGGCAGTCAGCCTTTGAAGGCTATCGGCATGCTGAAGAAGCTCTGCAACCATCCTGACCTGCTTGATCTGCCGGCTGACCTGCCAGGCTGCGAGGAATCCTACCCAGCAGACTTTGTGCCCAAGGATGCCCGTGGCCGCGACAGGGACGTCAAGCCGTGGTACTCCGGCAAGATGTTAGTGCTCGACCGCATGCTCGCGCGAATCCGCCAAGACACGAACGACAAGATCGTCCTCATCAGCAACTACACGCAGACGCTAGACGTCTTCGACAAGCTCTGCCGGTCTCGCGGCTACGGCTGTCTCCGCCTTGACGGCACCATGAACGTCAACAAGCGCCAGAAGCTCGTGGACAAATTCAACGACCCGGAGGGTCAGGAGTTCGTCTTCCTGCTCTCCAGCAAGGCCGGCGGCTGCGGCCTCAACCTCATCGGCGCCAACCGTCTCGTCCTTTTCGATCCGGACTGGAATCCCGCTGCCGACCAGCAGGCCCTTGCTCGTGTGTGGCGTGACGGCCAGAAAAAGGACTGTTTTGTGTACCGCTTCATCGCGACCGGCACGATCGAGGAGAAGATCTTCCAGCGCCAGTCGCATAAGCAGTCGCTCTCGTCGTGCGTTGTTGATTCCGCTGAGGATGTCGAGCGCCACTTCTCGCTCGACTCGCTGCGAGAGTTGTTTCAGTACCGTCCTGGCACAACCAGCGACACGCATGACACGTTCAAGTGTAAGAGGTGCAAGTCGGACGGGAGACAGCATATTAAGGCCCCGGCTATGCTGTATGGAGACACAAGCACGTGGAATCACTTTGTTAATGACGGGGAGAGTGGGCCGTTGGGGAAGATCCAGGATCTGTTACTTAGACAGGAGACGAGTGAGAAGGATGTTAGCGCTGTGTTTCAGTATATTAGCCATTGAGCGTGCACTTGCTGGTGTTGGCTTGGGCGGTTTGGGCGGTGGGTCCTGGGCGTTCATAGACAGGTCGGATATGAGGCGTGACGAGTGTATCACGCTAGAATTGCTTAGAGGCTTTGAAATACTGCGTCCAAGCATAGTTGCCACAGCAGTGTCGGAAGACCGGTTAGCAGCAACTTATCCAGATATCCGCAAACACTCACTCAAACAATCCAAAAGGTCTTGAGTGCCGGCTCGTAATGCGAAGCTGTTGCTGGTCTCAAGAATAACTGTCTTGGGATGTAAGTGTAGCAAGATCAAGTGACGCAAAAACATCAGATCAGATACATTACAACACGATTTTGCCAGCACCTCTTGTCATAGGGAACCCTAGACCCCAACAAAGGACTCCTTTCCGTCGCAGTGGAAAGATGGGGTGCAGGCTGTCGCCCCGAGGCTTCGAGAACAGAGACACAGATCTAATCCGAGACTCATGAGTACCGCCACTTGTGACGATCGATTCTGCAGTGCTTTCTTCTCGAAACAGCGTAGAGGATGGTCATATGAAGATCTGAACAGTCCCAAAAATCCCCTGCAGCAGAGGCGAACTCGCTGTGAGCTTGGTCCCGCTGTAACTAATCAATTCCACGAGGACATGGTTTGTTGGAAGAGTTGTGCTCCTAGCCGGCATGAGTTGATACGAGGATGTATAGGACCTTTCCTAGCCGTAGGGCACACCAGGAGGCTTGATAGACCCTCTTTAACAAGCCGAATCTTTTGTTCGGTGCCGTGCTAGTTGCAGCCTCTGAGTTGATTGAGCGCGCCCTCTCGCTATTAAGCTCAGTTCCAGAAGCCCCTGCACCTATCCCTTCTTCGGGACCCCGGAGTCCAGAATGCACATACACACCCCCTTTAACGCCTTGCCCATCCCATCTACCTACTCACTTCCCGCCGGTCCCTCTCCTCCACATCCTCAGCGAGAGCGACATCCTCGGCATTGTCACCGAACTTCATCTCTTGTGCTATCACAACAGTCAGCGTTGATCCCTCACCACACGGCACGAGGAGGCTTACCACTCCACAACTCCGAGTAGACACCTCCCTGGTCAATCAGCTTTTCGTGCGTCCCGCTCTCGGCAACGTCGCCCCCGCTCAGCACGATGATGAGGTCGCTGTCGTAGATGGTGCGGAGTCGGTGCGCCACGAAGACCGATGTGCGCTTCTTTTCTTTCAGGATGCTGTTGATGTTCTGGAGGAGCGCGGTTTCGGTGTGCGTATCCAGGGCAGATGTCTGAGAGCGTTAGCATGTGTGGTGATGCCCGAGATCCAGGAGGTTTGGATGGGTGGAGAAGGAAGGCTTACCGCTTCGTCGAAGAAGAGCAGAGGTGGATCTTTCAGGATGAGTCTCGAGATGGCTAGGCGCTGTTTCTCACCGCCTGTACGGTCGTCAATACGGTTTTTCTTCGTTGCAAATTGAGCCGTTCGCATACCTGATATCATCATTCCCCTTTCCCCAACCATGGTCTGATACCCCTCCGGAAAGTGCGCAATCGTCTCGCTCACCCTCGCCCTCTCCGCAGCAGCGCGAACTTGTTCGGGGCTAGCTTCCATATTCCCATAGCGGATATTATGCTCGATCGTGTTGTTAAACAGCGGCGTATCCTGCGGCACGACTCCAATCGCCTTCCTCAGGCTCTCCAAACTCACGTCCCTGATGTCCTGCCCATCAATTAAGATCCTCCCCTCCTGGACATCATAGAACCTAAACAGCAGCCGCAGAATCGTCGACTTCCCGCACCCGGACGGGCCAACAATAGCAACCTTCTTGCCGGCCGGGATGGTGAGGTTGAGGTTCTTGAGGATCGGCCTCGCGGGCGTATACCCGAACGTCACGTTCTCGAACCTGATCTCCCCGCCCGTCAACAGCAGCGGCTTCGCGCCCTCCTTCTCCTTGACAGCTACATTAACTTTTTGAAGGTTAAACAGCGTCTCCATGTCCAGCAGACTCTGCCTGAGCTCTCGATACACGCTGCCGAGGAAGTTCAGCGGCACGGACAGCTGGAACACGAGCTGGTTCACCATGACGAGGTCGCCGACGGTGAGGTTGCCGGACGCGACGCCGGACGCGGCGAGGTACATCATTGCGGTCAGGGCGGAGGAGAAGATGAGGTTTTGGCCGCTGTTGAGCAGAGCGAGGGAGGTGGCGATGCGGATGGAGGCTGCTTCGTAGGCTTTTAGGGCCGAGTCGTAGCGGGAGACTTCGTATTTCTCGTTGTTGAAGTACTTGTGGAGTCTCGTTAGCTGGTTATATGATCAGGACAGATGGGAGAAACGTACTTTTACGGCTTCGTAGTTGATCAGAGAGTCGACGGCCACGGTTGCGGCCCTGTTGTCTGCGGCGTTGGCGGCTTTCCGGAACTTGGTCCGCCAGGAGGTGGTCAGGATCGTGAACGCGGTGTATGCAACCATGGTAGTTGCGGTGATGACGGCGAATTGGGCGCCGTATTGGTATGTCTGCGTCTTTCAGCAATGGTGCAGAGAAGGTGGCAGCCAGAAGATACTGGGGCGGCTTACGAGGATACCGCACACTAGGAAGATCTCTAGCGCGGTAGGAAGTACGTGGAAGACCATGGATGTCAGCAGGAAGCTGATCCCTTTCGTGCCTCTGTCAATGGCTCTTGTCAAGCCCCCGGTTTGGCGGGAGAGGTGGAAGTTTAGGTCCAGCCGCAAAAGATGCTCGAAGACGCTGCAAGCAACACGCCGTATAGCCTTCTGGGCAACGCTTGCGAAGACTGCGTTTCGTGCTTCTTGGAAGAGGGTGGCGCTGATTCTGGTGACGCCATCTGAGCAATTTTCTTTAGCTGTCATGTCACCATATTACCGTCACGGCGCTTACATGCAAGAATCATCGAGCCGGCTACTGTCCATGCCGTCCCACCCACGGCCAGGAAGTCTATGTTCATCGAGTCTACAATGCTTTTGAAGTAGAATGGGACTTGCACATTCAATATCTATCATACAAGATGAGTATATGTACATGGTTTGGTCACTGGAACGCGTTACCTTTGCGCCGACCAGTAAACCCACAGACAGCCCAACTCTGAGCCTGGTTCCAAGGTTGTCCTTAAACGCGTATCAGAGATGGCGGCGTGCTACACGTATCTTGACGGGCGGTACCTTCGGCCATAGATATCTCGACATCTCCTTCATTATCGCCCAGTCCGCCTTGCGCTGCTCTTTGTTGGACACCGTTTTTTCAGACATGAAAGCATCCTGCTTTCCTGGAACAGCAGGCCTCTCTTTCTGCATAGATTCCGGCCTCACACCCTGCTGCCCTTGAATCTTCCCCTGGATCTCTTTCTGTAGAGTTTGTATTCGGGCTTCATCCTTCCTGTGACGAGGCGTAGTCGCGAAGATCCGTACAGACGTTGCTCGTAAGACGCGCTGACCACTCCATGTCAGAGCAGGTGCCCGAACGTGCTGTCCCCACGCTGGTGGAATCGAGCGCGCGGCACATCCGCTCCGTAACAGATGATGTGCCAGCATCTTTGGGCCTATTGTGCCAATCTCTGGGCAGTTGAAGTCGTGAGCATCGTCGCAGGGCACGTGTTCGCCGAAGAGGGGTTTCGTGTCCACAGGCCCAGCCTTTGAAGCTCCAGTGTTGGATTAGGTAGGTATGTGCGATGCACGTTGTGAGAGCTCCGGTTGAGCAGCACGTCAGAAAGCTTGCTACAGCCCTACCGGCTCGCGCCGAATCTTGGCCGCAGAGCTCCTCCGGGCCAGCTTCAATACCGCGGCGCACGACAACAGCGCCAGCAACAACATGCGGAGATCAGCTGCAAAGTCCATATGGAGCGCTCCATGCTCCACCAGGTCGAGCTGTGTATCCAGAATACACAGCGTTGAGCCAATTGGACGGAGACCGGTCTCAATCAACGCCGCGCCTGCATCTTCCTCGCCGAGCTTCGAGCTCGATCCAGCGCCGCAGCCTACCGCTTCGCCCGGCTCTTCTACTTCCCCCGGTGCGTACACTGGCTGAATGGCTTGAACGGTAGCTGACCGATTGTTAGATGCACGCTTCGAAGTCATCGGATCGCCATACTCCCTCCTCTCCGTCTCGCTTTCCGCTTCTCAGAACCTGTATACCCGGCGCGGCACCCTAGTAGGCCTCAGTGGAAAAGCAGAAAATGTCAGCATGTTGCCACAGGGCCCCATGTGACAGCAGCTAATGCCTCCGCTAGGCTGTTTCCACCCTCTCCATCCTCGAACCCTTCCGCCGCGCCCTAGTCGGCATACCCTTCCTGTACCAGCGAGTATGCCTAAGCTTGCCCCTTGACCGCGAACCACTGAGCTTACCAACGCGGATAGATATCGTCTACGACACCTGTTACAGCCCTCATCTCCTCCAAATCGCCCATAACTTCCTTCGCCGTTGTGCACCTCGATGGCAGATTAGATTGGATAGTCGCGCAGAGGTCGGCGCTGCTGGCGTGGACAGGGCACGCACTGTCCGTCAAGCCAAGAATCAACACTAGCATGGTACTTGTCGTTAGGTCTCCCAGGTTGGAACACGGACTGACAGGCGAAGAGTTTAGCACATTGGGGTAACTCCCAAGTCACAGGCAGGGGTCTACTGGGATTGGTCGGCACAGGCCAGATCTACCAGATACATTTGAAGTCCGGAGAAGAATATGTTGTACATCCCAGGTACATCCCTTCCGACTGTGCCCTATGGGCGGTGCTAATGACACTCGTTCCAGTAACGTCGTCGCATACACAATGACCCAACACCCACCTCAACCCTACCGCTTCAAGTCCGCCCTCCGCCTCCAGATACCAGGCTTCAGGCTCGGCGCACTAGTACCGGATACGAAGTTCTTCAGGGAGATGGCAAGGACTGGAACTTGGCAGGCCATTAGCAATTTCTTCTTCACAATACGAACATGGGCAAGGAGAAGTATATGGGGCGATCGGGTAAGCGTCTATATGCGCAGTCTTCATGTTACTGAAGGCTTTCCTGCTAATGATTGTGCAGCTTTTCCTCCAGTTCCACGGCCCCTCGACCATTCTCCTCCAGTCTCGTGGCTCGCGCCTAAGCGATTCCCTAAGCCGTCGGGATGTGGCTGAGATTGCGGATGCGCCTGCGGGAGCGGCAGACGAAGCTGTCACGCTAAGCATGAGGAAGGAGAGCGGGCATGGGAGTTCCATGAGTGGATCAGCACCAGCGAATGAGCAGAAGACAAGGGTATCCTATGCTACGGTGGAGAGCGGCAAGGTGGACTTTAAAAGCTCCTGAGTTAGGAGCGGTCAAGCGTGGGAGAGAATCCACGCCCCAGTTTAGGCTGTACAGTACTGAATGGAGGCGTGAATGGACGGAGCGGGATCTAGCTCAGCCCAGCAATTGAACGGATGGAGATCGCTATACAGTCTGTCTGTAAAATAACTGCCAAGTGGCATATTTAAACATCGAGAACTTTAACGCGCTTAACTCGTTTCGATGCAATTCCGCAAGTGTTCTTAGGCAGAATGCGCCGGCAAGATCCATGTAGTAGTCGCAAAGTCACGTGCTGATAGGCTTCTTGCACGTGACTTTACCGGAGCTTAGCATCGACAACTCCGACTCTTGCTCTCGGCGGCGCAAAGAGCCCTCATCTGGATAAATCATCGCTCGTTCTTCGAGTGCATAGCTGTAGACTTCCTACAACCGTTCAGGGCATGATGCGAAGCGGCCTCTTGCGACCTGGAGTTTGAAGCATCGCATCTCCAACTGCCTCGTCAAACGCACCATGGACTCCAGAACCTGGATATCAGACAACCTCTTAAGGCTGTCTGGTGCCTCGGATTCTACCATCGTAGACTTCATAGCCGCGACCGCCAGCTCCACAAAGTCTTCTTCACAGCTACACGACAAGCTATCAGGCTTCCTCGACGGTCCACCTGCCGACATCCAGCGCTTCAGCGAAGAGCTTTTCCAGCGCGTGGGCAAGCGCTCAACCACGACGCCTTCCGAGAGCAAAACAGACAAGTCCAAGCAAAATGGGTCACGGAAGAAGTACGCGCTGCTGGATATGGAGGAAGATGCGGCCCTAGCGCCAGCGGTGCAACCGGAGCGCACAGAGAAGAGCGAGAAGAGGAAGAGTAGGCGGGAAAAGGAGGATGGGCACAGCAATGGGGACAGGAAGAGGGAGCGGAGCCAGGACGGTTACGACAGTCATGACAGGCGCGAGCGCCGTTCGAAGAAGATTCGTCGCAGGGATGTCGACGACTCGCGGTGGGAAGACGAAGAGTACATTGAGGATGCTGAGGAAGAGCAGTTCCCAGAGCCTGCGTCCCCGAAGAGGGTGCGGCTCAACGACGGCTCCGCCTCACCAAGATCGTCCGAAGATGTCGATACGGACCAAAAAGCGCGCAAAGCGTTCGAAGAACGACTCAAAGCGAAGGATGACAAGGCCTCTAAGAAGAACATCGCCGAGGCCCGCTCTTCTCGCGACGAGAAGCATGAGAGAATCGACGACATCCGGCTTCGGTCACGGCAGGACTATCTCAAGAAAAGAGAAGCCGAGAGGCTGGCTCTCTTGCGCAAGCAGGTGGCGGATGAGGCCGACGAGGAGCGCAACAACTCTGATCTTACTGAGGCGGAGAGGGCAGAATTTGCGCGCAATCGCGAAACACTCCGACTGGCAGAGGAGAGGCAAAGGGTGGACGATCACATAGAAGGCTATGCGCTTCCGGAAGACTATATTACCGAGCAGGGCAAGATCAACCGCAAGCGGAAAGAGGAGGCCCTGTACAAGCGCTACGTGGAGCGCGACGAGTATGGCCGCGAGAAGTTTGTGACCGAGCATGAGGAATGGGAAAAAGAGCAGACGGCGAAAGCGAGAGCGCAGATCTCGCGACCGGAATTGGTAAACGAGGGCGACTACGACTATGTATTCGACGACCAGGCGCGAATTCAGTTCATATCCGACGCTGCTCTACCAGGACAGCGCAAGGGCATGACCAAGGAACAGCGCTTGTTTGAGCAACAGCTGTCAGCTGCGGAGCAGAAGGCAGCAAGTATAGAGGAAACGAGAAGAAGCCTACCAATGTACCAGTACAAGGATCAGATACTCGAAGCTGTCGCCCAATTCCAAGTGCTCATTATTGTGGGCGAGACTGGCAGCGGCAAGACAACGCAGCTGCCTCAATACTTGCACGAAGCAGGATATACGAAGGGCGGCCAGAAGATCGGATGCACACAACCTCGCCGAGTTGCAGCAATGAGTGTCGCTGCGCGCGTCGCGGAAGAAATGGGGGTCAAGTTAGGAAACGAAGTTGGGTATTCCATCCGCTTCGAGGATCAGACATCTGAGAAGACAATCATCAAGTACATGACGGATGGAATGTTGCTACGAGAGTTCCTCACCGAGCCAGAGATCAGCAACTACTCGGTTATGATCTTGGATGAGGCTCACGAACGCAGCTTGAACACTGATCTGCTCATGGTTCTCCTGAAGGAGCTAACTCGGGCAAGGCCGGACCTAAAGTTACTGATATCTTCTGCTACCCTCGATGCGCAGAAGTTTAGCAGGTACTTCGACGACGCCCCCATATTTAATGTTCCTGGCCGTCGCTACGATGTGGACATCTACTACACCCCACAACCCGAAGCGAACTACCTCAACGCAGCCATTACGACGATTTTCCAGATCCATCTGTCGCAGCCGGACGGCGACATCCTAGTGTTCCTTACAGGACAAGAGGAGATAGAACTCGCAGAGCAGAATCTACAGGACACGGCTCGAAAATTGGGCAACAGGGTGAAGGAACTCATCATACGCCCGTTGTTCGCATCGCTGGATCAAGCGGAGCAAAACCGAGTTTTCGAGCCAACTCCTCCGAATGCTCGCAAGGTCGTTCTTGCTACCAACATCGCCGAGACCTCCATTACCATCGATGGAATCGTCTACGTTATCGACTGCGGCCTCGTCAAGGAAAACGTGTACAACCCACGCACCGGTATGGAATCGCTGATCGTCACCCCCTGCTCTCGCGCTGCTGCGAATCAGCGCGCCGGTCGCGCCGGTCGAGTCAGGGCAGGCAAGGCGTTCCGTATGTACACACGCCACGACTTCTACAATGATATGGATGAGAGCACCACTCCAGAAATTCAACGGTCCAACCTCAACGGGGTGGTGCTACTTCTGAAATCTCTAGGCATCAACAATCTCATAGACTTTGACTTTATGGACGCACCGCCAGCCGACACTCTAATCCGTGCGCTAGAGATGCTATACGCACTTGGAGCGCTAAACGACCGCGGCGAGCTCACGAAGATCGGGCGCCAGATGGCCGAGTTCCCCGCAGATCCCATGCACGCAAAGGCTATCCTGGCAGCCGAAAAGTACGGCTGCACCGAAGAAGTCCTAACCATCATCTCCATGCTCGGCGAATCCTCCGCGCTCTTCTTCCGGCCCAAAGACAAGAAGATCCACGCCGACGCTGCGCGCAACCGCTTCACCCTGCAAGACGACATGCTCACCCTGCTAAACATCTACAACCAAGCTCTCGACACCGACTTCTCGGTGCAGTGGATGCGCGAAAACTTCATCCAGTCGCGCTCCCTGTCCCGCGCGCGCAACGTGAGAGAGCAGCTCCTCAAGCTCTGCGACAGGGTCGAAGTCACGCCCTCGTCCGTCGGCCAGAACGACTACGTCCCGGTCCAGAAGGCCATCACGGCGGGCTTCTTCCCCAACGCGGCGAGGTTGCAACGCGGCGGGGACACGTACCGCACCGTGAGGAACGGGCTGACGGTGAAGCTGCATCCGAGCTCGACGCTGATGCAGACGAGGCCGAAGTGGGTCATTTATTCGGAGCTGGTGGCTACGAGCTCGGAGTTTCTGAGGAACTGTATGGTCCTCGAGCCGGAGTTCTTGACGGAGGTGGCGCCGCATTATCATAAGAGTAAGGATTTGGACATTGATAAGAAGATGCCGAAGGGGCAGGGCATGGCAGGGGCAGGAAGTAAGCTGTGATTTATGTAGCCGCAATAGCTTGTTGGGTACGAAGTACTTCATGGAAGACTTGGAGACGCAAATCTTAAATTGAATACCTACTCTAGCGCATCCATCGCCAGTATCGTTGACCCTATAAGGTATGACGTCATTGTTTGGACCCTATACTGAAGCGGCTATCACGACGAAAGCGCCGGCGGATTGACGAGCCTAATCCTCATAGACTGAGCCAGTGAGCAGTCAGCAGAACACGTCCGTAGACGTAAGTTTTCCATGAGAGCCAAGATAAGCGTATGCGCAGTTCCATCGCCTTCGAATCCTGGTTAGGCCTGCTGCCAAGTCGCATTGTCTAACGCCCGTCTTACTAGCATGTAAACCGTCCTGTCGCTTGCTACCCTACGCTTCTCCCGTCGTGGCATATATCTAATCCACCCTTACTTACCAAGCCTCAATATATACTCAATCCACAGCGCGCACTAATGCTACTAATTCGTCAATACGCGCCTATCCCTCATCTCAACTAGTACCTCTCACCACTGGCTGTCCTACCACGGTCCCCAACCCACCTCAACCCTCTCAGCCACCATGTGTCTCATAACCACCTCCGAGGGCCGCGTGAAGCACGGCGTAACCGACCCACCGCCACATAAATCCTTCTTCTCCGCGACACCCGACCCGCCCCGGGGCTCCTCCTCTGCCGTGGCGCGCATGCCGCGCAACTCGACGTACAGCTACCGCGACAGCCGGGAATACGAAAGGGAGTACCGGGCCAGTCAGCCAAGAGTGGAGTACCGGAGGGAGAGGAGCAGGAGCAGGGAGAGGAGTAGGTCGAGGCCTAGGATTGAGGCGCCGAGGAGTAGCAGGGGGAGTATGGGGGGCGCGGGGGGCGGGGCGGGGAGGGAGTGGGAGGAGACGCGGCGGAGGAGCGTTACTTATGTTAAGGGATAGGAGGGGTGAGAAAGGGTGTCGTGGGTGGGGCACAGGTGGGTTGGTGCTTTTGGGGCGGGGGGTCAGACGTGTGTGATGGGGAATAATGAAGACGAGGAACGACGCTACGAGACACGGATGCAAACCGGGCATACAAAGGAATGAAGGAGCCTGTTGGAGGACTCGACGCACACTTTTGAAATTGGACTGCCCCAGAGGCCGTTGGGATTGGCGCCCGCCACGGCGTGGACATTTGTGCGAGGGAGGAGGGCATATTGTCAGGGAGTGGGACGGCACGGTGGATGACTGGGCGCGTTTACATTCTGACATATAGTTGTTTAGATTTATTGGTCCAGATCTCTACATCTGCTTTGCAGGATCGTTGTTTAAGATAGGACTCCCAACCGCCTCAATCTCTCACATGAGCGGATGAAACCAAGGAACGTTTTGCAAGTGATCGCTACATTGTGGACACCTGTATGATCTAATCGATGTGTGCTCTTAGGTGCTTCGTTCTTCCCACTCGCATCAACGCGCATTTATACTGAATACGTCTGGCTTTCATGTGCATTGTAGCAAGCGCTCCACACTCGATGCAGGCAGCTTATTCCAATACTTTTCCAACAATGCATATAGAGTTCCTCACTATTGCGCAACAGCCCTGACCCCTTGCAAAACAAGCCCAAACACCAACCCCCTCGCCACCCGCTCAATCTGCAAACAATCAAACACCTTCCCCAGCGCCTCCCCGCTCGCCGTGGCGCCCATAACACTCGTCAACGCCTGCGGCATGCCCCTCTCAACCAGCAACTTCCTCGCCTTCCCCCTCAACCTCTCCTTCTCCTCCTCGTCCAGCGGCTTCGGCCAGCCCTTCAGCTCCTCCTCCGTCGGCAGCGCGTTCTCGCGCAGCTTCCGGAGATGGGCCGCGATGCCGGCATCGGAGGTGTTGGCCTCGAGCACCGTGCTATTGAGCAGGACGCGGATGCTTTCGAGTTGCGGGTTGCCGGGGCGGAGGAGAAAGGTCTTGGCGGCGCTGAGGAGTGTTTTACGGAGCGTCCAGGCGGAGGAGAGGGTGTAGAGCTCGTTTATGACGGCGAAGAGGAGCTCGATAGTTACTTGGGTTTCTTGTTCAGTTAGTGGGGGCTGGGGTTTGGGTTGCTTGGTAGGGCTTTCGGGAGGTGCTCTGGTAGAGAGTGGCTCGGTCGGTCCTGTGGCCGCAATATTTTGAGCGCTTTTGAGAGGATCACCCGGTGAGCGTTCGTGCTCTAGACTCTGCCTTTCGCGTGGCTGTGGTGGGGGCCTTTGATTTACTGCGTCGTAGTCGTCTGATATATCTGTCGGCAGTGGCGGCAGATTCATGATCTGATCACCTCCATAGGTGGGTGAGATCTCGTCTACACTATCCCGGATGGAAGGTGCCCTGCTTTGTTCTCTCGAACCTGAGTATAAAGACGACCTCGAGGACGAGGTCAGCCGGGGCTTCGTGCCAGCTTCGAAGTCCGGATTGTGACTTAGCCGATACTCCATTTGCGTTATAGGCGCTGGTTGAGTATCAAGAATCTGTTGACTCCATAGACTGTCCGTACTTTTACGGCCTGCTGGAAAGCTTGAAGTGGTACTCTCATCTCGCACGTGCCTTGACGGTGAAGAGGCTGGAGTTTGGCTGAGCTGGCGTGCACTGGCGGTGCCCTTCTTGGGGACGATTGAGCCGACTCCACCCAGAACTCCAGTTACTCCGCCGAAAAACGCCTTGCCTCCTCCAGCGACTTCCTTGGGGGCTTTTGCAAGGACGTCGATCATTCCTTTCCCCATATTCTCAAACGCAGACGGAGAGGGCCAACCAATGCCCGGGAAGCCGCCTTTGGATGTACTTGGTGACTGGCTTAGACCCGTCTCCTTTTCAAGAAACCGCCTCATACCCTCGCTCTCTGCAAGCGGGCGGAAGTGAACAGCGTCATTGAGGTACCGCTCAAGCTCGCCGCGCAATGAAGGTTTAGTACGCCCCCTCCAGTTCGGCAGCGATGGGTGTGCTTCGACGAAGCTGACACCTGAGACGACCGAAATGCGCCGTAACACTTCGTGCAACGTTTCAAAGTCTGCAAACTTGCGAGCAATCATCCAGCCCGAATGATGTGATGATGTCGGTTCGATCTGAATAAGGTACTCAGTCATGGGTTTTGATCTGATGGCAGTTCTGTCGTTCGGAACGGAGTCGTCGAAGATAGAGATGTTGGCATTGAACAGTGTCAATGGGTCTCTGCTGGGCTTGTTGGGAGTGCCGCCAAGAGCAGTCGGGGCCTGAACGGGGACGAGCTGATCGAAGCTTGTAAATGTGGACTTTGCAGCGAGTGGAGAAAGCCGTTCTTCGCCGAAGCTTTCTAAAGCCTGGTCAGGAACGTCAGCACAGCGCAGGTATCAAGGCGCACAACTTTTCAACGTATATAACATCTGCTTGCGAACGAGTCACGCATGACCGGTGATCGGTTCAGATATGGAACTTAGAGAAAGGGATTCTACAATGTACTTACTTCTGCGGCTCGGCTGTGGTCTCTCGACAATTCCATAGAAGCGTTCTCTGACATCACTGCATCACCGTCCCCATTCGCGTCACTTTGAGAGGATGTTGGGGTGAAAACACCCTGTGTAGTGCTTTCCGATACATCATCACTAGAACCAGTGGCGGCCACTTGTTGCTCCCGAAGCCTCCGAGCATCTTCTTCTGCCATCAACTGGGTAAGCCGCTGCGCTTCACGCATGGCTTCATCCATGGCGTCTTGCGCTCTGCTGACCCTTCGTCTATGGGCTATGTTGGAGTCTCGTTCTTGTGGTGATGGCATGTTTGCTGTTTGTTCCTGTAGTTCAACAGACCGCTTTCCACCGTCTTGTAGCGCCTCATTCGCTGATTTCCCCACGCTAGCATCGATAACACTCAGCAGCTCGGGCTCAGCTTCTTCAAGCAGATAGACGATCCAGCCGTTGATCCACTCGGGCTTTGAGCAGCTCTGTATCGTCATGTCGAGAATCATTTTTGCAAGGACTTCTCTAAGAAACACACGTGCTGGTTCGCAGTTGTACGTCTTAGGGTCCAGGAAGCTTTGGAGAATGTCTTCAGCTACCATGTCCAGTTTCCTTTCCTGATGCTTGGTATCCAGGATATTAGATAAGTTGCTCTCAGGCTTGAGCTCCAAGTACGTCGCAATTGCGTTCTCTGCAGGAGCTGATGGTGAAGCTGCGAGCGCAGTGGCAAGCTCGCTCAAGAAGACGATGACAATGGATGATGAATGCGTAACGAAGTCAAGGAAAGTATCAGCCGGTCTCTTACGTGAGAGATGCGCTGAGATTGACAAGATAAAAGCGGTCAATGATTGTCGGCAAGCGGTAGGAAATGTCAACTCTGAGGGCAGGATTGGCGAATACCACCACCTGCGTAAAAAGATCAGTATATAGACTGGCTAGGACTGGATTATAGCATACTTGACATAATCGCGAATCACGGCGTCTGTGACCTCGTTCAGAGCATCCGCAGTTTCCGGCTTGAAACCAGTATAATCAAGCTGCTCCCCAGAGAAAAGCTTGACATTCAAATCAGAATCATGTCGATCCTCCGCCTCAGCGTCTGAGCCTCTCGACCTCCATGCTAACACCCTGTGCGCAACATCCAGGCCAGTCTCCTTTTTCCTCCTCTCTTCCACAGCTCGAGACGGCTCATTTGCACCGCCTTGAGAACTGGCTTCCCAGCTGGCATGAAGAACAACGCCCCCTACCACACCAATCAATATGAGGCCAACTCTTCCGAGTATAACGTATGTTACAACGCCAAGCCCCAGAAGGCACGCGCTGAGCGTCTCGTTACTGGCAGTGGAAAGGAAATCGAGGGCTCGGCCGGTCAGCGGCTGAGCAGTGGCCGGTAGGCTGCGAGATCCCTCATCGATAGGGCGTGGTTCCGCATCTCCCTTGTCCTCAATTTGCTCCTGGCTCTTCAGCTTGGTTTCCGCATCGAGTTCGGGTTGTTGGTCGTCCATCTCGGCGTTGCGCGTTGTGGAGAGCAATGATCTCTATGAAAGAAGACCCACGGGCGTAGCACGTCACATCGTCAATCGTTTGTTGTCCCCGCGCCCCTGCCTTTCCCGTTGCTGAAGTAGCGACTGCGTTCGCGACGGCTCAAGCTCCGTCAGGGTTCGCGCGCGAGATGCTTGGCGCGGTTTGCACATGGATGGTCAGGAAGGGAAAAGCTACTCGGGTACAGTTCCTCACATGAGTTCGACAAGACTGGCAATACAGTATGGCGACTTGCGTGGCCTGCCAGCAGCCATTGATCCTAGAGATCGACGGCTCAGACGACGATGAAGATGTCGAAGTAGGTGGTTTAAGCAGCGCTCCCACGCCATCCGCAACAAAAACTGTTCCGGACGACGTTGGATTGGCCTGTGGCTGTCATTTTCACTGGTACTGTCAAAAATCCCATTATTTCGGGATGACCAGAAGCTCATACCGCCTAGGCAATGCCTTCTCGACGCGTATACCGTTACGGAGTGCCCGAATTGCGGAACGAACCTGGCAACACCATCCCCCTCGGGTGGGGAACAGGTCCTGTGCACATTAAAAAACGAGGGAGGTCTCCAAGAGAACCTTGATATCCTTCCCCTCCTTACCGAAGAGAGCTACCTCAGAGCGTATCCGGAGGAGCGCAAATGCCGGGCATTCTTAGAGTTCTGCCGCGAAGGAGAGGTGCAGGCTATTGTAGCTATGCTTCAGGATGACGAGGATGAGGAGGAGACCATGCAGGAGGGAGAACCGATTGACGTCCTCCGGTACCAGGACCCTATCGGCGATATGCAGTCCGGATTGCACGCAGCCGTTGCGGGAGGTAGCCGGGAGGTTGCCTGGCTGTTGCTTCTCCTAGCTTCTGAACTCGACTTACAGCAGTTCCCGGCACCGGTCTTTCAGGAGGCGGGGGCTATGGGATTGATGAGGGAAGACCAGACGGGGAAGGTAGATATCAGGAGCCTCAAAGACGCACAAGGCAGAACTGCGGAGGACTTGGCAGCCGCAATGGGAGGCGTATGGGTCGGATGGCCAGGTACCGGGAGGCTCGCGGTATGAAGATATAGGAAGGCACGTGAAGCACAGCCATCCTTTGCGAAGTAATTCGTTTCATATCGAACAATGTGCGTGAACAAGTTTTATTTTACTGTTCTCCCGAATGATTGGCCAGCGTGTGCTTACTGTATGTGCAGTCCGCTGTGGTGCATGCTTCTATTGATTTGTGTCCGCACGTTGATTTGCAGCACCTCCAGCTGCAGAGAAATCATCAGTAGCATGCAACAAGAGCAAGAGCTATGAGGGGCCGAGCAATAGCACAATACATTGTGGGGTAGCTTCGACAATGTTCGAGGCATGCCTACCCCTATGATATTTACACGAGAGGCCATACAAACCGAGTGGAGCATCTTCCCTCCAACACCAATCCATACTCTCGCTATCACTAGCTCAGCGGCTTATCGATAGGACAAGTGCTAAGAACTTACATGAGTCAACGACATTCTCAGTCTCTCGATGGCTCTCATCCAGCACGATGTATCAGAATCCAGCAGCCGGACGCTGGTCTTGCCAGAGCACCGACGATCCTGCAGTCGCAGACTTCCACCGCAAACTTCCGGACTACAACGTCACTCCGCTTGTACCGCTTCCAAGCCTGGCGAAGGAGCTGGGTCTCGGGCACGTCTTGGTGAAAGATGAGTCCCACCGATTCGGCCTGCCCGCCTTCAAGATCCTAGGCGCGTCGTGGGCGGTATACCGCGCAGTCGCCGCCAAAGTAGATCTGCCACCAACGACACCCTTGGATGACCTTAGTGCGGCCGCGAATGCCCATGGTGTCGAGCTTGTGTCATGTACGGAGGGGAACTGGGGCCGAGCGGTAGCGCGCATGGCTAAGTACCTCAGCATACAAGCCACGGTGTTTGTGTCGCAAAACATGTACAAGACCACGTTGAACCTGATTGCGGGTGAAGGCGCGATGGTTTCCGTGGTCCAAGGCGACTACGATGCCTCGATCCAGGCTGCAAGAGACGAATCTGCGAAGAGCGGCGCGCTGCTGGTCATGGACACCTCATGGCCAGGGTACGAGGAGATCCCAAAGGTGAGATAGTTGGAACCTTGCTTGCCCTGTCCCCTTCCAAATCTAACACCGAGCCACAGTGGGTTGTTGATGGCTACTCCACGATGCTTCTGGAAGCCGACCACCAAGTGCATGAGATGACAGGCAAGGACGCAACTTGTGCCATAGCATCCGTAGGTGTGGGCTCGTTGGCACACGCCGTTGTTCAGCACTACAAGACCCAGGACCGCAACGCTACAGTTGTGGCTGTCGAACCAGAGACAGCGGCGTGTCTGAAAACCAGTCTCGAGGCAGGCAAGATCGTGCCCATCGAGACGGGAAACACGATCATGTCCGGCATGAATTGTGGGACCGTCTCTGTTACTGCATGGCCTTTCTTGAGGGATGGTGTTGATGCAAGCCTGACTGTCTCGGATATTGAAGCACACAGAGATACGCAGTACTTGCAGGAGAACGGCGTTCCGTGTGGTCCGTGTGGTGCTGCACCACTCAGTGCACTGAGGAAGCTTTGCGAAGAGGGAGAGCTTGGTCTCGGGCCTGATTCGGTTGTTGTTTTGTTTTCTACTGAGGCTTCTAGACCTTATCCTGAGCCATAAATTCTCCTAGACGTATACACTGTTCGCTCTGTTTCTCGATTGCTCAGCTTTAGTAAATCGGTTCCATGATCTTTAAGTTATCAACCCGAGAATCTGCCGCAGACCTCATGGTCCGATATCACGAACTAGAGCTCAGTCGCTTCGTACAACATCTCTAGTCGCTTTGCTTGGTATAAGTGGACTCTTACCGTTTCATTCCTAGTTCCTCCAGAGCTCAGAGATAACCCTAAACGCTGAGCTGGGCTGATCGAGGTCCAACTTGATTGCTTCTCATATCCCCATCATGCAGCATTCAAAAAAGTGCGAGATATGCTCTTCTCAGCACTAAATTCCCGGTACTCTCGCTCCGAAACGTGTTGCCCTCAGCAATCGTACTGTTTTTTCCAGCGCCTGTTTGCGTCGGACGCTACATAAGTTCAGGTTTGGCCGTTTGCTAAATTGCTGTGCCCTGCAATGAGAACCATGGTTGGACTCTGCGTCCTGATGTCAGGCGCGAATATCTCGCCGAAAGAATTACAGCGCGTGATTGAGCCCCCATCGGAGGTTTTTTCGCCCGGCCGTGGGTATGTAAGTCCATCCATATTTTAAAACGACTTTGTCTACTGCTATACGTAAATTCAATCGCAGGAGAGACCAGCGGGCGCAACTACGACATCATTATCTATCTTACTCGCCGCAAGTACTGTTTCCGTTCTTGCGAGTCACACTACGCTTAAGGGGCAAGTAAAGCGCATCGAGTCACTCACCATGGAAGAAAAGGGTGCATTTGTCAATCCAGCCTGGATCCAACGACGCAGTCGTCAAAAACAAACCGCGCGATGAACTATAGTTGTATGCATCGCCTAGACCTCTTAGCTATCGGGTCTCAAAAGATATCACCGCCATCATAGCATGCCCCCTTGGGTCTTAGGATAAACAGATCGCCAGCTTCGACCAGGCCAGCGCACAGCCTCCGTCGAATCCCGCCCTCAGTAAAAAAACCTACTCACGACCCCATCTTCTCATACGTCGCCATCAAGCTCCCAATAAATGTCGTGATCAACCTGCTCCTGACGGCGCAAATATCCTCCGGAACAAGCCAAATCGTGGCCCCCATCTTCCTCGCAATGCTAATCGCCAGTTTCGCATTCAAATATGCCTCCTCATCCGTCCTCCCACTCGCCACAAGGTCATAGTCGACATATGCGCTCTTCATGCCATTCAGCACATCCAGCAAAAACACGCCCGTGCCCAGACTCGGATCCTTGAAACTGCGGATGGAGCTGGACCTTCCGCCCTTCTTGACCATATCATTAGCCCAGCGCACCATATCCGCGTCCGTGATCTCGCGCTTCCCGAGGCGCTGCGCAAGCGCCGAGAGCGTGTTGACGATGTCCTTGCGCATGAGCTGCCAGACCATGCCGAGGGTGAGTGTGCGCTGGCCGTCTGTGATGTCCGCGCCCTGGATCCCGACGAGGCTGAAGTGGTTCTGTTTGCCAAGCTCGACGGCGTAGTTTGTATTCTCGACGGCCTTGAACCGCATCATCTCGCCGCCGGACGCGGGCGGCTTGTTCGCGTGCCGCCAGTTCACGCTACCGGGGATTACCTTGTCGTAGGCTTGCAGCAGTACGGTGCCGTCGCGTAGGTCGTCGAAGAAGGAGACGACGGTTGGGCGCACGTCGAGCGAGTTCAGCCACAGCGTGAAGACGCGAGCTTCGCGCTCGCCTTCGGCGTCGAAGTCTTCAATGTCGGCTTTTTCTTCTTCGGTAATGGGGTCGAGGCCTGGGTGGGTGTTGAAGAGGTTCGCGACGAAGGCGAGGTTGAGTTTGGGGTTTCCGGCGACAAGGGAGGTGGGGGTGAGGAATTTGCGGCAGTCGAGCTTGTCGGCATTGTCGAGGACTTGTTCGGCGCGTTGCAGGAGGTCGCGGGTCTGGAGAGGAGCGCGGGAGCAGATCTCGGGCTTGAGCTGGTTGAGGAGGACGGTGTAGTTTTCGCCGTCTTTGACGTCGTTGGAGAAGTTTGATACGCTGCAACTTGTTAGTTTCGAACTGACTCTCTGCTCTGAGAGATCAAGCTTACGTTCGGTGCCATTTTGCGTTCTTCAGATGGTAGTTAAACCAGCGTAGTAAGATCTGCTCTGGGGGCAGCCGCAGAAACTGCTCCAACGTCTCATCCTCCTCGAGCAGCCGGTACAATTCCGGGTGTAGTTTGATGTCGATTTTGCCCAGGAGACCTCTTCGGATGATCTGCCAAATCAGACCAAGAATGAGATGTTCTCGCACTTCCATAATGTCTCCACTACCAATATTGACCACCGAGCATCCAATACCCTTCGCGGATTCGATAACAATATTGTTATTCTCCGTCATATGAAAGGCATTGAGCGTTTTGATCTTCTTCCCGGGTCTGTTCAGTACACGCTCGTCGATCGTGTCCGGCACGCTATCGTTGATCAACTTAGCAAGCACCAGCCCGTCCTTGCACTCATCGAACATCTCAAATGTATCCGTTGGAAAGGGCAGCCTGTTACCAATGTCCGGGTCGCCGGCCAGTACTGCATTGATGTGCCTTGTGAACTCGGTTCGCTCATCCTCGTTGATGGTGTGGGTGACATTCGCTGATGAGCCTTGGACTTGTATCCTCCCGCCGCCTGTAGTGCCTCCACCCGTGCTTCCTTTCGAGGCGTGTTTAGGAGACGCTGGGGGTGCATTACCACTGTACCCGCTCGGTCGGGAGGGGCCTGTCGACATGCGTTGCTGGGCTGGGGAGGATTGACGGAGCTTGGAGATGAGCTGGGAAGCGGAGTTGTCAGCTTCGACGTAGCCCGCAGCTTCCGCAGAGCATACATACGTCTACGTAGTCTTCCAGTTCCACTCTTCTCGAACTGTCCAGCTCCACTTCTTTCAGCGCTTGCCTTACTACATCGTAAGGCTGCCTTTCTGTATTCTGTGTTGCCTTGATGACGGTTGCTTCGTCAAGATAGCCCTTGTCGTCGATGTCGAGCTTGCGGAAGGCATCCTGGAGACCAAAGATCTCCTGCTGTTGGAATTGAGGATATTTCCTGGGCAGAAGAGCGAAGTCAGTACCTAGTTAGGCGCACTTGGGGGAGTTTTCAGTGGAAGACCCGCTTACCTCTGCAGCTTGATGATGTTCATGGTGAGAGTGGTTTCTTACAGGTTCCGGTATTCCGAGTGTTTCGTGGTTACGATGCTTAGGTTGGATCGTGCAGAGAAGTGTCTTAAGGAATGTAGATGCCTAAGCAAAGTTTTGCCCGACTTAGAAGGCTCAGCGCATTCGTGTTTGCGAATCCCAAAAGAGGCGCTGACGTCTGCCTTTCCAGGGATGTGGAGGGGATGGTGGGGCTGACAGTTGACAGGAAAGAGCCGCGTGGAGCAGCCACGCAATCCGTGGCGGTGCGCTGGGCACAATGTTCACTTCGCGCAACTCCTATGCTGCCAATGTTAGAAGTTTCAAGCTCTTTTTGCCCGTACCGCCCGTACCTCTAGAATGAAACAAGCTCAACCTGGAAATGGGGTTTCAGGTTGCGTGACGCTAGATTCTCAGTAAAGGCTTGCAAAAATCAGCAGTCGATTGCTAACGAAGCCCGCCAACGTGTGGATTAGTCAAGCACTTGACTCCTGGCGAAGCATCCGTAAGTCTGAGGGCGGTAGGTGAAGAACCCCATTAACGCGTTATAATAAATCTTAGGTCTAACCATGTTTCCTTTCTGTCTTGCCTTGTGTCCAGTCGTAGTCCTCCTAAATCTACTGCCCGCTTTGAGATTACAGTGCATTTTGATATAACAAACATTTGAGTGCCGTCTCACAAGGGTTTTCTCAAGACTCACCCCTCAATCCCTCCCCTGATCGTCCGCCAGCATTCCAAGCCCATCGAAAAGCCTCCCAATAACAGTGAGTGGATCCTCTCCTCTTCCATCCAACCTCCCATCACCCTGCAACCCAAACGGACATACGCCCTCCTTCTGGCCCACACAAGGCCAGCTCACATAATCAAAGCGCAATACCACATCTCCCTTCACCTTCTCCGGATACCCTACCGGCACGCTTCCGCAAGCCTGGCAGCCATAGGCCTCCAGCCGGGCCGCCAGCTGCTTGATCTGGTCCGAAGCAGCTGCCGGGATGGGACGGCCGTCCGGCAGTCGGAGCTTGGCGAACGATCTGGAGGCGTAGGCGTCTGAGTATTCGAGGAAGGCGCACAGGTGGTCGAAACAGGCGATGTGTTGCCCGCCTCGGGTGTAATAGACGTTGTCTGGTAAGTGCTGCAGAGCAGAGACGAGCTTGGAGAGGGGCCGACTGGGTCGGAGCATGTGGCACAAGGCGCTGCCTTTGCAGTTGATGGTTTGGACATCCCGTGGGTTGATCGAAGTGACCTTTGGGGGTGCGGTACGAAGGAAGCTCGTTCGGAAGGTCGATGGCTTACCTTGAAGTGGTGTAACGAGCTTGGCGGCTAGAGCGCAGAGGGCGCATAGGAGTAGAACTGCTTTGAGGCGCATGGTGTGCCTGTTGTGGATACATCGTCCTGCGGGTAGCTACAGCTTTTGAATGCTTCGTTTTGCATAGCGTGGCGGAATAGCCTGAGCTGTCTGCTATGATAGCATCTACTGACGTGGTGTTGAAGAAGAGATCGCACTACCGCTAGGCGGCGCCACCGCTATCTCATCTCCTGGCATCTAGTGATGCTCCGAGCGAATCCAGATTACCCATGGTCAAGGGTGTGATCTGGACAGATATCAGTTGCTCCGTAGAACGCGACGTCACGCTGTTTTGTTTGTTGGTAGTTATTGGAAGACTATGCCCTCGAGTACTAGGTTACGTGTAATATGTGAAAGCTTATGTGTTGGTATCCAGCCGGACAGAAATTTTGTGGCTCAGATATCTATCGTTCTGGCCTGCGTGAATAGATATATCGCGTATTCAGTCAAGAGCAGAAACTCAAATGAGGCTATGAGAAGAACGCGATCGAATGTAGCTGTTCATCACTAACATAAGGAAACAGGTCTCGCAGACTTCAAAGACGAAAAGAGCTTGGCATAAGTGGAAATGAAATCGGGCGACAGGGGAAATGTCTTCATAAAACTTGGTGTTGCGTCCGATTCAGATCTCCTTGAACTCCTTGTTCAAGATACCCAGCTTATCGATGCCCTCTGCTAGGCCCATTAACCTGGACGTTCATCTCAACGGCATTCGAGTTCGTTAGTGGGTGTCATGTGAGCCGCGTTTGCGTTCAGACAAGGACCCCTAGGCTCGTTGAAGTGCATATGGAGTTGGGCGATGAGCTCTTTGACGTTGCTAACCCATAATGAAGAAACATGTTCCAATATCACGGGCGTTAGTAGTACCAGTGTTGGGCAAACTCACTCCGTTGGTTTGGTTCCATAATAGCGACAGAGAACGTGACGGGCCTAATGTCAAACTCTTTGACCAGACACGCCTACCGTAACACACGTGGTTCAGACCGGATGACGCGGTGGATCGCGGTGAGTGAGCTCTGTCCCAGAACGTGTACCCAACAGCTGAAATGTGGAGAAGCGGGACATGACACTCACGTGCTGACTCGTAACTAATCATTCGATCGTGATTGAACTTTTTTTTTTTGTAATCCAGTTTATTGTCACTGCGGCAGCCAGAAGCGCCATGTCGGACACAAACGAGCTCTATAATACAAGTGCCATCCTTAAAGAAGGAACCCCTCCAGCCGTATTCACCATACTCCCAGCGTCATTGCTATTAGGTAGTATACCCTTCGGAAAAATGTCATAAAACCTTAGGAGCTGGAGCTTCTTCTCGGCATAGAATATTAAGGGGAGGCTATTAAAATAACCCCTTACTCCTTCATAACAGGTGTATATAGAGCCAGAACCCTTCCATCCTCCACACACATATCCATCTCGCTGTGACCCAGATTCCCATTGTGTAGATAGCTTCTTAGGATATGGTTGCCCTCGGAGGCGCGCGTCGAATAGGTGGCAGGTATAGGACGTGGTATCGCGCCTCGTATGTTTGCGTCTCTGCGTTGGCTCTCTTGCTTGACAGCAAGAGGTTCCCAGGCATCACCACGTGGAGGTGCAGAGTCCGACTTCGACGCCCGATCGTGATTGAGCTCTCTGAGTTTTCTGCGAACAAAAGACCTACAAGCTGAGGCCGAGACCGGTTTGCAGATCAACCGCGTATTAGTTGTGGCGCCAGGGGCGTAGGGTTGATCGACACGGTGTTCGACGGGCAGCTCATCGGGTATCGGGTTATCTGTGTCGTCAGCCATATCGACTGACCCTGAGCGCCGCCAGGTGAGGCTTAAGGCTGATGTGTCATGCCTAAGACATGAACTCGGTTGTCTATCTTACCGTTAATCTGCTTCCCTGGACTGTGCATCCACGACAGAAATGGCTCAGGGCGGCTACGCCGAGATTTGATTAAAGCGTCGTCCAAGCGCAGCCACGGCACAACCTCCTGAGTGTGCGCCACCCCCGTTGCAGTCCATTGGGGCGCGCATGCACGTAAAAAAGTGGACAATGGACAACACTAGATGCTATGCCGTCCTGGTCAGGATGCGGCTGTCCCAATACAAGGATCAGATGCGCAGCGGTATGGCGGGGTTATCCCATGGTGAAGAGACAGACACCCAACCTAGGGACGCAGACCCCAGGGCTGTGCTTTGACGTACTCCCTATCGACGCAGGTGTCAAACAACGGCCTCCTCACACAGGGGTGTGGCTTGATGACTAGGGGCGCGGCTTGATGATTAAGAGCTGAAAATGCGGGTTAGGCGTTCGTGGCTGCTCGGACGTCGGCAGGATCGCAGCATGGTTCGGCCATTGGCTCCATGAAGTGACGGGCTTGTCAGATTGAGCTTAATTGAACGCCCTAGTAGCATCCTGCGCGGATCACCCGGTGGGTTCCTGCGTCCTGCTTGCTGCGGTGCTCCAAGCTGAACGTGCCAGAACGCCTGCTGACCGCGTGTCTGGGTATGCTATTACTTTGTGCATCATGAGACTGGCTGTAGACGGCGCCGGCGCCGGCGCTGGGAGACAGGGACGTTTCTTGGGCGGCTGAGCGTGCCACCGCCCTGCTTGCTGTCACCTCCCCACTTCTGTCTACGGCTCAGGTTTTGTTCAGATCCTTGTGCTCACTATTTTTGGGACGCGTCTCGCTCACGCGGACGGATGATCGACCCCACAACCGAGATGGGCTCTCGTATGGGGACCACGCTTTACTCTTTTCATCCTTACGGCCCTCCCTTTAGCTGTCAAAAGGGTACTTCCACACGCTTATCCGGAGTATCACACCGTCGATCCGTGGGCACGTTCTCCTGCGTCAATTCATCTCCACCGTCATGTAGCCGAGCCGTATCGCTAGTTTACTGAACAGGCCATCTACGGCTAAAGTGGACTCAGTTTCCAGCTGAGTACCGCCTGGCTTGGGCTAGGGCGATATGGACGTTTCATCGACCATTGAGCTTCGACTGAAGTGTGGTGGCGTATTATCTCAGGGCTGCAGGTACAAGTAGTTTCCACGTTCGCACGGCCTAGCTAGGACAAGGTAGCCGCCTGGAAAGCCTCTTCGTGATATCTTTGGCACTTGCGCTAGGGCTGAGTGTTAACTCCAAGAACTTATCTCATACTTCATTTTGACCCATCCCCCCTCAAACTCAGCGCATTGTCTTCAAGTTTTTCTTCGTAGTTTTCCGGACTACAGTCGCTCTTTCTCGCCATCATGGCATCCACCTTCGCTTTGCCCTCTGCAATGAGAGCCACGTTCCTTGTACTTTTTTCCTTTCTGTTTGCAACGAGTGTCTCTTCTTTGGCCTCCACGGACACTATCACCTGGGGAGGGGATAATTCGCGAGCTGGATATGCAGAGTGAGTATCAATATGTTGGAAATTCGGATGGCTCTGGCGCTGACTGGAATAGTAATCATAATATGGATCCGGCCGTTGTCGGAAGCGCCGAGTTTGGAAAGCTGTTCAGTACTCTTCTACCTGGCAATTTCAACAACATAGGCCCCGAGCAGATTTTTTCCCAGCCCTTAGTCTACACTGGAGACGACGGCGTGCAGTATGTCTATGTGGCCACAACTCAAAACAATCTTTATAAGCTTGATGCGAAGACCGGTGCGATCATCATGAAGAGGAACATGCATGTCCCTTTCTTGACCGCTGATCTGGACGGTAAGCTTCCTCCTGACGCCAGTCAATCGCACTCGATGATGCTAGTGGGCTTCTGTTGTTCAGGCTAAACGTGCGTCACAGGTTGTGTCGATATCAACCCGGCCATCGGCGTGACTGCGACTGGAGTGATCGATCCCGAAACCGGGCTCTGGTATCTCACTGCAAAGACGTATTCGGAAGAGTTCCAAAGCGGTCTATTCACCCCGGCCAAGCCCCCCGGACGACTCAACGGGAGGTACTACTTCCATGCAATCAACACGAAGGACCTTACGGAAGCGCCCGGCTTCCCAAAGCTAATGGATGGACTGATCTTCCGGAACAACCCGAATCGTATGTTCCTTGGTGGCAACCAACACGCAAGGCCCGGGATGCTGCAAGTAGGTGACTACATCTACACTGGATGGGCGTCCCACTGCGTTCAGTACAACTTTACCGGTGCCATCATAGGGTTCCACAGGACTACAGGAGCTGTCGTTGAAGCCCATGCGCTGCAAGGCGGCCCCGAGCCTATCACTGTCAAGGGAGCTGGTGTTTGGATGTCAGGCGGTGGTTTGTCGTACGACGGCGCAGGCAGCATGTTCTTCGCTACGGGAAACGGGTATGCTTCTCAACTGCCACCAAACGGGGCCTCGAGACCTGGACGAGATCCTCCCACCGCACTGGAGGAAGCGGCAGTCAACATGAAGATCAATGACAACGGGACCATCAACGTCGTTGATTTCTTCATGCCATGGGAGAAGACGCAGCTCGATGGAGCGGACAAAGACTTAGGGACATCCCCTCTGGCGCTGTTGCCCACCAATACGTTCAAGTGTGCTAATGTCAAGCGCATGGGAGTCGTTACTGGCAAGTCTGGAAAGACCTACTGGTTAAATCTGGATAACCTTGGAGGCTACCAGATGGGCGCCAACAAACTTGACAATGTACCTCAAGTGTATCAGAACGAAAACTCTGTGTATGCTGGAGCCGGTGTATATCCACTCGAAGGGGGTTACATCTACATCAATGTCATCCAGTACCAGACGCACATCTTCAAGTTCAGCTGTGACGCTTCAGGCGATCCGAAGTTCACAAAGGTGGCCGACACTCCAGAGAAGAACGCGTACGTCCTCGGCGTCGGGCATGGAACCACCACGTCACTCAACGGTCAAGAAGGAACTGGTCTGTATTGGCAGACGGATGTAGAGGGCTATAACCTCCGCATCTACAACGCTGTCCCCACTCAAGCGGGTTCACTCACGTTGCTCAAACATTTCAACATTCCTGCCGTCACCAAATTTAGTCGGCCAGTTTTCGGAAACGGCCGAGCGTACATTGGAACTACGAATGGGTATCTGCATGGCTTCGGATCTCCTGTTAACCTACCGCTGAACTGCTCGTCGCCGTACACTTTCGATAAGACACCTGTTGGAAGTATCTCTCAGCCGCTTACCGTCACCTGCCTAGCCAACATTGACACACAGGTTACTGGCTTGGCTCTGACTGGCAATCAGAACTTCAACATATCCAGCATCCCACCCATGCCGTTCACCTTGGCCAAAGGAAAGACATTCAGCTTCCAAGCTCAGTTTGCTCCAAAGTCAGTTGGGCCACTTTCAAGCGATGTTCTGGTCACTACGACAAACGCAGTTGTAGATTACTCGAAAAACACGCCGATCTCTCTCAAGGGCACTGCCAACTCAGCCGCTCCTCTATTAGCAATCAGTCCAAACACCATGTCGTTCAGCGTCGTCGTCGGCCAGGAAAATGGAGGCTCGGCTCAGTCGGCCATCTTCGCAAACCGCGGAGACGCCATCCTGAAAATCAACGAAATCATGTACTCCCAGACTTCTGAGAAGGAGGGATGGGTAACGCCGAACACCACCAATGCCGGCGTCCAGGTGGGCCCATTTACAGTAACCAACGTTCCCACGACCATCGCCCCCAATGATGTAGCCACAGTCGGCATCAGCTATAATCCATCTTCGACCGGTAACCATGCGTTGTTTATCAAGGTTATCACGAACGGCGGTACGTTCGTACTAGACGTGGTTGGTGTTGCCGGAACGTCACCAAAAGCCTTGTTCCAGTTTGAGGCGGCTGATGGTTCGGGATGGATAACTTACAAACCAGGCGTTCCCTTTACCTTTGGCGATGTACTCCGAAAGCAGACTAAGATGCTGAAGTTTCGTCTCACAAACAGCGGAAGTAACCAAGCAGGGGCCCTTTCAGTCACCGTTTCCAAGCCGCCTTACGGCCTTCCTGGCCTCGTCGGCGCGGTGAACAACGTTGACCTAGCCGAAGGTGTCCGCCTGACAGCTGGTCAGAGCGAGATCGCTGTGCTCTACTGCTCTGTGCCAAACTCTCAGGTCAACCTTCCTGCTTACAACGGCTCGGCTGTGTGGACCATCAATACCGGTGACCCAGAGCTGGGGAAACAAACCTTTCAGTTCGACTGTAACGCTGTCACAGAGCAGTACGGTCCACTTCTTGGGAATGGCAGCTCCAAATACGGATATGTCGGATGCTTCGCCGAGAATAATCCTGGCCGTCAGCTCTCGATACAGCTGTACGGTGACAACACCAACACGAATGAGAAATGCATCACCAGGTGTGCTGCCGCCGGCTACACGTTTGTTGGTACTCAATACAATACGGAGTGTTGGTGTGGCAACGCCCTTCCGAATCGGAAGGACGACGAACAGGACTGCAATTACAACTGTGCTGGAGATGAGAATCAGATTTGCGGCGGCAACGGCTACTTCCATAACAAAGCTCACATGTCGCTCTTCGCTGATCTAACGAAGTTCGATGGTAACACTACGAGTGAGCCTACTCGTATCCCCCAGACGGTCGGACCTTTCAACTTCATTGGCTGCTATGCTGAGACCGGTGCAAAGACAGTCGCTTCGAAAGCACTCGTAACCGCTGACATGACCGTCGAGAAGTGCGCCGCCAATTGCGCTCAGTACACGTATTTCGGCATCGAGTACGCGTCGGAGTGCTTCTGCGGCAATCAGTTGGCTGCCTCATCGAAACTTACGGATTCAACCCAGTGCTCCATGACCTGTTCCGGAAGCAACAGTCAGTACTGCGGTGCAGGAAGCAGGATGCAGATGTATCAGGTGGGTGCGGCAGGACAGAGTTCCTCCGCTCCATCAGTTACCCCTACTGTGGCTGCCTCTACAGTAGCTGCTACAACTACTGGTGCTGGCTCCGCTGCAACCACAACCCCGGGTAGCTTCGAGTCGAAGTACACTTACATGGGCTGTTACAACGAGACCCACGTTAGCAGGGCTTTGAACGAGAAGGGCCAAGGAGGTGGACCCGGCATGACCTTGGAATCATGTGCTGCTTATTGCTCCGGCTTCGCTTATTTCGGGGTGGAATACGGCAGTGAGTGCTACTGCGGCAATACCCTTCGCAGCTATCCGAACGGTGCCAATGGTCCTGAGTTCTCTGTTAAGCAGACCACCGAAGCCGGCTGCAACATGAAGTGTAGTGGCAACACTGCACAGTCGTGTGGTGGAGCCGATTACTTCAATCTATACTACACCAACAGTACGGCCTCTGCGACCACGACCGCCGCAGGAGATGGACCAATCGTCAAGCCAACGCCTACCGGCGGTCCAACAGCAGTACCCTCTGCAGGAAACTTCGCCTACCTTGGTTGCTACAACGAGGTTGACGGCCGCGCCCTTACCAACGGAGGCGTCGCCAATTCTTCGATGACCATAGAGCTTTGTGCCACGTACTGCGCTAACTTCGATTACTTTGGAGTCGAGTATAGCCAAGAATGCTTCTGTGGAAACGTATTGTCCGCCAAATCTCTCCCAGTTACTGATGGTCGATGCAACATGGTGTGCGCGGCTGACAGCACAGAAATTTGCGGTGGCCCTAATGGGCTCAGTATGTATAAGAAGAACGGCACTGTCGTGACCTCCCAATCCTCGGCTGGCGGTAGCTCGACTGTGGCATCCAACATCGCTTCTTCTTCGGCGGCGGCCAGTGCAACTGCAACACCTCTTGCTTGCCCTAGTTCTAATGGTACCCTACACACTGTCGCAGGCGGATCCAAGTATTTAGTTCGCTGCGGTGTTGATCCCGCCGGATGGGATATGCCAAATACGGGGAAATACGCCCCAACTCTAGAAGCTTGTATTCAGGGCTGCGGCAACACTGTTGGATGTATGGCAGTTTCTTGGGTTGCCGGTGGAGGTGCCTGCTACATGAAGAGTAAGATTGGATTCCTCAACACCAACGCGGGCGTATGGGCCGCGACGTTTGACGCCGATGCCACTGTGGCTTCAACGTCGTCTGTCTCTTCTTCGGTCGTGGCTCCTGCTGGGAACTCGTCTTCTGTCGCCACATCCGTTACGCCCTCCAGCTCTTCACCCGCCAATCCGCCCGCAGGTTCAAGTGCAGGTGCGTCCTCGACAGGCAGCACGAACCTGAGCTCAAGCGCTAGTGCCGTTGCTTCATCTTCAGGCAACGGTACAGATTCGCCCGTCGTAACTGTGTCGGGGGCGAGTGGATCCGGCTCTGTAACTGTATCCTTGCAGTCAACAGCCTACTCTCTCACCTACAGCAGTCCAAGCGCAGGTGCTTCGTCATCCAGCTTCTCGTCAGCGGCTACTACCACAACAGCACCGCCACTTTCCTCCAGCTCGTCTGCAGGTGTCCCAGCGGGCTCTTCACCCGCCTCCAGCTCAGCTGTCGCGCCTTCATCCGCGACCGCTCCCAGCTCCACTGCTCCCACCGCAGTCCCTACCGTCTCATCCTACGCCTTCCAAGGGTGCTACTCCGAGGCCACCTCCGGCCGCGCGCTCAGCGCTCTCGCGACCGCCAACGGCACCTCCATGACACCGCAAATGTGCGCAGCTCACTGCATCAAATACGCCTGGTTCGGGCTCGAATTCGGCAAAGAATGCTACTGCGGGCCCTACCCACGCACCGGCTCTGCAAACGTCACCAACCAAGCTGAGTGCAACATGAAGTGCCCCGGCGACAGCAGCGCGCTCTGCGGCGCGGGCAACAGGCTTCAGATGTACTACTCGTCGGACTCAACCAAGGCCAGCGCTGACCCGGCTGTCGTGCAGCAGAGCGGAAACTATGAGTACTACGGCTGCGTTGTCGATCCTGGAAAGCCGAGAGCGCTGTCGGTGCTGTCGTCTTCGGATAGCATGACCGTTGAGCTGTGTCTTGCGACGGCTGAGGCGAAGGGCTATCAGTGGGCCGGTGTGGAGTATGGTCGCGAGTGCTGGATGGGCAATACGCTGGACCCGGCTGCTACGTTGGCTACGGCGGCTTCGCAGTGCAACATGGCTTGCAAGGGCGCGCCGGGGCAGATTTGTGGTGCGGGAAGTAGGCTTACGCTTTATAAAAGGAGCGCGTAGGGGTTGGATAGTGGAGTTTCCTTGGACATACCCTCGTTTGTTACATAATGTCGTTTGATCTTTGTATGTTATGCATGTCCGCATGGTGTTTATAGACGGGTATGGGTAGTTATTGTAATCTGCCTTGAGCATGCGTGTTCACAGCTTTCTTGTCTGAAGTGGTTAACACTAATGAGATACTGTTCACCACTCCTTGCATTTTACGAACAACAGTGACCGCTCGCTAGCTCAGTCGGACTAATCTTGTGATATCTGCTTTGACCCTCCAAGGCTTCGCTGAAGACAAAGATTAAAGCAAGGCAAGGAAAGGAAATAGTACTGGAGAAGGTAGTACTTGTCGGGGTAGTTCGGCTTCTACTGGCTACTTTAGGAAAACATGTGGCGCGCAAGACGGTGGACCGCCATCACCAACATATGCTGTGTAGAGCAGATGCGGATCCCATATTCCAACGCTACGAGGATACCGGGGACGTAGCTTAGCAGCACCTACCCAAGGGCAAGAGTAGTCGCTGTAGCAATATCAGCCGCTGTTCCCTCGATGAACAGCCGAAAACATGTGGAGATAGCAATGTCGCATCAATGATGCTTGCGAGAAATTGAGACGACCGTCGTTCAGGGTGATTATGTGATATTCGTTGTCGTTACCAATCCGCACATTGTGATTAGAATATCGTCCGCGACGTAAGAGGCCGCTTGCTAACAACACATATCCGATGCAGTAGCTTGAGAACCAGCATATTTCGTCGCGACATACGATCGGGAAAGAAAGCCAGTTTACGTGGTCTCTGGCGGACATTCTCAACACTGCCTGAATGGTAGATCCGGTCATGTGATTCATGCGCAGCTATGGAGGCTTTCCAGGAATATACAACTACGCGGAGCACAAGTTTTTGGCGGTGCTAGCTAGGCCTTCGGGCAAGTATGGAGAATGTACGACGGGCTGCCGAACTTGCAAGTACTCCGCGACAGTATCATAGGCCCATGAAGCTTGTCTAGTACACGTTCCGCAATTCGAGAGTCACAGTTCTTGGGACGACCCGACGCCGTAGCTTTCGACAGCCGTACAGCACGTAACCTGAGTGTCTTTGACACAGCGGGGGTGACCCATGAAATACAGGCAGGACTTAGAGATTTCCGGTTGTAGAGATAGAGGTTTAATACGAAAGAGCCGGTGTTTACCGAGTAAGCGTTATCTGCTTGCTGACACTTCGCTACTCTTGACAACCAACAGTAATTACTCGTGTGATAGACACTCGAAGCCTGACGTGTTCGTAGATGCTTCTAGGAACCGGTTTTAGCTTTATGAACTGTTTACACCTTGTGGTTATGCCGTTTGTCCGTACGCTGCCAAGCGGATGCTTCTTGAGTAAATACCGGCTCCTTCGTACACCTCGGGCTCTCACAAGGTTTGGACTATCTGACGCGAACTGAAGGGCAATAGCGGCGGTAAGGTCACAGTTGCAACAGCTCGGTTGTCTGAAGATTGTTTCTCTCAATGTTGATAAACAAATCCGCACGCACACCCCCTCTCCTGCATGATGCAATGATGCAGTTCACAATGGTCCATGAGAGATGCTAGTGGGTCAGCTGCGGCAGGAAAAGACTTGTCCTCAGACTATGAAGATAATAATCACGAAGTCCGCGGATGTTTATTTTGAAAACAGCGCTAAATCTCACTTGACGTTGATATTGAGGTTCGGGTATCTGCGCATGACTGCATTGCAGGATGCCAGGACGCGGAAAAGAGGGCCGCACATAATGCAAGTATGTCGCGCGCATTGGAGCGGCGCTGGAGCGGCGCAGGAGCGAGTGCGGCTCCGGTGCGGTGCTGTTTGGGGTCGTCGCGAACCACCGTTGTCAACGACAGGGTTCATCGGGCAGCCTCGTAATCGTCGATACGTCGATCTGCTCCCTCTTGCAGGTTTTACCGGCCAAGATAGCGGGAAAAACACACCCGTCTTTGCGGCCCCTTCTTAGCTCAGCTGAGTCATTTCCTTGCTTTTGTTGAGCGGGAAGGCTTCTCGCGGAGCAGAAGTCACGGGCGGAGCCATGTCCAGCGGGCACGAGCCCCTGCAACAGCGAATGGCAAGCAATGGAGGTTTTCGACTGTGGGGAGCCAAGCTTTTAGATAGAACGGCGGTGAGGCAGCGAAACGGAATGACGAAGGCGGGAGACAGTGACGAAGTGATCTGGCTGGCAAGAGAGGCCGTCGACAATATCAGCATCGACTGAATGTTACTCGTACAATCCCCGCTAGGTAATTAAATCGTGCTCAGGTGGTGGTACGAGAGGGCGGATTGTTGGCGAGGCGTTTCCCCCTCCTTGCGAAAATCGGAACAGCGTTCAGCCATTGTGATTCTGAGCCAATAGCAAGCCATGATAGTCTGCCTGGCGGCTGGTTTGGGTTAAGCAGGGTGTGAGGGAGGATGGCCGTTAATCTGTGTTGCACAGCGATGCCGAAAGCTGCAGGCGGTGGCCTGTCCTATCTCGCCCCGACAGCGCTTGGGCCTCGGTTTCGACGTGGCCGGCGTCGATTGGACGGCAGTTGGCCTTGATGGAATGGCTTTGACGGCTGATCAGATCGCAGATGCTTGAACAGGAGGATCCACGGGAGTCGCGCATTGGGCCACGTGAACCCGGCTATCTCATGGCGTCGATGAATCGGCCATCTTGAAGCAGCTCACGAGATTTTTCTTTGAGCGCAGGTCACGGCTCAAGGAAGCAGCAGAAGCCGAGCCGTTTCCGGAGTTTTGACGGCGTTGACTACGAACGGTCTGGGTGATCCGTTGAGCAGGGATACCGCAGGCATCACACGCATATGCAGCGCGGGTATGTGCAGGTGAAACATGACGAATCGGATTTTGGTGGCTGGATGATGGGCTGTCGGCATTGCGGGATCGCAGCCCTGTGCATGAGCCTTGCGGTTGGAGGTGCTTGTTCGCACCGGTCCCCAGCTCCAGGCTGGGCTGCAGACCAGTGGTAACTCCCATATCAGACGTCCGAGTTTAGGGCGAGCTTTCCTTGGTCTTCGAGTGAGCCAGATATCAAGTCTTCGAGCAGCGTATTTTTGCTGATGGGTGATAGTTGCTGTTATGACTCTGAGGCGCAGTGGGCTCCAAAGGCGTTGACACAACGGAGATACTTGGCATGTGGGTTCGCTGATCACTGGATCTTGATATCTCGGTTACTTGGCGGTAGAGTGTCTCTGTGCCGCACTTCAATATCTGTCTGTTTTCTCGAATGCGGGATTATTTTCAACGTGAGGACGTGAAAATCGAGGACAATGCAGACAACATCTCCACTGCTCTTGCTGATCGTGCTGCTGGGGCAACTGATCTCCCGTTCTTCCTCTGTCCTGAGGACTCCGGTCGCTAGGTGTTCTCACATCTGGAGTCTCCTCTTGTTCTCGTAGCCTCATTTCCCCTTGCAGGATGTCAAGTATCCTATCATTGAGAGACCCCTCTAGGTCGTCATGGAGGACCGTTCTAGTGCCACCATCCTCCACAGGCAAGTGGTTTCGTGTTTTGGACCCTCGCTGGTGCAACTTGACTACATCGAAAGCTCAAGCCCACGCTACACGGACTGCATGCTTTCAACACGCTTTGCTCTATTAGGGGATGTGGGAGTCGCACACGACGTCCAAGACCCGAGGAAAGAGATAGCGGCTTCGTAAGCGGGTGGCTGGAGACCGGTGTTTCACGTTTTGATACCGGTATCCTCAGCCGGGAATTTGGAGACGGGTCTATAGGAGTACGAAGGCGTGATTAGTAGAAAGCTGCTCGCGAGGATGAGCTGATAGGCGGAGAAAGTCCCCTTACCAGCCGCCAAAATTGGCTTGCTGAGAACGCGCGGCTGTCGATATCGATGAAAGCGCCGCGGTCGACTTGCTGACGAGCATGCGCCCTTGGCACGTGCAGCCACCGTGAGCTACACCAAATATTTGGATCTTTGCTAGCGTTATCGGCACGTTCCTGGCACTGATTGTAACCTGAAGAGGAACTGGAGCATCGCACACGTTGATATCGACAGGGCCAGCTTGGAGACCTCGAATCCACAGTCGAGCGGATGTGAGCCCTGTCTGTATTCTTTGCCATTCCACGGTACTGGAACGCACGATGGGGAGACAGGCCCGGATAAAGATGTCACTTCTGTGCACTCTCCGAAGATTACCGGTACCATGAAGAGGTGGCTTTCATCGCATGAACACTACTCCATCCACTCATTGCCGGCCAGCACACGGGCAACGCAGGACTGTAGCACAGATCGCTGGCCATTCGTTCCCCCACCGGCGCCGTTCCCGCGATGCCGGATTTCTCCCAGCTATCCTCAATGTCTCTTGCTCTGGGCGCATGAGGGTTGGTAGCACGAGTACCCGTGTCGCTGTCGACTCTCCACGTAACACCAGTTGGCTTTGGTGCCTCATCTGGCCAGATCAGGAAGCATCTTGTTTTGTTGGACGATAGGAAGCCACGCTGGGCGCTCGAAAGGCTCGCCCTTGGGCCCCCGACTTTCCGGAGCTGACGCTCGGACCGTTCAACTCAGACCAACCATCAGCGGCTCACATCAAGGAAATCACCAAGACTCCAAGACTCGAAGATGCCTGTGCGGCCAGCCCGTTCGTTCACCACTGTTCTCGCAGGGAGGTATCCCAGTCGAGTCCATTGATGATTTGCGTTTCCAGGACCGCTCGCCCGACACGAGCGCCAGTCTAGCCCGCTTCGGAAGGCTCTAGTCTGGCTATTGGAGCACGACTTGCCAACAGCCGATGCTGGCGATGCAGAGATGTCGAGCATTGCTTTCCAGCTGTGCCGCAACCGTTGCTATCAAGATGGCCTGGGCGGCTATTGTAGAGCCGTGACACCCAGCAGATATTGCAATTATTGTGGCCTCTGCCAGGGCCAGTCCTCGCTGCCTCAGCGCACCCCATGGCCGATGACAAGGAGTCCTGGGGAGGGGTTTCGGACTTTCAGAGCTTCCCGGTCTCTCACTAGTTAGCCCTTCCGGAAAAACAAGACCCACTTTGTGTCTCCTCTCCGCGCCCTTCGTCTTCTCGCAGCAAGGGAACGAGGGAAGCGTCGCTGGCGAGCAAGAAGGTTCAGGCGAGGTTGCGCCAGGACGCCGGCCTTTTCCCACTATCATAAAATGTGATCCAGAAGGCCTTTTATCTTACTCAGCGTGGAAAGTAAGTAGGTTGACGGCGGGGTTACCTCCATACAAGGTGTTCCTTGAATTGAATGACCTTAGGTGCCAGGTTGAGTTTTTGATCAACCTAGCAAAGCCCTAGTGGAGTATTTCTCCGCTTTGCGATTTTTAGGTAGCCCAGCCGACCCTGGGGTGGTTAACAGCTGTCTTTGACTGATGTCTCCGGGGGAGGCGACCGGTTGAGCAGCCACATCTGAGCAGGTCTCCCTATCGGAAACCCTGCCTCTCTCATCTGCCGCCCGTTTGGCCAGTGCAGGGCCTGGACGATGCCAGCGCCAGCGTGCTCTGGCTACCCCCTGCCAAATCACGAGCCGACAGCTCGAGAGGCTCTCCGGTTGACGGACCTGACGTTTTCGAGACAGCTCTCTCGCTTCCAAGCTTGGAGTTCGCGTGCATCCCAGCGCTCGCCTGCATCAAACCGTCCGCACGCCATCCCTCCCGTCTCTTCCCCGCCAGGCCCGAATAGACGCTAGATCCAGCGTCTGGCGGCCTGTGGGCGGGCGCGGGCGAGCATCCACGGCCTGGCCGAAGATCTTCACCCGCTGCTTAGGTACAGCGGTATCTGCATCTTGCTCTGGCGAACCTTTTGCTGCTCTGTTTTCGCTCCTCCTCCTGTGACTTACTGGCCGTTTGTGCACGCATCCCTTGCGAGCGTTCGTGCCGGCCCGCTGCTCACGCATCTTCTGAGACCTTTTTGGAGGGTCCCCATCTGCGGTTCCCGGCATAGCGCAGCGCGGCTTGTTCGTGCAGCGGTCAAGCTAGCGTAGCCCCAGACAGCTTGCCTCTCTGCACAGAATCGTCTGCTGCAGAAGTAGAGGCCTTCTCCAGTCGAGCTCTCCACCGTCCGTTGTTGCTGAGGTTGTTCGTCGCCTTGCTCAGACAGCCGCCCCTCGCTCGTTACCATCCGCGTCCACGAGACTCTCGCCAGGCCTCCAGTCGCGTTTTTGTTTTCTGTTTGGACGGACCCGGCCTCAGAATCTTCCCGCCAACGCCTATCTACCTATCTCTAGCCCGTTGGCGCCCTCGGAATTCCGCGCTAGCTGGCATCCCAACCTCCTCCGCTTCTAAACCTCCGCCGTCCCCCACTGCTCCGGCGTGTCCATTCTCTTTTGTGTCGCAGCATTATCCAGTAGAGATTGACGTTGTTCTGGTGCTTCTTCCATCCTCATTGCTCAAGTGGCACCGCACGTGGACCGTAGCTGATACGCGCCCTCGCCCCAGATTGCATGTCCTGAGCCCGGAGATCCTCAGCATCACCGCGACAACTTACGAATTACGACGAGTGACGACTTTGACACGATCTGTTATCGTAGATCTCGCAGCTACCCGTCATTGACTATTCTGGACCGTGCAGGCCGAAGCAGCTCCGTTGTTGTTTCATCTACGGAGATCCGCTCTGATACGGTCAATTGCATTCATTGAGGACGACGCGCGATCAAAAAAGCATCTGGCTTCCCTATTTTCACGACCTGCGACGAACTTACGACGTGAAGTCTGCATTTCAGCATCTGTGCCGCGTTCCTTTCACTCCGCATCCCCAACCGAAGCCCGCGCCGCATTCCACTTCCATCCGCTCTGAACAGATTCCTCGGCACCGTGCTACCCAGCCGTACCACCACGAGGAGTCTGCCAAGTCGAAACTCGCAGGCGCTGCCAAAGCAAGCGATCTTCCGCAATTGGGTGGTTGAAGATCCTCAAGTGTGTCGACCGCTTGTTTGCCTACGCGACGAGCAAACATCCGAGGCAGCCTACAAACCAGGCCCGATTCGCCTTGTCACTGGATCCAGGAAAACCAAACATCCAGCTCCGCTCCCATCGGATACCTGCGCAGATCCTGCAATCTACTCTGTAAAGCGCCGACAACCGCGCCCTCTGTTATTCTTAGTTTCGGCAGTCTAGCACGTTGACTCGAGGCGCGAGTATCCTCTGTTAAGATCTAGAGAATCGGGTGGTGAATCACCAGGAGCCCTCCACTAGTCGAACACCCGCCAATACCGGAAAGCTGGAGCTGCCATCGATCTCCCAGGTCCACTCCCGAGGCCCCGCTGAAGCATCGTGGTACAGCTCCCACTTCATACCAAGGTCGGTTGCATCGAGTGAGCGATTGCCTGGCTTACCTCAGTTGCAAGCTCAAGCGAGCTCATCGAACTCGCCGTCGCCTCGGGGTGGGTCCTTCAGTGGTGGTTCTGTGAATCTAGGTAGCGCTAGCTCCATCACCTCCTACTCATCCTCAGTGAACGGGCACACCGCGGGATTCAAGACGCCTTCACCGCAGCAGATACCACAAAATTTGAAGGCAAACCACGGGTTGAATGCCCATTCGCAGCAGGAGTTACCATACAGCCACCATCACACGGTCCAGGGCTACGCCTACGGCGGCGACTCATACAGCAACATGAACGCCATGCAGTCATACGCCGATGTTCACCCCCCTCACATGTCTGCGAATCCTGGGCATGCGCCTTCGTCTGGACCACCCTCAGGTTTGGCGCACTATTACACCGGACAGCAGCCACCGCTGCTTCAGCCCGGCCCCCAGAGTTACCCGTCCGCACAAGGCTCATACAGTCAATATGGTTACAGCAGCGGAATGGCGTCCGGGCCTTCGGCGGGAATGCCTGCCTCGAGTTCGATGAGCAACGGCATGGTTCCTCCGTCGCTCCCACTGCCAGGTGAACAAACTCCGCATGAGCATAAACTCTTACGTACTAACACCTGCGTGCAGCGATGTCATCTGGTGCTCCCAACCCCTCTTCGCTCACCGGATCTCAGAATTTCTCCACACATACATTTGATACGACGGGACAGATTGCTCCTCCTGGTATGAAGCCTCGCGTAACCGCTACGTTATGGGAAGACGAGGGCAGTCTGTGCTTCCAAGTTGAAGCCAAAGGCGTTTGCGTTGCGCGGAGAGAAGGTACTAGATGACTCAAAACTGTGTGGGGAATTTTTACTTACAGATCTTCAGACAATCACATGATCAACGGAACAAAATTATTGAATGTGGCAGGAATGACAAGGGGCCGTCGGGATGGGATTCTAAAAAGCGAGAAAACACGGCATGTCGTGAAGATCGGCCCCATGCACTTGAAGGGCGTCTGGTATGCCCCTTACAATCCAGTAATGGCTGAGCCACACTGATTTGGCTAGGATTCCTTTCGAACGCGCACTGGATTTTGCGAACAAGGAGAAAATCACGGAGCAGTTGTACCCACTCTTCGTCCACGACATCGGCGCGCTACTCTACCACCCTACCAATCAACCTCGGACCAACGTGGGTAACGCGAGCGCCGTGGCCGCTATGAACCGTACCGGAAGAGACCAGCAACAGCGTTATCTGACGGGTCCACAAAGCTCGCAAGCGCCGTCCCTTCATCATCATCATTCGCTGAGCAATCCGATCGGAGCCCATATGACCCAGCCGCCGCACTCTATCGCGCCGCATCCCGCCGCCGGGCGACCGGGGCTAGATAGAGCGCACACCTTTCCAACTCCTCCTACGAGTGCTTCGAGCGTTATGGGCATGGGGAATTCTGGCGGTTCCTACGAATGGGGCGGCTCAAGCATGCAAAGCGGAGCGCCTCTATCAATTGATACTGGATTGAGCAACGCTCGATCTGTGCCTACAACGCCAGCAAGCACGCCACCAGGCAGCCTTCAAGGCATACAGCAATACCAAACACCTCAGGGCTACGACAGCTCGCGGCAGATGTATAGCGCACCAGCAGCTCAGCAAAGCCAATATACCGCACAGCAACAAATCCGGTACGGTCAGCCTTTACAGCCGGCTCCGTATCCGAAGACTGAGATGGCACCACCTTCAAGATCGGGTGTTGAATCCGAGCAACCCCCAGATTCGAAGCCTCACGAGGGCCTACTAAATCACGGATCAGAGCATGGAGCGCACAGCACCGGCGAAGAGGAGGCAGAACACGAGCACGACAATGAATACACGCATACTAGCGCTCCATACAGCGCCAATCGTGGTGTTTACAGCTACAACACTAGTCACGGTGAGCACTCGCACCTATCTCCTGAGATGACCGGTTCACCCTCACATCAAAACGGATCCGGTCGTGCAACTCCCCGCACGGCAGGAACCGCGCAGCAATGGGCTAGCGGATACAGCACCCCGCAAAGGGGGCAGTCTTCAGCGAGCAACTTGTATAGCGTCATGAGCGATACCCGTGGTTCTGCACCGAACGGCAATGTCGGTGCTGATGGATATTCAACCTCAGGTTACCCAAGCCAGTCATACGCGGCAAGCAACGGCGCGACGCCCTCGAACAAGCGCGGTCGCGACGACGACGACGAGCCGGACCCCTACGGGCGGCCTGCTAGTCGCAATTCCGGCGAGAACGGCGTCGAAGGCATCAAGCGACGAAAGACCATTACAGAGAGCAGCGTCGGTGGAGCTGTAGGTGGAGCCGATCCCAATGTGCTCAATCGAACGAGGTCCACCATCTCCCAAAGAAGGAGATGATGTAATGCAGTCATTACGAAGTGATTGCAAACCCTACGATGACGACGCAGATGGCGTCTCAATCGATTACGTGGCTCTACGGCTTTGAGCAAACGCTTTCAGCCGACTTTGTGCATTACTCCTAGGACAAGACAGTGCATCACTGTATGGTGCATTCTCCATTCTGCGTTGCTCCGCTCTGTGGCTTCGAAGCATCCCACGGCTGTGCTCATCACTTCAAGACCTTTCCTTTGCATTCACGCTGTTTTCTGGTTATCTTCGCGGCATCTAACGACCATCACGAATTTCATGCTCGGTTGCATTCTCACGATTACGACCCCTCTCCTTGTGTCGACATAGCAGAGCAAGCGGGGGACGCCACCTGTACTTTCCACACGGATTTCCTTTCATGCTTGCGCAACGCCGAAGGGAATACGCACCCGGCGAACATGACTCCATCGATCTTTTCTTCTGTAACTTCTGGCTGGCGGTAGAGCGAGGTCACCGTCACCGGGTCAGCTCCTGGGTAAAGAACAGGGTAACGGGGACGGATCTGACTTCCTTGGCTGCGGGTACTGTTTTCTTGGTAGTGAACCACGTTGCAGACGCAGAGATGAATATCACGGCATCCTGCGAGCTTTAAGCGCTGGTCTAGGGTAACTTTTCGGAGCAAGCATGTGGCTGGACGGTTATTGATTCAATGGGCTACGATAATGAGGGAAAACAAAAGTCTTTTAGTCTCTCTTCATCTGCGGACTCGGATATCTCATGCCCTGTGCCGATTTGCCGTGATGTGACCCACTGCAAACCTTGGATAAAAAAAGCAGAGAGCATTTTACTTGCACCTGCTGCACTTCCCTAAATCGGCCCAAGATGGACACCTCTCGCACCATCAACCCCAATGACCTGTTCTCCGCTAAAGGCCTGGTGATAGCCATCACCGGCGGCGGCAGTGGTATGTAATCATGTACTGCAGCACAAACGTGCATCACTGCAGCCCGCTCCATGCCTCAGCCCCTCCAGTTCCAGACGTCCCCCATCCAACACAGCAGACGCTGACCGCGCCCCTCGCAAATCCCAGGCATCGGCCTCGCCCTCGCAAGCGCCCTCGCCCAAACCTCCGCCCAAAAGATCTACCTCCTCGGCCGGCGCCTCTCCGTCCTAACGACCGCCGCCCAATCCCTCTCTACCTCCCAGACCACGGTCATCCCGCTCGAATGCGACGTCACGTCCCCCTCCTCCCTCGCCGCGGCCGTCGCGCACATCGAGCGTGACACGGGCTACCTAGATGTCCTGATCAACAACGCCGGCACCCTCGGCCCGCTGCAGCGCGATATCTACTCCGCGCAGACGGTCGAAGAGCTTCAGAAGACCATGCTGCTCGGGGTCGAGGACGGCGGGTGGGCTGACACGTTCGCGGTGAACACGACGGCTGTTGTGGGGGCGAGCGCGGCGTTCTTGGGCTTGTTGGACAAGGGGAACGTGAGGCGGGGGTGGGAGGGTGGGAAGGTGGGGTTGGGGGAGACGAGGAAGAGGCAGCGGGAGGAGGGTGAGAAAGCTGGAGTGGACGAGGAGGATGAGAGGAGTAGCCAGATTGTCACGGTGGCGAGTATCAGTGGGTTTAATAGGCATGTCACCGCTGGGCTGGCGTATACGGCATCAAAGGCTGGCGCGGTGATGTTGGGGAAGACGCTCGCGACGCTGTTGGCGCCGTGGGGGATTAGGAGTAACGTCATTGCTCCGGGGGGTGAGTTGCTCCGTGCTGGGTTGGGTGTGCCGGCTGCGATGCTGACTGGTTTTTGTGATGCAGTGTATCCATCGGATATGACGGCTGGTTCAAAGGATGTGTACCCTGTCAATGAAGTCCCCGCGGGCCGTAAGGGCGACTTCGGTGATATGGCGGGCGTCATCTTGTACCTTGTGGGCAAGAGCGGCGCGTACGTTAACGGTAACGTGCAGGTCACGGATGGAGGAAGGCTGAGCATGATGCCTGGCACCTACTAGGTAAATGCACATCCAGACGCCCGAGCCACAGCTTGATGGTTGTTTCCCTGGTTGAAAAGACCTATGACTATACCCTGCTACCTTACGTGGAATATAAGCGCTGTATCGCTCGCTATATTTACTCGTAACTAATATTAGGATCAAGTATCAAAGTCAATCTAAGACGGTTTCCTCAACAGACCTACGTAATCTACTCATTGTCTCCAAAAATCCTGAGACAAATTTCGGCCTCGTGAGTGTGTTGAAAGCAGTTTGAAGCGTTCCGCAAGTCCTCAACCTCCCGACTTACAGTCGTCGCTGTATTACCAGTGCTTCGAGCCGACTAAAAGGTGTGTCTAAGAGAGCCTTGAACGAAGGTCAAAAAGAAAACTCAGGAATCCCGCAGGACAAAAACTTACAGCAGTAGGTATTCGCTAGTGGTTACCCACCTACGAATCGGTTATCTGCGAGCGTTTGTACAGCCTCCTTTCCCGTTCTAGCGGGTGAGCGTCGCCGTCCTATGCTCACGCGAGCTGAGCCTGCTGAGGTGAGCATAGGTGAGTTTATTGCTCTAGAAATGTGTCTCCTCGTCAAGAAGAAAGAGCGGGAGGACTCCAAAGTAAGAAGATATAGAGCTAGTATCGATCATTGCGGAGCTACTCTCCCTCCATTATACTGATTATATCATGATTGGTAGTCCGATTTCCCGAATTCTCTATCAACATCGGATCTTGTTCATTATACGGGAAGCGAGAGTATCAATAGGCGGCGCTTTGCCTGAAAGTCTGTCACAGTACGCTACGTGCAACGCTGTGGTAGGTTTGATTGGTAAACAGCTTACAGTACCTTGCTTGCTAATACAAAGCCCTTTGTGGAGTAGCTTCCCTTAAACTTCTGGCGCCGTCTTTCAACCTGAAATCTAACGACCAGCTCGCTAGTTGGCTTCGCCAATTCCCTCAAAGGACGCTGATCTTCAATCTCCACAATCGTGTTTCCTCCCTTACCTCTTTCCTAGCCGTTGTCGTATCTTTAGGAATGGTTCCACACAGACCCCGCTCTTTCGAGAATGTTCGCTGCCCCAATGAATAGTCTTTCAGAGTCTGAGCGTGAGAGACCAGCGGATGAAGAATCTCAAGAAGTGCTCCGGGATGAAGATTCGCTCGATGAAGGACCGGATGTGAAGTTTTATCCATCCTGCTTCGAAGAAGTTGAAGATCTTGAGAGATACGAGCCGGACGGCTTCCATCCAGTCCATCTTGGCGACCTCTACAATAGTGGACAGTATAGGATCATCCACAAACTGGGGCTTGGAGGCTTCTCAACGGTCTGGCTTGCTCGCGACAACCACTCCGACAGCATTGTCGCGCTGAAGATAGTAGCGGCTGATAGCTCCAATGACTACAAGGATCTGAAGACTCTGCAAGAGCTGGCCGGCAACTCCTCTGGCCCGATCATTCTCGACCATTTCCCATCCCTGCTCAATCATTTTTGGCTAGACGGTCCAAATGGGCGTCATCTTTGCCTTGTATTATCTGTACTCGGGTCGAGCATATCTCGGATGTCTGGAACGGATCGAAAGCTGCATCCCGAGGTGTCTCGAAGGGCCGCTTTACAGACTACCCGAGGGCTTTCTTACATGCATACACAGGGAACATGTCATGGAGGTAAGTCTATCGCGCTCGAAGCGCATGAGCTCAAGGCTAATAGCTTACTGTATAGATCTGACGGGCGCAAATATACTCTTCGGGCTCTCTTCCAAGTTTGCCTACTTTTCTGGTGAGGAAGTGTACGATCAGCTGGGCAAACCTGAGACTGATGTTCTTAAACGAATTTCCGGTGAACATACGGCCCCGTCAGCGCCGAGCTACGTGGTTAAAACGCCGGACATATCCAATATTGACCCAACCATGATGGAAGACAAGATCTGCATAATCGATTTTGACCAGTCTTTCCACATACTAGATCCTCCAACCACTATGCTCGGCACTCCATCGAAGTATTTGGCGCCAGAAGCTATTTTCGAGTTGCATGCCAGTTCGAGCTCAGAGGTGTGGGCTCTTGGTTGCGCAACATTCAGAATGCGGGCCGGTTACGACCTATTTGAGGTTTGGGGAACTGGGTCGCCCTCCGACTCCATTGGTGAGATGATCAACACCATCGGCGAGCTCCCCGAAAAGTGGCGCCATACGCGCTATGACGATGATGGTGTGCCTATCCGAAAAACCGACAGTCAGTCAGAGCAGAATGGCGTGGAACTGTCCTTTTTTCCAAAAGAACGAAGTCTGATGAAGCGCATAATGTCCATCTCCGACGAGGCGAAGCCATCGCCCACAACCGATTTACAGCGCGACAAGATTTTCTGGAATCCTCCTTGGTTTCATGATGGCAGTTCGCCTCCAATCGAGGAAGGAGACTCACTTGACCGAGAAGAAAATGAGGAGAAAGATGACGAAGACGATTACACTGGCCTCCTTAAAATCTCGCTCGAGGAAGCCACGAGCCTGCATGATTTATTATCCAGAATACTTGTTTACGATCCGATGCAACGTCCATCGGCGGAAGAGATACTTCAACATCCACGGTTTACGACTGCTTTTTACAGTAGAAGGATTGACGGGAGTCATTTGGACCGAGATTAATCAAAGATCTGTATAGTAACTCTTACGGCCGATACAAAACTGGAAGGGACATTCCTCAACACCACTTATCTTGCAAATGTCCAGTAGTCCCACCACCAACTCTCAGATCAGTTGTTCCTAGTACCGAAGCTGCAAGAGATGGAAAGATCCCAGTGTATTTTCAACATTCTCTCGGTCATGGACCTGCTTCCTTTCCATGGACCTTACTTCATCTCATGCACTTCCTGCACCATCAACACAACGCCGCCATCCTCATTTAGATAGACTCCCCAGCCATCATGGCCTGATATTTCTTCGGCCTATCCTAGCCCCAACATCCACTCAACGCCTCAATAAGCGCCTTGCTGTCCGTGGTAGTAAAGAACGGGATCGAGTACTGCGCCTTACACATCGCCTCTCCACTATCCTTGACTTTATCTTCCCCACCACACGCCTGACCAGCTCCATCCTCGCCAATCCTCACCAGCGGCGCCACAACCCGACGCACCGTCCATCAAATCCCCTATGTTGGCAAGCACGGTCCCATCGATCGGTCCCACACTCCGAAATTCCCCCGGGCGGAGCGAATCCTCGATTTCGAGCCCCCCGACCGCGTCTTGGAAGAGTAGCGTCAGGGTGCCGAAATCGGAGTGGGCGCTTATGCGCACCTTATGGCCTGAGGTGAGAGCACGTAAGGGAGAGAGGGGTAGTGTAGGAGACGCAGCTGGAAGTGGTTGTGCGAGTGGGTGCCGCTGAGGGTGGACGGTGTCGGTAAGGAGAGCGTGGGGGCGCGGAGGAGGGAATGGATCAGGGTGGTGCAATCCTGAGCTAGGCTGTTAGCGGGCGTTCGCTGAGCGCTGTAGTCAAGGGCTTGCGAGTTTACGAGGAAGAAAGATTTCACGAAGGTGCGGAACCCAGGCAGTTTATCTTCGGGCAACCAGATATTCGGCCGTGCGGTCCAGAGACGATCAGGGTTCTCGGCTGAATGTTCCGGAAGAGAAAGAACAAAGCATCTCCAAGATAATAGAAGAGAGTCACCTGACAACCAGAGACTTCTAAATTGAGATATCATATAATTTAAGGCAAGAGACTCTAGTTATTTTTCCGGGCATGCCTTGCCCCCTAGCTCCTAATCACGTATACGCCTAACGCTATAAGCAGGTAACAAACAGCATCGGAGGATAGAGCTCGCCAAATGCCCACAGCGTGCTAATGCTTTGGGGAAACGACTGGCAACCAAGTGAATAGAGATCCGTGTTTGTTATTCTGTCGTTGCAGTTTTAGAATTTAAGTACGGAGCATTGTTTAGTTGTTCTAGGTACTTACGTGACTACTTGTTTCGAGTGGGTTTTACATCATTTCTTGGAGCTTGTTCTGTTGTTTATCAGCCGCCGACAAAAGTAGGTCTGTCTGTTTTGGCTGTTTATGCTTATTGGGTAGATCCTTCGTTATTTTGCCGCGAGGCGGGGCTAGATACCTTGGTGGTAAGGGCGTATCCCTTGACCTAGTAGGTGAGGCAGCGGGTGAGCAAGGGTGAGCATACCCAGCTCACCCACTTAAAGCAGCATCTCACTATAAGAGGCAACGACAACGGCCTTGCAGATATCTTCTAGATATACCCACCTAACTACTGATCTACTGATTCAAAGCTAATGTAGTGGCAGATCGGATGGGATGCCCAGTGTTCTTTGATCTACGGCCGTATGTAACAGATACTCGTCGTTGATACAATATACCAGTCATTTTCCGCCAGCTTGGCCAACATGATTTGCAGACGGTACACTTATAACTAAAGCTGATATTACACCGCACTGGTTATAGTTGCACGGACAGGGGCTCAAACAGCACAGCAGGAAAGATGGCTGCGAATGACTGTTAACTGTGTACGAAGCGAAAGTACGCACTTCGGCAACGAGCTTAGCTAGCTAGGTATCGGCTTGTTTTCCACCCGCTGCCACCCACTCGTCAAGTTTCCCCTAAAGTTGAAATGAGGTTCATAGCTATCCGGCTGAGTATTATACGCCTCATCAACCGCCTTGACCACAAACACCTTCCCCGCCTGACTATTCGGAATGATGAAGCGCCAGCGCCTCCACGCCCACGCCTTGCTCCCCTTAGTCTCGGCCTCTAGCAGCTCCGCCTGATGCCACGAGCGGCCGTCATCAGCGCTGATATCAACGCGGACGATCTCACGGCCACCGCCGCTGAAGGAATAGCCCTCCAGAAGCACAGAATCCTCCTCTAGACCATAGACGTGCATCCACTTGCGCGCTTGCGGAGAGTGCGAAGATACCTGCCGCAGCGAGGTGATGGCGGACTGCACCGGCATTTCCTGGATACTGCGCGCAGCGTCCCAGTTCGGATTGGGCCCCTCGTTCGGGCCGAAGCACTTGTAGTCGCGCCGCTGCCACTGCGAGGGCGACTCCTCGTCCGAGAGGGTGATCTTGTTGACCCACTTCACGCTGCGGGCTGCGACGTTGCCTGGTACCAGGACGCGCAGGGGGAAGCCGTGGTCCGGCGGGAGGGCTTCGCCATTCATCTTGTACGCGAGTAGCACGTCGCCAAATCGGTCTGCGGCTTTGGCGATGGGGATGGAGGCGCCGTAGGCTTCGACGGCGGAGAATTGGACGTGTTTCACTTCTTTGGGGACGTCGTCGACGGCGTGTCCGGCGTCGGCTAGGACGTCGCGTAGGCGGACGCCCGTCCATTCTGCGTTCCCTATCGCACCAACTTCCCATTGGAGTCCGTTGGTCATGCGTGCGTTGGCGGTCATGTGAGAGCGACGGTTGCCGGAGCACTGGAGCGTTGCGGTGATGGTGTGCTCATGGAACTTGTCGCGCAGGTCTTGCAGCGTGTACTTCTTCTCCGTACCGTCGTACAGCTCGACTGTCAGGCTGTAGTCTTCTGGCTTGCCCAAGTCTGGGACCCAGAGGTGGTTGCGCACGTAGAAGACGTCATTTGGAGTGATGAACGTGCCCAGCTCTGATACAGGGGTCTCTGCATTGCAAGGCCGTTCGCTGTGCACGCGCAGCCTGGGATCTCGTTCGGGATCAGAGGCGAATGGGTTGGGAACATGTTCACTCGGGACCTGACCATCGACTAGGTCCTTTGGGTCAATGGTGCCGATGAGATATTGCTCCAATATGTCATAGACGTCTTGTTTCTGGTGAATGGAAAAAATCTTCCAGTAAGGGTCGATGCTACCGCCCGCCGCTCGTAAAATCACTTCTCCGCCTGGATGACTCGGCACCCATTCTGTGATATCGTAGACATTGGTTCCTTTTGTGACCCATATTGACTCAGAACCTAGGCCGTGAGCGTGTACTTCGGCAAGCCTTATGAGTCTGGGTTCATTTGAGCTGGATGGTTCTTCTGCATATGCAGGCCGGCTTCCAAGGGCTATCGATGCGGCAGCTATGGTTGCCGCAAGGAGCACATTTGACGTGATTCGTGATTTGTGTGGCCATGAAGAAGTCCGTTTGATCCAGGTGGAGTGTGGCTGGGTCCTGCTGTATCTACAAACCCCCCCGGCAACTTTTCTTACGCAAGGCTTCTGATGCGTGTTTCGGACTGCTGTGAATAGTAGGCTCGACACTCTCTTGCAGGCGCTCATCTCACTTGTCGCCAATCGTTCACAGGTTTCAGAGCGAGAGAAGTAGCAGTTGAAGTGGCGACTCGATCTTGATACATCAAATCGATTTGTCGTGATGTTAGCCCGAAGAGGCTTAGCGCTAACAAGACAAAATACAGCCGCGACTCTCTGGGGTATTCCGGCGAAATATATGTACTGAACATGAACATGGGCTGATGTGGGGTCGTTTTGTTTCGGATGTCGCTTCGTCGTCACAATTCTGATTGAGCAATGATCATACAATTTTAAATAATATCACACCTCACAGACGGTACCTATACTTGGAGTCAATCTGGACGCAAGAGGCTTCATACCGTGGCGGTACAAATCTACCAGCCGTAGATTCTGCACCCTAGAGAGCATGGAGGATCTAACCATGAAGTCGCATTTCTGATTATCGATATTTCTTCCCCCCAGCTGCCAATACGACATAGTCTGGAACTGCATGGTTAGTCGAGTAGTGGCTTAGGGACCTATCCGACCTCGCATGCTGATCCGAAACAATAATGAAGCGTTGTTGGGGAAACGCGGCACACCTTGCGGAGGCGGGTGACTCGTTTCAGTACTTCGGCAATATATTCTGCTGCCTAGTAGAAGATTCCAAGTACTTAAACATTCCCTTACCAGACCAGACTTCTCAGAGCCAAGAATCGCCCGCCGTCTTGTCCTGTTTTCGTTATCTCGAGGGCACTATACGGCATTGTCTGGTAATCGGTGGGTCAACCGAACAAACCGTCAGCACCGACAAGCCAACGAAACAATCATCTGGTTGTTTCCTCAACAGGAATTGAGGACAACGACGCCTTACTCTTACCCTTACTATCGTCCTCTAGCATAGCAGAGTGCCTACGTTGACCAGCCTGGTCTATACCGATTGAGCTCCCGCTCTCACCTCGTGAAAATGGCATCTTCCACTGGCTACCGCTACTCCCAAAACTCCAAAAACATCGGCGAAGCCAAAAACTTCTCGTGGGAATATCCCGTTCCCGCCAACGACTTCTGGAACCCCCTAGACTTCGTCGTTGGCCGGAACTTTCTGCAGTGCTTCTCGGCAGACGAGATCGCACGACTGCCTCTCGACAGTACCCTCAGTAAAGACGGCAAGTTAGAATTACTCCTCCAACTCCTCCAAGAGAAGCTCTTTTCTCGAGATGCCGCAGCCGCGCCACAGACGCTCTACGACGTCGACTACGCGGCCTGGGATAAGTTGCTGTTAGGTATGTGCACGATGCAAGGGCAGTTAGGGCAATCCGCCGAGGCAGAGAAAACGATCCGCTCGTTGGTGGATCGGAGGAAAGACAGGACGAATCTCTCGCATTTGCATAGTTTATCTGGTCTACTTGCAGAGCAGGGTAAACACGCCGAAGCAGAGGAGACGGAAATGCCCGTGAAGCTTTGGCTGGATGAACGGCTGGGCAAGGACTCCCCCCAAGCGTTGGGATCGCGGAGGATCATTGCGAAGGCTATGTGGAAACAGGGGCCCTCAAGACAGGGAGAGGCGAGGGAGTTGTTGGCCGAGGTGATGGAGTTGATTGGTGGGATGAGTGGAGGACAGTTCGCTGTGTACCAGGCTGAACAGAGAGAGACCACGGAGAAGATGATAGCGGACCTTGAGAGAGGACGCACCTGAGAGAACGTCGTTTTGACATTGGAACACGAGTGCCAATACAGTATTCGTCACCTGTACCCACTGGCTTGTGTTTCGATTCTCACGCGACCCAATCCGGCAAGCCAGTCATAAGACACTTGGCAGTAGGTGCTTGCAGCACCAAGGTGTACTGTTGTCAGGAACACACTGACGTCTTGCAATGCAGAAGGCCGGCCTGTAAAGGATATCGGTATACAACGCCGCCCAATGCACCCCTAAACCTTCAGATCCTTCGCGCTCGCGGACCTCTTCAAAACCCTATGCCTTGCCAAAAGCTGCGAGATCATAAAGTGGCTGACATCCTCATCAGCCCAGTAACTCAGATGACTAGCAATACTCGCAATAAGCGAGATATCAAACGCGCCCCTAGCACCACTCATTAGCACCCCTTCCACCCCTCTGGACGTGGAATAACCAAACTTACTCCTGGATGCTATAATCGACCCTCCCATTCGCATTCAGCGCTCTCACCTTCGCCTCCTCCCTCCTCAATTTTCTCCCCCGCTCCTCGATCTCCTTGATCTCCTCCTCCCTCTCCACACCCCCCAAACTCCCATCATGATCGCTCTGGTGGCTCTTCCTCCGCTTCTCGAAACCCGCATACAGCGTCTCCATCTCCGAGTCGATGAGCACGGGCGGATGATCCCCCTTCTCGCCCGCATCGATCGCGTCCTGCGCGAGCTGCCGCTTCCGCGCGTCGTTCGAGATGTCGCTTTCCGCTGGCGCTTGCGCTTGGGGCATCATCGAGGGTATGACCCCGGCGCCGACGTTCGTCCCCGCGCCCATGGAGAGCGGGACGCGCGACTGCGCGGTGGCAGGGTTCCCCAGCCTTCCGGCGTCTTCGGCGGAGATGCCGAGGGAGCGGTTGAGCAGGCTGCTAGCGATGCCGGAGCTGAAACTTGTCCAGAGCCCGCTTACGCTTTGGCCGACGCGGGCGCCGATGCCGGTGAGGCCCTGTCCGACGGGCGCGCCGAAGATGCCTTTTTTGGTGTAGGGGAGGGGCTGCGGTTTGAGGGCTGACATAGCGGGAGAGATCAGCGGCTCGATGCGGTAGCTTATTGGGTCGGTGGGGTGGAAGATGTTGAAGACGCGCTGGCATTTAGGGGAAGAGGTGGTGATTTCGAAGCGGTCTCGCGGTGGGGGTTTTTGCGTCGTGAGGGCGCTTCCGGAGGCGAGGAAGGGGTCGTCTATGATGTCGCCGCTGGGAGTGTCGGAGGATTTGGTGGTGGACGGCTGCCGCGCGGCTATTTTGCGGCCCTTGAGCATTTGGAAGAGGCCGATGGGGGAGCCAAGGGCGAAGAAGTCTTCGACTTCGAAGTCGAGCTGGAGCTGGGCGTGTTCGTCGGTGGAGCGTCGCTTGGATGTGCGGTCGTGGGGAACTCGGGATTCTTTCTGGTGACAGACGATGTCGAACATGATGGCGGAGCCGAGGGAGTGGCCGATAAGGCTGACTCTGCCTTTGAAAGAGGAGTTTCGTTCTTTGAAAAGCTGGTAGATCCGGTTGCTTTCCTGGAGGACGATGCGTGTGATGTGGCTCTTGTAAGCTGGACTCTGGTAGAGGAGGATGTCGAGGGCAAGATCAGTGATTAAGTTCCTGACTGCGGGTACGCCTTCGACGGTTATATCATCGAGATTGGGGTACTCGTCATCTTCAAAATCCAAGTCGCCGAGATCGTGCTCCTTGCGATTATGTTTCAGGCTTTGTTTCGGAAAATCCAACAAGTGCCGCCAACAGATTGGGAGGACCTGGACTCTGCAGTTCTTTGGCATCTTGTCAACTTCTTGGTTCAAAGCTTGTAAATCCGCGGAACCAGCGTATACAGCCTTCAATGTCTTGCGGAGCGTGTTGACGTCGTGCACGAAATTGACGCTTTCCATACGCAGTCCGAGCCGTTGTCCGATGCCGTGCGTGACTAGTATAAGATGCTCGATCTCACGTCCCTGCTCATCGCCTTCTTGTTCCTTGTAATCGTCTCGAATCTCCTTCTCGTCTCGTTTGCGAGCCTCTTCCTCCTGCTTCTCACGACTCTCTGGCATCGCAGAAGTGACCAGGGATGACATCTTTCTCTCAAGGGTGGCTCTTCGAACTTCTGAGCTCGGACTTCGTGCATCCTCAGCGTTGGCAGGGGTGGAAGCTAAGCCGGAATCGTCTTTGGCATGTTTACTGTCGCCCTCCGCATCCGAATCTTCCTTGTCCGATGCAGGCGTCGCAGTTCCTGGCGTCCTGCTATCCTTGACCTCAGCCTTCCTTTTAGATGGGTCGCTGTACCCTCGGACGAGCTTGATACCCGCAAAATGGCCACCACCCGCAAAGCGCTGGTACATTGTGCTGCTCATACGGGACAGGAAGTCATCGGTCAGCAGCCATGCTGTGGTCGCGTCTTGATACGTTACTACTGAGTTCATGTGCTGACCGAACAGACGATGCGTCTTTGGATACTCCTGCGCCTCGGCCGCAGCCTCTGGTCTCTGCTCTTGCGTCATTCTCGGGCTCGGCGGTGTTTTCTCCCCTCTAAAGCTCTCGGAGGATGATCTCGGCGTGTCGGAACTCGCCATGACTGATTTCATGGCACCACCCGTGTCATCGCCAGCTTTGAGTGAGGTGGGTCGTTGTCGAGTTTGAGACGGCGACCGCTGCCCTTGGGGGAATTTCCAAGGCTTCAGCTTCAAGTAGCCTTCCTCCAACTGAGTCGCGAGGTTCTCGTCGCATGCACGTAACGAGAAGCCCTCTAGAGTTTTCATCAGCTAAGGCCATGTAGAGCTTGAGCGGTACAGACCTGCTTGGAACCATGTGCCTCGGCGAACTTCGTAAACCGGGCCCAACCAGTACGCTGGAATTAGCTCCCGTTCTTCGATATCGACGTCGAAAAGATAGTCTTCATTGACGGGCACTCTCGACTTGGAGGAGCTTTTTGTCCGTTGCTGGCCGTCCCTAGCGCCTTTGTATATATCCGCGTGAGACGAGACGCCCAAGTCCTCCCCTTGTTCCAATTTGTCCCGCTCAGCAGCGTCCTCTTCGTCGGCGAGCTTTTGGTAAGCTGCCTCAATGGCATTGGAGTCTCCTTGCGCGAAAGGAACGAACTTCTTAGGTATTGGAGGCTTGTCAGTTGTTGGTGGAGGTTGTCCGGATGGCAGTGGTTTGCGCTTAGGAATCTTATCAAATCAGTATAGTGCCGTTGCTATATAGTAGCCGTCTTGCCCTTACATCTACCGCGTGGAACCACTGGACGCGCAGCGGCGGACAGTCACGAGGATACTTCTTGAGGCTCAGCCTGTGCGTCCTGCTCACGGTGTGGTCTCCACCTTGCTGTGTCCCGAGACCAGCATCGGAGGCGCGCCTGTCGTCTTCTCGAGTTTGACCAGGCTTTGGTGTCGCACTTCGCGACCCCCAGGGTGACAGGGCGTTTAGGCCTGTAGCCAGGTAGCTCTTGTTGTCCGGCGTCGACATCCTGCCTTCAGGCCGGCGTGCGCCGGACGTGTCTCTGATCGCAAGCCAGTTTGCTGCACGCCTTGCGAGGTCTTCTCTGGCGGGGACTGGCAGGTTTCTCCACGCGTTGCGTCGTATATACTCGAGGGTAGCAGCGAAACGAGCCAACTTGGCGATAGTGACAGTGGCTTGCACTTAGGCAGAACGGCGACGAGGGCGGGTATACGATGTGCGCATCAGCGGAGGACGGGCCCTTGCAGAGGAGGAGAGGGGGATAGAGAGATTAGTGAACTAGCTAGGGGAGCAGCCGCAAGGCGAGTGTATCGCGAGGTTCTGGGCTCTGTGGTGGGATGCTTCCACCTGGGCAAGGGGTCGCGGCATGACGTCTCAGTGCAAGCTCCCAAGCTCCCTGGTAGGGCTATACGACAACATCCTCCACCTCGACCTCCGCCATATCCATCCCGCGTGGCTTCAAGGATTGGCATCTTGCAGCGAGCGAGTGGGATGTCGCAAGGGGTATGATTTGCAGGCCTAGAAAATTGTTTGTAGTTCCCAACCACATATGGCTGGCCTGACAGCTAGCTTAACGTAACAGCTCTGCAGGTAATACTGTCACGCCCACACGTGATCCGTGTTGACGTGCTACGACTCCATTCTACTCCGCCTCCACTCCTTCGAAGCCTTCACTCTGTCGTTAAAACCCTCTAATCAATTCAACAAGTACATACGCATGACGCCTCCGTGTTATGGAGATACCCATACCCATACCCATGCTCATGAAGAGCCCTCCAAGCTGAGTGCACGCGCCAAAGTGACGCGCAGCAGATTTTAAGAGACAGCCAGATGTAGCCGCAAGGATGGTTCCAAAGAAAGGAGATCCAGCTGGAGAAGAACAGAAAGAGTGGAGAGCCAAATGTACAACGACTCAAACTCCTAACCCTCAACCCAGCGCAGCGAGGTGCTCACGAGATATATCTTGCCAGAGTCCCATAGAATTGCAAGTGTATTCGATCGTGGGATGCGGCAGGCTTGATGTGTTGGGGCATGACGGCGAGGTAGGGGGTAAAGGGGTCTAGCGGGTGTTCTATGAGCCGAGTAGTTAGCAATAAAACAGAACATATGAAAAACGCCTCAACCCCTTCCCAAGACTGGTGATACCTTGTTGTCAGAGTCAGCTTCTATGCCGCTCCCGCCAGAAATTTCCCCTCGTTTCCACTGCGCAAGCAGCTCCCTAAGCTTCTCGAACCGCACTGGTTTTGGCATGAATATGTCCACACCGCTACGTAGCGCCTCGTCCCGATCATTGGCGCTCGCCAGCCCCGTCAGGGCTACTAGCAGTGCAGGTTTCCGTGACTTCGATGAAGCGGAGCTGCCGCGTTCGCGTTCCAGCTCGCGTATCCTGCGCGATGCTTCGAAGCCGTTCATTACTGGCATGGAGATATCTGGACGAGCGTCAGCACGAGGCGTCTAATTCTGCTCTTTGAGGATTGCCTGCTATAAGCTGGCATGCCTTCTCACCGGTGATGATGATATCAAACCCCTCAGCACGTCTCTCGACCGCTTGAACAGCCTGCAAGCCATCTGCTGCCGTTTCGACGTCCATGTATCCCTTCTTTGACACGAAAGTGTTCAAGAGCTTGAGGTTGACCACGTTGTCCTCAACAAGCAGCATACTGGGACCGCTCTTGGTGGTAGGGGTGGCGGTGGTGTTGATCTGGGAGGCGGCGATGAAGCCTGAGAGGCTCTTGTCAGTTGCCCTGTGTGGCAGGCTAGGAGATTCGGATCTCTACCGCTTACGTGTTTCAAAGCTGTGCTCCTGAGATGTGTTCCTGTCTGCGGTTGCGGAGCCGGAGGTTGTATTGATGGATGCCCTAGAGTACGAGCGCTTGGATGATGGCGATTGTTGTTGCTGTTCCTCGAAGCCATTAGTCTCAGTCTCCGACTGATCAAGATCCTGTAATCGCTCGAGACATCTCAGCAGAGCTTTGGAGAGTTTGTTCGGGCCAAAAGGGCGTGAGATTCTCTCCCATATGTGTTTTTCGGCAACGTGTTTCGAGCTCGCCGGTTTTAGGGGGCCGGTACATATGGTTAGCACGGCCAAACGTCGCCTACAGGCTCTCAGCTGAGTGCAGATTTCTTCGAGCGTATTTTTGCCTGTCCCGTCCGCAATCACAATGTCCGGGTGTGACTCTTCGTCACCCAAGGGAACCACTGTGCAATTGAACCAATCGACAAGGTAGGCTCGAAGGGACCGTGAAGTCGTGTGCTCGAAGCCACAAATGGCTATGTTGAGATTTTTACTCCGAAGGATTGTGAGGCTTTGCTCAATAGTCGGAGCACCAGATTCCTGTTGCGTGACCTTACCAGGCGCCATGGGTATGCTGACCCTGAACTCCGACCCTTCACCCACTTGACTTTTCACCTCGATCTTCCCGGCCAATAGGGAGACCAAGCTCTTGACAATGGACATACCCAGGCCTACGCCTTCAGACTTCATCGCGTCTTCTTGATGGAAAGGCAAGAAAAGCCGGTTCTCAACGAAATCCTTGGACATGCCCTTGCCGGTATCCTTCGTAGTGAAAACAACAATCTTCTTTTCGACTCCGTTTTTGTCACGCAATTCTGGGCGAGTCTCATCTTGTGGCTCGAGCTCTTTAGCATCCCGAACGTCCAATGACACGACCACGACACCATTCGGAGAATATTTCATGGCATTGCCGATGATGTTCATCATGATTCGGCGGAGGGCGCCTGGCTCGGTCACGAAAACCCATGCCTCATGATAGGCTATATTTAGGGTCACAGTCGGAGCAGTATCGGAGGTAGAAGTACTGTAGGAGCGGCCGCTTTCTAGCACTTGCACAATGTCTTCGCAAAGCATTGCAATATCCGTAGACACATAGAGCCCCGAAGAGGATCCATCTTGCCGTACAGCTTCCTGAGCCTTGTTCTCTAAAGCCCACGGAGAGTCACTCGGTCGATTCTGTTGAGGTCTGTTCTGTTTCTGCTCGAGATCGTTAATCTTTGCGTATGAAAGCACATTACTGAGCGTGTCTCGAAGGGTGGACCCGCAGGATCGTATGACATCCGCCAATCCTTTCTGGAAGTGATCAAGGTGCGTTTCGGCAAGTAACTCTGCGGCGCCAAGGATACCGTGCAAAGGGGATCGAAGCTCATGACTGACGGAGGAGACGAAAGACGCTTGCTGCTTGACCGCAGCGACACTGTCGAGCCGGGATATCTCTGCCACCATGGTATGAAGGAAGGACTTGTTTGGAGTGAGATCGGTTGCGTCAGTGAGGACTGGAAATACGTCGTAAGTCCAGGCAAAGCATCCTGCTAGATGTTTGAATGTTATCGGATCAGTCAAGGGCGACATGATGACTTGGCGTGCGCCCGGGAAACATGAGAATATGTGGTTGGCGTCTTCAAATTGGTCTTCATCTGAAATAAGCGCATCGCCATCGAAGCAGAATGGGTTTCCTGCTTCATCGGAATACCAGGTCCTCCCCTCGGAGTGACGCTCCAGAAGGTGTTGTAGGAAGCCCTCATCCATATGAGCCAAGCCTTTGGTACTCTCGGTCACCTGTGTGGTGGGAGGCATTGTTCGTCCTTTCTGAATCGCACATCCAAGTATCTCTGCTGCTCTGTGCGTGTAAACAGTATCCGTATAGTCTGCGCTGGTAAATATACGTGCGCCTTCGTTCGATGTATCGCCATTCATCGCGGCGTCCTTCGTTTGCTTCCCTTTCTGCGTTTGCGTCATTTCACGCTCAAGTTCCAGCTCAGGTTCGCCGACGGGTAGCAGGCCACCATGGAACCCAACGAATCCATTAACGAACATGACCCCATGCACCTCTAAGGAGTTCCGCAAACATGCTGCCGCGCGTTTGAAAGTCTTCCGATAAGTGGTTTCACCATGCACAGCATCGTGACCGTGACCTTTCCTTGCCTGCTGGGAGGATGAGAGTGATTGCTCGGGTTCCACTTTCGAGTCCTCGTCTGCCTCTGGAGGCCGCCTGTCTTGCGGTATGTTTGTCGATTTGCCTACTGATTGTGACTGCGGACTGATACCCGGCGTGAATTTCTTATTACTTTCTGTCGACTGGGGCGATGGGCTTTCCACAGAAGCGTCAGGAACTCCGGTTTCTCGATGCTGAATGAAAGAATCAATCCCTTCGGACATCTTTAGCCCTCGACGCTTGGCCTCGACCTCGCGTGCCATCTCCAGGTGTCTAATACACTTCTTCGCCATATCTTGCAGAAACGCCGCCTCTTGTTCCGAGAGCTCCTGTCGAGCGCTATCATGCACAACGAAAAGGGCGCCGATGCAGATGTCGAGTCTTGTGATTATGGGTGCAGCCGCGTAGAACCTGAGAGATGGTGGTTCGGTAACAGACGATAGCGTCTTGGTATACTCATCTACGGTCAGATCGGGAATGCAGAAACAGCGCTGCGCGGCCGGACCTGGCGATCTCTCCAACGTCCGTCGCGCCAGTAAAAGCCATCCTTCGGTAGCATCGGGCTCGTTGAACCACGCCGCAGCCGTAACATTGCCCCCTGCGTCGAGATAGTCTTCGAAGTTGTCCACGCTTCCCGCTATGAGATGTTGAGTGCTCCCATCCGTCAAAGTCACGAAGGCTCCCAAGACCCCTAGGTGTGCGCGTCAGCGCATGGGCTCTTTCCGGCGGCGCTACATCGCATCCGTACCCAGCCGCGCGCTCACTACTTGCGTGAATGCTGTGAGAGCATCATGGGATATCATCGATCCCGTCGAACAATCGGGGGGCGGCTTCGCTTCTCGAGCATCTTCGGTCGGAGGCAGCACTCGTGGGTTGTAGTATCTGCATAAGGTCGCATCAGCTCAGCGCGCAAGGTTGGTAAGAACCCACTACTTGCGGAGCTCATGAGCTCGAATACTATTGGCCATCTCTGTGGTGTTGAACACTCATCAGGTACTTGTTAGGTGATCGGGTAGATCATGGTCATTCTATGAATTTTATGATGCCAGCAAACACAAACGACAATAGCACTGATCAAGCGAATGTAGGTATATCGTAGGTTGTAGGGGGTGATAGCTTACACTCGTGAAGAGACAGCAAATTGGTCCTTGTTCCTTCATATGCAGGTCATTCGAATTTGCAATCATCTCGACATGATGACGTCGGGCAGGTCGTCAGGTGACTTTGCTTACCGTCACTACAGACGAGTAAATTGACGAGTATGTAACCCGCATCTCAGGGGCGAGAATCACTACTGGTCAAGCAGTGGAACAGCTGAGCGTCCGCGATGATACGTATTTTGGCCATGCATTCACCCTAGCCCGTGGGATTGGACCGACGCCCCGCGGATTGTACAGTACAATCATGGGCTGTCCTTGTTTTAGAAAGTCAATTGGCATTTCGACTTACACGGGATGCAATTAAATTGCTGTCCTATGCGCTCTTGCGCCGTATACGCGAGTTAACTTATTTGTTCGATCGGTAACAACTATCTGGTAAGATTTATAACGTCTAGTGCCTCTCTATTCAATATCCGACTAGTGACAAACTATATCTCTTGCCGGCAACACTTCTCTCGCACATAAGTAGAAGGGTTACTTGACTTACAATAGCCAGGTGTTACGATGCAGTAAGGACTGGAATAAATTAGAGCTTGAGGGATAGAATAAACATAGGGCTAAGCTAATAAAGAGCCCGGTCTCTAGGGGGTTCGTAGCATGCAGTCTTGGGTGAAGCTTCCGCGGCAGGGCTGCGGGCAGAGCAGCTCAACATCACAACCTCCTCCATGTCCATCTTCCTCCCCACATGCTTCCGTCTCCGGAGACCAACCAGCTACCTGCAGCCCGCCTCCCGTCCACGCGATTCCGACTGTTCATCCGTTTCCACATGTCTTCAGGGATTGGCATTGCCAAGTACATCCATCAATGCCACAAAACCAGGAACGGCGCGCATCGTGGGCTGTCGATCCGGCGGAGTTTGCGGGGAGTAGAAGCCACCTTGGCCCCATCCCGTGCAGCTTGGAACGGCACGCTCGCAAAATACGCCAAACAACTGTGCTTTTCGTGTGACAGCATTGTGAACAGTGCAGCAGATAGGTGTTAGAGGCGTCGCTGGGCACCGTTATTGTGGTTGGTTGAAACAGGCAAGGTAAACAACTACAGCAATGCTTCCATCAAAGGTGTTGCCCGTGCCGCGTTGAAAGGACCCGCCTCACGCGTTTTCTCGTCTTCCCTCCCAGCTCCGTCCTGCTCGTTCGTCTCTGTCATGGCTCGATTTTTCAATCTTCTCGCTGGAGCGTTGCTGCTCTCAGCTGCTTCGGCGCAGACATCTACAGTCGCGGGGCCAGTTCCAAGCGGGACACCATTACCTGGCTACTATGCCGGTCCTCTTCGCCCTCAGGTCCACTACAGTCCTCCGCAGGGCTTCATGAACGACCCCAATGGCATGTTCATCGATGCAGACGGAGTCTACCATCTCTACTATCAATGTACACCTCAAACAGCTCGACATACATCAAGCTACTACTGACACCCTCAGACAACCCCACCGGCCTTGTAGCTGGGAATGTGCACTGGGGCCACGCAACATCAGAGGATCTCTACACCTGGACGAACCAAAAGATTGCCCTCTTCCCTGACCGGCCTGGCGAGCAAATCTTCAGCGGTTCCGCTGTGCTCGACCCCAACAACACCTCCGGCTTCTTTCCCAACCAGACAAACGGCGTCGTAGCCTTCTACACTCTGAGCACCGGCCCCGGCCAAGAGCAGGTCCAGGAGATTGCGTACAGCTACGACAACGGCTACACCTTCACCAAGTACGCCGGCAACCCCGTCATCTCCGTCGGCGCCCGCGAATTCCGTGACCCCAAAGCCTTCTGGCACGCAGAGACCTCATCCTGGGTCGTCGTGCTGGCCTTCAGCCAAGAATTCGTAATCTCAATCTACACCTCCCCCAACCTAATCGACTGGACCTTCGCCTCCAACTTCTCCAACGCCGGGCTAATCGGGCTGCAATACGAGTGTCCGAACCTGCTCCAGATGCCCATGGAAGGCTCCCACGAGCCCATGTGGCTCATGTACATTTCCATCAACCCCGGCGCACCTTACGGCGGCTCCATCGGCGAGTACTTCCCCGGCCACTTCAACGGCACACACTTCACAGCCGTGGACGCCGTGGCACGGATCGCCGACTTTGGGAAGGATAACTACGCCGCGCAGTTCTTCTACGGTATTCCGTCCAACGAGAACCAGATCTCGATCGCGTGGGCCAGCAACTGGCAGTACACGAACAACGTCCCTACCGATACCGAGAACTTCCGCAGCGTCATGAGCCTGCCGCGGTATAACTACCTCACCAACGTGACCCGCATCGGCTACCAGCTCGTCAGCGTGCCCTACAACCTCGGGCCGATCTTTGAATCCCAGCTGGCCGCGAACGACTCCCTGGGGAACGGCACCGTCTTCGTGGATTACTCCGCTGTCGAGTCGGGGGCGTTGTACTTCGAGGCAAACGTCACCGGGCTCAGCGACATGAGCAGTCTGCAGGGCAGTGTGAACTTCACCTTCTCGTCCTCCGTGTCCGGCGAGTCTGTGCGCGGCGGGACGGACCTGCTGGGCGGCACGACGTGGGTTGATCGCGGCGAGACGCGCGGGTTCGACAATCCCTACTTCACGGACAAGTTCTCCCACTCCGCTGTGTATGATGGATCAGGGCTGTGGCGGATCTCGGGCGTCATTGATAGAAGTATTATTGAGGTATTTGTTAATGGGGGCGAGCAGAGCGCGACAAATACTTTTTATCCGACTGCTCCGCTGGACACGATGGCGTTGGGTGCGAGGGGGATCAATGCGACTGCGGATGTTGCGGTGGCGGTTTGGAGTCTGAGGAGCACGTGGGCGCCGCAGCAGAATGGTGAGGGGGTTGTGCTGGGGAATGTTACGCAGACTAATTCGGGGATGAGGAGGACGCGCTGAGAGGGACTTCTCTAACAGAGATCAAAGGACGAGGTAATGGAGTATACCAAGCTTGCAATTCGTTGACAGGATTCACGCCGGGTGTAATTTGGATTTCGGCCATGGAGACACGACCTCAAGGTACAGCTCTCTCGACATCCAACGATGTTTGATTCGGTCATGTCTTGGGCCTGGGTTGTGCTTCTAGGAGATCTATTTCAACTCAACCGCTGGGTAACGGCTGGATCTCACGACGAAGCCGCCAGCACTGCTCTCTCACGTAGCGCTCCCAGCAACACCTTCCGCCTCCTTCGCACCCAGCACACCCTTAGCCCACGGGGGTTCCCCATCATCGTTAAACTCCGCCCACTGGAAGAACGAGCACCTGCCCACACGTCAGCCCATCCCTCCCCCCTACATCCACACCCCTTTACTCACCCCTCCTGCCCCGGCGTATAATTCGCATGACACATCCACATATACCGCCCCCTATTCTCCCTCTTCCGCTGCACACACCGTAGCACAGTCGGCACGCCACACTTACACCGCGGGGTGAATCTCGGATGCAGACTCGCCTTGTAGCAGCGGTACGTGATGTTGAGCCGCTTGTTTCCGGCGAGGGGGTGCGGGTCTATTGCTGAGGCCGGGGCGATGGAATGTTTCCACTCCTCTTGCATCTCCGCGTGCATGACTAGCAAAGAGTTGTGGGGGAGGTGGATTGAGATCTGGCCTTCGGCGTCGGCGCGGGTGGGGGCGCTGGATGCAATCGTGCCCGGGAAGTGGCCATTCTTGGCATCGCTCTCACCCTCGTCCTCGTCTCGCGCGACCACTCGCCGCACCCGGAACTCACGCGCGACGCCGAGACTCAAGCTGCCGATCACAGCGCGCGGACCGAGGTAGGTCAGTTGGTCGGAGTGGTAGCCTACACTGCGGTTGCACTCAGCCATTGACGGATCACGTGACTAAGAGGTAGGAAGGGAAGTACCTCTCAGCGCCGCCATCGTAGCAGTTCACGAACGCGGCGTTCGGCTTCCATTCGTCGGGGGACTGGTACTTGAGTTTCTGTCCCCCAGGGTAGTAGATCTGAATCCGGCGCTGGATCTCGGCGTTGACGGCTTCTTGGACTTTAACGGCGACGTTGCGCATCTCGGGGAGCGTTTTGCGTACGTCCTATGGGTAGGGCGGTGTCAGTATTCTAGCTAAGCGGTAGTGGGGACTGGAGTCGCTGCGCACGGCGATGTAGCTACCGTTGTACACGTATTCTGTTTTCTGCCGCTCGGCTTCGTCCCAGCTGTCTACGTAGAAGCACATGGTGTGCGGGCTCTCAACTACGTTTTCGAAGAGGCGGAATTTCTCGCGCTTGAAGGTTGGGGCCTCTTTTAGCAGCTCGTGCAGGAGAGCGTCGGCTTCGTTGGGGGGCAGGAAGTTGTGGATTATGGAGCAGGGGGTCGTTGTTTCTATGTCTTCTGGCGAGTAGAGATGTAGAGTTTTGCCCTTTTTCGCGGATGGTTTTTTCGAGACATAAGCGCCTGGCTCGGCAGTCTTTGATTTGAGGCTGAAGGATGAGATCGTCGACTGGTACCCCGTGATACTATTTGTATTTCGCCGCTTTGAAGGGGACTTGTTGCTACCTGCCCGCAATAAATGCTCGGACGCGGCGTCAACCACGCCATTGGAAGCTAGCAGAGCTTCAAGAAGAGCGCTATGGTCTATATCAGGATGAAGAGAAGCCAAGACGGCCAGCTTGAAGTCAGTAGATTCTTCCTCAGCCAAGCAGGCTATTTTCGTCTCTTCCTCATCCGTTGGCGAAATGCGGCGCCGCTTGCGAGATACGAACGCGTCCATGGCAGCACAGGGAGACTTCAGTGGACCTATGCATGGTTCCTCTCGCGGTTGTTCGCGCGGTTCATTTCCATCACCATCGAATAGGCAGGCATTCGAGATGCGATGTCAATAGGGCTGATCACGTGCGGAGCTTTCTGCAGCAGACGCGACGTCCGATGCGTGCCTGGCCGGAGCTCCAACGAAGCTCCATCATTGCCGCTGTCACCCACGAAATACACATCAACAACCGCCTCACCCATCGCTGCACCTTCTATCTAACCTCTTACGACTTACAGCACACACTCACACTCACCATGGACACCCTAGTAGCACAATACAGCCGGCCAAGCGGCCAACAGGAAGGCTACTCACAAGACGAACAACAAGAGCTCCTCCAACTCACGCCGCCTTTATCCCTCAAGTTCGCCCTCCCGCCCATAGCCCAGGTCAGCTCTCCACAAGCTCTTCATGAGCTCACCATCCTACTCCCTCTCCCTATGAGCTTCCCGCTAACCCCATCCGTGCCCACCAGCCCTCCTCATGGCTCCGCGCAATGACCGACGACTACTCGAACCCAAACTGCCCGATCAAGATCGCGCACGGCACGACGACGCTGGCGTTTCGCTTCCAGGGCGGCATCATCGTCGCCACGGACTCGCGGGCCACGGCTGGGAACTGGATCGCGAGTCAGACGGTGAAGAAGGTGATTGAGATCAACAACTGCTTGCTGGGGACGATGGCGGGTGGTGCTGCGGTAAGCAGGAACCTCGCAATCAGGTGGATAGAGAAGGAGAGAGTTAGCAGGGTTGGGGGTTCAAAGGGCTGAAGGACTGAGGCTGATGTCCCGCGCGCGTGACTAGGACTGCCAATACTGGCTCGCATACCTAGGCATGCAGTGCCGACTCCACGAGCTGCGACACAAACGCCGCATCTCCGTCGCTGCGGCCTCCAAGATCCTCGCCAACCTCGTCTATTCGTACAAAGGCATGGGTCTGAGCATGGTACGTCCACCTTTGTCCCCATCCTCTCTTTTCCCGCCCCGCCCGCCCGCTAGCTAACAACATTTAGGGCACAATGTGCGCCGGCGTGACCCCGCAAGAAGGCCCCGCCCTCTACTACATCGACAGCGACGGCACCCGGCTGTCCGGAAACCTGTTCTGCGTCGGCTCGGGCCAGACCTTCGCCTACGGCGTGCTGGACGCGCAGTACAGCTACGATCTGTCCGAGGAAGACGCGCTCGACCTCGGCCGCCGCAGCATCCTGGCCGCCACGCACCGCGACGCCTACTCGGGCGGTTACATCAATCTGTACCACGTCAAGGAGAGCGGGTGGGTCAAGCACGGGTTCAGCGACACGAATCCGATTTTCTGGAAGACGAAGCTGGAGAAGGGCGAGTTTTCGAACGTTACGAGTGAGCTGGAGTGATGGGAAGTGCAGAGGTGGTGCGGGGAGACTTGGAGGTGGTGAATGGAGTTGGCGGGCTAATGGGATCGCTTCGGTTACTGTTATACTAGATAGCACTATTCGTGGGAGTCAGGACTGTACAGTAATGGGAGCGGGCCGCTGAGGAGGTCGTCGGCCGCTTGTGTAGCCCTAGCCCGCCGCCTCGGCCACCGTCGAAATCACGTCCTCCAGCAAGTCTCAGTCTCTTGTGATCTCTTGATCTTACAACTCGACACTAGATCGGTGGTATACATTGGTATCTCACACACGACCGCGAGGTCCATCCATCCATCCACCTGGGTCGCCACTCTTGCCATATCCCGATAAAACACCCACCCCAGAGCCATTCCGATGCCACAATGAAGCAAAGCAAACCAAAGAGCCTTGGGTATGAAGGAAAGAAGCACCCGCAGGGCTTCGTCTGTGACCACGCCTCTTCAACGCTCAGACTCCAACCCCAGCTGGCCTGTCCCGTGCCGTGCCGTGGGTTCTACTCATGCGCAAGACAAAGGAAAGCAAAGGAGGGGAATACGCTAAAACGCTAGACAAGACAGCAAAAAAAGGGTACAAGAAAAGCAAAAACCAGACATGGATGGGGACACACCAGCCCCGTTCCCCATCCAGGCACCACGCCTTCCCCTCACCGTCCGCCTTCCTCACCCACCCCCGTCTCCGGCGTAACAACCACACTAGCCCCAATCGGCGCCGTCAGCGTCCTGCCAGACAGCGGGAGCTGGTATTTCAGAATCCCCCTTACAATCAGCTCAAACGGATGCAGCAGCACCCGTTCCCAGCGCTCCGTGCCGCCGGCCTCGGTCTTGTTGCCCGGCTTTTGCAGCCGCAGCTCGCCGACCGAGTAGTGCGGGTGCCGCTTTAGCGGGGAGCCGTCGAAGGAGAGCGCGCTGTCGAAGTGGAAGATGCGGCCGAGCAGCATGGTTTGTGCGTCGCTGGAGGGGTCGTTTATTGGGTTTGTGCCGTGGTCGACGGTGCCGAGCGGGTGGAGGGGGATGTAGGAGGGCGAGGTTGAGGTGGTGCTGTGGTGGTCCCGCCGGCGGGTCTGGTCTCGTGATTTGGCGAAGGAGGTACTGGGGGGTGAGCAGCAGCGCCAGTCATCGTTGTGGGGATGCTCGCGCCAGTAGCGATCGGTGCCTACGTGCTTGCTCTTTGCGAAGACGTTGACGTCCATTTCTGTGACGGAGACGCCGAGGAGGTTTGGGTTGATGGCTCCGACGAGGAGGTCTAGCATGATTTCCTGCTCGCTGGCGAGCACGTTCTGGATCTCTTTGATGCGCACGTCGTACATGGGCTTGGTTGTTGCAAAGAGGAATCCTACTGCGCCCGCGGCGAGAAGAATCACCAGGACGCTGAGAAGAATACAGCCGCCGAATCTGCGCAGCCAGCCCCGGTCTCGCTTTTGATAGTACTCGATCTGGCGTATGCTTGCGCTGTTCGGTTTCCGAGGACGCGTGCGCTGGGCTCGTATTGATCCTACGAGAGGCGTCCGTTCATCATCTGCACCCTCGCCGTCCATGTCGTACGTTGCAAATTCGCCATGCTGTTTGCTTGCCGTACTTGCAAGGCGAGAATTGCTTTGGTTTAGCATCCTCAGACTTGCTGGCTTAGGCGACTGCCGTGAGTCGTTTGCAGCTTTCGCACGCGCTTTGGAAGAGTTGGCATAGGGTGAGTCATCCTGCAACGCGCCATAGTTGGCGCCAGGCCGACCGTAGCGCCCAATGTGGTGGTGGTGCACTCCATTACTGCCTCCGGGCCTTGGGTCGCCATTTCGCGGAACACCTTCCTGCCAGTCGTCGCCATCTTCATTCGCTGTTTGATGGTACGGGTTACTTGAGAATTTCATGCTTCTTTTTCCGGCAACGCCCCGCCCGTTGTCGAGGACGTTGCCAAACGAACTTCTGGCACCGCGACTGTCGATGAGACTTGCCATTGACGTTGTGCTTGGTGTTCTGGAGTGATTTCGGTTGGCGCGAGGAGTAGCGTCAGCTGGGTTGGATTCGTAGACGAAGGTTTCGTCAGAATCCGATGAGTTGGTGGCATCGACTGCACTGGCAACTTTGGCTTCGAAAATATCTGCCTTTGTGGAAGCTGTGCGGGAGTTAGTGTGTATATAGGGTATGTAGAAAGAAGATTTGCGATGAACCGTGGAACCACGGATCGTTGCCGCGGAAGATCCAGTCCCCTCCTCGTTCACAATATTTTCATGAGGGGCGCTGGCGCTCTGCGACATGCTCACAGATCTTGACCCTGCAGCAATATCGTTCGTGACATGTCGTGTGTGGTGAGAGTAAGGTATACGAGCAGATGATGACCTACCTGTGCCTGAATTTATTGACGGCGGTTTACGCACAGCTCTTTTCCTCTCCTTTCTCGGCCTGATAGTCTCGTTGCTTGGCTTCAGTCGTAGGCTGCCGCTAGGATCTCCGCGTCCTTGTACTGCCCGGTCTCCTGAACCAGCGCCTATCGCAGCCTGAGGTATAGAGCTAACGGTCTCGGTCTCGACTGTCATATTTTTCGAGGCCACTTGGGCGTCAGATTTGGCTTTCGGTGGCGCTAGCGCAGTTGATGAAGCGGTTACTGTGAGTGGCTTCGGCCGCGGGACAGTCTGCATCTGCGGTTCTTGTCGCTTTCCCTTGTCGTCGTCTTTGCTGAGCCCGCTGCCAACAGCGTTCCAATCGCTCTTCACATTCCTGTCGCCCCGGACTTCGCCCGTACTTCCGGCGCGCTTCGAAACAAAGGAATCGTCTGAAGGGGCGGCGGTATTCTTAGCTGGCGCTAAACTATCGTCAAATGTCAGCCTTTGCAGCCATCAAATGCGACTGAGGTGATCTTTCTGGTAGTGCTGAGCAGCATGCAGAAGAAGGTCAAGCACCGCCCCCGCGGTTTGGAGAGTTTACTCGGGCCGCACAATAAAAGGAGGTGTACCTTTGCGAGTTGAAGGCTTCGAATCCCGGTGTGGTAGGCAGACTAGCCTCATGGACAGTTTCCAGAGTCGATGCCGCACCGCTCGCTCCTCTCGATGAACCCTTGGATAGCATCTGTGTCTGGTCGTCCGAGTCACTGAGTAGGCCATCGAGTTTGGCTGCAATCGGTGGCGTTGCTGTAGGCGTAGACCGCTGTACGACAATGCTGGGCGTGGTTGAAGTGGTAGGTTTCGTTGTCTTGGTTGGAATGAGAGAGCTCTGCCGGGATGGGCCGGTGGTGGTTGGAGGGGGTGACTTGACCCTCGGCGACAGAGGCCACTGCGGTGTGTTCTCTCCTGATGTCGTGCCTTGCGATCTCTGTGGCTGTTGCGGCTTTGCGCTCGAGTCGGTCAGAGCGAGTGGTTGTAGTTGCGGCGTGTTGGATGCTGAGAGCGCACGCTGTATTGCTGCTGCCGAAGGGACTGACGTGCCAGTAGCAGGCGCACTTGGTCGGCGCTGTGGGCTCACTTCGTGACTATTCTTTCTTGACCTGGAACGTCTTGGAACACCCTGCGGTTTCTGCCCAGGTCTTGCTGGGGAAGAATCGCGTGAAGACAACGGAGACGCCGGGGCGGAAGGCGTTCTTGATGGCATAACATTGGTTGGCACGCTTTTTGACTTGGGCAGCGCTGTAATATGGCCTGTGTTGATCGCGGATGGGGCCGGCTGCACCCTGGTTGTCGAACTTGCAGCGGCTGAGGGAGTGCTGGCCGGTGGAAGTTGACCAGGTGCCTGAGCATGTTCGGCATCCTGAGCCGGAGCTTGGGTCTGGTTGCTGGCGATGCGATCGCTCGCATCTTCAGAGGTCATGACGATGGCCGTGGGAAAGAAGAGTCGAGTGGCTCAGTCATGGCAAGGCTTACAGTGTGGAGGTGCGAGGTGTGGTTGGGGTGGGTTGGGGTTGAGGTTGAGGCTTGCCGGCACGGGTGACAGATGTCATTGACGCATGTTGGCGAACAATGCCGCGAGGGGTGAGCGCAAGACAACGCGGCAGAAAGCCGTTGGACGGGGCCGCTGAAAGGCGTGGGAAGGGCCGATGCGTCCAATCGGCGGAGAAGCCGTGCAGCGGAGCGGAGGGCGACGGTGAGGTGCAGTTGGGGGTGGGAGAGTTTGCGGGCGTTCAGGTTCAGGTTTTGCACAGGTAATGATGAGGTACTGCTAAGACGGGCATGTTCCTGTCAGCCCTGTTTCTTTTGGCGGGCCCCGTTCCCCCCATGTGTCTCTTCCACGCCACGGTTCCATGGTTCAAGCGCTTCAGCCCTCTGACAGCCGCTCTTTGCCGCATCCGTGCCATTCCCCAACTTGCCCTGTCAGCATTACGAGCACACATAGTTTAACCTTAGATGCACGACGAGTTCGGTTTTAGCTCTGCTTAGCGCGAGCAGACTACCACGCTCAAACAAGCTTCCGGACACAGGCACTGTATTCAGGCAGTCATGCATGGTCGAAATTCTGCACCTCATCTCACCCCGCCCAACCGACCACCAGCGCTGCAGTCAACCAGTCTTTTATGTAATAGTGTGCATGTGAGGATCATTGCATTGAGATGGGCAACTCGACGTTCAGCGGATATGCCCACTGCATACAGAACTGCAGCCACGAGCTAGGTACATCTCTAACGTCCGTTCCGCGATCCACACATCCTCCCTCTTCCAGGGTAATCCTGCATGCAAAAGAAGCCACTTCCTCGAAGGTCATAACATCGTCATATCCTTCCTCCCAAAAACGTTACTGTAATCAGCGTGAAGCAGATGCACGCTAGTGCTGCAAAGCGAAGCGGCTCGCCAGTAGTGAAGTCCAAAAAGTCTTGCCGGAAAGTCGCAACAGCACGCAAAATACATCCCGTAAGATGCATCGGGTATTCGTCGAAAGACCGAGCCAGAGAAGCAAAGCAAAGCAACGTAGAAACGTTTTTCGCCGTCAAACACCTCCATGTGCCGCCATAAAACGGTAAGCTCTTTTTTGACCAGCTCGGTTCGCCGTGGATGCAAGGTAAAAAAGCAGCAAAAGGCTATGATGCCAGTGTCGAAAACAAATGCCATGCCGTAAAACAAATCACCCAGCGGCCGTCACAAACGCTGCGTCAGCTACCGACAGATTCGCCAGTGAGCTGCGGAGCCAAAACCACGTGATCCTGGGGAGACGCCGTTATATCCTCACACCGTAACTCCAACAGATGTATATATCTTCGTGGGCTGTCCAAGCGCGGACCCTCTCTCCATGTCCGGTCGGGAAGGTCTTGAAGACGAACGCGCCCAGCTAAACGTCCGTCATGTCGACATCCTGCTCGTGGTTGAGAACGTCGTCTGCAGGACCGAAGTTTCCTTCGTAGATGGTGGCACCGGCCCGTCGACGCTTCTCGACCCATTGCACACCGCCTGACCGGTACACTTGATCGATCACAGGCCGGTCTTCTGGGTTGGGGGAGATCATCCAATGGACAAGCTTGTCGAGAGCTTCATTGTCATCTGGATCAACCATGAAGTTTGGCGGTTGGACGAGGTCGTGCGGGCGCTGGCGTCTGGGCGATAACTTCCTGAGGAAGTGGAAGGTGTCATCGTCCGCATCGAGGCCCAGAAATGAGTCGTTGGCATCGTTCGCCGAGAGGAGATCGATAGGGTCACCAGACTCGTCCCGCGCAAGTGTGCTCTCAGAGCTCCATGTAAGACTCGGAATATCGGTCCAGTCGCCGGTCCTCAGACGCTGCCAGGAGGTGCCGTTGTCCGGAAGTATGATGTTCCCAGCAATCTCAAGCATAATCATGCCGAGTGCAAAGACGTCGGCTGGCTTGTCGAAGCGTCCAGATAGGATCTCAGGGCCGATGTATTCACGATCTCCCTCACCATCGATCTCTGGCGGAGCCGGCCAGGTGCTTGCCAGGCCGAAGTCGCCAATCTTCAGAACTCCCTCCCAGTCAACGAAGACGTTAGCGGGCTTCAGGTCAAGGTGGATGAATCCAGAGTCGTGAATAAACTTGATGCCCTGTACTTGTTAGCGCATTATTTCTCAGCGGGCGACTGCTTAGACTTACTTGTGACAGCTCGAGCAGTATCTTCCAAATCCGGAAGTCATCCAGTCGTGCCTTAAAGCCGGCTTGAGTGAGAAAGTCTTTGAGATTCCCATTCTCACAGAATTCTGTCTGGATGTAAAGGTGCCCTTTAGATTCCCAGCTGTCGGTGAAGTTGATCACGTGGTCGTGACCTCGCAATGCTTCCAGTATATGCACCTCGCGGAGTTTTCGTTCCCTATCTCGCTGACCCGTGAATGGACGTTTCGTCTTCTTCACAGCCCACACGTTGCCGATGGAAAGTGACGACTGTGAGGAGTCGGACATGGATTGTTCAGGACTCTTCTCGACGCGGTAGACTTGCGAGAACTCGCCGACACCGAGCAAGGCCACCGTACCAAACCTTGACGTCAAAGTAGTGTCGACATCGTTCTGGGTCACTGCTATGGGAGCAACACCAGACTGACTGTTGCCGAAGAGGAATATCGAGTCGCGGTTTCCTGTTGGGGTGGCGGGCGGGAAACTGGCCGTGCTGCTGTTGAACGGCAATGAACCACGACGGTTGCCTTGAGCGGATATGGACAAGCCACTCGGATCGGGAGGTAAGAATGTATCTTGGGGAGTATGGGGCGATGAGCGCTCGGAAGCGTTAAAGCTGTTTACTGGGGTGGCTGTGGTTAGGGGAGAACACTTAGCAAGTGCAGACTTTCGAAGAGGGGGAGAAGGAGAAGTCTTAAGGCGTGCATTAGGCGACAAAGGTAATTGAGACTTGTACTGTGACTGGTCTTGATGACTGGAACGAACAGACGAAGGCATGTGACTTGGTTGCGAAAGTCTTGCGCAGGGCGACGGTAACGGAGACTCATCCAACACATCGTCGTCGGCAAAGAAATCGATATGTTCGGCTAACGGAGACAACTTACACTTTCTGTTCAGCTTAGGAGTTGGGACATCCACAGCAGCAGGCGGCGCGAACGTATCGGGACCGAGTGATGTGCGACGCCCAAAGAGACTGCTGCGCAAACTGTTCTCCTTCGAGCGCCCGCTTCTCTTGCCCTCACCAGCATTCTTCGTCGGGGTCGGCGGAAGCTCATCGGCGCTTGACTGACTGTCCATGTGACCCGAGGGAGATTGCGAGTTCTCGTCGCCGTCGATGCTTATAAAGCTTCCGCGACGCACTGGTTTGCCGGTTCCGAAGCGCGTACCGAAAATGCTCACGCCTTGGCCGAAGGACTCGGGCGAGGGTTTTGTCGCGTGAGAACTAAAGGGCGTGGTAGGTGTTCCAAATTCATGAAGCGGCTTCGAAACACTCGGGAAGCTGCTACGGAAAGGCGTTCCCGTCATTGGTGGAAATGAAACCCGCTTGGATGGCGTATCGGGCATGGCATAGCTTGCGACTGATCCAGCAAGAGGAACGTCGACATTTCGGTTCCTCTTCGAGATTAGGCCCGTTGACATGAACGCTGCTGGAAGCGGCTTGGCCATCTTGTAAGCTTCTGGCGTCGCAAACTGCGCTGACTCGTCGTCTGCGGCTTCGTGTGTCAGTGCTCTGGGTCGGCAAGCACCAATAGGTAGTGACCTAGAGAAGCCTGGCGGTCGTCGAGGCCTTTCAGGTGCGATAGGCGGCGCTGGTGCAGCTGATACGGCGGGCAAATCATCCGCCATGCTTGAGGTTGATGATGACGGCGTCAAAGCATGAGATAGGGGATGTGGTTGCGGGTTTGGCGGAGCGGGACGATGTGGCACGGTAATCTGGGGCGAAAATGACGGGATCGACTCGAACGGTGTGCTGCGGCGCAGAGGGAATTGTGTGTTTTGACTGCCAAACCCAAATGAGGTGTCGAAGCCTGATCGGTTCCGAGTTTTTGATGCTGCCTGGCCGGGTACGGCAAATTCCTGATCTTGCGTGGCTGGCGGCTTAGACCTTACTGCGTTCGATCCATATCGCTGTTGAAGTGTCGACTTGCGAAGAGAGAGTGATTTTCTGGGTGGCGATGTCCGTTTGGGGGCTGGCGAAGCGAAGGTGTAGTTGGTCATCTCCCGATCAGAATCACCACTTCCATCAGTATTACTTGGCAGCGCCCCATGATCGAAGATGTCGAAGTCTGCGCCGAAGGATGTGCTGTGTAAACTCCTCCTCTTCGCAACGGGGCTTCCAAGGCTGGCATCAAGATTCATGATACCGTCGCTCCGCTTGAGTGGACTAGATTTGGCCGTGGTCGTACTAACTTCCAACTTCGACCGCGCGAAGTCGAACTTCATCGGCACATCGCTGGCTTCGCCACGTGGGCTTCGCGGATCCACCTTGGTCTTAAAACTTCCGGTGGAATTTTCACCATCGGCACCATCGTTTTCCTCTCCGGAGGTACGGCGTGACAGTGGAGGCGTGGCGTTGCCCTGGCTTGCGGAATCGCTGAGAGCGCGGCGCATAGGGTCCCTTGAGGTCGCTCGCGTCCTTGGCGATGACCGAAACGGCGCAGGTCGCCGGAGTACGAACTTGCCCGTCTTCTTGGTCGTCACTGGAGGCGGCGCGTCTGGTGGTGAGAACGAGTTAGCCGATGTTGTGACCTGGTCCTTTGCTGACCTCGGACTGAATGCCCGTGAAAGAGCGAGTGGTGAAAGTGGCGAGTTCGGGGATTTTGGCGACTTGGCTGAGTAGAGCTGGAAACGCGATGGTTTTGACGGCGAGCGCGACAGTGACCGGCGAAGTTGTTTGATGGACGGGAACCCGTCAACGCGGTAGCTGTGCCCTTGGGTGGGGGAGGGTAAGTGCAGCGTGCCGCCCGCCTCACCGTGTGGGGAATACGAAAAGTCCATGCGCGCAGGTGAAGTGAGAACGCTTGATGGTGTAAGGTTCGAGGTCTGGTTCAGGGTCTGGTTCTGTATAAGGTTGACGGTTGACAGCTGCGCAACCGCGGGCCGCAGACGAGGGGTTGGAGCGCGGTGACGTGGGCAGATGTGACTCGCGATGGATACTTTGGATCGGCCTGAAGTCAATCGATAACGATAGCGCGAAGGGCGACGCGGGTCGATGTGTGGTGCTTGCAGTAGGAATGTGGCTATCCGGACGGCTTCGTGAATGTTGTCCTCGACTCCTCCACCTCACTCACGACCTAGCGCAACGCTACCTGGGTAGCCTTCGGGCTCAACAACAACGAGCAGTGGCCGACGATGCTTTTTCGAGCTCCATGCAGCGCTGCCGACTGCTTCCGTTGGCGGAGGGGATGTCGTGAAGGCGCCCGAGAGTTTCGCGATGTGGCGTTAGCGTCGCGAGGTGTGTGAAGTTTGCCTTAGCTTTGCCAGTTGGAATGGTAAACAGTGGCGTGACGCGTCGGTAGCGAGGACGGCGCACAAAGTTTGTCGACTGCAGAGGCTCGCTACTGTCTGCGGGGGACTCTGTGCAATGCGCTGGCGGGGTGCGGTTCGTGGGAAAGAATGTCGACTCGCTCGCTGGCCGGTCGCGATTTGTCGGATGCAGGTTGATTGAGGTGAGGTCCGCTGATGCCGTGCGTGAGCGGGAGTGGAGATCGCGTGTCTGGGCTGCGCTAGTCTCGACTCAGGAGGCAAGTGAGGCTGGACGAGCTGGACTGGGACGGCGACTATCAAAACAACGCCTTGCCCACGCCCAATAGAAGCAATTGCTGTACGCTGCTGGCCCTGGTGGTGTTCTGCGGAGAATTAACCCAACGCTCTGGAAGATCGGGGTCCAGAGTGTTGCAGAAAAAGCTGTTCTAGGCTGCACCGCCCCCCCCTCAACTGTTGTTTGTTTACTTTCTGTTCTTAGCCCAGTCTATCTCAGGCATCTTCACTTCAGCCATCTCCAGGGCTTGCACAACAGAACAAGTCCCTACCATCACTATTTGCTAGTTCTTTGAATACCCACACTTCCAAACAGCATGGTTGCAGGATTGATACCTCATACACGCTGAGGGTGAGATTTCGTCCATATTGCAGAAATGTAGCCCGTGCACCCATTGTCTTGAAACGACTGACTACTACTCTACAGTAATTCCCAGCCAGTATATATAGAACTCATACCCCCGAATAACATGCTGAGAGCCAGCCTCGGAGCCCTCGAACAGCTGAGCAGCTGAGCCCTAATGCCCTGTACAGCTGAGCCAGCCCATCGAGCTGAATTGTCACCACCTGTCAGCCTTAAGCACCATCATCCAACACTAGACTCCTGTTCCTGTGCCCACATGAATTCTCCGTCCACTTACCAGCGCCTGAGTAATTATGGTCCTCCCACAACCGGTATGGGAAGTTTATACGGCGGCGGCACTTTACAAGGCGGATGCCACTCGCCTCCGTACGGGTCCTCACAAGTATCTGGAACCGGATGAGCCCTATAAAGGACACCATGTGCGCTAGCTGTGAGGAAGCGTCTAAGACGGGCTAGCACTAACCAGCTTAACGGCAGGAGAAGGAGACCGAAAAGGGCAATGATGCTAGAGAAGTGCATTGTAAAGTTGGTCCGAGATGGGGCAGCGTCCCGAAATAGAGGACCAGATCTTTGCCGTGGGCCTTGATGCTGACTTGGTTGTGTACACCCATAGCCCAAGACTATGCTTAGCTGGAGCGAGCTGACCTCTCATCATGGCCCGCCGCATAATCCACTCCGTGCGGGGGATGGGTAAGAAGAAGCAGTGATAGAACCCGTTTGGAGTCCTGCTGGTGTGCACATGGCCAAGCCACAGCCGTTCAGATCGGTAGTAGTATCTTTTCTTCATAATCTCACGCCCCAGATCGAGAACTGAGACGATTGTAACCATGTGCTATTCATAGCGCTCGAGCGTTTTCTCAGCCGCGTTTGAATCGACGGCACGGCAGAGTAGACCCTACCGTGCCAATGAACCATCATACATGAGGACAGGTCCGGAACGTGGGCATGCGGCTTCGTATGAAGGAGGTGCAGCCCATACCTGCTTTGAATCAATTATTCTTAGACCGGTATGTGGCCTGCTACGACACCAGCTTGCCTTGTACTGTACACGGCCAAAGTCGGGATAGAGCACAATGATGATGCGTGGGCACTGCAATAATCCTAGAAGGAGCATCGTCGGATAAACCTTGATCGTAAGTCTCGGAAAGTAACGAGCAATATTATCTCTCTTCCACGTCTGCGCTCATGCGAAAGCACAGCATGGCTTCGACACTGGATCAGCTACATCTATTACTTGTCCTAGGGAAGAGAGCGTATAAAAATGCATTTCATATTGCGATTGCGGACAAGAATGGCAGTTACTCAGACTGAAACTTACCAGTCACACTGCTAGCAGGATGCAGACTATGAGCTACACGGCGACGACAGCTGACACGAGCGATATACGGACGCGATGAGCGACGGAGAGATAGCTAGAACGAAGGACGAGTTGGTTGGAGGGAAGCCACTCACTCCCGGCTCATCGCCGCCGAATCTTCTAAAAGCTATGCCAACCCAAACACGCCCAAACCGGGTGAGGCTTCTGTGTGTACAATTCTTTGGATTATACCGTCCGAGCGGCTGGAGCGGCTCTTCCGCTTCCAGACAGTCGCTACAGCGGTCACAGTAACAGAGAGTCAACCTACTCGCCACTAATGTCGATCCACAAACCTAAATCCTGACGCCGGCGCTATGCCCTTTCACAAACCTGCAGGCCTCCGCTGCCGACAAACCTGCCTCACATCCTTCCGGCCCCAATCTTCTCCTGCCGTTCTGCGGACTATTTCTCACGAAGCGGCACCGCCCTGCTTCTTCTCCCACTCTTCAGGCGTATGACACTTTGGCGTCCAAGCATGTATGGCCGCAATCTCGTCCTTAAGGGTCGTATTTACAAGGCGATGCCGCGCGAGGGTGGTCTTCTTTGCGAATTGGGGGGAGACGATTATAGCTTCGAACATTTGGCCGCAGCCGCCTAGCCCGGGATCAGCGACGTTGGGACTCCTCCTGTTCTCCGGTAGAGTGGACCTCAATTACCTGACATGTCCTCTATCTGCACATGTGTTGCTCCAAGCTTCTCCACAAGCGTCGATTTGAGGGTCTCGGGCGTGATGCCTGTGGACGCCTGTGTGCGCGTGGCCTCGACATCCGTGCGAGCGCTCATCTTGATCGAATGCCGAACGCTCGTGATTTCAATGCCCAATACTTTTTGGCGTGTGGTGTTGATAAATTTCTGGATGATGTCAGTCAGCAGGATAAGATAAGATGGTGGGATGGAGATTTAGCCATGCCAGCTCGGGCTTAGACTGAGATGTTTCCAAGCTTCGCTCAAGCAAGCTTCAGGTCAAGCTTGTGGTTGTTGTCAATGCTGTCTGAGAGAAGTCCTAGCTGATGTTCTTTGCGACACTGCGCCGCTCCCTCAAGATGAGCTCCACCGTGTCCACCGCGCCCTTCTCCAAGGCCGTGGTGAGCGCTATGAGGAAGCTGTATGTATCCAACACAACTATAATTAATTGGCACAACTAACACTCCAACAGCTATCCAGAGGCCCTCGCAGACCAAAGCTGGGATAACACCGGCCGTAAGCACTCAATCCACTCAAACCACGCGCTCAGCTCTGACTCCCTATACAGTCCTCCTCGAAGCCCCCTTCGACCCTCTGCGCCGACAGATGAACTCCGTCCTCCTAACCGTCGACCTGACCAAAGCAGTCGTGGACGAAGCAATCGAGCGCAACGACTCAGTCATCGTGTCCTACCGTAGTTCCTCCACCAGCGCGTCCTCTGCCACTCCCGCGCCGCGGCCTAACATTGCTCAAGCATAGATCCAATTATCTTCAGAGGCCTCAAGTCGCTCACGCTGGGAGACAGCCAGCAGCAGTCACTGCTCAGGTTGGCTGCCGAGGGTATAAGCGTAGGAGAAAACTCGACCCCAAGTGTGGGAGTGCTGCGTCGAGAGCTGACACTTCGCCAAGGTCTACAGCCCGCATACCGCGATCGATGCTGCGCCGGGCGGCTTGGGCGACTGGCTCGCGGACATCGTGTCTGGCACGCCGACGGAGGTGCCCGAAGAAGCGCCTGAAGAAAACGACGAAGATGCAGACGAAGACTCCCCATCCAACGCACCACCGACTCCTGCCCTGAACGGCGAAGACCCCTTCGTCGCGCCCAAGCGGCCGGTATACATGCTGCAGCACCACCCCTCGCACCACGGCGTCAAGGAGGAAGCCCTGAAACTGTACGTCGCTCCCCAATACACACAACCCTTTTCGGGACAATGACATGCAGTGGCTAACGAATCCTACAGCGCCTCAACAAAGCACACCCGCCAAGCCATCAAGCCCGTGACCGTCGATGGCATCTCCAACGCAGGCATGGGCCGCATCGTGCGCTTCTCCACCCCGGTCCCGCTCGTCGAGATAATCGAGCGCATCGGCCAGGGCCTCGGGAAACCAAAGGGCTTCCCCATCGCCGTGCCCCAGGGCGCCAACGTCGTCGACATCTCGATCCGCTCCGTCGCCATCTGCGCCGGCAGCGGCGGCTCCTTATTCGCGGGCCTGCACGACGTCGATCTGCTGTTCACGGGCGAGCTGTCGCATCATGAGGCGCTGGCGGCGATTGAGCGCGGGCAGTGCGTCATTACGCTGTTTCATAGCAATACCGAGAGGGGATTTTTGCATAGCGTGCTCAAGAGTCAGTTGCTGGAACAGGTGAAGGTTGAGTGGGAGAAGGTGAGGAAGGCGGAGGCGAAGAAGATTAAGGGGATCGGTGGGGTGGAGGAGGAGGAGTGGAAGGAGGCGCTCGAGGATGATTTTGTGAGTGTCGAGGTTAGTGAGGTGGATAGGGATCCTTATGGAATTCTGATCAACAAGGACGAAGTGTGAGTGTCTGAAGAGTGTGAAGACGGGGAGTGGGACGGAGCGATTGATGTTGCTTTGATGCGTCGCTTTTAGAGCTACAATACCCTTCTTGCACAGGTTTGCCTACTGGCCGATTAGAGTATAATATCCATTGTGGTCGCGTCGCTGAACCAGCAGTTCGCAATCTATTACGTGGCAGAACGTGTGCTATTGAAGATCCAAAACTCATGCAACGTCCGACATTCCTAACTCATACCGCATTCACGGCGCTACCTCAACGCCTGTACTTTGATTATGCAGACCGCAGGAGACAGCCAGCCCTCAAACCAACTAACCCCTAAGCGGCCACCCTCGTAGTTCTGGACGTCCCTCCATACCTACCTCCACCAGTACTCCTGATCGCCCCAGGCCTAGCGAGCGTATACTTTGCAAACGCCCTGGCGAGCGCCTTCTTGCAGCTGACCTTCTGGGAGCCGACGAAGCTATCAACCGCAACAGCGATGGCGCGGTCGATGTCCTGCGCGCTGCAGTACTCGGACAGCCGCATCTTAGAGAAAGCCTCGGAGGTCCGCATGATGGCTTCCAAGTGGCGGACCTGGTAAAGGTGTCAGCAGACGTCGATCAGGTTGCCAAAAAAGCAGCACCACTCACAGTGATAGGATACGCCCCCGTGGCTAGCGACTCCCTTCGCATATCCGCAAACAGCCTCGCCACCTTATCCTGATCGATCTGATACAGCTTCGGCCTGCACTTCTCGCGCGCATAGAGGATATACTTCCGCAGCAGCTCCTGCGGGATCTCGCCCTCCTGCTTCTGCTGCTGCTGGCTCTCCCCATCAACCTCCATGCTGCCCTCCCCATTCGCCGCTGCACGAGAGCCCGGTCGCTGGCCCGCCGCCGCATTCGAAACCGGATGCGCCCTCCCATGCGAATTTACGACAAACTTCGCCAGCCGCTCGTCCTCGGCAGGGTCAACCGTATCCCTAACCACACACAGGATGTCGAAGCGCGACAAGATCGGCTCCGTGAGCTCGACGTTCTGGCTAAACGGCACGGTGCTATTATACCTCCCGCCGATCGGATTGGCCGCCGCCACAATCGCGCATCTAGCCTGCAGCGTCGTGACGATGCCGGCCTTGGAGATCGAGATGGTCTGCTGCTCCATGGCCTCGTGGATGCTGGTCCTGTCCTGGTCGTTCATCTTGTCGAACTCGTCGATCAGGCAGACGCCCTTGTCTGCGAGCACCAGCGCGCCGCCTTCGAGCGTCCACTCGCTTGTTAGGGGATCACGGCGCACGCTGGCAGTTAGACCGACGGCGCTGGCGCCCTGGCCGGTTGCGAAGACGGCGCGGTGAGCGGTCTTCTCGATGTATTTGAGGACTTGCGATTTTGCGGTTCCGGGGTCCCCGAGGAGGAGGATGTTGATGTCGCCGCGTATGGCATGCTTGCCTTGGGCTTCTTTGCTGACGCCGCCGAAGAGGCTGAGCGCCACGGCGGTCTTGATGTCCGTGTGGCCGTAGATGCTGGGCGCGATGCTGTTGATAATTTTGTCGACGATGCGGGGGTCTTTGGACAGCGCGCGGATGTCGCGCTCGTCTTGCTCCGTGAGGCGGAAGCCCGCGAGCTGGTCGTGCGATTTTACCACGTAGTTTGCTTCGAGGATGGTTGCGAAGACGGGAAACCCGTTTTTGTTGTTCAGCTGCGCGTCGTAGTTGTTGCGGTATACGCCTGTCACTTCGACTTCTTCGCCTGGCTTCGCGGAGTCAATGAGGTCCCAGAGGAGGATCACTTCCCGGTGACGGGGGAGGCGGCCGGCGGGCACGGTGCCGGGCGCTTCTTGCAGCGTGAGCTTTTGGTAGTTGCGGTAAACGGTCCGCTCAGAGTTGAGGGTGAAGGGGCCCCGCTTTTGGCAGTTTTGGCAGAAGGAGACTTTAACTTCGACGTTGGATTCTTGCGGGAAGGGGCCTAGGACCGCGCCGCATTTGGTGCAGTTGACCATGACGTACTTCAGCTGGGGGAAGACACCGCTGCGGCGCGTTACCACGCCGCTGACACGGACGAGACAGTTTAGGTGGCTTTGACGCAGCTGGCGGAGAGTATACTGGACCGGGAGATCTGTGATACGGACGTGGATCTCGGAGTGAATGCGTTCATAGTCGGGATAGTGGAGCAGTGTAACGTCCATAGCGACCTCATCGAAAATCTTGAGTATCTCTGACGGGGCGTTTGCAAGAAAGTACGCCAGTGTAGCCTTGGACTCCGCGAGATGATCAAAGGAGACCTCTAGGGACTCCGCATTGACCTCACCCAGGGTTCGCACGCGTGTACCGTAAACTGAGACTCCGTGCTCGTCGGTGTATTCTGTGAGGAAAGATTTGAACTCCCGAGCAATCGTCTTGCGTACAGCCGGCTGAGCGACCCAGTCTGTGAGACTGGCCGCTTTGACGTCTTGCAATGCCTCTAGCGTGAGCTCTTCGTCCATGATGTTCGCATCGAGATCCATATCGTCCTCATCTTCGTCATAACGATGCCTCCGACGTCTCGGCTGTCTGGTGAGATCGACCATGTCGTCGTCTTCGTCCGGCATAAACGCGTTCGGCAGGTTGCGCGCTCGGGCGACCTCTCTATCGCGGCGGTTCAAGCGCGCTTCGAGCTGCCGTCTCGTGGCGATGTCCAGCTCCTCGTGGTCGCCCTCGTCGTCAAGCATTGCGCCTCGGTAGAAGTTGTTCTCGCGATCCCTTTCGTCGCGTTCAAAGTTGCCGCCAAAGAGGTCAATGCCGGCTTCGTCTTCGGCCATTTCGTCGGCGTCGTCAATGTCGCCCATGAGCTCGTCGTCGGCGTCAAGAATGTCTTCCACCTCGTCGGCCTCGTCATCGTCATCGTTTTGAGGCAGGAGGGGCGGAGAAGACGCGGGTGCTGTTACTGGTCAACTAATCTGTTTGCTGAGACTCGAGGTGAGTTACTTACGGCTCGAGGGGGGCATTGCCGAAGAAGTAGGCACATCATCATCTGGTTCGCGTGATCGCTTGCGTCTGTTGACGTTCGCTGCACCTCTATTTACGGACGACATGCTGGGTCGTAGTGGTGAGCTGGTAGTTGTGAGCGCGAGTTGGCACGATGTTGTTTATTGAGGGATGTTGTCGGCGAGACAGCCGCTGCGATCAAGGATTGGGGGTGACCTACCTCATTGCTCTTCAGCAGCTGTATTGGAGTTCTTGAGATGGTTCAAGTAGTATGATAGTAGAGTTTGATAGCGTGTCGAAGAGAGTAGAATGAGGAACAGGCCAATATCGGTGGACGTTGGACAGGAGACGAGGCAGCGGGGGGGATTGGCAGAACGCGCGAAGACGAGGACGCGACGCGATTCAATTTCATCCCAATCCGGACTAGCGCTTTGGTACTCCACAGGACGCATCGCGCTCCGTCTCAGCACTCGACATCTGCGAATTCCCTACTCTTCTATTGTATCTTCTGTCCTCTTCACTCTGTACTCCTCAAGCCATGGCTGACGCTGTTTCCCACCCCTTCGCGAATGGCAGCGCTGCGGCGCATCATGCAGCCTCCAGATCCAACAGCATCTCTCAAGCATCCGAGGACTCGCAGACAGCGCAAGAGTAAGAGCTGCTCGAGTCCAAGTCGCATCCCAGGCGCGTTAAGATATCTAATGATACCTATCTCACAGCTTCATAAACAGCCAGCTCCAGCTTGAGGCCGACGCGCGCGAAGCACTTCCATACGTACGCTCGTCCGTCTGTACCTCCAACTGCCACAACCAGCGCTGACGGCTTCCAGCAATTCGACACCTGCACGCGGCCTCTTGGCCCCCTCCGACAGCTTCTGTTCTCCTGTCTCACTTGTAACCCCCCGCCCGCCTCGCCTTCCGATCCCTATACACCTGCGGGCGTGTGCTACTCCTGCTCCATCTCCTGCCACGGCGAGCACACTCTCGTCGAGCTCTTCACCAAGCGCAACTTTGTCTGCGACTGCGGCACCACGCGACTTCCCGCGACCTCACCATGTACATTGCGTGTCAGCGAACAGACGGGTCTCAAGGGCCATGCGCACTCCGAGGAGCCGGCTGAGGGGAACAAGTACAATCACAACTTTCGAAACAGGTTCTGCGGCTGTGGAGAGGAGTATGACGCGCATCAAGAGAGAGGCACGATGTTCCAATGTTTGGGTCTGGGTTCCGTTGAGGACGGCGGGTGCGGCGAGGACTGGTGGCATCCTGAGTGTATTGTCGGTCTGCCTAGGAACTGGTACAAGAAGGGGCAGAAGAATCGCCCGCTACAATCGCCAAAAGAAACTGCGACAGTGGCTCTAAACGGTCATACTGATGTGTATGGCCCCACAAGCAGCTTGACGGAAGAAGAGTCTGCACCGATGTTGAGTGCCACTGAAGCGGAACCGACACAAGACACACTCACGGAAAACCCAGATGTGGAAATCACCGAAGCTGTGGAAGACGATGAGCCTCCGTTGCCGCCAGGCTTCCCTGAGGAAGACGACTTCGACGCTTTCATTTGCTACAAATGCACGGAAGCGTTCCCATGGATCAAGCGATACGCGGGCACAGATGGCTTCCTGCCTCCCGTCTTCTACAAGCCCACGACTGACGCACACACCGATGCCGAGCCCGAGACGAAGCCGTTGGAGCAGGCGGAGAGTGCTGGCAATCTACCTGCACTCGACGTAGCAGTTACAGAACCCCCCTCTAAGAAGCGCAAGGCCGACGAAGACCCGTTCGAAAGCGACGCCACAGTAGCACCGCTCAAGCGACAGAAGAGCTCGGACGAGGAAGCCCTACCCTCCGAAGCCGCAAACAGCGCCTCCAACAGCCTCCAACCCACACACCCCGACGCCCTACCAACCCGCCACTCGACCCTCCCTCCCGCCCCCCAGGGCCCCCTCTCCCTCTTCCTCCAACTCACCTTCCGCTCCTTCCTCTGCCACTGCGCCTCCTGCTTCCCCCTCCTAACGCCGCACCCGCAGCTCCTGGAAGAAGAAGTCCCCTACGAGCCCGCTCTCTCCAGCTCCGGCTCTCCCACCGCCGCAGGCGGCAGTGTAGGCACAGCCTCGCTCCTCGACCGCGGCGAAGCAGCCCTCAGCAACGTCGACCGCGTGCGCGCCATCGAGGGTGTCATGGTCTACAACCATCTCAGAGACAAGGTGAAGGCGTTTCTGCAGCCGTTTGCGGAGAGCGGGCGCGCCGTCGGGGCGGAGGATATCAAGAGTTACTTTGAGGGGCTGAGGGGGGATGCCGAGGGGATTAGGGCGGCGGCTGGGGGGGCGAGTGCGGGGGGGAGTGGGGAGGGTGAAGGTGGTGATGGGAGGAGGGAGGAGAGGGGGTATTAGGGGCGATCTGGCGGTGTTCCAGGGAGAGTGCGGCGGGGCTGGGTTGGGAAGCGGAGTTTGAGGCGTTCAGATATGGTAGCATAGGGCTGTACTGAACATTTTCAGTGATAACAGCTCAATTTTGCGCGGGCCAACCGGTTCCGGCAAGACGACGCTTTGACTTGAACAGGGAAAGCCCCTTCTATTGGGCTTCGGTTTTGCTTTGCCGTGTCGAAGCGTATGGATGAAAATGGTTCACGAGCGATGGGGTGTGTATAGGGGTTTCTAGCTGTCAGACAGCCCCAGCGGGCTTGACTCCAGCATCTTGCCAATCGTCGCTAGGCTGTTTGCAGTGAACCTGGTGCATTGTATAGGGAAACAGTCGCGGCAGTAGATAGACAATCGAAGCTCTCAAGCACCAATACCGACGCAGGAACACGCTGTATCTGGACGCCGGTTCCCTTGTCTCCCCCGGTGGGCCCTGGCAATCGCTAAGTCAATTGTGCTCTGCATCACAGTCGCACGTACCTGAGGCCCCGTTTGCAGTGAGCGGACGGATGACGGATGAGGGCCAGGACCAGCGGAACTGTTCCAACAACTGAACGGGATCGAGTTCTGTGCTTCATGTGACTGAGTGAGTGCCACTGGATAGTCAAGCTAGCTGTTAAAGGTATCCATGATGAAGTTCTAGTTTAGGTGAAGCATGCGTGCAGAGAAGAAGGCTTTGCCTTTCCAGTCGGCGGTTGCGGACACAACTTCCAGGGACCAGATGGGCTATCGTAGCACTATCGGAGATCGCTCCATCGGCGACGGCAGTAGGGCTGCACATGTGGCACTTCCGGTGCTTGATCGAGATGGTGACCTCGAAGGTAGACCCGGCTACCAGGTCGGAGATGGTAAGGCAGAGGGAAAAGTCAGATGATGGGCGGCGCTAATAGGTCTTCGAGGTATCTCAAAAACGGGAGATTCGAATTTCCCATTTGGTGCGACAGCTCCGCAGGGCGAACGGCTCCGACGTTGGACCACGGAAGGGTAAGCACATGAAGGAGTACAGCGTCGGCAAACTCATCCGATGCGTGCTCAACGTCATTGCGATGCTGTGATACCTGTCAATCGATGCACAGTTGTTGAGCGAACGTCTGAAATACCGCTTAAGGTAAGGATGTCGGCTTTAATGATATGTACAAGATAACTGGGGATATAATCGATAGAAGATGAGGAAGCCAAAACGATGAGGTGCCCCAAAGTCCACTTGCATAATCAGCAGGAGCTCGAAGCGGTTCAAGGGGAGTCACCGCAGTCGAGGACTTTGAGCCCACTGTACTGGTAACAAATCCCTTCAAATACAGGTTAAATCCAAAGGATCAATTTGCTGCTCCTCGGCACAAGGAGATTCAACGACGCAGACGGAGAGTTGACAATCACGAGTGGTAAATCATGCCACTAACAACCTGCCGCCGAGAACCAAGAGAGCACAACTGCAGCATCGTCGTACCAGCGAATCAGGATGACAGTTGCTTGCCGTCGGCCGTGAGACTACACCTAGCAAGGCAGTCCCGTGGGCCCCAAATGGCGCCCGTGCCGACCGGAGCCATGCGAGCAAAGGTGTCATTGAGGTCGATGTCCGGGTAGCCGAAGATTGCCTCGAGGTTCTCCATAGGGATCTGGAAGAGACTGTGGAGATGGTTCTGCGTGCCGGCGTCCTCGGCGTTCATAGTAGAAACGAGCTGGGCGTTGTCACATCCTGCACCATGATCTATTAGTCATTGATCCCCCTTCGTAAGATTTAGAGGCCAGTTTAGTATATGAGTTTCTGCTTGCAAATTGGCGTAGTTGTGACTGATTCGGTGAGGGTGCTATGTAGAGAAAACCAGAATGACAACTTAGTTGGTACGGACAGCGAGCTCACACAACGAAATCGAAACGTGAGCGGAACACGCGGCTACGACTCAAACGCACAGGCCCAGGATGGACTACGATAATGCGAGGAAGGAGATCTAAAGCAAAGAGACTTACCGAGATTCTGCATCGAATGGAGGGAGCCGCGCGGGAAGATAGTCATCTGGCCGGGGGTGAGCTCCGCTGTGACGAGCGGCGCGCCGTTCTCTTGCAACATAAAGGTCCTTGTGTGTCCATGAGCGGCGAAGACGAAATTGTCGGCCCGCGGATGATGATGAGCGTGAAGCATAGAGCATGGACCAAGGTTGAGAATCGCCATGCTCATGCCGTAGCCAGTGACGGCAGGAAAGGTGGCAGCGTTTGCGTTGATGACACCTCCAGGCGCGAAGCTGTAATGCTCGTGCTTCGTGAAGTCGTATGTCCAGTCCTTTTGCTTGAGAAGTTGATTGACATCGTTCACAGTAGCAGCGGACCGCAGGTCGGCGACGAGCTTGGGATTGGCTGTCTTGTCAACAGCATAGCTCCTCGGTATGAAGAGAGAGACCACAAGCAAGCCAATTATCGACTTGGCATGAAGGAACATATTGATGGAGCCTATAGTGACAGCGATGTGTAGGAGGTAGATATATGGCGTTTCTGTGAAGGAATTCGGTGCAAGGGAGTGTTATAGTCAATCGACGTAACTGCTCTGAAGGTATCTTAAGAAGAATGGATGCTGGAGTCAACGTAGTTTGAAGAGCGAAAGAGAATGTGAGGAATGCTGTCCCCTTTTATCACTGAGCCGGCAATACTGTTACGGCACGTGCTGGAGGCTGGATAACCTGCTGTTACAGCCAAAATCGGGCTAAGTGAAAGGATGATGACACCAGGGCCCGCTTAGCTCCACGCTTCACCTTCAGCGAGATCAGGTTTGTGCACTCGGGAGCCACAAAATGATAATGATGATGCAGTCTATGAAATACAGTTTGCTGTTCCCTTTGGACTGCTTTCTGAATAGAGTCCGGAAAACGCAATTAACTCAGGAGATATGATCGTACTACCAAAATCTTACTCGGGCGCTGATCGGGTCCCTTGAGAGCTCGTGCAACTACCCGCGAGCCAGGGATTGGGTCCACAATGGGGACCATCAACCACGCGCGGCTGTGGAAAAAGAGTGGACGGTAGACCCTTGTTGCGTTGAATCTTACGGGAGCACCAAACGGATCTTTTGAGCGAGCTCTCCTGGAGAATGATGGCCGCCAGTGTTGGAGGGATGCTATTGGTGACCGAGACCTTCTTCTAGTCCTCAATCTTCCGAGGTCTATCGAATAGTATCCACTGTGAGTAAGAGTGAATGCAAACGCGCGAGCGTCCTATCTACGAGCATAACCATGTAGCAACGGTCGCAGCGTGGGTATCGATCAATCAAAAGAGCGAGAGTCGAGACTGCCGCGTCTCGACTCTTGAGCCTGAAAATTTGGCCAACCGTGTGCCGACAGTTGGAGCGTCTGCTTTCACAACCAGGAGCTGCAAGTTTGCCTGCGCTTATGCCCGGGGAGCTGCATGTTAGAGTTTCTGAGGGGTGCCTGGAAATACGGGGAGCTTGCTCGTAACGGTTCGATTCTCCGCTCACTGGACCAGCAATATCAGCCTCGATCCGTTGATGGTCTCAATCCATGTTGCACAGTCAGTCCGATCCGCCTTACGCCGGGTTGTAGCTCCACTGCGGACCTGGTCAGCGGGTACCCCAAAGAGATAAAATCGCCGAAACTTAGCATCAGGTAGAGCAAAGGCAAGGTAGAGCTGGAGAGATGTGTAGCAGGATCAAGGTTGTTCTGTGCCAGGTTCGGTATAAGTGATGCTACAAGTGAGGAGGCTACAAGTTTAACACCAGAGTGTCCGAGTGTTCGCCGCGGATATGTCGCTGAGAGGGCGTTGTCCGTTACGGTGAGATTAGTCTTGAGCTGTGTGTCTACTGCAAATAGGCGTTTCACCATGGATTTTTCTGCGGGGTTATAGCCGGGGTTATAGCTAAGGTTATGTAGGAAAGCTGTGGACTTTGTCGTGAAGAGCGAGCAAATCACGTGCCGCAATCTTGGGGTTCTTCCATCCAAAGGCGCACCCGTAAACAAATACGGACACCCTTTGGTGGTGAAGGTAAATTGACCAGGTATCTCTTCAAGGTAGGCGTCTTCTTATCTATCACTCAGTTTTGCCAGATCTAGACATATGCTTAATTGGCCACGCACCATATTCATCTATGAGCTGTTCATCTTCGCTGGCAATATCATGTTTATTACTCTGTACGTGCTTTGTAGCTGGCTAGGTAGCTGTCCTGCTGGCGATCGACCCTTCCTTTCTGCAAACATCAGTATCTCGTATGGACGTGAGGTCCAATTCGGCCAAGCAACTCGTGGTCCTACCACACTCTTCCGCTAGTCCCTATATCGTCTCGATTGAATCATAGTTCGCAAAGGATGTCCAAATGCGACGGCGGAGTAGCTCCTCTATCAGCATAGCATATGGACTTAACCAAAGTAGTCCTCAGAGTCTACTCTCCTGTTGTCAGACTGTATTTCCAGAGTAGCATCGTCTCAAAAGTAAAACGCCGGTCTTGGCAATTGTGGAAGTATCTCTACGCTAAGAGCGCCTCAAGAGCACAAGGGAACGGTTGAGGCGTAGCCATAGGGTACGGCACCCTCTGACAGACAGTCCTTTGTGAAGTGTTCCCTGATCTAGATGGCAACGGAGAGTGACACAATGCTTGCCGCATCCGCTACAATACCGCACTATTTCCGCGCATGGAGGGACGTTTTAACATCCAACCAGGAGATCGACACGACATCCTGGATTCGTGCCACCTGTGCGTTTCTTCGCGTGGTCAACAATGCTGAGAGTTGCCAGTTGGAAACTCCAGGGATCGCCGTTGTGGATTCTCCATGGCCACGGAGTGGCAGGTTTGGCTGCTCAGACACGGCCGTTGACGATGAGAATGGACGAGATGTTTGTCGCGAGCGAGGGATGTACTATTGACAACTGGGCTGTGACACTAGCTGCGTTTCATACTCGTTGCGCGGTTTGATAGTAATCGTTAACGGAGGCGGTGCTACCTTGTCCTGCTTCACGACTTTTGGCCCGTTGGCTTCTTTATGGCACAACCACAAGATCTACACTCCCAGTAACCGGGTTTCCGTACAGACTGTCACAGTGAACCTGCCGGTGTACCCCACAAAGACTCACGGCCACCATCCCCAGGCGCATCTGCAGATAACGGCATCACAGACCAATCGCGCCAGCTGTCGGTGTGACACACACGATGCTACGGTAGATGGATACACTTCTTACTAACTAAACAGCTCTTCCCCGAAGTGTTCCCATCTGATTGCAGACTTTCCACTTCGCAGCGCGCCGGTATACTGGCGCGTGATTCAGGATGACGGTCTCTAGCTTCTGCGTGCGTTTCATGAGGTTCCCTTATCGTAGACGGAGATGTAATCTGTAATAACCGTACAATGATACCGGCGCTGGCATGATGGACTACAGATAAAAGTCATCCACAGTTTACTAAATCTAAGAGCTATCTCCGAGCGCAGCTACAACGCATTCCTCATTGCAGTATCAAAACACTCAAGGAATCGAAAGTGTCACATGGCCAGCTACAAGGGGTGAAACGCTTACAACTTGAGCGCGATATTGATTTGAAACTACCCTGAAGCCCTCTGCCGTCTACGTTCACTGCTGCTAAACATATTTCCCCGCTTGCGGCTCAAAACGACATCTTCTACAGAATCGGATAAAAACAAGCTGGAGATTGAGCACCCATCACCTCCTTTCCGAGTCTATTCATACCACCTATGTCAACCTCGAGTCCGCTAAGAGTAGTTCGCAAATCGGACCCAAGAACTCCTCGTCCATACCAACAGCCCTCAGCCGACTGACCCTCAAGCCAAGCGGCAATCCCTCCTCCTTGATGGCTGCCCACATTCGGTCCTTCTTCGCGAAGTTGCATTGATAGTCGTTGATCATGCGATGGACCGGAGCTCTGATATCCAAAACACCCAGCTGGGGATCCTCGCCTAGATCAATCGTGATTTCGTTTTCTGACGATACCGGTGGCAGTTTCACCACCAGGCCCGGACTCGCTGGGAAACTTTCAGTGGCAAGTTCCGGCTGGAGTGAGGAATTGTCGGAGGATGTCACGTGCACGCTCTCTGGTTTCTCGGGCGTGTGCGAGAGAAATTTGACCTTCCAACTTCTCTTCGTTTCGTGTGCGTCTGCTTCCGACTGGGCTGGGCCGATAGTAAGCCGCCCGCTGGCCTGCTCGTACGAGATTGGGGTGCGGCGCTGCTTGTTCTTATCTGGGCTCTGGTGCGCCTCAAGCGAGTCATCACCGATATCCTCGACGATGTCGAACGAGCCGTCTTTGCCGACAACCACAAGAATTTCGAAACTTTCGGGGTTGGGCCCGCCGTTGGGAGCCGTCAGCGCCGCATCGAGCGGGATAATCGAGCCCTCGTGTGCCAAGGCCGGGAATTGATGCAGCGGACGGTAGAGCACGAGCTCTCTGTTGCCGTCGTAGACGGTGCCAGTGAAGATGTCGACGTAACGCTGTCCTGGTGGCAACCAAGCGCTGACTGAAGCCAGCATCGTTGCCGGACTCCTGGGAGACGTGATCGGAGCGACCATCAACTCGGTCCCAAATAAGTACTGGTTTTTGTGCTCATACGCTTCTCCAACTTTCGGATGCTCCCAATACAGCGGTTGAATAATCGGCTCGTCCTCGGTTGCTGACCGTACATTCATCGAGTACAGATAGGGAATCATCCTGTGGCGGAAGCGGAGGAAGTCGCACATGATTACCTCGCACTCCTTCCGGTACAACCACGGCTCCTTGGACGTCCAGTCGCTGTTACCCGAGTGCAGACGCATAATGGGGGAGAACACACCGAACTGCAGCCACCTTGTGAGGAGCTCGTCATCCTTGGATCCGAAGAAATGCCCGCCGATATCATGGCTCCACCAGCCGTAACCGATGTTTGAAGCCGTTGCTGTGAACTCGGGCTGGAAGTCGAGCGAATTCCAGCTTATGACAGAATCTCCAGAGAAGCCGACGGGGTATCGGTGGCTTCCAGGACCACCATACCGAGAGAAGATGATGGGTCGCTTGCCGTCACGCGCGTTGTCCAAGAAATGGAAGTGGTTCAGCAGCCACAGTGGATCAAGGCCTGGTATCCGCGAGAATTCGCCCTGCTGCCAGTCGATCCACCAGAAATCCACTCCATCGTTCTCAAGATCCCGGTGCAGGATGTCGAAGAATGCGTCGAAGAACTTCCTGTTTGTAGGGTCAAATAGGATAGGTTTCTTGTGTGAAGTGTCGTGATCCAACGCCTTCGCCATCTCCTCGTAGATTCTCTCAAACGCATGCACACCATCCGCAGGATGATCGTTCAGCGTAACCTTCAAGTTCCGCTTGTGCATCTCCTCGCAGAATCCCTTGGGGTCTGGAAACAGCCGGTGATCCCACGAATAGCCTGTCCAGCCAGCGCTCGTGACCCTCTCCTCATGGACATAGTGCCAGTCCATGTCCAGCACCGCGACCGAGAACGGAATCTCCGAGCTCTTAAACTTCTCCATAAGCTCGACATACTCATCTGCCTTGTAAGCGTGATACCGACTCCACCAATTCCCCAACGCCCACCTCGGAATCATAGGTTGTGATCCCGAGACCGCATAGAAAATCTTCATCGACTCTTTATAGTCGGTGCCGTACGTGAAAAGATACCCATCGACCCTATCACCAGGTTTCCTGATACCAACCCACCCGTCCTCCTCAAACATCATAGATTTCGAATCATCGATCGCGCTAAAACCATGCCGACTCAGCACCCCTGTCTCCAGCGGAATCCTCCCATCAGCCTCATCCAGCGTCCTGGCCGTCCCGCCCAGGTTGGCGCGGTCGGGGAGCCCGTACCGCCACTGGCTGCCCCACTGCGTGATCTTGCCGTGCACATCTACGAGGAGGCCGCTGGGCGTGAAGCGCTTCTTGTCGTAGGTCAAGTGGAAGCGGCCGGTCACGATTTCAAGCGTGTCGTCGGAATCATACACTTTGAACTCTGGCACGGGAAGTTGCCGGTTTATGGCGAAGGTGGAGGCGCGGTCTTCGAACTGGCCGTCCTCGGCCCATTCATAGCGGATTAGGCCATCTGTGAGAACGGTGAACCGGTAGGTCGAGCCTTTGACGATTGCTTCCGGATTGGCAAGCGGCTTCCTGGGGAAATTGTAGCGGAGGTCGGACATCGTGTTTGACGGACGGGCACAGGTCAAATCACGTCGGAAGATTGCAGCTGGGAGATCTGTGCCTAAATACTTTTCATACACGGCGCCTCATAACGGGCATCGTCACCTCCAGCCCTAGTTCTCCACAATTACTTTCTGTTCCCGACCACAGCTGAGTAAAGGGGAGATCAGCGGAGGTCGACCTTTCATCGCGATGCATTAGCGGTGTGTGTGGTTGGAGGTTTAGCCGGGGGATTTGTGCAGGGATTAAGCATCATAACGTCTGCCCTTTCCAATGGTGTTCCGAGATTGCCATCTTTTGCTGTGATCTCACGGCGGTCAAAAGTCGTGGAACTTTGAGCCGCATATGTCGGTCCGACAGTTCTCGCGTAGTGCCTTATGAGGCTCTCTCGCTCCACCTGCTCCATAGTAACCATGGAAAACACGAGTAATGCTAGAACTGGCTTCAATCGAGAGACTGGCAGTGATGTTCACGTGCCCTGGCGTTGGATAAGCTCTGCTGGATGTACCAGAGCTACATATAAGAATCAAGTTGTGTATACCACCCCAATGCAGAGCCCACACTAGGTCCAACAGGGCATGGTTACTGCGGCGGCAGTTAAGAAGTATCAGATCGTTGCAAGAGTATGAAACACCAGATCCCGTCCCCCAAAACGTGGAGTTGGAAATGCCTCACTGCCCTGCTGTGCCGCTCTTTGTCGGCCAAGGCCCATCCATCTACCAAGCCCTAAATGGACACCGCTCTACATTACCAGAAAGAGCTTCCAAAACGATGTATACCATCCTCAATCCCACACCTCTCACACGCTACCGCTATACCCACCCAACCCCCTCCCCCTCCTCCACCGCTTATACGCCTTCCTCCCTTCATCCGCCCAAAAAACACAACTCGCAACCGCACACAAATAGACCAGATCCAGCGCCCCCAGCGCCTCGGTCTGAAAGATCCTCTGCAGCACAGGCAAATACACCACCGCCATCTGCCCGACCAAACTCCCCGCAACCGCAAAATTAAACATACGGTTCTCAAAGAGCCCGATCTCACCTCGCAATACCGATTTCGCCTCGCTGCGGCACGTCAGCGCGTTGAACATGTCGAACAGCACGAAGCAGGTGAATGTCATGGTTGTGTCGCGGGCAGTCACTTGGCCGTCGATCGACATCTCGCGGATGTAGGTCATGAGCGTGCCGAGCATGATGATTGTTGCGGATTGCAGGACGCGTTGGAGCAGGGGCCGCGTCAAGACGCGCGCGGTTTTGGAGCGGGGCGGGCGCGTCATTACGGCTGGGTCGACGGGCTCGACGCCAAGGGATTGGGCGGGCGGGCCGTCCATTAGGATGTCTGTGGTTTTGTTAGCTGGGGCAGGAGGCGCGGGGTTGGGGTTGAGATTGGGGTCGACGTACTGATCCAGAGGATCTGCATAGCGTTGAGCGGGTTCGGGAAACCGAGGAAGGTGCTGAGGAGGACGAGACTGAGCGCGGCGGCGCTGGTGCTGAGCTGGAAGGTGAGGAAGTTCTGGATGTTGTAGAAGATGCCCTTGCCCTCTTCGATGGCGCTGAGGATGGTTGAGAAGTCGTCGTCCGTTAGTATCATGTCGGCTGCTTCTTTCGCGACGTCCGTGCCGAGCTTGCCCATCGAGATGCCAATGTCGGCTTTCTTGAGGGCAGGCGCGTCATTTACGCCGTCGCCGGTCATGGCGACGACATCGCCGCGGGACTGCAGTGCTCGGACGATCTTGAGCTTGTGTTCGGGGCTTGTGCGAGCAAAGATGGAGGTGGTGGCTATCGCTTGTGAGAGCTGTTCTTCGGACATCCGATCGAGCTCATCGCCGCGCAGCACCGCAGAGCCGATGGCGGAGTTCATGTTGATCGGCATGCCGAGCTTCCTGCCTATCGCAACGGCGGTAGTCTCAGCGTCTCCGGTGATCATGATGACCTTTACACCACCAGCCATCAGCCTGCGAATAGACCGGTCAACACCCTTTCGGGGTGGATCGTTCATGCCAACCAGACCTGCAAAAGCTAGGCCATGATAAGGGTCCTCTTCTTTTGGCGGTAACGTGCCGCTTCGGTCTAGAGGCGTAGATGTACCACTTCTAGAACCGAGCTGGGCACTGAGCTGGGAACCTACGCTACCGTGCTTCCGGGTACTTCCGCTGGCAAATCCTAGCACTCGCAGGCCGTCTTGGGCCATTAAATCTGCCGCCTTGATAGCTTCTTGTCTTCTGTTCTGATCTAGCACGACTTCTCGGCCCTGAGCGGTGATGTAGGTGTCACACCGTTCGAGGACCTTCTCGAGAGCACCTTTGATATAGGCGACGTCGCTGACGCTGCTAGAGTCGGCTGCCGGGTTGCCCTGGACCACGACTCCCATCCACTTGCGCTCCGAGCTGAAAGGAGTCTCATTGCGCCGGCTGCCAATCCGCTCTCGAACATCATCTTCGCCAAAGGAATCGAGCAAGTCGAGCAGAGCGACGTCCGTGGGCTGTCCGACCCATCGACTCTTGAGGTTGGAGGCATCATCGCCCATCGTAGATGATAAGACTGCTGCTGAAGCGGCTGTGGAGGGACTATTTGAATCAGGATGGAGTAGGCGTCCGTTGTTGACAATATTCCCAATCCTCAAGATGGTGCGAGTCGCAGGGTCGAGCGCATATGACCTTTCCTTCTTCGACACATCGATGGGTGCAACTTCGTCGAAATGCCACAACTTGGTAACGGTCATGTGATTCGTGGTCAAAGTGCCTGCGCCAGAGTCAAGGAGCGTTAAAAAGAAATGAGGCGTTTGAGAGCGGTCCCTCACAGAGGGTAAGGGAATAGCATACCTGTCTTGTCACTGCATACAACATTGACTGAGCCAAGCGTTTCGACGCTCGGGAGCCGTCTGACAATGGCATTCCGCTTGGACATCCGAAGCACCCCGAGTGCCAATGTGACGGTAACGATAATCGGTAGACCTTCCGGTATGGCAGCCACTGCTAGTGACACGCCGATCTGGAACAACTCCAGGAATTGCCAGCCTCGCCACATGCCCACTAGCATGATGAAGGCGATGACTGCGAATGACATGTAACTTAACTCTTTCCCTAGGCGATCCATTGATAACTGTAGTGGTGTCCGAGGGCTTTCTATCTCTTGTAGGGAAGTCGAGATTGCTCCAAACTCCGTGTCTGGGCCTGTTCCTATCACAAGGCCTTGACCGTACCCCGACCGCACCAGCGTGCCCATGAAGGCGATGTTGGTCTGGTCATTTAGTCGTATATCTGCGCCAACAGCTCCGGTGGCTGGGGAAGCGTACAAAGGAGATGGAGCATAAGGTGTTGCTATGCCACGAGAGCTGCCAGCGGATCCGATGGCGTCGGGGAACTTCGCGACAGGCTCGTTCTCTCCGGTAAGATTCGACTCATCGATTGTGAGGTCAGCGGCGTGCGTGATGCGGATGTCGGCCGGAATGCGATCGCCTGTGTGGAAGAGTACCAAATCGCCAGGAACAAGCTGCGAGGCTGGTATGGTCTTCGATGCCCGCTCCGCAGCCTCAAGGTCGGCGGCCGTGTCCCCTAGATTCTGCATCTCTATGCCGGGGTCATCTTCTCGATTGGCCCTAGACCGCTTCCTTCGCGACGCCGGCTCACTACTACCGCGTATGACATGCGCCGAATGAGGTACCAGCTGGTTCAATGCCTCGAGCGACTTCTCGGATCGGTACTCTTGGACAAAGCCTACGGTGACCACGATTGTCACCGCTGCCGTAATGCTGATGGCGTCTTCCAGATTGCCCATGAGGAAGGATACCGCCGCCGAACCAAGGAGTAGCAGTATGAGTGTTTCTTTGAACTGCTTGAGGAACCGCAGCCATAGCGGTTCCGGTTCCTCGTGCGGTAGTTCGTTGGGTCCATAGTCGTGTAGCCGCACCGACACTTCTGTCTGAGGCAGGCCGATGGTGAGGGAGGTGGTCAATCGTTCGGCCGTGGCTTCGGGAGATAGGACGGAGAAAGCAGAGGTTATCGACTGCAGAGTCAGGATTGGGTCAGCCTGAGAAGCGTACCAGGGGAGCATTGTTGCCAGGCTGCGGAACTTTTCTCCTTACCGATGCAGCTTTCCGGGTCGCTGCTCTTCTGGAGGATGATCTCGAGCTCGGCGCCGATGGCGCGAGTGGAGTGCTGGGTCGCAGATGCCCATTTGGCGCATTGTAGAGTGGGAGGGCAGGCGTTGATGCTCTGGACATCTTTTAATGGCCATGTGGCTGAAGGAGGTGCGACGGCCAAGTTTGGATAGGGGAATGGCAATCTACTTAGCGCATCGATGCTTCTAAACACAGCTACATGCGGAATGGTCGTAGTTCATGCTTAACAAAGAGCGCTGTGAGATAGTTGCTTTCATCAGAAGCTGACGCTTTCCCCCAGATTCGCAAGCGCACCGGGGCTTTGGGAGGTCGATCATTGGCCGTCCACGCGCATCATCTCGGGGGGTTGGTGGTACAGGAAGTGTATGTGACGACAACTATCTACACAGCTGCGAGCCGAAGGGGATGAGTTTCGTCGCCAGAGATCACCGAACATATACGCACTGTTCTCTGCTAGGAGACTCCAATTAAAATACAAGCTCTCGTACCTAGGCACTAACGTTAGGGGCTTTGAAGAAGGCATGTCTTGGCGGACCCGAAGCTCGCGGAGACTGCTGACGTAACCTGACACCAACCACCCCGACCTCGCCTGCACCTCTCACCTCGCAGCGACATTCTCCAGAACCATACCTGACGGAGTACTGTCGCAACACTGCGCATCGCTCTTAGAGCCGCTGCGCTTTGCTTCCTTTGCGACAGCGATACACCAGAGCTACAATAACCTATCTCATACCATTCATACACGAGCATTGACGCCTTTCGACGACACGCAACGCCCACCGTGGGGTGCTTAGCTCGGTCGCGTCGGACTCACAACAAACGCGCCCACGATCAGCCAGGTAACCGCCTTAGCACCACCACCACGGAAGACATCGCACTCCACTTTACGCCCAAAACTCTACTCTCACGTACCAGGGCTCTCGTCGGCAATGTTCTACTCAGAGACACTCCTCTCAAAGACCGGGCCGCTGGCTCGCGTCTGGCTCGCTGCCAACCTCGAGCGCAAGCTGTCAAAGAGTAACATCCTGCAATCAAGCATCGAGGACAGTGTTGGCGCAATCGTTGATCAGGCCCAGGCGCCAATGGCCCTGCGGTTGAGCGGACAGCTGCTGCTGGGTGTTGTCCGCATTTACAGCAGAAAAGCACGCTACTTACTCGATGATTGCAACGAAGCTTTGATGAAAATCAAGATGGTAGGCTTCTATGCACCCAGCACGCGTTTGCTGTTCCGCTAACGCGCGATTTACTGTAGGCATTCCGCCCAGGCGCCGTGGACCTGCCCACCACCGCATCGCATGCTGTGGACCCAGCTACTCTGGTTATGCCCGATATCCTAACAGAGCTTGATTTGCTCCAGCCACTGCCGGATCCGGCTTTGCTTCTGGCAGGCCTTCCAGAAATTTCTCCAAGCCGACGCGATCCCACTCTTCTGGACTTTGACACTAGCCAGCTTATCTCCGGCAGTATCGAAGAGCCTCGCGCCGCACCGGAAGACCTTCCACAGTGGTTCGATGAAGACCTGCCATTGGATATTGAAGAGGAGATAAGCATAGAAGTCGGGCGAAGAGAAGCCCCTGCAAGGACGTTGGAGGAAGAGTATGGCATAAGTCCAAAGCCACCTGGCGCTGATGAACTCATGCTTGGCATTGAAGAAGAACCTGAAATCTCTGCCCTTCCAGAGGACACCCTTATGGGCGGCATCGAGGAGTTGGGCGCAAGACTGGAAGAGGAGGAAGCGCCGGTCATGGCTGTGCCAGCGGAGCGCCGGGAGCGGGAGACAATTTCCCCGCTATCCACGATTAGGTCAAGTGTGGAGCGCGATCTGGAGGCGACCTACCTGGAGCAAATCGCTGTTGCTGAGGCCGAGGAGGAGGCCGTTCGCCAAGCACAACGGGCTAAGCGACGCAGAGTCCTTCCAGCTGATGCCGATACCGAGATTCACCATAGCCAAATTAGAGATCAGCAGACCAACCGGGACCGCATCCTCAAGCCGGCATCGTTCCTCCCAAGAGACCCGATGCTCTTGGCACTTATGAACATGCAAAGGACCGGAGGCTTCGTCTCAAGCATTCTCGGTGATGGCCGTAGTCAAGGTTGGGCTCCAGAGTTGCGCGGCATCCTCTCGCTCGAGGTTGTGCGGCGGTCAGGCGATCTCAAGCGCAAGCGCGACGAGGGACTTCCGGAGATTGAGGCAGTAGAAGAAGAAGCACGCATAAGCCCCGAGCGCGTCCCGCAACTGGAGGTTGAACCGGAAGAGGTTGAGCTGGGCCCTGCACCAATTGAAGAGCTTGGTTTCCCCCCTCCACCAGAGGAAGAAGAGCTCGAAGCGCGTGCTGTGAGCGAAGAAGCTGCCCTCTCACCGCCACCGTACATCGAAGAATACGAGGCACCTGAGGCGGCAGGTCCAGTCGCGGTGGCCACGAGACATGCTGTACACATGCTGCGAGGGAAATTTGGACCTGAACCTGCAGAAAGTCCTGAAGAACGGGAGCGCCAGAGTATTCTCTTCCAGGAGTTGCTCCCCGAAGCTACTACCACCCGAGCGGATGCGACCAAGATGTTCTTCGAAATCCTGGTCCTGTCTACCAAGGACGCAGTCACGCTAGAGCAGCCCGCTGATATCCTTGGGGGTCCGCTACGCATCAAGGCTAAGAGGGGTCTGTGGGGCGATTGGGCAGAGGCGTCAGCCGGTGGTGAGATTGCTTCGCAAACCCAGCCGACCGGGAGTCCTGTGGCCGTGGCATAAGATCACCATCCGGGCTTCTGTATTTGTTTGGGCTGCTCGGGCTAGGGGAGTTTTCATGGAATCCTGGGGACCTGGCATTTCTGAAGTCATGCGGGAGAACGGGACATGGTACGGCATTCCTTGATTCTGGCACAACTCTTTTTGGAAGGATACCTTTCTTTGGAACGGATTGGATGCCGTTCCCCTTAGCAGCAAACGATTCTCTATTTTCGGTGGAGGGTGGAACTGCCGGGCTCTAGGCTTGGTCTTCGATCAATACCACCGATCTATTATTAAGCGATCTTCCATCATGCATTTCAGGTTCACTCTTCGAGAAATTAATCAGCAACAGCGGAGTCACGTGCCCTTCACCACCGAATGCTACATCAATATATCACCTAGCCGCATCCGCGGGGTAGTCTGCAGTACGTTGAGGTACCTTGCGCCGCTGGATTAGAGAGCTGAATGGTCAACAGTGCGTCTACAGTACTGCGTATTCTTAGCGCTCTGGGCCCATGAGTGCTTGAAGACAATGTTTGCAACACAGAAAGCCACCATGCCAGGTGGTGTACGTTCCGACGAGACAACCACAACCTCATCAGCCTTGACGTGCTCCGATGCGTTCAAAGACGACCCAAAAACTTCCAAGTTTCACATGAGATGGGAAATGCGCTCTCTCAGCGTCCGTCCATAGACGCGTCCGAAGTCCCCCTCTGGACGCGTGCCCATGAGGACAACTTTATCAAGCCTTGCATCCGCGCCATTGAGGATGAGTGATGCAAGCAAAGCTCTCTTCCCTCGCCCACTCCACACACCTTCACCTCGTTCTGGCCTATATTCGCCACAGTCGCCTGCGACTTCGTCAGATTCGGCGGATGAAGCACCTCTCCATACTGCCGCAAATGACTCTCCAACCACTAGACAACCACGAATGATATCATGGTCTGAGACGCTGCTAGGAGAAGGCATCAACCACATGAAACCTATTCTGTGTAGAGCTCTAGAATCAGTCGAGGCCGTCCAGACCTCAGTCAAGCATCATCTGGCGGAGCTTCGAACGGAGATACATCGAAACGCGCGTCGCTCAAACGATACGATCCCTCCTCCGCACAATAACCCGCACACGCAGCTACACTCAGCCTCACCTCGAAGTCGCTCGAACTCGGTACCATTCAACGTTGCACACGAGTCAAATGGAGATGATCCAGCAGTCGCAGCGTCAATACAAGACGGAGAGCACAACCAAACGAAAGAGGAGCGTAAATCTTACCAAGAAGCTACGACTGTCGTGAAACAACGTTTGAGACTGGCTGGTACAGATGAACAATCCCGCAGATGGAGCGAAAAGGGGACGTATCCGGTCGTGTCTGTAGCTGCGGATCTATATGCAGCGTCAACGATAGCGAAGCGCTTCGAGATTAAGTCTGAAGAGCCAGACTGGGAACATCATGAATCAGCCACTACGGTGGATGTCAACATTCTCTCTGAGTCTAGGCCGTGGAAAAGGAGACGATCTACCTCGACATCCTGCGAGAGGACTCTGAAAAGGCGTACTAGCGGTGTCGATGGAGACCGTCCATCCCTAATCTCCCCGCCTATGAAACTTTCCAACACAGTACTTTAACACTTACGGGAGGAGTACCAAGTCTTGAGAGGCATCTGTGATAGATAGAAGCTTCAGATCTCAGCATGTTGATTGACTGGTAGCGTTAGGGAATGATAGTTCGAGGGTAGCTGAGCGGTCTGCTTCCTCAGTAAATATTCTCTTCATTGTACCTAGGCAATACTGCCAAGGTGCCAATCAAAATGCACGACACTCTACATGCGATGTGACGTCTGAATGCCTTGCGGAAACCTCGGGCCGTTGCCTCAGATAACTTTTTTGGTGCGGTGACTCTAAGCCATTGATGCAGGAACTCTCCCGAATTTTTCGTACAAATGCATCCAACACTCTTTCATCTCAGTCGCAAATCTGTCGTGTTCGCCGTCTGGTGCCGCCGTCTCGCGCAGCACCAAACCACCACTCCAGGAGAAGGCCCATGACCTCCCAAGCATCGGGGCTCTCGCCCTCGAACGGCGAAGCACGAGACACGAAAATATTGCCAGTTGACCCTTCACAGCTGGGTCAACTTGTTATAAACGAAGAAACCGACTCCCTGCTTGACGATTGGGACATCGACTGGGCGCCCGACAACCCCTCCATCACGAACCTCAAGCTCGCCGCGCAGCAGCTACGAGACACAGATATACCCGTCGGCTTCCCCACCGAAACAGTCTACGGTCTCGGCGCAGACGCAACGCGCAGTTCTGCCGTCCGCGGCATCTACACCGCGAAGCAACGGCCCTCGGACAACCCGCTCATCGTACACATCGCGTCCCTCACGCAGCTCCGCGCGCTGCTGCGTCCCGCGACGCGCGCCAGCAACGGCACGGATCCCACCAGCAACGGCACAACCCCCACCCCCAACGGAACCACGAACGGCGCAGATACAGACGCCGACCCCATCCCCCCAATCTACCACTCCCTAATCCGCCGCTTCTGGCCCGGCCCTCTGACCCTCATCCTCCCCCTCCCGTCGCCCTCGCCCCTGGCCCCCGAAGTCACCGCCTCCCTCGCCACCTTCGGCGCCCGCATGCCACGCTCCCTCCTCGCGCTCGCCCTCATAAAACTCACCGACCGCCCGCTCGCCGCCCCCTCCGCAAACGCCTCAACGCGCCCGTCCCCGACCGCCGCCGAGCACGTGCTGCACGACCTGCAAGGCAGGATTGAGATCATATTGGATGGCGGGCCGTGCGATGTGGGCGTAGAGAGCACGGTCGTGGACGGGCTTGTAAGTCCGCCGGTTATCTTGCGGCCTGGGGGCGTGAGTGCGGAGGAGTTGAGGGAGTGTCGGGGGTGGGAGGATGTGAAGGTCGCGTATAAGGATAAGGCGGAGGAGGGTAGGGACGGAGATGGTGGACCGAGGGCGCCGGGCATGAAGTATAGGCATTATTCGCCGCGGGCGAGGGTTGTGTTATTTGAGGCGGGGACAATGCCTGGGCAAGGGGAGTTCAGTGATGCGGCTGCGCGGGTTGGGAGTGAAAGGGTTGGGGTGATCAGGACGAGGGTGTGGCCGAGGGCGTGCGGGTTGAATCTCATTTCCGTTGATGGCGTGAGCGAGAGGGACTTGGAAGAGGCGGATGGAATGGGCTTAAGAAGTGGAAAAAAGCTCACGAATTGCTCATCGACGCTGTCAGAGCATGACAAACCGATGAGAAGGGGGCTACAGAATTTACTACAAGCGGCGGCGCAGCATCGCATTCCGACTGCACAGAACGTACTGCTCAGCCTGTCCCCTGAGCGTGGTATTATTGTATCATTTAGCATCTGGGAGGTCAACTTGGGGCCGAAGACGGAGGACATTGCAAGAGGATTGTTTGCAGCGCTTAGAGAACTGGACAAGAAAGATGTGGATATCATCTTCGTCGAAGGCATCGACGACTCTGAAGGCGATGTTGCTGCTGCGGTCATGAATCGGCTGAGGAAGGCGGCGGAGGTCAAGATGCAGAGTGGAATGAAGGATATACCCTATTAGAAGCGAGACTTCGCAGTTCAGCCGATTTTGTTATAGAAGGTCCAAGTAGCACCGCTCATGCATCCGTTCCATGTCCTTGCCGCTGCTACCACCTCATCCTATTACACGTGAAACTGGCCATAGTAGTGCGGACGGCGCCCTAGTTACAGCTTGCTCACTGGCCGGACGAGCGATCTACCTTGCCGATACCATATTAGCCTTGCATCACAGCCGAAGGAATTCAAAACACCGCAAGGGGATACGCACACTGCTCGATCTCCTCCTCGCTCAGATACCTCAGCTTGTTGACGCTCGGCGAGTCACCCGTGACAATTCCCTTTGCAACCTCCACCATCTGGCCAACCTGCGTCCGGTTGTTGATGGCATACTGCGCCGTGACCGCCTTGACCCTGATGACACAGATGCGCGGGTCCTCCGGGCCGCCGTCGTGTTTACCGTCGCCGAGGTCCCCGATCCAGGCCTTGAGGTCCGGCCGGTAATACTTGCGAACTGTCTCGCGGTCGGTGTCGATGGAACTGCGGCCGCTGATGGAGGCCCATTGGCCGCTGGGGTCCAGGAAGGCGAGGTTGACGTCGTTGTCGGAGTCGAGGTCGTCGGTCTTGCCGGACTCGGTGTTGGAGTGGAAGAGGAAGGTCGTGTTGTTATCTTCCTGTGGTTGAGAGAAGGTGTGTGTTAGCATAGGGACGGGGTGGGCTTGAGGACGCGTCTTAGGGGCGGAAGCTAACAACTTGGAGTCGGGCGGTAGGATGTGGCGGGAGAGTGTGCAGTTGTTTACCTTCGCGGCGACACCCATGCACCTGCTGGCGAGAAGCCCGCTGTCGGCTATCCGCGTCGTCATCATGCAGAACTTGTGCTTGTCGACGAAGGTGGCGAGGTCCTCGATCTTCTCCTTCACGGACGTCTCCTCGCGATTCTTCTCCTTGTAAGGGTCTTCTGGCTTTGAGCCGGTGTCCGCGTTGCTGAAAGACATCTTGGAGGTGCTGCTATGGGAGTTGTGTCTTCGTGTGGTTTGTGGATGTGGTGGTGTTGTGACTGCTGCGAGAAGCCTGTAGCGCGGGGTGAGCTTGGGAAGTGACGAGGGCTTTGGCAGGTATTGGAGTGCGTGGCGTCGTAGTAGTGTAGCGGAGTTCATACTGCGTGGATGAATTGGTGATGTTGAGATGGATGGAAGACTTACTATTGAGCCTGGCTTAAGATGTCAATCGGTGTCGTCGTGTTTGTAGCGACCCATGCAACTTCTTATGTTCGATCCAGACCTTGATGACGTCCATCACCCGAAAAATGCCCCTCCCTGTGGGGTAACATTCACGGCAATTGCAATTCACCGTGGGGTGGGCTTTCACAGTCTATTCGTGCGTCATCGGAAGAGCCTCTTCCATTTTGCCGAGGATAGGGTACCTGTTTCTGGTCAAGGCTTGTGAATTGGAGAAGGCATTGAGGGCAGCTTCAACGGCAAACTTTGGGTAGAATGATATATAGTAAGTGAGTACTCTCTAACCACGTGAATGACAAAAACCGCCAGATTCCCAAATCACGACACCGCGTCCACCATTGATATGATGCTCCATTGAATACAGGAGGGTAGCCGATCACAAGACATATGTGAGGAGACACGCTAGGAGCGTTGTGAGCCTATAGCAAGTAGGATTAACGGCTGGTAACTGATGATAACGATCGTGGTGGACATAATGATGGATCTATGGCTTGATGGTTTTAGAGTATGGCGACTTTTGTCACCCTGGTGCCACCGAACTATGATGCTAGCCGGCGGTTGTATCCACATTCCGGCTTACTGGAAGGACGGCCTCTGTGCAGGAAAGCCGTCGTAAGTTCATACACGGTTGAGGTCTCCAGCAACGTTGAAGAGCTGTGACATAACGGTTGAAGGCATTGGCCTTAGAATTTATCAAGCCTAAAGCAAAGAGCGCCCGGCCTAGTATGCACATAAATAAGGAGTATGCGAGGCAGAGCGGCTGAATATTTGAATAAACACGCCAAACCGAAGGCCTAGATCTCAGTCCATCCAACAATCATCGCCAAGCTTTTAGTGATGCTGTCGAGTAACGCTTGAAGAAACAAATGAGGAACCACAGCAGACATGGACGGGATACCAACAGTGTCTATGCCTCTACCGCTTCATCTTCCTTGTCTTCGATGCTTGCCTTCTTCATGTCCTCGGCGACGTCAGCCTCGGCCTCTTTTTCCTGTGTCAACTCAGCAGTCGCAGATGCGTTGCCGTTGACAGATTGATTGGCCGCCGCAGGCTTGGTAGAAGTATCCTTGCTGCCGCTGTCCGATGGTCCGGCCGATGTATCAGATTCTAGACGGTCAATTTCCTTTTGGGCCTTGGCGATGTTCTGCAGACCCAATTAGTATAGAGAGAGGTATAGAAAGACAGAGATTCACCTCTTCTGTCTTCTTCTTCTGGTTCTGCTTCCAGTAGTCCAGCTTCTCCTTTAGCTTCTCGACAACGGGCGGAACGTCGGACTGGTTCATGGGTGGCTCAACACTCAGCTTGGCGAGCTGTTCGATAACGTCGATAGAGAGTTGGAACTTTCCACCTTCGGCCGGGGTGGACGCCGGTGAGGCGGTCTGGTTCTTCCGGCCCTTCTTCCCCTTCTTGCCACCGGTGCCAACGAAGTAGTTTTCCTCCTCCTCGCCTTTGCGTGAAAGCTTAGTGCCCTTGATGCCGCTGTCGTCCACTTCACGTTGAGCTGAGGCGGCGAATTGTCCAGGACCAGCGGCTGCTCTAGCAGGTGCAGATGACGGGTCGAAGTACCGGATAAGACCCTCGGCGGTGATGATCTCGTCATAGTACGCAAGTGCGCTAGCCTCCTCGAGCTTTTGGTCCGCGACCTGTCTCCGCTTACCAGCTTCGAAAGCCTCGCGTTCTGCACGCTGCCTGTCCTTGCGCTGGCGGTACGCCTCTTGCTCGTAGTCTCGGTAAGCCCGCCGCGCCTGGTGATAGGCATCCTTGATCTCCTTGAGTGCCATGTACTTCTTCTGTTGGTCTTCTTGGGCCTTGGTCCGCTCGTCGCGCAGAGTGTTCAGGTTCTTGTAGACCTCGTCCTGTTCCGCCTTGATCTGATCCAGCTCCGTGGTGATGGCGGTATACTTGTCACTCATAGCTCTCGCCTCAGGATCGTCCATCTCCTTGCGGATTTCGGCAATCTTCGCCTTGACATCATCAATGCCTTTCTGCGCCGCCTCAAACCCAGCGAAGCCCTTCTTCTGCTTGTTCAGCGACGAGACCTCGGCTAGGGCTTTCTTCTCGTCCACCAATTTCATGGTGCCCGTATCCACTTGCTTCTGCAGGCGCTGGATCTCGGCCTCGATCTCCTCGACATTCTTGAAGTTGACTTTGCTTCGCGCAGCCTTCTGCTCATTTATCCGAGACTTCAATTGCTCGTCTAGCTTCTTGATCTGTTCTAGCTTGCCGGTCCTAGAGGTCTTGAATCCCTGCTGCTTCTGGCGGATTTCAGCGAGCTCTGCTCGGAGTTCCTGTTGGCGCTTCGACGAAGGGGAATCCTTGTTGTTTGGGCGAGCGAGGTCAAGCTTGGCTTTTATAGCATTCTATCAAAAAACTAAGTCAGTAACGCTCGAAACAGCTGATGGTCGGCCTTGAGCCGTAGCTGTGGTGCCCTGCATAAAGATGCAGCACCCGCGGGTTGTCACATACAAGAGTGTCCTGAGATGCGCCATGCTCCCGCTCTACGCGCGCAAGGTCCTTCTTATATTGCTCCTCATCGGGCTTTTCTGGCTTGACAACCGATGTCTTCGTCTTGGATGCTGTGGGAGTGGTGGAGGAAGTGCTCATGTCTGCTGCAGACGGAGTCGCAAGGTCTGCCATTCTGAGGCGATGGAATTAAGAATCGCGGACTCTATGTAGTTCGCGGTGGAAAGGGAGTAGGGAAATCTGTAGGTCTAGGTGTGGAGAAATAAATTGGACTTTGTTCGTGAGGTTCTCTGAAAGTGATCCAGGGTTTCGATGCAGGGTTGGTTTTTGGTGCGATCTGACTCGGCAGTTTCACGCGAGCCACAGATCGCGCTTCGTCTTCCCGACCACGCCGCCATCACTTCTGAGCCACATGGGTGAAGCCATTGATCTTCCGCCTCACTCCAGAATCCTCATCTGGATAACACGTTGCGTACATGGGCTCCAGCGAATGCCAGTGAATCCAGCATGGACGTCCCAATAGCCGCCAATGTACTTGGAACCACCGGAGCGGTATGGAGCCCCTCCTGCCAGCAAGGTATCGCAATCGTTCTGATAGAAGGGAACAGATATGCTGGTCGGTTCAGGTGAGTTTGCTGGCAGTCGTACTCCCCAGTAGCTTGCCTGGATGGAGCTTATGATGCCCTCTCAGCTCATACCGCAGATCGTCATCAATTATCGGCGGCACAACACCACCGGCCTCCAGCCCTCCATGATGATGCTCTGGGCTTGGGCTGGAGTCCCACTAGGCGTTTACAACATCGTCGAGGACTTCAATGTAGCCTTGCGTATCCAGCCACAGATTCTGACGCTGTTGAGTCTGATCACCTGGATTCAATGCTTCTACTACGAAAAGGTTTGCGTCTCTTGTTTCCCCGTTCGAATACTCCAACACCATCTGCCATGGCGGCGACCTTTAGTACTCCTCGTGGCCATTTCAACACCTTCCTCCAGCTTGCGCTCTGCACTGCAACCCTCTTTTATAACCCGTTGGATATGATTATTACGTTCCTCTCGGATCTCAACGGGCTACCAAGATCCCCGCGAAATCCTTGTTTTCTATGTGACACCGCTTTACGGACATGAGTTCTCAGAACACTCCTAACACCGCGTAGCATTGGTCAGTTCTGCATGCGCTTGCCGTCGTCATACCGGTCGCTTTGGTCATGGGCGGTATCCAAGCCGCACTCATCGTTGCCTTGCGCATAGGCGACTCAAGACATGTACAATGGCCAATCACGTTGATGGCCGTGTTAGCGGCGACACTGCTTGCAGCCGGCGTCCTGCGACATTACTGGGACATCTACGTACACCGTACCGTTCGTGGCATCTCCTTCATCTTTGTAGCAATCGATGCTGCAGGCGATCTGTTCTCCCTAATCTCAGTCTTTTTTCAGCCTAAACTCGACATACTCGGCATGTTCATCTATGGCACGGAACTGATCCTGTGGATCGGAGTATTTGCGTGTGGTGGATACTACAACCTACTTCCTTGGCTCAGGAGACGGCTGGGTAAACTGGAGTCTCAGCACTCGGCTGAAGAAAATGAATATCAGGACAATCCAGGGCGAGGTACCGCTGATACCACTCGAGAAACAAACACCATAGCGTTGCATGACATGCCCTCGTCTACTTCGGTATTCCGAACCCCATCCGGCGAGATAGCAGTTATAAGAGCCAGGACAAGCGACTCAAGAAGAGTAGCCGAGGTCGATGGAGCGAGGGTGATATCGTTCGACGATTGTGGGAGTATTGTAAGAACTGCTAGCATTACGTGAGGTTGATGCCGAGTCGCGAATCGAAAGCGGCTTCAGTGCAGTCAAGATTTGGTAGTGTTGTTCATGTTAGCGATGGTGTTAATCCACGGAGGGAGCTGAGTTACTTGATTAATAGACTGGATGTTGGGACTTGAGTTCGAGCGATTCCAGCGAGTACGGGGCGCTCTTGTGAGACCCAGCAATGAAGTGTGCTAGGGGAAAGCACGGTGAAGGTATGCTTCTAAACTGATCTCATAATGGCAACTCGCCGACTTTCCTGGATCGCTTCAAAGCCGTAGATTTCTATGTGTGACCCGTCACCTCGCCACGACAACGAATGCGTGGCTGTGGTGAAGGCTTGTCGATTAGGGGTGAAGTGCTCTCGGACTGCCGTTCAAGCACTGCCGCGGCAACTCTCACAAGCAGATGCTGTCTTTCTTGTGAATGCTCGTCTAGTGAGGCAGGGCGTATCTCTTCGCTGTCCATGTCGCTCGCGCAACTTTACATCATCCTCCATGTTTTCCCAGTACCCCAGTATCATACGATTCTACATCACCACACTCTCCACAATACGCGGCACACAAAGCACTTTGCAAACTCCGCCAGCCTACAACCACGCCACCAACGCGATCAGAATCAGGATTGAGCGGAGGTGCCCGACAGCTCACAACATGAACGCGCAAGCAAAGTACGTTTGACCCGCATCGCACTCAACAGCCGCTGACGACACGGTGCAGTATACAAGACCGCTCGCCCATGGCTGACTACCATGCGCCGCCGCCATTTCCCTCATCGAATCCCACCTCACCATCGCCGCTGCGAAGAGTGAGCTTGCCACGCCCTCGCACGGAAAGCAGCGCGAGCACCCGCCAGCCGGGTCCGCCCATGAACACGCCAGATGCCCTCTCACTCGCCGGCGATACCCGCTCACTCAACCTTGACGCTGTCAACGCGGATCTCACCGAAGAGCCAGACCTCGCATATGGCGACCCAACACTTGTTCCCGAGAACACTCCGGCGACCAACACGCCAGCTAGCCATTTCCGGTTCTCCATGCCGAACCTTCCCAGCATCGACGAAGCTCTCGAGCTGCTCCCGCCACCGGTATTCTATAGCAGAGCATACTCGGACGCTGGGTCGAGCTCAATCACATCGCCACGCGCCGCTCGCCAACCTCGGGACGATCTCCTTCAACCACGCTCACCATGCACGGAACCTATCGATGAAGGTGAGCAAGGCGTCATATCAGTCGCAATTGGTTCTCCGCGCTTCGTCTCTGCGAGCACGGATGAGTCCGCAGGCTCACACAAGACAGTGCACCCTGGCTGTGTCCAACCGCCCGTCGCTCCCACTCCTGTCGATGGTGGTGTCCCCGAACACAACGACTGGCAGGAAGATATTGAACAGGACGTTGAGCGTGATCTAGCGCGTCTTGCGAACCTTGCGGAGGACGACCACCACCGCGACCCAAGCCAAAACCCCGAGCAGCACTACCGTCGCCGACTGACAGCCCTTCTAAACGGTCCAAGCCGGACATACGTCTTCGGTGACCTCGGTCCGGTCTCGGTCGCTCGTGAAGGCAGTGCTACCCCGGTCCGTTCAGATACAGTGCCTGCATCCAAATTCGAGGAACTGCAGCGGAGGGTTGATGCACTGACGAACCTGGTCGTTCAAATGACGCAGATGCAGGTGGGAGGTGCCGTCAACAGCACGGCAGCCATCAACAGCGTATCTGGAGCATCTGCCGTCGATCACAAGAATACCGATGGAGCTAGGGACTCGACCTGAGGTAGCGGGAGATGCTGACACAAAGAACGATGAGGGCAGGTTGGGAGAAGCTACTCCACATGCGGGCTTGCTTACACAGGTTTCTTTGGGCTGCATGTCGACTCTGGGAGGCGATGACTCGGCGTTGAATGAGGCTCAGGGCCTTGCTCTCAGCATTCACAGCGATCGTGGGAGACTTTCTGGTAAAAAGCTTGGGAGTTAATTTGTCTACTATTCCCACACAATTTGAAGGGTGCTGCCAGACTGCAGAGCTTGGAGGACATCGGCTGGAGCAGAGTTGCGTTGGGACTTCTCGTGTCTGGTCATCGCAAGTAGTCAGTACTTCGTAGCAAGGGTAATGGAGGTCGTTCAAGTCACGTGAAGCGCGTCTTGTTCGTGAAAAGTGCCGCAACCGGCGTCTCGCCGAAGCGCATCTCAAACCGAACCTCGAATCTCGAATGAGCAAAAGTCTACCGCGCATCACTGCAATGTCCTGAGGACTAACATACACTGTCTTTACATACTCCCTCTACAGCCTTCCCGAACCTCATGGCGGCCGCGCGTAACCAACCAACCTACGACTTCCTCACCGGCGCATCCTCACCACCGCCCGCGCCCACCTTCCGCGACTCGCTCCGCGCACCCTCCGCCGTCCGTTCCGACGCCTCGAACGAGCCACTACGCGCCCAGCTCCGAACACTCCAGTACGAACTCGACTCGCTAAAACAAGACCGCGACCTCACAGCCCTCCAGCACCAAAAGGAGCTCCGCGACGTGCAAACAAAAGCCGAGGCGGACTTCCGACGCGCGCAGCTCGCGGAAGCTAGCAGCCATGCCGCAGTCGCCAAGTACGATGCGCTGGCGCGCGAGCTGCAGGAAACGCAGGATCGGTGTGCGAATGAGCGGCTGGAGCTGGAGCGGAGGGGAAGGACGCTGCAGGAGGAGAATAGAGCGCTGAGGGAGGAGGTGGAGGATGTGAGGAGTGAGCTGCTGGCGCAGGAGAGGGGGAGCAAGAGGAGGGTCGAGGAGCTGGAGACGAGGCATACGGCGTTGCAGGCGAGCTTTGAGGCGATGAAGGAGGATTCAGAGGGGAAGGTTGAGGCGCTGGCTGAGACGCAGCAGAGGTTGGTGCAGAGGGAAGCGGAGAATGCGCAGTTGGAGAGCGAGGTCTTGAGGCTTAAGGCGCAGGATGGAGAGTCGGAAACGCTAGCGGTTGTTAAGAGGCAGCTGTCGGAGCAGGTGGCGCACATTAGGAAGCTGGAATCAACGAACAGGGAGCAGATTGCGGAGCTTAGGCAGTACCGCAAGAGCCAGAAGAGTATAGAAGTTGTCGAGGAGGAGAAGAGGGTCTTGGAGAGTAGAGTCCGGATGATGGACGATCTGCGGAAACAGCTGAGCGAAGCACAGCTGCAGAGGCAGATTCTCGAAGACGAGCGTAAATCGTGGACCACATATCTGCAGACCGAATCATCGGCAGAGGGAGAACTGCATTTCGAGTCCCCTGAGGAATTGGCAAGGGCTTTCATCCAAGAGCGTTTAGAGACCGCTTCATTGCTTGAACGGTTAGGGGCGCTGCAGCCGGAGCTGAGCGTCAAAGACGACAATATCCAGACATTGGAGGATGAAAAGGCTAAACTACAGGCCGAACTAGAGAAGCTCCGCTCTACGGGAGGCGGCGCCGACAGCAAAGTGCGGGCAAGACTGGAACGGCAGAGGGCTCTAGCGGTCAAGGAAGTCGAGTACCTCCGGGAGCAACTCAAGATCTTCGACACCGAAGAGAGCGAGTTCAAGCCTGAAAGCTTCGACGAGCAAAAGTCTGCGCGCATCCGGGAGTTGGAAGACATGGTCGACGCCTATCGCAAAGAAGTCCAGACTTTGCAATCCGAGCTCTCCACCGTCACAGAAGAGCTCGCGAAGAAGCAGCAGCAAGACCCAACCACCACAGGCAGCAAGCGCCGCCGCGATTCCGACTCCGATACTAACGAGCGGCTGGGCGAGCTACGCCGCAAGAACCGCCAGCTTCAAGACACCATCTCCGCGCTACAGACGCGCAACGCCCTCCTCGATAAAGAGCTCGCAGCCCTCCAATCCCAGCTCTCATCTCTGAAATCCGCCTCCCGCACCCGCATCCTCGAACTCCGCTCCAACCCCACCGCCAACGCCGAGGCACTCAAGGCGAGCACGCTCAATGCCCTCCGGGAGGAAAACAGAGCGCTCCTCTCGCAGCTCGAGAACCGCCACTCTGGCCAACCAGACGACACCCCCCTCGTCCCCGCCGCAACCCTCACCGTCCTCCGCAACGAGCTCTCCGCCATGGCCCTCGAAGTCGCCTCCAAAGAAAAACGCATGCTGCGCCTCAAGCAGATCTGGTCTGCCAAGTCCGCCGAGTTTCGCGAGGCTGTGGCGTCCATACTCGGCTACAAGATGGACTTTATGCCGAACGGGCGGGTGCGCGTGACCAGTGTGTTCTATCCGGGCGAGGAGGAGGGCGAGAACAGCATCGTGTTTGATGGCGAGAACGGCACGATGAAGGTGTCGGGAGGGCCGAAGAGCGAGTTTGCGGGCGAGATCAGGGAACTCATCGAGTTCTGGGTCGAGGGGCGGAAGGATATTCCGTGCTTCTTGGCGGCGATGACGTTGGAGTTTTATGAGAGGTTTACGAGGGTACCGAAGGGGTAATCCAGAGACAAGGTTCTTCGAGGAGGAGGAGGAGGAGGGTAGCTCTTGCATCACAATAGTCATCTATCGACAATATTCTGAGCCGTCGCATCAGACATCCCCAATATTAGAAATCTCCAAGCCGCAAACGCAGCAGAACGGCCTCTCCCTCTCTCTTCGCTCAATCCTCAACCTCTGCCCCCTGCACCAACCCCTCAATCCTCACCTTCCCCACCTTCACCCCCTCGGGACTTGGCCACCCGCCCCCCGGATTATACACCACCTCCTCGAACCACGTCACAGGAGCCAGCAGCAGCGCTCCCAGGACCGAGAACAGCGTCGCCATGATCTGCCACGCCCAGACGACCAGCACGCCGCCGGGCCAGAAGAAGCGCACGAACTGGTCGACCTGGTAGAGGTCGTTTTGGGAGGTGATGTAGTAGCGGCCGTCCGCCTTCGCGCGCACGAGCTGGAGCACGGTCACGAGGGTCACCGGGGCGGAGTAGAAGGGGATGAGCCAGATGCGGAAGATCTGAGAGAGGTGGACGTAGAGGCGGAGGTTTGCTTCGTCGAAGGCTATGCGCGCGCGCGCCACATGCTCACTTAGCTGGTGGTTTCCCCTGAAGCCCTAGCGGCTTGAGAGACGTGGAGTGGAGCGCAAGGCGGGGGCACGACGCACCCACAGAATGCACCTCCAGTTCTATCCGCGGACTCATGATCTTGTACCACCGGTAAATAGCGCGCACCAGCAGCCGCGAGTTCGCGAACCTCCCCGTCCGCACAAACGGGTGCGTGAACGAGGCGTCGCGCGTGAAATACGTCTCGATCGTTGCGCGCTGCTCCGACGGCCGGCTCTGCGTCAGGCGGTGGATTATCGACGGGATTTCCTTGACTGGCAGTTTCTCGGTGTTAGCGGTTGGGTTAGGGGAGGGTGGGTGAGAGGCGCATGGAGGCGAGGTACCTGGGTCTTCCATTTTCGGGGTGGTAGATGAATTACGGTGTTGGGAATTGGATACTAGCGCTGGAAGCGGAGGTCATCCAACTTCAATTGCATGGGCTCTGAGGATGAGCTGCGTTTGCAAGGCAGGTCGGGAAGGGGCATGTTGGGCGCCCATTGACTGCTTGAGCTGTGCGCATGAAGCTGCAGTCAAGGTTGCGCTGATGTCACGCATCGCGCATTGCTCGGATGCACGTGACGTGAAGAGCGCGGGTAGACCACTCCAGGCCATTGAGCTGAGTAGGCAGGCCTTCGATGGCTTCGTTGTGAGCTGACACGGAATGATAGGAGGTTCGCACATTCAATGTGAGAGTAGGCACTTTTGTCTTCTGTACACTGGCTCGCCTCTAGTTCCGCCAGAGGGAATATACCGAGTCGAGATAGTAGTAAATGGCAAAAAAACGTTCGCACGTCCAAACCGCTCAAACGCTGCACATATGGTACAGCCCACGCTCCCAGACAGCAATATGCCATTCCAGATCCCAAACCCAGTCCGCCCAGATTTGCAGTGTCCCCAACTTTATACCCAAATGCCCATCCCCTATGCAAGCGACTCAGCCGTCGTCCTCATCCATCTCTTCATAAAGATCACTCTCCCCACCCTCCTCCTCATCCGAAAACCCATCCTCATCAAGCTCATCTCCCCCCATCCCAGCCTCCTCCCCGCTCTCACCGCGCACTCGCCCATGCCGGCCCCGCGCCACCTCCTCCTCCTCGTCCTTAAAGCCTTTCCACTCCTCCGCACGATCGTTGTCGCTGTCCGGCTCCGTGTCGCCGCCGTCCACATAATGCATCGGAGCGACGGGCCCACTATGCGGCGTCGCATACGCAAACGGCGTCCCGCCGCTCTTCGGCGGCGCCGTGACCTGGCTCCTGCTCCCGCCGTCCGACGGGACGCGGACGTCCGGGTGCGACGAGCAGAACGGGGAGGGCGGTTCTTTGGAGCGGCGCGGCGTGAAGCGCGAGCCGTAGGCGTAGGCGGAGTCCTCGTTGCTGGCTTTGCGCGGGATGAGCACCGCGGGGGAGTGCGTCCTGCGGCGCTTGTGGCGGGTTTTGGAGAGGGAGGCGATGTTGGTCGAGGATTGCGGTGCCAATGAAGGCTCGCGCGACTGGATGCGCCGCTTTGGCTGGTGCGCGGGGAGGGTGGCGAAGGCGTCCGAGTCGCTGGGTGGGATGGAGAGCGTGCGGGTTCGTTGCAGTTGGGCTGGCCGTCTTGGTGGCAGTTCGGAGAGCGGAGTAATCGGCTGGAGGTAGGGCGTGTTCGTGGACGGCTGAGAGGCGGACAGAGTCATGGCTGCAGGGTGCAACGAGAGATTCCTGGAAGATCGGGACGAGCCCTGCTCCGGGGCGCTGCGGGCACTGTGCACGCTCGCATTTGATGCGAAGGATGAGTTGGCGCTCGGCGGAAGGTCCAGTCCGGGATGGTACGCCCAGCAAGCCTCCTTGGCGTCTCCTTCGCCAACGTGGGTAGAATTGATGTTGTGTTCGTTCTGCTCTGAAGACCTGCGAGGTTGCTCCCTCAACTTCTGCCAGTTCCAGGCCATAGTATCGCCTCCGCTGTGTTGCAGGTAGGCATCTCGATGTGTGACAAATAGCCGTTTCTGCCCACGCGCGGCCCGCATAAGCACGCTTGAGGCCAGAAATTCAGCGGTCCAGACGGCGGGCGTCAACATCTCCGCTGGAGTGAGGAAGCGTAGTCGCGATGACTTGTGGACTTTGCGCAGAGGTATGAAAGGTGCTCGAAGGCCAAGATAGGTGGTCTGATTGGATCCCGCATCGGGCAGTTCGGAGTCCTCGATGTCCTTTGGGCTTCTGGATATAATGTTGAGATGATCACCGAAGGACGCCAGGATTGTTGTCTGCAGTTGCCGTGCACCTGGCGATGCGAGAGTGATGTTCCGGACGAATCCTCGACTGCGTAATCGCTTGTATGCGACACTGTTGGGCCCGCAGGCCCTCGGTGACAGCCACTCATCAGCAGTATCAGTCCAGTCCTGTATGGCCTTCTCGCTCCAGCCGCTGTGTCCGGCTTGCTCTAGTGGGACAGAAGCTCTGAACGGCCGACTTTGCGTCCACTCCTCCGACTCCTGGGTCGTGCTGCGCGAGCCATGTGTTAACGGGTCGTCAGGAGAAAACCAGATACCCTTCAGATCCCGACCCCAGGGGAGGAACACAACTTCAATCTCCCATGGATCAGTATATGAGGGGGGAGCGACGGCCTCCAAATTGCTCAGGCGCTCTTCAATACTCTTGAGCCTCGCTTCCGCCTCAGATCTGTCTATGGCAGCTGCTATGAGGGCAGAAGAAGTAGCTGACTGCAACGAGGCATTACTGCGAAAGGATCCGTTGGACGCGAATGAACCACCTTCTGTCGCGACGTGTGGTTTGCGCCGTAAGAATAGATGGCCTCGTTCGCTTCGGGCCGCGTCGATCGTCGTAAGCAGTTTATCGTGATCATCCATGCGGCCTTCTAGCTCAGTAACGCGGCCGTCCATGAAGTCGTGCTTGTCGTTGAACTCGTCACCCGGAACGTACGAAAATGACGCGTTCTCTAGGAGGTCTACTCGGGTTGCCAGGTTTCTGAGTGCTGTTGCGACGCTGGGTTTGTCCGTCAAGAGGTTCTGAATCGAGCCGAGGTATGGTAACAGCCGCTGCAAAGCTGGCGGTACACTTCTCAATGCAGCGTAGAGCGAATCCTCTGCAAGGCGATTGTCCGGTGCGAGGGTGCGTGCTCGGTCCTGGAGCGCCTTGTCTGCCTCGATTACTCCAGCGGGGCTCTGGCGCTCATAAGGTTGTGCAGACGCAACTCTCTGAGCGAGCAGATCCGTAAGCGTCTTGGTCTCCTGGAACGCCTGGTCCAGCCCTCGTAAATCGGGCGTGTTTGCGATGCTCGGCGTGTTCACCTCTGTGGCGCTTTGGAGAAGCTCCTCTGCGCCTGCTGGCACTGCGTATGAGACTTCCAATGGAGGAACGATCTGCCGAGCTTCGAGGACCTGCTGCATGAAAAGCCGGCTTGGGTCCGCTCGTTGGCGAAACTCAGCAACCGAGCTCTCTTTGGACGACTGTCGCTGCGATGCGTTTGATTGCTTGCGCGTTGATGGAAGGCTCTCGTCTGGTACGGTTGGAGAGGTAGAGGGATACCGAGCCCTGATCTGCCCAGCGTCTTTTGCCTGCATAACAAGCCCAAGCCCGGTCGGCGATACACCTCGTGAAGCGGCGCCGAAGTCAACTCTATCGCATTGCCTGTGGGTCGCTTGGTTCCCGCCCGTATCCTGAAGACCACGAAGCTCATCCGAATTCAGGAGGCACAAGGAGGGGACCCGCGGGAGTCCAGAGGGGCTGAGGTCATTTTGTGCGTCTCGCTCGATCGTACCGGGCGCAGCCGACGCCCTTTCTGGGGCTAAAGCTCCATGCTTGTGAAGACGGTGCCGTGTGTTGCAGGTACCGTTGCCATGACTGCAGCCTGGCGCCGCTTCAGCGCCTGCCACTGCATCTGTCGAATGCGCACCGAAGCTTGTAACATTGTCGTCTCCCCGATTCCTGGCATGCTCAGCTTCGATCACCGGCCGTAGACGTCCATCGCAGTCCGTCCGCACAAGCTGAACGTAGATGGGCTTCCCTGCATCCAGCGAGTGCAGAATAGCGTTCAAAGGCGGCGAGGAAGCGCCCTCGCGAACACCACCACCCGACGCCCGCTCAGTAAAGTCGTGGAAGCAAGCATGATGACCGCAGATGCACCACGGAAACTCCTCATCATGTCGCTGGTGCGCCCCGCTACCCTGACGTGCCTGATGCAGCTCTCCATTATACCAGAAGCGCCTGCATCCGCAAGAGAGCGCCTTGGGGCCGTGACTCAGATCGCGAAAGTTGCAGGCGCCGCGCGGGTGTGGTCTCCTCGAAGACGTCGTCGGGCGCTCTGTACTCGATCGGCTGGTGGCAGACGGCGTGGTTGGCCTGGGAGGTTGGGCGAAGGCGGCCATGGGCGCCTAGCTGCGCGTCCCACCTCGAGGTGTTGGCGGTCAACATCAAGCCATGGTGGGCGGAGATGCTGGGGCAGGCGTCAGTGCCGGTGGTAAACAGATGGGGAGAGCGCGCCGAGGTATGTCAAAACGTGATGGAGAGGATTATTATTGACGCACCTTAATGATAGTGACGATGCGGCACGAGGGCAAAGCAAGCAAAGCAAAGCAAGCAGCGCAAGGACAGATATGGAGAGATGGGAGAACGAGCTTAGAGGAGATGGGGGAGGGAACCAAAGGACTCTGACTCCTCGAGCAGCGGATATGCCGCATGGAGGGTGAAGCTAGACAGCCAGCAGCCCTTGGCCCGTTCGTCAACGGTTGCCTTGCCAGAACTTCCCCGAAGGCACTCGAGCATCCAAATGCCCAAAAGCCCAAAATGCCTCTGCGGCCCGCCCAAGCGTCAGGGATTCAGAGCTGCTGATTGGCTCGCCATTGCATGGCTGCATGCTGGGGAACAGTTCCGTGAGCCGCTGGGACGTGCGCTCTGCATGGGTTTGGCGCGACGGATCGACGCTGTGAAACCACGACGGCGGGATATCAGAATATCAGCACCAAGACGAATACCCAGCATTGACGGCATGGAGACCAGCAAACGGGACGTTGTTCCTGACAGACTGGTTTGGAGTATCCACGACAGTGTGACGCTGGTGGAAAACCCTTTCCTCAAACGTTGCGTTTCCTGTAGCCCGACAGATATCTGACTCGTTATGCTGGGAGGTACCATGCAGAGGCGCATGCAGAGGCGCATGCACACGCATCAATCAACAGGGTAAATCATCAATCGCATTTTCATATTATTGGTCGGGGTATCTGCAATTAACCGCTGCCATCCAATCCCGATCCATTCGTAACATCCAACTCGATGTGTTCATCAAAAACGAAAGACAAACCGCAGCAAAGGACATGCTTTCCAAAATGCTTTCGTGTCTTCGTCCAGCTCTTCGTTACCACTCTTATGCGCGCACTATCCAAGGAGTCTGCTAAGGAAATCCTCAACTTTGTCTGCGATAGGATCTTCCCCTCGCTCGGGTATATGTCTGCCTCTCTCGTCAAATCGTGGAGGAAGATCAACCGTCTCGCCAGAGGAAACCGAATCGGGGGGATCAGGCCGTCTCTCATTTCTTCGGGATTCTCCATCGCGCCGTCTACGCCTGCGTTCCCCACCGCTCTTTTTTCTACTATCGTTACGTTCTCCGTCCGAGTCACGTTTCTCGCGCCGCTCAGTACCAGCCCCAGGATCAAGCGCAAACTTCACCGTCTTCTCAGGCTGCGGCGATGGAATCGGGGGTGAGACGGTCGGAAGGGGTGAGACGGTCGGGGGCCTTCCTAAGCCATCTGCAGATCCTGTGGTCAGCAGAGTCATCCAGGATCCAGCGGCCAAAGCCGAGACCCACCAGGTGCCGAGCGCTCGGAAGTAAACGGCGCACTCACATTATCATCCCCGCGACGATACCTTGCGTCAGCCATGTACGGATCCTGCGGCGGAGGGCCGAAGTCGAACGACTGTCGGCCTGGCGGAGGAATCTGTTGAGGGGGTGGTGGATATTGTGACGGGTCATATGGCGCAGCTCCGTAGGCGGACATTGGAGGTGGTGGATAGCCGTTCATCGGTGGATTCGGTGGGTAGCCATTCATTGGCGGATGCATCGCGTAATCTTCAGAGGCTATAGTAGGCGGAGGAGGGAACTCGTTCGTTTCTGGGTAGTATCGTCCACCTTGATATGGAGGTATCGGATACCCGGCTTGCGGTGGAGGTGTGCCGTAGTTGTCACTGGCTGACGTGCCCTCTTCCATTCGCCCTTTGTAGATCGCGGTTAGCGCGGGTTGACTACGGCTTGGCTGGGGAGCTCACGTTGTCTGTCCCCATCGTTCCTCTCCCTGCTCCCCCTCTCCCTGCTGCCTCTCTCCCGGCTGCCCCTGTCCTTACTCCTGCGTCTCTTAGATGCCCGATTGGCAGCCACACCTGCGACACCAGCAAGCGCGGCCGCCTCGGCAACTCGCCGAGTGCGACTCTTACTACGGCTATCACTGCGGCTCCGACTCGAGCGACGCCGGCGCCGATGGCCCGAGCCGCTCGACGAACGGGACGAACTGCCTCGTCTTCGATGACGGCGCCGTCGATAGTCGTTCTCGGCTGGGTCGATGTGGATGGGATCACCGCCGTATTCTACAAGAGCAGTGTCACTCGCGGTACGCCGTGGGCCTGAGCGTGCTACCGACCTGGGCCTAGACCTCGACCTCGAAACACTCCTCGACCTGGACCTCGATTCCCTCTCATCCCGCCGCTCTTCCCTCTTGGCTTGCTGTCTCTCATAGAGCCCAGCAAGCGCCGCACCACCAAGACCAGCAGCTGCGATAGGCACGCCAGTACGAACGCGGCTTCGGCTGCGCGAGCGTTGGTCTCGGCGGTTACGGGATTTGCTTCGGCTTCTGGCTCGTTCGACTAGGCCTGCAACTGCTGCGCTGGCCAGGCCTGCCTGGGCGACACGACGATTCCTGTGCTCCGGGTCTCGATGCTTGCTGCGCGATCGGGAGCGGCTGTCCGGGCTAGCGCCCGAGACCGAATGCCTGCGTCGCCTAGACCTACTCCGGCGATCGTTCTCCGCAGCGTCGGGCTTGTTCTGGTTGCCCCTACGTCCAGCGGCATATGCCAGAGCACCAAGAGCGGCCACAGTACCAACACCAGCTAGTACTTTCGACCTTGATAGTGATCGACTACGATTCCGATGCCGATGTCTGCGTCGACCTTCGCGTTCGCGGGAGCTTGACCGCGACCTGTTTCTCAAGCGGGAGAGCGCCTCTGCGCCTACTGCACCCAGAGCGCCGTAGCCGAGAGCCTGTTTAGCGGCGGAGCCAGCCTCTTCTCCTTGTCTCTTTCTGTGATGTCTGACCAATGCGGCGGCGCCCAATCCAGCCAGCGCTCCCTCAGCAAGGTGTCGCTTGGTATGGGGGCTTTCATCGCGACCATCTGTACGTTCCCTTCGGATATACACCATGTCGTCGTCACTGTAGGCCTGCCTATCGTTGTAGCGATCGCGCATGTACTCCCGCTCATCGTAGTATGACGGGCCCTGGTCGGCCTCCCTGACCCTGCGCTCGTAATAGTAGTCTTCTTCTTGGCGTGGCTGCGGTTCGCGGCGGGCGATCTGACGCTCTTGGGGGATCTCGGGTCGCTCGATGATCTCATAAGAGGGCTGTTCATGTCTCACTACGATTTGCTGCGGCTGTGCAGCTTCTTGGATGATAATCGGTTGAGGGGCCTCCTGGCGGATGATGATGGGCTGAGGTGGTTGGGGCGGCTCGGGCGCCCGGGCGTAGTACTCTGTGGACTTTGAGTACTTCTCCAATTGGTAGGGATTCTCTGGCGGTTCGAGTGCGATCTCGCGTTCGACGCGATATTCGCGGATGGGCTCAGGAGCCGGCGGTAGGACTTCGCGCCGGATCCGATATTCGCGCACCTCTTCCTGAGGCTGCGGCTCCAAGTCGACTTCCCGTTCGTAGCGGAACTCTCGGACTTCGCGGCGCGGCGGTGATGGAGCTCTTTCAACTTCGCGCTCGACGTAGCGGTACTCTCGTACATCTCGTGGTGGTGGACCGCGCTCAACGGCGTATTCGCGCGAGTCGCGAGTGTCGCGTTCACGCCTCACGATGCGGACCTCCTCTTCCCGACGATCCTCTTCGAAGGATCTTTCGGGGACTTTGTATCGTCGGACCGTTGTGAAGGTTCTGGGTCCGGAACGGGTGGACTCCAAGTCCCAGTCCCGTTCGCGCTCTCTTTCCTTGTAGATGACGGACATGTTGGTAGGCCTTCTTTGGTAAGCGAGTGAAGTGGCACGCAGATAGTGTATGGCCGAGGGCGAGAAGAACTGCGTTACTGCGACAAGAATGCCTAGGCAGTCCTGGCGGCTCAGATCTATGGTCTGACGATGTTCCGAAAAGGCGTTGGTTGAACCGCGGACGGTGGACGCCAGATGACTCGGTTTGGCAGGAGGGGCACCTGACACACGTAATCGGCAGCGCGGTCCCGGAGCGACGTTGCGGCGATTGCGCAATGTGTTGAGGACAACGGCAACTAGGACAAGGCTGAAGGATGGAGCGGAATGCGCAGAGTGGGAAGACGAGGAGGCGCAGGTAGAGTAGAAATCGAGGCGGCTTTAGGTTCTTGATGACACGAGGCGGCGCCAGGTTTGACCCATTCCACCACTGCAGATGCTGCCCCGTGGATTGGTGTGACGTAATCGGGCTTCGCTTCACCTGCTGTTGAGGAGCACCTCCGGAGCGAGGATGGTGGGGATGTAGCTAGATTACTGCCGCTGGACACAGGACGTCCGGTGAAGAGGGCAGAGGCTCTTAAAGAGCTTCAACTACGGGCGCTGTAACAGCGCAGCCTTGTTTGCTTGCTGTCTGTTCTTGTGCTGTCCGGTGGAGGAACGTGGTGGACCACACAGACACGATGCGCCATGCCGCTGCCGACGCCCGCTTACTCGAGCCTCCCTTGTGGCTCGAGTTCTTTCACCTCTGTTTATCGAGATGGGAAGCAAGAGATGGACTGATGTATCGAGACGCACATGCCATCTATCGTGGTCGCGTTGCGGTGAAGGAAGAGAGACGGTCAACACGTCCTCGTGCTGAGCCCCTAGCCCCCAGGACCTCAGCCTCGTCCAACGACTTCGACAAACACAGAGCCTTGTATCGGCTGCCTGGACTATCACAACGGGGTAAAGCAAAACAGCTATTGTCAGACCGGATTCGGGCTGAAGCACCAGTCATCTTTGGGCGTCTGTCACTATCACAAGGCCGACCCTCCTCATGTACACTAGCGCATAATGAAACGGTAAGCTGCTTCAGTATTGCAAGCGCAGACGCCCGTCAGCTCGGTAGGACAGCTGGTGTGCCTTGCCACATCTGCCTAACTATGCAGCGACGATGGTGCGGCCTTCGAGAGCTCGCGGCCGACATGTCTCCGAAAGCCAGAAGTCGCGAAGCGGCCCCTTCGTATGCAGTTCAACCGATGCTTTTCCTCTAAGTGTCAACGCCACAGCTATGCTAGAGACGGGTATATGCCGAACATGTCGTGATCTATGTGCAGAAAACATCAATCGCAATGCCCAACTAAGTAATAAGGATAGGCTTCTCGGCGTGGTTCGGGTTGTCCGCCGGGTCGCCATACGCCCAACTCGTTATGACCTTGACCGCACGAGCGCACAACGGGTCAATGTAGAGCGTCCAGTACCAAGCGATGCGGTAAAGCAGGTAATAGAAAACGACAACTGCAATAAGGATGTGAATCGTCGAGCCGCGCTGCAGGTCCATCTGCTCGCCTTTCTCATTATGCGGCGGGTTCATCGCGCTCGGTAGATACACCATCCAGGTGAGAACAGACTTGATTAATGTGTTGTGTAGGAGGTAGACCGGGAAGCTGACGCGGCCGAGGAAGTTAAAGACAGATGAGCTGAGCAGTCGGCGAGCGTTCGTGGAGAAGAAGCAACCGAGAAGTATCAGCGAGGCGCCAATCGTGTCCCAGTAGCGGCGGATATCTGCGCCGTTGGGCACCAACGGTTTCATGATCTGCGCCATGAAGTTCGACCAGGGTGCATTTTCAACAGCGTCTGTCGGATAACTGCATAAGAACATGCCCAGAAGGATGATTGTCGCAGGGAGAGGCGTGGGCAGCACTGATGTTGCGGATATACCGTGCTCGTTGTGCAACTCAGCGACAAACATGCCCACGGTTACGCACATGCTTGTCAACGCTGATTGCGCAAGGTCTTGTCCTTCAAGTTAGCGTTGTGCTATAGTCGCGTAAGGTTCATAAAGCACTATGCTCACCTTGCCCTGACATCCAGGCGTAGCTGAACAGCACCGCATATACAACCTTTCTAGCTCTTGGCGTAACCAGCACAGTAGCTACCATGGTCATGTAAACGATCATGCTTCCGATGAGAAAGTAGATGAGCGACCACTGTGTACCGTCGTATTCGTTCCAGCCTGTTGTCCACGTCGAGATCTGTGCGTGTACCAAGCTCGTGATAGCTGCCCAGACAGTAGGCTCTTGCCTATGCCACCCTTGTCGGATCCACGTTGCATCGACATGCATCGTCATATGATATGCGTTGATGTTCGCCAGAAACCAGCTGATTAGAGTTGCAATAGCTGTTGGTAGGACCAGCCTGCCTGTGCGAGCCAGCGAACTTCGGGCTATGCTTGCGAACGCAGCATCTGCATTCCCTGCCCGAGACTTTGCTATAGGGCCGATTGCGTTGACATAGCCGGTGATTAGGAGGAATAGAGCTACCGCGCCGCGGCCGGCTGCGCAGAGGCGGAAGATTGGTAATTGAAATAGAGCCGGGCTTTCCGTGGGCGACGGTGCAGGAGAGTGGATGTGCGGTGCGAAGGCGGTTACAAGATGCCCAGTCACTACGATGAATGAGGCGACCCCCCGTAGGCCCTATTTCAACGCCGTCAGCGCTCATTCAGAGAGATTGTAGGTAGTCGTTTCGGGCTTACATCTATCCAGTTGGCATCGCGTGCACTAGGCATGCTTTCCGTACCTCTTCCCGGAAGCGGCGTAGAGTTCGAAGGTTGAGCCTTGAGAAATGAGAAGAGAAACCGAGCTACGCTCTTGCTGAGCAGGTGAATGCCTGGCATTCAGTCGTTAGATGAGGGTCGAGAAGCAAAGAACGAAGATGTGGTCAATCACGATAGTTGCACAAGGCCCTCAAGGCTGTGAAGTCATCGATTATGGGGCCGCTTGAGTGGACACGCCGTAAGTGAATGGATTAAAGGTCTAGAAAGGCGGATTACGCTGAACAGCTGAAGAACTGGCAGTGACGGCGACACAGCCTTACCGTGGTTCCCCCCGAAGATGCATTAGGAGAATAGACATTTCTCGGCAGCGATATTCTAGTCCCAGCTGGTCGTCTTGTACGCGCAATAGGCCCACAGTTGATGCGGCTAGTTCTGCTGCGCTTTGCCGCCGCATGCTCCCTTCTCGGCCTCAGCAGTCCATGGTGGTTCGCCAGGACGGAAGCGCGGCCTCCCCCTTGCATTTGGGGCCGGGGCGAAAAAGCCACCCGGGACAAATGGGTGTTGAAGTCCCCAGGGACCGCGTTCTCTGCGGTGGAAGCGCAGCAATCCTTGTGAGGGCTGGCTCATGCTAGTGAGCCCGGCCACACGACGGTTTGGAATGCTCGGCTCTTCTTCGTTGAGGAGGCTGAAGAGGCGCGACGAAAATGCAGGTAGCCAGGAGAGGCCTGAGCTGATGGCCCCACGGCATCTCAAACGGCTGCTTATGCGGCGCTGTTTCGGGCATTCCATTGTGAGCTCGTCATCCACTGTGACTGTTCGCTTGTCCTGAGATGAAACCGAGCGTGGTTTCGTGATTATGCGGCGTGATGTCGGTGCATCAGATTCAAGGCCAAACTAGCGCCACGACACAGAAACCTTAGACGTCCAAAGATCACAATCTTTGTGATGAGAGCATTTGTGATAAGAACGTTTGCTCTATGCACGCGCCACACGTGTCCTGGAAACAAATGCCGTCCACGTGTACAGGCGTGCTCCGTTGAGCACCTGCAAGCATCCGGTGGACATTATTACAGGGAAAACGGCCTACGGCATGGCCAGGAAAGTTCATCAGTGGTGATAAGAGGCATTAGGATCCGCTGATAGGGCCTTAAGCTGATCACCTGTCGAAGCATACCTCAATATTAATACTACGGGGCTCTTAAAAGGTATTCTGCATTTCATTATCGAAAACGTGCTCTAGTCAGTGATTACTCGAGATACAATCTACAAGATACAATTGAAATGCTTAATTGTCCATTATAGTAAGATCACATTGATCGTTAGAGTGCCGGCAATAGTCTGATTATGTTGCGGCACTAAGTGTAGTCGTAAAGTCATAAGATGCGTATCTTTTTGTGCCTACTGTTGATGTTCAGGACATGAAAGTGTTTCAACTCGCGGCTGAACATCATGAAGGAGTATCCCAGACGTGTCCCTCTGCTGGCAATAACGACTACCATTGCGAAAACGTAAAATACCGAGTACTAAAACGTTCGAAGCCCGCTGCACCGAAATCCCTTCAATTATGTCTCGCTACCAGACAGCTACGAGTGATTTTCGACTCGCATGCCACAGGGACCAGAATATTCGCTCTTGACATGCTCAGGGATCCAGCGACGGAAGTTGAGTCTGCACACTCGGCTCAGCGTATCACTCAATCTTCTTACTCGGTGCCGACATCTTTCCGGTACTTCATACCCTCGAAGCTGACAGAGCGTACACCATTGTAGGCCTTCTTGACGGCGGCTTCAAGCGTCTCTCCAGTAGCGGCAACACTGACGACGCGCCCGCCGGTGGTTCTAGTCCCATCATCGGCAACATGTGTCCCAGCATGGAACATCAATGCGCCCTCTGGCCGGGCAGTGAAGCTCACTAGCTTGTCAGTGTCATACTCTCCAGGATATCCTCTGGCGGCAACGACGACGTTGCATACGTAACCATCTATTGTCCGAATGCTCACTTCATCCAGGCGTATCTGCACACAGGCAAGTAGAACTTCCATGAGGTCGGTATCCGCACTCAACAGTGGCAGAAATGACTGCGTCTCAGGATCGCCGAAGCGGACGTTGTAGCCTAGACATATCGGACCCTCCTCTGTCAGCATGATACGGGTGAGCAACACGCCAGCGAACGTCTTTCCTTCGGCTTTGAACCCACAGAAGGTCGGCTTCAGGATTCTTTCCTCGATGTCTTCCATAACTTCCTCAGTCACAACAGAAGCAGGTGCCCACCCGCCCATTGCTCTCGCGCTACGCCATTTATCTCCGCCAAAGTCTTGCTTGGGGGCCTGGACCGCCGGCAGCGTCTTGCGCGTCACTCCATCAGAAAAGGTCAACAGACTGATCTCCACACCCTCCTGCAGCTCTTCTACGATAATCTCTCTCCCGTTCTCGCCGTGCGGACCAGCGAGCATGATCTTACCTGCCACAGCCGACGCTTCGACAAGGTCTGTGGGGAAAAAGACACGTCTGCCCGGAGCGAAGTCTGATACCTTGATGACAAAGTTGACCTTATTATCAAATAGATATTCAAGGAACCGAGTAGCTTCGATGTACTCCACGTAGCTTTGACCAAAGGTGCGGTAGCACGCGGTAGGGATGTCGTGACGCTTCATAAAGGCCTTCGCCCAAGCCTTGCTCCCTTCAATGATGGCCGCCTCTTGGACTGGTCCAAACCACGCGATGCCGGCTTCTTCAAGTTGATCTGCGATGCCAGCAACAACTGCATCGGTCGGGCCAGGCACCACAAGACCAATGTCCAGCTCTTGAGCTCGGGCTACCAAGTCCGGAATGTCGTCCACTGGAAGATCTGTGATGTTGCTGACCTTGTCCACTCCACTCACCGTGCCGCCGTTGCCGGGAACGATGTAGATCTGTGAGACAAGCGGTGATTGGGAGAGCTTCCATGCAAGAGCATGTTCGCAGCTACCTTTGCCGATCATAAGGACGCGGAGAGCACCGGGACTGGTGCTGGGAAAGGCCTCACTCGCCATCGTGGCGTCAAACGTGCTGTTCTGACTGTAGGTACTGGAGGCGGAAGGCATCCTATCCCGCAGATTGGTAGATGGATCTGAGTCGGTGGAAGCTGTAGAAGCAATCTCAGGGTCGCTTTCAACGTAAGGGTGTAGATACGCGTGCTTGACCGCTGCGGATAGATCTAGCACGCCATCGCTGTCATCGTCGTTAGACGTGATGGAAGTCGTGTCGCTTGAGAAGGCTTTGAACTGGTCTGTCGGCTGTGGTACAATCAACCAGGTTCTAACAGCAAGACCCAACCAATATGGGCAGCAGGAACTGTCTTGTGAAGCGCTCAAGATGTTTTTGCAATGATCCAAAGCGATGTAGAAGCAAAGAGATGACTGACGGAACATCAAAGTTTTTGGTAGATTGGGAAATTTGACAGCAGATAGAAGCATACGCCATAATTCACTCATGGGTTCGCTTGGCAGAGTGACGCGACTCATCGGCTGTCTCAACAATACGTGTGAAGCGGACTTCACGCGTCGTGCCGCTAGCGCTTCTTGCGAGATGGTGACAATAATGCCCCTTCACGACAGAAAAGAATCATCCCGCGAGACGCTACAGCGAGGAGCTCGAGCGAACAAAAAGAAACCTAATGAATAGCACGAACAGCAAGACTCATTTCCGAGAAACCCCCAGCCGTAGTGGGGATATTTTCCCGGTCTAGATGTTAGCTCTCCTGGCTTGTAAGTTAGTTCCACAGTTGACAATCGAACCAACGCCTCTAAACTACTATGGAGCAGAGCTCGAGCGACAGTCATTACCTACTGGGGGGAGACAACAGTGAGCTTAATGACTTATAGAGGGCTATCTGACAAAGCACGCACAGTGGTCACTTCAACCTTGATTAAGCTCTGAGTACGGGAGCCATCGCTTGATTCCTGACCTGCCATAGGAACAGCACAGGACAGACGGCACTTTGGGGAAACGATGAACAGATTCTGATGATGCTGGACTCCAAAGACTAGAGTTTGTTTATTTCTTGATGAATAGACATTGGAAACGAGACAATAAGGGCCAGACGGCGGCATGAATCACATGGGTCTTGCCATCTCACATGAGCATAACTCCATGTCATTCCATGCAACGCTTCCGCCTTCCAAAGCCATGCCAGTAACAAGCATCACGTAACATGCTTGTTGAGCGCCACCTACCTTCAGTGACAAGAGCATATGTTATTATTGGCTTTGCACCATCGATGCCATGCAGTTGTACCTGCTAATCCTCGTCAGCCCTTAGACCTCTCCTCCTCGACAACCCCAAGCACCCTTTTCGTAGTCTTATCCCTCAATCCGGTATCCACAACCCCATACGCCGCCCTCGTCTGCGCATAGACATCCTCCTCCCACCCCTGTCCCTCACCTACTCGCACATCGCCCAGATCATCCCAACAAGCCTGCACCGTACCCCCAATGTTCTTCATGAACGCCTCAAAACCGCCCGCACCTCCACCAGCATGGTAGCTCTTGAACGGTCCCGCAACAGCCCACCGCGGTCCCATTGAAGTTTCCACAATACGGTCCAGTTCCTCGACAGTAACAACGCCGGAACGAACCAGATGGATACTCTCGCGCAGTAGAGCAAATGCGAGCCTGTTCGCCACAAATCCCGTGCATTCCTTCTTCACAACCACCGGCGTGCGGCCTCTCGCTCGCCAGAAGCTTACCGTCCGCTCGACCACGGCCTCAGATGTCGCTGGCGAAGGGACGACTTCAAGCAGCGGCATGATGTGAGGCGGGTTGTACGGATGCACGACCAGCAGACGCGACGGGTCCCTCATTTTCTGGGACTGGATCGAGGCAGGGATGCCGGAGGTGCTGCTCCAAAGTAAGGCATCCTCGGGGGCATGTCGTTCGATTTCGGCCCAGATGGCTGTCTTGAAGGCAGCGTTTTCGGGCCCTTGCTCTTGGATTATGGTGGCCTTTGCGACTGCTTCAGGGAGCGAGGTCGCCAGTTGGATTTGCTCAACCCAGGCATGTTGCTCAGGGGGAAGGTATTTGGGGAGATTCGAGTGGACGTAAGCCGTGAGATTGTCGCGAGTATCGAAGATGGTGAGATGAGATGGGTCACGGAGGTGAGTGAGGTGGAGCGCTGCGAAGGATAGGCCGATCGTGCCGGCGCCTATGAGGGTGATGCAGACGTATTCGTCGTGGGTGGTCTCGGAGGTGGCCATGGTGGTGGTGGTTTTGGTGATGCTTGGCAATGTGCCCCTGGCGCTCAAGCTCCCGCAGCTTTCCCCGCAGACTGATCGGCGGGCCATCTGAAGACGACCCGGATTGAAAGCTCCGAGGTTATGGGCATGAGGAAGGCGGCTTGATGCGCGATTGATTTCCCGGTTGGGTTGTAGGTAGATTTCCTGTGATCCAGCATCTTCTTGTTCTTGCCTTCATTTGCGTTCTGACAGTATACTCTGGTTTACCATGGTCATCTTTAAGTCGCTGCAGCCGGATATTGACCGTATACATATCACTGAGACATCTCCATAAGCCCATTCTAACATTAATATAGTGCCGAAAGACTTAACAGTCTGGGATTGGGCATTTGACTCTCCCTACTCGCCCTTGAGCCGCTTTCCCGAGTCTGAACTCCGCGGCTTCCAGAATGCCATCACGAAAGAGCGCATTAACTGGAAGGATGTCAAGGAGTGCACAACCTACCTTTCGACCGCGTTAGTCAAGAATTATGGGCTGAAGGAGGGCGATACGGTTGCGCTGTTCAGTCGGAATACGATATGGTATCCTGTAGCCATGCTGGGCACGTTACGCGCCGGTAGGATTGACTACGCGCAAGAGGGAGTGATGATTACCGCTGCTCACTCCCGATACAGGTGGCAAAGTGTCAGGAGCATCACCAGCCTACAACGTTGAAGAGATGACCTACGCGCTCAAGACAGCCGATGCGAAGTTCCTAATGACCGCACCGACGTCAATGGATGTAGCCGTAGCAGCAGCCAAAAACGCTGGCATACCTAAAGAGAACGTCTTCCTCCTCGAAGACCAACTAGAGGGCTACACGACCATCAAGGAGCTCATTGAGATGGGGAAGAGCTACGGAGCCAGCGGGCAGACCCCAGCCTTCAAGCTCCCAACGGGCAAGAAGAACAAGGACGTCTGCGGTTTCCTGAGCTTCAGCTCTGGAACGACGGGTCTGCCCAAAGCCGTGGGTGTTGCTTCCTCCTTTACTCAGGGCTCGTGTAACTGACTACAACGTTATAAGGTTATGATATCCCACCAGAACGTAATAGCGCAATGCCTCCAAGTCCAGCAAATAACGCCCACCTCGCACAACAAAATCCTCGCCGTCCTCCCCCTCTTCCACATCACCGGTCTCGTGCACGGCTTGCACCTCCCTATCATTCTCAACGCCGAAGTGATCATGCTCCCCTCCTTCACCATGGAGTCGATGCTCTCGACAATCGTCGAATACCAGCTCGGGGAGCTGCTCCTCGTCCCCCCCATCCTGATCCGCCTCGTCCGCGACCCAATCGTGGACAAGTACGACCTGCGCCACCTGACACGCTTCTCGAGCGGCGCGGCGCCGCTGAGCGAGGAAATCATCCAGCTGCTGAAGAAGAAGTTCCCTGGCACGGGGTTTAAGCAGGGCTATGGCATGACGGAGAGCTGTAGCTGCATCACTGCGCATCCGCCGGACAAGTACGACTACAAGTACGCGCATTCGGTGGGGTCCATTGTTGCGTCGACGGAGGTCAAGATCATCACTGAGGAGGGTAAGGAGGCTGGGGTGGGTGAGCCGGGGGAGATTTTGGCAAGGGGCCCGCAGATTGTCATGGGCTATTTGAACAATGAGAAGGCGACTAGGGAGACGTTTGATAAAGAGGGGTTTCTGCATACGGGTGATCAGGGCATGATTGATGAGGAGGGTATGGTGCATATCCTAGATAGGATCAAGGAGATGATCAAGGTGAAGGGCATTGGTGTTGCGCCGGCGGAGCTGGAGGATCTGCTGCTGGGACACGATATGGTGGAGGATGTGGCTGTGCTGGGGATGAAGGATGATTATGCGGGCGAGTTGCCGAAGGCGTTTGTGGTGCTCAAGGCTGGTGTATCGGAGAACGAGAAGACGGCGAAGGAGCTGTTGGCGTTTGTGAGGGAGAAGAAGACCAAGTACAAGTGGGTCAAGGAGATAGAGTTTATTAAGGAGATACCGAAGAGCGCGAGCGGGAAGATTTTGAGGAGGCTATTGAGAGACAAGAAGAGTGGGGCAGACAAAGCGGTCGTGGTTAGGGATGCGGTGGGTGAGAAGGCCATGTTGTAGATAGAGACGTGAAGATCTCTAGAATTGGTCGAGCACCTGTCTTCGCAGCTGGGAACGTTTGCTACATCATTTGGAGCTCGTATCCAGTTGGGACGTCCGCTTGAAGACGCTTGTGGTTAGAGGAGCAATTGCTACAGCTCCTCCTATCGGGTTTGAAAACGCATTTGATACTAGCACCATCAGTCGCGAAAGCAAGCCAGGTATACTCATTTCTTCCACGACTTTCTAGTTCTGTGTGAACGCAAAAGCTAATAGGCACTTGCGGAATGGGCGCTCTGTATATTGAGAGCCCGTATAAAACCGCCTCGCGATTTAAGAGGAACGTGTCGACTCCTTATCGCCCAATTCTAGCTCATGCGACCGAACATCCATTTTACATGCCCAACGCCGGTACTCCCTTGTGGAAAAAGCGCTCATATAGCCCACCTGTAGCTCGCGTACCGTCCAGCCGTCTCCGACTTCCGTATGATCTTCACCACCTGGCCCCTCCGCAGGCCCAAATACTTCGCCACCGGATCCGTCGTCTGAATCCTCGGCAGCTGGCTCTCCTTCAACCGATATCTCTCCAGCAGCTTCGCCTTCTCCTCCTTGCTCAGCAGCACATGCTTCGGCACCAGCTCATGCATCGTGATATTGACTAGCAGCTCATCCTCCTTGAAGACCTCAAGGATCGCCGGCAGCACGGTCGGTATGATCTTCAGCGCGGAGGGAGAGATCTTGCCAGCCGCTATGAAGATGCCCGTGTAGTGGTGCTGCTCGTCAATGTAGTGCGCGAAGGTGCGCAGCTGCTTGATGCCGACGGTCTCGTCGCCGTTGAACTCGACGAAGACAGTGCCGATGGCGGGGGGACCGGGCTCGGGGTGTCGGGGAGTGGGCGGGTCGGTGTATTTCGCCATCATGGCGTCGCTGGGGCGGAGTGTGAAGGCCATGCGTTTGCGGCTGCAAGGAAGAGCTGTTAGCTGGAGTGGCCGGGGGGTTGGTGGGGAGGAGGCGCACTCAGGATAGCCGTTTGACTCGCAGTAGTGGTGTTTAAACTCGTCGAGGGATACGTCTATCTCGTTGTCCATGATCTCGTAGCCCTGTAGGAGGACTGTCAGTAAGTGCAACGGGCGCGCTGGGCGGGCGCATTCTATACCCGGTCCCTGCACATTTGGCGCGTGGTCCGCCAGACGCGCCATAGCTTGAGGGCTTCGCGACCGCCCTCTTCTGACATTCTGTACGCCGCTTGCGTTCGGGCTGTTCTCGAGGGTGTCGCGGTGGAGGAGGTTGTCGAGTTCAAAGAAAGTTCCTGGGGTCGCGCCGCCGGAAAACGCCGAACTTGTTCACCGCCTTCGGCGACCGCTCTGCTGATTAAGAATCCCCCGACGTCAACCACCAAACATGTCAACACCCCAGCTACCCAACTTGCTCGACAGCTTAGGCACAGGGAGGGGACGCGGGCGTAGACGTGGCAGAGGAAGAGGTGGTCTCGGTGAGAATCATGAGGACAATCAGGAGAAGAAGGACAGGGTTGTCCAAAAGACTGACGAGGACGCGTCCGTCTCCCGGATGAGCGCCGTGGAAATGGGCTACCTTGACGATCCATTCGCGAGAGCATTTATCTACGACCCGCCGATACCACGACGGTATCCGATTATAAACAGAGGTAGAGGCTCTGCTCCAATGTAGAGAGCTCACAGCTGACACAGCAACAGGAACTTATGTCCGGACAGCGGCCATTGACACGCTCGTCAATAAATTCCTCGCGGCCGATCGTGGCGCGCAGAAGCAAATTATATCCCTCGGCGCAGGTTCCGACACGCGATACTTCCGCATCATCTCCAAAGACCCCACAGTCAAGCTAGTATACCACGAGCTCGATTTCCCAACCAACGTGGCCCAAAAGATTTCCGCCATCCAACACACGCCCTCCCTCCTCGCCGTCATCCGCTCCACCCTCTCCACTCCATCAGACCTCCAAATAACCGCCCACGCCCTCACATCACCAACCTACAACATCCACCCCCTAGACCTCCGAACGCTCGCCATCGATCCTTCCACAAGCGCCCCACCGCCCCTCCCAACCCTCCCCCACCTCTCCACCGGAGCGCCGACCCTCCTCCTCTCCGAATGCTGCCTCATCTACCTCTCCCCGCACGACGCCGACAGCATCCTGGCCACCCTAGCCACCTCCCTCATCCCCCCGTCCACCCCGCTCGCCCTGATTCTCTATGAGCCCATCCGCCCACACGACCCCTTCGGCCGCGTCATGATCTCCAACCTCGCGGCCCGGGGCATCCACCTGCAGACGCTGCAAAAGTACTCCTCGCTCTCGCGGCAGCGGGCGCGGCTGCGGAGTGCTGGGTTCGTCGACGGCCAGGCGGCTGCGGATGTGGATTTTATCTGGGGAAGGTGGGTCGGCGAGGCAGAGAAGGAGAGGGTCGCGGGGCTGGAGATGCTGGATGAGCTTGAGGAGTGGGTGTTGCTGGCGCGGCATTATTGTGTTGCGTGGGGGTGGAGGGATGGGGTGGGTGAGGGCGGTGGGTTGTTTGGGACGGCGTGGGAGGGGGTTGTGGGGCAGGAGGGAAATGACGAAGGGGAGGGAATAGATTGAGGTGGACGGTGAGGCTGTGCTTGAAAACAAAAAAGGGTTGCAACGTTCGCGCTATTGTTGAGCAAGCCTCACTCTAGCGTCTTGTAATAACGCTGTGAGAGCAGTCCCGTGTGCTTTTACTGGGCCTGTATGCTTGTATGGCCAGGCATTGTCCAGCAAGTAATTTGTTCAAACGCTCTTAAGCACAGATTGCGGTGGACTACCTCAGGCATCGACAAACACGTGATCGGCACGCAAGAGACTAGGTATTCAATGCTGTCCCTTCCATGGTTACTGTCGGAAGCTCGGAATCTTGAAAGACTAAAGACAAGCCTCAACGCCATTTTTGTTTCGAAATATCTCACGTTAGTCGTAGCGTCATCCACTCTCTATATGCTCCTGAGCCGCATGCAACCCCGTTACAGCGACGACTTCTTGTCTATGTGAGGGTAGATATGGCCCAGCCCGCCGCCGCCATCGTCATCTGTTTTCGGCGCTTCCGCATCGTCGCTCTTTGCCATACCGACTCCTGTTATAGGATCTGTCAGTCTACTTTCGTTGCCCTCAATGGTGCTTTGTCCGGTTTCCTCATCCCCAGCGTTCTCAGTACCCTTCGCCTGTTTCTCACTCAGATGCTGCTCCAACCAACTCTTGTGACTGTTGGAAAGCTTCAAAGTTCGCTCGACCTCCTTCGTCAGCTTCTCCACCTCATCCTCGACCTTCTCATCCTTGCTCTTCTCCGGCTCCTGCTTCTCGCCTTCCCTTCCCTCTGGCGCAGTCTTCGCCCACAGTGTTTCCAGCTCCTCCAGCCACCCACACGCCCTCGCAAGGTCCCTCACGCGCTCATCACAATCCCCCAACAATAGTACATCGTCAGCCCTACTCCCCAGACTCCCCGCCCTCTCCTTATTAATCAACACCCTCGGCGTGCCCTCCGCACAAAACCCGGGCAAACTCGCAAACGGCTGCACCGTCAAACTGGTCCCCATAACTATACACAGATCCGCCTCGGCGGGCTTCATGCGGTTCAGGAAGAAGGCCGCGGGCAGCTGCTCGCCGAAGAAGACGATCTCGGGCTTCACGAGCCCGCCGCATTCCTCGCAGTGCGGCACGTCCCCCGTTGCGATCATCTCGCGCATCGAGTCGTCGGGGTAGGGGGAGCGGCATTCGATGCAGCTCTGGCGCGCGAAGGAGCCGTGCGCTTCTACGATCGCCTCGTCGGGTACCCCGGCTTCGCGCTCGAGGCAGTCGATATTTTGCGTGAAGAGCTTGAGCAAGAGGCCCTTGTCGTGGAGGAGCCGGATGAAGGAGTGCGTAATCGTCGGCCGGTATTTGCCGGGGTAGAGCTCGCGCGCCAGTGTGTAGAAGGGGAGCGGGTTGTTGCGGAAGTAGGAGATGTCGAAGACAGCTTCAGCGTAAGGGAGGTTGAGGCGGGAGAGGTTTGCGTAGAGGCCGGTTTCTGGGGACCTGAGTTTATCACCGTTAGCGCAGGCATTCCCACATCTGCGGGAATCTTTGAATACCTAAAGTCTGGTATACCCGCTGAAGTAGACGTGCCTGCGCCGGTCTGATGGCCGTTAGCTGCCTGCTCGGGTGGAGAGAAGACCTTAGAGGGGTTACCATGACTACTATGCGCTGCGCACGTCCGGACTTTATGTAATTTGCAATCCCGTCGAGTGTCCTGCTCTCCAATGTCTGAGGTGGCGTGCTCTCGTCTACGGGAGTGGATGCATCTTGTCCCATCTTCCCTCGTCCGCGCTTGTTACTGCCTCGCCAGGGCTTGCTCGCGCTGGGCTGCTGGCGATGTGGTCTACGTTTGCGACCTATGTTTACTGCCGCCCCGTAGGCCCAGCTGGTCAGAGTGTCGCGGATGAATCGGTACAGGTTGGAAACCCCTTTCAGCTTCCAGAGACTTGTTCGGATATAAAGAGGGTATTCTATATATAAGTTTAAGAGCTTGAAGCGATTGTGCGCTGTTGGACCACAGCTCAGTGCTACCTTCGAAGTGATATCCCACTGACGTCATATATCGTCGAATCCGCGATCTCAGGCATCAAGGCAGCCAGAGCTATATGGAAAAGGCGTGGCCACGCAAAAACTAATTAAGTCTACCAACACTCAACAATGCAACTACATGAACATGCTAATATCGGAATCATCGCTTTTCTATTTTTCTATATATAATGAAACTCTTAAACTAATTCATCAAGATTTGGGCGTGATGGATGAGTTTGAACACCAGGTAGGTCAGTATGAGGCGGGCTGTCTTCGGCCGTTTGGCGTGGCCGTCACTTTTCTGTGTGAGCCTTGCAGTTTGGCCGGTGCGCGCCAAGCCATCGCAGGGCTGCAGGCTGGAAGTGAGTTCACCTAACCTGGGTAGCTTACTTTGACTCCATTTCATTGTATGCTACACGGAGATTCTTCGAGCAGCTATAATCAGAGACATGGGGAAGGGGACAAGGACACGTGTTGCGCAAGTCGAACCTGAGTAGGACGGTCTTTCGCGTTGCCTCTTTCTTTTCTGTGCTTCTAACCCGTCTACCCTCAGTCTTTCTTGATCTCTCTCAATGCGTTACCTTTCGTCTTCTCAAGGACCACAATCCTCAAGCATACCTCCCAGGTTTCTCATGGAGAGACCAAAGTCGAGTCCTCAAAATCAAAGCAACGACAGAAAGAATGGCGAGTCCCCAGCGAAGCGCAAGCACAGCGGAAGCGAGAGCGAGCAACAACCGGTGAAATCAGGGAAGCGTTGCTCAGTCAGCGGGTGGGCGCGGTTGACAAGACTCGCGAAGCACCGGCCAGTCCAGAACCTCCTGCCGCTTTCTGTATAACGGTTCATTCCCATCCTCTCGCCGTATCTTCCACGTTTTCTGCACTGGGAACTGCATGGACTTAATGAGTTCATGGGGTCGTAGGCGAAACGGACGATCCCGTCGATAAAGGCTGCGTACCTTGGATTTGACTCCCATGCGTTTCTGGGACGCGATATCTTGCGCTACTTGGATACGCCCGAACCATCCGGTGGTGGGTCGAGCGACTTAAAGAAGTCGGACGATTTCGAGATCGTGGGTGGTTTCGATGTGGTGGATAATTTCGATAAGCTGGCTGGTTACCAAGTGCAGGATGATTTCGAAGCGCCGGACCATTTTGAAGAGCCGGAAAGAACAGCTTAAAATGCGCGGTTCCTGTGGTTGGTATCTCTAGTGGTTGCCCAGTGAAAAGAAGGCCGTCCCCCCCTCGGACGGATGGTCCCCTTGACAACTACATATCGGAGGTAATGTGCCGTTCGATATCCTGCCTTACTTTGCTTCTTTGCTATCGCCTCTATATCACCACTCAGAAACATGGAAATATTGTGCTAAAGGCGATGTTCAGGCATTCACGTGTTGGAGTGGCGGGACGCTGACGCTTTCAGCGACACTCGACTGCTTCCTGCTGGCTCTAGGCCCTGAGGGGCAGGTGCATGAGTGTTTGAAAACAGCGACTCACGCGCGATGAGAGAACTTTGGTACAGAGACACATCTCCGATAAAAGAGCTAGGATACGTGCTGCAGAGATTGTCAAGTTTTGCTTGTATATATATATGGCATCAAAGGATTCCTGATTGAACCATCCAGCTTCTCCGAACCTTTATGTTCCATGTTCCTCTATTCTATATGCTACTAGAGAAAGCCCCGTTCGCTTCCTCTACAATACAGTGCTCCATCAGTTCTGAGCAGTCCGCCTCGACTGCACTGCGAGCTTGGCGCGAGCCGATAAAAATGGTCGGCTTGGTCTGTCAGTGGTCGAAGCTTTATGCTTAGTTCAGAGGTCCCCCGCATATGCGGTTCATCGACCCGATGTAGTCGTTAATAAACTTTTGCTACTCGTAGCATGCATACAAGATGTCCAGCAATGACTCTTTTCCCCGCAATGGCATCACAGAACAGTCGGTCCGTCCGCTGCGGCTCTGGAGATCCGTTGCACTTCGTGGTTCGGAGAGGCTTGAGAAACGGCTGAAGCGGTCACCGTTAACGTCAGGTTGTCAAAGCCTCCGCAAAAATAGAATGACAACGACATCTAGAAACTGCAGAAGTCACCCTTCTAATTGGAGAACCTGTTCTCCGGCAGAGGCACTAACGTTGGTCAAGAGCAGCCGTGTGCGGCACGGATGAAGGGCTCCCACATGGCGTCAAGTAAAATGATGGACATTCCAAGGATCGCTGAAAACACGGCCCAATTGAGTTGGTATGTGTGCCGAATTTACGGTCTAGTTACCAATGCCTCGGTTCTCATCTAGTGTTCCGGCCTTCGCGGGTTCGTCTACCTCACCTGCTGCGACCACGGTCATCTTGAAACACTGAACGGGGTGTTTTTGGGCTTGCTTGTCATTGTCCGAGTCGAAATGAGATAAAGCCCAGAAGAGCTAGGTGACTGTAAGCAGGGAAACAGTGACGGGAGTTGTGCTTCATCCCCCTGCTCGAACATCATCACAAGCCGGGTGTGGGGCGTCCCGGCTGCCGGTCTGCCTGAATATTCCCTGTCTAGCACACACGCTGCCTGCTCTACCGCATGTCGACTCCATCCGCCGGACTCTGTCCACAGAACATGTTCGTCCTGCTCAAACCGCTTTTCCAGCGCTGAAATTGTTCCAGAGTCTGTCGATCTGGTTGCGCGTCGATGATGGAGGACGATGGCCGCGCCGTTATTACAGGACCAACGCGGGCTGGGGAATGTCGCAGCACGCGCAGACCAGCAGCGACTCCAAGCAGCCCAGCGGACTCATAGCGCGAAACGCAGGAAGACCGAGGGCACCCTGGGACACCATCATCAGACGTCGTTGCGGCTGGCGAAAGACAGCACGGAAGAATTGCGTGCCCGAACCAGACTCCGGAGCCAGAGCAAGAGCAGCGGAGATGTACCGCCTCATGGAGCTCCAAACACGCGAGAGGGCCGGCAATTCACCGTCGGAAACATTGGGAATAATGGAACTATATACCTGAGGTGCGTAAGACTAGATGGCTCTACGCACGTTGATCCCCCGCCGTTACTGCTGGTTAGGGCAATCGTGGTAGATATGCCTGCTTACCGTATTTTCACAGGCCAGTCGTCCGCTCTGCTACGCAGCGAGCCCGTCCCATACCTGATCCTTTCGCTGTCTCGCATGTCACAGTTCCAGATAGTACTCGCACGGCCAACGAGTCCGCAATCCCAAAATCCCCTCGGGAGGAGAGCTGGTTCTCTGGATCTGCTACATCGATACCACTACAACAAGACACTTTCAAGCCTGCACACATAAGTAGTGAGAAGCCCGAAATAGCAAATGTTCCGTCTTCGAAGCCCCCTGCGCATGTTCGCTCCTTCTCTTGCTCCACTATAGAAGACTCGGCTCCGCCACAAACCGCAGATCCGAACACTTTCAAAATATTAATAGATCGGCCAACAATTCGACGGCCCGTAACTGCGCATGTGGACTCGCTGCCTGTGTTACAGGTCCCAATTCCGCACTACAAACTCGGAACACCACGATTCAGTGCAAGGGGGACGGCGATCATAGGAAGCTCTGTATACACACGAGGGTCGGGAACGGACGACTTTCGGTCATCGGTCCTCTCTGGTGCTGAGTACAACCGCCTTATTGGGACTCCACCACGTACCATCCGCCCTTCGCTAATGTCTAGCTGGCAATCGGACATCTCCGTGCAGCCAGCGTTCGTTCGCCGCAGCATCATCGGGGCCGTAAAGGCTCGAGCGTCTGTTGTGCGAGGGACAGATGAGCTCGTCAGCAGCGCGGAGATTGGACCGCAGGTCTTCGATAAGCTATCAGCACATCCAGACGATTCCTCTGTTGTCCGGTTCTCGAACGGCAAGCTTGTTGCTGCAACGCCGCCACGCCTCATAGTTCACATAACTTCTGAGCATTTCCTCGACTATCGATTGCTGGAAGATTTCTTCCTGACGTTTCGTTCATTCCTACCACCAACTGATCTTCTGGCATATTTAGCTGCTCGGGAAGAATGGGCTCATCGCCGAGATGACAATGTTGGTGTGATTGTTCAAATTCGAGTCTTTGTTGCGCTTCGACACTGGATCATGAACTTCTTAGTAGTGGATTTCGTGCCTAACTATCAACTCCGACAACAATTCTGCGATTTCGTGAACCGACTATGGAAGGACATGTCCGGGCAGAACCCTGGAAGAAACAGAAAGGCCCATATCCTCGGACAACTCAAATCCTGCTGGAGACAAGTCATGGGAAGGTTTTGGGAAGGTCTTGAGGTTGGTGCGCCGGAAGATGATATCCTCCCTGGCGGCCACGTCGATTCGGAAATCTCTCAGGATGTTCCTGGGACAGCAGAGGGAAGCAGATTACAAAAGGAAGCCGGCTCACAGCAAACAAGGCCGGAGGCTCAATGGCCAAAATTTGCTGGAGCGATGAATCCGCAAGACACTAACCGGGCGCAGAATGATCAACGGGTTCCGCATTCATCGCTTGTCTCAGCGCTGCATTCTTCTCAGGAGTATGATGGCCTTCCCTTATCGCCGGCGAGTGAGCAAAGCCTGCAGGTTTACTCATGCTCCATTCCGATGCGTCCCTTCCTCCGGACTGAGCGACTTTCTGATAGGCCATTGAACCCTCCGCCGGCTCTGGTCCAAATTACCGGCGTACAGCCTAGTATTTCATCCAGCGGACCTCAGCGCCCGGCGCAGGACCATGGACGTAGTGCAAGCCTTGGTGACACATGTGGAGACCGCAGAGCAGCCTCTGCTCGAGCACATGGCGTCAACTATCCAGCCAGGGGGGAGATGCTTTCTGAGTTCCCTGGCAGCTTGGTCCGCGGCGCGATATTTCACCCAGACTCGCCTTATCTCGACATCCAATCGCATGACGGTATGTGGTCTGTCAAGTCTTCGCAGGAGCTCGGTCGTTCCAACAACGGGAGGCCGATATCAAGTTCCAAAATATCGCTCGCATGGAATCCTGGGGTCAAGAGGCTCATTGGGTCCGTCTATCGCGCCCTTAGCGTGAAACAGAATGGAAGTTATGATCCTCGCTCTGCGGAGCAAGCAACTCAGTCCTTTACTGTCGCGAGCCCGAAATCCCCGCACCCTGCAGCACGTGCGACCGGCCCCCAATCTTCTGCTGGCGTTCAAAAGCGGAAGAACTCCCGTCGAACCCAGGTGCGCGTCGACATACTGGCTGCCAAGGCTGCCGAAAGCTTCAAGGCTGCTCTTGCTGCCGAAGCCGAGGTTGAGGAGCAGAGGCACGGGGTGCCTGCTGCGACAAATACGCAAGCCAATAGCGAGAATATGCCAGACGTCCAGGATCAGCCGGAGCAGCAAGAAGTAAATATTGCAAGACTCAACAGTCACATCACGGCAGGGAGTCGGTCCATAGTGATTGTAGACGGCACAGGACCTCGAGATTTCCCGGAGATGCCTGGACTTCTTGCAGCAACTTTTCTGGCTCAGAGCTCGGCACAAGCAATCAGCAACCCGGACCAGCTCGCTCATCCACCATCTCACCCGCGTCCAAGTCTCGATAATCAATGGAGATTTCCGAGCAGCGGTGTAAGCGCACTGCAGGCAATTGACGACGGAAATTTCTTCTCTTCCGCTACAGTTGGGCCACCCCACCACAGTGAGTCGCTTTCGAAGGAACTCGCAAAAGCGTCTATCTCTGCATCAGAGCACCGTCCTTCGTTTACCAGACATCCCTCGGCGCGCCGGTTAACTAGGAAGATCCAATCCATGCATTCGGGCTCTGTACCTCTTCGGAGGTACGCTTCTTACCAGAGCAGTATAAGTAGGCATCACCCAGCACAGAGCGGTGGCACTACAGCGGGGTCTATGTCTTCTCGCAGCGACCCTTTTGTTCTCGATCACAGTCCCGTCCGCCCGCTTCGACGACGCCCGGGAGGTGATCTTCGCGCAATGGGCAATGGAGTCGACATTGGGCGGATTCCACGACCACGATCCACTGGCTCACTTTCGAACAGAACTCACTCTGTGACCAACTCCGTAACATACCCCTCTCTTGCCGCTGCCGCAGACACAGCCCCTTCTCAGTTTGAATCCGAGGAGCGCCATGCGACTACTGCTGGAGCGACTGACGGTACTACTGCGCCGAGGAAGCGTCTGTCGCTGATGGAGACTCACTCATCACAGCCGAATCTTCGACCTTCGTTCGAGGCCGCTGTTGCGAGGTTCGCTGCACTGCCGGACGATGACGATGATGGAGGTGTCGAGTCGGCATTGATGAAGCTAGAAGGCCGGTATGAGAAACGTAGAGGAGCGCCTAGTCCGAAGCCAGCCCTTACCGATGGAGTGTATGTGCCGAAGACCAAGAACAATGCGAACCCGCCCATTGGAGCCCGGGTTACAGTCTCAGAGCATCAGCAGGTGGTCAATCTAACGAGCGCTCAACCCATCGGATCGTCAGTTCCGCAATCTCAAACATTGACCTCCGAGACCCAGGAAGCAAGCAACCCTAAAATGGCTCAACCCTCTGGCTCCCAGACTGTCGTTCAACCTACTGTGCAGACTCGATCAGTTGCCGAGTCGGACGACTCGTATTCGTCCATACCTCTGTTAGAGCGTGGATTGAGCGACGCGGGAAAAATCAAGCAGAAAAAGCCCTCGCCTCTTAGCAAAGCTTCGCCGCAGACTCAGCACAAGATAGTCGTGCAAGAGTTTACCGATTTGCCAAAATCTTCAGGGGAGCTCGTTGGCGAGACTGAAAGCATGCAAAGTATACCGAAAGGCGCGACCCTGCCTACTTCCGCCACCTCGCATCTATCCTTCCTATTGGACGAAAACGAAAGCCTTGCAGATATCTCCACAGAGCTGTCCACTGAAGTCTCTGATGACAACGAAGACGCCGGTCAGGGCGTTAGGAGCTTTCTTGAAGATGATACACCGTACGAAGAGCTTGACGCAGATTTTATGTCACACCCTCTCCGCCATCCCCCCACACCACCTCGAACGATGGAGCGAACGGTTCACACACCACGCGCTGCCGAAACAACCTTCAACAGAGCTCCGCCTACCCCTGGTCTAACCCCTACTCTGAAGCCCACAGAACATCCTCGACCTCCTGCATCCATCCCTCAACCGCCGGCTGCAATTGAGCTGACAGAGCTGCGGAGCGATGTCGCGTCGGCAGTACATATACCCTTCATTCTTGCCTACGACGCCGAAGTTCTTGCACAGCAGTTCACCATCATCGAAAAGGATGCGCTCGACGAGATCGAATGGAAAGAACTGATCGACCTGAGCTGGAAGCAAAAGGCACCTGATGTGCGGAATTGGGTCGAATACCTCCGCTTCGAAGAGCCTCGCAGCGTCGACATTGTCATCGCGCGCTTCAATGTCATGGTCAACTGGACGATATCTGAATGCCTGCTGATTGATGATCTCGATGAGAGAGTCAAGGCCATTGTCAAATACATCCACATCGCTTCTCATGCGAGAAGGCTTCAGAACTTCGCCACCATGTCCCAGATCGTGCTTGCCCTCAGCTCGGTCGACATGGAGCGTCTGACGAAGACGTGGGAGCGGGTGCCCGTGCACGAATGCGAGATGTTGCAGGACTTGAAGGCTTTGGTCAACCCGCTTCGGAACTTTGTTAGTCTGCGAGAGGCTATGGAATCAGCTAATACCGACTTGGGCTGCATTCCATTCATCGGTAAGCCATACCCACGGACAAAATCTGTGCACCGTGAGAGTAGAACCTCGCTAACACCACTCACAGGCATCTACACGAAAGACCTGCTCTACAACGGCAACAAGCCCGAATACATCAAAGACCAGCCAGCAAACTCCTCTGGCGAGCGCCTCGTCAACTTCGAGCGCCACCAAGCCGCCGCAGGCATCGTCAAGAGCCTCTCACGTTTGCTTGAGGCCAGCGACAACTACAAGTTCCAACCTGTGCCTGAGGTCATCAGCAAATGCTTGTGGATGACATCCCTTACCGACGAGGAGATCAAGCGGCAGGGCCAGAAGATACAACCTTCGACAAGCCATGCGGCGATGGCAGGCTAGGAAATCTCTGCCGTGTCAATGCTGTGATTTCCGAACACATCTGTGGTAAATCTACTACCTCATTTCTACCGGACTACTGGCCTTTGGACATACCCGCTATTGTATCTTGGGTACCGCTGTCACCAGGTGGCGGTTGTCGCCAGATGATTCTACCGGAACCTGATATTTCTACTTAGCCGCCTTCGGTTCAAATGGCCTTAATAGACATTTAGTCTTACTTCGATGCTTAGTAGAGCTAGATAATTATGCTTAGCTTAGAATCATCTAGCTCTGCTGAGCATTAAAGTGAGATTAAATATCTGTCGAGGCCATTTGAACCGGAGGCGGCTAAGTAGAAATATCAGGTTCCGGTAGAATCATCTGGCGACAACCGCCACCTGGTGACAGCGGTCACTGTGAGCGATTCAGCGTTTTCTTATCAACGACGTTACGATGTACCTTTGTGCATATGCTTGAGTACCTTGTATAGGTAGCATCTTTCCTACGCGGGGATAGATGGGCTATTTGTATGGACGGCCCCAGTGTATAGGCGTGGAGTTATGCATACTCTGTAGCATAGGGTGTGTTTCGAAGGATCATGGCCTAATACTAGAATCAATCTATCTGTTCATGAGCTCGTAGCCTCAGAGGTATCTTAAATGCTTGTTGCTCAGCTCACTGCGTAGATCTCCGGCCTTCTGTGGGCTGCACTTGCCGGGGACGCCCATGGTGTTACGGCGGCTGTTACTCCAGAGATTCACGTGCCTTCTGGCGTGTTTAGCGTATGACCTGCACCGGGTACCGAGTAGTCAAAATCGTACGTGCACGCCATCGGCTAAAAGCACTAAATAGGATATCCTGCAACCGGCCAGGATGTCGATAAGACAAGCATCGCCATAACTACAGTACAAGCCAAATTTGGAAATAAAAACTCCCAAAAGCCTTGCTCGAGCCCATGCGGATCCGGTTTCGAAGCTTGTCTCATACTTCGCCATCTCTGCCGCTCTTTGCCGCCGCGGAAAACGGCTTCCAATTACCTTCAAAGTTCATCGTCCTCCTTTAACAATTCTCCGCCCACTTAAACCAGACAGTAACAGTTAGGGTAAATAAACTAGTAAGCCAAGCCAGTAGCCAAAGCACCGACGCAAGAGAGCCCGGCTCTTTAAGACCATATTGTTTGTATAACCAGATAGCGACCACTAAACTAGAAGAGGCGTAGATCAACAGAATGTAAAATAGCAACCTATGAGGTCTGAACTTCTCCTGAAACAGCAAACCCCATGCCTGTGGACTTTCAGCGTCGCGATAGTTCAATTCGAGCTTCGCTCCGATTTTCTTTGGTATGGCGTTGTATATGTGTTTGCTGCGTGGCTGCCTTTCTGGCCGCTCTTCGTCCGTCGGGTGGATATTTCGAGGCAGCTGATTGTCCCCAGCAGAGATGTCATCGAGCTCCTGGCCACTTGCGATCAGTTCCCGGGCCCACTGACAGAAGCTGTGCGGCAAATGTTTGAGCCAATGAATGAACCTTTTATGCCAGGAAGATGTGCGGCACCATTCGAGATACGCATAGATATCGGCATGATGGGCGTCTCGCCAAACGTTCATCAGAATGGTGCGGCCGACCAAAGGTATGTTCTCTTCTGTTGCCGGATACGGCTCGTACTGCCAAATCCTGGGCTCCTGGCTTGGGGGCCAAACGTCACTTTTTCGTACATCGGCACGATTTTGGTCGGTCAAAGCAAACTACTCTCCTTTCATCAGTATATCAAAAACGCGAAATAAATGGTGGCTGACTTACCCTGACAAACTGAATCTCACTCACTCCACGAAGCTGGAAAAACCGCTGCCATCTACTTGACACAGCATAGTACTTTTGACGAAACCGCGTGAATAGCGCGTGGTCCGTATTCCTGCGCGCCGCGTCCACGTGTACAGCAATCTCTTCCTTTTTACTATTTACGAAGACTGGTAATGCCCAAAGTCCGGTCGGGGAAGGCTCGCCTTGTCTTGCGGTCTCCTGTACAATGAATCCTGGGGATTCTTCGTCCGGCGGCGCGCTATGCTCGTCGCCCTGATTCTTGTTGCTGGTGGGATTTCTATGGTCTATCGGACCAGTAGCAGAGCTTTCTTGCTGAGGCGGCTGACTTTCAGAAGAGCGTTCCTGAGAACAACCTTGTTCAGAAGACTGTTGATAGGTTCGGTAACCGTTGGAAGGGTATTGCAGATGACCGCTTTTTGGATGTTCCATCTCCCACAGAACCAGATCCATTGCCTGCAGTTTTAGAGAGCGATTGATGACCCATTTGTGGAGCATAGCGGCAAGGGAAGCGAGAACAAAAGCTAAGTTGAAGTAACGAGGCCACACATAAAAAGCGGCATAAGTGCGGAGAGCGCTGGCTCACTCTTCAATGGATAGACATAAAAAAAACGCACAGAATACGGCTAGTCTGGAGAAGATGGATTGCTCGCACGAGTTTTGGTAAGCTGGTAGTAGACATAGACTTCAAAATTGAATATTCTGGACAATACGGGATTTGAGATTTCAAAGATAAAAAATATATGCAGAAAATCAGTAAAGACCGCTTCTGAAGATGTCTTTAGTCCTCTACCAATACCCGAGTAAGACAACATAGCGTATCTACTATACCGAGCCCCAGATTCAATTAATAGACGCGTTGTTGTAGTATATCAATGTCCCGCACCTTGTTATCGCGATGTGACACTATCCCCATATTGCCAACTACGCATGAAGCTTGTCTTTCTGACAGGGTGGGTTGAGCCGCTACAGTAAGGCCTACCTACTGGAGGGATTATGATACATGATCCAGGATCGGCTTACAGCTGCTGCAAATTAGGCATTTTGCTGCCCTAAATCAGCCAATACAGTACCGCAACTCGCGAGTCTGAGGTAAGTTGTTATCACTGCAGACATAAAAGAGTTCTCGTAGATGGCTCTGATTATTACTGTACTCTATGTATATCTTAGTTGGGTATATCCGCATCATCTCGTATAATTACCCTCCAGGCCCCCCACGCTTCGATGCTTCCAAGACGTCAAATCAGGATGCCTCCGATCCCACCCCGCGCAGACTATGCAAACACGACATATATATACGACCTACGCCCATTTCCCGATGCGATTTTGCCAATACCAAAAAAACACCCACAAATGCACTCTTACATGTTTCCGTCATCTGTCTCATAAGTCTTCATCATCGTACACGCCAAGCGCGACCTCATTCAGAAATTGACGGCCCAGTCCCTCGGCGACACAGCCTCCTCTTGGATGCTCGTCCTAGCCGGTGTACCAACGCCAGCATTTCCTCCCTTCCCATAGCCCAGCACCTCAGGACAGTCCAGCACGAACGGATCGCTGATCCTGCTGCGTGCGCGCTGCTGCTGGGTTGAGGCGGCGGAGACGGTGCGCGAGATGGGGAGGCTGCTGCTGCGGCTGTGTTGAGAGGCTACGGTGCGGGCGGGGGAGACGGTGCGGGGACGAGGAGCGGTATAGGGGCGGCTGAGAGATGCGGAGGTAGGGCCGGAGGGGGGAGAGGTTAAAGAGGGAGGAACTAGGTAAATATTTTTCGGTTGCGCTGGTAGATTGTTGGAAGGGGTCGGGGCGAAGGAGCTGAAGGTGGAGTCGGAGGAAGGATTTTGGACTGGGATCTCTAGGGGATTTGGGCGGTCCGTCAGGCCGGGAGTCGTGCCGTGGACGGGTGTATCTGTGTTTTGCGTAGATGGATTTCGAGGCGGGCCGGCCGTCGGGAAGGTGAATGGAGGTGGCGCAAGGAAGCGCGGCGCTGGAGCGAGGTTCGAGCTGCTGCTCTTGGGGCTCCCTCTGCTGTATTGTTGCCCAAGCGGCGCTGGGCTCGACGTGCCAGTGCCCGACGTGCCGGGCCGCCCACTTCTGTCGAAGAGACTTCCGGGTGGAGTTCGGACGTTGCGGCTCGTCATTGCAGCAAATATGGGCAGTCCTGATATTTTCCGCCCGAAGGACGGACGTGCGCTATTGATTGATCCCGCAGGAGTTGGTGTTGCGGAGGGCGTGCTTGGCGCCGAAGGATCTGGGTTTGTGCAACGGAGGGGAGCAGGTCCCGCGCTTGTCTCCGGGTCTCTGAATGGGTCGTCAAACTCATAGAACCCTGTCGGGCATCGTGAGACCTGCGTGACCTCAGGTAAGATGAACCGGCTCGAATGAGCGGAAGCATGACGGGAATGGTGGGACTCCCGCCGCCGCTTGATCCTGGCAGCGAGTGCTGTCACCGGCAAACAGTTCTGAGCGAAGTCTCTGGCCCTGCTCATGAGGGGCCGGGCCTCGACTGAGGACACTGATTCATCATCCGTCCGCCACTTCCCTGTCATCCGTCTCTTCCAAGCTGCGAAATCTCTTCTCGGATGGCGGCGGCGGCAACACAGAAACAGTATCGCGCCTAGTATCGCCAGGCCTACGAACCCTCCAAGAACACCTCCGGCAACCGCGGGCGCAGAAACGTGTGGAGTATTGGCACTGCCGGGCTCGGATGCATTTCCACGGTTTGTTTCCGCTCCACCGAAGAGGGCGGTAGTCTCTGGGGTAGGAATAGCTGTGGGGCTCTCGATCAGCTGGCTGCCAGAGGAGCTGACGGTTGTCGTCGGCAGTACGGCGCTCCAGTCCAGGCTCGTTCTATCGGACGGGCGTATAGGAGGCCGTGACCTGATTGAAATAGTGAAGGATGATAGATCGGCGGTCGTAGATGAAATTGGCGGGGCCGAAGTAGGAGATGTTCGGATATCGCCATCTGATATGCTAGTTCCTGTCGGAAGAGAAAGGGGTAGCGTTACGGTAGTTGTGAACGTGATAATAGACCGCTTTATGCTCCCACTTGCAGTAACAGCTGTGGGTGCGCTGGTTACAGGTGATATAGCGGATTGTACAGGTGGTCTATTCGTTCGTTGATCCGGGATAATTGGAAAGATAGTAGAGTTACTCGGAAATTCTGACTGAATGTTTGACGCCATCCTGGACCCGGAGGGACTGGTAGGCACAGCAGAGAGTTGCTGCGCGCGACTCGTCACCGCATCGAATGCGAGAGATGTAGAGTTTCGGTATTGTCTGATGACACGCTTTGGACTAGGAACTACCATAGAAGCCATGCGACAGAATGCAGAAAAGGGATATAAGGCATGAAAACTTTAACAAAAGAGAAACAAAGCAATGCATGCATACGAAAACTGGAGAGCCAGGAAGATAAAACACCAAGCCCGCCTTACCTCAGCCCACAGATCGGAAGAAACAAGGAGGCCCGTGGGCCTCGTCGGAGGTGGGTTCGACGATGGCCGGATGGCAATGAGCCGTAGGCAGAGAAGCTTCGTGGGGCAAATTTTGAGGCTCGGTCGGTTTCATGTTGCCGCTTTAGGACTCTTGAGGGTCGTGAGGGCCCAGGGAGAAGACGTGAGGCGCTTACAACCACTCGTCTGCAAGTTTTCGTTTCAAGATTAGCGCGATCCCGCAGCGGCTGGAAGACGCTGTGGCAATGGCGATCTCCCTCTTGTTTCTATTTTGTCCTCTTCTCCTGACCTCTGGTCAAGGCGAGAGAGGCGAAAGAGGCGATCCGACAGCTCTTGAGGCTGTGTTGGCGTGGTTGACGGGAGATGATCGTCCGGGGAGAATGCGCCATGCAGTTCCATTAATAGACTCCCCGCCGTTGGGCCGAGAACGTGGGCCGAATCGTGGGTGCATCACGTGGCGGTCTGCGTGTCTCACGCAATCGAACACCACGATTCTTGGTGTTGAAGCAATTTTAGTAATGTTCTACAGCTTCGTAGAATTCTGCTTTTGTGCGAGACTTGGTCATCAGAACATAAAACAGATGGGGTTTCCCTGGGGAAGGATCCTGCATGAGGAGTGCATGAGAGGGCTGGCACATCCATGTTGAAACACACAACACCGCACTCGACGGAATGGAACCACTGCGGCCCGCGCCCTGTCTCCCGCCGTCAACCAAGATAGACGACTACTTCCCTTCCAGAGACCCTCCTGCGTCTTGGTGAGCGTCGATAGAAATGTTTGGCTTCGGTTCCAGCAGTAGGCATCCCGTCTCATTCTCGCACCCTGTCTTCTGTCGTAAAACCAAGTCGTCTCTTGCCCTGTGACTCCTCTCGTTGTCTGTATCTTCGTCGTCGAGTTCATCTTTGTTCTCTAGCAACACGGGGTTTCTCTATGTTGGAGTCCAGGCTGCCCAGCTTTCTCATGCTCTGAGGCCGAGGGTCTAATCAAGCCTCATGGGGGCGGCGCCGTTTGAAATGAGACATTGTGTGCGTCGTAAAAGTCCTCGTTTCAATCGAGTATCGAGAACGGCGCCCCCGTTGTGTTGAAAGTGTTTCGTAGCGAGTATGCACACTTCGAAGTCGACACTGTACCAATCATAATTCGCATCCTCCTGCAAGATATCGACGTAAAACAGTCGGCCAGATACATCTAGCTAACAATCGTCGTTGAAGGCACACTTCTGGCGGGAAGATTCGACGTTGAAAAAGAGAGGCCGGCTCCGCCCCATACTACCCCAGTTACATTTCCGAGTTATGAGCAAGCCTCTGCGCGGGCACCGCAACCATGGTCAGCAGAGTCGCCCCCTGACCTGGTGCAAGTCTATACCAGACTCAGAAAGGCCGATGATGTCAGCATCGAACACTTCGCAGGCCTCAATGTAGCCCTCGACATGGTCACCTGTGATTTGGAAGAGCTCTTACCGGCCGCTTCTACGAGTTCATCCTACTTCCCGCCTCGATCGTTGCTCGCTGCAGGAGAGGCCCCTGAGTCCGCCGATGCTAACTCTGCAAACCGTCGCCTGGCGAACGACCGGCCGGTACCAACTGACAGGGACTTCTATGTTCGACTGAAGGAGATCCAACACCGCAATCACGATGCTTACTGTGTTTTCACCCGGACTCCTAAAGCTGGACAACTACCGCCGCGCCTCGCCTTCTTCCGCCGCTTCTGGGACGGCATGGACAACATGGCGTACTATTGGGACACCAGTCTTGACAAGTATGTTCCGCCCAAGTCCGATGGCGAGGAAAAAGACGCCGAGCCTGGAAGTCACTCTCCAGAAGATGCTAAAGCGAATCACAAACTATCCGAGACCAGTCATAACAATGTCGCGCCGACCGACACAGAGCCTCGCAAGAAGGCTAGGATAGCGATTGACCGCCGTGCCGAGACCTCAACCTCAGCCCCATCTACAGCTGCTGCTGCCGCTACAGACGCAGATGCAGACGCAAAAGCGTCACAGTCCACAACCCCCATCTCTTCCAGCTCCGATATTGCACCTTGCCTCAAACCTCCTACCACCACAAGCTCCTCAGCACCGAAACCCCCTCCACCATCATCCTCGCCATCATCCGCAGCCACCCCGCCAATCCCCCCAGCCCGCTCAACCCAGGGACCCCGCGGGACGTACACGGGCTATCGGATCTCCACCGGGACGCTAATGCCACCTCCCTACCGCGTGCAAACCATCTCCGCCTTCCTGGAACCCCTCGCCTGGTCCTTCGGCCTGACACTCTGCGCCCCGCGCCGCCCCGTCCATCTATCTCTGCAGACCCTGCGCGTCCCCGTTGCCGTCAGCACCGCCGTCTGGGAAGCTCCGAACGACCGCATCAAAGCCCGGCAGGGCTGGCTCATGGGGCCGGTGCTGGGCGTCTGTGTGAGGGAGGAGACGGGGTTCGGGATGGGAGATGTGGAAGCGGAGTTGAAGGGAGGAGGGCAGAAGGGGACGGTGGATCTGTTGAGAGAGATTGGGGCGTTGTTGGGAATGGCGCAGGAGAGGGCGAGGGAGGGCAAGGAGGAGAGGAGGTCCGGGGTGGGAAAATGGTGGGTTGAGAAGCCCAGGTGGGGTGGTGGGGCGGGTGGCGAGCTGGGAGAGGGGAGAGGGGAGGAGGTTGGTACGGCTGGGGAGGGGGACACGGGCGATGTTGAGGAGAAGGAGGGGAAGGAGGGGGAGTGGGAGAGGCGGGCAAGGAAGATGATGGGTGTTAGGGAAAAGAAGAAGAAGGTTAGCGCTATCGATGCGTGGAACGCCCTTCGGCCGGGCAGCGGCTTCTGGGACCCGAGGGTTGAGTATAAGGCTGTCGGGAAGTCGAAAGGGGATCAGTGGGACGAGGTAAATGCTGCTCGCCCCCTTCCATCTCCCTAGACCTTATCGAAGCATGCTGGGTTGTCAACTAACCAAAGAAACATAGGTCTTCCTCATCTCCTCCCTAAACCACCACATCAGCATCCTCAAGCTGCGCGTCCATGCTGCATACCTCGAATACCTGACCGAAGGCACTTTTCCAGCCAAGCCGCCGTCCAATCCGGATTGGTGCAGTCCGCAACTGTGGCGAACGCGCTGGTACGACCTGTTCAGTGTGCAGGATCGGGAGGAGGCCATGCGGGGTGTTTGGGGAATCTTGGCGTATCTGCTGCGACCCGAGCATGAGGCGGCGCAAAAGGAAGCAAAAGGAGATGTGGTGATGGGAGAGGGCTGAGGGAGAGTTTCATGATGTATAAAACTCGGGATCGGTGGCATAGCTACATAGAATGGACTACAGATTGTGCATATCTGAAGCGAACTACTCGAGCTGAGTACGTAGATGTGACTCTCTGAACAAATGGGGCATTTCCGGTACCCACGTGATATAGAGAGGTACATTGCATGGCCGCTCCACCTGAGAGTCCATCTTGACCAAAAAGTTTGGGAACTCTTCCGGCTGAAGGCCAAGTCTCATGCCGCTGGCAAGGGTGTGACCCTTTGGGGATCCGCCTTCCTGTTGCCGCCAATGATGTCCGCGACGGCCTGAGCCAGACAGTAACCTTGAAACTCTCACAAACCCCAATACTTCTGACAATCTCCCCACACTGTCGCGGCCCATTCATTTCTGCTCAAGCCCAGTTGCCGTTCGCCTCGTACTCCTAGCTCGACGTTTCTCACAGTCATGTGCTTCAAGGCATCTTCCGCCTGCGCTTGAATTCCTCAATCCACGCAGCCGCCGCGCCCTTAGGTAGCACGTTAACGCTCAACAGTCCATCCACAAGCTCAACCTTACCAGTCCCCAGAATCTTCAGCAGCGGCAGTTTTTTCCCCGCTTTGATCAGCCCGCCCGCCGCCGTCTCAACATAGCACTCCACGCTCTCCGCCGCATACTCCCCCTTCTCGTCCCAGGGTACCGGCAAGATGTACGCCAGATGCTCAGCCAGCGTCTCCGACTCGCGGAAGGCTTTGACGAAGTCTGTCTGCGCGTGAAGCGGGTAGAGCAGGAGCACAGGTATCGAGAGCGTCGACGCGGGATCGATCGGCGCTTCGAGCTTAATCTGCGCGTCTTCCAAGTCGCTCGGAGGGCGCGCCGTTGTGCGTGTGCGGATGTTGCGGGCTTTGAGCGCCAGCGCGAGGGCGTGCGCTTCTGCGGCTTTGCGCTGTTCGCGCTCGCGCCGGGCGCGTTCGAGTTGTTCGAGATGGGTCTTGCGCGCGGAGATCTTGTGGGATAAGGTCTTGAGCGCGCTGTTCTGCGCGTCGAGGGAAAGGCCGATTGAGCAGGCGTCGACGGCTTCATCGAGCTTGTCGAGTGCGAGGCAGGCGGTTGCGGAGCGGAAGTAGGCTTTTATGTTCTGGGGATTGATGCGGAGGGTTGACGCGCAGTCGCGGATGCATGAACGGTAGTTTTCTGGGTGGAAAAATAGATATGATAAGCAAGCGCATTGATATGCGTGGGTACAGGCAGATTGCCATGGGAACGCGTACTTTTCTCTAGATGACACAGCGCCCGATTGATGTAGCAGGCTTCCTCAATCTCCAACTCCTTCTTCTTCTCAGCTTCTTCATCAATCTCTGCAACTTCTAGAATCATGGAGCCTTCCTCAAGATTCTGCGGCTTGGCGGGTGCCTTCAGCGCCGCAATCGCCTTATCATAGAACTCGCGGGCATCAGTCCACTGCTTCGCCCTCGCACACTCATTCCCCTGTTCTCTAAAGTTTCCTGCCACCTCCGCTCTTGTGCCCTCGTACGCCAGCGCCTTGAGAGCCTCGAGCTCGATGTTCTCTCCGCCCTCGCCGTCCGTTTCATCCAGCGTAGTCATGAAGAGCGGCGACCGGTTCATCATTTTCAGAACCTCGTCGGCTGTGTGCTGCTTCACGGAGGCCATCGCTGGGGGCATAGCGGCGCCAGATTGGGTGGCGTCGGCGGTGTTCGACTGCGCATCTTGCTTGAGCGGGAAGGGCGCGGCTTGGGAGATCAGAGATTCAAGAGCGCCCGCGTTCGGCGCTTGGGCTTGGGCCTGAGGATCATTGCTGAGATCAAACTTCTCGCCGAAGTCGTTGGGAAGTTCTTCTGTTCGTGCCATCGTTGGATGCTAAGGTGGAAAATAAATTGCTGCTCGGAAAAAGCCGTCGAGCACTCGGGTGGTTATCGATAGCGCACCCCAGCTCTCTACCCAATATCACTCAGGGGCTTGAAGGTTCAGCCCTCTTCTTCGCCGCAAGCAAAACCCGGGTCTTTCATCGTCTGAAAACCCCTGTTCCCGGTGTGGATCGCAACGGCTAACGGCGTGGGGAAAGGGCAAGTGTAGCAAACCATGGGACCGCCAGATTGCTGCTGACAGCGATTGACATTGACGGGAATCAACATCATGCAGTCGCAGCCGTCTGGTCAGAGAGACGGGCTGTTTTTTTGTCGGCAAGCGCGCTGAACCTAAGGTTTGAGACCTAGCGGTCGTGACTCGCGCGGATTTGCAAGCGGCGGCGGGTTCGGAAGTGAGACTGTTGCTAACGACAGTGCAATGTTGACTGGGTCAGTCGATACAGAGCATAACTTCAACTGTGCGACTTCAACAAGACGAGCGTACTCGTGGGTCTCCAAAGACGAGGTCGTATTATGATGGCCGATGTCGCGATCTCGGTCCGGCCCTCTTCAAGCAGTCAGTGTTGCTTAGGCTGGAGTTCTAACTATAGTCGTTCATGCCAGAAACCATGTGTCGGTAGCTCCGCTTGAACGACTCCGCAGCGTGAGCGGGTCTTTGCGGAGGACGATCCCTAGAGGAAATGACGAAGACGTGCTTCACCTGTTGTGGTACGCGTTATGCAACTCTCCTCGGGTAGAGAGTTGTGGCTTTTAGTCGCACAGACACGGCAAGAGTCTGGATGCCAGCATGAACTGATGCCTCGTGCCAACAGAAGACTTTACGCCGTGGAGTGTGAGCGGATGCCCGCGTCTTCGAGAAGGACAGACTTGAAACGCATCAAAGAGGACAAGCTGCACCGGCGCTCCACTCACTCGGGTCAGACGCGCGCAGTTCAGAGATCTTCCGGAAGAGATGCATTAACAGTGATGCTAATGCAAGCTTTAGTGTGGAAGCCTGCTGCTTGGAGAGGAGGTGCCTGATCGTGGTTATCAACACCAATTTAGCTTCGATGTTGGTGCAAGCCGTGTCACCTGATTTCCCCTGCAGAGGTTCAAGGTGCCGCCCAGGAGATTAAGATTCCATTTCCGGGATCACCGTCGGTTCAATGAAACCTGATGTGTTCAATCCTGTTCACATCATCAACAATGTGAAAGTCACTGCCGGGTGTTGATCGATCTTCGCGCCCCTGACGCTTGTTGAGAGCAGTCTGTGCGCGGGTTTGGCGCAAGCCTCGCTGCTACAACGGCGAGCGGTCCCCATCGCTGCTGCGCGTTTCGGAAACAATTCGCAGCAACCGTTAGACCATGGACCTGGGACCAACTGGCCCCTAAACCCTGCTCGCGGGAACGGGCGAGGTCTGGCGCGTCCGCCAGAGCCCAATGGCGGGCGCCTACGGAGTATGGAGTGAGATATCCCAGCGCACGCGGCGCCATCTGCTCATCGGGATGTTTTAAGGCACATGTGCATCCTCTGCTTCATCGCCGAGCATTTAATTTCCTTAGAGTTTCCTCTCTACCGAGCTTCTCATTCGCTGTTTTACGTGGCGTTATATCGCGTTGGCTCCGTTCCGGGACCGTCAGCCGGCTTCCCCTGTGCTCTTTCTGCTTGCATCAGTCCCGGTCCATGCACTTCCCCCCAAGGTCCCTGGCCTGGCGCTGTGGGATCTGCGGGTGCATGCACCAGATGTGTTTCCCTCGTTCTCGGCTCGTGCTTGGGCACCTGCAATTCTCTTCCTTCGTGCTCTATTCGTAACATCTGCGGTGCTTTACACGGGAGGACCTCTGGTTTCTTAGCTGTCCTCACCTAGGTCCGGTCGCTGTACGCCTTGATTGCTTCTGCATGCCACTTCTGGAAGCCGACACCTGGAGATAGTCGTAACGACTGTCACTTGTTCAAAGCTGAGTTGTCGCTGCTGGCGCTTGAACATCAAGTAAGGTAAGCTAAGTGAGCATTGTCAGCTCCTGAGTATCTATGTTCCTGGAGTTCACATCTAATTACTCCAACACAGCATCTTAAGACGCTTGTTCCCTCTCTTGCCACGCTCCGCCACTGACAGCATTCCTTACACGCGAAGAGTCCTTGGATTCCTTATTAAGAGCTGGACTCTATCCACGGCCGTTGCTCCGCGTGGGTGTTTGCTACTTGCTGTGTCACGTTGCAGTACTTCAGCCACGCTGGTCGGTTGCCACGCGCGCAGCCGGATACCCTCAGAGCAACACGCTGCAACGTCACGGACCGGAAAACTGGCTGGATCAGATACTTGCGCCGAAGGAGTCCACGCCGTACTGCGACTTCCACGAAGCCTCGCGATCGATTCAAGACGTTGTCCTAAGCCTTGAGTGCCCGCGCGCCGAGGGGCATCAGTGCACTGTGCAGAGTAATGCATTAAGCGCAGCGGATCGGTTTCCATTGGAAACGCCACCAGGGCAATAAGATCACCCCCTGCACTCTATGAGCTGCGGACAAAGCCCAGCTCGGGACAATCAACGGATACCAACATACCATCGATCGAGGACAATGGCCACCGATTACTTCTCGGACTATGGGACGTCTGGCTCACCTTATGTCGCTTCCTCGCCAACGGAGACGCCCTTCTACACGCCGAGACTAGCTCTGTCCCGACGGACTTCGAGATACGGGACGTCATCGCCTGGTCCATCCTCCTCACCGCCTCCTCTCCCCGCTGATGCACCAGACCTTGCAGACGGTGATAACGTTTCTATCCTTGATCCACGAAGATTCACTCCGACATTGCAAGCTTCGCTGGTGTCAGAGATTCTATCATTGCGTCGAGATCTAGAGTCTAAAACCAAGTTCATTGAGGATCTTGAGGATGACCTGCACAGAACGAAAACGGAGAATGAGTCTCTAAGCGACGAGCTTGCACAAGCGATTAAAGACAGCCGAACTGCTGAAACCAGGTTTGAGGAGTCCGAAAAGGGAACTCTTTCTGCTCTGGAAAGTGTCTCGAGCGAGAGGGACGACCTCAAGAGAACCACCATTGAACTGAGGGACAGACTGGAAGCTTCACATAGGAAAGTCCGTATTCAAGAGAACGACTCAGAACGCGTGCATGAATTGTGGGAGAAAGAGAGAAAGACTTGGCATGATGAAAAGCGGCAGCTTGAGCGGCGGGTTCATATTACAGAGGCAAGACTACGGACGATCTTGATAGAGCTAGCCGCTCACGAGGATGCCGCGCATGAGCCAGGCGTGAGCAGCGAGGCTGAGGACAATGCACATGATAGTGGCCTTGGAAACGAAAGCGACACCACCAGTCTCCGATCCGTGAGCCGTTATTCGTGCAGCCGGAACGGGCGTCATGCGAGAAACACAAGTCTTTGCAGTTCGATCAGCGTTGCACACGTCCAAAGATATACCTTGCAGACTCCGACCGGCTCGCCTATGCGTGGCAAATTTGGCAACATGACTTTGGCAGATGAACTGGTCTTGGACGAGGACGCAGAGGACATGGAAGAGCTGGAACTCGATTCTGATGATTTTCCGGAGAACGAGATGCGAGCTCGTAGAGCGCTTGAATCGCGACAATCAACGTATCAGGACGACAAAGCAAAGCGCATTCTTGGACTCACGGACGATGAAAGTAATAGAGATTCCTTCGCTGGGCCGAGAGCAATGTCGCCGTGCAAGTCGGACAGGGGAGTGTCGGGACACATCCGCATGTCCAGCACAGCTAAGTCTACAAAACTGGCATACGTGGACACGGGAGTACAATTTTCACCGCCATCCTCACCGCGACTGGCGCTCAGGATGGGCCCGCTTGAGGAGGCATTCGAGCCAAGACCGCTATCAAAGGACGGTGAGGCGAATCAAAGACGAAAGCGCATCTCAGTCAACACATCCGGCTCGCCGAGCCGGTTTATGCATCAGGCTTCGCTCGCTGAGCCAGAGAAGGATTGTGTGATGGTGTCTGCCTCATCCCAGACCATTGAAGAACCTCCCAGTCCCCCAGAGACACCGAAGGTCTCCACGCCTCTATCTCCTAAGGTTCCAGCGGTACATTCGACGCCCATGCTGACCCTGGAGTACTGTTCCACGTCAACCCAAACGGAGTCATCAAGTAGCCCGGAAGCGAAGACAACAGCGCCTGTAGCCTCGACAAGAGCTCCGCCTCCACCTCCTATCCCCGTACCCTCCATTGCCATACATCCTCCCCAGTCTGCCCCTACATCACCCAAAGAGCCCATACTTCCGCCAGGCACCAAAAACGCTGAATGCCAGACAACCTTCAACCTTTCAGCTTTCACGAGGTCGGTCTCCATGCAAACTGAGGAGATTCTGGTAGACAGGCGGTTAAACAAACTGCCTCCTCATCTGCGACCTTCAGCGATCAAGTCAAGACCTACCTCGTTGGAGCCAGAGACACAACAAGCACGACAGATTCAGCTAGGTCCTCTCCAGAAAGCGCCTCCGCAACCCCAGATCATGCGGCCTGCACGGGACGTCTCACACGGCATGTCTTCGAAGTCAACGATGAGGATAGAGAACCGGTATCCAGGCAACAATGACAATGGTCCACTGACGCATGGCAGTCATAAGATTCCCAGCCGACCTTTTAGGACCAGTAGCCTCTTCGCCGGCTTTGACGGAGCGAGCTCGGACGAAGGCGATGACCTTGGCGTCGCAGAGCTCAGTGATGATGAGCATCGCCGAGCGCCACTGATGCTCGCCAGTAATAGAACGCCGAAGCATAGTCGACCGTTGGCGAATATGCCCACTCCCGTGCCAGAAGAGAGGGAGCCAAGCCCGAGCGCGTGGCAAAGTGACGCTGCACCTTACAAGGGTATAGTGCCTGGCTCGAGGCGAAGCTCTCCCGAGAAAGCGTCTCGGGTGTCCAAGCCAGCAAGGGTCTCTACTCTAATTCGGCAGCCCAGCATACGCCGCGCAGCAATAATCCAGAGCAGCACTTCTGCTCACTTTCAGCAACGATCTCGGACCCCGAGCCTGGCCAGTCTTGAATCCAGCGCCCAATCTAGTGCGACCCGGCCTCCGTTCCCAGTGCCAACAAGGTCGAGCTCTCGCAAACTACCGATGAGTAAGAGCGAAGGCGCTCAGAGTCCCACACCTCGCGGCAGTTTTCCTAAACGCTCGCAAGGCCAGAGGCAGCACGTCAGGGGAGAAAGCTTGCGCAAGGTGCGATCTGCGGCAGTCATACCGCGAGGTGAACAGGCCGAGGGAGATCGAAGGCCACCATCGCCTCAGAAACCTCCTTCTCCAAGGCGAAAACCAAGTCCACAGCTGCCTCCTTTACCCAACCAGGACTTGACGTCCTCAACATACATTTACTCAGCGAAACGCTTCGGCCACCGGTCTCAGCCCTCGCAAGAGACAGCACAGACTGGCACAGAATCTAACGCGAGCTCAACGCAGCCGACCACCGTTGTAGATGCGATTGCAGCAACCATGGTTGGGGAGTGGATGTGGAAGTATGTTCGGAAGCGGAAATCCTTTGGTATACAAGATTCTGCTCAAGACACTGGGCAGCCTGGTGTAGACGGCACTGTTAACGTGGCTATCGGTGGCGTTCGACACAAGCGCTGGGTATGGCTTTCGCCGTACGAGCGCTCAGTCATGTGGAGCAGCAAGCAGCCAACTTCCGAGTCGGCCCTGCTGGGCAAGAGCGGTCGCAAGCGTAAGTCTACCCGCTCTAGCTGTTCACTGATCGCTAACCGTCTATAGTGGTCATACAATCGGTCTTAGACGTGAAAGACAACACACCCTCCCCGAAGAACTCCGGCATTCCGCCGCTTTTCGACCGCTCGATCCTCATCCTCACACAGGCCCGTGCTCTGAAATTCACCGCCATCTCCAAGGAGCGGCACTACCTCTGGCTGACAGCACTTTCGTTCCTCGCGCACTCCTCTGTCAGCCCTCCAGTATTCGCCTCTCTACCAGTCGTCATACCCAAGCCGGCTGAGGACCCATCCCGCTCACAAGCCCCTGCGCTCCGCCGCGGCAACTTCAACAACTCGGGCCGAGCCCCGGCGGGCAAGTCACCCGGGCCCCTGCTGCGCCAACAGTACTCCAGCCCAGCAGCACCGAGCCGCGAGAACCCAGACACATCTCTCTTCAGCCACGCAGAACCGATCCCCGACTACGCAGAGCCACCCGTAGTCCCCCGCTACGGCGGCGGCAGTCTCCACGGCCGCAAGCGCAGCTCGACAGGCCCGCGCCTCCCACCGCCACCTGGCTCCACCTTCCGCAGCTTCTCGCATACCGCCGTCCCCTCGATCTCGACCTTTTCGACTGGCACTGGCTCTTCTAACACCCCATCCAACCCTTCCTCGGTCTACAACCCCAACCTCAGCGGCCGGACTTCAGAGGCCAGTAGCTCGAACCGTAGGAGCCAGAACTTCTTCGACGCTGTTGGGCTGGTTCGCATGGATGCGTTCGTTGAGCCTATGCTGTCTGAGGAGGCGGTGCATGGGCCGCGGAGTCCTGCGATTGGCCACCAGGGCGGTGGCGGTGCTGCTGCGACACCGAGAATTAGTCGCAGAAGAGGCATCAGTCATCTGAGCCAGAGCACGAATGCCTCGTGGAGGAATGGGGGGGTGTATGATGAGAGCTTTGATCCGTTTCGTGGGTTTTAGGCTGCGAGTGGGGGGCTGAGGGAAAGTTTCCATCTGAATCTCTGGTACAATATTCACATTCTGGCGCTTGTTGATGGGCTTCCCATGCATGCACGCATTATGGCGTCTACTCTGCAGCTTTGGCCATCCGGGCAATACGGCGTTTATTTCCATCAGTATGAACGATCTGGTTGGCGCATCCCCTTATCGTTCGTCTCTCTCCATGTTGGCGTTAACTAAAAGACGGTCCGCTCACGTGGTTTTATCCGTTCATTGTCCGGTTAGTAGGGCTTCTTGTTTATGGCTTCGGTTTCCGACATACTCTCGGTCATCTCGTTTATAGTCAGAGTTGTTTTGGTCCTGATCGCGATAGCCGCCCACACTTCACATGTATTTTGGGGGGTTTGGGGCATAGCCAAATGCAAGTGCGCGGGGAGCTGGCATGTACAGCTCAATAGCGGAACAGCGGCCTTGTACTGTAACTAGCCCTCAGGCATGGCCATCCTTGCCTTGCAATCTGACGAGATTCACGTCTTGAGGTAGCCTTAGCGAAGATTCGTCACATTCATCTCGAGGACTATCATATATGCGCATCCGACTGACTCATCACTTGATATGAGTCGTCGCTTGCGCAAGAAACATCCGGCCGCTTCCCTCGCGTCTTCGCCGGGAGATTCTCCAATAAGCCCCTTCCAACCCTTCCCTGGTGATCATCCAATCCGCACAAGGCCAAAGGCCAAAGTCGTGTCGTGCATTCACCAAACACCCATGAATCGTTTAGACCTGCTTTCCGTACGAAGCAACAGATCCCAAATCCACGAAACCCGCGTCTTTAGCGGCGCGCCCAGTTCCGTTCTACATACCTCGCGCGCGATCTCCAGTCTCTGCTTCCGCCGCTTCCGTTCCAATAGGGCGCCCAGCTTCGGGCTCAGGTTCGCGGTGTGTCTCGATATTCGCTCCAGGCTCGATCCAGGTCCCGGTCCCGGTTCGATCTCCGGTCTGTCTCTCTCTGTCCTGAAGTCTCGTCTCCGCTGCATCTCCAACCCGGTTCTCCGTCTCACCCATAGATGCCATCCCAGCCCTATTACCTTGATCAGCTCCGGCCCCAAACCCTACCTGCCCCAACACCCGAAACATTTGACCCTCCTCAACATCCATCTCCCTGGGCGTGCATCTCAGCCTCCTCGGCTGCGCCGGCGGCCGTCGTGGCAGCGGTTCCGGTCCCAGCGTGTGGCTCTGTCTCTGAGTCTCGCTCTGTCTCGGCTGCACCCTCTCCCTCCGCCCCCGTCTCCACGTCTCGTACTCCCTCGCATGCGCGCCATAGCGGCGCCACCCCTGCGGCGTGGGCGGAAGCGGCGCCTCTCTCCTGTTGCTGGCGCCGCCTGGTCCGTTAATCGAAGACGTATCGGCCGCCGGGCTGGGCTCGCTGAAGCGCGTCCATGCGCGCTCGCGCGGCGGAGAGGGGCTGGTGGTCATGGCAGCGGTGGCGTCGGCGAGCTGCTGCGCGCGGAGCAAAGAGCGCTGCAGTTGGCGGTAGTTTGTTAGGTCGTCGGCTGCGCGGGGGGAGGGGGCGCGCGGAGGCTGGCGGTGGGACAGGGTGAGCTGTGGTGGGGATGTTAGTCGGAGGGTGGTGTGATGGCGAGGGTACGTGGTTCCGGGGGCCTCGGGGGCTGGTAGAGCCGCGGAGCGAGATCTGAACTGAGGAGCGCGGATATGGGCCCAAGAGACTGTAACGGTTAGATCTAGGGATGGAGAAAACCGACGTTCATGCGACAATCCATCCATCCCTTCGCCCAGAAACTAATGAGCACGAGGAGAGATCCGAAGTCGAAGAGGAGAAGACCGTATGACGCTGGTTGGACCCACCAGGCTTTTGCCCAGCCGAGTTTGTCGACCTTCCTGCGCGGGCTCTGTAGAGGTGGCGCAACGGCGCGTGGTTCTAGAGATGGGACGGCAACGGTGGTGAAGGTCGACGGTGCGGGGGCAGTTGTGGACCACTGGTCGACGCGTGGAAAAGAGATCTTGGTCGAGATGAAGTTGGAGTTGTTGTTAGAGGATTGCGGTTGGATCGTCGTAGTAGTAGCTGGAGCGTCGATGAAGGTTCTTGTGGAGAAGGTGGACGCGATTGCGAGGGACAGTAGTGCTAGAACCATTGCTCTTGACAACTTTCGGGGTAGCTGGAGCATAGTGGTTGTTGAGTGAAGAACACGCGGACCGATTTATGGTGAACTATCAAGCAACGAAGGCCGACGACGAGATTGTAGAAAACGTTGCTAGAGGTTGCGAAGGAAGTGGGTTCTGGAAGCTATTAAAGGTAGTGAAGTGAACGAAGCTGGAGAAGGCCGCGCTATGATTAACATGAGAGTAAAAGATATTGGTTACGTCACTGCAAATGCAACAAGTCCTCAGTCAACCGCGGATTTTGTTCAGCCGACGAGGATATCCAAAGCCCTCTCAGACAAGCCATATGTACAAACCATCTGCTCCATGCAACTCCAGCGCCGCCAGAAAATCGTCGTCGAATATGCATCATCCATTCAATGCGCGCTCATTATTCCTTGTCCCACGGCAGAGCAAACGTGCCGACCCAGTCCTCGACCTCCTTCCTAAGCTGCATTATGTCCGGTACATCCTCTCCTTCACCCAGCGCCTCCTTGAACGCATTTACGCTGCCTGGGTTCTTCCTGTTGTTCGCCTCTGCCTGCTCTCTGGCAGTCTTGTCAAACTTCTGCGTGATGGTCACGGCACGGTGAACGATGTCTGCCACTCGCTTGAAGTCCTCGGGTCGGAAGCCACGCGTCGTCATTGCTGGTGTACCCATGCGTAGCCCGCCTGGCTTCATGGCTGACTTGTCGCCGGGTACGGTGTTCTTGTTGCTCGCCACTCCAACAAGTTCCAGTACCCGCTCTACACGCGCACCATCGACACCCTTATCCTTCAAATCAACCAGAACCAGGTGATTTTCGGTGCCTCCACTGACAACGTTGTAGCCCAAGCCACCCTTGCCTCTCGGATTGCCTAATCGCTCGGCAAGTGCCTTTGCGTTCAACAGAACCGTGCGCTGGTACTCCTTGAACTCGGGTGTGTGCGCTTGCTGTAGCGCTACAGCCAAAGCAGTGATTGTGTGGTTGTGGGGGCCGCCCTGGTGGCCAGGAAATACTGACGCATTGATACGTCCTCCAAGGTCGTACGTCTCCTCGATTCCCTTATTGTCTACACGTCGAACCCCTTTCCGGTAGAAGATCATGGCACCGCGAGGTCCACGTAGAGACTTGTGCGTCGTAGTCGTCACGACATCTGAATGTGTGAACGGCGACGGGATGACGCCAGCGGCCACCAGCCCGGATATGTGTGCCATATCAGATAGAAGGTATGCGCCAACCTTATCACAAATGTCCCGCATACGCTCATAATCAATTAACCGACTGTACGCGGATGTACCTGCGATGATCAGCTTCGGCCGGTAAAGCAATGCCAGCTCCTCCAACTTGACATAATCGATTAGACCAGTCTTCTCATCTAGCCTGTATGGTAGAGTTTCGAAATATTTGGATATTGCGGAGATTTTCTTAGTCGGTGTCTGGTAGCCGTGGGAGAGGTGGCCGCCATGAGGAAGGTCGAGTCCCATGATGCGGTCGTGGGTGTTGAGAAGAGCGGAATAGGCATAGAGGTTCGCGGGAGAGCCGGACAGAGCTATCATGGCTGGTCAGCGCGTATCATTTGCAAGGCCGACACAAACCCACGTTGGACATTCACCCCCCATTGGTCCTCCTTGAGACCGAATGCTCTAAGTGCTCGGTGTTGACACAGCCGTTCCGCTTCATCGATGTGCTCGTTGCCGCCGTAGTACCGCGCTCCAGGATACCCCTCAGAGTACTTGTCTGGTAGTGACGCTCAGTATAGTCCCGCGTTGACTCGCTTTATGGACATACTTTGCATTACACTGCCCAATGCATCGAGCACAGCTTGTGATGTGAAGTTCTCGGACGGTATCAGGTTTATGAAGTGTTTCTGCCGCCTTTTCTCCTGCAAGTAGGACGTGCTCGGTTAGGAATTGGCGGTTGAGAGGCTTGGAGGATCGGGCACCTTTTGGATTATGTCGTATACGGTGGGGTCAGCCTCTTCAAGGTTTGCCGAGAGAAGCTGTACACACTGTCAGGAGCAGTCCAAGTAAAGACAATAACCTTCGCCGCTTCTAACCTTCTGCTGCGCATCCGAGGACAGGCCCCGCCTCATGGAGGCTTGCAGCTCGAAGCGGCATCTTTGCGCAGCGGGCCGCTGGACGCTGGAAGACAGCAACGAGCGCGAGGCTCGACAGCTGCTTCGGAGGGTCGACATGGCGTCGAGATGTGAGGATGGCGAACACAAAGCTCGGTATTCCTCGGGCGGTGGTGCCACTCGTGGTGTGGAGTGTAGAGACGAGGATGCTCGAAGCCGCTAAGCTGCATCGCGTTAGGCTTGGCTCTGCAACGGCTTTCCTCGACAACGACGACACTATGGGCTCGAATTCTTCTTTTCTTTCTTCAACACAACTAAAATCCAGATGATGAGATGGCCTTTGAGACAGCTGCATCCTCACTCGCTCCCGCGCAAGCCTGGGCGACGTGGGTGCTGTTGACATGTTCCGGGCCCGCCTCACCACCTTGAAAGGGACAATCTGAAATCTTCTGATGGATTTGTTGTGTGTTGTACCTGCTCCAGTGCCCAGCAGCAGTTCTTCAAGCGTATGATGGTGACTTCGGGGATGTGGCATGTGAGGGTGGGAAACCCGCTAAGGTAGCTGGCTGCTGCTTAAGTGCCTTACTTCGGGACTTGATGTCAGCCAACCTTTTCGCCTGGCGCTGCTGTACGTAAAATCCTTCGCCCACCTCGTCCACTGCTTCTGTGTATATAGCCCGCCTCCTCCAGAACACTGTGCAAGGCTGTGGTGTATCGTTACAATCAGCGCCGACAGTGTTAGTTGCCGCACCGCGAGAGCGTCTTGGCTGCCAGGCTGTTGACCCTGAATGACCGACATCACCTGCAAGTTTGCATATACAAAACCCTTTATCCTCACAACCGACAGTGACCATCAGTCTCCCTCGGCGGCGCTTCTCAACACCTCGTTTCTTCCCTAAGCAACGAGACGCACAGGCGCGGAACTAGGCACCGTGACCAGCCGGCCGTCGACTTGAGCACCTTCCCGTCCCTTCCTCTTCCAGTTCCCTTACTTTCCTCACTAGCTCGCCTTGGCACATGGTGTTTGTTCCAACCTCAGTCCATCTCTACCTGATACATCTCCCTTCTCTAAAGCAGCTCGTTTCGTATTCCACTGGAACCCTTCAGTGCTCCCATCCTAACGGAACCTCTCGTTGACATCCAGTATTCTCCTCGCCTCTTCCCACCATCAACCGTCTGGCTTCCAAATTTCTCCCACCACACCGCCCGCCCGGCATTCATAGGGACTCCGCCAACGGCAACCGGAAGGTCGCACTGGATCTAGTCACGCTTCCGGGGCACGTGCTTCGGTCATCGGCTCCGTAGGAGGGTATTTGACCGCACAGAGGCGACATAAAGGTCACTACCATCCGAAACCCACGACATCCTCGACCAACTCGCTGCGGAAGATCTCACATCGCTGGAGGATAATCGTCATCAAAGCTCACTGCCGTTATGCCGTCCAAGGTGCGGAAGCTCACGAAGCAATCGACGGCGTCACAGGGACGCGCAAAGAGCGAAGAACTCGGGGACGGCCACTTTACTACCAACATCAACCAGCGCACTGGGCGTCCGATCAGGAAGTCAGCTGGCAGAAAGTCACTGAACCCGGGCTATCTAGATTCATTCGAGGTCATCGAGGATCATCAAGAGGATACGGCGTCAGACGATGAGTACGACGAAGATGAAGAGATCACCTTGATCACGCGACCGAAAAAGGCACTCAATTCGGTCATCAGGTTGCGAAAACGCGCCCGCACACCAACACCATCGCCGTCGCCACCACCGCTATCACCGATGCATCCTCCTGACTTGCCCACACAGGAGGATGGAGCTTCACCATCTCAATCTGAGAGCGAGTTGGAAGCTCTTACAGATGATTACCAGCCTATCACGATTACCCTCAATATTCCCCCCGGCCAAGAAGGCCCCATCCATCTTCATCTGAATGTCGCAGACTTGCTCAGAGGAAGATCCGCCACGCGGAACATCGCATCAAAGCCTCAGAGCACAAGACGGCGCGTCAGGACTCCTCGAGATCGGACCTCCGGCGCCAATGGCCTCACAACCCCTCAGAGCAAGGCCGCGGATGACAACAAGGTGGGATTCCTAGATCTACCATCTGAACTTCGAAACATCGTGTATCGTCACTTGTTCGTTGTGAAGAATCCATTCGACTTCAACAAACCATCAAACTTCTGCCGTTCATCCGCTTTCCTTGCAACGTGCAGGCAGGTCTATGAGGAGGGCCGCAGCATCCTGTACGGGGAGAACTCCTTCGCTTTTGAGCGGAACAAGATGTCCAGGTCGCATTACTGGGAGGCCGACCACAAGGAGATTGGATACAAGGACATGCGACGCTTCCTCGAGAGCATCGGCAACACGAACCTCGCCCATATCCGCGAGATGTGCATCTGGTTCGACGACGGCGTACCTTCGACCACGCCCCATCTCCAGAACGCTGAGGCTCGCCGCTTCGTGCATGATCCCCACATCATCGAATGCCTGCGCAAGATCTCGCGGCACGCCAAACTCAAGAAGCTCAGGCTTTGCTTCCACGGACGGAAGATGCTGGCGAAGACAGACTACCGCTTTCTCAAGGCTCTCAAGGAGATCAAAGCCGATACGGTCAGCATCGTCAGCCACCCGCGCTCGGACAATTACTACTGGGGCCCGCCGAAAATCCAGCCGGATCTCAAGACGCAGCTTGTCAAGGATATGACGCGGGAAGAGAAGTTGTACGAGACTGAAAAGGAAAAAGAGAAGGAGATGCAGAAGGCGAAGGAGCGAGACGAACAAAAGAAGAAGCTGATGGAAAAGTACGGAGACTGGTACAGTTACGAGACTCTGCTCACTCTGGATGGGCGAAACGAATGATGTATGGTCCGAGATCTGAGGCTGTTTGTTGCTCCACTCTTGGCTCTTACTCTCTTCACAGTCCGTTCCTACGACAGCGAGTTGAGTGACCCATGCGCTGGGTCCCACATCATTCGGGGGTTCTGCCCTTGGCTCAGATCCGACTTCTATCCAACACTTACGGGTATCTTCTGTGGTGATCACTTGCACATTGCGAGCAAGTACTGCTATCTTATGCCCTTGCTTTAGATTTTCCTGGCTTTGTTTGCATTAGCTACATGGGTGGTGCGGGAATTATCTTGTATGTCATTTCCTTACTGAACAGGTATCGGGCGGAGGCAAGGAGCCTGGGTTCTCCCTTTACGTATTTGCTTGCACAATTGCTCAGAGGCTAGCTGTGTTATATTCTCGGAGGAACTCTTGATTTTGTTGGTTTTCAAGCGTGCATCACTAGGATAGCATGTGTGTCACACCACTAGTTGCTCAAGATGGAAACCTGATTAAGATAAACAGAATAACCATAATGTGATGTTCAAGACGAATAACGTTAAGTGGTACCTTAAGACGGCTTGCATGCCGCGTCTTGCCCGAGTAGCACCACGTGACGAGGTCGAGATCACCCAGCATAGCCTCCTCCAAGACGTGCCCACTTCCGACAATCCGCCCAATGATTCGTATGGACAGATCAAGACCACTGCGATCTTCACACATGCAAGCCATCCGGTTTCAGCGCCTACAGGAGGTGAGCGTGCCCGGCGGCTAGGAATAACTTTTCATACTGTTGCTCCAGGAGCCAGCTGGCGGAACGATGCGGCTGTCGCGCATACCCAGATCCCAGCCAATGAACATTTAGGGACAGAGTTGGTAATATGAGAGATCTAACGGCCGCGTCTACACCTGCAGGCTCACAACCTACTGTATGGCTTTCCTTGGATGGGAGGCCTGATTGTGGCTTAGAGCCTCGGAGGCGCTGCGTCGCCTTCTAGGACCACAGCTCTGCCTCTCGACTTCAGGCTTCCTTATCACTTTTAACTTGCGACTGTCCGACCTTGTGGCTTTCCTATGGCTTCATTTACGATACACCCGCTATGGGCATTGAAATTGTTCAATCATGGTCATTCCACGATCAATGGCCCACCCCAGTACAAATCCTCAGAGGCGCAGTTGCAAGATATCATGCAAATCTTCAGAGAGCTCTGAAACAAAAACGGTCTGTAAAGCGGCCGTTCCGATATTTCTCCCAGCGACGAACGCAGACTGTCCGCCCTCCTATTCGGCCTTTCGAATACACGTCGGAGCTCCATGGTCGAAACATTCGTCTCATATATCTTGAGTTCGGGACCGGCCACGATGCCATCCGTACAAGACTCATCGACACCAACCTGGACGAGGCGCCTAGTTATGTCGCTCTCTCATACACTTGGGGAGACCCAGGCGACACCTGCAGCATCCTTTGCGACAACCAGTCTCTAACGGTCACCCGGAATCTTCATACCGCACTCTGGTGGATTAGGTCGCTGAAACGTAGATTAAGATCATTAAACGGAGGATTAGATCTCGGACCGGATGCGGACGAAGGGAGGTTCATATGGGCTGATGCCATTTGTATCAATCAAGGAGACACAAGAGAGAAGACCGAACAAGTCCAGCTAATGCCGGAGATATATGGTTCGGCGCGCTTTGTCGTTGCATGGCTTGGAGAAGCGAACGCTAGTATGGAAAAGGGGGCTGCACTTGCCGCCCAGTTGTTAACAACGATGGTGGAGCTTAACAAAACTCGTGGTCCGGAGTCAGCCTGGAACTTCTGGGATCTGACGTTCGCTGAACTTGAAGAACTCGGCATACCGGATGCTACCGACCCGGCGTGGGACGGGTTTCTGGAGATTTTGAGAAGGCCTTGGTTCACCCGTATGTGGATCATTCAGGAGCTCCTAGCCGCCAAGCGGTGCTTGTTTTTATGCGGACATATTATTCTGGATGCTGGACCGTTTTGGCTGTTGATCATCACCTTTGGCAGGGGTCGGCCGTTCATCAGCAATGTACTTGCTTGGCGAGAAGAGGTAGCGTGGTGGGGTAATATCATGTTACTGGCTTCCCTGAAGTTCGAATGTGGCCACTCAGATCTTATGTCGCTTCTATGGACCACGAGAGGATTCAACGCTACAGACCCTCGGGACAAGGTGTTCGCGCTTGCTCATCTCGCCGTGGATGTGAGCCCGGATTTCATTGACTACAGTCTCGACTTACGCCAGGTGTTGATCCGGATTACTAGAGATTCTCTGGCTCGGAAATCTCCGGATGTTCTGTCATTTTCACAGTCATCGCGCCATACTGATCGTAGTATGCCAACATGGGCTCTAAAAGGTTTCGGCATCGACACGGACCTCGCTCCACTCGTTTGGACGTTTTTGCCTTCGGATGATCTCATCAAGTTGAACCAGTCAAAACAAGCTTTCGAAATTACGGCAGACATGGTTGGTTTACCGTTTCCATCGTTGTATCTTTTCCTTTTGAGTAAGATCGTGCAGTGAATTCTAATCGAAGTTTAGAAACTGGGTTTACAATGCATCATATTCGATCAAGTCAAGCATATCGCTGAGTCAGGAATTGCGTCCTCGGTTCCTTGGCCACTCGACTTTTTTATACCAGCCGCCTTACGAGTAAATTCTTTTAACTCCTCGATCTCCCGTTCTGAATCCCTGGCTAGCCTGGTTGAGCAGTGGTACAACGAATATTCACAAGGTACTGATCTTGTTAATGGTCTGGTCTCTTACCCGACTGGTCAGGACATCTCTGAGGTGTACTGGCGTAGCTTACTGCTAGACAACGACTCGGAGGTGCCCGGTGAACGAGTCGAAGATCTACGGAAGGTTTACGCCAAGCTTTTCCCTAGGTTGATCAAACTAAGCAAGTGGTTCAGCGACATTGGAAGGCCCCGAAAAGGTTGGGACTCCGTCGTTCGCGCATCGGCTATATCCTCTGTCATCTGTCTCCTGTCATACAAGATATCTGGTCCTATACGCCTGTTCAGGGTTAAGAAAGCTTTCGCCTGGATAGTACTGTGGCCAACCCTAACATTGTTCAGTCATATCATCCTTCTAGTCTCAGAATCCTTCTGTCGGCAACGTCGGCTGCAACAGATGGCTTCAGAGTTTCAAGACCTGATGCAGGCTATAGACTCTCGCCGTTACAATAGCGCAAGACGCGGTCCAAGCGGCCGTCAATTCATAGTCACCAAAAGAGGGTACGTTGGTTGGGCCTCACCTGACACATTCATCAATGATGAGCTCTGCTTCTTCCAAGGCTCTCGAATCCCTTTCGCAATTCGCAGAAAGAACAGAGGCGCTAAGGACAAGAGAGGGTGCTACCGGCTGCACGGAGATTGTTACGTTCATGGACTTATGAATGGGGGCGCAACAAACTTCCCAGATTTGGAGATGAGGAAGATCCAACTGATTTAGTGCGCTGGAAGGTCAGCAACTGTTGAGCGGCTGTCTAGACGACGAGACCCATCGAGGAGCACTCAACGTGGAACCAGACAAAGGTACCGACTGTCAAACGTACCACCGCAGACTTACGGAGGAAGCTTGTCTCAGGCAGCTCGCCAACAAACACTCTCCGGAAGGAAATCACGCGCTCCAAAATAAGTCCTCGCTACAGACCGCACTGAACCGCACCTCGCAGCAAGCGCTCCACCAGCGCGCTGTCATGGCGCCTGACAGAAAACTGCAGCTGCCTCCCAGCGGTAGCGACGATGCGGCTGATCTCGCCGTTCGTAGCCTCGCCGACCAGCTGACGGCGGTCCTGAAGTCATATCGCGACCTTCGAAGCACTGGGTCAAGCTCACCGGTTCGGTGGAGAGATACGGCACCACGGTCCAGTTGTCTGCTAGCAACACGTCCTGATTCTCAAAGACTCGCTCCGGGAAGCATTCGTCCGGCATTCTACAGTACTCCACATCAAGTCGAAATGTGCGATTCAACATGCGCGTAGCGCACCCGTTTATCACCTACCAAAGCTTCTGCTTCCCAGCGGGCCGCGGTCCGTCCTCCAGGTAATACGATCCGCACTTACGGTTGAGATTGCGGATCAGCTAGATCCTGTTGTGCTGTATGTTCAGCAACAATTGCAACGGAAGCGCGAGTGCGAAGGTTCCGCACTTCGTTGTGAATGTAGAGTTTAGAGGAGACGAGTTCGACATTGGATTTGGTTCGGTGGTGTTCCGTCAAAGTAGTGTTCTCGGTCAAATCCCGAGATTGGATCTTCCTTACAGGAGGTTGTGGATGTCTCTGGCGGGAAGGGAGTTGATAGTATCCTTTGTACGGCAGTCCACGTGGCGAGCTCCTCTCAGGAGTCAAGGGAATGGTGCTGTATGATTTTTCATGGTGCTGTATGATTTTTCATTGTGCTGTCTGAACGATTCAGTTCTGCTAGTAGAGCACCCATGCATGTTTTCGCCCGACTCGTCCGAGAGGGGAGCCCGTATCGCAGCTGGCGTGCGTAAGGGAAAGCCTGCACCCATGTCCAGAGGCTTCCTGCGCAGGAAGAGGCCTCCCTTGAGATGTGGGTGTGCTGCAACAGCCTCACGCCGTTGTTCAGCACGGGGGGATGTCTCACAACGCCATCATTCTCAGCCTTGTCGCCTGACATCCCTTTGGCTGCAGTGAGCTGGAGCTAATGCAAGGTTACCTTTTTCGAGCGCACCGCCGTAGTTGCTCGCGAGAGCCCGCAGTCGGACATCGACCTGCCTCTCTGGAGCTGGGGGCAGGCTGCATATCAGATTCGTATTTCTCCAAGCTGCCCCAGGCGATGTCCAGGCGATGTGCCGGATCCCCAGAGCGATGCAACGTCGCCGCCCACTTCGCTCCGGCTGTGGCTTGCCCGCTTGTCGACTGATCCCTGACTGCTCGACAGCTAGCTCGCCAGCTCCTCACAACAGCTGCAACACTGCTGTCACATTTCTGGCTGCGGGCAGCGCTGGACTGACAGCTCACCTGCGCACTTGTTTATATTCTCTTGGCGCAATTCGTATGAGCAAGCTTAAATTAATCGAGTTTATGCTGTGATGCGACCTTGCATCCCCCCGGGCAGTGAAGTTGATCCTTGCTGGTGCCGGACCGCGGTGATCTTCACGAATATTTAGACCTCGCTTCCCTGCATCTATCTTCGCTCTTGGGCTGCGTGTGACTGCGAGAATTGCTCATCCACTGCTTCACGCGACCTAACGTGCATTCACGCGTTTTCCAGCTGCCATTCTGGAGGGTATACCACTCATTCTTTTGAGCCCGGGAAATTCTGGATTGTCAACATATTGCTTCGGTCGGTTCTTGCAACACCACAAAAACCTGACATCAGAGCTTCGTGCTTAAGTCATGAGATCTCTAGCCGCCCTCACTCTGCTTACGCCCTTTGCGGCTGCCATCTGGCCCCTCCCTTCCAGTTACACCTCTGGCGATACCGTCCTTTGGATTGACGGCGGCGTGCAAATCAGCTACAATGCCGCGAACAATGTAGGCTCTATACCAGTGGCCAATGCTTTGAAGGAGTACGCTCCCGTCGATCCACAGCTAACGACAAATCCTCAGTCTTATCCCCACAGCTACTGGAACAAGAACCGGAATAGCACGGCAGGCCACCGACCTTCTCAGCAGATCATACAGTACGCTATCCAGCGCACGTACGACACCATCTTGAAGAAGAACTTCGTGCCGTGGAAGTTTCACGAGCGCAATGAAGACTTCGAGCCTCCCACAGAGGGCAAGATTTACATCAGCCACATCAGCCTTCAGCAGAACGCCGCAGACCCGGACAACATCCTAACGCCCAGGGCCGGAGACGTGGACGAGTCGTACAGCTTGACTCTAACGGAGGACGGTGAGGCTACGATCGAGGCGGAGACGTCAATTGGCCTGGTTCGAGGCTTGACAACCTTCACTCAGCTTTTCTACAAGCATTCCGCAGGTGGTGCCTACACGCCTTTCGCGCCAGTAGAGATCGAGGATGAGCCGAAGTTCCCTCACCGCGGACTGAACATGGACACCGCCAGGAACTACTTCTCCGTGTCAGACATCAAGAGGACAATCGATGCCATGGCTTACAACAAGTTCAACCGCCTCCACTGGCACATCACAGACGCCCAATCGTGGCCGCTTGAGATTCCAGCCCTGCCAGAGCTCGCAGCCAAGGGAGCTTACAGGAGGGACCTGACCTACACCCCCGGCGATTTTGAGGAGATCCAGTACTTTGCTGCGATCCAAGGCGTGGAGGTCATTGTCGAAATCGACATGCCCGGCCACACGTCGTCAATCTGGTTCAGCCAGCCGGAGCTGATCGCCGCATTCAACGCCCAGCCGGACTGGAACACCTACTGCGCCGAGCCGCCGTGCGGATCACTGAAGCTGAATTCCACAGCCGTTTACGATTTCTTGGGGACGATGTGGGATGACCTGCTGCCTCGAGTGAGGTCTTCTTACTTCCACACCGGTGGCGATGAAGTCAATATCAATACGTACCTGCTTGACGACACAGTGCGTTCGAACGACACGGCTGTGCTCCAGCCGCTGATGCAGCGCTTCATCGACTTCAACCACGACCGGGTGCGCGAAGCTGGCCTGACGCCTGTGGTGTGGGAGGAGATGCTTCTGACGTGGAACCTGACGCTGGGCGACGACGTCGTGATCCAGACGTGGCAGAGCGACGAAGCGGTCGCAGAGGTCGTCGCGGCGGGCCACAAGGCGCTTGTCGGCAACTACAACTATTGGGTGAGTTTTTGTCACCTCCGCTCCCTCTCTTTCGCCATGAGCTAACACCTCCACCCAGTACCTCGACTGCGGCAAAGGGCAATGGATCGACTTCGCCCCCGGCTTCGCCTCCCAAAAGTACTTCCCCTACAACGACTACTGCTCCCCGCGCAAGAACTGGCGGCTGATGTACTCCTACGACCCGCTGCACGGCATCCCAGCCAACTCCTCCCACCTCGTGCTCGGCGGCGAGTGCCACATCTGGGCCGAGCAGACGGACCCGATCAACTTCGACGACATGGTGTGGCCCAGGGCCTGCGCGGCGGCCGAGGTGCTGTGGAGCGGCGCGAAGGACGAGAACGGGCAGAATAGGAGCCAGATTGAGGCGAGTCCGCGATTGTCGGAGATGAGGGAACGGCTGGTTGCGAGAGGGGTTAGAGCTGAGCCGATCCAGATGCCGTTTTGCATCATGAATGGGACGCAGTGCTCGTTGGCGACTTGAGGGTGGTGCTGGGATGAAGAGAAGGGTCTTCGTGGTTTGCAGCATGAGGTGTTAGACTGACGAGAGGTGCCATCTGTTATTGTGCATCGTTATCGCATCTAGCGGTTGATGTCGGTGGGATAGCGCTTTCTGGGCGATGTACTGTCAGGGACGATCTGTTGCTCTCTTGCTGGACATTGTTATACTAGCCTATATAACAGCTAGACAGTAGTCTTATGATACAAACTTGGAACACAGCACTAAAGAAAAGACCTATCGCTGACTTTGCCAGAACCAAAGCTTCCTTCTCTGCATTAGTTATCATGTGACGTGAGATGCATGAGCGCTAGAGAAATCGCTCGCATGATGCCTCGGCTCGCAACCACAGCTCCATCTAGGCATATTCCTCCCTGCCGCAGCCATGTATGTAAGTAGACGCCAGGGACTCATGGTCGGTGTGACAATTGCACCGCTCCGTAGCGGATATATCTCCATGTGCTCTACGCACGCGTTATTAACAATGGAACCGGCTTTGTTCAATCCTAACAACGGAGCTTAGAGTGTGTGTAAACAGCTCCTACAGATCTTACAACTCATATACGCGCCGTCAATATGCTTGACCAGCTCTTCCAATCCCTCCCCTCACCTGGTGTATCCGTGCTTCTTCTGGTCGTCGCCTACTACATCATCTCCACCGTCCGCCTCCTTAACGAGAACCGCAAGATCCGCTCTTTCGGCGCCCGCGCGCCCATCCGACCTACCTATCTTCCCTTCGGCCTCGACTTCGTCTACGAAGCCGTCAAGTATGCGCGTGAGAACCGCAACCTCGCGTTCTGGGAGAAGAGTTTCTCTCGAGGCCCCGAAGACCACAACTACACGCTCGAGTTCCGCACCACAGGGCAACGCATAATCTTCACGGCCGACCCCGAAAACATCAAAGCGATCCTGGCAACCCAGTTCGCCGACTACGGCAAGGGCGAGCAGTTCAACAAGGACTGGCACGATTTCCTTGGGGATAGTATCTTCACCACCGACGGCGAAAGATGGCACAACTCGCGCCAGCTTATCCGGCCCCAGTTCATCCGCGACCGCCTCAGCGACCTCGACATCTTCGAGCGCCACTTCCAGGAGCTGGCCCCCAAGCTTGGTGGGAGGGGCCAGACTGTCGATGTCGCGGATCTCTTCTTCCGCTACACGTTGGACGCTGCGACAGACTTTTTGCTCGGGCGTAGCGTCAACAGCCTCGTGGACCCGCAGGTCCGCTTCGCGAAGGCGTTCGGCGAGGTCCAGCGGTTTCAGAGTCTGGTTTCGAGGATTGGGCCGCTACATCACCTCTTGCCCCGCGGCAAGTTTCGCGAGGGCCTGAAGGTCATCAATGAGTTTGTGAACCCGTACATTGACGAGGCGCTGAGGCTCTCGCCGGAGGAGCTGGAGAAGCGGAGCAAGTCTGATCAGGGGTATACGTTTCTACACGCGCTGGCGGGCTACACGCGCGATAGGACTGTGCTGCGGGATCAACTTGTTGCAGTGTTGCTTGCGGGGAGAGATACTACCGCATGTAAGAGCTCCCAGCCACATGACAGCCAATCTCGCCCCTTGAATCAGGAGATATCATGCTCTCCCCTCCCCCTCCTCTACCGACATTCTTCGCAGGCATCCGCTAACAAAACCCAGGCACCCTCTCCTGGATCTTCCACCACCTCTCCCTCAACCCCCGCATCGTCCAAAAGCTGCGCCAGGAAATCTCTGCCCACTGCGGCACCGCGCCCCCCACCTACGCCGCCCTAAAAAACATGCGCTACCTCCAACACACCCTCAATGAAACCCTTCGCCTCTACCCCGTCGTCCCCTTCAACGTGCGCGTCGCCCTGCACGACTCCACCCTCCCCGTGGGCGGCGGCCCCACCGGCTCCTCGCCCATCGGCATCCTAGCCGGCACGCCAATCGGGTACTCCACGCTGCTGCTCCAGCGCCGGGGGGATCTCTACCCGCCCCCCAGCGCGACCTTCCCTCCGATTCTAGAGTTTGCACCGGAGAGGTGGGAACACTGGACGCCGAAGAGCTGGACCTATGTCCCGTTCAACGGCGGCCCGCGCATCTGTATCGGACAGCAGTTCGCGCTTACCGAGATGGGGTATGTGGTTGTGCGGATTCTGCAGCGGTTTGCGGGGGTCGAGAGTAGGGAGGAGGGGAGGGAGCTGGCGATGCAGACGGATATTGTGCTGCAGCCTGCGGGTGGGGTTAAGGTTGCGTTCTGGGAGGATGGGCGGGAAAAGGCGTGAAGAGGTGGTAATAACTTGGTGACGTTTGGACGGATGTTGCCAGCTCTACTATGTCTTTCTAGTGGACTATTAGTATGCTTGGGAATCCTCATGGAGAGAAACCTACGATGTGGCTCGGAAAAGCGAAGCAAAGACGTAGCGAAGACAGCCCTTAGGCCGATATGAACAGCGCAGGTCGGGAATACATGAGGTCACGTGATCGTGCCGTGGCGGAGGATTCCACGAAGACGACAGGGGAACGTATCGTTCCTTGGCTCGGGGTGTCATGCTCAGTGGGAGAAATTTGGAGGATAACATAGTATACTACATCTAAATGTACCATGAAAACTGAAACGGTGAAGCGGAGAGCCACAATCTATGCAACATTGCAAGCGCACGCCAGAGCGCTTGAGGCCGCAAAAGTAGCGAACGTGGGTCTGCGCCAACCCCAAAACCAATGTCGACCATATAGACAAACGAAGGCAAGATTACGCAAGTTCCGTTGCAACTCCAACGAAAAGCTCGGAGAGCACAAATCTCAACGGGCACCATCCTTGCGGTCTGGAGTATCGACCTCACCAGAGCCGAAGGTTATTAATATCCATGCGATGCCAGTGGCCCCGCGCTTTCTTCCTAACTGTGTCCGCAAAAGCATACGCCTTATGGAAATACAGGCCCGCAAGTTAGGACGTGTCGCCGCGCGAGCAGCAGCACCTGCGCCTGATTAAGCCCGAAAGTGTGGCCGATGTGGGACAGGCGACCTTGGAGCCACTCGCGCTGTTGTCGCGGCACAGACTCTGTGTTTACGGCAACGAAAATAGGCCAGACGAGAAAGTAGCCGCCGAGGGCTTCTGCAGCTGTAGAGATGGAGGCTGTGTTAGCGTGAAGAAGGCTTGGATGGAGCTGGAATTGTCCGATCCCAGGAAATGGGAGGAATTATGGGATATATTCACGACTTACCACCTTCGTCTTGCCCCATGGATCGCGCTTTGGATTGGAGGGAGTAATCCATGTGGAAGGGGACGCTGGCGCAGATATCGTCGACCATCTGCTGGATCGTGTGGCGTGCAATGAGACATTGTGATTCCGTGGACAAGTCCTCACCTGGAGGCGACAGCCAGGCCGTGCAGGAAAGGATGACCGATTGGCAGAAGATGCGGCTCACTCTGTAATCATTCATGATGTTCGCGATGAAGGTGTCCTCGTAAACGTGCTTCGGCCCGGGGTATTGCGGTGCATTCGCTAGATCGTCAGGCATGTCGTGTTTCCAGGAGACAGTCTTGTAACCCCAGGCGTCTGGCAGCGTGCGTGCCCACTGTTCCAGGTCCCCGTCCACTCGTGAAGCGTCGTTCAATAGAGCGAGAGCCTCTAACATGGCGGTGGTGTTTCTGTGGCGGTTTACAAGCGCCTTGCTGCGGGCCCGGATTTCTGGCAATTGAAGAGACAACACTGTCAGCCTGTTCGCGGCGTTCTCATCCGAAGCGCCAACGCTCATCCATCCCTCCGGCCCTGGAAAATCGTCCACCGGCTTCGACTGCTGGACACAGCTTGTGAGCTGCAGAACGTTAGTGGTCGAGTTGCAAATGGACTTTGGGAGACTTACCATCATTGTTCGGACGGCGCGGAAGAGCCCCACAGATGTCGGATGTTGATATTCGTCCACTCCTCGTAGCTTCGCAAGAGCAACCGCTCCATCTACGTGGTTGGCCCATGCTGCGATCGAGTCATTCGTAGAGGTCATGGCCTACGTAGTCTCACGTCACGTCAGCCTCTGCGCCAAGTAACTGAATAACAAAATCGTTTGCCTTGGTACACGATCCTTCTCCCCAGGATCGACCAATGACATAGAGCAGTTGCTGTATGTACCTCGTACAGCGAAAACATCAATACCGACAACAATGTCTCGTCAGTCTTCGCTAAATCCGGGTTTTTGACAGCCTCGCGGACTTTTTGCAAAGCTTCTCCATACTTTACAGTGGCTTCTTGGACCATGTGTTGCCTTCCCGGATAGTTTCCCAGTACTGAAAGTGCAACGCAGTGAGTGATAGAATGTAGGGGCGACGAGTGACTGGCGGTATTGTAGAGTGGGAGAATGAGCTCCAGAAACCCTCGCATGCTCTCAGCTTCTTGAGGTAGAAGCACGAAGTTGCGGAAGAAGAAAGCGGTCGCTTGGGCTTCCGTAGATGGTGTGATGCACGGCGAGATCCCAGATCCGAGAGCCCAAGCGTACGCCTGTGTCAGCGCGAGCTCTGATGGGAGTGTGTCGGAATCAGTCGTAAGTGTTGAGACAACATTTTGAGTCCAGTCGTCGCTACCGACGGTGGAGGATCGAGAAGAGTGCTTTGGTGGCGAAAGACTAGGGAGGTAATCAATGTCTTCATCTATTACGATCCCGACAGTGTCCTTCAGAAAGTAACCAAAGGCAGTCTCCGGCAACTCTGTTTCCACTGCGGGTGAAGTAGGCACGGCTTCCACGTACGTACTGTGCCGCCGAACATACCTGGACGGTAGTGTTTGCGAGTGCTCCCGGAGAGTAGAGGCCCTCTTTACCCTCCGCGCTACTGCATTGTTTTCATTGCGGAATATAAGATCGAACTCATCCGGATAGCCAGGACAACTTCGTCCGGTTTTTCGGCATGGGGTACAGAAAGGGCGAACCTCATCGCACTGTTTATAGTAAGCAACCATAGACTGATAGGGCAAGAAACTGTCGAAGCAATGGAACGACCAAAGACAAACGAGGTCGAAGGTTTTCAGGAGTGTTACACACTTTTATCCGTCGGGTTTTGCAACATTGACAGCCACGTGAAGGTTTGCCAGTATACACCATTGAACAACACTTCAGCGTTTTCGTAGCAAGCCTCGTGTAGATTGAGAGTATCAAAGTCCGAACTGTTAGTGCCTCAGGAAGTGTGGCGGTCTCTACATCTCTTGAACTTTAGAAACAGATGCTCCGCCCCAAGGCATACGTTCACTATAGAGTGCGGATAGGGTATTGATAGCCAATGCTGCGTCAGCCTCTCATACTCCCTGGTTGCAAGAAGCAAGATAAACTGAGCATGAAATGAGGATGAACGTCAGTTAGGCAGACACGGCGGGACGGATACGAGAAGACCAGTCAGGATGCACATGGAAACCGCGTCTGTGACTGGAAACCGCGGCACGAAAAAGAACACGTATTCTAGAATGAGCCCAAAACGATGATGGTGAGCGTAAGAAGTGCATCGTGACAGCCCATCGGCCAAAGGAGATTGCTGTCAGGACGTGAGTCAACCCGAGCCCTCGAGCTTAACGTTGAGAGCATGTCGAGATGAGTCCATGCTAAACCCTTCGGCAGCGAGTGCCGTTTATGGACTGCCTCGCAAGCCTAGCAGAATGTGGTAAAACACGTGACCATATACACCAATTGGAGCTCGGACTTGAGCGAGGGCTTGAAGGGTGTGCTTTGGTGGTGGCTGAGTCTATGCTCGGCCGGCCCGGCTGTTCCTCCGCTCCGTGTACGATTCTGTTCCTCGATCGAAGCATTATGTTCACCGCGCACCGCTTGACAGCTCAACGTCTGGGGAAAACAGGCATATGAAGTCAAGATCTACGAAGCTCTGGCAGCATTCGTCAGACTTACGGGCTCACCATCTCTAACGTCACACATTTGAAGTGTTTTCGTTCTTTATTGGTCTTCTGAGTACTTTGTGGAGAAATGTCTGAGTCTCTCACTTCCCGGCATTCGAAAGGATCCAGTCAGCGTCTTGTAAGACGCTGTGTCAGAGTCTCGCCATCAAGATCTCGAGATCTCGAGATCATGCAGCACTATGTCTATCAGCATGGGGACCGCAATGTGGGAGCAGTTACTACTAGAACGCAGATTAGTATGAATGGATGCTCCCACTCTGGCAAGTCAAGGGAATCCCAACTGAACACGGAGTTACATCCGCTCCTTCTGGATGGCGCCGTGACACCGTGGCGGACCGTGATGGGCGGGACTACTGTCACAGTCGCCCGCATCTTAGTGGTGGATAACGTGTATATTTAGAAAAGAAACATCAAGTTGCTGAGGAAAAGGACTTGGGCTTGTTGAGAACTGGCATTCCTCGCATCTATCAGCCGAAACATGGCTCGCATTGCGCGGCCATGCATTACGATGAAGATGTCTTTGGAGGGACGCTAAAAGATTCGAAGCTGAGAGATGGCTTGATGGCGATGCCTTGATAATGGATTCGTACATGATCCAATCTGGAACGAGTAACGGACATGCATTGGAAAGCACGTAAACTCTCTATGCACTCGCGGACGGCAATGCGCCAAAACCGTGTGAAAGTTTCTTTTCCTCTTCGCCGGAGCTTGACAATATATCTCGAGCTTGAGTCTAGCCACTACGTATCCCTTTCACCGAAACTGCACTCCAGGAGTTACAGTGTGAGCTATGTTCAGAACAGCTTCACAATACGATTTACACACCTTATCCACTTCTATATTTACTCCCTCGTCGTGCGCAATAATACTCTCACCGCGGAAATCTCGCTATGAAACTCGTGTTTATCTAGCCATGCCTCATTTTACTATCGCCACGCCCCTACCAATAAAACAACAAAAATTCTTATAAAGATGGAAGATGCACTAGGGTTTAATTAGATAGCTCTTCTGTACTTCTTGTAGCCTGATATAGGCGGTAGTATAGATAATGGTTGATGAATCATGGGTTTCGCGGTGAGGCTTTTATTGCACATGACGAGACTCCATCTTGCTTTATTCTTATGTAGTCTAAACAGCCTCGCCAGCTGCATAACAGTACCTGGTATTCAGATCGCAACAACACGTCTTGGTGTCCCCTGTGCTCGTCTGGCCCATATGCCACTTAAGTTGTGTAAGCTTCGCAGTGACCTGAGGAGCATCGCTCTCCTAGGTCATCATGCTCAATCTCTCTGCCACGTACCGGTGTCGTCTTCGAAACAGCTACTGAGCCATCACCTTCCGACGCGACAACCAGAGATGTCATCAGGCCTCATGATCAGCGGAGCGAGTAGAGCAATACAGCACGCTGGCATAAACCTTTCCAAACTCGTCAAAAAAAACATGAACCTCCAACGGATGGTAGTTATCGTTCCCTTCGATCCCGGATAGGATCATCGGCTAGCCTGCGAAACTATCGGATCTTTTTGTAAGGATGATAGGCGTAGAGGAAGTAGCAGTGTCAGCAACAGCTAAATATGACGGGCGCAGCGATAGGTTTTGGAGATGCTTGATGATGAGATTTTCGAGTTTCTATGTTGGCTGGTGCGAATGGATGATTAGTTACTCCATCTGTTAACTGGAATGCGGTTGAGTTTCCTGACAATACATATCTACTGATATATGGGCTATAGGAGGGCAAACGCATGCTAGAGACAATGAACTCATAAATGCTCAGAACATGGATCTCGTTGCACTATAAGCGGAGTTGAAACAGTGATCCATCAGGCCAATATTCTGCAGATGTTGAATCGGAGGAGATTGGTGATGAAGGATCAAACGCAGTCGTCCATGTGTGCATTGAGGTTCCATCTCTTTGACCGGAAGTGGACATCCCAGGCCGCGGCTTCGCGGAGCCTCAACCCACAGGGTCCGCGGCGGGTGCGGAGCGCCTCAGCCTTCTAACGTCAATGACACCGTGTATCTTGCCAACAGGAATACGAACTACATAGTCGGCAGAGAGTCGTGTCGACCTAGTGGATCGTTAATAGCACCCTCCGCCCGCATCCGGTACAACCTTCGACTACGTCGGACCTCGAGCGCTTTCACCTTAGGCAGCAAGCGGTCACCTTTCCACACCTTCGTACTTTGGGTGATAGGCCCGCGCGAGCACTACGACCACGCTCATTAGCATACTCTCTGTAGAGACTCAGCGCCGCCTTCCAGATACCCCTTCACCTTCTCGTTCATGCGTTTACTTCCATCGCTCGGCGCGGCGTTCGCCTCAGTCGCCCTCATATCTTTACCACTTCTTGCGCACATACTACCGGTCCATGCCACCGACGGCGAGGGCCTGCGAATAGAGACCACTTTACCTGTAAGATGTAGCCGGAGAACGCAGAATGGCGACAAGGTGTCAGTACACTACCGCGGCACATTACAAAGCGACGGCAGCGAGTTCGATGCTAGCTACAACCGGGGCGACCCTTTCTCATTCGTGCTGGGAAAGGGGCAGGTGATAAAAGGATGGGATCAGGGTCTGCTAGACATGTGTATAGGGGAGGAACGAAGGTTGACTATACCACCGGCGCTGGGCTATGGAGATCAGGCGATGGGCAGCAAAATACCAGCTGGGTCTACGTTGGGTACGCCTATGTCCGGATAGGATGGGTGTTCTCAAGCTAACAACGTTGGCAGTGTTCGATACAAAGCTTATGGGCATCCATGGTGTAAGCGTAGAAGCGCCGACGGCGTCTACAGCTGAAATTACACCTCCAGCAAGTACTCAACCTGTGCAGTCGTCCGGTACTCCAGTGTCGACGCCCTTAACCACACCAAAACCCGAAGCTGCAGGCTCGCCAGGTGGCCCAAAAGATGGTGATGATGTCCCCGACGCAGAATGTCACTTGCTCGGACCATTCGCTATCTTTGTCCAAGGAGCACTCGGAATCCTGGCTTTGCTATCTCTGGTGTGGAAGCGACATCGCGAGAGACCTCGGAGACCGCTCAAGATATGGGGATTTGATGTGTCGAAGCAGGTGTTTGGCTCGGTGCTTTTACACTTGGCGAATCTCTTCATGGCTATGCTCTCCTCCGGGGGCTTCGACGTCGCTGCAAAAGCGAAGGAAGCTGCAACATCTGTACAGGATGGGCAGACCAAAACACCAAACCCTTGTTCATTCTACCTCCTCAACCTTGCCATAGACGTAAGTCGTCGACACATATCTGTCCGCAAAGAATGCTACTAACATCCAAGATCTAGACAACTATCGGCATTCCCATTCTAGTTCTGCTCCTTCGGCTTTTACATTATGGCTTCTCGCTCACTCCTTTAGCAAATCCTCCAGAATCTATCCAGTCTGGCAACTACGGCCGCCCACCTCGGGTGACCTGGTGGCTCAAGCAAGCTATTATCTATTTCCTTGGCTTATTTGGCATGAAGCTTTGTGTCTTCGCCATCTTCCAGTTGCTGCCATGGATCGCATGGATAGGCGACTGGGCTTTGAGATGGACTGAAGGCAACGAAGCGTTGCAGATTACATTTGTCATGTTCGTCTTTCCGTTGATCATGAACGGATTGCAGTATTATATCATCGATGGATTTATCAAGGACCCGGCGCATGGACACTCGGAGTATGAAGCAGCGCCTAGCGAAGACGAAGATGAGAACGCTGGGAGAAGGATCTTGAGGCGGGGCTCGTACGCGTCCTCGACTGCCTCAATGCGAGAGTCGCTTGATGGGGAGCCAAGGCAGAAGTCCGCGACGATTACAACTTCAGAAGCGTTGAAGGAAGCCAACCCAACGCCTGTCCCGAACTACAATCCTGAAACGGACGGAGCGAGCAGCAGCGGTAGTAGCCGTTAGTATAAATTAGGATGAGAAGCGGTTTCAGAACAGCGCTCTAGTGGTAAATTCACTCGTTGATTGTAGAGCATACCGCTCAAGATTCCCTCCGCTCAGTGTGCGCTTCTCCATCCTAGGCAGCGCAAGCTTTGCATCGCGTAGTCTTTCCGATCATTTTCACTTAAGTTCGACAAGCGGGGGCCACTGTCAAAACTCCACCCACGGTTCAGCTTATTCTACGGTCCGTACCGTGGACTGGGACGGCACGGCTTGCCCGACCGTGGGGAAGCGTTACAAACGGTATCCGCTCATTTGTTCATCTTCGAGCGAGCAGCTTTTATGTTAAGTCCTCCATGTCATAGAACTCGGTCTGTTCCGGCCTCTTGCCATGGTTGCACTCCATGAGAAAAGCGCACCTGATGGGTCCTCTCAAAGGCTCCCATTATCAGTCTCCTTCCATTGCAAACCTCGTTGCTCTTGCAATCTCTCCACTTTACCAACCAACTTTTGCTTGTCTTTGCTTCGTAAGACTCTCCTCAGCCGTCGAAGAGTTCAACTTCATTATCACGTAACAACGGTCAAACCGGCTGTTCTAAAGACTAGGAATGCCTCCAGCCAAAATGAGCGCCCCTCACACTCATATCAACTACAAGCTGTTTTCAGAACTGCTCACAGCAGCTGAGAAGGAATGTGTAATAGCGTTGTGGTGCTATCAATATTCGGAGTTCCGCTACAATGTAAGAATCTTACCTTCTCATTGTCGACACGCGCACCTGACTGTCTTCAAAGGCCGACTGGAAGTCGATTGCAGCAGCCATCCATGCGCCCGATGAAAAAGCAGCTCGGTTTACGCTCTGGACGATTCACAAGAAGCTTGCGGACAATGGCGCTGTTACCCACCTACCGACTACCCATCGATCCAGTAACACGTCCGACGTTGTCCAAACCCGGACAGAGGATACCTCTGCCGACAGATACCAGACAGACTTGGCCAAGAAACGCAAACGCGGGGGCGAAATCGATGCTCGTACCACACACTCTGTAACTGATGTAGAAAGCCCTGGTCTCGGTCTCGGAGGCCCCGTCGGCAACCCGGGAGACGCTATCTCCTATCATACGGGTCCCGGTGCCAGCGTCGGCGGTCCGGTTGCCGGTTCTGGAGGCTTTGTGGGCAACGACAGCGGCTCTACTAATAGTTATGGAGTTCACATAGCTTCGCCTGCTGCTTCGACGATGGGTCCGCCTCCGCAGCGCCACAGCGGATCATCAAATGCCGCACGTGGTCTTGACACCGGTCTCGCCGCTTCACCCACTGATGCAGGCCGAAGTTCCGTTGCCAATTCCTCCACAATGCCGGTAAATGCCACAGTTATTGATCTTGACGGTTACGACGTGGCTCCTGCTGTTTCACACAAGGGACCAGAAGCAGACGCTATCAATACACAATCAAGCACCTCAGCGGAAAACAATGGCTACAACAATGGCTACAGCAATGGCTACAGCATTGCATCCCCTAATCCAGGCACAAGCTCGAGAGCACAACTCCCTGACAAATCAGCAGGCGTCTCGCCCATGAGCTCCAATGGCTACCATGCTGCACCTACCGGGCCGGAGATGTACCAGGCGACACAATTCTCCCACGCACCAGCTAATGGTCTGACGGAAGCACCTCAACTCCAACAATGGTACTATGGACCTCCTCACTTGGGCCCTGCTCATGGTGATGTCCCGAGCATGATGCATACGTATACTCTACAGGGTCCACACCAGCAGCCTGGTTTCGCTCCTCAAGGCTATGGTCACCAGTTCAATCCGTATCAGCAGCAGCCGAACCAGCAGCATCAACATTAAGGCGGCTCCGCCTATGCAAGCAGGAATCTTCGCAGGTTCATTTCCCAATCTATTTCTTTGCGTCGCGTCTACATAGACTGTCTTCTGAAGGGGGTTTGAGTCCTACAGGTCCTCAGTGTACTGATGCTTCGTGGTGTTGGCATTGTGCGGAAGGTGGAAGTTTCGTCCTCACCCTCGAAAGCATTCCTAAAAGGCTGATTTGAGGGGTTGGCGATGTTGGCTTCCCTATGGTGCACCATCGTCGCTTTAAAATCCTGTGGAGAAAGTCAACTGTTATATGATGAGTGGATCTTATAAAACTAGATTCTGACTTCTTTCTTGTACTTGTCGCGCCTTCTTATCGGGATATGATGTCTCCGTCAATAGGTCCTCAAGCTCATAGTGCACAGCTCCCTCCGATTCTAACGCCCCAGTTTGGTTGTTTTAGGTGATTCGGATGAACACGCATCGAGCAAATCACGTTCGTCCGCTAAGACAAACTCAGCTCCGGTCTCTCTTCCAGTGCTACGTTTTCTCTTCTCTGAACTTCCTCCTTATGCACTTTAATTCAAGCGGATCTATTTTTCATGTACTTCTGTGTCGCATCGAAGACGAAACAGAGATAGAAGTTTCACTGGAAAACTGAGTAGTGACTTCACTGGTTGGTCTCTGTCCGTGAACTCCACTTATCAGCTGATTAGTCGTCCCCAATTTCACCCAACCCTCGTATCCTTTTCTAGGCTGCCATCCCCGTTCTCAACTGACCGTCCACCCGTTCGTACCTAACGCAAGGCTTCACTCCGTCAACATTCAACACCGCTTCGTTCGTTCTACGAGCAGCCCACCTACAACAAAAGCATCAATCCAAAATGGTTCTCCACGACGTCAATAAGGCGTGGGACACCCTCACCGACAACGAAAAGCGTCGCATCTTCGCCATCTGGTGCACCCAGCCTCCACCGACCGTAAGCTACCTACAAGATCCACTACAAAAGTTGCCAAACACGCTTCTAATATTGCAACAGATCGATTGGAAGACACTCGCCGCCGCTCTCGGCTCTTCATCCAGCGAGGCCAACCGCGTCGCTCACTTCAACGCCTTGAAGAAGCTGAGAACCGCCGGCGCTGTGATCGAAGGTAACGGAACACCATCAGCCAGCGCTGCCACTACTCCTACACCTACGCCGAAGAAGCCACGTGCGAAGAAGGGCAAAGCCGATGGGGATGATGCCGGCGGTGATGACGCTACTCCCAAGCCAACCCCGACACCTAAGAAACCACGCTTGAAGAAGGAGAAGGAAGGTAGGGAAGATGCCGGCAGCAATGACGCTACTCCGAAGCCTAAAGCTACGCCAAAGAAACCGCGCGGCACGAAGCGCAAGGCTGAGGATGACGGTAGCGGCGACGAATCTGGCGGCGATGGCGAAGCTCCTACCACGCCGGTTCGCAAGGTGATCAGTAGGTACATTACCACGGACGTGCGGAGCATGAGCTGATTCAATCGCAGAGAAGGCGGTTACTCCGACGAAAAAGGAGATGGAGGTGGACAATGAGGGTTAATTGAATTTGGCTTGGAAGGCATACTTGATCCTTGAGAACCCGCTCAGTCACAGTCTTGTACCGGCTTTGAACGGCGCCTGAAAAGAGGGTCGTTTCACTACACGGTACAACGTCCGCAGCGGCGTTGGGTGTTCGTTTCAAGGCGAGATGAATGAAGGGGAGTAACGGTGGTTCTAGCAGAGTTCTCGCATACACGACTGCAAACCCATTATGGACGTTTCTAACAGCAAGGAACGGCTCTTAAGCGAATCGCGACGGCAAAAGCAGTCCAGTTCGTAGGCTGGCGGCGGGCGTTGGCGGGCCTCTGAGCAAGTTCCTTCAATCTCCTATCTAAGCATTTCAGGTCGTCTTCTTCAAACAACAAACGCATTGGTCAAGTGACTCGTGCGCTCTACCATTGCGTAACCCGCCCACCGTATCTTCCACGGTTTTTCTTCCGGACCACCACACTGTAACATAAGATCTTGGACTGACGGAGAGGTCACAAGCTTGTTCACATCCGCCCATTTTGCCCACTCAGATACTCAGCTTTCCCTCTCCGCTTTTCAGCGTACGCACTCAACCCCTGCCTAAGCAGATTTCTAAAATCACATTTTGACTCACCTCCACGACATCTTACAACGAGACTGTGGATACAATGCCTCAATTCAACTTCGACGCTGTGTGGAACACTCTCACTGAGACGGACAAGCGCCGCATTGTAGCCATCTGGTGCTGCGAGCAGCCCACCAAAGTATGTACCGTCACCTATCAGTCCATCTTTCTGCCAGCTGACGACGTGGGCTTCAAGGTAGACTGGGACTTCGTTGCGAAGGCGACGAGTTCCGCCCATGGCGGTGCTGCACGGAAGGCCAATGGCAAGCTACTCACGAAACTGAGAGATGGCGGCGCCGTTGAGGACGGAAATGATGTACGTCAGTCTTCCGCGTTTCACTCTCCGCCGCATTTTTGTGTGGCTCAGTCCTCTTCACAACACACTTCCACAAACTTCTCACAGCAAGCACGCTGGACTCTTTACATCTTCGACATCCCATCCTATCCTGCCACAACCCGTCTCCTTCAATCTACATTCCATTCACAATGCCTGTCTACGATTTCGAATCGACTTGGCAGGCGGCCTCAGAGAGCGATAAGCGCCGCATCGTAGCCATGTGGGCTTTGGATCAGCCTGCCCCCAATTGGCAAGCCGTCGCAGAATCAATGGGCTCCGTTCTCAAACCTCGCACCATGTATTATGCTGATAACGCCTTTCGGAAGAAGCTGAATGTTGCGGACGCTGAGCCCGAAGAGGTACGTGAAGATCTGCCAGAACATGAACAGAGAGCCGGAGATGAACAGTGTGAGCGCAAGGTACGTCAATATCCTTCTATCATACTTCACTTCGCCCTTCACTGAACACATGACCTCCACACCCGATCTGCCCAACTTCATTTGCACACCCTCTTCTATCCACCATCCTTCGTTCGCATAAAGTCATCCACAACCAACCTACTTCCTACACTTCGCTTCCTTGACTATAACTTTTCTTATTTCATCCCAACAAGCACACATCATGCCGCAATTCGATTTCGAAATCGTGTGGGACATCCTCTCCGACCTTGAGAAGAAGCGCCTTGTCGCCATATGGTGCTATCAGACGTCCGAAGTTCAGGTAGAACAAGTCTGAATCTGAGCGCCTCATACTCTCTGATCAATTTCGCGTCACAACATTCTGATGACTTATGCACTTCACTGTTTGCTAATCACACCTTCCGGATGACAAAGCTAACCCTTCGCTTCGTAGACTGACTGGGCGAAGGTCACCGAAGCTGCTGCCGGCGGCCAAGCGACCGTCGCATCTGTCAAGACCTACCACAGTCGCACCCTCAAGAAGCTCAAGGATGCCGGTGCCGAGCTCGACGAAGACGGCAGCCCTGTGGGTGGTGCCTCCTCCGATGCCAAAGCTACGACTCCAAAGCCGACACCTAAGAAGAAGGCCGCAGCTGGTGAGAAGAAGGCCGCAGGTGGCGGCAGGAAGCGCAAGGCCAAGGAGGACATTCCTGTGGACAGCGTCGAGGAGGAGCCAGTCACTAAGAGTAAGTGGAACCACTGTTGCATGGTACCATTCATGGCTGACCATGCACCACAGAGGTGAAGGAGGAGATCAGGGAAGAGGTCGACGGCGACGGCGAGGAGGAGCAGGTGATCTAGGCGCGGTCACCATATGCGACGGACGAGCGACCGGCTTGTCCGCTCTTCGGGACTTATCTGGCGTTCGGATGGATTTTCATACTGAAACTGCGCGGCTTGCGGGCGATGGCATGAGCCCACAGCGATCTACTTCAAGGCATCACGGCTTGAGAGATGAGCGGGTACTCAGGACGGTTCGCACTGCTGTGGGGGTTGACTTCTTTCCAAAAGCTCAACATGGAGTTCTCTCATCTTCCTAAACCACAAATGGATTCCATAAACACCTTCTCGTCACAATCCACTGAGGCTGCAGACGTTCTCGTACGTAGCTAAATGGAAAGACTGCTGAGGCGATTCCAGAGCTGCTCAACACCTCTATGGACTCCATAGCATTGCAACCGAGCAGACATGACCTCCGTCCTGCGAGCCGTTTTGAACACTCTGAGGCTCAAATCCGAAAGCCTTCCAAGGTTGCTGATGGGAACCAAGGAGAGACGTAGTACCGGTCACGTGCCGTTCAGCCAACATCAAAAGCTAAGCTCTTGTACCCCGGATCTTGGCGTACGTACGGAAGTAGCTACCAAAAGTCGCGAGACTACGCTAAGACAGCCACAGCGGGCGTTACTTGACGCTAGCCGCCTTGAGTAAGACGATTGCAGGGGTGGAGTCACAGCTTTTTGGAAGCTTCAGGTATCGGTCTATACTCTTAGCCTTCATCAGCCTGCTTATCACTCTAGTATATAAGATGCATTCCGTAGATAGTTGGAAAGCATATGTGTAACTGGGAAAAGACTTGATGTCGCTGCTTTTGCGATTCTAACTAGGGTTTGTACCACTGCTCGCCACTTTGGTAGCTACCTCCGTAGTCAGGGCCGAGCTTAAGCTCGCTTCCCAGTTAGACAGGGCAGGAACAGAGAGCGCGCGCGGACCAGTCTCCGTTGCGCATGACGTGCGGATGGCGCGAAGCTGCCTCTTGGAAATCCCAGCAGCTTTTGCCCCTCCGAGCGTCCTCTTTTCCGAAACCCCATCAATTTGCCAATTGCTAACGTCCTGCGGCTCAATTGTTAAGAAACATCCATTGTTGATTCACCTGAACAATCATCCAAACATGTTCACCTCACGAACAGCAGCCCGCTCAGCGCAGGCGCTCCGCGTAAGAGGAGCTTCTCGCACCATCCGCAACACCCGCTTCCAATCTACCAATCCTCCACGCGACGCAGACCGTGCAGGTGGCCTTGGTCCGGCCGCGGTTGGCGGCATCGCAGGAGCCGCCGTCTCCCTTGCCGGTTTCTACGCGTGGTATCACTTCTCTGGCGCCAAGACTATCGTTCAGAAGACCAGTCAAATTAAGTTCTACTTCGACGACGCGCAGAAGAAGCTCAAGGAGAACATCGCAGAGAAGGCGCCCGAGCCGAACGAGGCGCTCAATTGGCTGCGGCAAAGCGCGTCCTTCTATGGCGCGTTCATCCCCGGCGCCAAGCAGTACATTGACTCCGCCTTCGATGACCTAGACACGATCCGCGAGAAGCACGGAGACGAGGTCGACAATATCGTGAAGGAGGCGTTCAACGAGCTCAAGGATGTCTCGCAGCAGGGCTTGTCGGCCAAGACGGCACAGCAAGCTTGGGACATACTCCAAAAGCACATGACACGCATTGGGGAGCTGGCCGGCGATGCGGCGTCTGAAATCCTGAACAACCATCCGCAGCTCAAGGACAAGGTTGGGGGCAACCTCGATCAGCTGAAGAAGTTGGGCGATCAGTACGGACCGGAGGCGAAGAAGCAGGTTGAGGAGACATGGGACCAGATACGCGACATCATGAAGAGCGGCGTCAGCGCGGAAACGGCGACCAAGATCAAGAATCTGGTCCAGGAGAAGTCTGAGATGATTAAGAGGATGGGCGACGAGGCGTGGAAGAAGGGCATGGAGCAGGCCAAGCCGTACCTCGACAAGAACCCCAAGGTGAAGGAGCTCGTGGAGAAGAACGCAGATGCGCTCAAGCGGGGCAACGTGCAGGAGCTGTGGCAGACGGTCAAGCAGAGCGTCGAGACGGGTGATACGTCAAAGATCGAGCAGTACGTCAAGCAGGCCACCGACAAGGCGAAGCAGAGCGGGTTCGGCGGCTTGGATCAGATTATGGGCAGGTTTGGAGGCGGCGAGATCATCCCGAAGCTGCAGCAGCTGCAGCAGGTCGCACAAAAGCATGGTCAAGAAGCGGAGAAGCTCTTCAAGGAGGCCATGGATGAGATCCAGCAGGTGTTGTCGAAGAAGTCGGAGCAGGCGAAGGCGCTGGCTGACAAGGCGAAGAAGGACTCCAAATGAGGAGCCACTGTCAGTCGGTAGTGCGTTGTGCAGCTTTTCCTTGCATCGAGGGAGTCTGAAGGGAGTTTCAAAATCGTGAAGAGGAAGATGTTTGTACGACTAGGTGGGTCCGACGACTGACACCGACGCTTTAGCCACGAGCGGGAGAAGGTGCTTAGTTTCCTAGCAACGCGCAGCCCTAGCTTTTCGGCAATTGAAATTGATGTTTGAACGTCTTACCACCTAGGCGTCCACCTGGGCACCTAGACAAAGCCTCAAACATGCTGAAGGAAACCTTAAGTTACTCACAGACCTTCGTCTTACGTTTGGACGAATCAGAAGGCTTGCATGAACTGACGCCATCAGCCAGTCTTGGTTCGCGCTACTGCGGGTGATGGCGGATGTCGCTCCGTGGGCCGACGCCAGCCAAGAGCCGTTGAAGCCAGCCCTTTTCCCCTAAGATCGGCCCCCGGCTGCTCTGAATTGCGAAACCCTTATCAACGACGTAACATCCGTGTTTAACAGCTTCCAGCTCACCACAAGCTCCACATATAGCTACCACGACTGTTCCTAGTCGACACTCGGAGTCGTTTCTTGCTTAGGAGTGGCCATTGTACCCGCAATCTCGCGCCTCGCAGCACGCAATGTACGACGAGCGTTGATGCGGCCGTTGCGTCTCGTACGACAGTCAACAAACAGCGCGTCGATACGATCAATCGCAAAAGTCAAAAGGCTCAAGAAGTAGCAAAAGAATCCTTAGAAATCTGCAGAGCTTCAGCATCTCTGAGCCACCCCGTCGACACCGAACCCACCAGACCCACCACCCATCTGAGGAACAGCTCCACGCCCACCCACGCGCAAAGATGCCCACCTACCTCCTCCACGGCTTCCGCTGGCCCCGCCCCATGATCCGCATCCACATCATCCTGCAAGACCTCGACGACTGCGCCGCAGAGTGGCTCATGGCGCCTTTGACCCACTCGACGCTCCTCGACAACTTCCGAACTCTGCACCCCGAGTACCTCTCCTCGCTCCCAAACCTCCGCTTCATCGAGCAACACGACCCGGACGACATCACCACAAAGTCCCAACCATACGCCTACGTGGCTGACGTGTGCGAGGAGGTGAAGCTGGGTGTTGATGTTGACGAGGTGCGCGGAAAGGGCGTCAAGAACGAGCAGTGGGACGCCATGCTAGGCTTGAGGGATAAAGTGGCCCCGGACGCGAAGGTCGCGTGGTTCGTGGTTGTGTGTGGGGACATTGAGAGGTGGGTTCCACCCCCCGAGGAAGGGGTGGATGGGGGCGCGACGGTGGACAAGGACGCCGTAGATAATGTGCAGGGCTGGGACGAGAATGTCACTGGGAACGATATGGTGGAGTACAAGGCGAGGAACACGGTCAGGAGCGGGAGTATGGCGAGCTCGGATGTGAGTTGGACCAGATTGAGGGTCTTGTGTTGTGGGGACGGATGGGCTAACGGGTGAACAGAATAGCAAGAGGAGATCATCTTCAGGCGCCGGGAAAGGGTTTATGAGGCTGTTCCGGAGATCGAAGAGGTACGTCTGACGAGGACCTTCTTTAGCTGCAGACTGGTAACGGACAGCGAACAGCACAAGAGACCTCGGGCGCACCGACTCGCAGACATCGCAGGACCTGCCGCCTCCCATGCCCACTAGACCGCCAGGCACGGCGGTGTAACGTCAGGATACCTCAGCACTTATTGTCAACTTCAAGCTAGGCGTCTGTCGGCACGTAAGGCAAGCCTGATCAGGCTATTTGCATAGGGCGTACTCCGGAACTAAAAGTCTTTTGCTATCTATGGAGTGGGTATTCGGGTCCTGTTGTACTTTTCACGGCGACTCTGACGACTTCCATCGTCTGGGTTTTCTGGCCCGCCTTCGTTACGACCTGTAAATGAGCGGATCACGTGACGGGCAGAGCCGCAACATCTGCTCTGCTTTAGGCTCGCGTGAGACGGGCTCTTTCACCATACCCGTTGCGGAAGTAATGTATCCACGAACTATTGTTTAATCCGTTTCTTGTTACCTCTTAAGCTGCGCGAATCTCTTAGCTAGCTCGTCCACATCCGGTATCTTCCCGCCAGGCCCATCGTCCTTCTCCGTTTTACTCTGTCTCCTCTCGCCAGTACTCGCCGTCGTCTTCTTCAGCTTCCCTGCTCCCGGCTTCAGCTCCGGCGGCCCCGGCAACTTAATTCTCGGCGCCACGTTCTCGGACGTCGGACTCTGCGGCGTGACGCGCAGCGGACTCTTGGGCCCCAGATCCCGCGGCGGCGTCGCTTTGCTCAGCTCCTCTGCCTCGAGGGGCGCTTCCAGCGCCTTGACCTTCTGTCCTCCACTACCGCCATCTTCATCGTCATCGTCTTCCTCGCCATCTTCTTCATCACCATCCTCGTTATCCCCAGGAAACGGGACACCGTACGCCTTGCAGATCTCCCTCAAATACCCCTCCACCAGCTCCGGCCTCGGCTGCTCAATCTTCAGCTTCTTCAACACGCGTTCCGCGACCCCGGAGCCTTCCATACTGCTCAGCGCGAACTCCTTCCCGAACTTCTCGACCAGCAAAGCGCGCACGGCGTGTAGCTCTTTGACCTCGGTTCGGGAGGCGGCGTAGATGAGGCTGCGGACGGCTTCTTCGAGGCCCGGGTCGCATTGGGGCGTGGAGTGGGAGTCCCGCGAGGAGAGGGACGGGGAGAGCGAGGAGGGGGGTTCGAGGAGCTGGGATCGCGCGAGGAGCAGCTCGCAGTATAGCTCGAGGATCTCGTGGAGTTCGGTGGTTATGTCCGAGGCGATTATGTTCTCGACGCGGATTTTGGCGGATTCGAGTTTGCCTTGCTGGGGGAGGGGGTGGTTTCTTCAGCTAATGCCTCTGCTGTTGTTTATAGAGGGCTGTGTTGGTGCTCCTGGTTTTGTTGCGCGAGGTGTGGGGGGGCTTAGAGCTGGGGTGGGGGGCTTGTGGGTGTTCTGTAGCGGAGGAGCTGTGCCACGAACCTCGATCAGTTGCGCCATGGCGCGTCGTTGCTGCTTTGCTAGCGCTGAGTCTTTCTGCTCTACCATCCGTAGCCGCGATATGGAGAGTTTGAGCTGGACTTTGAGCTTCGACTGTGCAGGGCGTCAGTACTGGATTGATCCTGCGAGAACGGTGCCTGGATAGGCTTACGACGAGCGACGATGGAGGCGCCATATTGTATCTGGTGGATTGTGCAGGAGCTAAGGGTAGAGTTGAGAGCGGTCAGGGTGGGTAGGAACATGCATGTAGTGGGCCGGTAGATTGGAGTTGTTGCTCTAAGGCTGCCCGACTCGGATCGACCGTGGGACATGTGCCCCACCGGAACCTGCCCCGCGCCCGTTCAAGGGTCCACGAAGCTTGAGCACCAACCACTGTTGTCAGCTCCTAACCAGACAATCGACGACTTCCTTTCCGCTACGAGACAGCGAGATCGCAGCATCCAGCCCTGCGCGCGCCCACCATGCCTCTGTACGTCCTCCCTCCCCCCCCCTTCAACTACCTCCCAGAACTAACACAGACACCCACAGCAACCTCCTCTCCAAAAAATCCTGGAACGTCTACGCCCCCGCAAACATCGAGCGCGTCAAGCGCGATGAAGCCGCCGCCGCAGCCCGAGAGGCAGAAGCCGAGCGCCGCATGCAGGAAGCCGACGCCGAACGGCGCATCGCTATACTACGAGGCGAACAGCCGCCTCCCCTCCCGGTAGAGGACGTTGAGAAGCCAGAGCGGAAGAGGGATAGGGACGGCGATAGGGAGGGGAGAGGGGGTGAGCGAAAGAGAAGACGGCTGGCGGGCGAAGACGACACGGACCGGGACCTACGGCTCGCGAGGGAAGACGCCGCGAAAGTTGCTGCGGCGAGGGGGACAGCGCTAACGTCTACGGGTGGGAAGAAGAGCGGGACAAGCGACGCGCCGCTCATGGACCGCGACGGGCACATCAGCCTCTTCCCCGTTGACCCACGGGCGCTGCACCGCGCGGAGAAGAATGCGGAAGCCGAGGCAGAGAAGGCGAAGAAGAAGCTGGAGCTCGAAGATCAGTACACCATGCGCTTCTCGAACGCAGCAGGAAAGGCAGGCCTGGAGCGGCCGTGGTACGCTGATGCTGCGGCGAGGGATGTACGGAGTGGTAGCGTGGGGCTTTCAAGAGAGGGGTTGGGGGAGGTGGGAAAGGATGTTTGGGGGAATGCGGATCCGGGGAGGAAGGAGAGGGAGAGGATCAGGGCGGGGGCGAGTGATCCGTTGGCGTTTATGCAGAGGGCGCAGACGCAGCTCAAGCAATCGGAAAGGGATCGGCTGAAGTGGGCGGAGGAGAGGGAGAGAGAGGTGAGGGCGTTGGAGGAACGGGAAGCGCGTCGGGAGAGACGCAAAAGGCGCCGTGCACGTTCTGAGAGAGAAGAAGACCACCTTGAGGGCTTCAGCTTGGATGCAGCGGTGGATCTGCGTATTGATGGCGCGCAATCTAAGTCGCACCGCCGTGGACGGTCAAAGCATGAGCTGCACAGGAGCGGGAGCAGAAGCAGGAGCCGGACAATGAGCGGAGACGGACACAACGACCACGGTAGGTTAGATCGCCGCTCGCGGAACCGCAGCAGAAGTCATGACCAGGACAGGGAAAGGAAGCCTGGCCACCGGTCCGGCCATATTTACGAGCGCCCTTCGCGCGGCAGTGGCACGCTGGCGGAGTCACTTCTGGCTCGATTTGATATGCCGCAGTGATAGCCTTAGAAACCATCGAAGCTTATAACGCTGCTTGTTGACTGTTATATGACCAGTCATGCTTGTGCTTGGAATCCGAGTAATGGAAAGGGTGTGTCACTTACAGAGACAGTTCTCAAATGAACAAATACATGTAGTGTATCAATTGACAAAGACTCTCCATTCTTAGAATCAAAATAGTTCGTCACTAGTCCCAAGTAACCACATCGCTCGCGCTTTCGTTGGTCTTAGCTTACGAGCCTTGATATGCCAGACCTAACTCAACAGTACCCTGATCTCCGCTCCAGTCCGTGGGAACAGCTCTCTGAGACTTGGCACAGGTCCCTCTTCCTCGCCATCCTCTACAGCCCTCATCTCGTCGGCAGCCACTATCATGCTCTCCACGTACTCGAAGTCGTCACAGAACTTATCGGCCGCCTCTTCTGTAATCTCCTGCGCCATCTTCGTGTCTCGTAAGCGCTTGATATTCTCCATTGCATCGATTAGAGCGGAAGGCAAGAAGTCATCGAGTGTCTGACTGGTGGCGACGAGGGGTTCTGGCTGAAAGGCTTTCAGGGATGGTATCGATGCTACAACTCCCTGGGATTTGGACAATGGCGCTAATGCCGCGAGTAGGGGCTGTAGTCCGGAGTGATGGATGAAGAAGCGGTGTTGCTGTTCAACCAGATTGGTAGTGTGTTCTTCGATATTATCCTCAATATTCGAGACTTTTTCTCTAGTGAATGAAAAGGGTAATAACACTGCCCTTGCCGCTGCTAAGCAATTAATTGCAAAGACATCGCCATCGGGTGCTGGAAGGCGTTTCCAGAGATTCTCGCACCCATTGAGGAAGGGATCCAATGCCTCTGCAAGGACTGGGCGGAACCCCTGTCCCATGCTATCGGAGCTGGTAACAGACGTTTCGTAACTCTTGAGCAAGTCCTTAAGCATGTCAAGGGCTTCCTCCAGAAACTCCGGTGGCGACAGATCGGGTGGCGCCACGGCGAGCTCGCTTTGAACGGCAGCCACGTGATCTTGCATGTTCGCTCGAAACTGCCTGAGGGCCGATTCTTCTAAGCCAGCCAAGACGTCTACCACGTCGGCTTCTTCGCCGATGAGTTTCGTGAACATGTTCTTGTAAAAACCAAGTAAATTTGCGATCCTGTATGCTAGGGTCGCGTTTACATGGCTCCGGATGAGCTGCTCTGTGCGCTGTCGGAGAAGTCTTGCAACACCTGTAAGATCCCGACTGACGAGTTGGCTGAGTGCTTTACGGCCGTCGAAAATCTCTTCTTTGCCGTCTTCCGGCCGAGACCACGGATCGCTCTCCAGGCCCGCTTGAATGCCCTTAGCCATCTCGTCTCCTTCCGAGATGAAGAGCACTTCGAGCGCTTCCCTCTCGGACACGGTGGCTGAGTGTGCCCAGGCAAGCATGTCGCCAACGTAGCGTAGTGGGTCGTGAGCTTGGAATTCGATGGGCTTAGTAGAAACATGGTTAGTAGAATCGGATATGGATCCTGTCAGCGCAGTATAGAAGGCATCGGAGAGAGTGCGCTCGCGTGCTTCAGCGAAGGAGTCGAGGCAGTTCTGGAAGAGAGTTGGCCGTTCTGCCAGCACTCGAAGTGCTCGACGTATCGAAGAACTGATTTGGGGGTTCTCCAAGTCAAGAGTTTTGATTTCTCGCTGTATCCAGCGGTATAGCTTTTGGAAAGCTGCATCTAGCCGCTTGGAGCTTTGCTCTAGGATCTCAATACCTAGTCGTTGGTCTTCTGTTCCTAGCAGGACTTGGCAGTCGTTGTGAATTTTTTTGGTTCTCCTAAGCAGTCGAAAAAACTCATCGTCAACCGGCTCAGCAGCGGAGGTCAGGGTGATGGCTTGGTCATCTGTCAACAGATAGTGACCGTTGAATGCTCCCAGAAGGCGCTGCTTGGTCTCGATCTCTTTCTTTTGCTTTAGAAGAGATGATGCCTCTTCGAGCATGGGTCTGGTCCCTCGGTCCGCAGAGAGTATATGGGCACGCATATCCGCACAGCATTGATTGAGCTTAGCAATAGCAGTTCCAACCCGTTTCAGTTGCTGTATGTATGGTTAGTCAGTGTCTGTAAAGAGTTGGCATTGGCACAACCTCCGCAACTTGACCAAAATCCTGGACAATCTCCCCGTTACACTGGATGACCTCCTTTTGCACATCAAGCCTAAGGTTGCGCCTGACGTCTTGGGTGTTCTCAATACCGCGAGCATCTAGAATCTTTAAGGCATCTCGAATCTCAAGGTCTGCATAAGAGGTTGACAAAACACTCGTGATCCGGCTCGAAAGCGCGTTTGAGCGCTGAGCCGTAGATTCTGTCGGCACGCTTGGTGATAGGAAAAGAGATCCATCATCAGGGATACACGCCCGAGGGCCCTGAGAGTGAGTGTCTGCCATACAGCACCTGGTCAATCTGAATGTCAGTTGGTCGTCTTGCATCTGATGATACGCCGCCGATTCGTTTTTCCGGCGGGACATGACAACGTTTCGGAAAGCCGCAGTTGAGGCTCCAACTCCAGCTGACTCGAGCTTGCTTCTCTCGCTGCTTAGAAACAATGATTCACAACACGCGCAAGCCACCTGGCGTAGCTTAAGACATTCGTTCGCATGGAGACACGCTTTGAACTCTGCGGGTCTTCTGGAGATCCTTTGCCGAAATTGAAGCATACGCCGCGCTACATGACTGTTGACTATCAAGGTCTCGGATGGTCATCTGATATCCGCTCTCCATCCTCTCCCTTGTGATGACCTCCAACATCTTCGCAAAGTTTCTACCCGCACCGACGACTGAACCTCCTATATACGACGCCATGCCGCAGGACACGCGAGCCTCCGAACGCCCAGTGTCCGAGGACGGTGCCGGCATGGCGATAGACGAAGAGAACTTGGGCGAGCGATTTCAGGACCAAGACCTTGAGCATCTACTTGCTGATGCTGCAGGAAGCCATATGACGACTGAGAGCACCGCTTTCCTGCCTCAAACGGCTCCCGGAAAGAGGCCGGCACGCCAGCTGCCAGGCGCGAAGAGTAGACCGAAGTGGATGAAGGAAACGCTAGAAGAGGGGGAAGGGTTGGAGGAAGATGACGATGTGCCGGAGTCTCTACTGCTAGACGGCCATAAGGGACGCGGTTTATCTAGGGAGAACCGAGACAGGCGCCGCTTGGGAGCTGAGTTAGACAGCCTACCGCCTCCCGTTCCCGGACCATCGACTCGCAGTACAAGAGCACAGTGGGAAGCAACGAGGGCACAGCAGCGGCTCCACGAGGACAACACTGAGAGGGCACTGCCAAAGGTACCCTCTTTGGGAGTGCACAGCCATCTTGCGCTCACCAACCCGAGGGATAGAGCTATGTGGAGATGGCTGCAAGTGCAAAATTTGGACAAATTCTTAAATGAAGTGTATTACTATTACTACAATCATGGCATGTGGTCGATACTGCTCGCGCGATTGATCATGCTTCTGTAGGTGCACCCGCTTCTAGTGTATGTTTGTCACCGTTTTGACCGTTTGTCATCTTAGGAGGACCGCCTTCGTGGTTGGCTTCATGACGTTCCTGTCATTCTGCATCGACTGGAAGGCGCTGCCGCACAGTAAGAGGATGCCCGAGGTCATCGTGCCGCAATGTACTCAAAAGTAAGTTTATTGGAGCTACTTGCCTCTACCTAGCTAAAGTTTCACAGGATCCACGGTCTCTGGAACATCGCCCTCTGGCTGTCCTCGTTCTTCTGGATATGCACGCTGTTTCGATATATCTACGAAATTCCGCAGTTGTGGCAGATGCATAACTTCTATCGCCATGTGCTTGAGATTCCTGATTCTGACATACAAACAGTCTCATGGCAATACATTGTGCAGCGTCTGATGACATTGCGCGACGCTAATCCAGCGACCAACCAGACTTTGTCAAATGCACGGCGTACCTGGCTTGGAACGCAATCAAAACAACGAATGGATGCGCATGATATCGCGAATCGTCTCATGCGTCGGGATAACTACCTGATCGCACTCTTCAACAAAGACATTTTGGACCTGACGGTGCCGGTACCATTCTTCGGCAACGTGAAGTATTTCTCGAAAACGACCGAGTGGAACATCCAGCAGTGTGTTCTGGACTTTGTTTTCGATGACAACGGTCAAGTTAGGACAGCATTCCTGGATACCAAATACCGCCGCCAGCTCATCGAAAGTCTCAACCGTCGGTTTGTTTTTGCTGGAGCTGTCAGTATCGTTACCGGGCCAGCTTCAGTAGTCTTCTTCTGCATATCGTACTTCTTCCGCTACTTTACCGTGAGTTAAACCTGCACGTTTCTCACGTCTAGATTGCATCTGATATAATGTGGCCACCAGAGTTTCCAAAAGGAACCATCGAAGCTGAGCTCTCGAGCATTTACCCCGCTCGCCGATTGGCACTTCCGAGAATTTAATGAACTCCCGCACTTCTATCAACGACGGAAGATGATGGCGACCCCGTATGCAGATCAGTATCTACAGCAATTTCCCAAAGACAAGATCGAACAGATCTCCCACTTCGTGGCTTTCGTTAGTGGGGCTCTGGCAGCAGTGCTCGCTTTGGCCTCCTTCTGGGACTCTGAGCTCTTCCTTGGGTTCGAGCTTACGCCCGGCAAAACGGTACTCTTCTGGCTCGGAGTATTGACCCCTATATACCTCGCCGCACGAAGCAGCACTTCCGAGGATACCGTTGTCATGGATCCGGAGTATGCTCTTGAGGGCGTGCTGCAGTTCATGCACCATTCCCCAGCGCATTGGCAAGATCGACTGCATACCGACGAGGTCCGGAAAGAGTTCTCGGCTATGTATCAGATGAAGGTCTTGATCTTTGCAGAGGAACTCTTGAGCATGATCTTTACACCGCTTGTGCTGATATACAGTCTACCGAGGAGCAGTGAACGTATCATCGACTTCTTTAGGGAGTTTACTATTCACGTTGATGGAGTTGGCCATGTATGCTCTTTTGCAGTCTTCAACTTCAAGAGGCCGGGCGGACCAAAACCGAGAGCAATACAACAAGGCCACGACACTGAGGGCCTTCGTGAAGATTACTACTCCACGAAGGGGGGCAAGATGGCCGCGTCAACGTACGGATTCATTGACACCTATGGTCCGAATCCGACTGCACATGGTCGTAGCGCTTCTCTGGCAAACCTCCACGCATCAGTGGCGTTTCCGGGCGGCGCATCTCCCATGTTAGTCGCACAGCCAGGGCTACCTGGTGCGAGACTTTCAAATCTTCGCCATTCAATATATCAGATGCACAGACCTGGACCTGCTCGAGGAGAGGCCCTGCCAATGCACTCTGTGCTGCTTGATCCGCACCACCAGCCGTCAATGTCCGCTCTGCGCACTTCCCCACGCCAGGCTCCGCGAACACGGCAGCGATCTAGACGCCGGCCACTGGCTGAAGCTGATGAGCTTGACGAGGAACTAGAGGCTGGCCCATCGGCACAACAGCATCCTATTTCGGTCAGCAATGCTGTTGATGAAGAAGACGGCTTAGGTGACTCTTGGAGAACGACTCGTGCAGCACAGTCTGGTGGAAACCATGAAGACGAAGACACCGATACAGGAGACGGAGGGAAGGGTGCTGGCGTTTTAGGCATGCTGTATCAGTTTCAGAAGGCACAGACTGATGGAAGAGGCGTTGGTGTTTGATGCTCCTGTTTCTTCTCGCGACGTTCATGTTCAAGGGCAGGGTAAGGGGAGTACTGGCAATGGGATTCTGTCACAGCATAAAGCTGGTTGATACGCATTGACAGGAGCTGTTCGGACTATGCGGAGCGCGTATTGTGTGGAATTGTTTGTAATATCAGGTTACCAGCAGATTCGCTATATACCACGTTCTAACAAATTCTCAACACAAGCAGACATGCTCACGTGACGTGCAAGGCATGAATGCCACGTTGAACCCTTGAATCGGAAGAGGTTGTTCCGGTAATTTACGCCGATTGGCTGTAAGCGCCTTACGTTACTTTCTCGACATCTACGCAGTTTGGGGCACAAGAGACATCTGAACAGGGAAACGGACATTCAGGCTACCGTCTACAACCCTCAGCGATACTGTGGCCATTACGATCTACCAGCGCTACTGCTACCTGCCGGGAAACCTCCTCCATACCTCCTTCAGCCTTGGGACCTGAACTCGAGCTTCAACCACCCTTCTACCAGCAATACCTCGAATAGTACAAGGACCTCGGCAGACAACAGGGACAGACCACCATGGAGTACGAGGGGGCGCCGGGTGCGCACAAGAAGAAGCGCGCATACGCTGCGCAGGCGTATGACTTTGGAGCTGGTGCCAACACTGTCCAGCAGCAGCAGCCACCTCCTCTGATTCCTGTAGCGCCAGCGATGATGCAGCCACAGGAGCAGTTGACGGCTCAATTCGGACAGATGAGCTTTGGGGGCCAGCCTCAGCAGCCCCAGCAACCTATGCCTCAGATGCAGATGCCTCCGCAACAGATGCAACAGCCGCCCCAGCATTCCGCGGTGAACCAGCTTTACCCTACGGACATCATATCGCAGCCGGTGCAACCGTTCGAGATCGATGGGCCCCCGCCGCCAATAAACCTTCCTCCAAATGTGAGGGTGCGCTGCCTGTGAAACGGAGGCCTATAAGCTAACTTCCGTAGACGAGCGTAACCCCTTCTCCGTACGCGAACTGCGATCCTAAGTACGTGCGGTCAACGGTATGCACCACTCTATGCAGCACATTTGCGCTCTCTTGAAGCGTGGGGTTTGCTAATTAAGGTCGCCCGCAGCTGAACTGCGTACCAACAACACATTCTCTCCTAAAGAAATCCCGGCTGCCTTTTGCGCTAGTCATACAGCCATACACCTCACTCCACGACGCAGAGGATCCGGTGCCTGTTGTCCCGGACCAGGTCATTAGCAGGTGTAGACGTTGTCGGTCATATGTGAGGCCCAACAACAATCCGGTACACCCTAGCGCATATAGTCTAATAGGTTGTGTGTGTGTTAGATAAACCCTTTTGCCACATTTTTGGACCATGGACACCGTTGGAGATGCAATATGTGTAAGCAAGGGACGTCTGCAACACCAGTTTGACTTGCTCACGCGAGTAATAGGTAACCTGACCAACGATGTGCCTCAGGCGTTCGACTGGGACGCGACAACGCAGAAGAGCGTAGACAGATGGCAGCGGCCAGAGTTGAACTACTCGGTTGTTGAGTTTGTCGCTCCTCAAGAATACATGGTCCGGCCTCCGCAGCCTTTAGTGTATCTCTTCGTATTCGATGTCAGTTACGCCGCGGTAATCAATGGCCTACTGGCGACAAGTGCTCGTTGCATCATGGAAAGCTTAGACCGGATACCGAATGCGGATAGGTGTGTTCTCGACAGCGCCTCCCCGTTACTGGAAGTTTACTGACGATTGGCTAGACGGACAAGGCTTGGCTTTATGGCGGTTGACTCCTCTCTATACTACTTCTCCATACCCCGGGACAACAGCGAAGGCAATGACCCGAGCATGCTAGTTGTCAGCGACCTGGATGAGCCTTTCCTACCTACACCGGAGGATCTTCTCGTCAACCTGTCCGAAGCGCGAGCAAATATCGAGAATTTCCTGGAGAAGCTGCAATCGATGTTCCAAGATACGCAAAACGGCGGGTCTGCTATGGGTTCCGCTCTCCGAGCAGGTCACAAGTTGATTTCTCCCGTTGGTGGCAAGATTACAGTCCTGAGCGCCAGTCTCCCCAACTTAGGACACGGCAAGTTGGAGATGAGAGAGGACAAGAAGCTGCTTGGTACAAGCAAAGAAGGTAGCCTCTTGCAGACCGGCAACGCTTTTTACAAGAGTTTTGCAGTGGAATGCAGCAAAAACCAAGTATCGATCGACATGTTCCTCTTCTCATCGCAATACCAGGATGTAGCCAGCCTCAGCAACTTGCCACGGTATACCGGTGGCCAGACATACTTCTACCCGGGCTGGAATGCAGCAAGAGCAGAGGACGCCATCAAGTTTGCAAGGGAATTTAGCGACTATCTGTCTGCCGAGATCGGGCTGGAGGCAGTACTGCGAGTTAGGGCTACTACAGGGCTAAGGATGTCAGCCTTCTTCGGGAACTTCTTCAACCGCAGCAGTGACCTTTGCGCATTTCCCGCCTTCCCTCGCGACCAGGCCTACGTTGTGGAGGTTGCGATAGGTAATGTTCCCTCAATCCATCCCTCCTTACAAGCACTACGTGATTAATTGTTGATGTAGATGAGACGATCACAAAGCCCTTTTGCTGCTTACAGACTGCCGTACTACACACTACCTGCAACGGCGAGAGGTAGGTCGCTCTGTCTCATTATAGATGAGTCCCCTAGCGACTGACGCAATTGCTCTCTAGGCGGATAAGAGTACTGACACTGGCTCTCCCTACAACCGAGAATCTCGCAAATGTCTACGCATCGGCAGATCAACAGGCCATAACAGTCTACTTCAGTCACAAGGCCGTAGAGAGGGCTCTAGGCAGCGGACTTGACGCGGCCCGAGACGCATTACAAGCGAAACTGACTGAGATCCTTCAGACGTATAAGAAAGAGCTTGGGGGAGGGAACATGGGTGGTGGGGGGCTACAATTGCCGTCGAATCTCAGGGCGCTACCTGTGTTATTCCTCGGCCTGATGAAGAACGTAAGATCGAACTTGTCCCTTGAATGTCCTGCCACCGGCTAAGCTTCACCAGATCGGACTCCGCAAAAGCTCTCAGATCCCATCGGACCTGCGAGCGGCAGCCCTCGCTCTCCTCTCGACGCTACCTCTACCTCTGATGATCCAGTACATGTATCCCAAATTCCACTCACTCCACGACATGCCCGACAACGCCGGCGTGCCGGATCCCCAGACGGGCGAGATCATGCTACCGCCAGCCATGAACCTGTCCTCGGAGCGTATCGTGCCCCACGGACTGTACCTGATCGACGACGGCGTGAACCAGTTCCTGTGGGTGGGTCGGGACGCCGTGCCAGCGTTGCTGCTGGACGTCTTCGGCGTCGAGGACAAGAACCTGCTCAAGCAGGGCAAGACGCAGCCGCCGGTCGTCGAGAGCGACTTCAACGAGCGGATCCGGGCGGTGATTGAGAAGTCCCGGGATCATCGCGCCAAGGGCGTGGGCAGCATCGCCGCGCCGTCCCTGTACGTGATCCGCGAGGATGGCGAGCCCAGCCTGAAGTTGTGGGCGCAGACGCTGCTGGTTGAGGACCGCGCGGATCAGGGCGTCAGCTTGCACCAGTGGTTGGGCTTGTTGAGGGAGAAGGTGAGTCCAGAGCCTCCTCCGCTCATACTGTCGACCTGGCCGGACTGAGTGTGCTGATCAAACCGTTTTCGTAGGTTGTGCAATAGACGCACGTGGTTTAGACTTTTGTGCTGCTGTAGACATGGTTCCCTGTACGTTGGTGGGTTCTGGTTGGGTTCATGTGCGTTTGACGGCTGCGCATGGAGCGGTGAAGGAGCAGTATCTAGCAAAACGGTTTTCAACGTAGCACAGCGTAGAGTTCTACTGGTGATTCTATATCCCGATACTGAAGCACGAGTCAGGAGTTCTAGAGCTCCCTTGCTGAGTGCGGCTCGAGTTCCCGTCAATTGCTGCTGTTCATGCAGAACATCGGCTGCTTGCAGTTCGGTGCGACGCCGGCTGCGAGAAATATTCTCGACAGGCACCGACTATTCGGGAGCGGCGTGCAGCACGCAGGGCTGTAGAGTTTGATGGATCCGCTGCAAACATGATGGCTCCGCGTCTTTCTCATGCGCACAACAGTCCCGCGGAAGACGAAATATCGAAACTCGCCATGCTCGCGACCGATATTCGCCGGGGTCTTGGTACGGACGTAAACTACAGCCTTGGCACCACCTCGTTCCTGAGCATCTAGCCTGCCTGCCTGAAAAATACCCTAAGCAGCGACGATAGTGTAGTGCAAAACTTCGTCGGCGCCGCGACGAACGGACCATCCAGACGTCTCAACACTACCTGGGTACTATCCTACACTCTACCCAAGTACTTACACACGGCCTTTCCCCCGATCGAGCCAGCGGACGAAAAGGTCCAGGTCTCGCTTCCGCAGGTACAAAGGTACTACACCTATCAGCGTCAACACCACCCCTTGCAGCCGTGAGCAGACCATGGAGAGCGACCCCGCTAGCTCGCTGTTCCATGCAAGTCAACGCTGCTCGGCAGCTGCTGCGGCCAATCGCTTCCTTGTCCGGTCCTCTCGTCTAGCCTGGTTGGACGACCACCGATCTTCTCCTCCTCCTTCTCTGAAGAGGTGTGGATAGCAGGCTGGGGGCCTTTCTTTCTCGTCATCGCGATTGCTTTCTGTTCAGGCTGCGGAGCCATTTTTGCCCAGGCTTAATCTGGCTTAAGAGTTTTGCAAGCACGTTTTGCTGACTCAGTTCATACACCAAGTGCGCGCTGGGGGGCACTTCGACGGTACCCGCCACGCCCAAGTCTTCTTCACATGTGAAGTGCTTCCGGATGTCGTCGCCTAATCGACACAGCGGCGGGGGATATGTCCGCGTACAAGAGTCGTCCAAAAAAGCCGTTGCGGCACTTTAATCTAGCGCAACTTGACAGAACCCCCGAGGATATCTGCGGGCATGAACATCCAGACGCTTGACTTAGCATCTGTATATACGTACCCTGGCAGCCGAGACACAGCAATGAAGTTTTCGAGTGACCCTTGATAACTTGCCAGCGGCGGGAACGAGCGCGTCCGCATGCTTCTGCCAGATTGCCTGATGCCTGCACAGCTCTCGGTCCAGGGTGTCGTTTCAACTGGGGGCTGCTGCTCCTCCAGAGGATTTCTCAGCAGCATAAGACCAGGCCTCCCTGTCCCGCTCACGCATCTGAGCGCCCTGGCCGCAACTCTCACAGCGAATCCTATCCGCAACAGCCGGCCTTTACGGGCTGCCTGTCGCTTGGCTTGCTTGAGGTCGTCCCGCACGTCCCGCTAGTCGCTGGGTCAGCGCCGGGTAGGCCAGAATCTTGCTGCTTGGATCTGCCCACCAGCGCTCGTCGACGCGCACCCACGCACCCGCGCACCCACGCACCCAGGACGAACGCTCACCTGAAGATCCCAGCCACGCAAGCGTCTCGCTGCCCCTCTTACCCACCTGGGCACCCCCATACCCACCCACTCACCTCGATGCACTAGGGCGTGCAACCTGGACTGGAGAATCTCCCTCTGCCCTCTCATCTCTCCTCTCGTCACCTTGCTGCTGCAACTCCCCTTGAGTCAGAGTAGGGCTACGCCGTATTTTGTTCCTGATGCTCTCGCCCTTGCAGTAATTCGTCCGAGAGCCGCACCTAGCCCGCTCAAGCCATCCTGCAGCTCGGCCTCGAGATCTGCCTCACGCCCGCCACCTCGAGTGCGCGATAAGCGTCGCCATTAACACACACCACCACCGTGGCTCCGAGCACCCGCTCCGCTCCTCCCAGCCCTTCGCACCTCTTGTCCACGCTGACGACTTACGAATAACGGCCTGCTACCATCCTTGTTGACCTCTTCCTCTCCATTCGACACGCCTGTTGCTGCCGATCGGATGTATCTGCAAGCAAGCATCACTATCGTCCGTCAGCTGCGCCGTTTCAGCCTTGTCTTCCGCCGCGCTCAGTGACCGACCGTGCAAGCGCTCCTGTCAAGCAACGCTCAATCTGCTTTACCATCGCACTTGAACAATTCCCTGGAAGCGTCTGTCCGGGTCGCCAGTTGCCACCGGGCTTCGCAGACACGTCGTGTCACCAGAACATTACCGGCACAGCCAGCTTACCTTCAGCTGAGGGGGGCTGTAGCAGCAAAGCCGCACGCCTGCCACGCTTTGGCAATTCTACAATGTCCGCCTTCCGCGCCGTGAACACTGCCCTCGCAGCTCCGGAGCCAACCCCAGCTCGCACTGGCGAGGAAGGCACGCCCACCACACCGCGCACGCTCCAGTTCTTCTCCCCGGAAACCCCGAAGGCTGACGTCCGCGCTGAAGACCCGACGGCCAAGACGCCTACGCGAGACAGCTTCGGAGGCATCTCTGGGCAGAGGCCATTGCCGGCTTCACCGTTTGCGCCTTCGCAGGACAGCAGTGCTGCTACGTCCCGACCGAACAGTACGCTTGTAAGGGAGAGCTCGCACAGGTCGACCAAGTCCATCAACTCGCAGGATGTCGATATGGAAGACGACGAAGACGGACAGGACGGATCGGACAATGATAGTGTAACCAGTGAGTCGGCCAGGCCGTCCAAGAAGAAGAAAGGCCAGCGGTTCTTCTGCACTGGCTTCCCACCCTGCCAGCTTAGCTTCACCAGGAGTGAGCATCTTGCAAGGCACATCCGGTACATCTCCTAGTTGAGACTCTGTCTTGTGACAGCTGCTGACGCAATTGCAGGAAGCACACCGGCGAACGTCCTTTTCAGTGCCACTGTTCGCGTCGCTTCTCCCGCCTGGACAATCTTCGTCAGCACGCACAAACAGTCCACGTGAATGAAGATATCCCAGGTGACTCGCTCGCTGCTACTGGTACAAGATTTCAGAGACAGATCAGGACGGATCGAGTTAGGCCACCGAACCCCCGCTCGCGGGCTTCGACGATTGGAAGCCAAGGCAGTCATAGCAGAGGACACAGCAGGAATCTGTCAGCCTCAAGTGTTGCATCTACTGCCTCGACCGCTAGTGTGCGGGATGACGACCGCCGGCGGCCCCCACCTCTGGCTATAGCCGGTGATGGTAGTGCGAGGGCAAGGCTGACGTTAGATACATTTGCCGGCAGTCCGGGCGGTCAATTCCAATTCGGCGGCCAGTCCCCTGGTGAGTTCAGTACGCCCACATCCGCTACTTTTTCTGCTGGCACGGGTAGCCCGAGGTGGGGCTCAGGCCTGCAATCACCAATATCGACTATACCGCGGTCTCTCACGTACGACAGCCGCACACATGGACGTCGCCTTTCGGTCCCTTCTAGCGGCAATCCCTTCCAAGGTCCTCCTGGCGGTAGTTCGTTCTCCCCGCCGTACATCAGTCCGTTGCCATCGTCGACCTCCTCGACTTTCTCTGGGCTCGGTGGTTTCTTGACTAGCCCGACAAGCTCAACTCACGCATCCGATTCTCGCCGTGAGTCCAATGCGGCTGAGTTGGACTGGAGAAGGAGAACTTGGCACCCATCAACCTATACCAGTCTTGGTCCCAGACCTGCCACCAGCGGTTTGAGCTACTATCAAACCCCGGATGCTCCGCAGCCATCCTTCTCCACTCAGCCAGCTGCAAGTCAGTTGACTCGTCTGCCAGGCATTGAAAGCTTTGATCATGCACCGCAGCCTCCCATGCCGTCTCGCCGTCCTCCCAGCCCAATGCAGCTCGACAACCAGAATCGTCCGCCAGTCTATCCTGGTCCATTCGGAAACGCTGCATCCGGACCCGACGACAGGCGAGGTCATCAGTCTTGGGATATGGCTTTGCACAAGGGTCTTACCAAGCTGGACATCACTAATGCCACGCCGCCAAGGGACCCCCCTGGTCGCTTCCAGCATCCGCTCAATCAGTCCGCATCTGATATGAGACCCACCACCGTGCCGCAACCCTCCTTTCACAGTCAAGCCATCGCGAATAGCGTGGCTCAGTCAGCTCGTCCTCTGAGTGGAGACTCGAGTCGCTCATCTGCCGAGCAGCCAACCACTCCTCGCAAGAACAAGCGGCACGGGTGGTACAATGGACCGCTGCCTCTAACCCAGCAGGGCCAATTCCAGTATCAGCACATGACCGCGAACTATACCACTCACCGCACATCGCCGGAAGACTCGAGCAGCAGCGAGGGAGTTCCAACGCCGTCAACTTCTATGAGTGAGTGCCATCCGGCGATTGTACATAGCAACGGCTATATCGAAGCTCATCATCCAGCGGTGCACCCGGAAGATGCGCAGAAGACCGGCATCGTGCATGCGCCTCGGCCACCGATTGAAAGGGGAGCTTTCTCGTATCCGCAACACCCGGCTAGCGCACCGCGGCATCCTCCCTTTGCTACGCCTCATCCGCCGCCAGTTGGCAGCCACAGCGATGACATGAGGCGTCTGGAAGCGCTGGTTGCTGTTGCGACGAGGGAGGAGCAGGGCGGTCAGCTAAGGTCCTGAAGCTTCGCATCGGCACCACGAGCGAATCTTTAGGGAAATCCCTTATACTATCCCTTCACTGCAGCGCATATCCTCCCTGTTAGCACACCTACATTGGCTTCCTTTCTTGGAAGCAGCTCTAAATCTACCACCATCTACCACCACCTACCATCTACACGCCCAATCCAAACCATGACGTACGACGATCTAACGACCGCTCTACGAAGCCGCCACGAATGAAATTTCTTTTGTGCCAGAATGAGAATGAAGAAACGGACACAACCCCATTGGTCCCCGCATATTCCATGATACCCGTGATTTTAGGATGGCTTTTTCACCGGTTTCCCGCGTTCCACGTTCTTAGCATTTTGCATGAATCTTAACGTTCTCGTTGTTTTTGGCTCTTGCGGATGTTTTTGTCGCAGCGTTAGCGGGCGTTTCCGTGCTCTTTTTTTTTTCCCTTTTTCTTTTTGTTTGGGGGGTGTTTGCGGCACATTCTGACTTCATCGCCTGTTTTTGGCATACGCTCGCTGGGTTGGAAATGCATACGGCGGTTTCTGTGTTTCTGCTTTTGGCTTTTCTTCGCGAGCGACGGCTCGTCTTTTCACTCGCTTTTGCCATTGCGAGCGCTTCTGATGACTTTTCCTCTTTTTCCTTGCGGATTTTAAGCGTCTCGGCGATTCTTCTAGGGCGGCACTGCTGGAAACAGATTTGAGCGCAGGACTTGGTTGCATTCTGGAGGCAGCGGTTTTGGATACACAACGTAGTAATCTTCACTCCTTGACTTATCATCCGTCACGCCTAGAAGGGCCACACTTGATCGAGCTTGCACGCTATGGTTGGCAACGCGGATTCTTCTGACATCTGCATCACGCAGGCCATGACTGAACATATCACAGGTTACGAGCACAAGCATCACGAATAACTGACGGCTTGGCACAGAATACTCGAGTGCTCCATTGATTTCCATGAACACGAGAACCGGATCAGCCGATTCGCAAAAGCCGTGAAAGGGAAGCAACCGAGCCCCTGGGCCCTGAGAAGAAGGGAAAAAAAAGACCGAAGTACTCGCGCAGCAGCGACTCCAAGCTCCACCGCTTCTGAGAGACACGAATCAGACGCACACGATACGAGCGCCAGCCCAGATAGCCCCATTGTTTACTTCGCAGCCAAGCCGGTGAAGGAAAATTCACCCCATTGGAAGATAGCCCCGTTCTCAGCCTCCTGCCGTCACGGTCACCGTAACCGTCTCTTTCACCGTCTCTTTCTCCGTCGCTGTCGCCGTCACGGTCACAGTAAACGCGTCATCCGGGTTGATGGGGATGACAGTCAGCCCCGGTCCCTGCGCCGTCGTGGCAGGCGCGCTGCCGGCAGGCGGGACCGCGACTGGCGCTGACGTTGGCGCGGTCGGCTCGGGCTGAGTGCTGCTGGGAGGTGGAGGAGCGGCCGGGGCGCTGCTGGCGGGTAAGTCCGTGGATGTGGAGGCTGTGACTGAAGTCGGTGGTTGCGATGAGGATGGGATGGGGTCCAGTGAAAATCGTGGTGGCGCGGAGGAGGCCGGGGTGGAGGGTGAGGGGAATGAGGAGGATGACGAGGCGGTTGGCGCCGGTGTTGGCTCTAGCGCTGTGGACAACGACGGCTCTGGAGTTGGTTGAGAGAAAGCGGATGTCTCTGGTTGTGTTGTGGGCGAAGTAACGCTGGGGGCGAGGATGGCAGAGGTGCTTGTGGAACTAGAAGCAATAGCTTCGGAAGACGGAGAAGATGCTGTTGGAGCGGATGTTGCAACTGGTGCGGTTGAAGTCTCTGCAGGTCCGAAGATCGTGGTGATTGTTGTGCTCGTCTGGTACTCCACGCCTGGGATGGAGGAGAGTGAAGAAGGGGACGGGGCCAGGGAAGAGCTGCTATTTTCGGTCAGAGTGGCTGGAGCGCTGCTCTGCTCGGCTTGCGTGGATGTCTCGGAAGGTCCGAAAACGGTAACAATGGTTGTCGTCGTCTCGTACGCTATGCCAGGTACGGAAGAGAACGAGGAGCTGGCCGCCAGAGTGGAAGACCCGCTGCTTGTCAGTGAAGAATCTTGCGCGCTAGTCTCAGCTGATGCAACTGCCGAGCTGGATGGAACTGAGGCAGTGGACTCCACAGTGCTAGTTTGGGTGGGCGGAACTCCACTGTTTCCAGGTGAGGTCGTAGCAAGATCCGAAGACTGCGGAGAGGACGCGCCCGCAGTAGTGGTTATGTCTAGCGTAAAGCTGCGTCTGAAGGACGTTGCGGACGGCTCTTCTGTGGCAGCGGCATCCTCATTGCCCAATGCCGGGGCATACGAAGCCGAAGGTGGTAGTTCGGAGGACTGCAAGTCAACACTGCTTGACACAGCGAGCGAGGTCGGCTTCGGCGTGTCCACACTGGTTATCATGGGGCTTGTGGCTTCCGATTTCGAAGGAGCCTGGGTCGCGTCGGGAGCGCTGGTAGGTGCTTCATTGAAGGTTGTCTGTTCGATGGTTGAAGGTGGCACCGTGACGATTGGCCGGCCTGCCGTGTTCTCAAACGTGATTGCAGGCGCCGTCGAAAGGATAACAGTCGGCTCAAGCGGAACAACGTCTGCGTGACCCGTGTCTGCGGCTTCGACCGACGTGGTGAGCGCGCTCTTTACTGATGAAAGTCCCGTTGCGATTTCGAGGCTCGTTGTTGCCGACGGGACCAGCGACGTCTCGCTTACTTGCGCGGAAGACGGTGGCGTGATTTCGATTAGGGTTAGTGTACTTGGTGTAGATAGTGTGGACTGTGTGAAAGCAAGTGAGGCATTGCCAACCCGAGGGTACCTTTTTAAGTGTCAGCCAAGAAGTAGAACAAAAATATAGTTATGAGCCCTGGCTACGGGTATTTAGCCAGCAATCACCCGCCCACGACTTGCTTTGCCTGAGCTTACGAACCACTACAGAAGCGGACATCTTTGTGAGGTCTGCCGGTTGCCTTGGCTAGATCAAGAACGTTGGCTGCTCGTAAAAGGCAGGACAGAAGCGTTGTGGCACGGGACGACCTTAAAAACGCGCCTTCTGTGTACTTACACTTGATATGGTGCGCGATAGGGCACCGGGCCCGTCAATACGGTGGTCGAGAACGCTGCCAGCAGCAAGATTACGAAAACAGCGCACATTTTGAACTGGGATGCGAAAGGTTGAGTTGGGCTCAAGGCGAGATTGTAGAGAAGGTAGCAGCAGGCGCGTCAACACGCCGGCAAGAAACGAAAAGAAAATCTATGCGCGAGGTCGCAAAAAGGACTGAAGAGACTTGAAGAAGGCGATGGCTGAAGTGAAGTGTGCGAGTGAAGACAGCAAAGAAAGTGAAAACAATGAAGGGAAAGACTGTACAACGCCGGACCTACGTGGTCAGACTCGTGTAGAGTCTTCAGCGTCGGGCTCCTGAAGGTTTTGTAGAGCATTATGTGCCGGCCGTTTTACTACAAAATAGCCTGCTAGCGAACACTGGCTGTGCGCGGTTCTGGCCGGTCTATTATTATCGCCGAAGCATTTTGGAGGCAGCAAAGAAGTGTTTCCAGAGCGTCTCGAGGCCCAGAGCGTCCAGATATGAAACTGGTGCGAATCTCTGGCCTGGCGGCTCGCCGTCAAAGGGAAGAAGTCGGCGCGCTGTGGAGGCACATGATTGGCTGTGGCCTGAAACGCTCGCAGAAGTTCCGTTGCAACGTCATGAGCAGGATAGAGACAGCCCGGCGGCCTAGTTGATGGAACTGTTACGCAGCCGTACTGGACAGGACGACAGGACGAGACCGATGTATTGCAATGGCTTCATGCTCGAGCAGCAAGAGAAGTTATGGATCAGTGACGAAGCGGTGGTGACGATGCTGAGCGAGGCCGGGGATCAGTGAAAGAACGTGTTGCAAGCCGCTCAACTCGGACTTCGAGCAACCGCCCGCAATGTTTTCTTTCTATCGGCGGTTGCTCCAGAAACGACATGACGCCCAAAGATCTTGAACCTCACTCAATCCCCTGCAAACCGACGGCATTCGTGACCTGTCATTATTCCACGGCAGAATTACGCCTCGACACCCTCGACCGCAGCAATGAGTGTCCGCGTCGTCGCTCGCATACGGCCTCTACTAAAGCTTGAACTCGACAAAGACTCCATCGTTACCGCAGCGCCAGCCGGGAACGAGACAATCGGCAGTCCAACCGTTGTGCGCATACCGAACCCCAAGAATGAGGCCGAGCATTTCAGCTTCCAGTTCAATAGTGTGTATGATCAGGAGGCGACGCAGCAGGATATCTACGATCACGAAGGTGGGCCGAGTCACGGGGCAGCGGAAGGTATTTGTACTGATATAATGCAGTTGCGCCGACCGTCAAGCACCTCTTCAATGGCTTCGACACTACCATTTTCGCATACGGCGTCACGGGCACAGGCAAGACGCATACCATGCGCGGTGGGAAATCATTAGCAGACCGAGGTGTCATACCGCGCCTGCTGAGCAGCATATACCGACGGAGCCGGAAGATAGAAAAGGATTCTGGAGGGTCGACACAGGTGGAGGTGGCTATGAGCTACTACGAGATTTACTGCGATCGTGTCTATGATCTGTTCGAGCCACCAGATAAGAGGACTCCATCCGGCCTCCCTATACGGGACAATAATGGGAAGACGGTGGTGGTTGGATTGACAGAACGGCCGTGTACGACTTTGAAGGAGTTTGAGCAGCTCTATGATCAGGCCAATGTGAACCGCTCGACTTCTGCGACGAAGGTAGCTCCCCTTACTCCCGAAATTTACCGGTCTGAGTTAACACATTATACAGCTGAACGCGCATTCGTCGCGCTCGCACGCCATCCTTTGCGTCAAAGTCACCCAGACTACGGAGACACACACACGCATCAGTACCGCATCAGCAATCGACTTGGCGGGCTCCGAAGACAATCGCCGGACAGAAAATGTAAAAGACAGGATGGTCGAGTCAGCAAGCATCAACAAGTCGCTCTTCGTCCTCGCACAATGTGTGGAAGCGATTAGCAGAAAGCAGTCGCGCATACCATACCGGGAATCGAAGATGACCCGAATCCTGTCACTAGGACAGAACAACGGACTTACCCTCATGATCCTCAATCTCGCGCCCGTACGCTCCTACCACCTCGACACCCTCAGCTCTCTGAACTTCGCAAATCGGACGAAAAAGATAGAGGTGTGCGAAATTGAGAACGAGCCTGTGCTCAGAAAGATCACGGGAAAGCCGAGTACGACCGCCAGCATTACGGGTTCCAACATCCAGAGGCAGCCCCTGAGACCTTTGACGGCGTGCGTGAACGCGAACCTGGCCGATCCAGAGAAGAAGGCCGAAAAGCCGGTCAAGGCATTCTCAGTATACTCAGATAAGAGCAAACCGGCAAGATCCTCAGGGATACCCAGCCAGGTGCGGAAAGTCGAAAACCACAAGCGCCCGTTGGACTCGTCAAGCGCGGGACCAACCAGACCAACCAAGATGACTAGACCCAGCGATCCCAAACTCACCACCCGCGTAGACCCAAGTCTCTCAAAAGAAAGCATAGAAGCCATGATCGATGCAAAGATCGAAGCTCGGCTTGCCAACCACGTCCTCAGCGACAACACCGCCGCATCGCTCCAGGCCATCCCAGAGGAGCTGCAGCGCCGCCTGGACGCGTTGGAGCAGCGCGTGGAAGAAAAGGAGGATGATCGAGCACAGGGTTTGCAGTACCTCCTCATGGCCAAACAACATCATGTCCGCGGCGAGAGTGTTAGTGAGCTTAAGATGTACCAGCTCGCGCTGCCATTCTTCCCGGAGAATCAGAAACTGGGACAGAAAATCTTGGCCCTCCAAGAGAAGCTGCGCTTGAAGCGGGAGGAGAAGACGAGCAAGCCACATGTCATATCGGATGCACAAGTGTTAGCAGTGCCACGGCACAAGTACGAAGCGCCCGAGCCGGTACCTGCTGCAGTCGACACAAAAGACCAAAACAAGCGAAGAAACCGCAGCAGTCCAGACCACGAAGACTACCAATACCATCCAGCGCCAGACGCAGCAGACGACTCCTACGTCTCCGACGACGGCTTCCGCTTCAAAGCCAAACCCAAACCCAAATCGCAACCCCCGAAGTCAAAAGTCCAGATCTTCCGCGAAGTTCACGACTCGACGGAGTCAGGAGCGCGAATCCACACGCCACGAACCCAGCACATCATCCACGTCATCAACTCGCGGGACCCGGCGCAAATAAGACTGCTCAGGGGCGTCGGGGCTAAGAAGGCGGAAGCTATCGTGAACTCCTTATGCGAGATGGACGACGGGGAGGAGGGACGACCGATCACGGACCTTGAGCAGCTGGGCGGGTTGCGAGGGGTTGGTGCGAAGACGGTTGAGAATATGAGGGCTGGCTTGGCGATAGTGTGAAAGTGTTGGCGAGTTTGGTACCGCTTTCTGATGTGCAGTTCTACCAGCGTAAGGCTGTTGAGTTTGATCAGACGGTCGTTCAGCGCGGCGTTTGTAAGGAGTCGGAGGTCATTGCATCAGGAAGGCGTATTGGGTAGGAGTTGGATATGAAGTTGCTCGCCCTATGGGCTGAGTCATGTCAGTATGCTGTTGTTAGAATCTCTTTCATCCGCCAACGGCGTCTTCTATCGGCTGTGCGAATCAATGAATGTTCTGTCGAGCTGAGCTCTGGGGACCAGTTTTGATAATAGTTCCACACGCGTGGTCCGTTGAACCAGTCGTCCCTCTTCGTTGTACCCAAATCAGAATTTGGAGAAGGACAGTACACTTAGTTCATGGATTGCGGTGGACCGGAATGGTGATCGAAAAAGCGGAGGTCTTGGACGATTGTCCCTTTGCCTCAGCTTCGGGCAGGACTCCGAAGTTCTAGAAAAGCCGGGAAGCTGGAACCTTTTCCAGCCGGGCTCTAGCCGGGTTAAAGCTACGTCAACCCGGCGGCTCGGCGCTCAAGCTTGAGGCGGAGGCTCGAGTTGTTGGGGGACCGAGAACCTAAAGCCCGCTGGGTGATCCGAATTGTATACCACTCTTGGTTCGCCCAGGATGTAACGGTTGCAGGACGGTATTTGCGCCGTAGTGCAAACAAAAGGATTTGCACTTTTTACAGAGGGCGATACAGACGGTAAACAGAGACGGAAAAGACAGGTGGTATGTACTCAAAGGGCAACTTTGCAATGTCTCCGCTCCGGGACGGATGCCGACTGCGATCCTACCTAGGACCTGGAATGTGGAGCTTCTTCTGTTGGTCTGAGAGAGACAATCAAACAGGAAGTGCTTCTGGCCACACCGCGGCATCGAAAACAGGAAGTGCGACATTGATGTTGTACTCGCGGATTTGCTGGAAAGCTGTTCCAGAGCCTAGAGATTCTGCTTTCCCTGCGAAGTGTGATAGTTCTAGATTCATACCGTAAGTTCGACGATCTGCCGTAGCGATGAAGATTTCCCTCCACGATGTCATGCACCTGACTAGGCCAGTGCTATTTTGCTAGCGCCCTGCTCGGTGCCACATCTTGATACTCGAGTGTCAGCTTAGGCGTTCCTTCTTGCAATCTCGTAACGAGCTGCCCCATGGGTTGCACGGCGTATTGAGCAGTGCAACGGCTCGCCTTTCTCGAAGCTGAGCACCGCGAACTCTTCCGGTAGTTCCGAAAGTTCTGGCTGTATCATGTGGAATTTGAGAGTCCCGAGATTCTCAGCTGCCCTTGCAGGCGCAGGGAAATGCTGCGCTCGCATCTATCAATGGGTCTGACCCTAATTCTGGAGCGAGTATGTTGTGCAACTGAAGGCCACGAAAAAAGCTGCGGCGCGTGCGTGCGGCATGGCCGTCAGCCGCAGCGATGAGTGGTACAAACGTTCAAGAAAGCTTCTGACGTCTATCCGCCATGTAGGTCCACCGTCAAACGGATGAGTCTCGAGCTGTTTCTCCGAGGAAGTGGGCGTCGAGGTTAGAAGGCTGTCTACCCCATCACCTTGAACGGTTTGGGAGAGGTGACGGCACTGAACGTTGAAACAAGCAGTTCAGAAGGCTGAAAGATCGCCGACTATTCCACACCAGTCCCACAACCACGACCACGACATCCCGGCTAACTCGCAGAAGGTTCCTGTTGGACCGTAAAGTCTCTGCAACCTGTGCAGTAGCCTGTACCGCGTAGCCGTATCCGTATCTTCGACAGCAGCATTGCGCGTTCTGCCGGGGGCTTTCTCTCAGCCCGTGAACTGCGGCCCCAAATGTCCGACCGATTTCGCAGGCGGGCATCGCCGTTGTATGCCAGCGCTTCCGTAATCTTCTAATCCGCCTGCAGGAGGCCGGACCTGATCTTCATGTGCCGAGTGTTCGGTATGTACCTGAGACGTGTGGCAAGCGCAGTAGCACCTCGCGCCATGTGCAATGTTGGTGCGCTAGGTGAACTCTTCCAGAGGAAGAACCCCTTAGGCCGTGCTTCCTGTCGTCCAGATCTTTCACTTAGCACCCTAGTCACAATTGCAAGAAAAATATTTCTTTTCTACTACCGTTGGCGCGGGAATGATTCCAAAACATGTGTGACAGCGCCAATCACGCAGCCTGCAGCCAGGTCGCGCCATAGCCCAATGATGCGTTCTGGTGAACGTATGGGCTCTATCTCATGCTCTGCTTTCCTCTCTGCAGATCGTTATCTCCATCCCAGGCGGCTCTTCGCCGACTTTAGGCTACCAGCAGAAAGAACGACTGTCGCCAGGACCCACAGTATCATGACGGGATCCAACCACTTCATGATACTGCCACTGCGAGGCCCACTGAGGCTGACAGTGACCACTCGCCGGGAGCCGTTCCCAAGCGTCCCTATGGGCACGTAGCGCTGCGCTACAGGCCAGGACAGGTTGGATCCGTTTGACGACATATTCCCTTATCGTGCTTCTCGAGGCCAGGTATGGCCAGCGTTACTGGGCCCAGAGTGGCTGTTGGACACGCAGTTGCGGCGTCCGGAATCGCGTTTACAGCGCCCCTAGGTATATAGAGAACATCCGCCACGGCTCTTCCCAGCCTTCCTCAGCATCAAGCCAGCCTTCTCGAGCGTGGTTGTACGATTGAGTATAAAGAACACTCATTTATCACAATCCATAATACCCTCTCTCCCTTTCCAACTTAAGCAAGCATCAGCAAAAACAACCTTCACCATGCTCGCACGTCTCAGCCTCCTTTCGCTCCTCGCGGTTCTCATCCTCCCCTTCGCCTCCGCCATGCCATTCTTCGGCTACTCCTGGGGCAGCCACGACGATGATACTCCGTCATACCCGACCCTCAAGCCAGACTACACCTACGCCTTCCCAACCTATGCCACTCCAACAGCAGGCCCAACCGGCACAGGCACCGGCGCACCCTACCCGACCGGCACCGACTTCAAGGGCTGGTTCGCTCGCAGGGGCAATGTGGAACGCGGCTACTACGGACCCAAGCCGACGTGGGGCGTCTACCCAACTGGCATGGCTGGCACTGGGACTGCGACTGGTTACCCCTGGCCCACGGCTACTGGGTGGTCCAAGCCGAAGTACCACAAGTACCAGAACTAGACGCTTCGATCCTGCCCTAGGCAACTCGACGAGACGACAAGTTTCCTCCCGCACTGAGCGCTCCGCACGCCTAACAGCACTACCGTCGAGACGCCATTGGAGGGTACGACATTGTATGCTGGCATCGAAGGGTCCGTCACAAGATTAAAACATGGGGATAAGATTCTACGGCTGGACTTTCGCAATTGTAACGATCTGATTCATGATAGATGATTGGCAGGCTTCTGGATAGAACGGGCGCGGGTAGAAAGGTTGCATCTGCGACGGAACATGACATTTCAACACAATTGCTTCACGAACTTCATGTACCCCTTTACTCCTTTAGGTAGTCGGTCCTTCAACAAGTTTCTTAAAAGTCGTCCTAGAATTCCTCGATGATCGGCAACGAGACGTTTCCATCGGTCAAAGACCTGAACCTACCCATTGACATACAGGCAGTCGCAGGATCGGCCTACCGATGCGCGACCTTCACAAAGAGCTTTCCCAGAATTCGTAGAGCACTTAGCCAGTCGGACCGCTAGCCCGGCTTACAGCCTCGAACTTCCGTCTTCACAGAACCGCACAATCATGCTAGCTAAGATCATAGCGAGCGAAGACAAACACTTATAACACACCCAACATCGACGTTCTATGTTATACTTCTATGTAGCAGGCACTACGGTGGTTGTCTCTTAGTGTTATTGATGTTCTGTTTATGTTCAGACCCTGCAGGACAAAACTCCTAGGATTTCTCAAGGTTGCGCATGGGTGGGTTGATCCTGCGACTGCCTGTCAGGCATGTAGTAAAAGTCGTGGAATATCCAGAAGTACGGCTAGCTGAAGGGTTTGAGATTTATACGCCTTTTTGTGGATTATGTTTTTTCTTCCAATTAAGACGAGAGAAGAAAGCTATACGGCTTCAAAGCTGGCTTCAATCCAGAATTTAAGCGCTGTTGTGAGGTTGGGCAGCACTTTGATGGATGCGGGCATTTGGCGGGTATTTCAATCTTTCTGCCACGTCGCCTGCTGTACGCATACGCAACACTGTTGCGCTCCATTTCGAATATTTCTGTCAGAGATTCAAAGAATGATGTTGAAAGCTCAGTCATCCATATCGCCTCCGTATACTCACCGTACAGCATATTGTAGCCTTGATAACATCAGCCATCCAAGCTTAATAATCCCTTAATCAAGCGCTACCACCAATCTCATATTCCCCAAAGCCATACAAGATCAAGCCGACCCCTTCAACGCCGTCCCAGTAAACCTCGCAAAAAGCCTTTGAGCAGGCAGCCACCCTAAACTCCCTTTGGCCGTTTTCCGGCGCCCTGTCGTCTGCTGCTTCGATGTGGTCGTCACAGCCGTCCTTGCCTTTCCGGAACCTACTTCTCTAGTCGTCGTGGTGAGACCCACAGCCTTGTGCGCCGTAGTTGCCGTGGCCGTGTGCGCCATGGGTCTCGCCTCGCGTTATTCGATACCGTGCTGGCGCTTGAGGTTTTCTAGATTCTGTTGGCGCTCTGCGAGGTCCTCTTTCGAGCGGGCCATCTTTTCGGGCTGGTGGTATAATACTGGAGTCCTAGTCAGCCATGCCATCTCTTTGTAATCCTTTGAAGCGGGGCTTTGATGGGGGCCGTACCGACGAGGTAGCGGTTCTGGAAGTTGAAGCCGTTGAGCTTGTCGCAGGCTTGCTTCGCGTCCATGACGTCCTCGTAAACGACGAAGGCGGTGCCTTTGGTGTTGTTGGCGATGCCCTGGCGGATTTGGCTGGTGGATTTGTCAGCGGTCTGCAGACTTCGTGCGCGATTGAAGAGAGGCTTGCAACTCACCGCACAGGACCAAACTTGCCGAAGAGGTCGAACAGCTCTTCGGGCGTTACGTTGTAGCTCAGATTCTTGACGAATAGAGCTCTGTAGCGAAGCGTTAGCGGGTGTCGCGTGGACGGTTGAAGCAGCGCTGCGAGACTGACCGGTTGACTTCTGGGGCGAGTTTCCCTCCTCTACTCATAGCTTGGCTGAGTGGGCGCTGGTCTTAGGATCTGTTGTATGGAGTCGTACGGAGTCGTTGTAGGGTTGGTGGTGGTGGTGTCGAGTCGTGAAGGGTCTGGGTGGTACGTGGGTAGGAAGCCAAGAGTGGAGTGGAGTGCGGCGTTCTTGCGGAGGTGCCCGAAGGAAGGTCACGTGATCGCCGCATCTGGTGCCTTCGTTGTCGGAGTTCTATGAGGACAACACCGCGCTTCTACACTGCTCACCAACCCTCGAGTACATAGGATTGATATGAGCGTAGAAGTCAGCGCAGCCGATTCACCTCAAATTTGGTTATGTTGCTAGGGGATACATCATCAAGGATGCTTCCCATCAGCTACAGAGATACAAGCAAATAGGAGCCACCAATGCCTGCATCCGTGACTCTGGGTCCTCATGCTTCACCCATCCTGATAGATTCCATTCTTGCCGCTCAACAGAGCTTCTGATCTAGCTTGCACTGCCGTGATTGGGCGAGCGCGCCTATTCATTGAGAGTTGCGTGTTCATTCACGGATCTGAGGTAGCGGGGAAGTTTCGCCGCCTGAGGCTCAGTTCGCTCACAACGGCCGACTACCGCACTGCACCCTACCCACCCACCACCTCCATTGGTACCTCAACCACTCGCCCACTACTCTTTCCACTACCACTGCCGGCCTCTCAAGCTGTTTGTATGCTTAGGATATGATCTGTCGAAATATTGGACCCCTCGACCCATCGCCGACCGCGCGCTAGGCGGGCTCCTTGACGCCGCGGACCCCCGAGCACCCACTCCACAGGCTAGCTACACCGCAGATGTCCACGATGGCCTCGAAGCGCACAGTCTGGCTGCAAGCGCGCCCGATCCCTTCCCAATTCCAGCTCGAGCCACCCAGTCCTTACGCGGAGCCTCTAACACCTCCTCCAACCGCGACCTCCAGCTCAGCGTCCTACTTCCCGAAATCCGTAGGCACCCCACCGTCACAATACCAGTTTCCGACCGAGCAATCGACACACCAAACGCTGGTCAGGGATGGAATACTAGTAGCAGAAAAGGCGCTGAAGAGTACCGGAGAGAACAGTGGATTTCCCCACCACAACAGCCAAAATGCGGACTGGAGCGCAACCCAGAGTCAGGTACAAGGTTCGCCGGTTGATGCACTTCTCGCTGGTGCAGCATCTCTTGCGTCCAGTCCTAGCTATGCGCCGCCTCCGCGACACGCATTGCATGACCGCACTCCTCGTACGTCGCCCTGGCCGGCCCACGGACAAATTTATCACCATGCAGCGTCCCAGCCCAATGGTCACGGCGTCGATGAGCGGCCTTCGAAGCGCGCCCGCTCAGAGTTTCTCCCATCGCCACAGCAGTCCTCCGGTCACACCAGGCCTGCGACAAGCCATGTGCCAACAATGGGGTGGTCATACAATGTTGAACAAATGGCGGACAACGGGTCGAGGATGCATCAAAGCCATCGTCGCGCTGCATCGTATCAGCATCAACACGCTGCACAAGAGAGAAGGATATCGCAAGCTGATACGGACGCGGCAGAAGTGCTCCTGCTCTTGAAACAACAGCCAGTGCGTCCGGCCGCCAAGCCCCAGCCAGCCACAGCACCTACGGGAGAGTGTATAGCCAGCAATCCTACCAATTCTGTAACACTAAGCGGTTCTTTGCAACAGGAGGGAGCTGCTGAACATCCGATACCAGGAACCGACATGCCCCCAGAGTACATTGCTCAACCTCCAGCAGAACCTGATATGCAACGGCTTACCGAGCACCACTCCACCGCAGAAGAGAGCACTCCAGCGCATAGCAGCCACAAGCAATCTGCAATACCAGCCCTTCAGACCCACACACCGCCCGAGGAGACAAGGTATGGAGAAACAGCAGATGGTGTCCAAATGGACACAGAGGAGCAACTGGAACCGAAGAGAGGCAAGGCGCATCAAGGATGGCCGAAGGGGAGGCCAAGAGGACCCCGAGCGAGAGCGCAGCATGCGAAGCGTGCAAGCAAAAGCGGCAGCAAGGCCGCCGGGTCTGTGAGCACCTCAATTTCGAACGATGGAACCGATCAGCTGCAGTCACCGCAAAGTCTACCCGCGGATGCCGCGGGCCCACTTGTCGAGCAGCAATCGCTGTTCGGGCGGGAAAGCGCAGACACCTACTTGCGTGATGCGAAGCGGGAGTTGCTGTCCAGGAAGCGGCGCAATTCATCCACGCAAATCGTTCCATCCGGGACCATTGTCCTTGCAGGCGATATTCCTAGGCCAATGTCCGTCCCGCCAGAGATGATAGCGATGGCCTCAAAGCCACATCTGGCTGCCACAGACCCACCTTCACTGGTTCGAACAAAGCCCCAAAGACATGCTGCGCAAGTCACAATTTGCGCGGGGTGTAATTCTGTGCCTGGCACTTCCACGGCCGATGACCAACAATGGATAAGTTGTAACGGCTGCAAAGCTTGGTTCCACTGCGCATGTGCTGGGTTTACAACTGAACGTGAAGTCAGGAGCATTGCTAAGTTTTTTTGTGCCGACTGCAAACCCAAGCACGGTCCCACAACTTGTGAGTCCATTTCAGGCCTACAATCTCTCATAGAACTGACCGTAAAACCAGTCGTGCGACAGTCCTCACGGGCGCATGTCGCTGTGGACTATGGCGGTCTCAATGAGGGTGTCTTGAGAACATCCGATGATATCCCTGAGCATCATTACATTCAGCGCATCAAAGAGAATACGTTGGAATACCTTCTTCCTGAGACGTTTCCTAGAACGCGCCCGGAACTTGCAAACGTGGAAAACTTCGAGCGGTCCGGTGGATTCCTCGAGCCTGTCGTCATACCCGCATGCTGGAACCCTCGGCCTAGGGCGCCTGCCGCAGAAGATGAAAATGTACACGAGGCTGAGGAGTCTTTCGACTATGTCGACGACAACTTCGAGTACGACTATGTCCCGGATGATGGCCAAGATAAGCTCGACATGGTCATACCTCACGGTCTAACGGTCCGTCGTGTAGCTGAATTGTATGGTCCTGACGAGAGGGTCGAAGTCATCGATGTCAAGTCCCAGGGCAGCTCGGACAAGCGGTGGAATATGAGGAAGTGGGCTGATTACTACGAGCAAGAGGGCGAGAAGCCAGTGCGCAACGTCATCAGCTTAGAGGTTTCGCGCAGCAAGCTCGGCAAACTAATTAAGCGACCAAAGGTTGTCCGCGACCTCGACCTCCAGGATGCAGTGTGGCCGGAAACGGAGGTCGCCAAAGGTAACGAGGCTCCAAAAGTTCAGTTCTATTGTTTGATGTCTGTGGCCGACTGCTACACTGATTTCCACATCGACTTCGGTGGATCCTCAGTTTACTACCACATCATCAAAGGGAAGAAGACATTCTTCTTCATTCCACCAAAGAAGCACCATCTGAAGAGGTACGAAGAGTGGTGCCTGTCCGCAGATCAGAATCACACATGGCTTCCTCTTTGGACGAAGGAATGTTTCAGGGTGGACCTGTCCGAGGGTGATACCATGCTGATACCCTCTGGCTGGATCCATGCCGTCTGGACTCCGGAAAACAGCTTGGTGATTGGTGGTAACTTCGTCACTCGAATGCACTACTCGATGCAAATCAGCATCATGGAGATTGAGAAGAACACCAAAGTCGCTAGGAAGTTCAGATATCCTTTCCTGCAGAAGATTTTCTGGTACACGGTACTGCAGTATCTCGAGCGCGATCCACTACCGCCTACTGTCGTCCAGAATTTCTACCTAGGAAATGACTTTCCGCGCCCAGTGCAGACTTATCACCAGTTCGATAAGTTCGGCCACAACTCGGACCCTGGTCGTGAGAATTACCACGCCCGCTACTACTCCAAAGCCGAACTTGATGGGCTTCCTGATCTGCTCGGCTACGTCTTCAGGACCGTTCTGATCTCGCTTGGAAAGGTTGAAGGCATTACGGTAGAAACCAAAAATGCCGTCACTCGGTCGATACCGAAAGGCAAAGGCGATCCCCTTGACATTGCTAAGACATTTGCTATGTGGGTAGCGTGGAAACGCGGTAACGAAGGAATACCGGAATGGGCGCATCCTAATGCAGTTCTGCCTACCACCAGCGAAGCAGCCGGCGAGAAGAAGCTGAGCGCTGCTGCGCTGAAGAAGCTTGAGAAGAAGGCCTTCATGGATGCGGTTCGGATTGCACCTGATCGCCAGTCCGCTCGTCAACGCTCAAAGGCGTCGGAAGCACCCGGTATGAATGGCTCGAACTCAGCTGATGGGTCACCTCCTCCAAACTATGTTGTCAATGGTGATTCTACGTACCTCAGTACTCCGAAGACGTCAGTTCTTGGCCCTAAGAGAATTGCTTGCGATGCTTGTAGAAGGAGGCGGATTAGGTGCAAGCACAAGGATGATGTTACGAGCTCACCAGATGGCGCTAACGGACAACCACCGGAGAGGCGCAATTCTCTGGTGGCTGTAGTGATACAGAAGAAGCCTTCGTTACTGAGCTCTGGCTCCAGCATGTCCAATACTCAGGACAGCATTGACGCCCCTTCAGCTCAACAGCTTCCGGCTGCAGATCGCCAACACCCCATTTCAGCGATGTTCAGCTCGGATCTTCCTGACACACCTGATGGAAAACGAGGAAGGCACAAGGCATGTTTAGACTGTCGGAAAAGCAAGGTAACAGAAATTTCCCCGGAAGCATCTCAAACGACGCTCACGTTAGAACAGCGCCGCTGCATACACGACGAATACGGGAACATTGACCCTGTCAAAGCATCCGAACCGCCTGTCCCGAGAGGACCGGTCTCTGGCAAAAAGCGCCGCATTACTGGGGATGCAGACGGCGAGCAGGTGGTCAAGAAGGTGAAGAAGGCGTTAACAAACGAGGACAGCATTGTCAACGGTTTCACCGCCCCCTCATTGAATGACTACCTCCGACTGAACGGCGGGCCGGCGATGGGACCCTCATTCCAGCCAAACATGATCATGCCGTCGTATGCGCCGACAGCCGAGCCTCATCCCCAGGCCCATGGTCCGGTGCCTGACATGAGTAATGACCAAATGATAGAAGAGGTCATGGTGGCTATGCCCTATCCGGTTGATCTACCATATGCGTTACATGCGCCAATCCCGGATGGCGACACCCAGATGCATCCTGACTCGGTCGCTGACCAGGCGATACCTCTTGACCCGGCACTTACTTTAGAGACAGAAATTGCAGAAGACGTTCCAATGGCGGATGCGCTTGACAGCATTCAAGCTGCGCAGCCGTCGCAAGAGCCGGAGATGGTCGATCCAGTACTCGTGCAGGAAATCATCAAAGGCGAGGACGACCAGCACTCAGCCGAAATCCTTCCGGCAGACGACGTTCGTACAGTGGATGAAATTCCTGTAACGAACGATACTCCTCCAGCAGACGATATCCGTCTATCGGACAGTGCTCCTCGAGCAGACCACGCTCCTCCGGCAGACCAGGCTCTTCCACTGGACAATGCTGTTCCAGCAGATAATCCAGCACCAGCTTCACCCTCGCCCGTTCCCCAGCCGCAGTCAACCGTCCCTTACGACGAACTCCCCGCACCAACCTCGCCCTTGACAGATCTAAGCCGGCTGTCAATGTCGCCCGACCTTGCTCGCGCCGAAGTCATCCCCACCTTCGAGACCCCCAAGCTCGCGCGCCACTCGTCCCGACAGACCAAACCGATCGAGCGCTTCTCTGCCTCCGCTAGCGATCCCCCGCGTCGGCGCAGCACGACAAGCCGCACGCCTGCACCCACGCTGGGTGCCAAGAGTAACTCGCCGCAGGAGCGGCCAACGCCGTCGAAGCGCAGACAGTCATTGGCAAAGGACTCACAGCATCCACGGCAGGATAGCAAAGGGGAGCCTAAGTCGAGAGCGCCCTCGCAGTCCCACTCGCAGGCGCAGCCGCAGGGGGAGACGGAGGAGGATGCGAGTTTTAGATTGGCGAGGGAGCTGGCGGGGTATGAGTTTGGGCTGAGAAATAGGGGTAGGTGAGAGATTGAGGATGGCATTGGTTATGCATGATGTCCTTTCGAGGTTCGAAGGGAGTAGGCATGGGTTATCTGGAAAGGGGTGTTCGTGGCGTATTAGCAGGGCGGGCGAATTGGCTGATACCCTCGCATGTGTGCTTTCGGTCACGCGCTCCTGGGTTTGATGTAGTGCGTGGAGTCTGTGTAATGAAGGGGTGATTGAGTTGAAGCATCGTTCTCTACATGGTAATCGTGTAGCTCACTTGAGAGATAACACCCATGAAGTTCTCGTGGGCCTTCTTTTCTGAGGCCCTGATCTTTGAATTCAGGGCTTTTAGAGCAACGAGAGCAAACCCAATGATCGCATGAATCCTCAGCAACCCGCTCTAGCCTTTCTACTTTCAAACTTGGAACCCAAAGCCCCATTTTTCCAAGGGAGTGTGTTCCGCCCGCCATACCCAACCACTCCCCACTTCCAGTCGATACCAGCTTTCCGGTGGCATACATGAACACAGACGAAGATTGCCACATCGCAATACGCTGTCCATAGCGCTTCCACGGTTAGCCATCGAAACCCTTGCCGCCACTAGGACAGTCCGCATCGTGTGAACATTGACTGATCGGGTAAGGCACGAGAGCGCCGATATGCGAAGCCCAATAGGTCTTGTGCCACGTCTTGTTCCGTTTGCGCTTGGCATTGACGGTCGCTAGATGCAAGGCCAAACGAGGCAGGCTGTATCTCTCATCAGGAGACGACGTCCTTCGGTGGCTGTGGAGCTCATTCCCCATAGCCGATATCGTTCTCAACCTCATCCATCGGCTCTTTCGGCTCCTGCGCCTCGTGGTACTGTATCGCATCGTCGATGTAGCTCAGTATAGCACCGACGCTGTCCTCATCCTGTGCGTTCAGTTGGAGGAAAGACACCATGCTGAACTCATCGATGAGCCTTGCGACAGCCTTGTTCAGCTTGTTGAAGCTGCTCCCGCCCATGACATTCTTCGTTGCCGTTGGATCGTCATCCTCGCCGTTCTCTTCGCCTCTCTCGCCAGTTATGTCCCGCGCAGGGTCGTCGTCCAGCAAGCCGGCGTCCGGATCAATAAACCGCTTCAGCTCCCTCCTCGGCACCGTCCCCTTAACCAGATCCATCTTCGACAGGATATTAATATGCGGCATCTCCAGCATAAGCATCGCGCTCATCGCGCTCAGCGTGCCCGCAAAAAACTTCGGCCTATCCACCACAAACGTGCTTTCTAGCAAATATGCCGCGCACATATTGATATTCAGACTCCCCCTCATCAGCGTCTTCACCAGCGTCGGCAGGATCGGCACATGCGTATACAGCTCAATCTGGCCCGGCATGTCGATGATAATCAGGTACTCCTCCGTCACGGGCTCCAGCGGCTCGGTCAGGAAATCAAGGTTCTCGAGCAGGAACTCGAAGCAGTAGATCAGCCCGCCGTTGGGGCCCAGCCCCATTTCTTCCATCACGTCTTCGAGGCTGATCAGGTCTTTGATGTCGATGTCGGGCTCGTAGGCGAAGTCTTCGGCGGCGGGGTCGAGGTTTACGTAGTAGCAGGACCGCCGGTTATGCTGGAGGTGCTGGATCAGGGCGGAGCAGAAGGTCGTTTTGCCCGCCCCGGCGGGGCCCATGACGAGGGTGCCGAATTTGGACATCGTGGGGGTTTGAGAAGGGTGAGATTGGATGGGAAGGCGGACGGTTACATGAGGATAGTGTTTGGCTTATGCAGGAACAGGCGTTGTATCACTGCTGCAAAATAAAAAAACTGCCAAGCGGCCGTTGCAGACGGCGGGGCTCGAAGCTCCTGGGCGGTGAGAAGCTTACCAAGTGAGCTTTCGTTCACTTTGAGAAAATCCGGTCTGATCCGGACAAGCTGGAACTCGAAGGGGAAAATGTACGGCTTGGATGTGATGTTTACAAGCTTAGGTGAGCCGTTCGGTTATCGCTCCGCGGGGCACGTTGCGGAACCGGGCTTTTCCGTGGCTTGCGATGATGTGCTGGATTTGCGGTCGAAAAAAAGACCCGCTGTCTCTTCGGCGCTTCTCAACTCAATTTCTCCCCCACCTTCTCTACACTACATTGTCCTCCACTTGCAATATTCCTCACTTTCCATTCTCTCGCAAAACTTCCCCCTCTGCTTGTTTCGACATTCCTTTAAGTCCTCGCAGTCATGGTTTCCGCTCCCAATGGCACCGCCTCCAGAGGCAAAGGCACCTTCCTCTTCACCTCCGAATCGGTTGGTGAAGGCCATCCGGATAAGATGGCCGATCAGGTCTCTGACGCTGTCCTCGACGCTTGCCTGAAAGACGATCCGTTCTCGAAAGTGGCGTGCGAGAGCGCCTTGAAGACGGGAATGGTCATGGTCTTCGGTTGGTAGAAAAGACGCCTAAAGCACTGTTCGATACTGACCTCTATAGGCGAGATCACCACCAAATCGAGCCTCGACTACCAGAAGATCATCCGGTCCGCGATCAAGGATATCGGGTACGACGACAGCGCCAAGGGCTTCGACTACAAGACCTGCAACGTCCTCGTCGCGATCGAGCAGCAGTCGCCCGATATCGCCCAGGGCCTTCATTATGAGGAGGAGCTGGAGAAGCTTGGTGCCGGTGACCAGGGCATAATGTTCGGTTACGCCACAGACGAGACTCCAGAGCTGCTACCGCTCACCATTCAGTTGGCGCACAAGCTCAACTTCGCGATGAAAGAAGCCCGGAACAACGGAAGCCTGCCCTGGCTGCGACCGGACACCAAGACTCAGGTCACTGTGGAGTACGAGCATGATGGAGGAGCCGTTGTGCCGAAGCGGGTCGACACTGTCGTTGTCAGCGCTCAGCACAGTGAGGATATCACCACCGAGGAGCTACGGAAGCAGATCAAGAGCGAGATTATCCAGAAGGTCATTCCCGCTAAGTACCTAGATGACCGGACGGTGTACCACGTATGTTGGCAATCCTTATCATGCCCACCGAAATGTGCTAACCTTACTAGATCCAACCGTCAGGCCTCTTCGTAATCGGCGGCCCCCAGGGCGACGCCGGACTCACCGGCCGCAAGATCATCGTCGACACCTACGGCGGCTGGGGCGCTCACGGTGGTGGTGCTTTCTCCGGCAAGGACTACTCCAAGGTCGACCGCTCCGCCGCCTACCTCGCCCGCTGGATCGCCAAGTCTCTCGTCACAGCCAAGCTGGCGCGCCGCTGCCTCGTCCAGCTCTCCTACGCCATCGGTGTCGCCGAGCCCCTATCCATCTTTGTCGAGACCTACGGTACCAGCGAAATGGATTCTGATGAGCTGGTGGACATCATCCGCAAGAACTTTGACATGCGGCCTGGTGTCATTGTCAAGGAGCTCGATCTCGCTAAGCCACGCTACCTCGCGACGGCGAAGAACGGCCACTTCACGGACCAGAACTTCCCGTGGGAGAAGCCGAAGAAGCTAGAGTTTTAAGTTTTTCGTATGAGGCATGCTGGATGATTCAACTTCATCCTAACTAGATCGTTGACTTCGCCTGGCTCAGGGTGGGTCAACAACTGTAATCGCAGCATTGGGGCGATATGTTTTTTCAACAAGTCATTAAGGCGTCGGGAGGATATACCACTAAAAAAGTTTTGCATACGCGAGGGCGGCAAGACTTTATTCAACATAGAAAGGTGTGCGGGGAGGGCACACCGAGGGGAGGGTTTTTCATTCTTTATGAAGCGCAAGGCGTCTGGAGAACTTCAACAATTTCTCTGGCGGCAAGGCTTCTGTGGACACTTGTTAGCATGGTAGATAGTCAGAGATGCGCGATCCAGAAAGGGAGACCGCGCGCGTACCAGTTCCCCTTCCTTCCCGTAATGCTGCCCTCATTGCGTGAGAGGCCGAAAGGGCGCCACTCAACCCAGACGTGATAGAGCAAGAACGAAGTGCTTGATGAATTCCATCGTATAAAAGCTTCAAGCCTCTTCAAGCCTCAAACGTCACACTGCAGCAGCGGGGCGCTAAAGAAATTTAAGTATACGCTAGTATCGAGATCGCGAGATCCCGCCCGTTTCCCATCTGCCGTGTCATCCATCCACGCGCTTTTTGCGCCGCTATGTCAACCATCTCATCTCTCCGTTCGCTGACTTTGGACCTTCCGCCCAGCTGTGTTGAATTCTGGCCCGCCCATCCCAACTACTTTGTTGTTGGGACGTACTTCTTGGAAAATGAATATGAGGCCGACTCGGCGGAAGGAAGTGTGACGCAGGAGACGAGAGAGCAAAATGGGAACCGGCAAAAGGCACAACACAGGACGGGGAGCCTGATTCTGTTTCGCTTGGGTGAGGACGAGATGTAAGTGTGCGTTGTCTTCTACAACCAGTATAAAGTGCTTTATGTAGGCGCGTAATGTATATCGTCAAATTTTTACTCTGTTCCGCTATGATATCTCCACAGATCTTTCCCTAGACCGTGCGTAGTTTCTGGATAGCTATCGCCAGCAGGTTCTGGCTGGTGTATGATCTTTGCGATGCCTGTTTTAATCTGACTGCGAGCTATTGGAACAAGTTCAAATATCCAACGCAGCACAAGACTGCAGCACGCTGAGCTCAGGCAATATTAAAGTTCCAGCAAAGCTGACTCGTGAGCGATCCAGAATTCAGGAGCAAACGCTCGAAGTCCCGTTTGGAGTGTTAGATCTCCATTTTTACCCGAGCACAGAACCACACAGTCGATTCATCGCCAATGCGTCCTGCCTATTCGGCATCGCGACTTCCACAGGCTCCTTAGCCCTCTATGGCATCGCCCATGAAGCGGACGGCCCACCGCAAATCATCCACGCCACGACCCTCCAGTTCTTCCCTCATGACGAACTCGTCCTCTCATTCACATGGCATCCCGCAAACCCCTTCCTAGTCGGTCTAACCCTCGCCTCCGGCTCCGTCATCATCTGCCGCCTCGACGCCCTCAGCAACCCACCCCTCCTCAACACCGACGCCGCCAACCCCAACAACATAGCCACGCTACAGCAGCACTCCCAGCAAGCCTGGACCATGGCCTTCACGCCCTCCGGCGAAGGCGTTCTATCCGGCGGCGACGACGCCGTCCTCAAATACCAAGGCCTGCCCTTCCAGCGGGTTCCCGCCGCCCCCGAAGTCCCGCTCGCCGCCTGGCTCGACGCCGCTGCCGACCTCCCGGCCTGGGCGGACCGCAAGATCCACGGCGCGGGCGTCACGGCCGTGCTGCCTTTGCTGGACGGCGCGTTCGCGCTGACGGGCAGCTATGACGACCACGTGCGCATGGTGCACGTGCCGGAGGTTGGGGCGAAACGGGTGCTCGCGGAGCGGAATCTCGGGGGCGGGGTCTGGCGGCTGAGGTTCGTGGGCGCGCTGCCGTCGGATATGGACAGGATCCATAGGCTGGTGGTGTTGGCGAGCTGCATGTTTGCTGGCGTGAGGTTGCTGGAGGTGACGCAGGCGATGGATGATTCGTGGAGGATCGAGGTGTTGGCGGTGTGCGAGGAGCATAAGAGTATGAACTATGCTAGTGATGTGCAGCCGGGGCTGATGGTAGAGAGGAGGGGTTATGTTTCGACAAGCTTCTATGATCGGTTGCTTTGTCTCTGGCGGTATCAGGCTGAGTGAGGCAGGGGTTGGATGACTGAAAGGCTGGTGGAAAGTCACGTGTAGAACTTGGACCAGCTATTATGGAACAACCCTTGTACCTTGGACTCCGCTATTAGTAAATCATGAAAGTACTAAGGCGGAGGGTCAACCCATCACTACTCAAGGTGCAGCATAGCGAGTATTGAGGAGCTTATGAAAAGAAAATACGGCGTGAAGGAAAACTACTGGTGCTAATCCGAAGGCCTCCAGCAACTTCCTTAACATGTATGTCTGCAAGGCTAGTTCGTCAGATACTAAAGGATCCCAGTGCCGGTCATGCCTACCGTCTTGTTTCTGGTGTCTCAGCATTTGGTCACCTATTTTGGAAGTTCCCACCCGGTGACTTGCCGAAAGTTACATGAGGATTTGAGAACTTAAGGGGTACGAAGGACGGGCTTTGTACTGAAAAAGCGGACGCTTCGCGGCGTGCGGTCACGGGGGTTTGAAACACAGTGTTTTGGCGCTTGTTGGAAGAGAATCGAGCATCTAGAGGCCTCTATGGTCAATAGTAGCTTTGAATCTCCATTAGATCACTCACTTAGTGGTTTATTGCTGCTAACAAGAAGGGTGACCAATAGTCCGCTTCGTTGGTACAAACCCTGTCCTTTGTAGAAGCGGTTGCTCCCAACCGTGGTGCGCTAGCCCAATTCGCCTAGGTCTGACGTTCGGCGAACCATGAAGTGTCAAGTTTTGGAACATCTGGCAGTTATACCAAACATTGACACCATTCAACATTCAACCCCTCACACAGCTCTCACACTCCACTTCGTCCAGGTCATGTATCTTCCAGACTCGGTCTCAGCATCTCCTCCTGCGAAGTCACTCTAATCTCTAACTCGCCCACCGCACGCCGCTCGCGCTATACTGGCAATTTAACGGGTCAGAAACTCCTGCAAGATGTCAGACTATGCGATGTATCACGCCCTTGGGGCACCGTCTGCGACCGAAGACGAGAGGCCAATTCAGCCTGCAGCCCCTCAGTTCCGGCCTCCAGTTGCGCCCAGCCCACGAGGATATCAACAGACCGGTTCCTCACATGGCACAGCTGCGCCCCAAGGCTTTGGGATAACGCCGCAGTATGGCCGCAGTGTACCGGCGCAAGAGCAGAGCTACTTCCCTCCCCAACAATCCACGCAGCCTCAGGCTCAGGGACGGGGCGACATGGCTGGGCTGGCTGCACAAATGGGGGGCATGGGGCTGGGTCCGGAGAGCGCAGGTCACGCTAGAGGGCACAAGAAGAGGGATCGTCACGCGTATCATAATCTCGAAACTCCTGGCGGCAGTTCCCAGGCATTCAATGGAATACCGCAGGGTGGAGTGGGCACACCTACCCAGTTCTTGAACCAAAACGGCGCTCATGCAGGGTCTTACGGCAGCCCACAAATCACACCCGCTATGTCGCAGTTTCCAGCGGCCAGTCCGATGTTCAGTCCCACGAATCCGGCTTCACCCATGCAACATGCTGCTCGTACAGGCCCATCACAGGGCACGGCAGTTGGCTCCGCGCAGGGGCGTGTAGATCCTGAGCACATTCCAAGCATACCGAGCTCTCGAGACAGACCTGCGCAATACTATCTAGAGCATGTATACCCCACAATGGAACATCATCTTCCGCCTCCCGCCGCGATCCCTTTTGTGGCCTTTGACCAGGGCAACTCATCCCCGAAATTTGCACGCCTAACTCTCAACAATATACCTGTGTCCTCCGAAGCTCTCGCAGTGACTGCGTTGCCTCTGGGCCTGGTTCTACAACCGCTAGCTCCGCTACAAGAAGGCGAGCAAGCGATACCTGTTCTCGACTTCGGCGAGATCGGCCCGCCCCGGTGTCGAAGATGTCGAGCTTACATTAACCCCTTTATGACCTTCTCTTCTGGCGGCAATAAATTCGTCTGTAACATGTGCACGTTCCCCAACGACGTTCCTCAGGAATACTTTGCCCCTACAGATCCGTCTGGCGTTCGTGTGGACCGGCAGCAGCGGCCGGAACTAACCCAAGGCACTGTCGAGTTCCTGGTCCCCAAAGAGTACTGGGCAAAGCCGCCTGTTGGTCTGCGGTGGCTGTTTCTGATCGATGTTAGCGCAGAGGCTGTCAACAAAGGGTTCCTGGATGGCTTCTGCGAGGGCATAATGTCCGCGTTATATGCCGCTGATGCAGTGGACGAAGGCGACGAGCAGAATGGCCTACCCCAGAAGAGGTTACCACCAGGTTCCAAAGTCGGCATCGTAACATACGACAAGGAGATACATTACTATAACCTCAGCCATCGGCTCGACCAAGCGCAAATGATGGTAATGCCGGAGATCGAGGATCCCTTCGTTCCTCTCAACGAGGGCCTTTTTGTTGATCCTGAGGAGTCGAAGGCTGTCATAACTTCTCTTCTAACGCAGCTACCTAACATGTTTGCGGACATCAAGAATCCGGAACCTGCTCTACTCTCCACACTGAACTCCGCACTTTCCGCGCTCTCGGATACTGGCGGCAAGATAATATGTTCCTTGTCAGCGCTGCCAACCTGGGGTCCTGGCCGTTTGGTTCTCCGCGACAAGGGCGAGGTGCACAACACTGAGGGGGAGAGGAAGCTCTTTACCACAGAGCACCAGAGTTGGAAGCAAACGGCGACCAAGATGGTGCAGAGCGGAGTTGGCGTAGATTTCTTCATGGCTGCTCCCAGTGGTGGTTACCTTGACATCGCCACAATAGGTATGCGTGCATCTCTTTTCTTTCATTTTCACATATGGCTAATAGACTCCAAGGCCACGTTGCGGCGACGACAGGCGGTGAAGTCTTCTACTTTCCAAACTTCCACAGCCCGCGGGATACGCTCAAGTTATCAAAAGAGATCAAGCATACTGTAACTCGAGATACGGGCTACCAGGCCTTGATGAAGGTCCGTTGCTCAAACGGTCTGCAGGTCTCGGCATATCACGGCAACTTCTATCATCATACCTTCGGCGCCGATCTCGAGTTCGGAGTGATCGATGCCGACAAAGCTATCGGAGTGATGTTCAGCTACGACGGCAAGCTAGATCCCAAGCTCGATGCGCATTTTCAGAGCGCACTGCTCTACACCACATCCAGCGGTGAGAGGCGTGTCCGATGCAGTAACGTGGTTGCGAGCGTCAGCGAGAGCCCGCTAGAGGCGATGAAGTTGGTGGACCAAGATGCTGTTGTAAACATGATCGCAAAGGAAGCCGCCGCTCGGATGACAGAGAAGTCACTAAAGGACGTGCGCTCGGCTTTGACGGAGAAGACTGTCGATATACTAGCTGGCTACCGGAAGATCGCCTCTGGGTCAAATCCACCCGGGCAGCTAGTACTGCCAGAACACCTGAAAGAATTCAGTCTGTACATGCTGGGCCTGATCAAGTCGCGAGCATTTAAAGGTGGCCGGGAACCGACAGACCGCAGAGTGCATGACATGAGGATGATCAAGGCGATGGGCGCCACGGAGCTCTCGCTCTACCTCTATCCGCGGATCTACTCGATACACAACCTTGACCCGCTTGATGGCTTTGCCAATGAGAACGGCCACCTGCGCATGCCTAACTCCATACGCGCTTCTTTCTCGTACGTCGAAGCAGGCGGCGCATATCTAGTAGACAATGGCCAGATTTGCCTGCTGTGGCTAGAGGCCAACGTCTCGCCGAACTTGCTGGAAGATCTGTTTGGTGAGGGGCATAGCAGCTTGAAGGAACTTGACGCGTTCCAGTCGACGCTGCCGGTGCTGGAGACACACCTCAACGCCCAAGTAAGGAACATCCTACAATACCTCGAAGGCACACGCGGGTCCAAGGCCTTGACGATGCAGATCGCGCGGCAGGGCATGGATGGGGCGGAGTTTGAGTTCGCACGGTTACTGTATGAGGACCGCAATAATGAGGCGCAGAGTTATGTCGATTGGTTGGTGCACATCCATCGGCATATCCAATTAGAGGTAAGATCAGTACGCTTCCCCTCTCTTGCGGTCATGGCTAACGTGCGGTGTTTGCAGCTTGCGGGGCAGAGGAAGAAGGAGGATTCGGGAGACGCGTTGAGTGCGGTATCATCTACTTTTGCGGGTCTGAGGACGCCTTATTGGGGTTAAGCATAGCGAATGGTTGGGCGTTGTGGTTGAAGTGTGAACGTTGCGTGCCGAGTTGTGTTATATCAAGTCGCAGCGTATAGTACACGGATGTCACAGTGGTTTGAAAAGTACTTCGCTCTTCACAAAGTCAAGCGGTATTAAGCAGTTCCTATGGCAACTTTTGTTGGTCTGTCAGTTGATCCACGACTCAGTCATAAGGTTGTGCTGTCGAGAAGACATCTCGGCGAAGTCTCGGCACACGCCAAGAGTTTCGCTTAATCAGCAGCCCACGTAGCGAAATTCCGACTCGCAACCTCAACCGCACGAACAGGCTTCGAGGGACTACGAACACCACCTCTCCGCAAACACACACTTGAGTCGCCATGCCTACCCGTTTGACGAAGACAAGGAAGCACAGGGGCCATGGTAACTATAATACCGATTGTTTCGTGGGGGAACGGTTGACTGACATATTGCGCAGTGTCCGCTGGTCACGGTCGTGTTGGCAAGCGTAAGAACCACTTTCCTACCCTTACCGAATTCCTCGCAAGCCGGCTTTCAATCTCTCCTGTTGTGCTCGTCGCGCGCTTGTAATTTCGCTGGACTCGATGGCTTGCGGAATTGGCTGGCAGATCGAACCCGGAGCGCGGCCGGTTCGGTTGAGATCGCGGATGCACTCAGCAATTCGATACGGAGCAAAACGAGTCGCTGAGAGCAACACTGGGTGTCGCCGTGTCAAGGACCGAAATACGACCTGAGGATCTGGGATTTGGGGCGCGCACGCATGACATGTTGTCGAGGCAGTCGTGCACGTCTCTCTGCGGTCCTCGACTTCGATACTCAGTGTGCAGCATTCCGCGCTTGGACACTTATTACACGTCAATTCTTCAACCTCAGGCAAGGATAGTTCTAACGCTTTACAGACAGGAAGCACCCCGGTGGTAGGGGTATGGCCGGTGGTCAGCACCACCACAGGTAAGCCTTTCCTGCTTTCGATTAAGCGCATACAACGAACTTGTCAGCTAACACAAGCACAGGACCAACTTAGACAAATACCATCCCGGTTACTTCGGCAAGGTCGGCATGCGATACTGTACGTAAACCCAGCTCGTTACGGTCAATCCCGGATCTAACACATACCTCTACAGTCCACCGCCAAACCACACATTTCTGGAAGCCGACCATCAACTTGGACAAGGCAAGTCGAGTTCCAACCAAGACCTTTACTGTCAATCATCTGACGGTATCTATTGCAGCTCTGGTCTCTCGTCCCCGCCGAGAAGCGTGACGAGTACCTCGAGAAGAAAGGCGACAAGGCTCCTGTCCTCGACCTGCTTTCGCTAGGCTACAGCAAAGTCCTCGTAAGTTTTGTCCACATCTCGCTTGGCATCAAGACATGTCTATGGGGCTCTGATCTAGTCCATTTACTAACACACCGCTGCAGGGCAAGGGGCGCCTCCCAGAAGTCCCGATTATCGTAAGAGCACGGTATTTGTAAGTCCATCCCGCGTTCCAGCCTCTCCCGCATCGTCGTCTAACTGTTCAAAAGCTCTCGTGATGCAGAGCGCAAGATCAAAGAGGCCGGCGGTATTGTGCAACTTGTCGCATAAATGTTTGTAATTCGGTTCGACCTAGCGGAGACGAATGGATTCAAAAGTCCAAGATAGGGCCGCGCCTCCAGGCGTTGGGCTCTTGCAGCGTGGTGGCTGAGGAGTGGTTCTCGTGTTCAATATATCAAGAATTCTGAGACGATCTCCTGAACAAACCATACCGGCAGTCTTTACTGTGCGGGTTGCTGTGTGCATGCCGTGCTTGCCCACCCTGGGCCAAGGCTTGTTTCGCAGCCTTGGTCGGCCTGTTCTTGGAGTGTGTTGTGAAGTGTCACCTGTTCTGTCGAAGTATGCGACTGTTCATGAGTAGAGAAGCCCACGGGAAAGACAGGTCGATGCTCTGTACTGGCGCGTAGTCCGAGGTAGGTTGTTTTGAGTCCAGAGTTGTCAACCACGGTCTACTACGGCCTTGTTTGAATCTGTGTAGCGACTGAGAGGATTGTTTCTGTCAACACTGAATCTCGACCCACACGGATCAGAAGCTCTCAACAAGGTAAGGTATTGCAGACGCACAGCAAGGCTTTATGAGAGATTGGCCCAATGCTCCTTCGCAGTCTTGAGCCCTCGTTGCCCACCGCTGTCCTCGATACGGAACTCTGACTTCCTCGAATGAAACGTGAGCACACTGTCGAGGTCCCTTCCCAGAGTCGTGTTATCCCTCTTGCCATGCACCTGAGTGACTAGACACGGGCCGACCTGACGGCTAAATTTACAGCAACCTCTAAAAGATAAACGAATTCTAGTATCTCCGTTACATGCCGGCTGGTTTAGCCAGATATTGGGCCAGCAAACACTCGTCACGGCTCTAGGCTAGCTTAATGTGTTGCCTCCAATATACTTTACAAGGACCGCGTTGGCACAGGTATGTATGTTGAGGCCGCTTCGACCCTCTTGGAGCATACAAGCACGTTTCAGCGGCTCCCCGACTAGTCAACAATCCAGTAGAAATGCGCTTGCGCTCGTTCTGCAGTTATAAAGTATGATGGTCAGAACTTTACTTAAAGACGAACCGTCGAAAGAGACCTAGATCGGGGTCGAGAAAACGGCGACTGCTTGCTCTTCCGGTCAAAAGTACGTGTACTGATGCACGATAGGCCAAATGCTAAGGAGGCACATTGAAAGCAACCTGTGGCGCACGTCAAGAACCTGGTAAGTATCCAAAGTACCGACCAACAATGGAAGAAGTGGGAGAAAAGCACGGGGACGAACCGGATATATACTATGATCAATAAGTATTTATACGGAAGTGAGACAAGGACTAATGACGGCATGAGTGGCCATCTGAATCGGGAAATGACTTTAGGATCTCTAGCCTTCAAGCCGTGATAGATGGTATCTTATGAAGCTTGTTCAACGCGACGACTACTGGCATCACCTCCTCCTTGTGTCCAAAAGTAGCACCATGCCATGCCGAACCGCTATGTCGCTGCTTCCAAACAGAAAGCCTCACACGTCCCTCCTATTCCCCCCATCTTCATCAAACATACTGACACTGACGGTGCGGTTCCTGCCGACGCCTTTCATCTACTACCCGGCAACGTGGCCAGCCCAATCTTGTAGTGTTCCTGAAGACGACCCCCATGATTTGGGTTGACCATGCCGCTGCATAAGGAAGATGACACGAGCGGCTTGCCGTTTCCTGTTACGGCGAGCAAATACAATCTCACTAACCCAAATGTCACTCCTTCGACTCTTGATCTATGCACTCAAACGCTGCGCCTCCAGCCAGTACCCCAACCCTGTGCACGCCAGCAGCACCCCCGAAATCGGAAGCTGGACTGGCAGCGCGTTCGGATCTCCCGGCGGATCCACAGCCGCCACATCCGGGTACGCAAAAGCCATGAGCTGCGTAATCCAATACAGACTCGCGAGCACAGCCGCCGTGTCCAAGCTCATCCTCTCCTTCTGCTTCTCGACCTCCAGCGCCCACTGCTTCCTCGCGTCGCCCTCCTTGACGTCTTTGCGGATCCTGTCGACACGGCTGGCGGAGCCAACGGGGCGGTAGGTGTACCACAGCGTTGCGAGGCCGAGGAGCAGCCCCATGCTCATGGTCTGCCCGTTGTGGAATTTGGCGTGCGGCGGCCAGGTCGGGTTGTAGATGTGCGTCTCGTTCCAGTCGGCGATGAAGCAGGCGAAGCTTGTCATTAGACCCACGAAGGTGAGGAGGAGACGGCCGGGGCGGAGGGTGTTGGAGGTTTGGCTGCCGTAGGTAGGCATGTTTGCGGGTGAGAATGCGCAGAGCGCTGCGTTGGATGACCGTGGGCTTTAAAACGACTTGGTTTGAGGATGAGCAGTAGCTGAAGTGGAAGAGGTATAAGAGAGAGCTTGCTGTAGGAGTAGGGGGAGAGAGAGACTTCAGCGCGTTTCGTTCTTGCGGTGACGTGGTGCAACACGATGACGGCTCTCCGAGGTCCGATAGTGCCTCAGGCTGCTGTGTAGCTGGCGGTAGCCCAACGCCATGCCTATTTCGCTCTAGTGTACTCGCCGCTGTATATATGTAGAGTTCGCAAACAGGAACCACATTCGACGGTGACCTTCGAGTTTGAAAGGGTTTGGAGATCCAAGCATATACAACCCATTGATGGCGGAAGATGTCCAGCGGTGAGGCTATTTTAGTGACAATACCAGACGCGTATGGTAGGATTAGCCTCTTTGATATTTCGCCATCGGCTAGAACTCAGACATCGAACGACGTGCTTCGGACGATGAGATGTAACAAGGCTCCATAGGTCAAGGATATAGACTGGGACCGCTTCTACACCGATCACGCAACCACTACCAGCGGATATGAAGCGTAAAGCGAGGAAGCCGGCGATGTACACTCCCCAAGTAGCACTTCTTCGATTGCGGCTCGATCTTAGGCTCTGCTGTCCTCTAGCCGCACATGAGTGCTCGCTGTATGGCTCTACATCTCAAACCTCCGTTCTGAACGACAGTGAAATCTTGGTAGTAGCCTGAATGATATCCCTTCTTGCAGAGACTGGCATACATACCTTCAGAAACCCCTTATCGCCCACGGTGAACGGGAGTTTTTCCAATGTCACCAGGACATATTGGATGTTAAGGAAGGCACCTGGGCCTGCGGAGTGTGGGCCGTCCTTCCAAAATACTTTGAGTGAGGCCTGCGAATGTCTTCGGTGTGCTCGAATGTCATGGATCGGACTGGAATTCTTGCATCTTTAGGGACTACTCCAGGACATGATTCAGTCACTTGTAAGTGCGTCAGAGAGCCGACGTTTGCCTTCAGATACGGCGGACAAGACTAGCGTTGCGTCCGGTTGCGAAGCATACTTTGTGGAGGACGTAGAACATTGAAAGATTGAGTAGAAGGCCAATTAAGTGACCTGAAAGCCCAGTAACGAACCGGAGTGCGTCAGTTGGTCTCCACGACGCCAGATTAAGTCAAGTTGTTGTTGATAAAATCCTTCTCCCAGATCCGTTCCTGGATCTCATGGCTCACTCAGCGGATGGCCGCACGTCTGGGATCCGATTGTGCCGGAAGAGCCGCGCTATTAGAGCGGACAGCGAATTTTGCTCATCATATCCAGCTGCTTTCAACCACTTTGGCCTCTTCTAGCTTTGACAGCATCCAGCCTCTCAAGGAATCTAGCTTGTTTTCTTCTCGCTGCCTCGTCTGCACGAACAACGCCCGTAGCATCACTGACATCAGCATCTGCCCCAACAGCTGGCTGCTCTGCATCTCCATCCTGCCGCTGCCTCTTCGCAGATTGCCGCGGCTGCAAATGCGCGCTGGTAGCGACCAGCTTTGCTGAGCCAATGCCAAGAAGATCGTGAGTAGCTAGTGAGCGCAGCACTTTCTGATCGGTTGCATCCGTGGACTTCGCAAAGAACATGTCTGTGCCGATGCTGTTGGCCCAGCGGCAGCTGTAAAGTTGATTTTGGTAGTTGATCAGTGGATTCGGTCCATGTAAGTCCAGAACCTGGATGCGGTCCTGAGGATCGCTATTCGCTGCGTGCTCAATGGACGGCCGTATCTCAGCGGCTGCCGTAGGAGCGGCTTGTGCTTCATCCTGTGCTTGATCTGGGGCATCCGGGGAAGGTGATGCTGATTGCTCTTGGTCACCTGTTGCTGTCTCTTCCTGTTGCTGCGTTCGAGATTGGGCTCTCGAGGCCCTGGGATCCGGGAAAGGGTTCTTGGGTGCGTTTTTCTTCGTACTTGCAGCTGGAGTGTTTGTAAGGTCGACAGTCACGTAGAAATCCTTGCCATATGAGCGTGGTGGTGAATACATCACAGGCTCGCACTCACCTCTGTCTCTGTAGGATTGTACTCATACTCCCACTCATCTTCCTCATCCGCAAAGACGGCTTGCGCCATGGCTCTTCAAACGAGACGGCACCGCTGGAAAAGCAGTTCTTGGTTGCTGTTGAAAGCTCTTGATCCGATCAGTGTCGTGAACTTACGGTCTGTGCGTCCATCACGAGATGACTTCGTTTCCGGATATCCATCAGCGCCGCATCCGAAGTACCGGATGTGGATCGTTAGGCAAATCCTGCGGCCACCGAGGATTCCATGGGTTGATCGTCAAGCCGCTAGATTCAAGCTTCGGACTGGCTGGGCTGACAGGGAGACAGGGTCGAAGCGTGTAGGGCTGAACCTGAAACCATGGATCTCAACCGGTGTCAGCTTTGATGACGATGACGCACAGCTTGCTCCTCGAAAGCATCAATCCAGGCACTGGGATACGGTGATCGCGCTGCCTTGCAAGCTCAACGCAAAGACAAACCTATCTGTTAGACCTTTGGCCGTCAGTTTACTCAATAGTCAATCGGCGACAAGCACATGAACATGGATCGGTATTGCGCGGCCTGATGCACTGCACAAGCACTGTCGATCTCTACCACTGAGCTGTCTCCGCCTTGCGCGTGTTGCAGTGTGTTCCCTCCTCCCTTGTCATCATCACTTCCTCACTTCCTCACTTCCTCACCTCCAGGGCTCCGCACCTTGCATGTGTGCTCGCTCCACTCGCTGAAAGCCTGATAGCTGCGATGCTCCGGTCTCTTCTACGTGTCGACCATCCGGCGCTCCCGCTCTTCCATCGAAGGAAGCCGTCGCCTGCCTAGGTATCTATCGGAACCTGCTCCGTCGTAGCTGGAATTCACAAACTTTCGGCTTCTTCGGCTGACAAGGTCCAAGCTTCATCAGTATGGGCAACACACGTCACAATCGGTTGTTTGACTAGACGTGGTTATGCTAACACGCCCTTGACTGTTTTAGTGCCTGCCTTACAGCATCATGGCGGTCAGGTACCGCTCGTTCCTCCGTCGACTTCCGCGACATTCGCTTTCCATCTTCCGTCCTTATCACCTTGGAGTACCAGTTTACTCTCAGCCTCCCAAAGCAAGAATATCCCTTCCTGCGTATCGGCGCCAGGCGTCCACCCCACGCAAAGCGATCCTTCGCGCTCAGTAGCATTGCCGGAAGAACTACTTTACCAGATCGAAGAGAAAAGTAGACAGGATCACGCTTCCAACGCCGAAACCCTCCCAGACTGCCCTCTCATGCCAAGGTTGAGGGGCCGGCGACTTCCCTGCGCCATCGTCTCTACACTCATTAGCCTAGCGACCATCTCTGGCCTCTATCAAAATTTAGGCCCTAGACCTCCTCCCTTGGAGGGAGCACAAGAGGTACGCTGGATTGCGAGCTCGAACTCTTGGGTAGATAGAAAAGCGTGCAAGTGGTTTGGCGTTTGCGGCGCATCACACCTGAGTCGGAAGGGATGGACTTCTAAGACCTCGAACGAGATAGAGGCTGGAAAGCAAGGGCTGCTCGGCGGTGCCCGGACTAAGGACGAGATGGATCTCAGTGATTTCTGGATCAGCGGCGAATCGCGACCTGAAGACTGGTCGCAAGACGAGCGTGTACTTCGGAAGATTCCCAAATATGTGTTTGATTACGCGCCATTGGTACACCTGTATTCCGGCGAGCAGTTCTGGCCTTGCGACATCGCAGAGCATCTGCTACACACAAGGCCGTACCGCAATTACACGCCGATATACGGAGAGCCCAGCCACAACTTGACGGACCTTGACAGTCTCAACAAGTATGGCCGCTGGACATATCTGCAAAGCGTCGACAACGTGGAGGACCGACCTGACTGGTTAGGTGGAGAGCAGAACATTCCGAGCACACCGCATTCGGGAGACGGCGACGACGATGAGCACTCGCCAGGCCGAGAATGGCCAGACAAGGAGCTGCCACACGACGGCGCAGATGAGACATGGTACAATGTTGGTGTCGGCGATACTGAGGATAAGGGCGGTGTACGACCATTGCCAGCAGGATCACCGGTCCCTATACCTATCGATCGTGAGGAAGAAGAACAGACCGATCACACCGGCCGCAAGCGATCACAAGAGCGGCAAGTGGACAGAAGGACTGCAGGCGGCCGAAGCGATGCCCCAGCTGTCCTGGTTGTCGTCGACAAAGGGAACAACGTCACCGACGCGTTCTGGTTCTACTTTTACAGCTACAACCTTGGCAACGTCGTCCTAAACGTGCGCTTCGGCAACCACGTCGGCGACTGGGAGCATTCCGTCATCCGCTTCCAGAACGGCGAGCCCAAAGCCATATTCTGGAGCGAGCACAACCTCGGCCAAGCGTATACGTACGACGCCGTGGAGAAAATCGGCAAACGCGTATGTATGACCGCTCGCAAGACACGCCAACCTAGAACTGACTCCCGCACAGCCTGTAGGTTACATAGCAACCGGGACCCACGCAATGTACGCCTCTCCCGGCGCACATCCCTACGTTCTCCCCTGGGGCCTGCTGCATGATCAAACCGATCGTGGTCCCCTATGGGACCCCCTCCTCAACACGCACGCCTACACGTACGACTATCTGAACGACACTCTCCGCGCCTCGACGCGCACGCCGCTGGCGCCGACCAACTGGTTCTACTTCAGCGGCCACTGGGGCGACAAGTTCTATCCGCTGTCTGATCCACGGCAGTATCGGTTTGCGGGCCAGTATCACTATGTCACGGGGCCGCTGGGGCCGAGGTTCAAGAACTTGGGGAGGCAGAGGGTTTGTCAGGGGAACATGGAGTGTCGGCTCAGGAACTGGATTGGACCTGGGGGGGCGGGGGTATCGGATGGGGCTGGTGATGGGGAAGAGGTGAGTGGGGAGGATACCAAAGTGAGACTCGCTGAGCCGCAGAAGGAGACCTGAGCGGTCTGGGATCGGGGTTGGCGTTCTCGTGGTTTGGGCTTGCCCTCAGATCCTCCATGGCAGCTTTTCGCTACAAGACCATCTACGAGTATAGGTGGGCTAGACGGCATTCGATATCCCGCCGTCTCAGGACGTAGCGCGGAGTTTGTGTTTGGGCTTTTGGACAGACTGCAAACAAGATACCGTTGATATTCAGGGCGCAGACAAGGGGTACAAGGAAGGTAGAGTTGCATTACCCAAATACTCTCAATCATGACACGTTCCAGGCTGGCAGCTTCACGCACGCGTTGCACACGAGACACCAAACAGGTTTCCTCCCATGACATTTGGTGTGTGTTTCAAACAGCTCGAGAGCAACTTGGTCTCAGCGATATGCGGCAGGGCGAGATGCAGGCAGCCACAGGGCGCTTTCAAGCCACGACCACCGGCGGCCCTATTGGCCCAAAGACGGGAGACGATGTGCTCATCCATGCCGTGTCGCGCGCCGACTCAGCGCAGCGGTGGATGCGTGTTTGATCAGCTTCTAGCGCCCTCCGCCGCCTTACGGGCACGACGGGCAGGGCTGCGATGATGGATTGCAGTCTTTTGCAGCCGTGTGCAGACTCGTGCAGACTTGTGCTGAGAAGGCTGACGGCGCGGCTGACAGGCGCATTACGGGACGTTGACGTGTGGCAGCCAGCTCTCCCTATCAAGCCTTATCTTCCCGTGCCAAGCGTGGCCTACATCCCAGACATGTCCGCATGTCGCGCAAGTCATGACTTCGTGAGCCTTGCTTCGGCCTGGGGAGTGTCCCATCCCTTTCTTCCCAACGTTCCAACATCTCTCCTTTATTGACATCGTGATCCTTGGTTGTTATATTGCCGACCTTGCCTGCTCCTGCCTACTCCTTCCCGTCCCGCATCCCTTTGTCTCCTCCCGCGTCTGTAACAAGCGATCTACATCATTGCCGCTAGCGCGAGCTGGATAGACGGTCACCAGGTCTAATCGCGACATCGCTATCCCGCTATTCCGCGACTTCTTCCGCGCTGTCACCACATTGATACGAAACTCGAGCGGCCTGCCTTTCCAGATTAATCATTCCGACCGAATCCCTAGGCCTGCGCGAGGCTCACTCAGTGACCGCATTCGCGGCTTCGCTGTAGCTCCCCCTCGACCTATTCCGTCCGCCCGACTACTCGTACCTAGTCTCCCACACAAGCACGCCAGTAGAGTGCTTAAGATAAAGCCTGCGCTTGGAGCAGCACGCCCCCGACAAGCAGCTTTACCATGGCTTTCCAGCAGCCGCAGCGGCCTCGACCAGCCCGCCAGTTCTCCGTCTCCGCACCCGTCGCCCAAGCCGTCGAAGCCGGACCCAGTCACGCATCACCGCAGCGAAAGCGCACTCTCGAAGACTCCCAAGAATGGATCCTCTTCTCTCCCATTGCCGCTCCCTCCACCACCCGCACCCGCACCACCTCCACCGAGCGCACACCCCGTACAGCAGGCCTGTCGCGGCTAAGTGACTTCGGCAGCTTGGAAACAGCTGCACGTTCAGACCAGTATGATAACGAGGACGATGACCTCACATGTCAGGGCACAGACCCGGATGACGAGGGCGAGGAGCTGGACAGTCTGGACGATGGCCTTCATGCTTTCCATGAGCCGTCCGAATACAGCGGGCACTCAAGGAGGCTGATGGAGCAGAGTGGAGATACGGTACTGCCCACACATGACGGCTTGGGGTCGTTTCCGGCCAACACGGCGGCAATGCAGGAGCAGATGTGGCAGTTTGAGCGACATGGCTCGCGGCGAGTAAGGCGCAGGCGGCGGTCCAGCGTGCAGCGGAGGCTCGATGCGCTTGAGGAGGCGGAAGAATTCGACGAGCAAGACGAAAGGATGCAGAGGATTGAAAGGTGGAGGGTTGAGCAAAGCAAGGCGCTGCTGGAGGAGATTGAGCGGGAGACGAGGAGGATGAGGAGGATGAGCAGGGTCAGCGCTGGAAGGAGTAGGGTGGACAGTGTGCATCCGGGGATACAGGATGCAGCAAGCCCAAAGACCAACCCTGCTGCCGCGAAAGCTGCAGAAACACAGACGACAGACCAAGCGGTGGAAAGCGAATCTTTCCTGCAGCGCTTCACGCGGAGGGTCATACGGGATCTCATCGGCATCGACGAAACCCTGCTTTCCGTCATCTTCGGCGAAGCATTACCAGCTGAAGCGCAGCCTCCATCAGCAGCCCCGCTTGATTCAGGAACAGCGGAGACGAGCAGTCGACCTGACCAAAATCCTGCAATCCACCCCGGGCAATCCTGGGAACACCGCCTGCTGGAGCGTATAGCACGCGAACTCGGCATCCTAGTGCACCAGCTGTCTGAGCATCCTGGGGCCTTCACGACCTACCTCCGCGCCCAGGAGCCAGCGCCCTACGCCGGCCTTCCAGCCGCAAATGCCACAACCTCAGACATTGCCTCCAACGCCCCGTCCTCAGCACCAATCTACCCGTCCATGTCCGCAAGCGGCGGCCTTTTCGCGCCCACGCTCCAGAATCAGCCGGTACCCAGCTACAGCGACGCCTCCCTGTGGGGCATCGAAGAAGAGCCCACCGCCGCCACCGCCGCCAGCACCAGCTACCCTCAACCCGCCAACTCACAAGCCGCAGCCGACACCGCAGCCCGCGAGTACTGGGAGCGCGAACTGGACGTCAAAATGGTCTTCTCCTTCCTCGCACGTCGCTTCTCCTCGCGGCCCTCATCCCCCTCCCCCAACGCCGCCACCTCAATCCCAGCATACAGCTCCCGCTCCCTCCCCACCGCCCCGGCCCCACCGGCCCCATCTCCCTCGCCCACCGCCCTCCCGTCCACGACCCCGGCCCTCGCGGCCCGCCGCGCAGCCCTGATAAAGCAGACCCACCCCCTGGCGCCCCGCGCGACTGAACACGCCGCCGCGGCCGCGGGCCGCAGGCGGGATTTGGGCCACAGACACCACTTCCACCACCAGCAACATGCGGCGGCGGCGGCGGTGCTGCGGAGTCGACTCGTGGGTGGGGGCAGCAGTAGCTGTGCGAGCCGCAGCACGAAGAAGAGCAGGAAGAGCGGGAGCAGTAGGAACTATTGGGATTTGGGCGGCAGTGTGGGGAGTGGGCCTGCGGGCGGGGTGGGGGTGTGGGGGGAGGCGTGACGAGTGGCTAGAGTAGAGGTGAAGGAAGGGGGGTTGTGCGAGCAGAATAGACGAGGAGAAGGAGGCGCGGAGTTTTGATGTGGGGGGGGGGGGGTTTTCTTCTCTTTTTTTTTTGGACGCGTGGAGTAGATTCGTGCGAGCATGATGACAGGCGGAGCGACGGGGCTTTAGAGTTCGGGCTGGTGCAGCGTGGCATGGGAGTTGGCGTTGGCTTGCATGCTCGAGCGCATGGGTTCTAGCAGGGGATTTGCTGGACATACGACATATGGATCTTCACTACAGGACGAGCGGGCGGCTGTAGACGGTTTGCATGAAGATTTGGCGCTACATTTAGTGATAGAATGATTGTCGACGAGTATGGGGATGAGTATGAGCATGCGCATAGGCATCCGTTTCCTTTGTCGTCTTCTCGGGCAGAAATAATGCAAGAGGCGGTTAGCGCAGAGTTGTACGATATATTCATCTCCATATCAAATTTCAATCACAGTAATAGACAACCACCTGCAATCTTCCATGAGCGACAATCACGTGAACCGACAGCATCTAGGGGCGGCAAATGCAAGACTCGACCAACAGAAGCCACATCATGTGCAGTGCATTCCCACGTCAAGCAGGCAGTGAATTTGATTCTAGGACTCACGACCCTAACCTCTCAAGCAAACGCCCAAGCCCATCATGATCCATGGCCCCTCTACATCAGCAATCCACCAATCCCAAGCTCACGCCTCAACGTCAAACGCTTCGGGGAACCGCCTCATGTTCGACTCGAGCGGGCCCTTGTTGCGCAGGAACTGCACGTAGGCGCCGTCGACCTTGACGCGGCCCTCCTGGCGCTTGGCGACGTACTCATCGCGGCGGAGCGGCGTGAAGCCCCAGTTCTTGGAGACGATGATCTTTTGGCGGCCGGGGAACTTGTACTGCGAGCGGCGGAGGGCCTCGATGGCTGTGGCGCGGTCTACCAAACACATCAGTTCTGAATTTTTCCTTGGTTCCGAGAAGAAAAAGGCAAAAACTTACTGGCATCCCTCGTCCTCACGCTGAGGATGATCTGGCCAATGTTGACGCGGGCAACGGTACCGTTGGGCTTGCCAAAGGCGCCGCGCATGCCGGTTTGCAGCCTATCGGCGCCGGCACATGACAACATCTTGTTGATGCGGATGACATGGTACGGATGTGCGCGCACGCGGAGATGGAAACCTTCCTTGCCGGCGACCTTGACGAGGTACTTGTTTGCACAAATACGGGCGGCTGTGGTTGGTAAAAATGCGTCAGTAGGAGTATCGATTTGTATGGCTTCCGTTCTGGGAGACCCAGATCTGAGACTGACCTTCGAGCGCCTCGGAGCTCAGCTGTTCGTACTCGTTGGACACGAGGTGGATGCATAGCGGGAACTCGTCGACGTTGGCGCGCTTGCTGTTCTCTGCGTCAGTAAATCTTCCTAATATGAACGGAGACCAGCCGAAGAAGTCGTAAGCGGGATCCATATGAGCGTCCTAGGCTCGACAAGAGTACGCGGCGACCATTTTGCGGGATATGTCTAGACAAGGTCTCCAACTCTTTTGTCTCCAAGTCCCGCTCTCTGCGATGCCCGGCACAACTTCTTCGGCTGATCCGTATATTAAAAGGATGCGCTTACCGTCCAAGGTCAAAAATTCGGATCTTCGGGTCTGGCACACCTCTGTTGAAGCGGCTCTTAGGGTACGGCTCTGTAAGGAATTAGCGCTGAATTTTCGAGTCGTTTGGGAGCGTCCTCACTGTTCTTGCAGTAGCGGTAGCCTTCAACACACGTTAGCAGGTTCTCGCAACTGGACAGATGCGTACATACAGCGAGCGGGTCGGCGAGCCATTGTGAAGGTAGTTGGATGTCGTCTGTGGGAGTTGAGCGGTGTTGAAAGTGAGGTTGACGTCTTCGAGGTCTTGTGGGATTTGTGCGGTGATGGCGAAAGGTCCGTGCACAGCTCACGTGATCGAGACATCCGATGCATTTCTAAGCAGTGATTTCCAAGCACTGAGTGCAGATAAGGCATGTTAAAGGGGGACGATGTTGACTTTCGATTGACATCAGTGCTGGAAAACCCGGATGGCATAGATTGCATTGGTTTGTCACGTTTGGTCCAGTATACTAGCACGCGTTTGTTGGCAATTGCGCTTTTACATTGTCCTTGTGATAAGATAGAATTGGATGCGAGGCTTAACGCCAGACCCAACACGCACTGCACCATCTCCCTGCAAACTTCCTACACATCCCCAAGAACGGCCGTCTATGCCGTGGCTCCGCTCAGGATATCCGAGTCACCAGCGTCCAAGATGGACATCGTGCTGCACCTGAAGAGCTTTCCGCAAGCGGTTCCCAACTCGATCTATATGGTTGATTGTCAGCCGGGACGGTTTACCCTCCAGGGCTTACAAGAAGACCCTTTCTCGGGGTAAGCCCTAAAGACGCTTGCACATCTTGTCGTTGGGCTGTGAGAAGGTGATGAAGAAATGTGATATCTTACGTTGTTACCGGCGAAGTGGTGGACATTCGTCTTAGACACTGCAGACTTGTTAGACGCGCCTTCCCAAGGGAGTGTGGGAGAGCCGGGGGACTTACGCATGGCGTAGTATTCCAACTCGGACTTGCGGAGGGGTGCTGCAATAGCCGTGAGTAACGATGCGCAATCTTTGGGTCCAGACGATCCTTACGGGTGTTGCCAGCAATGATGACGAGCTTCGCCTTGCCGCTTCGGAGCGTCTTGAGGGTGGACTTGTAGCCAAGGGTGACTGTGAATTGGGCTTCAGCATTCCATCCTCTTTCCAATGCAGGGCCGGCTGTTCGTACCCTTGCCGGACTTCATGACAAGAGCCAGGCGGCTGTTGATGGAGTCGGCGGTCTTCTTGCTCTTCTTTGGTGCCATCTTTGCGCGTCAGGAAATCTCGAGTGTTGCTTCCTGAAGGTGTTATGCGCTCCGGTGCGTGGTGCTTTGCGGTTTTTCGAAAATGGAGATTTCGCTGGTGGTGATGGGGCTGCGGCTGCTAGGGTCAATCTAGCCGTATGTGGTGTAATAAGCGAACCAACCAATGTGACCAATGCATCCTCCCCTGCGGTCGAAGAGACGGTCCACAGGTCCCCATTGAACAACTGGTTGGCGCGAATGCTGCAAGTTTGTTGAGATGAAGATATTCACATGCCGTTCGCTGCCATGGCTGTTGGCACGCTGACAACGACTTTGCCCACCAGGAGTCGAGTGGCATCCCCAGGGAGATTTCATGGCGGGGACCTGCGTGTAATCTCCGTGCCACGGAACTAACCTGTTTGCCCAAAACAGTCTCCCGGTTCCAGCAAACGGCGCAGTGCTGAATGTGCCTCGATGACACGCTACCTATTGGCAATCGCCTTGCTTTGAGTGTCCAAAGGTACACATTGGAGTATCCCTTTTCAAAAGTGTACCTCGCCGTGCCACCAACGAGACCACAGCCGCTTTCTCGGTCCTATTCTTAGCTGGAGGGGCTGAGATCAGCGCTACACATCCTACCATTATATTACCAACACCCAGTTCTTGCCTGCTATCACGCCTGAATGCGAGTCCGTTGCTGGCCACTATGTCAACCGCTACCAAAAGACCGCCGCCCCCAGGAGTCGTTGCGCGAAGTCCTTCGCGGGCATCAGCGACCTCGGCATCTTCTGCCAACGGCGTTATACCACGAAAGCAGTCCGTTCATGGGACGACCGGCAATCATGTCTCTGCTAGAGCAGCCGTAAAGAAACCCTCCCCCAGTTCAAGCGTCGCCCACATTCCACATCCATCGCCGGACGATGACGAGGAAGACGCCCGCGCGGCAACGGCAGCATTAATGGAGGATCTCAGGGAGCGATTGAAGAAGGCAGAGCTCGCATCTGAAGAGTATCAGAAGCAGATTGGAGTCTTTCAGTCCCGGCTAGATGATGCCATCGGCGAGCAAGCCAAGCTCGAAGAGCGGCTACATGAGGAGGAGGAGCGGGCGGAGGGCTTGCAGAACGAGCAGCGAGAATCTTTGAGACAACGGCGGGAGCTTGAGGGCATATACGAGGCTGAAAGAGCGGCGTCCATGAAAGACAAGGAGAGCGCGCAGACTCGGGAAGAGGAGTTGCATGGGATCATACAGCGGCTGAAAGAGGGCATGGCGGAAAGGGAGACGCGGACAGGGGTAAATGACGAGAGGCGTTTGTCAAGGCATTGTATGTATCTATTGTCATATGATTCCAGAGCCACTTTCTGTACTGACTTGTCGCAGCAAGCTTTCAGAGCCCCGTTCGTAGCAGCTCCTCATCAAGCCTGGAACCCAGCCATTTCGCTCCGCCAGCGTCATTACAGCGCAGCAACTCGACGAACAACTCGAAGCTGATACTGCAGAAAGATAAGGTTATAGAGTCACTGCGTCTCGAGCTCGCCGAAGCGCAGATAAAGCTAGTAGAGATGGAGAACATGGGCGGTGGCCGCATGCGGGAACTTGAGAAGATCGTGCTAGAAACACGCATGACGAATGCCCGGTTGATGGAAGAAAACGAGAGCTTCCAGCTACTGCTCAGCGAAAAGACGTTAAACGGTGACTTTACAAGAGGAGACTTCATACGCGGCACATCTCGAGGATCCGACTCGCGCCCAGCATCACGTATAGGGCCGGGTGCCAGTCTAGCCGACGAGTTATCAACCGTAGCGGAAACCGACATGGAAAACCAGCGCCGTCTCGAGAACGAGCTCAACGCGCTCAAGGAGCAAAACAAGGCCCTCAGCACATACATCAACAAGATCATCGGCCGGCTACTGCAATACCAAGGCTACGAGGCCATTCTCGACAAGTCAGATGATCCGGTCACAGACAGACAACCGGCGCCAGACACCGGCAAAGCCCTCCCGCCCCCACCCCCAACCGCCCCGTCCCTCCTCGAGCGCGCAAAGTCCGTCGCCACAGGCGTCAACAAACCACGCCCTCGACCCGTCAGCTATATGCCCCCGCCCTCCTACCCCGCGTCCGCCATGTCCGCGTCCGAAGCGCCCACCACAACCACCGACGCGGCAACTGCCCCCCGCGTCCCCCTCCAACGCTCCCGCTCGCACCGCCTGGGCGGCCACCAGCGCGCAGACTCCGAGTTCGTGAGTTCCGCCGCCATGGTGATCAACAACATGTACCGGCCCACGCCCTCCACGACGCCCGTGCCCGGCCCGACAAGCCCCGGCATCGTCTCGCCGCGGAACTCGTTCTTCGGGCCGAACGCCGCGGCCGCGGCGCGCATCCCGTCCGGCGCCAGCGCGAGCAGCGCAAGCAACGCCCGCTCCAGCAGCGTGCCCCGCGCTTCCGCCGACGAGAAGAGGATGTCTATGGCTAGCAACAGCGCGCTTGATTCGGTGAGCAACAGCAACAGCGACAGCGGCATAGGGATCGATACCCCCTCGCCGCCGCGCAGTCTCGCCAGCTCGTTCGACCGGCCCGGCGGCGCGGTCATGGCGGGGAAGACGATCAGGCCGCTCAGGCTTGTGCAGGAGAAGTCGGAGGGTGATGCGGCGGAGGCGGCGGCGAGGGCGAAGGCGAACAGGGCGAGTTGGATCAGTGGATGGTTTAGCAAGGGGGAGAAGGGTGTTAGTGAGGGGGGCCCGCAGTGAGGGGCGGGAGAGTGCGCGTGCTTTAGTCGGCGTATGTACTATGGCTTTGGATTGCTTGCGGTGGCTGGACGGAGCATTGGAAGTGGAGTTTGGCTTGTTCGGACCGATAAGGGGAGCTGGCTGGCTGTGTTGCCGCATTTTTTTGCTCGCTCAGTGGCCCTTTCATAACAGATGGTTGGCGGAGCATACTGTCGCCAGTGCGCCAGAGAGTATTCCTAAGTTCAAGAGTACCCGTTCCCTTCTGATGACTGCTTGTCTCGCTGCTCAAAAACAGACTGTAACCCGAGGAACCAGTTCCCCCATTTCTACACAACAACTTTACAAACCGCCCCTCCATTTTCTGATAATCTCCGTTTAATCTCACTCTTTTCTCTCAGGCTAAGCTCATTCAGTTGTGAACAAGTTATCTTTCCGTAGCAAAACTTACCGCCCAATATGTCCACACGGGTTCCCGCAGCTCCCAGTTCCGCGGCGTCCTCCGTCGCAATCCGTCGGTGTATGTACCGCCACTCCGGTTCCCGCGATGCGCTTCCCAAGACGTATAGTTAGGGATGAAGGAGAAACGCCTGAATGATTGCCTTTCCTACCTGATTCCGAGATGCCTGGTCCATCTGCTGGGACGAGCGGACGGTCGGACGGGCGGACAGGCGGAAATGTATCCGCGTGGTTCGATCGCGAGAACTCGTGCGCTAAGGCCTGGGAGGTGATCACAAGAGGACCTGAGAGGGAAAGCAATGCAGATCAGATGGATTCTCTTGTGACGAGTTCAGCGAGCCATGTTACACGTTGCAAACCGGACAATACAGGAAGAAGCAAAACGCCGCCATGCATGTGTGACCCGTGCCTTGGATTCTGTCCGGACTGTACCTACCATTTTCGTATGACCAGCCTCGTCTGCCGTCTCGTAGAAATTACTCCTCCCAACCGCTCGACCGTAAGTCCGACCCGCCTTTCTCTCTCTGCCCCTTCTACCAAAACATCCTAAGTCATCATCCTCGTATGCACATCGAAAATATCGTTCCTCCACCCACCCCTCTCGTAATCTTGCACTCGCTCCTCCGCCTGCGCCGCCTCCTCATTCCACAGCTTAACGATACTGCCCGGCGCATACACGCCCCTGAAGACGCCTTTGCCAGGCTGCGCAATACCGACACGGGTATACACATCCGGATCCTCCTCCGGCTGCAAGCGCGCCATGATGGCCCTAACGAACGTCCGCAGGTCGTCCGGATCTGAGATGCGGGTCGCGCGCAGACGCTCCCTGGCATAGAGAAGCTCTCGGTTAGCGGCATGCAGGCCGTCCGCAATGGCGTTGGCGAGCTGCTTCTCCATGACCTTGCGAAGGACGGGGCGGAGGATCGGCTTGAGGAGCCAGCTGATCCAGGAGAACTTGCTCTTGCGCATGTCGTAGGAGAGTTTGTGGACGCGGACGCGGACGGCTTTGAGGGTGAGGATCTTCTCGAGCTTCTCCTTGCCAATCTCGACATCGAGGTGGATGTCGATGCCGCGCTCGTCGAGGGCGAAGGAAGCGATGCCCTCGTCCGCGAGGCGGAGGATGCCGCTGTGCGCGCGGAGCCAGAATCCGATCTCTTCTGCGCGCATGGAGAGGCCGTCGATCTTGATGGTAACGAGGGAGGTGACCTTACTCGTAGTGCGGAACTTGGCCTTGCGGATCTCGAGGTCATTGTATGTCTCGACGCGGAGCTTGTACGGTAGGAAGGAGCTGTTGTTCACGGTCTTTCCGGGCTCGATAATAAGGTTCTCCAGGAGCAGATCAATGTCTGGGGTTGAGACTTCAATACGTGGGATCGGGATGTACTGGATTGCTTGCACGAGCAGCGGGACGAACACGTTGATGCCATCAGCGAAGAGGTCGCCGTTCACATAGGTGCCCGAGGGCGACAACACGTTCAGCATCCGGCTGGAAATTGTGAGCAGACCGGAGATATCCTCGTCATGTGCCACGGATTTCAAAGTGACCTGGACCTGACCGAGGAAGTCATCAATGTCCTGGCGGAGGGAGGAGTCGGATCCAACCTCCTTGGCCTTCTCCCTTAGCTCTTTGAACTTCTCGTCGGCGTGGTCGAAGAAGTCTGGGTCGGTCAACAGCGCCTGGAGCGAGTTGCCTGCATCGTTCATAAGGTTCTCAAATTCAGGATCATTCTCACGATGAGACAGCACCTGCTTCAGCTTCCTCTCCAGCTCTTCCCATTCACTCCTGTCGCCAAAAGAGGTGATGAAAGTCCAGAAGTTCTTCAGAGCAATATCAGTCTCTTCGTTTGTCTGGATGTCCTCCGCGGCTGTTTCCACGGTGTCCTTGACCGCACGTGAGTAGACCATAGCATAGCGCTTGATAAGCAACGAGAGTGTCGAGACTGAGTCATTGTAGTCGGGTCGCTTCCTAAGTCGGAGTACTGCTTGCTTCAAGCGATTGATCAGCGTCTCCTTCTCGTCACCCTGAAGCTTCTCGGCCAGGCTATCCTTGGCCGTCTTTGCAACTTCAACCGCTCCATTCCCCACCACCTGAGACGCTTCGGCGACCTGGTTACCAAGATCCTCGCCTGAAGGTTGAAGATTGGAATCAGCACCAGGTTCTTTGAGCGCCTTCTGCTCCTCTTCAGAAGGCTCAAGCTTCTTTCCCGCCTCCTCGGCCACCTTTGACAGTGTGAATGCAGAGTCCTTGAACACCTCACGTGCAACGACATTGACATCCGCAAGGAACAATCGGAAGTCTGAGTTGGTGAGCAGGAGGGAGCCGACGGTCTGCAAACTGCGGTATGCTGTGCATGCATTAGCTGGCGTCTTTAGATCACGGTGTCATTGCTTACCAGCAGCTGTGTCTGCCTTAGCCTTCGCTTTCGTAGCTCGCTGAGCAATGTCGTCCACATCCACTATGATCCTCGACTTGGTCAAGAACCAGATAAAGTCTTGGATCTGGTCCTCGCTGTTCTTGTGCTGCAGCAGCTCGATGAACTTCTGCAGCCATTGCTTCGCATACCTGGCGAGCTGACGGCCAGAATCACTTAGGTCTGGGTTGTCGGGGTTCAGGATGTCTGAGGCGAGGAGGGTGCGGAGGTTGATGATGACTTGCTCGTTGGACGGCATGTACCCCTTGGCCAGGGCCCTTATCATCTGGTAGGTATGCAGCTTCTGATGAAGCTCCCGCTGCATGACCGTGTCATCGCGATACTGGGGCAGCAGAGGCTCGCGGTCGTCCGACCTGGACTTGCGGAATCCGAAGCACGAAGACATTGTGTTTTAGATGGCAGTGAGCGAGCAAGCTAGCGAGCTACTCTACCTATGCACAATGGAATAGCTAAGGGTGTAAAGAAAGTGAGCTCAATTGACCATCCAGGTTGATGGCAACGCTGCTGCTGCTGCCTTGATTTCGAGTTTTCCCCAATGCGGAGCAACTCGAAAGGATTCGCGATGCCGTCGCGCTGACATCACTGCAGTTGGAGGCGGCACCGCAGCCAATGACTGCCGCGTCAAGTCACGTGCCTACTTGGCGTAACGGCCGATCTGCGGGCGCGAAACCGTCGGTCGCGTCGCCATGTGCGCGCCATGGGAAACACCAAGAATGTGGGGGGAAGATGGCCCGGATGGCCAGCAAAGACGCGGGTGTGGCTCCATTGAATCTTCCAGCGCCAGGCGGCTTTGTGTCCGGTCGTGAAGAAGCTCTGGGGATGGCTGAGTACCCGCTCGGCCTTTACTCCACTTGGCCGTGACTGCGCCGCTCCTCTCCCCCAGCCGTGCTCACAAAACAGCAGAAATTCGAGGCACGCGACAGCTCGCCCTCCGACTTTTCCCGACTCACCGAGTCTTTGGAAACAGCTCCCCTGCAGCCACGCCAGGAGTGATTCGTGCGACAGGGGTAGCTGGTTGCCTGAAACGGCATAGCAAGCACCGGATGCCCCTGTCCCGCAGCAGATCTGCCCTGTGAGGCTGCGAACACGCCCGAAACATCCCAGTCCGAAATTTGGGTGAGACTTTTTTCGTCTGCAGTGTGAGCATCAGATGCGCATGAATCAGACTCAACCGCCGGACTTTGGCCCCTCAAGCCACTCATCACAATATCATCAATCTTACTCCGGGGGCTTACTTACCGCATGGGACATCTACGGACCGGCTCTCCTCTCGAACTGTGGAAGCATCCGCTTTTAGACGGACGCCCGTTTCCATAGTGTCCGCTCCCAGTCACAGACCATCTGTAGGCCTGATCCGACCTCTTCTGAGTCCGAGGCCGCAAATACTTAAGTTGCAACAAAGCACATGTCTTCGGTCAAGCACATGATCAGGAAGCTCCCCGCGTATCCTGCCACTCGCCTCAACAGATCTGTCACCATGTCCTCAACCACACTTGCCAGAGAGATCCACATATCCGCTGTAGGAATGGCTCAACCGCAGGCCAACATCAAGCAGCACCACCAGCTGCCCATATCTACAAGACACCTCACCACCACGTGAGTACACCACAACCTCCAATCGACAGCAATGGCTTACAACCTGAGCAGAAGCGGCGACTATGACACCTCAAACCCGCCTGAGGTCCGCAAATACCTAAGAACATATGGCATGGTCCCGCCGGCCGTCGAGAGCCATGAGCAGCAGATGCAAAGATGTAGCAATCCCGCAAGCCTCTTGATCGACCCTATGCTCATGGACCTTAGGCCTCAACATACTCGCATTGAAGTCGTCGAACATTGAGAAGTGGCAGTATCTGACTCAACTCCGCGCGACCAACGTCCACCTGTTCTACCGCCTTCTGGCACAGAACGTCAAGGTGAGCCAATCTAGCATCCAGCAGTTCATAGACCGGTACTGATTGCGCTACAACGCTAGCAAATCACACCCCTAATATACACACCCACCGTCGGCGAGGCCTGCCAGCGATGGTCGGAACTTTATACTCAGCCCGAGGGCCTGTACCTATCCTACTCAGATCGCGGCCACCTGTACTCCATCCTCCAAAACTGGCCCCACAATGTCGACATCACCGTGCTCACGGACGGCTCGAGGATATTAGGTCTTGGCGACCTTGGTGTCGGCGGTATGGGTATTCCTGTTGGCAAGCTAGCGCTGTACACCGCTTGCGCCGGCATCAGGCCAGAGGGCACGCTTCCATTGTGCTTGGACTTGGGGACAAACAACAAGGCGCTCCGCGAGGACCCGCTCTACATGGGCAGCAGGCGGGAGAAGGTCTCGCCTCAGGAGGAGAAGGAGTTCCTGGATGAGCTGATGGCAGCGCTCACCGAGAGGTGGCCGGGGTGAGTGCGCTCAAAATACGTGTCTGAATGTTTCGACTGACTCTTGCTAGCATCGTCATCCAGTTTGAGGACTTCAAGAACCCCTTCCCCGCCCTTGAGCGGTACAAGGACACCTACACCATGTTCAACGATGATGTTCAAGGCACTGGCTCCGTCATCACCGCAGGTATCATCAGCGCTGTCAAGCTTGCGGGCATCCCCGTCAGGGATCACAAGGCCATTTTCCTTGGCGCTGGCAGTGCTGGTGTGGGCGTCGCAAAGCAAATTGTCGAGTTCTTCATCAAAGAGGGGCTCACTGAGGACGAAGCGAGGCGGAAGTTCTGGTTTGTCGATTCGCAAGTAAGTCTGGACTCATCTATGTCCTCTTTCTGTTGTGTCAATCCTAACACACGTCAGGGTCTCGTGACCAACGATCGCGGCGGCAGGCTAGCCGAGCACAAAGTCTACTTCTCCCGCGACGACAACGAAGGCAGGCAAATCACGTCGCTCGAAGAGCTCATCGACTACGTCAAGCCCACCATCCTGATGGGTCTGTCCACCATCGGCGGCGCCTTCAACGCAGAGATTCTACAACGTATGGCACAGCTCAACGACCGCCCCATCATCTTCCCCCTCTCGAACCCCTCCTCCAAGTCCGAGTGCACGTTCGAGGAGGCCGTCAAGCACACCGACGGCCGCTGCCTCTTCGCCTCCGGCTCGCCGTTCCCGACGCTCGAGCACGCCGGCAAGTCCCTGACGCCCGGCCAGGGCAACAACATGTACGTCTTCCCCGGCATCGGGCTTGGCGCCATCCTCTCCAAAGCCGTGTCCGTCACCCAAGACATGATCTACGCCTCTGCCGTCGGTCTGGCCACCTCCCTCAATGAGTCCGAGACCCAGCAAGGTTGGCTCTACCCAGATATCCGCCGCATCCGTGAGGTCAGCGTTAGCGTGACCAGGCATGTCATCCGCGCCGCGCAGGACGGCGGAGTGGATCGCGAGCTCGCGATCAGGCATCTGGACGATGCGCAGCTGGATCAGTACATCAAGGAGCGCATGTACGATCCGTTTAGAGAGGGCGAGAAGATCCAGGATGAGGTTAACCAGCTGTTTGCTACGGTAAGCGGCGGCGCGACCGCGGCGCCGATTGAGCTCGTGAGCGCGAGGGCGTCATGCCATTTGTAGGTTGTTCCTTCCGTCCGCTCACGGACGGAGGGTAAAGGGCAAGGCGGGCACCGGGTTGTTAGTTCTTCCTTTGTCTTCGGTGTTGAAAATTTAGTGGTCATGCTTGGGCGACTGCCGAGGGGCCTTGCTGGTCCAGATTGACTTAAACGGCGCGGCCTGCGGGGATTTGGGTTGGGCTTGGAGGGTTCGATAGAGCGCGGAAAGGCTCTTACCTTTGTTTAGTATACCTATTTGTTGTCTTCTGCCTGTCACTACAGTTGCCGATACCATATAGACTGTGCATATTGCAGCGGTCGCCTTCTTCCAAGTTGGTTCATATGCTCTAGCGTCCAATTCGTCCACGAGCAGTGCAGAGCGTATATACTTGCCGGATGCCTCGTCCATTTCTCGCACCACTCTCGCCCTCGGTGTTGCTTTGTTTCTCTGAATCTCTCAATCAGAATTCCATGTGTCTGCTGCTTCGCGCACTTACACCTTCTCCTTCGCTGTGGCGGCACTCAACTCTAACCTTTTCATCGCTCGCCTCATACCCTCTCTGCTCACCTCTCCATTTCTACCCTCCGCCTCACAGATCTCTCATCGTTCATGTTACTTCTCATCTCCTACTCTCCATGATTCACTTTCATCCCTCACCGGCCGTTACCATCTCCCACTCTCTGCATCCCCTCTCCATCTTCCCCTCCTCCCTTCTCCTCTACTCCCACCTCCTTGCCCAAATCCCTCCCCTCCCACATCCCACCTCCCACCTTCCAAACCCCCAGCCCCCCAGCCCCTACCCGCCCATCCCCAGCCCCACTTTCCACTCCCCAGCCCACGATCCGGCAAATCTGCTACCCCCCACTCCTTAGTCCACGGACTCAAAAGACCCACTACACCCTCACCTCCACCACCACACGCCCTTGTCCCACCTCCTCCCTCTCCTCACCCCCCTTCTCCTTCCCGCACGCAATCGCCCCATCCCACGCATCTCTGACCGCCGCAGCCGAGCCTGCAGCCAGCAAGCCCTGCTGCCACGTAGCCCTGAACAGTTGGTATAACTGCCACGAGGCTTAGGGGGAAGGGGAGGGCGAGCACGGCGGCCGCGCGACTGTGGTGCTGAATCTGCGGGTCGAGATGCGAGGTGCGAAAGGGTGGGTGCGGAAATAGGGGCTTGAGGATGCCAGCACCCTGACCGGCGGCATGGCTCTCACAGCAGAGGAGTCGAGGACGGCTTTTGTGGGGTTGTGGTGGTGGATGATGTCTTGAGCGGCGCGAAGAGGCCGGAGGAGCAAGGACAAGCGGGGGGGAAGGTGGGCTAGTGAAACATGATGGGAGGGAAAGTGGTGGGGAAGTTCGAGAGAGAGGGAGTGGAGAGGAAGGATTGAGTCCACGACCTCCCGTAACTGATGAGATGGAGATGCGGCCAGGGATGGCCAGGTTGCGAAAGAGCGTTTCAGACGAGAAGCGAAGAGTACGTTAGAACTCATATTTTGAAGCCGCTCTTGACGCGCGCTCCTGGAACAAACTTCTCGGCCCAGCAAGCCGCAAACGCATCATGATACCTCCCTCGCTCAAAACCCCCACCATAAGTAAACCCCAATCCAAGGAAACCCAGACGAACGCCCATGCCCCTGCTGGTATCGTAGCCGTGTCCTTTGGTCCTGAAATATATTACAACAAGCCGCCCAACCATCCACCTCACCTGCCCTTAACGTCCCCCCTTGCCGTATACAAGGCGCTTAGAAGCCTTGCTTCCCCGGCGGCGGCCCAGCCGGCGGTTGATACGTCGGCTGCGGATTCTGAAGATTGCTACCCTGCAGTTCAATGCCGCTCTGCTGGCCGCCATATCCCTGGCTCTGGCCGTAGTAACCCTGATTCGACGGGCTGTAGGGCGGCGCGGCGTTGTGCTCGGTGGTTGCGTTGTTGTTGTAGTACGGCTGCGCGTTGTAGGTGCCGGAGGGGTTCGTGCCGGTCGTGCTGCTCGGGTTGTAGGTCACGGGGCCGTGGCGCGCGGCCCAGCCGGTACCGTAGTAGGGATTCTGCCCGGCCTTGCGACGGCGGCGCGCGGTTATGCAGCTGGTGGAGGTGTTAGTGGATGCGACGGAGTGGGGGTGGAGAAGGTGGCCAGCTTACGAGCACAGGATGAAGAGGAGAAGGAAGCCGACGATGAGGACGACTAGGACGACCCAGCGGGCCCAGTCGCTCCAGGCCGACCTGTACTGCTGGCAGTAGCGGCGGCCGTTTTGGTAGTAACAGCTGCGTTGGGCGTCAGTCGCTGTGAGATGATGGCGCGTAAGACATTGGAAGAGGCAAATGGTTACACACCGTATTGCGCGCTTCTCAAGATCGATGTACATGACGAAGGTAGTCTCAGCAGCGGCTGAGGTGAGATGCGCGACGTGCGGTTAAGACGATGAGGAGCTCTGCTTAGAATACGGAGTAGTGAGACGGGTTCAATGCAGGTGTTTAAGGATTCTGCGAGCTGATGCAGGTAAATGTGGGCGGCGGGAGAGGTTGGATGGAGCGATGAGTTGGGGATGACGGCAGCACCTGCTTAAGGGCAAATGGTTGAGTGGCTGTGCTCTGGGCGCTGTCAAGATCTTACTCTAACTCTTAACCCTTGGCTTACGAGGCCCCTTACAGATGCGAACAAGCGCGCCACTTGCGCGCTCACGAGATACGGGCAGGATAGAGCAGCACAGCGGCGAATGCGCTGCGACGACACTCAGCCACTGCTAAGGAGCTTGATCTTCCTTGATGCTGCGCGCTTTCGGGGTCTGTGCCGTCATCATCGCGATTGAGTGTCTTGGCATCTTACTGGGGTTATGGAGCTTGCGCAAGTCAGCCTTAGCGGGCCCTGCAGCTTCGGCCAATCAGGGCATGGATGCGCTGGCAATGCAGACGCAGTCGCACTGTTTTGTAGCCAGCTCACCCCATGCGCAAATTCGCATTCAGACTCATATTCACTGCTTCGTCGCCCAGCCAGAGTTTACCGTTGCAACGACGGTGCTCACAACAATCATGTCGCGCCAGTTCCGTTGGGCTGTTGCGCCCCGAGATTGCCAGAGATGCTGAGGAATGTGTCTAGAAGCAGAGCTACCACTTCAGCGCAGTCCTCACTGTCACCTCACGTCCTGAAGCCGCCAGACATGGGATGAAACAATGCCAAACACTCGATATGCTCGCCGACATCCGCCGAACCCGCCGCTGATACCCAAATGCGCGAGTCGCTGGACCAGCGTCCACCAAACCAACCGTTGCAATTCGTAGCATCGTAGAAGCAGAGGATTAAGGAAAAACAGTTGCGCTGAGCAGGGGAGATGTAGATGGCCATCGCTGGCCGGCAGATGCACTGCCAAAGTCTTCGCGTCACTCGTAATCATAAGGCATACCGGGTAATGCTGACAGCCGTATCAATGTCGTGTAGGCGTAGAACGAATCGTCGAATCGTAGTGAAGGGGCATCTAATCGCTCCAGTCAGCACCCGCACTGGACGAGGGCGGAGCGCAACACAGCACACCTCTAAAATGCGGACCCGGCACTCTACCTGCCCGACCGAGCGATCAACCACTGGAGGACCGCGTCCAGGTTCGTCTCTTCCTTGGCGCTGATGCCGTAGCAGCTCACCTCGCGGTGCGTGACGGCCTTGAGGTTCAGCGCTTCAATCAGCTCGTCGACTGAGAGCTTGTCCGGAAGGTCGGACTTGTTGCCCAGGACCAGCAGAGGAATTCCTTCCAGGGCCGGCTTTTCGAGCAGGATCTGCAGCTCTTCACGCGCCACAGGCAACGCTTCCCTATCGGCCGAGTCCACGATGAATCTAGTCACTAGGTCAGCACGTGTTATCCGCGCGGTTGTTTTTGGCTTACACCATGGCATTCACCCCTCTGCAATAGCGCTCCCACATGGTCCGGAATCTCGGCTGCCCTCCAAGGTCCCAGCTGCACGATGAGGAGCTGTTAGCGACCGGCACAAAGACCATAGGAATCCGAACTCGTCACGACACCATACCCGAGGCACGTGAGATTTAGAAGGATATGCGCCCAGCGTCCGGACGGATACTGCGAAGAGTCCGCTTACCATTTGAGAGTGACGTGGCCTTTCTGGACACGCTTCATGTTGAAGCCGACCGTCGGGATAGAGCTACATCGTTCGATCAGCGTGAGGTTCAATCGCGACAGGCAGCAGCATCCAGCGAGCGACGTCGGGAGCGACAGAGGCACGATCGCACAACGACGAACAACGACGAACAACGTACTCGATAGTGAACTCGCCACCCTGAGACACGGTCAGCATGCTCTTGCGACAGCACATCGATGGCCACTGTGATGATGATGCACGGACGGTTTCCCGATTCGGACAGCACTCACCGCCAGAACTCTCAGCAACGACGTTTTGCCAGCATTTTGCAGGCCGATCATCGTGATGTCCATCTCTGTCGCCCTGCTCGTCCGGACCAAAGTCGTCAGCTTCTCGCATCTCGTTTGCCTGTACCTGCATGCTGCATCAAGCACACATATCGGAAGTAAACACGACGGAGCGCATTCAACCGTGGGACAAGCGACGGCATGAGAGGACAGAGCGTACCAGAACAGGCGCAAGAGCCAATCATAGATGCGCCTGAAGAAGCCGGCCATTGCTAGAGGACTGAGATGGTGCTTCGGAGAGAAGGTTGACGGTTGACAGGAACCAGTCGTTGGTTGAAGCTTTGAAAGACACTTCAGCCCAGGAATCCTTGCTGGCTGGCTCACTGTGCGGGGCGATCCGAGACGGCGTGGGCGTGTATGATAGCGGCTGAGAGATAGGTAGCGTCAGTGAAAGAAAGCAGTCCAGGCGACGACAAATGCTAGCACGAGAGTGATGTGCGAGAAGCAGATGCTTGACGGAGCGGCTCAAGGTCCGCGGCGCAGCATGCAAGTCTCTCGCGCTGCAAGCAGATGATAAGTTCCTTGTGTTGCAGGCGCAGCAGCAGCGCGGACCGAAGTGCAAGGTGCACCGCAGCGGGTCGGTTGTTCCCGCCGCCCGTATCGATAAAGATCCGCCAAGTCTGAGATTTTCTGCCGCCAGCAAAAGCGGTTCCTGATATCGCTGCAGGTCTGGTACCAGCTAGGAACTCACTTGCTTTGGGTGTTGCAAGCGGTATACCCCGGGTGGTGTGGATCTAGCTGAGTTGCCACTCATTCGAAACTCACTCTCAACCGCTGCTTACCACCCTCCACACGCCACTGCAGCCCGACCGCTACGGCCATGGCCCCGTCCAAGACCGACACCAAGTGGTCCGTAGAGTTCGACAATGTGCGCCGGGACAACCTCTTCAAACACCCTCCTAAAGACAGCACCGCATATCCCTCCCTCGTCGCGGCCGTAGACCCACACATCCACTCCTTCAACGCCATAATAGAGAAAAACGGCCTGCTCGAACATGCCCTGAGGGACATAGGCACCAAAGTCTTTCTCGACGGCGACCCCAACGCGAAGCCAGAGGAGCGACCTCGAAGAAACAGGCTCAGCGTCAGGGTGAGCCAGGTTTTCCTGGACAAGTCCCAGTTGCCCCCAACGAACAAGCACAACAACAGCGATAGAAGGATATGGCCGGCCGAATGCAGAGAGCGGCATGTCACGTACAGGGGGAGACTGAGGGTGCGGATGGAGTACAAAGTCAACAACGGGGACTGGAGAGAGCTGGTCAGGGAGCTTGGGCAGGTCCCCTTGATGCTCCGGGTATGTCGCTTTGGCTCCGGCCTCCAAGAGCTCTCAAGCTGACGTGCAGAACGATAGGGTAACCGTTGCCACCTTGAGAACCTGCCGCCTGAGAGGCTTGTGTACGCGAAAGAGGAGTCTGAAGAGCTGGGAGGGTACTTTATCGTCAACGGCATCGAGAAGATCATTCGGATGTTGGTCGTCGGCAGAAGAAACTACGCCATGGCTATCATTCGGCCTTCGTTTGTCAACCGCGGATCGTCCTACACGAAATATGGCGTGCAAGTTCGATCGGTGCGGCCGGACCAGACCTCGCAGACGAATGTATTACACTACCTGAGCGACGGTAATGTGACATTCCGGTTTTCATGGAGGAAGAATGAGTACCTGGTGCCGGTAATGATGATCATGAAGGCCTTAGTAGAGACCAATGACCGGGAAATCTTTGAGGGCTTGGTCGGACCCGCTGGCTCCAAAGGCCTACAAGAAAAGCAGTTCGTTACGGACCGAGTCGAGCTACTACTTCGGACATACAAGGCTTACAACATCCGTGGGCGAGCCAAAACAAGAGCTTACCTTGGAAGCAAGTTCAGAATTGTCTTAGGAGTTCCGGAAGATATGACTGATGAAGATGTCGGTACTGAGTTTCTCAGGAAGATCGTGCTTCCCCATCTTGGAAATTTCAGTGTTGCGGAAAGCCAAGACGCAGACAAGTTCAAGATGCTGCTCTTCATGACACGCAAGCTGTACGCTCTTGTCGAAGGGGAGTGTGCCGCCGACAACATAGATGCGGTATCAAATCAAGAAATTCTACTGGGAGGCTCCCTATATGGCATGATAATAAAAGAAAGAATAGAGGAGTGGATGAACTCGATACGAGTCGCGGCAGCTGATTGGTGCAGTAGCAATAACTGGGCAACGTTTGACTCTGAGAAGTTTAATACAGATTTCATACCCAAAATCCTACGGAAAACGAACGAGAACATTGGCCAGGCCCTGGAGTACTTCATGTCCACGGGTAACCTAGTCAGTCCCAGCGGTCTCGACCTACAACAAACATCCGGCTATACAGTTGTTGCAGAAAAGATTAACTTCTACCGGTTCATCAGTCATTTCCGAATGGTGCACAGAGGTAGCTTCTTCGCGGAGCTCAAGACAACGACCGTTCGAAAGCTGTTACCAGAGAGCTGGGGCTTCCTGTGTCCTGTACATACACCCGACGGCAGCCCTTGTGGGCTGCTGAACCATCTGGCACATAAATGCAAGCTCGCTACACATGCTGTGGACGCGTCCGCGGTGCCCTCACTAGTCGCTCAGCTAGGTGTCAGCAATGCATCAGCGGCTTCACTGGCAGACAGCGTGGTAGTGCAATTAGACGGGAGGATCCTCGGCTTCTGCTCCCCCAAGCAGGCCAAGGTCATTGGAGATACATTACGGTACTGGAAAGTTGAAGGCACTCACAACGTTCCACGCGAGCTCGAGATTGGTTACATCCCCAACTCGAACGGCGGTCAGTATCCTGGTGTGTACATGTTCTCGCAAGCAGCACGTATGTACCGGCCAGTGAAGTACCTTCCGCTAGATAAGGAGGACTTTGTGGGTCCGCTCGAACAACCTTTCATGTCCATTGCCTGCACCGAGCCAGAAGTCGAGTCCGGCGAGTCCACTCACGTCGAGTACGACCCCACCAATATCCTCTCCATTGTCGCCAACCAGACTCCTTTCTCCGACTTCAACCAGTCTCCCCGGAACATGTACCAGTGCCAGATGGGCAAGCAATCCATGGGCACACCGGGCACCGCTCTCCGCTACCGCACCGACAATAAGACCTACCGCCTGCAGACTGGTCAAACTCCCGTTGTACGGCCGCCGCTGCATAATGAGTACGGCCTCGACAACTTCCCCAACGGCATGAACGCTGTCGTGGCCGTTATATCTTACACCGGCTACGACATGGACGACGCTATGATTCTCAACAAGTCCGCCCACGAGCGCGGCTTCGGACACGGCACAATCTACAAGACGAAGAAGATCGACCTGAACGAGAACGGGCGCTCTGCTAGGGGGACGAGGAGCATCAACAAGCTCTTCGGCTTCGCGCCCGGCGGCCTAATCCGCGCACAATGGCGCGACAAGCTCGACGAAGACGGGCTACCCCACGTCGGCCTCATGGTGCAAGAAGGCGACATCATCGCCGCAACGCACAGCGTAACCTATGACGCCTCCAAGAAAGCCTTTATCAACCAAGACGGCGAAACCTCATTCATCCGCTACAAAGACAGCGAGCAAGCCTTCGTGGAAGAAGTGCGCATCATCGGCTCCGAAACGGGCAACGAGCCCTGCCAAACCCTCTCCATCAAGCTGCGGATCCCACGCTCCCCAGTAATCGGCGACAAGTTCTCCTCCCGCCACGGCCAGAAGGGCGTCATGAGCCAGAAGTGGCCCACGGCCGACATGCCCTTCAGCGAGTCCGGGATAGTGCCGGACGTCATCATCAACCCGCACGCCTTCCCCTCGCGCATGACGATCGGCATGTTCGTCGAGTCGCTGGCGGGCAAAGCCGGGGCGCTGCACGGGCTGGCCCAGGACAGCACGCCCTTCCGCTTCAGCGAGCAACACACGGCCGTCGACTTCTTCGGCCACCAGCTCCGCAAGGCGGGCTACAACTACTACGGCAACGAGCCCATGTACAGCGGCATCACGGGCCAGGAGCTGCACGCGGACATCTACATCGGCGTCGTGTATTACCAGCGTCTGCGGCACATGGTCAACGACAAGTACCAAGTCCGCACCACGGGCCCGAACAACGCGCTCACGGGCCAGCCGATCAAGGGCAGGAAGAAGGGCGGCGGCATCCGCGTCGGCGAGATGGAGAGGGATGCGTTGCTCGCGCATGGCACGGCCTTCTTGCTGCAGGATCGGCTTATGAATTGCTCGGATTACGCGCGCGCGTGGCTGTGTAGGGGCTGTGGTGCGTTTTTGGGCACTACGCCCACGGTCAATGAGTATGGAAGAGGCAGGAAGGGTACGGGGGTTACGAGGTGTAGGAGGTGTGCGAAGAGGGCGCAGGGCTGGGAGCCGAAGAGTGAGGTCTGGGAGGATGGATCGGGGATTAGATGGGTGGGAGGCGAGGATGTGGCGGTCGTGGCGGTGCCGGGCGTGTTGAGGTTTTTGGATGTTGAGCTGGCGGCTATGGGCGTCAAGATGAGGTTTAAGGTCGAGCCGTAAGTTTGAAGGACCGTCGAAATCGGTGGATAGCAGTGCACGCGTTTCCTGTGTCCGGCTTTGGACGTGTTTATGTTGTGTGTTGCTGGTTACATTTTATGGCGCAGATAGGCGGGTGATTTTAGATGTAGAAAGACCCTGTTGGGCTAAATCCGGGCGTTCTTTTGTTTGTACATCTGTAGCTGCTGCAAGAGTGGACTCCCTCCGGTGTTGGCAGAGTCCAAATTCCGCTTCCTCATGAGGCCGGCTGAAGCAAGCTTTCTTCTGAATGTTCCTCTTCATTCGATTCCTAAAGTAGATGTCTGTCCGCGTCGGCCTTTCGGCTTGACTTCATCTGAAGAGACTCTTTACGTCATCGCGAATGGCTGTTTAGTTACCCGCCTACTTCGGAGCGAGTCTTACGCTCTGCGATGACCTCTACTTCCACCTGATACCCAGCCGTACCCCTCTCTTTCTTCTTTCCGACCTTCTCTATGCTCTCGGCAGCGTCCTGAACTACCTCAAGCCATGCAGGCTAACGCCGGAGGTCAGCTTGATTCTAGTGCAGCAACGTACAACTCTCCATTTGAGGAAGCCAAGCGGTGAAGAGGTAGTAAAGTCAAGGACTACAAGCACTTACCAGAGCTTCTGAGTATCGTTCCCAAGCATTTTGACACATCCACAACTTCAGCTCCATCTTGTCACCGCGACAATCCGCTCTCGTGAGCAATCTCTGTTCTTTATAAGTACCGGCAGGATACAGTGCCCCAATAACCGCGCCTACACGCCCAAGGTACTTGCACCACCAGCCATTAGCCGGCGTGATCAGCTGAGCCAGACGCTCATACAAGTCCTGGTCCGTTGCGCTGAGTGCCTTGGTTCCGCCAAAGCGCTCGCACAGTATTAAAGAGAGAAGTGCTCGATCAGCGTGGGAAACACCGTGTGCGCCGGCGAGGACGCCCGAGATGGTCGAGTGCAGCGCGCTGGCGGCGCGAAGGTCCTTCGGCAGGGCGGAGTAGACGTTGAGCATCTGGACAAAAGCTTGCAGGATGGGTTTTGCAGGCACAGCTGGGTCGAAACGCCATGGCTCTAGGGGCATAGAGTTCAGCAAGAGGTCGAGTAATTCGTTATAATGTTGCGGAGCGTTTGCAGCCGTGGCTGCAACGAGCGGATGCTGCCCTCTTGCCTCCGGTGATAGCTTGTCGAAAAGCCAGCCTTCGCGTACGCCGCCTTGACTGAAGTAGACGCTGCTGATGCTCGGGAAGGCTTCGGCAAAGCAGGATATGAGGAAAGCCACGGCGGGGACCTGCGCGGCTCTCCGCTTAGACACGCGGAAGACCTTGGCATCTGACGCGGCCTTCTCTAAGTTACTCTGGATCGAGACGCTGGATTGAAAGGTCTGAGTGTTTACATGGAAGCCGTTGATCAGCGGTATAGGATAGGGTTGGATGGCGTGTTGCTCCATGAGTAGGAAGCCCCAGCCCCTGAACCCGCCGCCCGAGACGTAGAGGGAGGGTCCGGCTTCGTTTTCGCCAGCAATGGGCACATCCAGGCGGGTTAGAGCATCTTTCAGGTCTTTGCAGATGCGTCGCCTAAGATCGTCCCGCGCTTGGTCTGTTGATGCTCCGCTTAGGAGGTGAGTCAGCGCGGCAGCGCCGTAAGGCAAGCTTATGGGACTTGGCTCTCGCAGCACAACATCTGTATTGTCAGCTGCAAGCCTGGCGAGCTGGACACTGCCGCCACCGAGGTCCATAGTCAGTCCTCGAGGCTCGGAGAAACTGCTGGCTATGCCCATTGCGCCAAAGCGGCCTTCGACCTCTTTTGACAGCAGATCCACGCGCAGACCTGTAGCATCATGTATGCGGTGGAGAAATGTCTCCGAATTGGCAGCTACGCGGGTTGCCTCAGTGGCCAGGATATAGATGTTCTGAGGAGGCGTCCCAAACTCTTCGCACGTAGTCTGGAAGCGTTGAGTAGCAGCCACCACTCTGCCTATCACCTCATCAGGGATAGGAACACGACCTTCCGAGGCCTTCTCGTGCTGAACTTCGTAGAGTGATACATCCATACGATCTAGGTAGACTGTAGGAAGCATCCGGGCCGTCTGAGGTGAGAGGTCTGTGATGGAAAAGCGAATGCCATTGCTGGGAGTAATCAGCCTTGAGGCGAGACCGGCCTGCCATTATGCGCATTTCATCTACACTTCATTTTCTCTGAAGAATATAGCCATGCTTTCCAAGCTCTTGGTCGATGTCTCATTGCCCTCTATACATCACGAGAAGGACTTCGAGGTGAAGAGATGTCGAACCGAGAACATACCTACCCATATCAACCAGTGCATAGTACTTCTGCGTATTTAGAGATGCCATACTGGTAGAAGGCGCGACCCAAAGCTTATAGACTTGACGCCTGCAGGCGATGTTTCGAAACTCAAGTAGGTTGAAAGGATTAGATCAGACCCAGGGTATTTTATCTGAGGTTTTTGAATGGGATATCTTCCCGTTTCGGCGAATGTGATTACTTCGATCTAGGAATTGATAGGTAGATTTGCCCAATCTGGAGGGTGAGAAAGCTTAGGGTCCTGAATGATTACTGTGAAGGTGAGATGTGTGTAGAATAAGTAAACCAGTGAAGAATTAGGACGTGCCAAGCGGATACAGAAAATACGCGGAAAGCCCCGCCGAGGGGCAGAGTCAGCCCTATGAAGAACCTCCTGCGCCGATGACGTCTTGTTTGAGATTCGACTCAATCTCATCCTCGAGTTTCGGCGAACAAGTACCCACCACCCGCGAACTACCCGACAAGATGAAGCAGAGATTCTCGTCTCTCGATGTCAAGGCAAGTCTCCCTACGCATGCACAGGCCGGAATCTGATCTAACTCCTCACAGGTCATCGCTCATGAACTCTCGAATAGTCTCACCTCCTTACGTGTTACCAACATCTACGACCTCTCTTCCGTATGTCAACAACTCCCCCGGGGTGTGCCACGGCATAATCATCTAACCGGATAACCAGCGCATCTTCCTCATCAAATTTCACAAGCCCGATCATCGCGAACAACTCCTCATCGACAGCGGCTTCAGATGCCACCTGACCCGCTTCGCGCGCAGCACCGCCGCCGCTCCCTCCCCCTTCGTGACGCGCCTCCGTAAGTACCTCAAGACCCGGCGCGTAACCTCCATTGCGCAAGTCGGGACCGACCGCATAATCGAGTTCCAGTTCAGCGACGGGCTATATAGGCTCTTTCTCGAGTTTTATGCCGCCGGCAACCTTGTTCTCACAGATCGGGACCTGAACATCATCGCGTTGTTCCGGGAAGTGAGCGAGGGCGCGGAACATGAGCGGCAGAGGGTGGGGCTGCAGTACAATCTCACCTTGCGGCAGAACTATGGAGGCGTGCCGCCGCTGACGAAGGAGCGGGTGATTGAGGGGTTGCAGAAGGCGAGCGCGAAGCAACAGGATGCTGCGGCTGGTAAAAAGAAAACAAAGGCGGGTGACGCGTTGAGGAAGGCGCTGGCAGTCTCGATCATGGAGTTCCCGCCTATGCTCGTTGACCACGCGCTCAGAGTTGTGGACTTTGATACTACTCTCAAGCCGGAGCAGGTGCTTCAAGAAGACCTGCTGTTGGACAAGCTGATGCTGGCGCTTGAGGAAGCGAGGAGGGTAATTGAGGAGATCACGGGCGCGGAAACGGCGAAAGGGTATATAATAGCGAAGCAGAAGCAGCCGTCAACAGGAACTAAAGGTGGTGATGGCGAGAGTGCCGATGGTTCATCCAGGGAGAATCTAATATACGATGACTTCCACCCATTCCGACCAAAGCAGTTCGAAGACGACCGTTCGAACAAGTTCCTAGAGTTTGAGGGGTTCAACAAGACCGTAGACGAGTTCTACTCGTCGATAGAGGGCCAGAAGCTAGAATCAAAACTGCAGGAACGTGAGGACGCTGCAAAGAAGAAACTCGCACAGGCAAGACAGGATCACGAGAAGCGCCTAGGAGGCTTACAGCAAGTTCAAGAGCTGAACGTGCGGAAGGCCCAGGCTATCGAAGCGAATCTAGACCGCGTCGAAGAGGCAAAAGCTGCGATCAACGGCCTAATTGAGAAGGGTATGGATTGGGTGGATGTAGCGCGCTTGATCGAAAACGAGCAGAAGAGGCGGAACCCCGTTGCTGAGATGATTAAACTGCCGCTGAAGCTGTATGAGAACACTGCGACGTTGCTGCTCCCCGAATTCGATTTTGCGGAAGAGGAAGATTTCGAAGGCGAAGAGACGGAGAGCGAGAACGGGGAGAGCGAGGAGGAACTGGAGGACTCGAAGCGGAAGAACAAGCAGACCTCACAGCCAGTTGACAAGCGCTTGACAGTGGATATCGACCTTGGGCTGTCAGCGTATGCGAATGCCCGACAGTACTACGATCAGAAGAGGGTAGCTGCGGTAAAGGAAGAGAAGACGATGGCGGCCTCCTCCAAGGCGTTGAAGAGCACAGAGAAGAAGATTGAGGCAGACTTAAAGAAAGGGTTGAAGCAAGAGAAGGATGTTCTACGACCAGTAAGAAAGGCGTGGTGGTTTGAGAAGTTCAACTATTTCGTCTCTTCGGATGGGTACCTAGTCCTGGGTGGAAAGGACGCGCAGCAGGACGACATCCTCTACAATCGGTATCTCAAGAAAGGCGATGTGTATGTTCATGCAGACTTGCAAGGAGCAGCCCACATGGTCATCAAAAACAAGCCTTCCACACCGGACGCACCAATACCCCCTTCTACCCTATCGCAAGCAGGCAGCTACTCGATCTGCACATCGACAGCATGGGAATCGAAAGCAGTAATGTCCGCCTGGTGGATTAACTCTGACCAAGTTTCCAAAACTGCATCAAACGGTGACTACTTACCTGCTGGAGAGTTCAGAGTCTCAGGGACCAAGAATTACTTGCCGCCAGCTCAGCTTCTGCTCGGGTTCGCAGTCATCTTTGAAATCAGCGAGGAGAGTAAGCCCAGGCATTCGAAACATAGGCTCCAGGATAGGACGGTTGCAGAGGATGTTCACAGCGCCTCCGTGGCCGTCGCTGATGATGGTCCAACGGAGGTGGATGCTGCGCAAGAGCCGCAAACTGCAGAAAGCGACAGCGACAGCGACGAGGACTTCCCAGACGCAAAGCTTGAGACGGATTCAGACGATAGTGAGGATGAAGAGGACAGCTCAAAGGCACGCAGCAACCCTCTCCAGTCCGATAGCACTCCAGCCACCCAGCCGGAACAAGATGCCAAGCCAGACGAGAGCGATGCCGAAGACCTTCATGATGAAGACGACGAGCGCGCAGAAAATGCCATGAGCTCCGCAGCAGCTACTATCTCGTTCAAGGGCGGACACCGTCACCTCTCAGCCGCCGAACGCCGCCGCCTTCGTAACCCCAACTCCTCCACGCCAACAACGCAGCCCACAACAGACAACGAAGCCGACACGGACAACGCCACTGGAGCCGATGATATGGTCACTCAAGCGAGCTCAACAGGCGGCGCTCCCACCACCGCCAAAGCGGGACCCTTGCCACGTGGCAAACGCGGCAAAGCAAAAAAGCTCGCAACAAAATACGCTGACCAAGACGAGGAAGACCGCGCACTCGCGCTCCGCCTCCTCGGTTCCAAGCCCTCCACCGGCGAAGACCCAGCCGTAGCGCTATCCGGCGCCGACAAGCAAAAGCTCAAAGAAGAGGAACTCGCAGCCCAGAAGCAGCGGTGCCGCGAACAGCACCAGCGCACCCAAGCCGCCGGTAAAGCCGCCGAAGAAGCCCGCCGCGCCGCACTCTCAAACCAGGACCACGAGGCCGACGAAGGCGAAGACGAAGCCGTCAGGCTCTCACTAGTGAACCTAGACGCGTTGGTCGGGCGCTCACTGCCAGGCGACGAGATCCTCTCCGCCATCCCCGTCTGCGCGCCGTGGTCGGCGTTGTCGAACTATAAGTACAAAGTCAAGCTGCAGCCGGGCGCGGCGAAGAAGGGCAAGGCGGTCAAGGAGATTCTGGGGCGGTGGGACGCGGCTGGGAAGGATCCGAAGATCGTGGACAAGGCGAGTCAGGATCCGGAGAGGATTTGGCCGAGGGAGGTGGAACTTATTAGGGGATGGAGGGATGCGGAAGTGTTTGGGGTTGTGCCTGTGGGGAAGGTGAGGGTTGTGCTGAGTGGTGGGGGCGGTGGGGGCGGCGGAGGGAAGGATAAGGGTGGGGGGAAGGGGAAGAAGCCTGCTGCCCGAGGGGGGAGGGGCAGTAAGAGGTCAAGATAGACTGTAAGAAAATTCAGACTCAGATAACCACCACCATCTGCGGCAAAAAACCATGTCGGTTAGAACATCTTCCACAATGCCAGCCTACGTAAGGTAGTCCGCGCTGTCTGTGCGGATTATGAGTCCGAGTGAAATCACGTGCGGCATCTATCGTGCTTTTCCTACGCCTGCCATCTAACGCCTCGAACGCCATGCTCAATCCATGCTCATACAAACCTTACAGGCCCTGCCGTAACCGGTTCTGAGCCTCTCTTTTGACCACATCCCATGCGTTGAGGAGACCCTGTTCGGAAAGGTCGATGCCTCGTACAGTCGTGATGTCCTGTGCAGGCGGCTTGCTGACTCGCGAGTTTATAATCACCGGGTCAGTCTCCAGGATAATGCCGTCGTCACAGATTCTGTTGTGAAGTGAGTACATTATGTGGCTTTATTAAGGTGGTGTGGACTCACTCGTCTATCGCAAGGGAGACGAGATCGTAGTTCTCGATGATGGTCCGCTTATCGACAGAGTTTCTGGGGGGCGTTAGAACCGCAAGGAGACAGAGCCAAGAGGAGCATACTTGAGGAGGATATTTAGCGCGTCCCTCAACGCTAGACACACATCTAGAGCTAGCTTAGCATCGACCTTCGACGGCTCCGAGTGGAGCGCCCCTTACTGTAGAGCAATATCTCGTTCTCTTCCGCGCTTCCGATCACAAACATTTGGATGTCTGATTCCGTCTTGAACAGCACGATCCGATTGTCATACAGAATGATGTCTTGGGTTGACTTGGCGGTCTTCTCTAGCAGACCTTTCTCGAAGGCCTTCTGGTCTTTTAAGGTGGGGTACGGATTGGCTCCTGGATAACTGGTCGAGTGCGCGGGCGTAGTAGGCGGGTGCGGAGGCGAATAGCTTTGAAGAAGGTCAGCTTTGGTCGGGTAGACGGATCTCGGGCTTGGAATCATAGGGCTACTGACTATCTGGCAAGAATGCGGGATGAATCGTCGGTGGACATGATCAGGATCGCCTGGACGGCAAAAAGAGAAAGCGACGCCATGATTGTTGTTGGACCGGTCCGGTAGCTGCGCTTTACGAGTTCAGGTGGAAGATTAGGCGCCTAGCACAGCTATGGTAGATGTGCGGAAGTTGAGGGGCGTTGTCCACGAAGCTTAGGGTTCGCGGACCAGATCGAAGTTTGAATCCGAGTGAGTTTGCCAATATTCGGCCTCGTTTGATCGGTTGCTATTTCGGGTTCCTAAGAGTTCACATCAATTGCTTGCTTGCTTGCTGTTATGTCCACCCTTGTAATCCGATATTCGGCTGTATGTTTCCCCGATGCTGCGGACCTTATTCTGAGCCGCATCACCTCCGAGAGAGCGTTGATACAATAGGAGCATGTCCGGTACACGCTCTATCGCATCACTCGTTTGCCCGTCAGCACCCTTCCTACTTCCGCTCCGAACACGCTTCGCTTTTCAGCGAGCTCAAAGCCGACTGCCGGCACTATGCGCCGCCAGCTACCATGCAGCTCATGGCAAAGCTCGGCCGTCCAGGTTTCTTGGGCGGAACAAGAGAGAAAGCCCTCGTCCTTCTACCGATAGACATAGCCGCACGGAGGTAGAACAAGATGTGAGTAGTCTCCTCTTACCGTGGGAGCAGCAGGTATCTAATTATTTTCACAGGCAATCGTCCGCTTTCGAACACTCGTCACCTCCGGCCAGCTTGACGCCGTGATGAAGCTCTACCCACGGATGCTGGAGGGCTCTCTACTGAACCAAAACGACACGATGCACATCGCGCAGATGCTGCATACGCTCTACCGACGGACAGGGCCAGCACAGAAGAAAGCGCTGCTGCCGGTTTTGCTGGAGTTTGCCGAGAAGCTTATCCAGGATCTTAAGATGAGGCATCTGACGCCTCATACAGCTGCAAGCTTGCACCTCATATCTTTCTTCAAGGAGGCCCAGCAGTATGACAAAGGATCCGAGTTCTGGAAGTGGCTCTCTCGGCAAACGGATGAGTTTGTCGATGCTGAGGTTTACGGAGCGGCGATCGAGCTGTTAGCATATCAGGGCGCTGAAAGCTTGGAAGCCTTGGAAGAGCTGTACTCTCACGCACTGAAGCGATACCCGGGAAACTTCGCGGAGTATCACCTTTCGCCGGAAGCTATAGTCCCGGACCGGGCACAGCCGACCACCATCAAGGGCTTGCCGATGTCTTTACTCCAGGGAATTCTCACAGCTCGCATCCTACGTGGAGACTGGAGGAGGGCCTATCTAGCGCTAGACACCGCGCTCCGTCTATTCCCAACTCAAGTGCCGGGGCGCTTTTTCGAGCTTTTGATGTACGAACGTCCAGTCACAGAATGCTACAAGGTGTTCCTCATTGCATGCCGCTCAGGAGTGATTCTGCGACCTGAGAGGCTAGGTGCCGTTCTAGACAAGCTCGTATCTGCTCAGCAGGATAAGGGTACTAAGCTCGCCCTTTCGGACAGAGTAACCCTGCTAAATGGCATGATCAACGCCGTCCATGCGTATGTTGGCGCCGGCGGGACGGTAGAAGGACCTCATCTCAGCATGCTTGTGAGAGGCTTCGCTGGCTTACTTCCAGAACGGAAGCTACGGGTGGAGAACGATCCGGTGAGTGAGGTGGCCCAGTCGATCGCTGCTGCTGCGCGTACTTTACTCAGAACCTTCATGCAAGCCGGCACTGTTCCAAGCACATCAACGTTCAACAGCTTGATCCTCCTTGCAGGTCGGGCGAATCTTCCGGAGATGATCGCAGCCACAACTCAGGATATGATTGCGCTTGGCATAGAGCCGGATGCTGTGACGTATAGGACCATGGTTCTTGCCGCTGGAGACGTCGGAACACCTCAACTGGTAGAGTCGAGCTGGCAGACGCTCGTCAATGCGGCTGAAGGACGGTCTGAGAATCTTGACATAAAAGATTGGCAAGCCTTAGTCAAAGCAGGACAGAGAGCGAAACACATCACTTTCGTGCAGGAGCAACTGGATAAGCTAGGACGTGGTATGAATCCGCATGTCATCGGCCGTCTCATGAATGACCGTCGCGATGCCGGTTCCAAGAATTCCGCCGCAGTGGACACCGACAGCATGGACCCAGAGTCCTTAGTGTTCCACATGCAGCAGGTCATGAGCCGCATCTCGTCCATCATCCAGCTCATCCAGTCCGGTCGGCTACAAGACTTCTTCGAATCTCCGCTACCTATGTCCTTATCGCAAGCCGATGTGCAATTAGGTCCCGAGGAGATTCTAAGAAAAGTATACGATGAGCTTTCCACGGACCCGCAACAGCCTCCTGCACCTAGATCTGGTCCACCGTCTACCAATCCGACTGGCTTTCCGCTCGATGAGCTTCGCTTTGAAAACTGGAAGTCGATTAACGAGTTGCTTCTGGAAGCGGAAACGTACGAGAACGAGAAGCAGAAGGCTGTTGACAACGCTATTGCTAGCGGCAAGCCGATGCCAAAGAAGATTGCGGTGTCGAGCTTCCCAAGCGTTGGCTCAGCGGAGGTAACTGAGAACGAACAGCGCAAGGCTCCGGACGTCACACCTTCAGAAGTGAAGCAACGAGTACTCAGGCTGCGCGGGCTTGACAAGCCACGGCAGCTCCACTTCGATACTTAGCACTTTTGGTAACGTTTAATTATTGTATTGTACGACTTCACCAATCGCAGCTTGGGCGAGCTTCTTGTAGCCCGGGGCAAGGAGGAGAAGGGAATATACAAAACCGGTATATGTATGAGCGTACCGCGCGCTAGCCATCTGCTACCAATATGTATAAGAACTGCAACTGTACAAATATACCACTTTTCCAGGTCGGAGAATCCATCTCAGTGTTGAGATCAGGTATCATGCCGAAGACGAGGCCGACCACGTTTCACCAAACACCGACGCTGAGAAGTATACACCAAAAACATCACTGTGCTCGGCCCCATTTCCGCGCCCACGAAGAAATGAAAGTGAAGCAAAAAAACAGAACACCAACGCCTCGCGCCTCTTTCCACGCTCCTTATGCTCCGATAGTGGGCCTGTAACTCGAGCTTCTCACGCTCCAATGAGGCGCCTCTCGCTGCTCGAAGTAGTCGACATGATGGTAGCCTTCAGTCGGCGAGGGCGGGGGTGCTGGCGTTTCTTGCACGTTGTACGATGCGTGTCGTGATGCTGATGAGGTGAGGGCTGCAGAGACGTCCTGGAAGCTGTTTGAGGTGTACAGCGAGAGGCGCGCTGGCCGAGCCATTGATGATTGAGGCATGTTTGTTGTTACGGAGTCGCTTGCCGATCTGTTGACTGAGAGGCGGGTAGATGGAAGAGGTGATGGTGTGGAAATTGTGCTGGTCGGCTGCATGTGCGAGGGTTTGCTGCTTGACGCTGTTTCAAGATATGTCAGATCATCGGCGTATGGAAGCACCGTATTATGGATGTAGCTTACAGATGATCTGATGTCGCCTAAGGAAATGTTTCGAGGACAACAGCGTATGGAAAAGTGGCCAATATCAGGTCAGGTCAGATCGCACAGTGGAGGGAGAAAGCTTTTGTAAACAGCTTGATACGAGGCAGCAGTCCAAACTTAAATATTTGTCCACTACAGGATTACAGCACACCGCAAGAATGACTCGCATAGGGACCGCAAACCTAGGCAATCCGGGGACATGCCTTCCCGGCGCCTCGAAGCCAATCAAGCCGCGCGCGCCGCCTTCCATGACTCTCGTCCTATGCCATCTTCAGACCGGAAGGCGGATCAGTGCGGCCCAGTCCGTGTGAGACGATGGCCAGCGGCTTTCTGGGACATCCTTCCGGCGCCGTCCGGCGAAGCTTTGAGCGATCTGTCACATCCGCATCAGCTTGATTCAAGGTTCAAGAGCTCAGCAAAATTGCTCGACTAGCTGTCGCACCCAGGGGAATAAGACAAGGCCGGCTGTGTGAGTAGGGTTTCCCCACAGTCTGACGAAGCATCACACCGCAGCAAACAAGGTCAAGCTTGCGACGTGGTGACGACACCATTCGTCGCGGATTACTATAAGTACGAAGCAATATTTCACATCCTCGTCGTCACGGAGAGGGATGCGAAGTACCGGTACCAATCGTCACCGTAGCCCTCTAGTGAGTCCAAACCGGGGTTTGAGGTTTCATCGTCTTGGCCGGGGATGTGTGGAAGCGGTGCCCCGGTCCCCCCAGACCGCCTTATGCAAGGCTTGAAGCTTGAAGCCTCCGGGCTGCACTTCCCCACGCGAGAAGCCACGATGCTCCAGCGGGCTTGCAAAGGCTGGACTGGACCAAGGACCTGGGTCCGGGGGGAAGTGGTGATAGCGTCTTGGCTGTCGCGCTAGTCGCTGTGATCTCCCACGATACGTGGCTGAGGAGGAAGTCGCTCCGAGTGCTGGATAGCTGAAGAATTGCCTGCTCTCCAAGCCTGTTCAGAGCCGATACGTTCAGCGCTCTCGTAAATGCGGAAGCTCGATCGAAGAGCTCTTGCTCGGCCAGCGTCGGCTGTCCGTAAAACCTCCCCCTGATCGAAGCCATTATTCGAGATGTCTCAGCCGTTGGCAAGCCATCTCGACTAGCCCCGCCGCTCACAAACCTAAAGTGTGCACGAACCTCGATTCGACGGCCGAGGCATCTTCGAAATTACGTCCAACTCCTTCCATGCTGGGATGGGTTGGGCACCGAGACTCAGCATCGCTGACAGCGCTGTCATCGCGTTGTTTGAGTAAGAGGACTGCATAAGGGGTCTTCTCGGAAAGGACTTCGGTACTCGTGGGTGCGTGGGGACAGTCAAGACTCTGGTTAAAGCATGCCCCTTTAAGCTTTGCAAGCGCAATTGCTTGGTATGTCGCTTTCGAACTTCTCTCGCTTGCGTACGCGGCTTCACAGCTGTCGTTGCCGAGCAATCCGGATGATTGCGAGGCAGGGACATGAGCGGGCACAAGCGACTTAGTGCCGTCAGCATGAGTTTGGAGTTGCGGCTTCCAAGAAGAAATGACATGAAAAGATATTGGATGACGTCAAGGGGAGCTTCCCCGAGCATTCAAGTTTCATGGCTTCAGCCGTCTCCAAATCTCCCTTTTGGTACGTAATCGAAGTTTTGATGGTACGGACCCCGCGGTTGGGGCACGCCATATATCTAAAACAGGCCAGCTCCAGGAATCGTAGAAGACAACATCCCTCCCCGTCGCTCTCTCAGCTCGCGGCTGTGTTGCTTCAGACCTCATAATCCGGTCTTCATGCATGAACGGCCTGACGTCCAAGACTTCAACGAAGCCAGCACCTGGACGTCGAGACCACTTGTTGAGCTCGACTAGGGAAGCGTCCTCCAAGATGCTGCAAGCAACTTCGTATCTCCTGCAATATGTCGAGTTGGCCAGCAATCTCCGGAGACGTGCGTTGAAGGATCCTCCACGGGACCGAGACATAGGCTGAGAGTTTTATCAATGAGTTCCGATATGTCGTTGAGACGTTCAGCTCAGTCGACGCGTGTGCTGCTCGCCGCCAGCTGAAATACAATATGCCTTTGTCGTAGAGGCGGTTTCCGCTCAACAGTCGTCTCACGGACTCCGTCATTCCTGGGCGTAGTGACATTGGAGCCTCCATGAGATTGATGTTAAAACTGCCTCGGAGGATCTGGACAGCGAAACTGCTCTGCAAGTCTAATTGCTAGTAAGCATTGCCAATGGTACAGATTTCTTGTAGACTTTGCTTCTCTGTCGGCAAGCCATTCGTTTGGATCTCGAAGCCAATTCCACCCAATATTGAAGCAGATATACACTCAGTTTGCACTGCCGTACCATTCACGCGAGGTGACGTTCTGCCGGCGACGTATTTCTCTGACCGTCTCTAGGTCGAAGGTTGGTTTCAACGCGCTGCGTTGGTATTGTCACAATGACTACATCTCCGTCACGGTTCACTACCTGTTACTCCAGCGTTGAAGCGTGTGTTATCAACACAGTCAAGCCGATGTCCAGCTGGCCGTGGCCACGTCGTTGTTGCCGCAGCACTTGCGGTCAGCAAACCACATGGAAGGTCATACTTAAGCCGACCGTCAGCGCTGCGAGCGCATTCACTCAACACTGCCGAAGGGATGACTGTCTTCCCTCCAGTGGCCATACAAAATAAGGTCACGCAGACCGCCTCGAATGACACATGGAGAGCAGGTGAAGAAGTTGCAACAGTTGTCAGCCAAGATGTTGGCCACCGCCTGGTGCGGGCCTCGCAGGCTATATACTCCCCCTTCTTGACGCATATACTCGCACCTCTTCCTTTCTGCCATAACTCAAACGGATTCCTTTCTGCGCCTACCGCTCTCGAGCCCTCAAAGTAACAGTCCTGGACACTTAGTCCTGCTCCAGAATCCCTTGCCAACAGCACCATTTAGATCGACATTTATCTCACGATGTGCAATCCAGTCCTCGCCACGTTCTCTGCTTGTGGGCATTCGGAACGCCTCCAACAGATTCAACAATGCGAAGCGGCGACTGCCACAGAAGATCCAAACTCCCGTTGCGAGCAACTGGGCCCGGCCGTAAGGCGTAACATTCCTACCAGTTGCGCCGCTTGCAGGGCTGGAGCTGCTCCAAGTGGAGGCTCTCAAGGCCTGGGCTTTCATCATCAAGCCTCGGCCAACTCGCCTCGGCAGCCGGCCAACGACCCTCAATCTATAAGCGACGATGCGTACTCCTCGGACGCAGAATCAGACCGTGCTCAAGTAGGCATGCAATACTCTTCCGACGGTGAACAGTCTTACGGGTCAGGAGGAGTCGACGACGAAGCGGGCGACGCAGACGCAGACACAGACCCCCATCTTGAACGCATTCTGGAAGAGTCAAGGCGGGACGCCGAGGAAACCTTTCGCCTGCACCAAGAGTACGAAAACCAGTACAAAACAGCCTTGGAGCTCTCCGCGCAGACCCAGCGGGAGAGAGATGCTCAGGAGGCCGCGAGGCCAAAGCTGTACTACCAGTTCATCACCCGTTACGCGTGTAGTCATGAGGTCAACCGCGGGTACGGCGAAGAGCCTATCGAGCGGACAGCAGACGATGAGGAGTGGCTCATCGATGACGACTACCGCCGCGACTGCCCTGACTGCACAGGAGCTGGCAGCCGTGGTAGCCCCGCCTCACAGAAGACTCGTAACCGACAAGCACTGCAGCCTCCTCTTGTCTTGGGGCCTCGCCAAACTGACACGAACCCTTTTGGTCCCGCACCGCCAGCTGAGGAATATCAGCACCAGGACCCGAACCCGCGTGTTAAAGGCAAACAGCGTGCTCGTGCCCAGCCGCCGCTAATGGAAGAGGCCGCGGGTTATCAAGACGTCATCGATCTCGAAGGCGGCGTTGGAGCCATGAGCTTCCCTGGACCCGCGGCTCCCGCTCCGCCGCGTCGTGGTAATCTGGCTGGACAGAGTGCTGCAGCTCAAGCGCAGCAGCAACAAGGGCAACGTAGGCGTCGCCCTGAAGGGTCGGGCACTATCCCGCAAGCGCCGCCTCCGGATTACGGGACTTGAGTTGATCGGAGATGATGTAGGCTGATGTTGGGGCGAGTGAGCCCGGTAGTTGGTACCGATTTGTTTTATCATGATGAGTGCAAATTGGACTCTGACTGAAGCGGGAGATACCGGATGCCGGAACTAGTGTTGATACCGATCACCAAGAAGATTACAGGATATTGGGTGGGTTGCGGTTCGATGGAGCATGTACAGATATCACGAACCCCTGGGAGATCGGTGGTGTTGCTGCGATTGACTTCCCGTTTCATGTACCAATAACTACTTGAATATCAATATTGCTCTTAACTCTCGAAGATTTTGCTACCGTGAGTTCGTTCGTTCGTTCGTGGGCTTTTCCATACGTGCGAACAGAGCTCTGATCTTTTGGAGCCTTTTGCAACCGCGCTGTGATAAAACCCCATGCACATGTGGCATGTGGCGCCAATACATGTGGAAGTGAAGTTGAGGTACGGGAGAAGAGAAACAGTACCCGATGGAAGAACCTGCTCTAGCGATCCAGCGCCCAAGCTGGAACACGGCGTACGCTGTGAGTAGGCTGGGGAACAGGAAGGGGACCGGGCACTGTATTGAATCTTGGTAGTAAAGTACGCCCGCCTTGGAACAACTCCACAGCATTCACATGATAGCAACGCGTGGAGCCGTTGATCTACGGGTCCCCACGTAGAGGAGCTATGAACCGCTCGATTTGAAGTAGTGTGCTGAGTTATGGTATGTGGCGGCAAGGATACATGAAGAGATTGCAGATCAAAGGGACGCAGTAATCGTTTGCGCGAAGCGGACTACAAGGTTCATGCGAGTGCTTGTTACGCCTTGATCGTGCGACAATCCATTGAGTGTTGGGAACTGCCTGCGTAACAACTGGGTTGGACACTTGCATCATAAAAGAAGCTCGCTCTTACAACGCTGCAATGGGCGGCGGTGTCAGGCTTGACCTACGTTGCTGGCGATGTCGTGGGTTCTGAGGGCTCTCATGACGAAAACAATTGAAAGCGCAAGTCCAGCTCCTGCCAGCTAATACCGTACGAGCCCCAGTGGCCGACGAAAGAGGAAGCAACGCTGCTTGTCCGCTTGTTTACCACAACGGGCCTCTTCTCCTTATTGTCGCATTCAGCAGAATTTGTCTGAGCCAGCAATCACCATAGTTTGTCTCACGCTCGTAATACATAACCCTCATCGCTCCTGAGAGTCCTTACACCATTTTTCTTTCTCACCATCCGCGTCACCATGTGCTGGGAACTCGCATTCAGCTACTATGGCGTCGGCTGCGCTCACCGCGAACACTATGATCTCATCGAGCTCTGCCGGGAGGCCCAACAGAGCGGAAACGAAAGCTGCCGTCCGCTTGCTGCATTAAGAACGATCCCTTGCTGGGGCGAATGCAGAAGCTGTCGTGGAGCCGGTCCAGCAATCATGAAAAGATACATGCGGGTCCCCGGAGGAGAAGTAGAGGTGACAGACCAATGCACACAGATGACCAGTCCAAGCCCTACGGAAGAAGAAGCCCACGACGATGCGGAGGCCTCCAAGGCACAAGTTCGTTTCGACGTGAAGGGGAAGGAACCAATGCGTACATCGGAATCCACCCCCGGTCCGTCTAACTGGACTTCCAAAGAGTCTCAGGGGAAGAGCTGGAGCCAGACAGACAAACCTCACATCAACTCGATTGGTTGGGGCAACGAAGCCTCCGAAGGGTACGTGGAGACCGAACCCAAGGAGTCAGCGCAAAGCCTCTTGGACAAACAAAGACAGAGGTTTTCGAGCGACGACGAAGCGCTGGCGTACACTCTCAAGGAGTCAATCAGAGGGCTGCAGGGATTCAGTATAGGCGGCGACTCCCCTAGCGAAGAGCGCCCGACTAAGGAAGTGGAGCACCCGTCCTTCCAAGCCTGGGTTGAGGACGACCAGCGGATGTTCTCTGGCCCGAGCAATGCTCCGTCGAAGGAATCGATACAACCTACGACATCTCTGGAGCAGAGACCTGAAACCCCTATTGAAGCGTTTGACAGCTCTGTGGAGGAAGAGGAGGAAGAGGAGGATGTAGATGGCGACGATATGAAGATGGCTTCCACCGAGGAAGGGTGTCCGGGCTCTAGGGCGGAAAGCTACGATGAAAAGCAAGTACAACAAGCGGCCTCAGAAGCTTCGCAACGAGAGTCTGAAAAGCGCAATGTCAGGAATGGGAGCGAAGATGCTGGACGTGTAGACAGTGTGAGCATGAAGGAAAAGGCCACGCCGCCGGATGACGATCCGGACGAGTTGTACTGCTCCCATTGATAGACGGAGCTGTACGGGCGTCACTCCTTTGTAGCCTGTATTGTGCTTGGCACACTAGCATGAGTTGAAATCGTAGGGATCAAGCGATTTCAGCAGTCGTTTCTGTCGCTTTAGCAGCCTCTCCATCGGATATGTCCGTACCCTTCTGAGCCTCCTCTTCCCCTGCCTTGATCCACCTACCTTTCTTCCCCTCAGGTTCCCATACCATAGCAATGGCATCGTCAGCTTTCGGCAGCCCCTCAATCGGTATCCTTGCGACCTGCACAAAGCCCATCTTCCTGTATAGCCCGTAGCCCTTTGGGCTCGACTCTAGAGTTACCGGTACTCCTCCACGCAGCTCTCTTTGCGCTCTTTCTAGACCCCATCTTATGAGCTTCGCACCTATACCGCGCCGTTGGCAACTAGGTGATACAGCCAGGACGGCGAGATGGATATACGGAGAGTCTTGAAGGACATGATCAAAGCTGAAGTCCATGCATCTCCAAACCGTTCGCTTGTGCTCAAGGTCGATAGCGCGATTGAAGAGCCGGTGCTCAAACTCAGACTCTAGGTGCAATAGCGACAACTCGAGCTCTTCCAGCTACGTAGTCAGCTACAGTAACCGCTGTCTTGTATTACAATTGAAGACGCGCACGGTTTAACAAGCTCTCTGGCCAGTCGTTTCCACCCACCCATAATCCATCTCCCCCATCCCGTTCCCAAAATGCATATCCAGCAATTTCGGTCTTTCCGCTCCATTCTTGATCCCCCTCCTCAGTCTCGGCTAAGATACTGTAAGATCCAGGCGTTGCAAAGCGCTCCCGCAGCCTCAGGAGGTAGCTCCGCCTGAAGTCTTCAGAATGCTCGTCTAGTCCAGGATATATGAAGCGGAACAAGTTGTCGTTGTGAAAGACCTGGACGCCCACATCTGCGACACTGCCCAGATCCGAGCGTAACATCGGCCGGATGCGCATCCTGAGTGTAGCGCGTAGTGACTGAGCGAAGATGTTGTTCTTCAGGAGATACGGGATGAGGAAAACATATACAAGGAGCTTCTACCAATACACATTCTCATGACTTGACTCGGGGAAGTTTGAGTGTGCCACTTGACAAAAAACCACATGGAGCTCCAGTTCGAAACGCAGGTATTCCCGAGGATCTACCGAAACACCGCGGAACAACGTCTTGGGAAATAGTGATGGCACTCATTCTGGTATCGACACACTGCAACCATCAATTGAGCTGTCAATGTGTTGAAAATTGCGAGGGAATGTTCTAATAGTGCCTAGTAGGAACATTTCGGGTTCTTACGCTTCGAGAAGCCTGTCGAAAGCAGAGAGACCCTTCGGATCCATCGGATGCGATGCTGATTGGTAATCCGTAAAACGAAGCCATATATATATATCCAACGCCTGAGGATCACTGACACCTCCAAAAACATCACAGCTGTCTGCCGTAACACTACCATCAAGGTGGCGTTCAAACAGACCCTACGCGCAATGACGAACTTCGACATCAAGATCGTCTCCGACACTGTCTGTCCATGGTGCTACGTGGGCAAGAAGCGGCTCGAGAAAGGCATCTCCATGTACAAAGCCGCGCACCCCGAGTCGAACGACACCTTCTCGACGACCTGGTTCCCCTTCTACCTCAACCCTGATGCCCCGCGCGACGGCGTCGACAAGCAGCAGATGTACCATACCAAGTTCGGCCCGCAGCGTACGCAGATGATGCAGCAGCGGCTGGCAGCGATCGGGCAACAAGAGGGGATCGACTTTAAGTTTGGAGGGAAGACCGGGAATACTCGTGACTCGCACAGACTGATTCAGCTTGCGAAGACGAAGTCGCCAGGCGTCGAGAACAGAGTCATCGAGGAGTTGTTCACAGCGTACTTCGAGAAAGAGAAGGATATAACTTCGCACAAGGTCCTGCAAGAAGCGGGCGAGAGAGCTGGCTTGGATGCGGCGGAAGTCCGGGACTGGCTCGAGAGCGACAAAGGAGGGAAGGAGGTCGACGAGGAAGTTCGGGAGGCGCAGCGCAGCTTCATATCTGGCGTGCCAAACTTTACCATCCAGGGAAGATATGAGATCGGTGGTGCTGAAGAGCCAGCGGCGTTTGTGGACATCTTCGAGAGAGTCAAAGCAGCTCGAGGCTCTTCATGATGGGGGAGGGTTGTATAGAACGGAATCATCGTTTACTACAGGGTAGCTTATGATGTCGAGTTTGAGACTCAAATTCCCCAATAAAGACTGTATCCACAGTCTGTACTATCAGTTCAGCATACTCACCACTACATGCCCGTAGCTCCAGCATGGATATTGAGAGCAACAAGGCTGACTTTCAGAGGCTGCTCTTTGCTTCCCGTGACTGGCCAGATCGGTTCCTGAGCGGACGGACAGTTCTCGGCCCGCTCCACGTCTCCCCTGATGTGCCTCCGAACAACCAAGGGCAGGATCAATAGTTCGTGGCCACCCTATGTTCGGCAATTTCTCGGCCAGCGTGGCCACGAATTGCTGATTCTGCCCTTGAACCTTACAATATGCAGCTTTGGATGATTGTAGCATGTATTGTCCTGCAGTCGATTCATAATTTCCTCAAGACAATGTTTATTGACTGGTCTTGCGTTTCCTTGGTCCGAACTATTTTTGGCCCCATCAACACGGACCACGAGACATGCGAGACGGGCCCTCTTCGCTTCGGCTGGTCAAGCCATGGACCTCGTATTGACGGCCACCTTAAGCCACAATAGAGATAGCAAGACGTCTGCGGTTCATGGACCAGTTACAACCTGTGATGGAGGATAGTGTTCCTTTGATCGATGAAACAAGCCCCAAAAGGCCGGGATAGCCCTGTAAGTATCAGCATGTTAGATTCGATGTCGAAACTCCATCATCCGTGCCCGCAAGGCTGAGTCCTCCAGCCGCACGCTCTTTACCCTTTGCGGTATCTGTCCTCGTCTGCCAACCTTACTTTACGAATTGGTGGCTATGGCTGCCGAAGATGGCGGTAAAAATATCGTAAGATAACGACGAGATAGGTAAGCCGTACTTAGTCTTTTATGGTGGAAGTTTCGTCTATCGTTGCTTTCATGCATAAAGCCCTCCCAAGCCTTGTTGCTCTTTCCGGTGGCTGTTCCGTGTGTTATGCGGGCGAGTCTGGCGGGTGGGCTTCAGCTGGAGGCTCCGCCTTGCTGAGACCTTCAAAAGCATTGCGGCCCCAACCCCTCTGCTCTGACTTCTGGCTTCGGTCCCTCTTGAACAGAGAAGTTCATTGCTCTGATTGTACTGTAATTTCCATCTTTCCAGTCCATGTTCAAAGTCAAGCCGGAATCCAAACTCGTGAGACTGTGAAAATGCGGCCTTTATCTCTATACATACTCGGCAGCGTGGCCGCGACGGCCCAAGCGGTAGCCTTCCCAGGACCGCAGCCCACGAATGGTCAGAAGGAGGTAGGAGTAGGATGGAATCCCAAACCAACAGACGGCCCTATACTCGACAACGCGCACGACCTCCGGATCAGAGCGATAGATGCCTATCCGCAAACATGCGGCTGGGTAGGCGGAGATCTCAGTGCGACCCTCATTTACCATATTACAACGTTGTGTCTTGCTAACAGCAACAAGGTAGGCCACTGACCTGTCCCGATATTTCTGCTACCTGCGCCTTCTTCTTGCCGTCCGGCAATGTTGGAATGGTAAGTGAATCCAATCATATTTCGTGACCCAACAATCTAAGAAAACACACCCAGGCTGGATGTTGTACAGCGGATACTCAGAACTGCGGATGGGCACACAGCTGTATTGATTCTGCTGCAATCAGTCGCTCGAGCTGTGACAGCGACTGCTGGGCGAATACATTTATTCGGAAGTGCACTGCAAGCATCCGGTACGTAACGCTTCTTCCTCCACCTTGACGCTCCACCTAACACTGACAGGCCTTTCTGCTATTCCTGGACTTGGGGCGCTGCCGCTGTGGCGGACTACGGCTGCGGCACTGATCCCGCTTCAACGTGGACAACCGTTGATACGATACTATCCAACTACGTTGCTTCGGTACCTACGCTGGCTCAAAACGCAGTTACGGGATGGCAGTCTACAACGCCCACACCGATTCCTACACCCATAAGAACGTCACCGAGGCCTGGACCTACTACGTTGGTACCGGAACCTAGCGGGCCAGGCATCGGTGTCATCGTTGGAGGCGCTGTCGGAGGTGTGGCAGTGGTTGCCATTATCATCGGAGTCATTATATTCTTCTTCGTTCGTAAGAGGAGGCAGCAGCGACAGCAGCAGCAGCAGCAGCAGCACGCTCCGCCGACCTTCAATCCTAATGCGGGCCCGCCACCACCTATGCAGCAGCAGCAGCCCATGTACCAGGCGCCACAGCAGCAGCCGGGTTATTTCCAACCAGGTCCTCCCGTCATGAGCATGGACAGCTCAGACAACAAGTACAACCCGACCGTCGCAGCCTACCCCACGAGTCCGATCTCCAGTCCCGGTAGCCCTGCGCCGCCGTACGACCGAAAGTCTACTATAAGCCCCCTACAGACAGGGTACGGCCAGCCTACGCTCGGTGTACCCCAGCAAGGGTATGTAGCGCCTCATGATGGAGCGGTTGAGATCCAGAGCGCTGCCGCCCCTACACCTTATCAGCCTTACCAGCCGCAAGGACAGGAGAATCTGGCGCCGCGGCAGCCGACGCAGCAGGTTCAGCGAAAGCCACCGCCACAGCAGGGGAATGTCTATGAGTTGGGACAGTGAACTGTATATAGATCCTTGTTCCTTGTTTCCCTTTGGATGGTTTGTGCTCGGCGGAATAATCCTCGGTTGGAATCGCGGTCGGTAAAGCGTATGGGTGCTGGTCTCCGTGTTTCTGAAGGTGCTGATGGACTTGTAACTTTTATTGATGAAATTCTTGCGGTTAGACGCTGCGAGCTAGAGCGGTACAAGCTTTTCCACAAGGGGATTTAACAACATCTTCCATGGTACCCTTTCCATCACCCAACCTCTGATACCACATGAGCATCTTATGTCACCAAAGCCGCAAAACAATAATCTCTTGATGTTGATGTTGTAAGCGTTCTGTGATCAAAGAAGTTAAGCGCAGACCGCACACCCTAGCGCTCAGCGGCGATAGGTATCATTAACCCTCCACCAAAATCCGCTTCTTCCGTCATCACAAGCTGTGCCCACCCTGTCACAACCAGCAGCAAACCGTCTGTATCCACCGCCCACCCAGACGGGAATCCGCCAACGCACTCCAGCAGGAGCCCACGCGCACCACCGCCCACCTAGCACAACCATGCCTCCAATCCGCCGCGAACGCCGCGGCTACCACCCCCCCAAGCTGCGCCGCCCGCCCATCGCGCCCACCCACCCGGCGGAACTACGCCGCCACCTCGTCGGCGCCTGGACACTGGTGCAGTACCTAGGCCACCCGACGCCGGGCTCGAGGACGCAGAAGGCCATCTTCCCGCTCACACGGTACGCCCAGGGCATGCTGTTGTATACGCCGGATGGGTATGTGTCGCTGCAGCTGAGCGCGCCGGGGCAGGCAGCGTTTGGGCTGGAGGGCGCGGGGGAGGGGGAGTGGGCTGAGGCGGGGCGGAGAACCGTGGCTTATGCGGGGGGTTATTTTATCAATGAGGAGTGGGAGGAGGAGGTGGTGCAGGTAGGGGGGAATGTAGCGCTTCCGGAGGGAGGGCAGGAAGAGCAAGGCGGAAGAGTGCAGAGCGAAGGGGTACAAGGGAACGGAGTGCCGGTGAATGGAGTGCTGAGGAATCCAGTGCTGGCGAACGCGATGCCAGCCAACGGAGTGCCAACCAATGGAGTGCCAGTCAACGGGGTGTCGGGGCAAAGAGTGCAAAGCGCAGGATTGCAAGGCCAGGGAGTGCCAGGGGGAAGAGCAGGTGAAGCCAGGAGCATGAGACTGGTGATCCAGCTCCGCCACGAAATGCGCCTAGCAGATCTGCCGCAAAGCAGAGGAAGCTTTCAGATCCAGCGCTGGCGCTTCGAGAAGGACGGCAAAGTGTTGGTGTTGACCGGGGAGCCGACAGAAGTTAGGGTGGCCGGGGCCCCCAACGGAAAGAGGGACGGGACTGTGTCGACGAAGATGGAGAGCGACTGGAGGATTCCAGAAATGAGGTGGCGGAAGATGGGGAGCAACGCGGTGGATATGCCGCCGTGGCCACAGAGCGTGTTCGAACGACCACCCTCGATGGTGCCCCAGATGGTCCAGATCCCTCAGGTGCACCGGGTGCCCGTCGTGCTTCAGATGCCTCTGATTCCCCAGCTTCCTCAGATGCCCCAGCTGCCCCAGACGCCCCAGGTGCACAACGCGTCGATAGGCAACGGTGCATATCATGCGCCCTCAGTCGAACGTTCTCCCCATGCCGTAGGCCCGGTCCCAGCGCACAACCTCGAACCACAGTCGATGCCAGCACCCCACCGAAACTCTACAACCCCCAATTCTGTTACCCAAGCCGGTGATTCTGCGGTGGCTGGAGCCAAGGACATCAAACCACTGGCCCTCTTCGAGCCAGTTTGGCCAGACACCAAGCAAGGCTGAAGGAAGCCGCTTACAACACTTCATTCGATGAACCATACGCTCAGAACTGTTCTGCTTCACTCGTCGGGAAGCAATGAGCCTCGCCTCGGCTTTGGAATGCCCCGATCTTAGATGTCATTAGAAAGACGCGCCAACCGCTCTCGTCAGGCTCCAACTCGCTGTCTCAGCGGCGAGGTACGCCGCTCGACAGCTTTGACGCCCTCAACGCGAGATGCTCCATCATAAATGTCCTCGCTTCCAAGGGACCTCTGGACCAACCAGCCGAATACTTGGCAGTACTCCCGTCCAGCTCGAAATCCAGCGCTGATACCGACGCTTCCACTACAAAGCTGCAGCGCATCGTCATATCGCAGGGAAGCCCGGGAGGGCAGCTCAAACCTTGCATGTACCGAGGCCCAAGAGACATGTTATCACAGGTGGATCGTGCCGACGCGCTCAGCGCAGCTACGCCTAGTAAGGGCGTTGCTAGTGTCACTGTTGCAACAAAATTGGGTATCAGCCCCTCGGCAATGGAGCGAGCAGTAAGCAAGCAATGATTGAGGAGAAAGTGTAATTTCTCCCCCTTGGAAGGAGATCTGAGGACCGTGGCTTTCGAGCGTCTTTCCTCATCTAGGGGTTGCGACACCCAGCTGACTAACTCCTTCCATTGCGGTAGACATGCAGCCACATGCGGGCTCTAATCTATACATGTGAAAGCGGGGACAGTTCGAGACGGTCCAGTACTGTTTGCATGTCAACGTGGAGACAGAGTAGAACACAATGATATTTTCGTGTTGTATCAATGACGCCCCAATGCCGGCCACCCCATATCTACCTGGTTCTCGTGATATTTGCAAAAGTTTTTGTGCCAGATCCTCATGAGCTCGTGAGCCGAAACCTGCAAGCGCCGAAAAGCCGAGCTAAAGTAGGGACAGGAGAAGAACCGCCGTCCCCCAATAACAACAGCAGAGGCCAGACCAACGCCTCGCCCACGCTACCTCAATCGCTCAGAAAGTTCATCATGCCGCTGCCTTGAGCCTCGATGCTTCGTAGCCGCCAATGTTTAACCGTAAAGTCCATGCCGGCAGAATAAAGTGCTGTCCGGATATAGGACCGAAATCCGTTTTCGCCGACAAAGCAACCGAGTGCCGAACCGCCCACCGAGCGCCCGCATCCTCAACCGCCGTGTCTCGCCTCTTGTCCCCTCCTGTCTAACACCGCCACCGCATCCAACCCCGGGCCCCTCACAGCCCCGAAAACCCGCCTTCCCTCCTCCCACCCCCGATCGGCCCCAAGCTGGGGCTCCGGCTCCCCTTGGCGCCCCACCCCCAGATCCCGCCACTGAACCGCTTCTCCTTCTTGCCGCCCACTCCGGTCGGCGGCTCCAGGCCATCCATACTGAAAAGCCCCTGCTCCTGCTCCGCCTCGCCAACCTCTTCCTCCTCGATGCGCTCACGCCCGACGTTCGAGGAGCTGGACACGGCACGGTCGATCGTCATGCGCGGACCTGCGCCGGAGGTCGCCGAGGAGCTGGACGCGCCGCCGCGCGAGGGGAGGCCCGGGTGCAGAGTTTCCGCCGCTTCGGCGCGAGAGGTCAGGCGCGTGCGCTGCAGCTGCTGGGATATCATGCTCATGCTGGCCTGGCGCGGGGGCGAGCTGACAAAGGGGCTGACGTCGCCGGAGGGCGGGCGGGAGAGGGCGCGCAGGCTTGGCGACGCGCCGGGGTGGAGGGACGAGTTGCGGAGTGGAGATCCGACGTGACCGAACGGGGAGGGGGAGACGCCGGGCGCGTCTGCTGAATCGGACTTTTGTCGGGAGAAGAGGGCGGAGAAGCGAGAGGGGGATGAGGAGTACGTCGTCGGGTTGAGTGGGGGGGAGCCGAATTTGGAGGTTGGGGGGGCGGCGTCGACGGGGGTGCTGCCGAGGCCGGAGAGGGACTGGCGGAGCTCGTCATCTGCGGCGGTGCGCGAGAAGCGGCGCATCTTTTCTTGGGGGGTCAGGAGTTCGTGGAGGGAGGTCGGGACGAGGTCTTCTTCGAAGGCGAAGTTCTCGTCGTCCCAGTCGTCTGCGCTGAGAGGCGGGCGAGCGCCCAGCGATGCAGACATGAGCTTTGGCTTCGAGGAGAAGCGCTCCGAGTGCATGATGCGCCGACCGACGGGTTCGTCAGCTGCAGCTGGCGGAGAGGAACCGAGTGCTATGCCGTTGGTGCCATTGCGGGCGTCGCCAAAGGCGGAGGTGTGTAGCGTGCGGAGAGCGGATGAGTCATGGGGTTTGGTTGGGTAGGAGGAAGGGGGCGAGGTGTCGAGACCGAATCGGCCGGGCATCGAGGCGGCAATGGGCCCGTAGCGCGCCATGTGCGATATGCCTTGGCTGTCGAAGGAGGCGGGAAGGGGGGCGTCGAGGATGCTGAGGCCTTTCAGCTGCGGCGACATGATGGGACGGCCGTCGTTCGGAGGGGAGCCGTAGGTAGATCCGGGATGCGAGGAGAAGGTGGTATCTATGGTGGGGATCATGTCGTACTTGGTCTTCTGTGCGGCTTGAGCGGGATTGTAGAGGTCTTCGGGCGGCTGATAAGGGTAGGGAGGAGGCGAAACCATGTTCACAAGCGCGGAGAGCATGGAGCTGCCTGCCGGCGCAGGCTCGATCTGGTGCATCGGGTTCGCGCGATTGTGCTGGCCTCCTCCAACGCCGACGTGGTTTGGCCGGTTGACGCGCTGGCCGTTGGGGAGGATGTGTGCGAGAGCACATTTTGCGCCAAATTTGCAGTTGCCCTTGGAGACGTCAGTTGTGCCTCAGGCGGAACCGTCCCGTCTGGAGTTGCAGTCCTACCTTTTGAAAGTACTTGCAAGGCGCTACATCGGTCGAAGGCTCGGTCGAGTGCATGAAGGGACACGCTTTGCCGGCCTGACAAGCTCCTTGCCTGAAGAACTTGCACGGCACGTGGGCGGTGTCTATTATCCACCGGTCAGCGTTTGGGCAGCTTCAAGTGTCCCTTTCACGTCATGGTCGCTCACTCTTGCCGCCATTCGGTGGACTCCTGGGGCCATCAAAGCCGGCCATGCCCCTCATGTGCTGCGGATGTCCGTTTCCCATGCGAGCGGGTGGGCCCGAGGGTACGGGCACCGGTCCGTTGCCGTTCGCATTCGCCATTGCGCCGTTCGAGGCTGGCTGTCTGAAATCGGCGGACTGTCTGTGGTGAAGGCGGTGGCCGTTCATGGTGCTGGCAGGCGGGTACTGAGAGGGTGGGTAGTTGTTCATCGCGCTGTCGCGACTCGTCAGGTGAGGTAGTGGTGGGGTATCAGTCGATAGTTGTTCGCTGGCGGGCGCTGTGGGGATTCTGCGAGGAGGGCGGAGGCTGGGCGGCAGCAGGCGTTGCTGTCATAGCGCAGGGCGATGGTAGGGCGACAGCCAGGCAACTGAGGCGGTCAAGATTGCAGTTGCAGCCCTGTAGGGGGGTTTTGCCCTCAGATGAGAAGGCTGTTGTCGGCGCGTCGTGCAGTCGGAGTGGGCGTGACTTTGACTTTACGCCTCGCTTAGCCGCATCACAGGACTGCAGGCGCAGATGCAGATGGTTGGAGTGGTGATCTATCCGCGCCCGGTGGTCCACGTGCGGCGTGACAGCAAGAGTTATGTCCGGAGGAGGCTCGAGATGGAGAGCTGCCGAGAGACAATGCGGTGCTTGCTCCGCAGTATGCTTGTCGCGATGAGGTCGACGTGGGAAGAGAGTAGATGCCTTGTTGAAGAGGGAAAGGGCTTGGTTCTAGCATCGTGACCAGGGTCTAGTAAAACAGCGCTTTTGGCGGGGAGATTTGCCAGTGGCTTCAACAAGCGCCCCCGATTCCCGCTGCTGCCAACAGAGCCCTGGAGATACAAACAGGCAGCAGGCCAACCAGGTCAGCAGCCCCAGACCTCGAGAGGGCGACGGTGCAGTCAAGGCCTAGGCAATCAAAGTGGTAGCCAGCCAGCCAGCCAAGGTGATCAGTGAGCACTTCGATCATCTTGGCTCAATACAAGATGCTCCGTAAGGCATCAGGCAGCAACCAGCAACCCGCAACCCCAGCTTTGCCAGGAAAAGCCATGAAAGCCATGAAAGCCTAGAGAGCCTCCTGCCATGAAAGCCACGAAAGCCGTGGAAGCCACCGACCAGGGAAGCCTCACCCGCCCCGGCCAGCGATCCGCATCCCGGACCGTGCGGCCGCTGTTTCACAGGTCAGCCAGCCAGCCAGCCAGCGGAAACAACCTACAGTATCCGAAGCTGAAACCGGACCCCTGTTACATGTCCATCATGTGTCCTGGCGCGCTCCCCCCCTTTCATGCTCCATGTCTTGCAGTTTTCATGGTCGGCATGCGCACAAGATGGTGTTGTGTCTCTAACGGTTGCGTGTATACGAGTGCCGCGAGCGAGTGACTTTGTTAAAGTGTTTTGTGATACAGAAGACTTGCTTACACTAAGGGGGTTACGAGCTAGAGAGAGTCCAGTGGTTTGACTACATAGCTCACAGCTCATTACTACGCCATCCCATGCAGCGAGAGTACATCGCGTCACCCTCCCCCCCGCCAGAAGCTCTATCCTGCATCTCCCACCTATTCACTGTTCGTACAGAATGTCCATCGCCGAACAGCGCACGACCGAGGTCCACAAGCAGCCCAGTGCCGACTACTTGCGCGACCGTTGACGCAACAACCCAGCCGCACAGCTGTTGTCCGCCCACCCCATACTCATGTTGTCGAGCAAGAACGCCGACGCTTCCTCCCCATCCGCAAGGCGCGCCTCGAACCGGATGCCAGAGAGGCCACGGAACTCGCGCGACAGCTCGACAGGAGTGAGGTTGCACTTCAGCAAGCCACGCGTGCAAGGCGGGAGGCTGACGGCCTGCTCCACCGCCAGCACCTCCTGGTACTCGTGTCCCGCGTCGTACGTGTAGCCCGAGATGGTCATCTCGCACTCGTCCGGGCCCTCGTTCTCGCACCCGAGGAAGACGCTGAAGGCGTCGAACCAGAACGCTGCCATGCTGTTGCGAGGGCCGGCGCCGATCTCGCCGGGACGGACTGAGCCGGCGTTGGGAGAGCTCGTCATGTCGCGGGCCATCTCTGGCGAGTAGATGGCGAGGTGCGGCTGGGAGACTGGTGCGAAGGCAACGTCTGGTGGAGGGACGTATCCGTAGCCCTGGGCGTAGAACATGTGGTGGTACGGGTTGAAGACTGGCGGATATTCAGGGCCAGTTCCATTGGAAGGAGTGAAGATGGGAGTGTCGTCCCACTATCTCAGTCAGCTCGATCGTGCCCAGCAGAACACCGTCTCATATGCCCTGTGATTTCCGATCAGGTTGCACTTACATTGATTGTGAAATTGCCAGACTCGCCACACAAAGTCGGTGTAGGCAGCGCAGTTGACGTAACATTTGCAGTTGGAGTTGCTGTCCATCTCGTGATTGGGGTAGCGGGCACCCTAGAGCTTGAGAGCACGCCAGAAGCCGTCGTTACAACAGAGAAGGTTGACGGTGGCGCGCCATAGGAAGGCACGGCGTACGACGGTGAGCTGTCCACTGGTGTGCTGCTAACCTGAATAGCTGAACTCGAGTTGAGAGTGGCAGAAGTGACAGAAGTGGAGGTAAGCCCGGTAGCGTTCACGACAAGCGCCGAGCTGGTCGTCGGAATCCCTTGCGAAGCCGTGTTGGCAGTAGAGAGTATCGGTGATGAACTCGCCGTAGACGCGGGCGGAAAGTGCCAAGTATAGGCTGTGCCGCTAACAGTGATCGTAGTATTCAACGGAGCCACGCCGGTAGGCCCTGCGGTGACGGCAGAGGTAGTTGTGTTCCATCCCGAAGTCCCAGGACCCGGAGTGGTGGTCAGCGTGATGGCCTCGGTCACGGTTTGACGTACTGTCTGGAGAGAAGTCACACGGATTGTCGTTCCAGCCCCTTCGCCGGTCGAGGTACCATTGGCGCCTACGCCAGATGTGGCTGGAGAGGGCTGCACCGTTACTGTTGTCTTGAGGGTGAGCTGGGAGGTTGCAGTAGGAGATCCATTGAACCAAGACGTCGTGCCGTCGTCTACAGTGTAGAAGAAGGTAGGGCCCACTGCGGTCGCTGATGAGGATTCGCGGACCAAGCTAGTCACAGTCTCGAGAGCGGTCTTGGTTACGAAAACCGTGGTTGTGACATCTGGCACGTTTGGTGGGTGAATTGGAACGTAGGAGGTGACGGTGCTGACGCTACAAGCAGACACACTCCTAAGGGTCATCAGTAGGAGGTTCACTGCTACCCAGTACGCGCCCCAGTAAAAGATGACCACAAGGAGGGAGAATATTCTGGGGTGCCAGCTCGGGACGGATTCCCAGTGTACGAGACCACCGTGATCGCCGCCGAGAGCTCCTAGCTGCCGACGAATCGTCCCACCGAGTGTGTCAGCACAATCGTAGAAGGATGATGCTACGGTAGATCCCAATCGCGTACCGGCATACTGCAGGCGCTTCCCAAAGGTCGTGGATGCCAGCCACCAAAGCACATTCTGGACTGTCCGTACTACTAGTTGGAGCATCCACACGGCGAATTCGAGTATCCATAGGACGTATTGGAGTATCCATATCCATTCGATGTATTGCATGTATCCGCCTTGGGGAGAATTTTGGTCAGACTGAGGAGGAGTCTGGCTAGACTGCGGTGACGCTGTGGGATGGACATTGTCTTGCCCATAGAGATGATATTCCAGCGGGGGCTGGTGCCGCGCTTGGACCATTTGGATTAATTCGCTCTTGAGGATAACGTCTGGGTTTGTATGCTTCGCGGTAGTCCCTCGGTTTCGTGGCGCCATTGAAAAGAATGCGTTGGTGATATCCAGGTATCGATGACGGTAACGGTTTGAAGGCGTCCCGTCTCTCAAGATCTTCTTTATGGGGTTCCGCCATTGCTAAGAAAAGAAATATCACTCACCCGTACGCTTGTTGACAGAGCGCTGCCTTAGCCAAGATGGCAGCGGCGACGAAGTTGCTGAACCGCATCATGAAGAGCGCAGGATTTACAGATCAAGGAAGAGCGAGCGTAAGTGCCTGGCGGCGGAACGAGTGACTGGTGGTCAGGAAAGAGAGGAGGAAAGAAGGCAGGTAGATCCTATAGTTGGAAGGAAGAAGAGGGACGAGGTGAGGCGGGAAAGTTCCGGTCTTATGTCGAAGTGTCGAGATGTCGTCACGGCCGGGTGAAGCAGCAGATTGCGGTTAATTCCCCACTCAGAAATCGTCCCACAATACTTGCTGCCCCGGAACCAATTTTCAGGCTGTTCCAAGACTTCCAGAGAGAATGGTGCAATTTCGCAGAGCTGATCAACGCATTTCAGACCGATACACACAGTGGAAGTACATATGGTCGCACACTACCAATGAAGTATCTCCGTTTGACGGTTACATGTCTCACAGCTGTCAACGGCTGTCTAACGGACAGCCGCTCAACAAGCTCCATGCGGAGTAATGTTCCGGTTGAGGCTGCGGTTGCGGCAGAGCTAATGCAGGAACCCTTTGACGCCATCCGCTACCGGCCGCCGATTGAGCCATTCGGAGGATATTTAGTTGTTTGTTGGTAGCCGGGAGGGTACGCTTTTACCCGAGGATTGCCTCATTAATGAGCGTTCTCCAAGTTGAGGCCGCCTCATGGCACTCAGCGCTGGCCCGCTTCGTTGGGAGGGCAACCCGGTCGTCTAGATATTTGAGGTGCACTACGAACAATAAAACATTTCGACAGTATCATGATTCTGTGCCATGCCAGGAGAGTGTATCAACGAAGCAGCACAGTTAGCTCCGCAGGCTCAGCATGCAACAGAGGAGGTAGCGCTGTTTGTCATCCGATGTCACGATGTTTGAAGTTCAATCTCCGGCTCTGTGCCACATGAGGCCAACCTTAGGGCCACGCCGTGCCACCTTCTGAAACGTGGGCGCTGGTCCTGCAGAGCCTCATCCCACATCACCTCACACTCGCAGCGCATGCAAGGGATGCAGTCGATACCGCAGATCTCAACTCCGCCGCTTGGCGAGGTAGTGATTCTCTGCATCCTCCATCGACGATTGTGCGGCCTTGTCAGGCACCCCAACCCCCTTGCGTCTTCAGTTCCGAGGTTGCGAGGCTAGGCTTGTAGTCCATAATCGGCTCGAAGTGTTGATCTGGCGGCCTAACTGGTTAAGGGGGCCGTAAGCATCATTATCACAGTGACGACACTCGGGAGGATGAGCAAGCATAGTGTGTTCGGCGGTAAGACACCACTCACCTCCCGGGCGGCGTAGGAGTGCGGGAGCCGACCTGCTCTCTCACATCGGACTTGCAATGCAGAACACACGCCTCGCAATCCACGTACAGTATGGCGCCTGGCGGACATGTAGTGTCTGCGCGAAAGGGCCGACTCAGTGAAGGACATCAAGAGCAGTTGACTTTTGCTTACGAGGGCTACATGAGGGGAGCGGATGAGATAGTTTCTATGCGACGATTGTTTTGTCTCCAAACGCGAGCTTAGTATGGAAAGAAACGACTGCGGAAGAACGGGGCGCTGGGAGCTGGGCCTGCTCGGTGTTAGGAGGCTTGATGGCCTCGCTGGGACAAGGAAAAGACGCAGACTCCTAAGTTCGAATTCATCGGCGCCTGGCCTGATGCTCGTCTTTGCTGTAAAACTGTCGCACTTCCCTTTGGTATCAGCGTGCAGCCGCCTCACTTCCCTTGTATTCTTAGATTGTACCTAGTTTTACCAACCTGCGCGTGCCGACATATCTCCTTACAGCAGCTGTGTTGAAGCTTGAGACACGACTGAACTTTGGAGTGAGACAAGGAAAGGAAGGACGTGCGAACAATAACATTGAGATGTTAACGACTTACTGAACTCTACTCTCCGTGGCGTACACCACTCACTCAAACACATGAATTATCAGCCAGTCAAGCTCCTGCGGAGCTGACCATCGCCAAGCCCACCCGACCTTCCTCGAGCTCGCCCGACCAAGCGCCCGATCTCAGCCGACCACCTTGAACACCCCCTGTAAATGCCCGGATAATCGCGTTTATCTAGGGACGCTACAGCCGCGAGACGTGGTCAGTATCTGCTCTCGGCGACAAGCTCGCTTAAGGAACACCCTCCGTCCCCGTCATTCCAGAGAACCCTGTCATGCTCTCGTATCTTTTCGCATGGTTTGATCGCTATGTCGTTTTTGACGGGGGTCTACTCCCAAGTCCGCACAGGCCCTGGAGGTGCACTGCGTCCACTGAGACAACTGCACGAATCTATGCAGCACTCTCGTTGAAACCCTATCAAAGGGACCCTGTCAGACAAGGGAGAATACGAGACCGGTTGTACAGTATGGAAGCGAGGAAATTGGCGTCTAGGATGTGATGATAATCATCCTGAAGGAAGTGCTCCTAGGTTATTTTCTGATTCTTGTAATACTAGCGTCTGAATCTTGGCCCCAAACAGGCGAGAGGCTGAGAGCCACCTAAACAGTAGTGGCAATCGAGAGACAGCGCAACGGCAATGAAGGCCGCGCGGCACGGGATTATCTGGTGGCGCGGTATAGATGATGGGGGTGTGGCAGTTGCTACGGTACATGGTGCTGAGCGCGAAGGTGGATCAGGGACAGAAAGATGCATAAGTTGAAGCGGAGAAGATACAACTGGGAAAGTGAGTATGATAGCTCTCAACAGCTTGTGACTCGACGGGATTGAAACCCATGGCCAAACATCAGCAACTACCTGGTTTGCTTGCTTCAAACTTGCTCTCACCGCTCTCATCACATGATCGCGGGAGTTCGGCCGCAAGCTGCTGTGTCTCAAGACCGGGGTTGATGGGGCCTGTCACGATGGTCTGATATTGACCTTCAAGGATAATCGATGTAGGCGGTGGTTGTTTTGCCCTACAACCGACCAGGATGGCGGTGCGAGATGTGCAGCACAAAAATGTGGAGAAGCACGAGGTTGTCTTGCAAGGGGAACCGGTCCTGAACAAACTGAACCACACAGGTGCGCCTGATGACTGACAAGGAGCCAACTGAGATAGGCGCATATCGTAGTACTCGATTGGAGCCGCTGCAACACACAATTCCTTTTCCTGCTCTCAAACCTTGATCGAAGGACCTCCCGGTGGATCTGCCAGCTCTAGCCACGATCTTGCGTGCGAGGATGAATGTGCATATCGGAAGCACTTCGTCAAGCAGGAGCCTGACAGTCTGACCAGTCATGCAGGGGACCACTGTCTCTGCTGTTTTCGATACTCGCATCCTCGAATGATCTTCTGCAAATCGCAAACCTCTCAGTGGTGTGGTGATGCACCTCCAAAAATTCTGAGAAACATCCTTCAGCCCGGCTGTGTGGTGATGCGAGGTGTCCTAGGATATCCCACATTCAGGCGCTTCTTTACCGTCTGATTGGCCATTTCGGAAGATGTTGTCAGCTTCGCTGTTGCAAGGCCTTAGCGGTCTGAGAGACGGGAGGGTTCCGACGGTACGTGGCAAAGTCTCCCATTTGCTCTTCTCCATGTTTCATATCTTCCAAGGGACCTCCCCTCCCCGGCGGACTTTCCCTTGGTTTGAAAGCCGGAGCTACCTTATCTCTGTATCCTCATCACCACCCCGGCTCATCGAGACGGGCCCGGAAATTCTACGCTCTCGCCAATCTCGACAGGGCTGAGGTCCGGGCCAAGCGTCGACGAAGTGCTGATCATCAGGCAGGATAAACGGGGATCAGCGCGCCCGTGCTCTGCTGATCCCGTCCTTGACAAGCAGGTGGCGAAGTACCCCAGGTACCGGGCCGTTTTGAGCATGTCGAACGAGATCCCTCGACCCCGTCCCCAGCCCTGCCTGGTGGCCCCCAGTGCCCCTGTAGACTATCGCCACCTCCGAACAGCCACCCAGCCCCGGCAGGCCTCCAGTGGCAGGCTTCCGAGGTCGTCAAATGTGCGAACGAGACACGGGTAAGCCCTGTGCAGGCTGCCAGCCCTCCCGGCTACATGAAGCCAATAACACAATTGCTTTGACTCAACACAGTGCCTGAGTGGTTCGCTCGAAAGCGGGAAGCAGGGAGGGCTGGCTGACCGCATAGGGCTGACCCTTGTAAGAGGCATCCGCGAAGGCGAGCTGCAGAACCGAGCAGTCAAGCAGTCGAACGAGCATCAAACCACATGCCTTGACCTTGTGTAACTACCATGTTATATGCCGCGATTGGCTGGCGGGACCTCCGCGAACCCGTCGTCCAAGGCGAGAAGCGGAATGATTGAGCAAGGGAGGTAGTGGCAAATCTCACGGCTCAGGTGCTCGACCCCGAACGAGATCTAGGGTGGGGTTGCTTCAGCCGCTTTGTGGAGCGAGTGGGGACAAGCAGCGGCATGGGAGTGGCCTCCTTGCAATGAGCTCGAGGTTGCGTTCCCGCTTTCTGGCTGGCGCAGCTGGGCCTTGACAGGGAAGCAGGATGCAGAATCGGTAAATATCACGAGAGCAGGCTACACATACAAGTAGCGTCTATGGGTGCGATGCCTGGCTTCGTTTTGCTATCCGTCCAATCTCTTCGCATTCTCTCCCAGAATCCGCTCATAGCTGAAGTCGATTCGTGGTCTGGGAGTGGGCATAAACATCTACGCTAGTCGTCGTAGCCTGCGGATCCGCGCAGTAGCCTCTACCCATGCTGCAGATATACCTCCGAGCGCACTGCGACTCTAAAACGAAAGGAGACTGCAGAGTGGTGTACTCCTGAACGCCCGCCTTGGATATGTGCAACCTGTAACGACGTAAACATGAACATGAGCGCAGTGAGCTCTACCGAGCAAATTTTGATCCCAAAAGGCCGACCCGAGATGCCTGTGATTGGAATGCCGCCCACCCAACACGACCACCGCTCTCCAATCGCTTGCCGCCCAGACTCCGAAATCATGCCGTGAGGTCAGAACCGATGTACGAGGGCCCTCAGACGGCCCAATAAGAAAACGTGTCGAAGAACCCAACCGGCATGTATGCATGCGCACTTCACGTGACGAGGAAGTCTAAGCCCATTTTCTCCATTATCGACTCCCAGTCCCAACTTTCCTCCTCGTGGCCCTCATCAATCATCTCCCACACCTTCTCCACAATCGCCTTGGCGTGCGTGATGTTGCCGTTCTGAGAGTATGCTTGCAAGTCCGCGAATGCCTGCTGTATCCGAGGCCGCTGCTCAGCGTGGAAAGCAGCGCAGCCGAGGAGGAACGTCGGCATCAGGAGAATGCTCTGAGTGGACGAGTCCGGCGGTAGATGCTGCAGATACAAGAGGCCCTGGTCGACCGCACGGCGGAGGTTCGGATTGGGGACTGAGGGCAAGATGGTGCGGTGAAGGTACAGCCAGGTGCATTGGCGGTAGAGCATCGACGCGATCCAGCGCGGAGTGTCGGCTGGTTGACAACAGACCCAGTCGCGCAGAGCGGCGTCGATTTCCTGGGCGTCGCTGAGGATGTCGTAGTCTACTAGGGGTTTGAGGTCCTGCTTTCTTCTAGTCCGTATCCTGTCTCTTAGCTGCCTGATCTTGGAGATGTAGCCGAATAGGCCGTCGACTACGCCCAGCAAGGCGCCTGACTCTGGCTGGATCATGAACTCTGGCAGTTTGAAATCCTCCATCATGAGCACCGAGTGCCTGTCCAGAGATGTCAGGGAGTTCGAGACATCGTGGTAGACAAAGAACTCGATCAGGAAGCCCTGGAACTCCTGGTTCCGAGATTTCTGCTTCTGAATGAGATGTCTTGCAGCGTCCATGTGCGGCCTGTACTCTCCATGTACTTCGCCTGCGCAGATAGATTTCAGGCAAAGCACGAGGGTTTGGGCAACAGTCGGATCATCTATAATGGCCGTCTCGTCTCCAGCGATAGACTTGGCCATGTTCTCATCCGTATGCAGGTTCTCGATGGCGCACTGGAAATGATAGTATTGCCGCTCTCCCCAAGAAGAATTTGTCGGTTCGCATGCGGAAAGGTGAGAGCCTGATAGACAGAGAAGAGAGTGCATTAGACCCTTGTGTCTGAGGGCCATCGGGAGCAAGACCTCGTTGAACGGGTTCCGCTTCTCGGTGAACAGAGTAAGCACCTTGCTAAGGTTGAGATTGAAGTGCTGAAGGAAGAAGCGATCGATGTCGGTTTCGACGCCTTCGATAAGCACCGGCAGCTCGCGAGGTATCTCCACGTTTGGGCGTTGCACTTTGTATCGATCAGCAGATACACATAGGCCAAGGGCCTGCGGGCATTCTGAACCTTCTTCAGCCCTCTGCTTCCCACTTTTCCAGTATGCCCTCGGCGGGTACCCTTCGCAATGTACATTGTTCTTCTGGCAGTGGACACCTGCAGCGATTGTTAGCTTCGGCCGTTGGATGAGTATGTCGAGTACAGATAGGCAGGCAAGATGGAGCTCCTACATATCGGCTTGGTCTCGTCACACTTCTTCTTCCTTCTCCGGCACGTTATGCAGCCTGTCTTTGAACGGCCCTTCGGCGTCTTGCTGACCGCAGATTGTGGCGAGATCGGGTGTTTTCGAGGTCGTCCGCGAGGCCGCTTCGCAACGACATTGTTTGGGGATGCATCAGCCCCGTCGACGAGTGGCAAGACCTTCATATCCTCCAATTCGTCGTCCTCGAGCTCCTCGATCTTGGGGGCGACATCTTCCGTCGGAGAGGCATCGCTCACATATGAAAGATGAAAGCTGAACGTAGGCGTGTTGGTCGTCGAGTCGCTTGATGTCGGCGAGGGCTGTGATGAAGAGCTCATGCTGAGTCGCGCATGCCCTCCTGGCGGTGCTGGACCGAAGAATTCTGTTGCCATTCAGACGGACTTTGGGTAGACTGAAGAAGAACCACGTCTCATGGCATCTGTAGGGGGGCGGTCGACAGGTCTCCGAGTTAGGCGATGCGGCAGTGATATCTTCCTCTGGACCCTGCAGTCCGCTGTTTGCCTGAGCCAAAGCTACCGGCAGAGACGACGGATCCACGGCTATCTCGTTGGCTGCAGAGGGACTACGCAGCTTGCCGAACCCTGGCGTAAGCCAAAGATTTCAAAACTCCTAGAGCGCCATCCAATGCACGTTGCGAAACGCGGAGGGAGGTACCAGCCAACAGAGACCGGATACGTTCGCCTGATAATGGCGAACGGGAGCGCGGGGAGAGCTTCTTTAGCGAACGAGCTGGCGTCCGTGCAGTCGAACAGAGTGGTGCGACGCGATGCCCAGGTCCGTTTTGGCCGATCTGCAGCGGGCTGCACAGTGCTGAAATCCTACTAGGGTGTGCCCTGAAAGAATATGCCCAGAATTCAAAAGCTTGTTATTGACTCAGCGGCTATCCTGAGCCAACCGACAGCACACGCTAGGATCCTTACGGGTCCACAGGGTGTCCCCTGAACAATGCCTTGGCGACTGGGGGTTGAAGCATGCCATGCATCTTTCTCAGCCGTCTTTCAGAACGGAATGGGAGGTGCCGGCCAGCTGGTACTTCTGTCTCGATAGTCGAGCAAGAGACCCGCCTGATTTCGACTGGATACTGGATTGCAAAACGTGGGCGCCTTCTATGGAGGGCAGATCCAGTCTCTCACAGCCTTCCTGGGACCAAAGATCAGTGTTGCAGAGAGCTCTCCTAGGGCGGAGATCGATCACGGCAGGATCAGTGCAGCTTTGTGGAGAAGCGAACGGAGAACCTCTCGCCCGGCGCTCAGGGAAGTGCTTGCAGACATGCTTGCAGACATGCTTGCAGAGACGATCGACTGCATGGTCAGTGATCCTGACTAGATAAACTTGACGGGAAGTCTTGGTGCTAAGGGCCGTGGACTATGGCCTCCGCCGCCTGGACTTGAACATCGGAGCCGAGTCCTTGAACACGAGCCCCTGTTTGAAGCAACTGGGGGCGTTGATTTGCTCGTCTGCGGTAGTTAAGCGGCAAGAGTCTTTGGGTCGTTGGCGACCAGCATGGTGGATGTCCTGCAAGGCTATTGACGCCTTCAACGTTTTTGTGGAGCAGGCGGATGCACACTTTTTGTGCAACTCCCAGCCACGGTATGCACCGTGCGTCCGGCTGTTGCCGCCCATTCCTCGCCTTTCTGAACGCCTGGGGCAACTGGATGGAATCCTGTTCCGAGAGAGAGCGGGCTCCCCGCTTGTTCGCAGCTGAGTTGGGCCAGCGTGCGGCGCAGAGTATCGAAAGCCATCGACCGGAGTCGGCTGCTCCCTCGGAATGTTTTCTTTAGCTCAACGGCCTTAGCAGTGCCGGACTCGACGATACAGGCATGAAGCCACCGCGCTTGCAGCAGCGAGAGATAGTGCGTCCCCTCTGGGCCAGTCCAGAATTCTGGGGAACCGGGGGCAAGACGCAATGCACAAAAGAGGCAAAGTCTCTCCGGACAGGGGTATAAACCTTAAATTGACGCTTACGGATAAATCCGACATCTCAACCCGGAAATGGGAGAAAGCTAGACGGACAGTCAACTGTCGACATGCATGAAACCAGCACCAACCGTGGTTCCCAGCTGCCTGTCACAGGTCCATTGCTCGGGACACTGCACAGCAAGCTTTCGTCAAGCGAAAAGGATTGCGTTGCTGATTTCCGTTGTCAGACTCACTGGGTTCAGCCGTGGCCCCAACGGCTGCAGTTGACCACAGACTGCCGTCCACACCCCCTACCGACGCGTCCATGCAGGTTTCGAAGCTTAAATCGCCCGTTTTCGCGTGCAACACGTATGTATGCGGGAGCGATCCCTGAGCTTTGACGCGATACACAGCTCTTTAGCAGTCTCTTGAACGGGGAGCAAGTTGTGCGGGGCAACCGAAGCTCGGCGACAGCCGAGGAGAGCTGCTTCTGTGTAGATCGTTAGATCGTTGTCACCTGGATGCACGCCTTCGAGACTATCCAGGAGGTCCGAAAGTATCTCTGGCGAGGCCTGTTTCTAGCGAACCATGTCCGAACTGGTCCGTCGTCGTTGAGTCCCTGAAGAGACGGCCGGCAGCCTGGGTAGCTCAGCTCAACGCTGCTTCGTGACGTGCTATCATGGCGCTTATCCTTGCGATTCTGCTAGTTGGGGCGCAAAGTTCAAGTTTTCACATGTTGACAGCAAGCAAGACACTGTCGGCATCGATCCGACTGGAAACTAAGAGAGGCGCAAGCGCTCGGCGCCTCCTGCGAGCTCGACTAGGCCGCAGAAGTGGGTCAGCAGCCGAGCAACCGGTCTGGTGTATGCGCTCATTGCTGGGACGGTGGACCATCTCGACGGTCATCTGGTAGGCCACCTATACTTCTCGCTCATCAGAAGCATAAGCTTCACTCTTGATCCAAGGTTGAGATGTGTCGAACACTGGTCAATCAGATAATGTAGTCAGATACTGCTGCAGCGATGAGTGCAATGGATGATATCTCCAGCTTGGTCCTCTGTTGGTTACGCAATACTATCAATTACCAAATCTCAATGGTCTCAGCCCGTCGCTGTGGAGTCGGTCTCTTGGACGCTGGATCGTGTTGCTCGACCTGGTTTGCTTCGAAGACGCTAAAGCATGCAAGTCATCGGCTTCCGCAGCTCCCCATCGGACTCGGTCATGCTCAGCCTTGAAACTCTAAAAATCGACTCCAAGGGTGTCGTGTCAGGACAGAAGATCTACGGGCCGAAACGCACCTTGTTGAACCTCCCCTCTACTGGGATCGGTGACCTTGAGTCCCCAGGGTTGCACGAAGCTGGATGTCGGTTATATCCGCTAGCGCCAACGCTTGTACACGGCTATCATTTCCGAAAAGAGTACGTAGAGGCTGCAGCAGAGAATGAAAAAGTGCAGCAATGCAGCCAAAGGATTTCGTGACTTTCACCTAACCAGTCTTTGCCAGTCGACGCGCCAACAAGCTTTGAGACCCTGCTAGATGCTGATTGTTCCTGCAGCAAGGCCTTTGCAGCGGCGTTAACGAGCGCTGTCGAGCAATGCCCAAATTGAGGAATTATTCCGAACCTTTTTGGGGTCACCTCCCTCGTTCATCGGTGTCGGTGATTGCAGAACTCCGCTCACATGCCGTACCAAGGCCATCTTCTGATCTGGAACCTTGAATATTGAAAGAAGATAGCTCTACGAGTCAGCGATCTCGAAGTTAAGCGATAAGAATAGCCTGTGCATTAACATACGGCCATGCAACGGCCTTGCTTCCAGCGAGAGCAACTGATCATCTGCCTGTGGAGTGCACAGATGATGACAGGTGGGTCTCCGTGTCATTCTTTGAGCACTCACAGCGACCTTCGCGAGCGCTTGAGAGGATTCGTCAGCACCTTGTCGTTCCAAATCGAAACGAAAATTCAAAGCCTGTTGGTCTTGATGACGGATATCTGCATGTAGGCCATGCAGGCCATGCATAGATGCCGAGGAAGTTCCACCTGCGCACAACGACATGATGAACATGCATGTTCTCCAGATTGGGCACTGCGACTATTGCCAGTGAGGGGTTATCTGCGTTGATGTCCGGCATTTACCACCCAAAACTTCTTGAGGGTTTTAGTTGGTGATTGGGGGTTGTACAATGCGACCACGACGTTCCATGTTAAACCGGGTCGGGCGGTGTGCTGGTAAAGCAAAGGTTGACTGTAACATAAGTTCTCACATCAGTGCATGAACAACGGTAGACCGCGGAGAGATTCAAGTTTTGACAACAGGAGTGGGATGTTATGCAAGGCGAATCGCCGCGGCGCGTGTTCTGTTTTGAATTACTTGACCGCGCACGGCTAATACTAAGCATTTAGGGCATCCTCTTTTACGGGAAAGCTTCAGTTAATATGAGAGCAGGAAACTGAGTAAACTGAATGAGAGCCGGCGTGTGTCTGGGCCTTCTCAACTTATCAGGAGCTTACCGTCTATACGGAATACCAAAGAAACCTGAAGTGTGTTATCATCCTGATAACGGCACCTACTATCAGTAGCGTTCCCAAACATGTAAAGTGCTGTCTGATATTCGAGCCGCCTTTAAAGATCGTGAGATTGCCTCACTCCATTCAAGCGTCAAAGGAATGCGTGGATTATCGACATTGTCCCAAGAGCATCGAACGTCCGATGGGCGCCTTACACGAAACGCCTAGACCCACCAAAGTGCTCGCGCTCGACAATGGTTTGAGCATGGAATTAAAGGTACTTCGAGAAAACAAGGTGATACTAAGTGAAGCAGCCGATGACCAAGGGTTAACACAAGAAGCCGCTGCTCATTAAGCGGCCGCTTTAGTTAGCCCATTTTGGATGGACAACGTTTTATTATGTTGGCCCTGGGACGGCCCATCCGGCGCAATTGACGGTCCCGTTCTTGGCAGGTTTGCCTTAGTTCGGCCCGTTCGCGGCTCTGGAGGGCCCCGGTCGCTGCCAAAGACACGGACGCGTGAAGCCGTGAAGTTGCAGGTGAGCAGCATCAGAAGCTCGTGAACGCATGCTTTGCAACGTCGCAAGTTATCAAAGGTCCTCCTACGCTTCGAGCATAATGCGGTGACTCTCAACAAGCCCTCGCAGCCGGCGTCGTCGCCATGTTTAATTTCACCCCCCTTCTCGGCGCGCAATCTACGTCCGCGGCATCACAATCGCTCCTAGAGCTGGACGGAGGAATCAAAATACTTGTGGACGTGGGATGGGACGAGAGCTTTGATGCGGAGAAGCTTAAGGAGCTTGAAAGGTACTCATCACAAGTTCAGCAGCCCGTGGCTACTGTCACAGGATTTCGATGGCGGCCTGCTAACAGTTCGTCGGTCTATCGCATAGGCAGATTCCTACTCTGTCAATTATCCTCCTAACGCACGCGACCACGGCGCATCTGGGCGCTTTCGTTCATTGTTGCAAGCATTTCCCACTGTTCAAGCGCATCCCGATCTACGCTACAACCCCCGTCATCTCTTTGGGTCGCACATTGCTGCAAGACGTCTACTCCTCCACTCCGCTGGCAGCCTCGATCATCCCGGAGGCCGCTCTATCAGAATCGGCATATTCTTGTCCTTCGGCGCGAACCGGAGGCGTTCCGAATATATTGCTGCAACCACCTACTGCCGACGAAATCGCTAAATACTTCTCTCTGATCAATCCGCTGAAATATTCTCAATCACACCAACCTCTGCCATCACCATTCTCGCCGCCCCTCAATGGCCTCACGGTTACCGCGTATGGTGCCGGACATACGCTAGGTGGGACAATATGGCACATACAGCATGGTTTGGAGTCGATTGTCTATTCCGTAGATTGGAATCAGAGCAGGGAAAACGTCTTCCCTGGAGCGGAGTGGCTCAGCGAGACAGGAGCAGAGGTCAAGGAGCAGCTGAGACGGCCAACAGCACTGGTCTGCAGCAGCAAAGGTGCTGAACGTGTCGCTCCGCCGGGGGGCAGGAAGAGAAGAGACGACACGCTGTTGAGCATGATCAGAGACACCGTGTCAAACGGAGGAACTGTTCTGATTCCCACAGACTCGAGTGCGCGTGTGCTTGAGCTCGCATACTTGCTCGAAAATGCTTGGCAAGCGGCACATACTGGTGACGGACTCGAAGCTCTTAAGGAATCCAAACTGTACCTTGCCGGTAGGACTGGTGGAGCCACTATGCGATATGTGCGTAGCATGCTGGAGTGGATGAACGAATCAATCGTCCGCGATTTCGAAACAGCGAGTGGTGCTCAAGGCTCCCAGGGCCACAGGCGCACCAGAAGTAGAGGAGGTGCTGCCGATGGCGAACGGAGTGGGAAGGATCAATCGAAGTCGGTTAATGCACCCTTCGACTTCAAGCATTTGAAGCTCCTTGAGCGCAAGTCTCAACTTCGCCGAATGTTGTCCCAGACGTCGCCACGCGTAATATTGGCCAGCGACTCTTCGCTTGAATGGGGCTTCTCAAAAGACGCAATACTGATGGTTGCGAAAGACAGACGTAATCTCATAGTACTGACCGAGCGTCCATCTAGGCCTCATCAAAGGAGAGATGGCCTTGCTGGGTCACTATTCGAAATATACAAGGGGAAAGCAGGTACAGGGGCGAACCTGGAGACCGACACTGCAACAGTCGTCGACATGGAGGGCAGGGACTTGGCGGTCGAGCTAGTCGAAACAGCTGCGCTTGCTGGCAACGAGGTTCCGCTCTACCAGCAGTACTTGGCAAGGCAACGACAGCTTCACAACACTATGCAGCCAGGTCAGGGAGCTTCGCTAGAGACGTCCGCTGATGTTGTCGACGACCGCTCTTCCACCACATCGACGACGTCCGAAGACTCCGATGAGGAGCGCCAGGGAAAAGTTCTCAATGTCTCGGCCGCAATGAACCATTCACGCCATAAGCTAGGCCTTAGCGATCAAGAACTAGGAATCAACATCCTTATTCGCGGCAAACTCATCCACGACTATGATGTCCGCGGTAAGAAAGGGAGGGAGACTATGTTCCCGTTTGTGGCCAAGCGCCGACGCGCCGACGATTTTGGAGATGTTATTCGCCCGGAAGATTATATACGGCAAGAAGAGAAGGACGAAGTCAACGGAGAAGCTCAACGCGACGGGGAGCCCAAGAAAGAGAACGCGCTTGGCCAGAAGCGTAAGTGGGATGACGTAGGCACCAAGTCTGGACTGAACGGCCATCGAACCTCCAACGGCGTCAACAAGCGGCGGAAGAAGAATGAAGACCAGCCGAAGGAGCAGCGCGATGCCGCCAGCAATGGCACGGAAGTCAGCGACAATGAAGATTTCGAGTCTTCGGACGAAGAAGGCGACGTCAAAACTGCGGAAGGGCCCTTAAAGGTCACGATCACGAAACAAATCATGACTTTTGAGTGCAAGATTGGCTACATAGATTTCGCCGGCCTACATGACAAGCGGAGTTTGCAAATGCTAATACCACTGATACGACCTCGCAAATTGATCTTGGTTGCTGGTGAGAAGGAGGAGACCCTTGCGCTGGCCGCCGACTGTCGCAAGTTACTGAGCCCAGGATCAGAAACTACCTCCGAGAGCAGCTTCGAGGTACTCACACCTGCCATAGGAACAACCGTGGACGCCAGTGTGGACACGAATGCTTGGACGCTGAAGTTGAGTCATCATCTCGCCCGACGGCTGCATTGGCAGAACGTCAGAGGCTTAGGCGTTGTTGCCATCACCGGTCTGCTGGAGTCCGAGTCGGCAGAGGATGAAGCACTGCAGAAGAACGCCAAGAAAAAACAGAAGATGACTACAGGGGAAAAGGAGGACTCAGAGAGCAGCACGCCCATCCTCGATGTTGTTCCCGCAAGCATGGCAGGAGCCACGCGATCGGTCGCACAGCCACTTCACGTGGGTGATCTCCGACTGGCCGATCTGCGCAAACTCATGCAAGCCTCTGGGCTTACTGCAGAGTTCAGGGGTGAAGGCACGTTACTTGTCAACGGTATGGTTGCGGTGAGGAAGACCGGCACGGGCAAGATCGAGGTCGATGGTGGAGGCGTGAGTGTTCTCGGGTCTAACCAGACTGATGGGACGTTCAACAAGGTGAAGAGGAAGATCTATGAAGGCCTTGCTGTTGTTGCTGGAGGTTGAGCCGCTATGACCGAGCTACCTACGAGTACTACCATCGCCACATATTTTCTGATGCAGTCAACGGCTTTTTGCAGTCACATTGTATACATACATTCACCACGTGTCATCGGTTTGAAGGCTGTCGAGGCCTGTAACTTCGGCATGAATCAGATGCGGCGCCACCGACGGAGATTCACTCGGTGCTGTTCTCCCTAAGCCGCCGTGATTTTACAAGTCACAGTTTATGTCCGGCTTCAACCATGTCATTCTCCTAGTTAATGCTTCGCCTCTCTGAGTCACAGCGTCCACGCTGGCACAAAGCCGAGTGAATCTGCTTCTATGACCGTTGCTCGCGCACGCATAGGCTCCGCGTGCAGCGTGGAGGCGAAAGTGCCAGCGCATGCATCATCCTTAAATCCTCCCCAATCCCCAGCTCCCGATCCCATTCATCTTCTCTTTAATCATCATTTCATCAGCTGTCAACTCTCCTGGACATCTCTCCTCTCACATCCGGAGGATCTTTCCATCGCACGTCAACCGAATAAGCGAACAGCCACCGTCCTCATATCAGCAGCAACCCTTTTGGTCCCCGTCGACCCTGCAACTCTGGATCCAGACCATCATAACCAGGTCGAAGCAGAAGAAGTGAGCATCCACTAAACATCTCTTGCCTCTACCCTCAAGTTTCAAGAAGCCTGCGGTTCCGCATGAGAAGACTCCGTCTGAAAGAAAAAGTTACTTCCATTTACACACCACTTACATCTGCATTCAGACCCCAGACCCACCCACAATGAACGCCCCACCCTACCAATGGCGCGCCGGCATCGGCTACCTCCCCTCCATGAACGGTGGTTTCTGGCCCGGCCCAAGCATGTTCATCGCGCCACCAGGCCCCATTCCCCTCATCGTCCCTGGGCCCGTACCCCAACCAGTAGTCTTTGTTGGAGGCCCGCCAGGCTTCTACGCTGGCCCCCCTCCGGTGCCCGTTAGCCCTGGTCCCGTGCCCGCACCCGCACCCGCACCCGCACCTGCCGCTGCTGCTGCTCCGCGCAACAACTTGGCTGGCGGCCTCCGTGGCGGAGTCAACCTGATGTTTGCAGAGAAGTACACGACTATCCATGTGATAGGTAACTGTGCAGAGCCGTGGAAAGACGCGGGGCCGAATCTGCAGTTCAGCATCCAGAGGACGCCTATGGACTGGAGCGTCGGCACCCTGATGGAGCGGCTGGGTGGAGGCGAGAGCATCATTGAGATCGTGGAGGCTGGAGGCGGGAAATTTATCAAGGGGCTTGAGATCAAAAAGGGCACGGAAAATGCAAAGAAACCTTTGGGCGAGGTCGGTTGGAATGAGAAGAGGGGTGGAGATAGGCCGCCTGTATGGGTTGTGCTAACGAAGAAGAAGTGAGCTGCACTGAGTAAGCCGATGTGAGGTTGTTCTGCGGCTGATATTGAGGCTCATCACGGTGCAAGATCGAGGAAAACGCGGCCGTTTGGGCTGCTTCGGTTTCTCGGAACTTGACCTGATTCTTGCTGACAATTTCTCACGATGGAGCGGATCAAGTTCAAGACTGCTGTTAGCAACCATGTTGATTGCATGCGTGAGGCGTTATGGTGCGGTCCACCTGACTATGGATGACTGGGGTTGCCGGTTTGATTGCGTGTCTTGCTTCTGAGTTTGCGTTATCAATACATGGGTGCATTCGGGTTCACAAGATAGACTGGCGTTCTCTATATCAAGAGGACTTTTGTACTCTTGCCAAGGCACTCCACTAGTGTATACTATCGAGCACTTTCACACTCAGAGGGGTCCTGTGTCTACAACTCGTTTCCAAATGCTGCAATATTATTGCCTTACGTAAAACATTCATGGTTTTCACGAGGCACGTAAGTCCTCTGCATGACTTGAAGTGCTCTCTCTATGAGTGCACTTGTTATAGCGATAACCTCACGTCGCTGCTTGAAGTGGTATGGCAACGCCCACTTTGCAGGAACAGCCGATCTTACGAGACGACACCATTGCCCTTGAGTAGTGTCACTCCCATGCGAGTCTTCTTATCCTGAGAGGTTCGAGGACGCTCAACGGGTCGCTGCAGGGGCTGGTAGCTTCTAGGCTCAAACTGGCATGTCGATGCGGCACTCTGCAAACTGTCGGAGTTTAGGCGGGCTTATCCCGTACACATGGGAACGTTATGCGGGAGAGTGAGGAGCTCTCCACTCTTATCGCTGTTTGCTGGAGTAGTGTGTGTGAGTAGGTATATTAAAGAGAACGCCCCAAGTCTATTCCCATACGTTTCACCATCTTCTCTCTGTTGAAGTCATATCGCATAACCATGTCTACCGAAGTCGTCGACTCGAGCCCCGCTGTCAACCTCGTCACGCAGCATGTCGCCCACCCCCTCGCCCCATTGACTGGTGATGAGATTACCAGAGCCGCTGAGCTCATGCGAAGCGTCTGGCCGAGTAACACCGACCTCCACTTCAAATCCATTACTCTCGAGGAACCGCCAAAAGCAGAGGTTCTGCCCTTCCTAGAAGCAGAGCACAATGGGCAATCCGCGCCATCAATCGCCAGGAAGGCCTTCATCAACTACTATCTTCGTAGCACTGTAAGCGCATACCTACAAATTGGTTGAGAGAGCTTCGCTTTTTCTGACTTCTAGTGTTACAACAGAACAAGTTCCATGAGGGCATCGTGAACCTCTCCTCCAACAAGATCGAGAGCAATGTCCGGTTAGGCCCCAATGTACACGCCAACGGTGATGCGGAGGAGATTGTAGCTATTGAGAAGGTCGCCCTGGAAGATGAGGCCGTTCAAGCCGAAATAGCGAAGCTCCAGCTTCCCAAGGGCACCGTGGTGATAAGCGATCCGTGGATATATGGTACAGAACGCCGGAGAATTCCTGGAACGGAACACGGGTTAACTATAACTGATAGGCTCCGATGGCATCAATGACGACGATCGAATGTACCAATGCTTCCTGTATATGCGCGACCCCCTGAATCCGGATGAAGCCGACTCGAATCACTATGCACTTCCGCTCAATATCTCGCCGGTTGTTAGCACCGAAACGATGAAAGTCATTCGGGTGGATCTACTACCAACTGGTGCGGACAACACTACTAGCGAGACGAGGCCATATAAGATCAAACCTCCGAACGAGTATATCCCGGAGTATCAAGAGTTGAGGACGGACCTGAAGCCCCTGAATGTTGTTCAACCCGACGGTGGTAGCTTCCAAGTCACTCAGCAAGGCACATCCCACGTCATTGAGTGGCAGAAGTGGCAGTTCAGAGTCGGCTTCAACCAGCGTGAGGGCATGGTTCTCTACGACGTAGGTCGTATCCAAGGAATCAGGGTTAGCTTCTACTAAAAACTGATACAGGTGCGATACGCTGGCCGTGAGCTTTTCTACCGGATGGCGCTCTCCGACATGAACATCCCGTACGCCGACCCGCGCCACCCATATCACAAGAAGGCTGCATTCGATCTGGGCGACGCAGGCGCTGGTCTCATGGCCAACAACCTCAAGCTGGGATGCGATTGCCTTGGATCTATTTACTATCTCGACGGCGTGATCTCAACCGACAAGGGTGGGGCAGTCACGATGGAGAACTGCATATGCATCCACGAGCAAGATGCTGGCATCGGCTGGAAGCATACCAACTACCGGACCGGCCGAGCAGCGGTGGTTCGATCAAGGGAGCTGGTTCTCCAATCCATCATCACCGTGTCAAACTATGAGTACATTCTGGCATTCATCTTCAACCAGGCGGGAGAGGTGATGTATGAGGTGCGAGCCACCGGCATCCTCTCAACTCAGCCCATCGACGAGGGCGTTTCTGTCGACTTTGGCACAGTCGTTCATCCCGGCGTGCTAGCAGTACACCACCAGCACATCTTCTCCCTGCGCATTGACCCTGCGATCGATGGCCAGAACAACCGGCTGGTATATGACGAAGCACGCCCCATGCCGCGGTCCGACTTCAACCCCCACGGTGTCGGCTACGTCTCTAATGAAACCGTAATCGAGAAGTCTGGCGGCTATGACCTCGACTTCGACGCCAACCGCGTCTTCAAGATCCAGAACGCCGCCATCCGCAACCCCGTCAACAACAAGCCGGTCGCGTACAAGATCATGGCGCCGGCGTTCCAGAAGATGCTGGCGGACAGGGACAGCTACCATTTCAAGCGCGCCGAGTTCGCGGACCACAACATCTACGTGACCAAGTACCAGGACGGTGAGCTCTACGCTGGTGGGAAGTACACCAACCAGTCTCGTGGCGGAACCGGAGTGCGCTCATGGGCGGATCGCAAGGATGACATCGTGGATGAGGATATTGTGGTTTTCGTCCAGTTCGGGATCAATCATATCCCAAGGATTGAGGACTTCCCGGTCATGCCATGTGAGATCCTCAAGGTGGCGCTGAAGCCGGTCAACTTCTTTGAGAGGAACCCGGCGTTGGATGTGCCGCCGTCGGAGCAGCGGATCAATCAGAGTGCGCTGCTGAGCGAGACGCATGCGCAGCCGAGCGTAGAGGGGAAGATTGGGGAGAAGGGGGAGGTGTGTTGCTCGAGTAAGCTCTGAAGGGTGGCGGGTTCTCACGTGGGAAAAGATTGATGAGCAACATGGCGTTGGCTGGCCTGTCAATTGGAAAGTTAAAACCAAGCTGCACGAGAATGAACAAATGAGTTACGAGTAAAGACATTCATACTGCTATGCATATACATACTGAGCAAAGGGATGTGACGTTGAGTAGTCTACAGAGCGACGCACGGACCCGACAGCTTTGGTTCACCATGAATTCCACTCCGAGCACCTGGGCATCAAGGTAAACTATTGAAGCGCATCGCAACGCAAAGCGAGACGCGCAAGTCCAAAGGCTTCGCGCCTACTGTCTTCATCATCAACCAGCAATCCACCGAACACGCAGCCTCCGATAGAATATCTTCCGGATTGTTTTGGCCGACGCGAAAGCTCCAGAAATTAAAACTGGCCGCGTCTATTCGAGAAAGATAAGATGCCGGACGGCAACAGATCGGTATTTGTCGGGAACATCCCATATGGTGGGTCCTAGTTCTACGCTGGATGTATCTTGCTTCCACTAACGCAACCCTCACAGGCGTCACTGAAGAGATAATCAAAGACCTTCTCGGCCGCGTGGGTCAAGTACTAAACTTCCGCCTCGTCTACGACAAAGATACTGGCCGACCAAAAGGCTTTGGCTTCGCCGAGTTCTCGGATCCAGACGCCGCGGCCTCAGCCATACGGAACCTGGACAACTACGAGCTCATGGGGAGGACACTGAAAGTCGACTGGTCCAAAGATGGCGCCAAAGGGGATGAAGCGCCGATGGATTACAACACCACACAACAGCCAACGACGAACGGCCAAGGACAAGATGCCACAGCACCTCCGTCCAGTGTGCTACCGCCTCTGCCGCCAGGAGCGCAGCTTGAGCCAGGCTTGCTGGCGCCCGACGCGATATCGAAAACACTCAGTGCCTTCCCTCCAGCACAGCTACTGGACCTGATGACGCAAGTGAAGAAGGTCGCAACAGACAATCCAGCTCAAGCGCACGAGCTCTTCAGAACCCAGCCCCAGCTCTCCTACGCCATCTTCCAGGCTCTACTCCTCCTCGGTCTCGTTGACCACACTACGCTGGCGCAAGTCGTAGACACCGCCGTGCTAGGTGCGGCCGCAGCTCCACCCGCGCCCGTACCTCCCCCACAACCACAGGCGCCGACACCACAAATGCAACCCGCAATGCCGTACCAACCTCCTCCGCAAGCGCAGTACCAACAGCCTCCCCCACAACCACAGTACCCAGGATATCCGCCAATGCCGCAGCAGCCGTTGCCGATACCAACACCGCCCGTGCAGCAACACTATCAGCCGCCTCCGCAGCAACAGCCTGGGCCGCCCGCAATGGATCAGCAGCAACTGCTTCAGATGGTGCTGAGCATGACGCAGCAGCAGATAGACGCGCTTGGACCGAATGAGCGGGCGCAGATCATGGCGATAAGGCAGTCGTTGATGGCGGGGCAGAGGTATTGAGGGTCATTCTTGAACGGCAATCTGCCTAGCATCACCACTGAATGGCGTGGGAGTTTTGGGCGTTGGCGTTGAGAGGGAAAAGAACTGCTCCAATGCAATCTAGGAGGGCATGTCACGTGACTATATCAGGTTGATACCAGATTCGCAGGTTCGCAGATGAGCCTCTAGCGTAGTCTAGGGAATGAAACCGCCTGAAACCACCGTTTGGTTTCCATTGCGATGCTCTCATGTAAAATGATAATCACTCGAGGTGTTCAAACCTGAGAGTCACAGGTCAATTAAGCAGTTCTGCCAAGCGTGAGGCTCCAACGCGTAGCCAGGTGATTGGGTGGTTGGCGCTGGGTGGCGGGATTTACCCGAGGCGTCTCGCTCCTCGCTCATCCTGGCAGGTTTGGCAGCTCTGAGTTGTACAGCACCAGCGAATTGCACCTCACCGACTCTCTGCGTTTGGCGGCTAACTAGCATCTGCTCGTCGGCGCGAGCATCCTTAGTCTGTACAGAATCATGACCTGACGAAGTGACGACTCTGCGAATACCCAAGATACCCCATTTGCGCCTGTAGAGCTTCTGCGCCATTTCTTGAGCACCATTGCAAGCATCGCAACCGGCATCCGCAAACGCGATCGAGTCAATTCGACTTGAAACCAGTGTCCGCATCACCATTGCCATCACTGTAGGCAAACATGTGGAATAAACTCACCGGAAAAGAGAAGGATAGCCCTTCCAAGAGTGGCCGTCCAAAGTCTTCAGCCTCCTCGTCTTCGCGCCGACGCGCCGAGTCCATTGTATCCCCATCTTCAACTAGGAATCCAAATCGTCGAGATGAGCGCCCAGAAAATCCTGCATCACGGAGTTCGTACCCGCCTCCTCCTTCCTCAGTAGCTTCTACCTATGCGACGGCACCCGATCGATCAGACCTCAACCGCCACGACCGTGCGCCGGATAGCCTATCACGAACATCGACTGGCGACAACGGTAGATATCGCGACGAGGGCAGCATAACATCAAGGCGTCGAGAAAGGTCATCGAGTCGTGATCGCAAGCGCGATCGTAGGGACCACTCTCACGGCAGGGACCGCAACAGCAAGAAGGAGAAGCCTGAAAAAAGAAGCTCCAAGTCTAGCAGGTCAGAAGCTAGCTACACGGCGGATCGTGGCGTGGACAGAGCGGGCGAAGCTTCATTTCCAGGCAGCGGCTCCTTCAGCGCGCAAGTCGGCGCATCAGGCTTCACACAGTTTCCCGAACAGTCCGGCGCACCATCCTTTGCATCACCAGGGACACATCACCTTACAAGTATGGACGCGCATGTGACTGCTCAATTTCCCGGCCAGGACCCTGCATCATTCTCAGCTCCCTATCGCCCTCCACTGGCTGCCTCTGAGGGAGGTCCTGGTCTAGCTGCAGATTACTACGGCGATCAAGGGCAGTCTGTATACACACAGCCAGGGGTACGGCCGGAGCCACCCAAGATTATCTACGGAGCTCAGCCACATCTTATGGCTGCATCAGCTGTCAGTGCACCACCACAGGAGACGGGACACGGCTCCGCGGCAGACTTCTATGCCGCTGGTAGCGCACAGCCACAGCAACTTATCCCGGACGAACCATTGCCACCCATCAAGCCTCTCAGGCCTTCGCAGACAATGCCCGTGGCTTTCCAAGCAGATGTCGCACCTGTGAAGCCTCCAAGACCAACCCAATCAATGCCAGGGGCATATGATGATTCGACACTACTAACAAAACCTCCTCGTCCGTTGTCGAACCAAAGCAGTTCTAGCAAACCTGACAAGCCGAGCAGAATTTCCACGTCTGCTGCGCTTGCTGGTGGCGCAGCTTTGGGTTATGCGATGGGCCATGGCAATAGCAATCACAGCGAGAACTCCAGCCGCCCCTATGACGGACAATTCAGCGCTACAAATTTTTACCAGCAGGGTGTCAACGCTCCGGTTACTGCCTCTGTTACCTATTCGGACCAGCCTCCTACCGCCGGCTATCATCAACACTCAGCATCCGCGCCGGCCGTCCCTACACTCGACAACTACGGCTACGCGCCATCGCCATCCAGGCCGGCAAACCCAGGTAAGTCAGGTAAGTCACCCTCCTACTCAAACACCGCAGCATTTGCCGCAGGCGCAGCAGGCCTAGGGGCAGCTGCCTATGCATCGAACCACCACCATGAATCTCACCAACGTCTATCCCCGCATCCTGCGAATAAGGTGTACCAGAATCCCCAGCATCAGAACTCCCAGAGCTCGTTTGCCTCTCGCGCAATGATGACCCAGCATCAACACCGCGGCCCGATCAGCAAATTCGTTGACTGGTGGAAAGACTACGAAGACGTCCGCAAGATGGAGGAATACACCGAGTATATTGGTGTCTGCCGAGACTGTTTCGATCCTCGAACTTCCGTCAGTGATGCTCCGAGGAAGCACCACCACCACCCCAGAAAGAGATCGAGCGAGAAGCTACGACCGAGCAGAATCGACAAAGATTCACGCTACTACTCCTCCGATAGCGACAACAGGCGCAAAAGCAGGACTGGACTGCTCGGCGCGGCTGCTGCTGGCTATGGCCTCGCCAAGGTTGGCAAGGCGGTTTTCGGTCAGAACCGAGTTTCGGATTTTGATGACACGCATAGTGCGAAGACTGGACGTCCGGAGTATGGCTCCAGAACTTCGCTGCACAGCCACAGCCGCCGACGCAGAAGTCGTTCTCCGGACCGCAAGAGCCAGACCTCGCATGGTATAGTAAGACCCCGAAGCCGCTCGAGGGACCGCGGCACTGCCGTCAGCTCAGCCAGCAAAGACTACGAGACTGTTCACCATCGCTCTCGTTCACGTTCCAGATCTCATTCGCGGGATCGCAAGTCGGGCTTATTCACCGCAACTGTAGGTGCAGCCCTTGGTGTTGCCGGTGCATCCCATGCGAGCGCAAAACGCAGAAGCCGGTCTAGCTCGCCGGAACGCCTGCATGTTGGACCTTCGGGGCACCGCAGGAGTCGCAGCCCGAAACCAAAAGTATACGGTGCGGCCGGATCCGATTACTATCACGGCTCGCGTTACTCCGTAGCCGAATCTTCTTACAATGACCATTCTGGATACCCTCGCCGGCAGAGCGCCGGTATCTTTAGCGGCCTGTTCTCCTCTGGTACTTCGGAAAAACCACACTCGAAAGTTCACACCAAGAAGAAGAAGAAGGGCTTCTTCAACTTCGGCAACGCCTCGACCTCCTCTTCCGACTCCGGTCTTGCGTACGGTATAAGTGTGGACCGAAGGCGCAAAAGCAAACCTAAGCGCAGAGACTCTGACGAGAGGCTGAATGCAACCCTCGTCGGCCTTGGCGCAACAGCTGCAGCACTAGCAGTAGCCCAGAACCGGCGCGACAAGCGTGGCAAACGTCCGGCTCAGGTTGTGGCCGTCCGGGAGTCGAAGGGAAGACCCAACCTCAATCGTCGGGTTGAGTACCACCGCGCAGGCTCAACCTCCTCGTCATCATCATCATCAGATGAAGCTTGGGAGTCTGCGCCCGAAGACGACGACACGTCCAGCGTTAACTCTGGGCTTGCGTTCGGCGACTTTGACTGGAGTCGCAAGCAGCCGGTCAGGAAGCAGAGTAGAGAGTCGCTCGCTTCAGATGCCTCAGGAACCTCCAAATGGGGCTGGCGATGGGGCAGCAAGAAGAAGCGGAAACCGTCTTCGTCATCTGTGAACAATGCTGCTGCGGCAGGTCTCGGAGCCGTAGCAGGTGCAGCGTTGGGCTCTCGGCATGAGGATGCAGCAAGCAGCGTTAGCAGCGTTCCGACGCTGCAGACGGTCTACCCAGTTCCCACAACAGACCCTTACAGCTTCGACGCCATTGGGAGAACGGCTTCTGTCTCGTCGACACACCCACAGCCGCTCATGACTGCGAGACCTGAGCCAGTGCCGTTGCAGCAGCCGCAGCCGATTACACCTGTGTCTAGTGCGGTGTATACAACTCAGCCGCAGTACATGCCGAGCTATACTGCGCCTACTGGTCCGCCAGTCTTTTCGAATGTCTCGGCAAAGAGCCCTAAGGCTTATTCAATTGTCATGGATGAGCGACCGCCGGTATTGCCGAGAAGAGGCAACTCCTCGCCGACCATCAGCATGTCCGCGAAGACTGCTGCGATCGCGGGCGTCGCTGGTAGTGTCGCAGCAGGGATCATGACGTCTAGAGGCGAGCGATGGCCGAAGGAAGCAAGCTCTCCTAAAAATGTAGGCTTCGAGCTTACGAGGGACCAGGCTGAACGTGAGCAGCGCGAGAGGCGGAAGCAAGACGAAGAGCTGCAGTACAAGGAGAGAACACGGAGAGAGGAAGAGGAAAATCGGTTGAGACAGCAGCAGCGCAAGCAGGAAGAGATGGCGCGTACCTTGGATCGCCAGTGGCAAGCTGAGGAGGACGTGCGTTTGCGAGAGCGCCAACGATTGGAGGATGAAGAAGCGCTCCGGAAGGAACATGACCGCTTGGCGCAACTGGAGGCAGAGATCCATGCTCGGGAAACCCGGGCGCAAGAGGAAGCAGAACGCCGCGCCCGCGAAGAGGCGAGAGCGGAAACTGTTCACAAGGAGACTGAGCAGCAAGCCGAAATGGACAGAGAGGCACAGCGCATTCAGCTTGAGCGCGAAGCTGCTGTTCGCGAGGCCGAGGCTCGCAGAGTTGCCGCTCAGGAGCGAGCTGATCGCCTTCGGCAAGACGCAGAGAATGCCCGGCTGGAGCGCGAACGTCTTGAACGAGAGTACTATGAGCAGGAGAAAGAAGAGCAACGAAGAAGGGAGGAGGAGCGGCTCAGAAGCCAGCGCGAGAGGGAACTTGAGCGCGAGATTGAGCTCAGACAGCGCGAACTGGAAAGCCGCGAAGCAAAGGTCACAGCACCTGAGACTCGGGTGGCTTCAGTGTCTGCTGGTATAGCTGGAGCGGCTGCCGGCGCTATCATAGCTCATGCCATCGACTCACGACACCAGGCCGCTCCCCATGATCCAAGGATCAAATTCGATGACGACGACCTCAACCCCTTTGGTGACGATATCTACGACCCGGACTACTTCCGGAAGAACAAAGACAAGACGCGCAAGGAGCGTGAGCGCGAAGCTCAGCTTGCTAGAGTGGCAGCTGCCAAGGTTGTTGCGGACATGGAACAACGCTACACGGAAGAACCCAAGTCTGCAGCTGAGATCTTCGCTCCTGACTTCAGCGGAGTAGTTGTCAGGAAGGTAGATCCGAACGGCGATAGCGACATCCAAGTCTACCACGCCCCGAACATCATCACCATCGAGCCGCCCAGGGGACCGCCATACGACCCTGCGTACGCTTTTACCGCGACAAAAGATGGCCACGACTTCGCGCAGGTTGCTGCACCATGGGCGGTCCCGACGCTGAACCTGATAGAGCCGACGCCCCCCGCCAGCCTTGCCGGCTCAGTCAGGGGCGACCGCTCCGTCCCCGTATCGCCGGCCTTCCCACCCCAGGAGCCAGTCGAAGCAGAGGCTGTCGAGGAGCTTCCGCCACGGTCGGAAAGCGGCTCTAGAGTCACTTGGGGCGAACCGCAGACTTTCCACTTTGACGTGGAGTCACCAGAGTCGTTCCGCGAGCACTACATCTCGGATGCTGATGCCGAGCAGGACAGTCCGAGGAGGCTGGATGAGATTGTGGTGGAGGTGGATTCGCCACAGGGTGGACCAAGTGAGTTCCGGTACAGGCCTGAGGTGCCCCACCAGTCGGCTGAGCGGAGCGCGGAACCAGCTGCTGAGCAGGACTGGACTGCGCCGGTGAAGAAGAAGGGTAAGAAGGGCAAGGGTAAGAAGTCGGACTCTGCGGCGGAATCGCCTGTAGAGGAGCTGCTGGTGTCTCCGGAAGCCTTCAAACGGCAAGACGAGCCTGTCGTTCAAGCATCACCGGCCGCTGAAGACGAAGCATGGGCCGCCTTTACAACGAAGAAGGCCAAGAAAGGAAAGGGTAAGAAAGCGGCCGCGGATAAAAGTCGAGAGGAGTCTCCCATGGAAGAGATTGTGTCTCCCGAAGCGTCCCGTTGGCAGAATGAGCCTTCCGTTGAAACATTCGAGCCTGCAAAGAGTAGTTCTGACGGCTCAACACCACGTGCAAGAAGCCAGGAACGCGTGATATACGAAGCGCAGTCGCCCGAAGTCGAACCCGTAGTCATTACGCCTGGTTCGCAATCCAAGACTGGCAGCTTCTACCAGAGTCCCTTCTTCGAGACTGTGTCTGATCTTGGATTTGATCCCAGTCTGCCACAATCTCCCCAAGAACATGGCTTCGTGGAGTCGCTTCCAGATACGCCGGCTGAAGAGAAGGAAGCAGCGATGCCGGGCGGCTTTGTCGAGGAAGTGGTAGAAGAGGAACCACGGCTTAGCAAGAAGGGGAAGAAGAAGCGAGGCAAGGACTTGGGAAGCGACAGTCCAGAGCCCAGGATAGTATCTTTGCCGGATTCTCCTGTGCAAGAGGTGGCTTCTCCAGTCTTCGAGGAGCCAGAAATGTTCGAACCGAAGCTTAGCAACAAGGACAAGAAGAAGCGAGATAAAGAGGCGAAGAATCGAGCTTTCGAGCCAGAGCTTGAGATTCAGCCTGGAGTAGTCTCTTTGCCCGATTCTCCTGTACAGGAGGCTACTCCCTCGCCGGTCTACGAAGAGCCCGAAACACCTGAACCGAAGCTCAGCAAGAAAGACAAGAAGAAGCGAGAGGAGGCGAAAACTCAGGTCCTCGAGCCAGAGATCGAAGCTGGGTCCAGAGTAGTATCCTTGCCGGACTCTCCAATGCACGAGGCGGTTCCTTTTCCTAGCTACGAGGAACCCGCAACACCTGAAGCGAAGATCAGTAAGAAGGACAAGAAGAAAAAGGAGAAAGAGGCGCTGCGGCGCGCTTGGGACGAAGAGAATTTGCCTGCTGCTCCCACCCCTCCTGTCGCAACCGATGCCAGAGCTGAGGATTTTGACTTTACGCCTACCAAGAAGTCGAAGACGAAGAGTAAGCGCGGAAGCGTTGAGCAAGGCTTCGCAGATGTTGGGTCTTCTTCAGACACCATGGCTGGCGCTGATGATCTCGGGACGCGAGAGGTCCAGTCAGGTGCTGCCCGGTCGGTCAGCCCTCCGCGCGAGTCAATCACGAAACCCGAGGACCCTCAGCCTCATAGCTCTCTGCGAGGATCTATTGCTACTGGTATCTTAGCCGGCGCAGTCGCCGAGGCTTCACAGTCCATGACTGATGAGCGCAAGCAGAGCGAGCCTTCTCCGTTCACAGTACCCCGAACGATGCCAGGCGGATTTTTCGACACCCCGGAAGATAACAACCGTGGACATCCTATAGGGGACTACGGTTTCCCAGCCACTGACCCCGACCGCCGCATCTCGATCCCTAGCACCGCTTTTGACGATGTCGAGGAGCTGGCTGACGCGCATAAGCCTAAGAGAGAGAAGAAGCTCAAGAGGCGCAGTGGTCGCTTAAGCGCGCCTACGCCAGGAAGTCCTCTGCGGACCGAGATCGCTTTTGATGACTACATCGGGGGTTCTGCTGCAGACGACAAGCCGAAAATGGATTTCTCGGAGGTGACTTCGGTCGAGCCGTTCTCTCAGACTCCTAGCGACGAGCACACTGAGACGCCACAGGACGGCAGCTCCGAGGGGTTTGAGGAACCCAAGAAGAAGGCTAAGAAGTCAAAGAAGGCTGAGAAGTACGACGAGGTGCCAGAAGTGGCGCTTCCTGCTGTCATTCCTCTTACGGAAGACTTGGCACATCCAGAGACGAGCGAGAATCCACGAACAGGCGATGACTCGAAGGACGAGGCGTCCTCAGCCCGTGAACTCGGTTTCGACGACTTCGATGAACCTAAGAAAAAGTCAAAGAAAGGCAAGAAGTCCAAGCGGGCAGATAGCTATGATGAGGTGCCAGAAGTTGCACTGCCGGTCATCGTTCCCCTGATAGAAGAGTCCGGACCTCTGGATACGCTTCAAAGCTCTTCAGTAACGGAGGAGACGGATGAGCGGACGGCCATAGTCCGCGATGTGGCCTTCGAAGACTTCGAGGGGCCCAAGAAGTCAAAGAAGAGCAAGAAGTCTAAGAGGGCACAAAGCTACGATGAGGTGCCAGAAGTTGCGCTGCCTGTCATTGTTCCCCTCACGGAAGAGCCAGAGAGTCATGCGGAGACTTCTGACAGTCCAGTAGTGACCGAGTCAATTAGGGATGAGGCGTCGCCAGCCAATGAAGCAAGCTTTGACGACTTCGACGAACCTAAGAAGAAGTCCAAGAAGAGTAAGAAGGCCGCCAAATACGTCGAGGAACCAGAGGTTGCACTCCCTGCCATCGTCCCTCTCACTGAGGAGCCATCAGAGTATGATGAGCAGCCGAGGAAGCTCAATGGAACCGAAAGAGAGGACTACAAGACACTTGAGGCTGAAGCTTACCGCTCTTCGGACCGCGACGTGAGAGTCATTGCCTCCGACAGCCGCTACGACTATGAAGATGACCGCAAGAAGCGTAAAGAGCGAAAGCACAGAAAGGATAGCGAAAGTCACGAATCTCCCGTGTCGTCTCCGCGCTCAACGGCTGCCTCAGAGCCGGGCGACTTCTACGAAGACAAGAAAGCATCGAAGCGCAAGTCCAAGAAGCGCGGCGATGACGATGATGATGCTGCCTCTGCGGTTTCGTCCCCAGCGCGCTACGGCGACGAGCCCAGCAAGACCAAGAGAGAGGAGAAGGGAGCATTGGGAGGACTGTTTGGGCTTTTTAGTAGGAGCAAATCAGTAGAGGCTTCGCTGGAATCTAGCAAATCCAAGTCCCGCAGCTACGATGACTATGGGAGCTCAGAGAAGGAACACCGAGAGAAGAAATATAGGAGCTCTTCAAACAACGCGGACGACAAGTACGACGCCCGATCGAAGTCTGAAGACCCTACCGCCGACACCGCCAGATCGAAGTCCCGAGACTCGCACGCAGATGATGGCGACGGCGATCCTGACAAGAAACACCGCAAGAAAAAACACCGTAGCAGTTCGGCATACGGCTCTGATGAGGACGACACCCGCTCGCACGCCTCGGGCAAGAGCGAAAGGAGGAAGCACAAGAGCCGCGACGGCAACAGAGATGATGAAGGTATGGATTCGCCCCGACACCAAACTTCCAAGGTAGACGACCCTTACCTCCCTGAAGAAACTCATGAGCCCCGTGGTATCAACGATCGAGTCATACTGACCAAGGTCCAGGAGTACGTATTCGATGATATCAAAGGCCAAGAACAGTCTTTTTTAGGCGAGCGGGCGGTGGATCAGGGGGATCTGCTACCACTGCCCGCTAGTACTTCTGAGGGTGCTTTCCTGCAGCCTGACACGAGCGAGGAAATCCGAGATGATGTCCAACTGGACGACGTAGCAACCGAGATTGAAACTCCGCTTCCATCACTACCTCCAAGCCGACCGACCTCGCCTCTCGAAATTGGTAGAGTGGTTGATCTCCCTTCATTGCCTCCCAGCCGTCCGGCTACACCACTTGAGCTACCGGAGGTCGAAAACTTGCCGCCAGTGCCTTCGAGTCGACCATTTACTCCACCAGCGGTTAGTAGAGCGGAGGATTTCCCCTCTTCACCTCCGACCAGGCCCATCTCGCCAATCGAACCCGGCACGGTCGTCGAGTTACCTTCGCTACCTGAAAGCCGTCCGACCACGCCAGTCGAAGTTGGGAAGGCTGAAGACTTGCCGTCACTACCTACGACTCGACCTTCTACACCAATTGAAGTTGGTAGCTTGAGGGACCTGCCTGCCTTGCCTGCTACTGAGCCTTCGTCACCAGTCGCGGTCGCTACGGCGGATGATCTGCGGTCTCTACCTGATACAAGCTTTACCTCGCCATTACAGGTGGGTGATGTGGGCACTGCCGCTGATCTACCTTCATTACCCGCTACTAGACCTTCGACACCAACCGAAATCAGCCGCGCTGAGGACCTACCTTCTCTGTCTGATACACGTCCTACGTCCCCAGTACCGGCAGGCAGCGCGGATGATCTACCTTCACTTCCTCTAAGTCGACCTACAACCCCGATTGAGGATGGGAGGGCGGTAGATATTTCATTCTTGCCTGCGCGTCGGCCAAATTCGCCTGTTGGAGTTGGTAGCATAGTTGACATACCGGCTCTTCCACAAAGTCGGCCAGGCTCGCCACTCTTGGTGGGGAGCGTGAACGATCTTCCTCAACTTCCTGAAAGCCGACCGTCTTCACCCTTGGGCGTCGGCACCACAGAAGATCTGCCGGCACTACCAGCTTCACGACCTGGCTCACCTTACATCGGAGAAGAGCCCTCCCATCGAGCCGATTCTCTCCAATTATCTAGGCGACAGTCTACAACCGCAATACCCCTCCGCTTTCGAAGACCACCACCATCTCCTGGCCTGTCCCGCGATGCGATCGTCAGCTCGCCGTCCACATACACGCTGTCCTCCCCGACATCAGCTCCTCGAATAAGGCACGCCAAGTCAAGGTCGAATGAATTCAAGACATCGACGCAGGAGTTCCGCCCACTGTACCTTGTTGAGCGGAACCGGAAAGCGCCTGAACCAGAGGTGCCTGAAGTTCTACCTTCGTTGCCCTCGAGCCGCACAACCTCTAGGAGCGCATCGGTGCAGGGTACTGAGGATGAGTTCCATTCCGCAGTGCAGTCTCCTCAACTGCGATCCAGTGATTATGGAGATGCATTCGAACATGCACCATTTGACGAGGACTACCTCGGCTCGCAGCAGGCCACCCCGAGAGCCTTCACCTTTCCAACAGAGTCGTCGGACTTACTCCATGATCTTGACAACCAGCCAGATCTGGAAACACCACTAGATGATTCGTTTCAGTCCGTCGAAGAGACGGTGGACCAATCAAGTGTATCCCCTTCGCATGAACGCATGGAGACTGAAGAATTTTCCGAGCCGCCTCATAGCCGACCACTCTCCCCCACTCAGTATCGAAGCCTATCTCCAAACGACATCGATACCACAGCGGCATCTGTGCCTCTCGAAGACACCGCCGAACCCGTGGCGCAAGAAATGCTATCTCAAGAAGATCCGATGATCCTCGACGACTTCATGGCTGGCGAACCCGACCCAGAAGATATGCACCCTGAGCTGCCCGCCGTTCCGGGCGGCGAGCAGCAGGCTTCAGAAGACTCCGTCAAGCCTGCACTTTCTCGCACTACGACCAAAAAGGGCAAGAAGAGCAAAAAGGGCACTAAACTGGGTACCTCCATGTCTGAGCCTGGCACGCCGACCGAGATCTCGCCTGAGGATATGCAGCAGATCCGCGAGAAGGATGCGCAGGATGCTGTGGATTCGTGGTTCGAACCGGCTCCGTCCATAGGCTACGTCCCGAAGAAGGGAAAGAAGGGGAAGAAGAGTAGGGGATCGTCCATGTCCGAAGGGCTCTCAAGCGGCTCGACTCCCCTTGAAGAAGACAGCTTGCCTCGGTCTGCGGTCGAGTATGAGTCTCAAGGGCCTCCCGGGCCGGTTCAATCCATCCCAGAGCTACCGAGCTTGCCTGGGCAAACTCTCGAAGAGGCACGCGAGCTTGTTGCCGAGCCAGAAAATGTAGAGTCTGAGATGTCAGCAGCCATTGAAGACACTAAGCCCAAATCCAAAGGCCTTGTCGATGTTCCAGAGCCGTCCGAAGAGTCCAACATACTTTTACAGCGCGATAAAGGGAAGGGCAAGAGCAAGAAGAAAGTTAGGAAGGGCAGCCGATCGAGCATTTCCATGTCCGCTGCTGAATCTGAGGCTGCTACGCCTCCTGAGCAGCGAGACGTTACACCTATTGAAGCTGCGATCCCTCTGCCAGAGTCTCCGATACCAGCAGCATCCCCACCAGTGCAATCTGACACTGTACCGTTGTTGGTAACTGATGCCAGCGCACTCGATACTGATGTTGCAATCCTTGGCTTGGAGCCCAAGGCTGGAACGACCGAGGATATCGGCGGTGGCAGTATCGAGCAACCGAAAGACCTTGACGAGCCAACATCGGCCGTCACGATCGTCGGCCCGCTGTCGGACGAATCGGCTGGCTATGTTGAGATAAGTCCAAGCCGCGATACTAATACTATGGAAGGGTCGAATACCTCAACAGCAATCCTTGAACTGCCAGAAGACGTCGCAGCACCTGTCGGCTTCGCTATCGAAGCAAGTCCTACGCAAAAGCCTGTTTTGTTCCGCAAGAAATCTAAGGGCAATGGCAAGAAGAAGCAGAAAGCCGATATTTGGGCTGAAGAACCTGCCGAACCTACAGAACCTACACTCCCTATAAACCCCACAGGCGCCATCCTGCCAGTCCAGGACGACCAGGCCTTAGTTCCGCCGGTTGGAGAGAGCGAGGAGCCGCTGATTCAGCAGACGTTACCCCCTCTTGAAGAAGTTTCGCAAATACCACTTCCGGAAGACACTGAGCAAGGAGCACCGGCCGGACATGTGGATCGTCCACTTAGTAGTGAGCAACCCACCGATCAATACGTCCTGCAGGAGATAGGACCAGACAGTCAAGACGTCGGAACCTCACTGCCTGGCGATGATTCAATGCGCGAAACACCGATGGAAGAGGGCCCTCAAGATTCTCAAACCTTCAGTCGGCTGACAGACGCACCTACGACTGGCGGTAAGAAAAAGAAAGGCAAGAAGAGCATGAAGGCTACTTGGACGCCCACTGAAGAACCTGCCTCGATGGTACCTGAAGTTGAGCCTGCCATTCTAGAGCTGGATTTAGAGTTGAAGGACCCAGAGTCAGAATTCGTTGTACCCTCGAAGAAAGCTAAGAGACCTAAGAAGAAGCAGAAGCAGGACATCTGGGCAGAAGATGAAGTTGAGCCGTCCGAGACCGTAGCACATGACACCGCTGTCCGTTCAGCTAACCAACAGGAGTTTCAACCTGTTGTGGACGTTGAGGCTACCTCGCCAGAGGATTTGCCAAGTTCGATTTCGCTTCCTGAAGGGAACGATAAGGACCTCTCAGAACCTCAGCCTGCCATTAATACCAGTGTTGAAGTTCCCAATGTCGCTATAGTGGACTCGGAGCAGCAGGAGGGCTCCGCCCAGATGCGGACGCTATCAACGGAGAAGGAGGAGCGTGAGACGACCCAAGTCGAGCCTGAGCTCATACCTTTGCCTCAAGAGGAAGAGGGTCTCATCGAAACTCTAGCGCCTGGTCTGGGCACGAAGCGTTCAGATTCGGAACATGCCGCAGACACAGTACCAGAACCGAATGAGGCATTACCTCTTTTTAGCGCGTCGTCAGGTGCCAGTATGCCTGAGGAGGCAGCAATCGGAAAGGAAGACACTCATACTGCCCTGGAAATGCCACCAAGCATATCGGCAGATGAAGCGACAGACGGACGTTTGCGGGTCGAGGAAGCCGAGACGTTTTGGGCTATGCCGTCGAAGAAGAAGGGCAAGAAAGCGAAGAAGTCCAGGGCCTTCACCTTAGAGATCCCTCAAGAATCTCCGGAGCCAGTGCCTGAGCCTGCCTTGTCCAGTATGCCATCACCTGCTCTGCGCTCAGAGGGTGCTGGATCGGAGCCTGCAGATCACCCGGAGCCGGTAGTGGATACTTCCCAGGAACAAACTGGTGGCGTTTCTATTCACAATATCAAGCCGGAAATCTCACCTGCTTCGAATGACACGATTCAGCCGGAGAGACCTCCACAAGAAGATCCGCTTTACACGACTTCCGTTCTCGAGTCACCGTCGGACGAAAAAGTCCCTCGATCAAGACAACCACCGGTTGAAGCCGAGGACGAGCGGCTACAGTCATTCGTAGAGGGCGTCTTGGATATCTCTGGTCTCGGCAAGAAAGAGAAGAAGGTTGAGGAGACCAAGAGCACATCCTTGCCTTCTGTCAGCCCGACCCTACCGCCACAAGGGAAGCAGCAAGAGGAGGTACTTGAGCCGACGCTTGCCGGCTCATTCGTATCGCCTCCAGCGGAGGGCGGAGTTGCGCTTCAGACTCCGGTTGATTCCTCAGACCAGCAAGCGACCCGCGATGTTGAAGCGCCATCTCACACAATGGAACAAACCCAATTGAGCCTGCTCGAAGATGTTGTTCGGCCAGCAAATCGAGATCTAGAGATGACTTCACAGACCGCGGAGATAGCAGAGACTGAAAGAGGCTTACCTGCAGAAGATCTGCCATCGCTGGAGGAACGAGCTCCGAAACAGCAGCGCGAGGATCTCTCACAGCCGACAAGCGGAAGTCCAGAGGTCGCTGCGACCATCGCGCATGAAGATTCTAACGAGTCATTCGGAGATCTACAGCGAACACTGCCGCAAGAAGAGCCTCAGTCTACTGTTCCAGACGAGTGGGCGATACCAACCAAGAAGAAAGGGAATAAAGGCAAAGGCAAAGGCAAGAAATTGGCGCCCGAAAGTCCAGCGCCTGAACTTGTCGAAGCGCAGGAGGACCCAGATCTTGAAACTCAAGATGCTTTGCTACCTCAAGACGAGCCAGCCCCGCCTGTCGCTGATGCGACCGTAGATGAGGAATGGGCACCTTCGAAGAGAAAGGGCAAGAAGGGCAAGAAGGGCAAGGCTGAGCCGAAGGTGCCGGAAAGCTCTGTCCCTCACGCCATCGAGGCTCCGCCGGAATCTGAGCTTGCTTCGTCTGTGTCGCTAGGCGGTCCAGAGGCATTCGTACCCCCAGTATCCGATCCAGTCATGCAGGTTGTGATGTCCGTGCCTGGCGAAATGAGGAGCGGAATCGAGGAGGAAGGTGGGCAAGCGATGTCTGATGTACCGCCGGCCGAATCGGTCAAGCCTGACGCGGCACCAGAGATTCAGATGGAGCCGCAAGAACAGCCCGCACCGCAGACAGTGCAGGCTGAGCCGCAAGAAGAGTGGGCTATGCCCGCCAAGAAGAGAGGCAAAAAAGGGAAGGGCAAAGGCAAGACGTCATTACCTGAGAGTCCAGCGCCTGAGGTCGCAGATATGCAGCGAGACATTGATCTCAAGACGTTGGTCGAAGAGTCAGTCCAGTCTCATGTACCTATTGAAGACCCCGTGGTTAAGGATGAGTGGGCCCTACCTGAAGCGAAGAAGAAGGGAAAGAAGAGCAAAAAGCGTGCCCTCGTCCCCCAAAGCCCAGTAATGGAACCCGAGGCTGTTCCTCTTCCAAAGACGCCGAGGGAAGAAGAGCCAATAGAGAGCCGGATAGTAGCGCTGGAACAGTTCAACACAGCGGCGGAGTCAGACGCTTTTGTTCCAGCCGACACAGCGCAAGAAAACTTACTACAGACTAATCCTGATGTTGATCTCGCTGAGACGACTCCGATCAGTCCAGCTGCTATCGAGTCATTGGAGACGTTATGGCCGGAGAACATGCCGAGCGAGCCGACTGCGCAGGCCAGCGAGCTACCTTTAGCACCGATCGAGCTCGGTGCAACAGACGCGCCCAAGGCCCCTCTGGACGAGACGGTTTCGGATCGAGTTGAGCCTGCAACGAGTAACCGGATTCCGGAACAATCCCAAGAGGACGGTACTGCGTCTGGGCTTCCAGTAGCGGATCAACCCTCAGCCGAGGAAGATGTACCTGAAAGGGAGGAGCAATCTCATATGGCGCAGCCAGAGGCAGTCCCAATACCAGATACTCCTCTCGAAGACTCGTCACTAAGAGAGCCTGAGCCGTTTATGTATAAGGAGACTGAAGGGATCGAGCCAACGATGCTTCCGTGGCCGGAGACGCCGCTTGAGGACCTATCACCATCTGAGATTCCGTTGCCTCTGGACGAAGATCAACAAGAGGATCAGAAGTCTATCAACGAGGAGTGGGCGTTTTCCAGTAAAAAGAAGAAGAAGGACAAGAAGCGTACGTCGACCTTACAAACACCTTCGATTGGGCTCACTGGGGCAACGACCGCCGACGGGCAAGAAGCGGGCCTAGAAACAGACAATGCCCAAGAGCCAGAAGCCATTGCTCTGCCTGAAGCTTCGCCTGTTGCGACGATCGCTCTCGCTTCGGCTACGTCTGAGTTAGATAGACTTCCGCAGAATGAACCTACGCACTATGACTTGGCCATGCCCACACAAGATCAAGGTGTAAGCAGCGAAAGCCAAGCAGTTGGCGTTATAGAGCCTAGTCCGGAATCTAGTCCGGCGGACGATCTCGACCCATTCCATGCCACGCAGCAAGGCACGCCGGCCAATTCTCAGACTGTCTCCGGTGATATTGGGCAGGAACAAGAACGACACGAGCCGGAAGTGGAATGGGCGCTTCCTTCGAAGAAGAAGGGTAAAAAGGGAAAGAAGCGAGCGAGCGGTTTCGAGAGTTACGATTCTGGCGCATCCCCTGAAGCCATGCCTTTACCTGACACGCCCCTTGAAGAGCCTGCAAATGTCGGTAGACAACTGGAACCTGAGATCACAGACCCAGAGCAAGCGCCGGATGGACCGGTTGAGCCTCAGCCTGAGGATTGGTTTGGTCCGTCAAAGAAGAAGGGCAAGAAAGGCAAGAAACGAATGTCCGTTCTCGCTACACCAGTCTCGGAATTGGCGGAAGCTGAAGTATTGCCTCTGCCGGAATCGCCGCTCGAAGAGCCCTCTACAATGACCCTAGAACATTCATCTGGAACTACGCCTTCTCAAGCCACGATCGTTCCGGGAGCAACTATTGAAGAGGATGATGACGCTGCCGTGCCTAGGATCAGCCTTGAGCAAACTCACTCGCCTGAAGCTCGCGCATCCTTCCCACCCGGGAACTCACTTGGGGAGGCAGATAACTTTGACCTTGTACCGCAAGCCGTCGCTCTTCCACTGTCACCGCCTGCAGAATCATTTCCCCCTCGGGACGATGCTGTTGAGCCGACGAGCTTTACCTTGGTGCCAGAGGATGCTAAAGAAGCGCTCGATGAGCCTAGCCCAGGGGCTGTACCGCTGTCAGGAACGCCAGTGGAGGATCTATCCGTTCCAGGAATGTTTCGGGATCAGGATGCTGTAGTAGCCGATCCTGTCGTAAACAGCGAAGACTTCACTCACCCACTGGAAACCGATCTCGACGCAGCTGGCAAAACTTCAGATCGAGATCCAGAGCCGGAAACCAATGAGACGGGGATTAAAGCCGATATTGTTCCAGAGCCGACACAGGATGTTACAAAAGACGCGCCTGGTGCTTTCCCCGAAGACATACCAAATAACTCACTTGCTGCATATGCAGTGTCTGATCAACCAGCGGAGGAAGGCCCCATCGAGGAACCAGGCGTGCAACAGCCTGCCGCATCCGAGACCCCTGAGGAGTTTTGGATTGGCACAAGCTCCAAGAAAAGCAAGAAGGGCAAGAAAGGGAAATCGAAGTCCGCTCCAGCCACGCCACCAGTCGCTTTCGAGATAGAACAACGACAGCCCGCCGATCCATACAGCGAACCGGCACCCCTAGGCGAGTCTGATGGCCCTAACGAGATTGTCACCGAAGGCGTCGTGCACACGGCATCAGACGAGAATCGGGGCGCGCCCACTATCGAGCCCACTATCGAAGAACCCGAGCAGGATATTTGGGCAGCCTCCTCATCCAAGAACAAGAAGGCAAAAGGAGAGAAAGCCAAGCAAGTTTCTGGGCTCAGCACACCGACAGCCATCCGAGAGCCTGAAATAGTCCGAGATTCTATCGTGGAAGACCAAGCAGCCAATGCTGAAGATGCACTGCACGACGCAGACATGAACCCGCAAGACGAAGCCATCGCCAAGTCCGAGGTAACTCTCGGAGCACAAGAACAGGTAGTCGAAGACGAATGGGCCATGCCGTCAAAAAGCAAAGGCAAAAAGGGTAAGAAGGGTAAGCAAGCTTCCGTTCCTAGCTCCCCGCCGGTCTTGGGGGAATCAGAACCGATCCAGCTCTCGACGGACGATGCCTCAGAAACAACATGTGGAGTTTTTGTGCCACGCAACGAATTACAAGAGCCTGAGCAGCCGATCGAAACCCCGCAAAAACTTCAACGTGCAGACGCCGACGACGGTTGGGCACTCCCGTCGAAGGGCAAGAAGAAGAAGAGCAAGAAAACCTCACTCTCTGTTACTCCCTCTGTTGCTCAAGAGCGAAAGTCAATCTTCGATGCATCACAACTTGTTCGTAGAGCAGATGTCGAAGCTGATTCACAGGTTATCGAGCTGGTCAGCCCACGGCAACCTACTCCCGTGCTCGAGTATGCTCGAGAAGGGGAAATCGACCAAGACTTGCTAATGTTCCCGGAGAAGAGGGACGAGCATGGAAACAAGACAAATGATGATCCTATTTCCGACACACCAGAAGCAGCAAATGTTCCAGAACGTGTGAGTGGCAATGACGAGTCCACCGAGCCCGTGAGGGTGTTGGAGGACAATGAGCTGGATCGACTGAGCGAGCAGCCCCTTGCGGTATCGAAGAACGCACAAATTGAGGATTCATCGAACGAGATGGTCGAAGTTAAAGACCAAGCTAGTGCCAATATCCAAGAGCTAGTGCTAGCCGCGGCTGAGGCGCCTCTGGAGGAAGGTCCGGATAACTTTTGGGCGCCCACTCCCAAGAAGGGCAAGAAGGGAAAAAAAGGCAAAAAAGCTGCTGCTCTCGCGACGCCTCCTATATTCGAGGAGTCAGAGCCAGTCTCGCGAGAATTCGCAGCGATCGAAGCTGCACAAGAGCCCGAGGTTGATGACTCCAGCACCAAGGTATCCAAGAAGGAGAAGGGAAAGGGCAAACGCAATGACAAGCATGGTCCGGCGGGTGACTTCGAGACCGCGCAAGAGGATCCAAACACACCTTTTGTAATCCTCCCAGATGCACATACCGAGCCAGGCATAGATGTTCCGAGACCGAGCAGTCCGCTTCAGCTCTCGGCACCCTTATCAGCACGTATTGCCGCCAGCGAGACTGATGGGGCTCAGCGACAGACGAAGGTAGCGACCGGGGAAAATGATGGTATCCAAGACATGCCAGCACCTTCGGCCGTGCCTTTACCATCCCCGGCTGAGGGCGAGGAAAATGATCTGGCGACGGAGTTCGCGGGTCAATCTGAGGCTGATGAGAAGCCAACGTTCGACCCGCATAAGGAACTTGCCGCTGAGCAGCCGCTAGATGCGACTAATACCGCCGATGATACTTGCGCAGGGGGGGATATGGAATCGAGCACTGTTGAACTTCCCACAAACGACCGACCGGTCAATCTTGCCCCATCGGCTTCAGACCGCAGTCTGGTATTGGACAGCCAAGACACCGCGACAGAAATTCCTTCCGATATGTCAGCCACTCTCCCCCAGGCCACACAACCACTTTCCGACGAGATCCTGCCAACACAAGAACCGGTCGTGGCCGAGGAGACTGCCCCTGAACCACAGCTAGGCGAATTTCTGGAAGAGTCGCGGCGGGGTACGATCCAGAGCCTGGACGAGGCCGAGCTCGGTAGCGCAGAAGTCATGAGGCAACCGGACATTGCTCAAGAAGCTGAAGACATCGAGTTGTTCTCGGTCAAGAAGAGCAAGAAAGGCAAGCTGAAAGCTAAGAAAGGGAAGACAAGGCCACTCGATGCTGCAGGATCCACCGTTCAGGAACCAGAAACCGTGCAAGAGGTGGAGCAGGCAGTATCGACCGACGACGCCATCAACAAGCCTTTCCCAACGGAATCTGCTGTTGCGCGTGAGCCGTGGTCACAGCCAACCGAGGGGAACATCGAATCCGACTACCAAGACCCAAGTGAGACAGTTGCTAGCCAGGTCCTTCTCGAAGCCGAGCCAGAGGAAGAGTCCAGCATTAGGAGGAGCAAGAAGGACAAGAAGAAGGACAAGAAGGGAAGGGCAGCGGGCTTTGAGTCTCCGACTCCGCTTGATCCTTCTTCAACCGAGCAGCAAGCGCCTGCAGATCTCACTGGTGGAGCGTTGCCCATCCTGACTGTCAATCCCAACCAGCCTCAGACCGTTGAAGTCCTAGATGACGCTGCTAACGAGGTGCTTCCTGAAGATCTGGAAGAAGAGGGGGCGATTCAAGTGCCCGAGGTGCCGTCCCTGACGAGTAAGAAGGACAAAAAGAAGGCCAAGAAAGCAAAGGCTAGTGCACTTCAATCACTTGTCTCGGAAGTGCCGCCAAGCATAGAGTCAAGCGATGCTCAGATCCACGATGCAGGACAGACAAGCGCACCTAGAGATCTTACGCAAGACTTGGGACCCGAGGTGCCTCATGACATGTTTTCTGACTCCGCCCACGTACTGGCGGCATCTGAGCCAGATGGTTTGACAACGTTTAGCGTCAAGAAGAGCAAGAAAGAGAAGAAGACCAAGAATGGCAGACAAAACTTCACCGCCGAGGCCCCGAGCGAACCACCAAAGCTTGATGATAGTCAACCCTTATGGGATGAAGTCTTTGAGACGGCATCTGCTTCTCAAGCAGCCGCCGAGCGGGCCCTGTCCAAGTTTGCGGGGACTGCACAGTCGAATGAACAAGAAGCCATCGAAGCAGCTGCGGTCCCTTTGCCTCAAGGCAAAGAACCAGTCGACCAATCTAACCCTGCTTCTTCCCTTGGATATCTGGATGCAGACCACAGTGCTGATGTGCCGCTGCAGGAGGCTTCAGTGGTGAGGTCTACATCAAACGAAGATATCGTCCTGGTAGGGGATCAACCTATGAAACTCCCGGCCGAGTCCGACGTAGCACGTACCGCTGGAGGATTCCCTGACCTCTCGAGGAATAAATATTCATCTCCCATACCAGATCTTCCACTCCCTCCCGTGGACGCCCAGGCCTCCGTTGATCGTCAAGACGAAGCGCTACTGAAAAGCGACTTGGCAGAAGCCACCGCTTTGCCCCTGCCAGACTCTGGGGCAGGCATGGAACCACAAGCGGTCACTGAAGGGACGGTTTTGAAATCTGCTCTCGTTCCGCTCCCCGAGCCTTCGACTGAGGAAGTAGAGCTACTCACAGAAGAGCCGGCCCGTGAGCCTATCCTTATCCCGCTTCCTAAGCCCTCAGCTCAGGAAGAAGCAGAACTAGACATGGCCGACCGAGACCCTAAGCAAGCGCACGGCCCAGCGGATGTTCCATTCGACATTGACAAAGACGAAGCTGGAGCCGTGCCGCAAAGGCGGCAAGAACCCGAGCCTGGCGAGCCGTTTGAGGCTACTTTCGCTCCCGTCGAGAAGACTAAGAAGGGCAAAAAGAGCAAGCAGGATAGACAAGGTCCCAATGCCCTTGCTGATGAGCCTCCCTTCGAGGCAAGCTCTACCGCCGAGCTACCAGAACAGATCATTGCGCAGCCAACAGCAAAGTCACCAAGCGATATTGATTTTGCTGCAACGCTGGCCGCAGGCCTTGAAGAATCCGGCTTTGACCCAAACTTAGTCCTCAATAAGCCTGCCTTCCATCGCAGGTCATCTCCTGCAGGATCCATCGCAGAAGCAGACCCCGAAGAAGTGTTCACCATGACCACGAAGAAACCAAAGAAGGACAAGAGGGGCAAGCTTAGACGAACGTCTACAGCAGGCACCTCTGAGGTGACTACGCCGAAAAACGAAGTCGAGGAGACCATTCAAGTAGCAAAGGTTTCACCGCCTTTGGACGACAAGGACTTCACGGACACCTTGGCGGCAGGGCTTCAGAGCTCTGGCTTCGACCCAAGCCTTGTGCTCAATGATCCGGCGTTCAGCGGGCGACATTCTCCAACAGGCGACGCGGATGCCGTCTCGGATGAATACTTCCCCTTCCAGAAGAAGCCAAAGAAAGGTAAAAAGGGCAAAAAGAGCCAAGCTTCTACACCGGATGTACTACTAGAATCGCGCGAGGAAGTCTCAGAAGTCGTACCTTCTGGAGAGGCTTTGACTACAGTGGTAGCAAGCGAATCGCTCCAAGAACCTGCAACCGACAGTCACGAACCGAACGCGATACCTCTATCTCGAGAACCCGCTGTTTCGCATATCGAACTGGCGCGGGAGCGTGCTGCAGGCGCTTATGCAGATCTTCCGGCAGTAGATAAGCCAGTGCTCGATGTTGCAGCAGTTGCTTTTGACATTCTCGGGTCTGAGCAGGTCGAAGCGGCTGATAGCCGAAGTCACGATATCTCTGAACAGCGCGAGGATGGTGAGGAAGGTAGGTTCACTACGGACGCTGAGATGATCGAGGTGGTTCCTGCCATGAATAGTCTGATGGTTGGGATGTCCAACAACGCGCTCGCTGAAGAAGCCTTGGCCGTTGAGATCCCGGCTACCGACGTTTCGATCATCGAATCTGCGGAAGAACCACCAAGCTCCGGCGCTACAACTGTGGAAATTCGAGACAGCCCCGCAACATTTTCGGACCTACTTTCAACCGATAAAAGCACCCGGGATCTGACCCTGCCTGCTGAGGAAGTTGACAGTCACGTCGACTTGGTTCCTACCGGATTCGAGCATATTGTGGATACAGACGCTCCTCAGCCACTGTCGCAGGATGTGATCAACCAGAATGCTTTGGATACGGTTCCAGATGCATGGGTGGAGCAGGCCCGTCCGCCCCTGAAAGAGTTGAGAGAGGCGCAGCGAGAGGATGTTGGGCAACCGGATGAGGATCACGGGGAGGTGGATGAGTTAGGTTTTCAGTCGAAGAAGGAAGGCAAGAAAGGGAAGAAGAGCAAGACGGTTCTGGCAACGGAGGAAGCTGGAACGCCTAGTCTTGTCGACACCTTGGCAGCCGCTGCTGCTGCAGCAACCGTAGCCGTGACAGCATTGGATTCAGAACCAACACATGTTGAGACTGCTCCGCCTGAGATAATCGAACAGCCGCGAGACGAAGATGCCTGGGCCGCTCCGACCAAGAAGAAGGGAAAGAAAGTCAAGAAGAGTACAGGCACCTCGACGCCTCTAGAAAGATCGATCGCCGCCGAGGATCTAGCTGATGCTCCAAAGGAGCAGCCATCGATTGAGCAACCCATCTCAACCGAAGAGCAGCCTGAACCATTGCCACCAACGGAACCGCTCGAAGAGGGTGATACTTGGGCAGTTCCACTGAAGAAGAAGGGCAAGAAAGGCAAGAAAGGGACAGGTTCATCGACGCCTCTGGAAGAAGTGATCGCGCCTGAAGCTGTGATGGAGACTGCGGGTGAGCGGCCCTTCGTCGAGCAGCCCACTCTCCCTGAACCCCAAAAAGACGATGGAATTTTGACAGGTGAAGTGCCTCAAGAAGACGACCTTTGGGCAGCTCCGTCCAAAAAGAAGGGCAAAAAGGGTAGGAAGAGCACGGGCATATTGACGCCTCAGGAAGAACCGGTCGTATCCGACATTGTACCGAAGTCTGGAGAGGAGACTTCAGACGAGCCCTCATTGATCAAGCAGCCTGTTCCAGCCGATGAGCAAGACCACGAACAGCTTCCGACAGCGGAACCGCCTCAGGAGGATGACATCTGGGCAGTCCCAGAAAAGAAGAAGGGAAAGAAAGGCAAGAAAGCAACAAGTACTTCGACTCCCGAATCGCTGCCAACGCCAAATCCCACAACTGAACGGTCGCTTGCCGAGCCAACGGTTGGCACAAACGGCGAAGAAGACACCTTGATTGTCCCGGATCAGCGGCAGGAGGAGTTTGCATGGGCTCAATCGTCCAAGAAAAAGGGCAAGAAAGGGAAGAATGAATCAAAGAGAGCTGTAACAGAGCTTAAGCCTTCACAGTGTCAGGATACATCAGGTGTTGCAACTCCTGTGCCTGAGGTCATTGAGCCTGAGAAACCCGTAGCAATGGAGAGCCAACAGGACATTATCATTTCAGCCCCCGAGCTAGAGGGGACGGAAAGACAGCTTAGCCAATCGTCGGAAATTCCGGCCGCATTCAACAGCGGGTTCGGCGGGGAGACATTACATCCTCGCCCTGAGATTGTCGAGATCAAACCAATGGGAGAAGAGACTCTTCAGAGTCAGTTGGTACCCATTGAGCGTTTCGTATCGCAGCAGCAAATAGCGGAAGAGCCGTCTGACAAGACGGTAGACGAGGTGGAGGCTGAATGGGGTTTGCCAGTCAAGAAAAAGGGCAAGAAGGGAAAAAAGAGGGAAAGAGGAGGCACAGATCAAGATGTCGGTTCTCAGGAGCCCAACATACTGGTCAAGGAGGTGCCTCGAGAGACAAGAGATAGCGCAGCGGATCTGGAGCAACCAGCCATAGAGGAACTCGTTTCAGTACCATTGAACGACTCACCTGCAGCAGGCGGCGGTTACGTTTCGGACAAGCAGCCAGACACAGTGCACATCAGTCCATTAGAAGGTGTCAAAAACGAGGTTCGTGCAGAGCAAGGGGAATTACGAGAAGAGGCGAGTGAGGGCTGGGCAGAAGATATCCTCACCCGGGTCCTTTCGTCTCCTGTTGAGTCTTACGGAATAGCTTCAGCGCCCGAGAAATCAATGATGCCCGATCGCTCGCTAGGACGGCTTGACGATGAACCCACCAATGCACGCTCAGGCCCACAAAGCCCACCAGGCAAGGTTGGGAGCATGTTCCCTGGTCTCGAGCGTGTCAAGCGCCGAGCTCCTTCCTTCTCGCAACCAGGGGAACAGCCATCAGAGAAGAGAATCCACTTACCAGAAGTCAAGCTGCGAAGAGCGTCGCGTCCGTCCATTGATCTAGCGCCACATCAGGAGAAGCGTGAGGGTGAGGCTCATCGCGTAATACTCCCTACTGATCCGGTAGAGCCAAAGGTCAGCATTGTGGATCAATTGCAGGAAGCCGACCAGGAGCGAGAACCACCAAGCGCTGAAGGCATAGCATCTGCCCTCGAACCAACGTGGGCATTTCCAGATAACCGCGACAGTGCTTATGTATCTGACTCGCCTCTACTCCCTTCGAGCCAGATACCTGCTCGCAACGTTATCCGTGACAGTGGGTTCCACGAGGTTGCAAGTCCGATGCTGCAGCAAGATCCAGATACGAGGTACGATGCAACCGCTTTGGAAAGCATTGTGCAAGATGCCATTCCGCAATCGCCTGAGGCGACTGCTCAGGAGGTGTCTCAGCCTGATGAAGCGGAACCTTTGTCGTCGCATATGGACATCCATGAACCGCCGAGCCCTTCATCACCGCGACTCGTATCTGGAAGAGATGAGGCACCAGTTTCTCCACTGCAATCGACGAGCAAGGACAGAACCTCCTATCTATTCAAGTCCTCGCCTTCAACCCATGAGTTAGCAGACGAGCAGTCCGCCGAGCCTCAAGGTATCGAGGCCGTGCTCGAGCGGAATCTCTCCCCTGTGTCGCCTTTGATAGACCAAGACGAAGCTCCACGCTCGATAAATGAAGACCAAAGATATCAGACCGACAACTCTGCCGATTCACAGCAAGGGAACGCTCCCTCGTCAATCTTCGGTGATCCTAATCAACATGAGTTCGACTCTACCCGCTCAGAGGACCTTGAAGTTCCGGGAAGCAGTTTCAGAACACCTAGTGCTCCTCTGGATACTATCAGAGAATACAGCCCGATGGAGGAATCGCCACTCAGCAAGAAGAGCAGGGCATTCTCAGAAGAGCCTGAGGAGGCGCTCGAATCTAGAAGTCGATCGGTATCCTCCAGCCGACTATCCCGCAGCCGAAAGCTTTCTCCATTGTCGGACAGGGCTCAGACGTCAACCTTACAAAGGCTAGACAGTCCGAAGGGCCCACTTTCTACAGACGATCTTCTTGATCGTCTATCATGGCCTCCTGTTGACGAAGAGAAAGAGACCGTTGCCATCGATCGCACACTGCGTCTTGATCCAGCCAAACAACGCGCAGCTGAGAATCTTTCTCCAAGGCCCTTGCACGACCCGACAAGGCGTCGCGAAAGCGGCACGCTCTCACCAAGCGTCTTGAGCGACAGGTCCAGTGGTAGCGCGAGGTTCAGGACGCCGGAGCACCTTCGGCCAATGAGCGCAGTCAGCAATCGGTCTTCAACTCCTCCCCTGCGAAGAACGGATCGCAGCTTGTCAGGTGACTTGAGAGCCGCAAGCAAGCGGGAAGAAGCGAAAGCGCGGTCCGCGACAATTTCTCCGCAGCCACGTGCTGAGCCGCCGGTCGCAGGACCATCAACATACGATCGCGTCAACGACAAGGGCAAAGCCCGCGCGGCGGACATGGCCGACCTCTACGTAAGTGATATTTAAGATTGCAACGATGCAAGGATTGCAACGATTGCGACATAGAAACTGACAGTTTTACAGGAGGGCTGGGGCGATGCGCCCGGTTCGCCCTCGTCACAGGCGCGCCCGCCGAGCGTCCGGAAGCGACAAAGCATGCACATCATGGACCTCGAGACGCGCCTCGATCAGCTCGCATCAGAAAACCGCCTGTTGCAAGAGGCCAAAGCGAGAGCTGAGGAGAATGTGCAGGACGCGGCATATCAACGAGAGGTCGTGAGCACGGCGACTGCCGAGGCTCTTCAAGCACGTGACCTGCAGATGCGCGACAAGGATGCCGAGATAGCTCAGATCACGACGATGCTGCAGTCGCTGCGACAAGAGATTGCCAGGCTGAGCGAAGCCAATCATACATTGACTGAGGCCAACAAGAACCTCTCTGACGATACGAATGAGCGGTATGCTACGCTGCAGGCCGAAAGCGCCTATGCGCATCAACAGTGGCAACAATCTGCCAGGGCGCTGGACGACCTGCGCCTTCAGCACCAACGGATGACTGCTGGTGTAGAAGCCTTCGTCAGAGATGAGATCTCCAAAGCGCTCGAAGACAAGGATGCGGAGATCCGCCTGCTTAAAGAGGAGCTCGAAGATGCTATGGAGCAGATCAAGCTGCAACAACGCCAAATCATGGCCTCCAAGCAAGGCGACAGCTTCCTCACAGTCCGCGATGAGGACTACTTTGACAGCGCCTGCCAGAAACTCTGCCAGCACGTGCAGCAATGGGTACTTCGGTTCTCCAAGTTCTCCGACACTAGGGCCTGCCGCCTCTCAACAGATATCGGTGATGAAAAGATCGAGGCCAGGCTAGATAACGCCATCCTCGACGGCTCAGATGTAGATCTCCTACTCAGCGATCGCATCAAGCGGCGAGATGTCTTCATGTCAGTGGTGATGACCATGGTTTGGGAATACGTCTTCACGCGGTACCTCTTCGGTATGGACCGGGAGCAGCGACAGAAGCTCAAAGCGCTGGAAAAGATGCTTGGCGAAGTTGGTCAGTTCACCTACCCAGTCCACTTGCTGATCTATCTATCCTAACAACCCTCGCAGGCCCCACAAGCGCCGTCGCCCAATGGCGGGCTATAACCCTGACCCTCCTCTCCAAGCGCGACATCTTCGTGCATCAACGCGCCCAAGACACCGAAGCCGTCGTGCAAGAGATATACGGCACGCTCGCGACGCTGCTCCCGCCACCGCCACCCCTCCAGCCCCAGATCCTCGACTCCCTGCGCAAAGTGACAACCCTCGCGGTCGAGCTCTCCATCGAGATGCGCACCCAGCGCGCCGAGTACATCATGCTGCCTCCGCTGCAGCCCGAATACGACACCAACGGCGATTTGGTCCGGAAGGTGCACTTCAACGCCGCGCTGATGAACGAGCGGTCCGGCGAGGTGAGCAGTAATGGGGAGCTGGAGGCTAGGGAAGCGGTTGTGAAGATCGTACTATTTCCGCTGGTTGTGAAAAAGGGGGATGACAGCGGTGAGGGCGAGGATGAGATCGTGGTCTGTCCTGCCCAAGTCCTGGTTGCGGGGCCGCCGAAGAAGAAAGTTGTGAGGGTTGTGAGTGGGGCGATGAGTCTTGGGCACAGAAGCAATAGGAGCATGCCGAGTGTTATTATGGAGGATGCGGAGAATGTGATTTAGGGTGAGGGTACGAGGGGGCAGGATCGAGGATTGCAGTTGACGCGGTCGAGGCGCCCGGAGTTGGGCTTGTTCCTTAATGGCGTTTATCTTGTTTTGAGGTCTGAAGACCAACGGTTTATCGGTTCGGGCACAGTGAAGGAATGTGGATTTTGGATAATTTGGATCAAACCAAGTACATTACCTAAGCAGACATCGTCTCTTCTCCTGATACAAACCCTTGGGGAGACTCAACTGCAGCATCGGCACGTCGAGTGTAAGTGTTGCTGCGCCAGTGGGAAGCAACTCGGTGCAGGATGAAATTTCTGTCTCGGTGTTGCTCGTGGACGCAGTCCCCTTGGGAGTGGCACCAACATTCCAGCCCACAATACTCCGTGTGCCTGATAACTCGAGTAAAACCCGCGGTCGTGAACATAAATGTGGAGGTTGCCCCCCATCAAGATGCAGGCATCGAAACGATTTGAGATGATGGGAGTGAGCTCTCAAACGTGAGTGCGGAACATTGAGTATTAGGATTGCAGCGAATCAAATAGATTTCACACCAGTCACCGCGGGCATGCAAACACGGCTAAGAAAGATAGAAATTGGTTACTATAATCAACGGGGTATCTAACAGCCCCCCAACCGCATCACCAACTCCTTCGCGAAGGATCCTCACGATTCCGCTTCCCGCACTCATCACACTAGAACACCATCATGGATCCAAAGCACCACCCCGCCTCACCACTCCACCCAGGTCCATCTCCTCTCCATTCCCTCCCTCAGCTTAAACCCTCTTCCCACTCCCCCTCTTCACCCCCTTTGCCCCACCTTGACTAGCCGGACTAACAAACCCACTCCCCCCGCCCGCCGTCGCAGCACTACTCCCAGCCGGGATCTCCTCCGCAAGCCGCTCCGCCATGTTAGCGTCGTATTCTCTTTCCCTGGCCCGGATGGTCGCCGGGTCCAGCGCGCGGGCCGTGGCGAGCAGGTCCACGGATTCGTCGTCGTCACCATCGTCGTCATCGTCGGATGAGGGGGAGGAGCTTGTAGAAGTGCTCTCTTCGGCAGAAAGGGAAGGGGTGCGGGAGGAGAGCGCGTCGGAGGGGAAGAGGGCGAGATTGAGAGGCTGGGGCGCAGCGGCTGGGTGGTCTGAAGTCGCTGCGCTGGGGGCATCGGAGTCAGAGTCGACGTTGGAATCGGAATCGCTGGCTTTGTCTTCGTCTTCATCGTCCTCGTCCTCCGACGCCGACGCGGACGCGCAGGGGTTAAAGTGGATGGGCGGCGGGAGCACCGAGGCTGGGAGATCCCTCTTTCTGGCCGCGATGACTTCCGTCCTGATGGTCGGCCCCGGCACGGCCCTCGAGTTGTGGGCCGCCGGACGGCTGATCAAGTAGTCCTTATGGCGCTGCTCGAGGAGCCGCTGAATCTTGCGCGGATAGCGCATCGGGACCTTGAATGCCGGTGCTGGGCGCCCTTTGACGCGCGTTTGGCGGCACTGGACATGGATGGCGAAGTGGTCAGCCGGATAGACCCCACCGACGCCAGAAACCTCAAATGGGGCGGGTCTCGAAAGGGGTAAGATGGCGGCGGGAGTTTTGATGGGATCAGAGTGGATGCGGAGAGCGACGTCGCTGTCGTCGAGATCCATCTGGCTGATGCGGTCATAGAGGCTCTTGACGTGGTCCAGGGGCCTCCGAGTCTCAGCGAGATCTCCGGTGCTTTCGTGTGCAGGTTTCGAGTCTGTTCCGATAGGATAGGATGTCACACTGCTGTATATTGGCGTGTGGGTGGAAGCGTGCGAATTCAACTTGCTGTCGCCGCTGAGATCTGTGCAGAAGTTGGCCTTGTTGTAGAAGATGATTGGGCCATCAGCTCGCCGCTTTCGCGCAAACGGTGCCATACCGAAGTTAGGGAACCCCGATGAGTTTCCGGGAACATACGCTGGCGGAGATGATTCGGCATCACTTTCCTCGGCTTTGGAAACCACGTAATCGTCGTCTGTTTCTTCTTTGTGGAAGAAAAGCGGCGTATAGGCAAACCTCTCCTTCTCCTTCGCCAGCTGCGTCGCTAATGTTTTCCGGTTGAGAACTTGTTCACTTGCGCTGTCGCTGCCATCATGGCCTAGCTTGCGACGTTTTTGGCCGAATCTCTGTACAGCCATATCCTCGGCAGGTGACGATCTACCACTGCGCCCACTAGACGGGCTGTCGCTGCTCATGCGTGTCCGGTCGCGGCCACCCTTCCATCTGATTTTCCGCCCATCCTCTGACATCTCGAATTTAGAGCTGAGATCTGTGACAGCCGACCTCACAAATTCGGGAGTTACGTTGATCGTGTGCAACTGCGCCATACCTATGAGGAGATTAAGATAAATCCAGCCATGGCCGTCCTCTTGCGCTTCGTTCGCATCGAGGTCCATCGGAGAGAAGCCAAGATGTCGAATGTACTGCAAGTTGTCCTCTGGCACCTGCGCACGTTGGGGGTTCAGGTCCAGTGGTCGCGTAGGCCGTTGGTCGGGAGATCGTTGGTCGGCGAGATCCTGTTCTGATACTTTCATGGCTGAATTGAGGCGCTGCGTAGATTCAACAGGTCCCTGTTCCTGGGGTCTAGACTGGTCATCCGCTTCCTCGAGCATAATTCTGGCTTGGCGCAGGCCCTCACCCCGGGCGTGTTGCCCGCTTGCTTCTGTTGCTCGTCTGTCGGCCCTTGCTGCTGACTGTGCAACCTCCTGCTGCTGAAGCGGTTGCTGATGATCGCCGCTGCCGGGGCCCTTCCCTGTAAAGATCTGCTCCAATCGGCGGACAACCAACTTCTTCTTGTCTCTCTCAGTCATGGCTACAGCAGGCTTGGGGAGCAGTCCGGCTGGAATGTCGTGAAGATATGACTGTATGGTTCGCTGTTGTCTGAAGAGTTCCGATTTGGTCATCTGTCGATGGTTGCTGTCATGCCCGGACGGAGCGGTTGAAGTCTGTCCTGAAAGCGAGGCGGATGCGTAGGCGGAGTCGGCAACCCTGGTTGACGTGTACGATGAAGTAGTCTGGTGCGGCTTGAGTCGAGGTGTAGGGCGGTCGAACCCGTTGCCTATTGGTTCGCTTTCCAAGTTCTCATCGATGCCCATAGCGAATTTCTTCAACGTCTCTTCCAGCTCTCTCTTCTTCGAAGAAGGTAACTTGTGGACCCTGATCTCAAATAGCTTTTCATCTTGAAGGTGTGCATCGTACAACTTCTCATACTTTCTCAGCTTGCGCTTCAGCTTTTTGTTCTCAATTGTAAGATCATCGATGACGCTTCGGAACTCATCTGCGCTGCTGCCTTCTGTTTCCAATTGCGTCAACTGGTTTCGGTACGGTAGGGCAGTTAGAGATGGTCGCATCTGCTGGTCTGGTGTCGTGTTGGACGAGGAGGAGTTCCGAAGGAAGAAAGGCGGTTCGTCAGCTGCTCCAAGTCAGCGACCGTCTATCTGGAAACGTGGAAGTAGCGCATACTATCCATGAACGACGCGGTGCTCTGCGTAAAGTTGTTGTTGGATCTTTCAAACCATTGGCCAGGGTCACTGCTTTCCCCAGAACTGTGCTTCTTGACAATGTTGTTGGATTTCGACGAGTAACTCGAGGACGGGTTGACTTCGTTGCTGCTGGGCGATCTGGGTGCGGACTGTGACGGAGGATAGGCTTGGGTGGGGGAGTCCGTGTAGGGATTCTGCTTCGTGGGAGAGTGCGGTAGCGATACAGACTTGTGAGCCGGAGGTCGCCTCGGGTGAGGAGCGAGGGAACGTTGGCCGCTGGATGCCATGGCGCTCCGGTTTCGCCCAGATGGCTGCTGTGTGTTTGAGTTTGTGGAGCCGTCTACCTTGGGGCGTCCACGCGCATGTCGCGTTTGTGAAGATGTCAACTACCGAGAGCGGACTGCTGCGCGACTCTGCGATCAGGTGTCTTCAGGGCGGTCGTGGGTTGTACAGTGTACTTCTCTCCTTCTAAGGGCGTCGGGTCCTGGGTTCGCGGACCGGTGAGCAGACGAAGGTGGAGGACTGCTCAGACATGGCAAGGCGTGGGAATAACCGTGTAAATCAGACGGCTCAACGGTGGCATGGCCGGAGAAGAAGTCGGGCAGAGTTGCGGGCGGAGAGACGGGAGGAAGGTGTGACGAAGCGATGGGTCGCAAGCAGGAGATGGCACCGGTCGGCCGCTGAGTTTCTGCAGCGGCAAAGGGTGAGGCGTCTTCTGAGATGGCCATGTTGCGGAGCGATGCTGGAGCGCGGTTGTGCTGGTTGAAGACTCGCGATCCTCAATACCCCTTGCGCGTTGTGGGAATCGGCAAGCCACGATTCGATACGGCGTCATCCCGGCGGAGTCGCTTACGCGCAGGGTGAGGCATGGGGGGGGGGTATAGAAATCCAGACCGTCCACCGGCTGCTTCGATGCATCGATGCATGCCGTTAAAGTAAAACGGGCGAACATCGACGATCCAGTGCTGCAAATCTGCCGATTACTCGGGATGACTTTGTTTCATACTTATCGACTGATCTGGACGACATTGAGTCTGTAAGAGTCTGCGCCGCAACTCTGACGGCCGCCTCTCAAACTCTGCATAGGAAGCTGCATAGCCACTGTCAAATTTAAGCAGCATCATGGTTGCATCAGGGATCTCAATACCCTAATGACATGCGCATGAATGCAAATCTCCCGTCCTTCTTGCGATGCGAATTTGCGAGAACGATTGGAACCCAAGTCCATCCACGCGGTGCTGACCTAATCTGCGGAGCGAGCCGCACGAGGCGCCTCGGAAGCTCTCCGTTTCCCCTTTGGCGGCGATCATCGGCGATGGCTCCGGCCTGGACGCCTTGCTCCGCGATTCCCACACGATCGAGTGATTCATAACTACGTCCCTGCAGGTGCCATCGGTTTCTATCACAAACCAAGTTGATTGAAAAGGACGGTCCAATCGATGCCACAGAGGAGAAGCTGCGGGAGAAATCAAAACCTGGATGTTGGGTCTGCAGGGCAAAGCAAAGACAAACAAGGGGCTCGTGTCCGGGGATGACAGGCACGGCCAATCGCAGCTACCAATCTGTCTGTATTGCAGAAATGCTTCAGCGATACTAAATCTGCTGTGGCTGTCGTGCAGCGCCCACAACAAGACTTGAAGTCTCAAGCTCATGTCGATTTCTACCGCCGCTGTGCTGATGCATAAAGACTGAACGCGCATGTTCACATCTCAACGTTGCTCGTCGTGAGCGCAAGGCCACGGCAGCACAGGCAAAGTCGCAATTGCATGATGGCGGCTGACACTCTCGAGTTCACGGTCCTGGAGCGAGGATTGCTTTGTGGCATTACCGGTGGACACCAAAGTGCTGCGAGCGGGTGCGCTTGTTTTTGCTCCGTAAGGTACGCTGTTTTCTTGTGCTGCGACGTTCTACTACGGAGGCGGTCCTGCCCGATCCGGACATCTTGAGAAAACATAGAACGTCGGACGTGAAAATGGGCGCCCCAGAAGCACTTGAGAGCCCGAATCAACCAAAGTAGCCCTCACCACCCGTGGGCCTCTTGTGTCTTAAGAGCAGAGATGTTGTTGCTGAGTTGGCGAAGGTTCCGATTTTTGCGATTTTGGGCCGAAGAGTGCTTCGTGACGTTGACAGCGGTAGTCCGGCAGCGAGAAGTCTGGCTGCATATGTTTAAGTCCTATAGTCTCGCGATGCGCTCGCCGAGTCCCGTCGCGTCTAACCTACGTCCACTTTTCACACAGCCGTTCTACGGCGGAAGCAGCGTTGCCCAATCCAGCCAACTCCCAGCCAAACCGTAGAACACCGACTGTAGAAACGAGCGCCCCTCCAGCAGCTTCAGCAGCCACACATGCTACGCTTTGACATCCAGCATCTCCCTCACAACCTCCTCCGCCCGCTCCGCCTCCACCCTTCCCTCCTCCCCATTCCGCACCATCTGCCCTACGAACCACATGACCTTCCCTCTCTGTCCTTTCTCCTTGATCGCCTTCACCATGTCCTGGTTCGCGTCTATCAGTTCCCGCGCAAGAGCCTCGTACTCCTCCCGTGCCATGGGTCGAAGCAGCAGGTTCTCCTCAGCGATGGTCTCTTGCACGGAACGGGTGTCACCGTAGAAGGTTGTTGAGAGGAGCTGCTTTGCTGTACGTCCCGTGATCTGGCGCTGGAGGAGATGCGCTAGGATTGAGGCGAGTGCGGTTGAGGAGACGGTGTTGGCTGTCCAGGGCTGCCCTGCGGTTGCTAGGAGGCCACCCAGCTCGTGCAAGACCCTGTTCAAGTCAGTGACAGAATGAAAGGGGCCAACTCAACTGCGCTATGTTCTCTGAAAGCTTGAAGTACTCGGCAAAAGGGATCCAAAAACATACAGCAGTAGGTATTCGCTAGTGGTCACCCACCTAACTACTAATCTACCGATTCAAAGCTTATGAAGTGGCAGAGCGGACAGGATACCCAGTTTTCTCTGGTCTGTGGCCGTATGTGCTTGATACAGTGAAAGAGATGACTTATGAACGCAGGGCAGAATGCCAGCCGCAGCAAAAGAAGCTGGCACGCGAACCGAAGAAACAGAAGAAGACTCACCAGTTAGCTGCAACCTTCCCGATCTTGCTCGATGACTGTAAGTCTTCTGGCATGTGCTGCCGCAGCATCTGAACGACATCCAAATAGTAATCCAGCCGATCGCCATCATCGAGCGTGACAAGGGTCTTCGCGTCCTTCATCGTTAGCCCGTACCCCGGATCATCAACCAGCGTCTCAGCAGTCTCATCAGGCAGCATCGGAAGCGTGTTTCTGAGATGATGTAATAAATCCTATAAAACTATAAGCTACATCCTCGATCGATCCACTCCCCTCACAAGGACGCACCTCACCCACAACCACAGCCCCCAAATCCGGATCCGGCATATACCGATAATCAACCTCGCCCTCCTTCCCCCTCAGCTTCCTTGTCTGCGTACTCCCAAGCGTCCACCCCCTTGTCTCACCCTCGATCACCCCGCCAGCCTCTAGCACCTCGATCTGCCGATCCCGCTCCGCGATCACGGCGTCCTCGACGGCTTTGAAGCTGCTGAGGTTCTTGATCTCGGTCCTTTGCCCCAGGCCCCTGACACCATAGTACGAGTGCCCCGCTCTCGCGTCATCAGCGCGATGCCGCTCACGCACCGAGACATTGACATCCGCGCGCAACCCCCCCATTTCCATGCCTGCGGTCACGGCGTTGACAGAGCCAAGGATCGACTGGATTTTACGCACACAGGCGGCGGCGGTGGCGGGGTGGTGGATGTGAGGGAGGGTGATTATCTCGATTAGGGGGTGCGAGACGCGATTGAAGTCGAGGAGGTGGGTGGAAGGGGGTTGCTGGAGGGTCTTGGCGGTGTCTTGCTCCATCTGGATTTGTTTTATGCCGATTCTTATGGAGGGGTGGTCTGAGGGGTCGATGCCGTCGTGCGAGTGGAGGGTTAGGTGGCCGTCTTTCGCGAAGGGTTCTAGGGGCCGATGTTAGCTGTCGCTCATTTCGTCCTCGAGACTGCCGGTCGTACCGTAGTATTGTGTTATTTGATAGCCTGCTGGTTGGTCCTGGTAGAAGTAGTGCTTCCTATCGAACGTGCTCTTCCGCTGTATATCGCAATTGAGGGCAATAGCTGCGCGCAGCGCTGGCAACAGCGTCCCTCTCTGAAAGTGAGGCTGGCTTCCAGGGAACGCGACATCGAACAATGCTACGTGTGTATTTGGCGCATCATTGCTCGAGGTGGCCGCGCTCGAGAAGAGCTTCTTTGCGGTGTTGAGCTCGGCGTGTATCTCAATGCCAACTGTCAACTCCCATTTCTCGAGCTTCGGATCGCTTCCCTTAGCTTTCTTGGAAGACTTAGGAACACTTTCGAGGCGTTTCTTCTTAGCTTCGTCTTTGAGCTGCTTCCTGAAGGGGACGACTTTCGGAGCCACCTCAGTTTGAAGCGTGCGTCTAGAGGTATAGGTTATGAGTGGCAGCGATTGGCCTTTCTGCGAGTTCTGGCGGAGACATGCTCGGCAAACGAAAGGCGACCGCGCTCGTAAGCTAGAAGACAATGTGTCAGTACATCTAGATCGCATCGTCGACAGTTGCGCGCAAGTCGGCTGCAGCTTCGCGCGTGATGTTTGGAGCGAAATCGCGGATCTCTGCATCGGCACGTGATCGGGTTGGACGACATTCATCCTCGCAACCTCCTCAATATCGCCCTTAAACTAACTTGCCACCTGGGTGACAGAAATTGCCGGACTCCGAAAAACAGATAGGTCTTCAGTCAGCTTAGGGAGGTCATGAATAGGCGTAATCCTTCGTGGTATGCTGCCACATAAACATATGCAAGCTATACCTAGACGTAGGATGGCTAGAGTAAAGATTTTTAGAGACGTCGTGAATCTAACAGATTTCGGTGATTTGGGAGTGAGTTGTAAGTCCGGCGGTTTCTGTCACTCGCGTGGATATTTGACCGACCATATCAATGCCTCAAGCTTTCAATCAGGAAGTACTTTGAGGAATGGATTGTTCGTTGTCATAGTGACAAGACTATGTGCATGCTCGGTGTCTAGAACTTGCTTGTCTCTATCACGAGGGTATGCTCAAGGCCCACTCGCTCTCCCCGCAATTTAGTATTCATCTTCCATCTCATCTTCCATCTCCTCTTCATACTTCTCTTGCATCTTCCTGAACTCGGCCTGTGTGTCGAGGTGTGCCACGACCTCGTCACCATCTACTTCTTCGTCCGCGGTCGCTTCGGTACCATTCCCGTCCGGCACGAGAGACATCTGCTCAACAACACCACGGAAGAGTTGATCGAGGTCCTCGATTTTGCCAATCTTCTTGGCTAGTATCTAAGCGTACTTTTCCTTAGCCAGCCGCCAGGCGAGGCCCAGGTTGGTCCCGCTGCATGACGGATGATATCGAAGTGCCAGCCCTGGCATTCATAACGATGTCGCTTCAGTATGCTGGTTACGAAATTGAAGTAGAGGTACCGCAGCGCCGGCCTATTCGGGCTTTGGAATACAAGCTCAGAGTCTCGGTGGATGGCCCGCCCAGTGTTCTCAGTCGTCCGCGCCTAATTCGTTGAAATAACGTCCGTTTACCCTCGTCCGTTCATCGTCCGTTTATCGTCGTGATGCTTTGAACGAGCCGCCAGGCTATCTGAGGCTGCGGAGCCCTGATTGTGAGGCTCTTTGCATGGTGGAGCTCCGTTCGAGAGCGGAGGTCTTGAACAAGGACGTGGTGGTTGGTCGATAGAGGATAAAACGTATGGTGATTGGTGGTGGACGCTTGCGGAGTCGAATGCTGCTCTCTCACATAATGTCAACTACTGAATACCTCAATTGAAGCTCTATCACCACCTCCCTCACTCAATCACTCACCATACCGTGATGGCGCGGCAGCGGCTTTGGTGGAGGAACCGGAGGAAGGTTGTTAGGAGCGGTAGGAGTACGCGAGGGTGGTGGCGAGTCGGACGTTGGACCCTCGTTTGTCCAACGGTCGGGCGATTGAGAACACTGCTAGTGGATAGCTCACGCGAGTTCCCGGAAGGGATCGGCTACCATTGAATACGAAGGAGGGGGTATTTACTGAGGAAGCGGCAGCCGCTTGACCGATCTCCAATGCCATCAAGAAACATCAACAACCAGTTTGTATAGTTTGAATCTGCACCTTCTGTTCGCTGAAGATGTATCTAATGTGTCAGTCCACCTCCGCAAGCACCTAGATCCTGTGTTGAGAAGCCTTATGGTCGCGCACCGTCAAGCGACCGCTTCCTCAGTGAATACCCCGTCCTTCGTAGAACACGTATCAAGAGAAAGATCGATTCGTTTTAACTGGCAAAACGCATTACCCATAGCAACGCCCGCTGACCTAACAAACTCCCTACGCTGTTGCCTGAACCATCTTGTAGCCCTCCGCCACCAGCTTCTGAATCTCCTCATCCTTATGCGGTAGCAACCCCAACGCAAACGCAACGTCATTCCACTGCCTCTCACTCTCCACCCTGGGCAGTCTCGCCGCCAACTTCGCCGCGAGTTGTTTAGCGTGTTTGTCCTGACCAGCTTCGTCAGCCCTTTCCCTTCTTCCTTAACTACGATCAAAAGTGTTGTGAGACTCACCTTTTCAACAAACCCCGCCAAAAACTTAACAATCCTCCTGAAGCCCTCCTCCTCCAACCCCTCATCCGCACTCAGCAGACCAAACATATCGACGAAATGGTTGTAAACCGCATTATCCTTCGTCGCCAGCTCCGCGAAGAACATCCTCGCCATCTCCGCAACCCTCTTGTCGCTATCCTCAACGCACTTGGCCATCTCGCCCAGCTGACCCTTCACTTTCACCTGCCCGGCTAGGATCAGGAACGTCAGCGTCATCAGACACGTGCGCTTGACGCTCAGATCCCCGTCCCTGAGCCGCCGGTATAGGAACTCCGTGTTCTCGTCCAGCAGGTGGTTAAACGCGACGGCCATGTCGCCTAGCGCGATGACCAAGTTAGATCTCACCACGGCATCTTTGCTGCGTTCCAGGATCGTGAGGAGAAGGGGTAACTGCGCTTCGCAGAACTCGGCGCTGACGCACATGAGTTTCGCCATGCATAGCGCGGCCTGGCTCTGGAGTAAAGGATGGGGGTAGGAGGTGTTGTTTGCGCAGATCTCGGCGCAGAGCGGGCCGAAAGAGGAGAGGAGCGCGAGGGGCGAGTACAGGAGCTCGCGCTCGCGGATGTGGGCGATGGCGTCGGTGAAGTCGTCTTCGGTTGTGCCGGCTATGAGGTCGAGTTCGTCTTTGTCGTCGGGGGCTTGGGGGGCGGCGTTTTTGCTGCTGGTCTTCTTCTTGATGGGCGAGGCGGTAGGCGGTGCAAGAGACTTTCGTGGCGTTTTGGCCTTGGAGGAGGAAGTGAGGGCTTCTTTGACGGCTTTACGCCGCTTGAAATCTTGTTCACAGAGCTCGAGGTGCACAATCTGTTTGATGGCGATGTGGCCGACGAGGAAGAGAAGGTGGGAGAGGGCGATGGCGGAGTTCTGGGTGCTCTCCTTCTTCCGGGCTTCTACTGGAGCTGGCGGCGTCTCCGGCGGCGGAGAAGCAAGCTGGCTGACCTCTTCTGGTGCCGGTGTCTCCTCTCGTGGGGACTGTGGATGCGGTGTCTGGAAGACATGTCGTGTCTTCCTTCGCAAAATGTCCGAACACAGCGTATCCGGATGCCTGGCCAGCGCATAGATCGCCCCGACAGCTTGCTCCGCGACACCAAACCACTCCTTGCTATCCGACACGATCTCGCACATCGCCGCGAGCTTGACCAGCACAGCGTGGTCATTCGGCAGTCTTGGTGCCACTTTCTCCGCCGCTCCCTCCTTCTTTCCCTGGCCACTGCTGTTGATCCGGCGGAGCGCAACACACGTATACCGCGCGAGACCCAGGTCCTGCCTCCCGAGCTCACCCAGCCCGATACGCAGACACGCCTCCATCTCTCTTACTACGATGTCCGGGTCCGCGAGCGCCAGCATTCCGAGCACGATAATCGCGCCCCGCCGCTGCGACGCCGAGATCTCGCGCCGCTGGACGCCGTACACGGCCCACAGCTTCTGCACAACCAACTCACCGATCAGCTCGCCCTTCATCATGGTACTAAGGAGCTGCTCCAGGGACGTCAGCTCCGCGGGCGTAGCGCCAAACGTCAGACTAATCATATTGCGCGCAACATAGTTCGCGGCGTCGTTCGGGCTAAAGTTATCCGGCGCGTTGAAGAAGAGGCCCTTGTAACACTCGATGAGGTGGCTCTGGACGCCCTTCCCTTCATCGGAGTTCCCCTTCGTCCAGATGAGACGGAGCATACGTCGGATACCCGCTCGCGCGCTACCGAGCTTGTAGGCGTCGGCGACGACGAAGAAGTCTATGGCTTCGATGACCTCGGACTTGTTTTTCGAGGAGAGGAGTTGGGTCACCGTGGGCGCGGCGGCATCGAGGACGGTGATGAAGCGTAGGGCTTCGGTATAGTAGCGGCGTGTTAACTGGAGCTTGTGCAGGGCTTCCGCGGTTGCGGCTTCGGCCTGGGCTTTCTCCATTGCAGCGGCGCGCTGCTCGTCTGTCAAGGGTGCTGGAATTGGTGGGGCTTCGGCTTGGGTTGCGTCTTGGAGTAGGCTCTCGTCCACTGTGGCGTCATTGCGGTTTTCTCGCTCCTCGAGCTCAGCAGGCGGTTTGAGCGCCGCTGTTTCGGCGTTTACGGCCTGCAGGCGTGCGTCCCAGTCCTTGTAAGCGAGCTGTCCACCATGTAGCGCCGCGAAGGGGTGAGTCGAGATCAGCTTGCCCAGGAGCTTAATGGCGTTGCGGCGGACATTGCTGCTCTTGTCCTCTAGACTTCTGGCTGCAAGTTCAGCAGCCGCCTGCCGTCGCTTGGGGAATTTCATCTCCAGGTCGCACAGCTTGATGTACACTTGGATCGCGCGGCAGCGGCAGTAAGGATTCACGTCTAGGAAGCGCTCTTCGAGAACGTCGAAAAAGGCATTGATCTGCCCTTTGTGCTTCTCGGAGCCTTCTGAGTCTTCTTGCTTGCTGAGCATGGCGATGAGGTTGCCGCAGACTTCGATGATGGCGCAGCGGAGAGTGTAGGACTAGAGGAATCAGCGGGTGTGAGACTGGCTTCATGATAAGGGGGAATACTTCGCTTTCTAGCAGCTTTGCGAGCAGTGTCATCTGCTTGATGACTAGACGAGGTGCGAGCTCAGAGATCTTAGTGATGAAGGTTGAGACGGATTTCGGTCCCTTTGCGTCGTTGCTGTTGAACTCCTTGTTGCTTAGCTCCCTACAAGCTGTCAGTTCCCTGCATTATTATTGGAACTAACCTCAGCTGCATACCGGAGAATCTCTTCCGCTAGTTGCGGGTAATCGTACTGCTCTGACAGAATCTGGAGGAACTCTGCCATTGGCTCGGACAGATGCTCAAAGTACGAGAGATTCTGTATGATGGAGGTTTGGGCGCCTTCGCTTGTCGTCAGCTTGTTACACCCCATCGATCTCGACATACTCACCAAAAGCATGCCCATGATGCTTCACAGCAACACACAGCACCTTGAACACATGCATCCTAATCGCCGTGCTCTTACACCTCGCCTCGCTCTCCAGCACCAGATACACCGGCCGCGTGAACAAGCTCACAAACGTATCCCTCTCGCTCGTCGTGACGAAGACACGCGCCAGTTTCAGCTTCAGCACCCTGCTCATGACATCCAGCGCCGTCTGCAGCTGTGCCGAAGAATCCCACGCGGCATCTTTGTCCTGGCCCTTACCCGCCTTGGGCTTCGCGCCTTTCCCCCCTCTTCCTCGGCCTGCGGTGGACGAAGCGGGCTTCTCGGCGGCTTTTGTCTCGACGGCCGTGATGGCCCATTGTAGCAGAAAGGCAAAGATCTCGAGGAGCTGCTTGTGGTGCTGGACGCCCTCGTGCTCATCCTCGAGGTCGGCGTTCGCGGTCTCTGCTTCCGCCGCGAGGCCCGAGACGACGAGGTCGAGAATCTTGCTGAGCGCGGAGGTGGGGAGTAACGAAGAACATCTAGAGAGTTTGAAGAGAGCACAGTTAGGTTCAGGGTCTGGTATATAGGCGTGCTTGCACTCTTCAGCGGGGGCAGTGGGGGCGCACTTTAGCATGAATTGTAAGGAGTCGAAAGTCGAGCTCTGGGTTATGGCATCCGGGTTCTCGGCGACGGCGTCGACAATCGGGTTCAGAACGCTGTTGACCAGGGCGGGCGTGAGGGATTCGGCGTCATTTTCGCAGTCGGCGAGCGCGGAGGGGGCTTCGGGCGTAGGGACGGTGGAGGGGTCGGAGAGGTAGTGTTTTAGGGCGTCATTGACGTCGAAGTCTATGCGGTCGTCCATATTTGCGCACCGCTACAAACTTATAGCGAGGAGAGGCAGAATGTAGGTCGGCGCATATGGAGTGGTGAGTGTCGCAACGAATGTTTTGGCGAAGCTTTCCGTTGTTGACGTTTGCTTGGCGAACGCGAAGGCGCGTCTGCCCCCGCCAACATCAACCTTCAAACATCACCACCACCATGTAATTCGAAACCACCACCACCAAAATCAAAGGCTACTGCAGTTCTCAGAAAGCGCCGGGGAGGAGAAGACGGAAAGATGCCGCGGCCGCAGTATGAGATGCAGATTGCCGAGGATGAGCCCACCGAAGACTACGAGGGGACGGGCATGGACGAGAGCAGGGGACCGCTAGAAGAGAGCGGGTGCACGCGGTCCGACGACAGCGAAGAAGAAGAAGTGGAAGATGCAGTGGCAGAGGACATCGCACGCTTCGAAGAGAGCTTTCGAAACATCAACAAGAGATATCGTCTTATAAACCGCATCGGCGAGGGTCAGTGAGCGCAGACCTCCGTCGTTTCACCCATGCTAAGTACGATACAGGCACCTTCTCAACCGTCTACAAAGCCGAAGACCTCCTCTACGACCACTACCACAACGACTGGGACATCGACGCCCGCCTCGCCACCAGATGGTCCTCTCCCTCCGGACACCCCCACCGACGCCGACAAGCCCGCTACGTAGCGATCAAAAAAATCTACGTCACCTCCTCCCCCTTACGCATCCTCAATGAGCTGGAACTCCTGCACGACCTCCGGGCCTCCGACTCCGTCTGCCCACTCATCACCGCCTTCCGCCACGCCGACCAAGTCGTAGCAATCCTCCCTTACTTCCAGCACCGCGACTTCCGCGACTACTTCCGCGACATGACGGTCGGGGACATGAGGCTGTACTTCCGGTCGCTCTTCACTGCTCTGCGTGCGGTGCACGCTAACGGGATTCTGCACCGCGACATCAAGCCCACCAACTTCCTGTACTCGCCCCAGCATTCCCGTGGCGTGCTGGTCGACTTCGGTCTCGCGGAAAGAGAGGGCACGGACTGGCACTTCTGCGACTGCAACCTGCCGCCCGGAGACCGGAGGGTTAAGATCGAGAACTCGGTCTATGCGTACAACCTCGTGAACAACGCCAACCAGCCGCCTAGCTTTCCGAACCCGAAAACGGATCAGCGGCCGTCGAGGCGGGCGAACAGGGCTGGGACGAGGGGATTTCGCGCCCCGGAGGTCCTGCTGAAATGCACGAGCCAGACGGTGGCGATCGATATGTGGTCCGCGGGCGTGATATTACTGACGCTGCTGAGTCGCCGGTTTCCGTTCTTCCACTCCGCGGACGACATCGATGCGCTGCTTGAGCTGACTGCCATCTTTGGCAAGCGGAGGATGAGAGAGACGGCGTTACTTCATGGCCAGGCGTTCGAGACCAACATCCCCAGTTATAGCGAGAATGGACACGGGTTTGAGAAGATCGTGGTGTGGTGCACGAACCGCAAGAGGGAGGCACTAGAGGAAGATGAGAGGGAGGCGTGTGCATTTCTGGAGAGGCTGCTCGAGTGTGATGCTAGTAGGAGGATTACCGCGGAGGAGGCGCTCGCGCATCCGTTTATTGCTTCGGCGGGGGTGGGGAGTGGAGGGGATGAGGAGGTGGATATGGTGGATTTAAGGGTGGAGTAGGGTTGTTTGAAAGGACAGGGGATTGGAAGACTACTGGGCGGCTTGCTTTGCCGTTGGCGTTTGTGATGGACATCTCAGGCGCTTGCTGGGCGTATTGGCGGGGCATGCGAGTGAAGCATCTTTCCGGCTGAGGAGTCATGGTCTTGACCTGCAGCTGATGCACGATGTCACTTACCTGTTATGGAGCTACGTAGGCTTGTCTAAGTATGAATAGTAGACGTTTAGCACAATACATCGGGTATGCCTATCGTACTACGCTAAAGATGGAAATACTAGCCTCTTGATTGTGCTCCCTCCAGCTTCGTTGATGGAATACAGCAACAGCCGTCGAGCCCGACATGCACACCCGCCAACCCGCTCAAAGTGAGTATTCCTGTTAATTAAATTGCAGTCCTATCAAGATCGAAACCCGCCTCAGGATCTTCCCGAGTCATACCACCCAATCACGAACTCCCTAATCAGTCACGCATTACTCGCTGCGTGAAAATCCCAGCCGACAACGAACCTCGGCTCCCGAACCGCTCCCAAATCCGGGGTAAAAACACTCGTTGTCAATCTGCCAAACCATCCCTCTCTACAAACGCCTCATCTCTTCTTTCTGTCAACAAAAGAGAGTACACCTCTCACAACCTTCCATCAACCGCCGCCGAACCCGTACCGCTAACCTCACCATCACGCATACCACTCTCCTCTCCACCTTTCCCCCCAACGAACGTCCCACCACCCCACCACCCCAACTATGTCCGAGCAATTCACAAAGAAGGACGTCGCGGCGCACAGCAGTGTCGAGGATGGGCTATACATCATCGTTGACAACGACGTCTATAGCCTGGGCGGATTCGTGGATGAGCATCCGGGAGGCGCGAAGATTCTTAAGAGGGTTGGGGGAAAGGACGCGACCAAGCAGTTCTGGAAGGTGCGTTGAGACTTTTTCCGCGGATTCAATGGGGAAGGGCAGGAAAGGGTGAGGGAGGAGCGGGGAAGAGAGGAAGGAGAGTACTGGGGAGGGTGAAAAGAGGAGGGCGCGGGACAAGGGGTATTATTACGGCAGCGCTGTGGCCGGCCTACCTGCACGTGATTCTGCCAAATGAGCTTGCGAGCTGACTGAATGGGCCGCCCCGTATAGTATCACAACGAATCCGTCCTTAAGAAGTACCAGCCACGGCTAAAGATCGGCACGCTGAAGGAGGAGGCGAAACTATAGGCACTGCGGCCCACTCTGGTGGTCGTGAGACTGAGGCGTGGGTGCTGAAACAGGGGTCGTGGAAGGGATCTAGTGTTGGGGCTGTGATACACCATGGAGATGAAGCGCTCACGCGTGGAGGGGTGTGAGTTGGCGACAGGAGGCGAAGGGTGGCGACTGACTCAGGGAAAAGAAGAGCAGAGAGGGGAAACTTAGAGTTGGAGCCGATCATGTGGTGTTAGACCTGTGCATCTCGTCATGTCACGGTTTTAGACAAGAGCTGAAGTACATCTTTAACAAGATTTTGTACGCAGCATACTCGAGCCAGAGTATGTTTCAACGGCACCCGAATACATGTCAAACGACTAGGATACCGCGGTTCCACTCAGAGCTCGCAAAAGGCGCTACACACGCGACGCGGATCCTGAGCGATGGAAGACGCCACCCAATGCAGCAAACCGCCCAGACCAAAAATCTGAAACCCGTTCTTACGCCTCGACATCTGGAAGGATCTGCGCTAGTCCTTAAGCCCTGATATTTTCCTCTTCCGCCAGCAATCCTTACATCCCTACTTCGCCGCGGTCCAGGAGTTGAGGGCGGTGGTGACGATACATGAATAGTCTCAATCCGAGGCGACAGGATTTTCGGGCTGCTGAGAAGCGGCAGCCGCCCGCCCGACAGCTGAGTTGAAGTTGCTTTGCTACCAAGTGGCTTGTCGGGGGTCGAGATGGTTAAGATTGCCATTTTGCTACTGACGTTGATGAAGACTGATACTTTCGAATATCGGTCCCCCCCCTCAAACTGCAAAGCTCTTGTCCAATCTCCTAAGCATACTCTGATCCTTCCCAGCAAATCCCATCCGATCACCCGGAATATCCTTCGCCCCGCGTTGCGCCATGCTGCCTGGACTCCTGCTCCCAGCGCGACTGTCGCTCTGCGCGCTTTCGGGTCCAGACTCCGGCGCACTGTTGATGAGTGCGTCGATTCGGGGGACCACTTTGGCTGTTGGAGAAGGATTTGCTGCTGCTGCTGCTGCTGCTGCTACATTGGTGTTGATCGGGGCTGTGCGGTCAGGAAGCGGGAGAGACTCAGATGCGGAATGCGCCTGAGATGCTGCAAGCGGAGGTACGTTTTCTTGCTGTGCTACTGCTGCCGTCACGCCGCTAGGTGGCGGGAGTTGTGGCCCGGGAGCTGAGGTATTGGGGCCTGGGTTGATCGACTGCTGGTAAGCCGCCGCTTGACGTGCAATATGCGCAGCATGTTCTGCGTGCGACGGAGGGTTGTGCGCGTAGGGCGATTGTTGTGCGGAGTAGTGTGTCAGATGCGCTGGAGGAGGAGGAAAGTTTGGGTGGGCTAGCGGAGGGGGCACGCGGTCGAAGACGGTGGGAGGCGCGGGTGGATACATGTTCGGCGGATAACTGTGGTTAGGATACTGTACAAACTGGCGGCCTTGTTGCACATAATAGACCGGTTGGCCGTAGTAGGCCGGTGGCGTTCCAAGCGGCGTTGGTGGCCAGCTTTGTCCGGGCGGCGGTCCGTACCCATGCGGAGAAGCGCCTGGATGGCCGTACGAAGAGCTCATCTGTTGCAATGCTGGAGCATACGGTGACACTGAGCCGGCCATAGGGCCGCGGGTAACAGCCGGGACATTTTGGTTCTCGGTGACGCTGGAATCCGGGTACATGCCCTTCTGTGGCCTGATGTGACGTAGTGCTGGGTCTTGAGTGGGTTGTTGAAGGGGCGATGCGTTGGCCGATGACCGTGCGTAGTAGCTGATGAGGTGCAAGTGCTGTCCAGTCTGCGTGGTAATGCTGAACGACTGCTTCATGAGGCCGTCCGGCTTGTAGCGGTACCCGTCGGGCCCGTCTTCGTCAGACTCGCCGTTCTTCGAGCCGGACTCTGACTTCGGCGTAGACTTTTTGGCGGGTTGTGCTGGCTGAGCGATACCGTTGCCTCCTCTCTTGCCCTCCATCTCCCGGTACGTTAGGAAGCTGCCAGAAACTCTGCTCGCGCTCCACGACTTCCCGTCCGTCCACCTGCGCATCCCAGCTTCCCGCTCGTCCCAGACAAACACTGACCCTGATTTAATCTGCTGCCTCTCCTTCTCCGACAGTCTCCGTTGGACGCGGGGGAGAACGCCCATGCGGCACGCCTCGAAGAGAATGATGGCATCTTGCGGTGACCGGACGTGGCCGTGGTACGTCTCCATGTCTGTGAACGAGACGTTTCTGAGGGACTGCCGCCGGTATGCCTCAACTCACGAGCTCTACAAGTGGAGGGGTCCTTGTGGTTGCGCAGATAGAAAGAAACGTCGAGTGCCCGGCAGCTGTGAGAGTGGCGCGTGCAATCGAAGAGCCTGGAGTGAGCATCGTGTCAGCGAAACCGGACTTCACTGCGCGGTGGAAGAGCTTCGGGTGTAGGCGAGGCAGATGCGCATAAGCTGGGATATCGCCTGATGAAGAGTACGTTTGAGCTTAATGGAAGTTACGCTGGAACGCTAGGCTCCATGTATGTTGCGCGTACTAGACAACACGCAAGCTAGGTATGCGTGGTACGAGGCGGAGCGTGGAACGCGGCACCAGTGTTCACCTCTGACTTACAGCTGCTCTGTTCTGCTCCTCCGTGTGATTATCTATCAAAGGTACGAAAAGTTGGGTGGCGTGAGGGTTATGGGACACTTGACGCGGAGGATGAAGAGCGGCGGGCGCGCACAGATGCAGGTGTTGTCAGCGGGTATGACAGGGTAGCTCCAGATAGTCGGATGTGCGACTGGTGCTGGAGGAAGCAAGACGGCAGCTATCGAACAGAGGGTGCAGAGCAGTGAGCAGGTGCACGACAGCGCACGACAGAAGGTACCGCACAGCAATACTCATATCCAGGCGGAGAGCTTCAAGTACCTTCACGGAAGGAATGGGTGCAGATCGGCACCAAGAGTCTTGCGTGGCGCTGGGTTAGCGAAATAGAGCCCGTTGACGCGGCGCAACAAGCTTTCATTTGACGCCGGCCCAGCAGCTTAATCACTTAACCTTGTATGTCGCCCCTTGGCGTGCCTCTGCCTCTGCCTCTGCGTGCTCGCAGCAGCGACGGAGATCTGCAGCACATGCTCACATGTGGGCTGTCACGGTGTTGATGTCTGCCGTCCGTCTCTCCTCTTCTTGCCATCATCAGCCATGATCACACCTCGCTAAACCTTCCAGCAGCCCTGTTCGTGACATTGGGATGCAAAGCTCAGGCGGCTCCGATTAGCCTCACAACTCTAAATGCCGCTAAGTTGGCCGATCCCCGACATCTCATCACGACAAGCCCTTCGGCGTCTGGGCCGGTCCCAGGCTTGAATCATCCGGCCCACACGACGCTGCAAGTCGACCACCAGGCCCTTGACCAAGCCATCGCCCAGCCATCAGTTTCAGCCAAGCGAGGCCGTGCTCGTCTGGACTTTCAGCTTGTGGAGATAGACATGAGCATGAGCATGTTATGATGCAAGGATCGCTATCAGCCATTCCTTGAGCGTCTGCCGCGCAAGCACGACGACGACCACGCTTTCGGTTGCTGGATAAGTAAGTAGGTAGATGAGCCTTTCACCGCTTCACGTGCTTGTTGCTCATGTCTTGGTTCCTTCCTCTGAGCTTCAGACCTCTCGCGTGTCGTCGTCATCATCCGGCAGAAATGCGGGGATATCTGGCCGTGGAAGCTGAACTGGTCTGAAGCCAAGCAACGCCCTCCTCTGGGCAACCTCCCAAGACGATATCTGATCGGCTCTACACGCGTGCAGGCGTGCCGAGGCGGAACTAGACCTTTCCGGAGATAAGCATAAAAGCAGAATCATGCTTAAAAGCTCAACCACTGCAAGCCTCCAGCTGACTCGGCCCAGAATGCAAGGCGACAGGGGCGGTTCGGGTAACTTCCCGCTTACCGGGTGAATCAAACGAGACGAAACCCCTTGTCAACTTTGCTAGGGGAAGCAAGGGACGCCGGCGAACGCCCGAATCCGCCGAGAGATCGAGCAGCTGGAAGTTCGAGCAGCTGAACGCCAAATCTTCTTCAGGACAACAAGCCGCGGAACCACAGCCTTCCAGTGCGCCATGAGAAGGTTCCAAGGCACTTCCCCGTAACGGTCGCAGCACCACGCCGTAAACAGTTAGCCACGCCGTCCCCAGCGCATGGAAACGTGGCCTTGGGCCTTCCAAGGATCCCGTGGCTTGTTTCAAAGATCGACATCGCCGGCTCTGATTGCTTCGCTAACGTGCAAGCACGGCTCAAAGATAAGCATAAGGACTGGCCCGCGGTTCCCGCACCCAACCACCTCACGTTGCGGAGACCGGACGTCGACAAGCGTCAGCGTTGGTGTTGCATTCTATCTGTGCGCAGTAATCCAAGACCGCCTAGAACGTTGCTTCTTTCACTCCTGCTTTCGCTTCTTCTCGTGCTGACAGAGCCGTGCGACCACATCAAAACAATACCTAAATCCCATGCTGCTAAGCCCGATTTCGCCGATTTCGGAACCGGCAACACATCAATGCTGCACAAGCCTCTTAGGGGGGCGTCTACCCAAGCCACCTTCCTTCGCTCCTCGTGGCTTATTTTTCTTGACCGAAATCGCACCACCGAGTTCGCATGGCTGACGACAGCACCGAGAAAGATCCGTGGATGTTTCACCAAAGCTCCCTCCTTCCTTAGCCATCATGATCGAGGCTGCCGCAAAGAGTCCGTTGCACCAAACACGGGGAATTACGGCTGGTGATGTCATCTCTAATCAAAGATAGGCCAAGAAATCTAGCTGAAGATGAGGCACCACGGCCAATCGATGAAGGACCTTAATCGACAAGAAGAAATTGAAGTTTGTACAGCGCCATAGTGCTCAATTCAGTGAAAGTACCTCCGAAACAGATGGGCCCTACCACTTCTTCTGCCTAAGCTCACCTTACCTTCCACTCTACATGGATAAAATGGGATATGCGAGTTTGATATCTTTTGGTCAGAAAAACATATCCAGAGGGTGAAACCTGTGGTTTCCAACCGCCGCTCTATCCTGTGTCCGGAGCACTGATGGGCATCGCACACGTCAACACGGTGCGGTTCATACGTCTCTGAGTCTCGGGACTCCTCGCTCAGGCATCTTCTACTGATTTGAACCACCGCTTCAAGCGCTTCACACCGTTCAACACCGATAAGGTTGCAGCCCATAGCCGTCACGCGTCTTTCTTACCTGGACTAGGGCATGCTCAAAGAGCCATCGGGAAGCTGTCCTCAGACAGCGCCGGGCGAGATTCTCTGGTCAACGTGATATATCTCTTTGGAACGTGCTGCCGAGTTTGGCGCCAGCACGTTATGGACAGCATCGCGTCAACCAAAAACTGGCCCGATAGCTGCCGGCAGAGATACATTGACGCGCTATCTAGCATCACCGTAAGCTCCCACCCGAATTGGCAAAAGATCACAGCGTGGATGGAAGCAGTTTGTTGTCCAGCTACCCAAAAAGGACCGGCAATGACTATCGAGGCGGCAATCTTTGAAAAAAAAAATTGGGAACGCACGTTGAGGTTGTGAATATGCAGTAGCTTGCCAACCGGCTGTATCACCGCCCTTGCAGCCGGTCAAAGACCGATGACACAAGAGCTAAACCTAGTCAACGTTCGCTATATCGCTACTGTTGGGTCGTTCCCGGCAGCACTTGAGTGCATCTCCTAGTGTTGTTCTGAGTATTAGCTGCCGCAAGATGCTGGTACTCGAGTATTTAGGATGTGCAGTTTCATAGAGTTCCTTAACCAACGCCAACCAACATCTGCTCGACCGTCCATGTCTAATTGAAATTAGTCGAGATCTTGTCCTCCTGTAGGACTCCAAGGTGTCAGGTCAACCTCCTGGAACGGATGTGATGATTCATAGCGTTAAGGGCAACAGAGACCAAGTTGTTGTTCGGGTTGAGAAGCCTCGGTGTATTCCGCCATGAGTTCCGTACGGTTGCATCGTGAAGACCAACTGGCTTGTCTGTGCCGATGCTAGCACATGTAGCAGTGTCGTTCTCAAACAGCGAGCCAACCGGTCTATTCGTGCTGTACTTCGGTCGTCCTTGCTCGCTGAAATGGCCGCTCATATAGTAGAAACAAGCTTAAAATAAACTTATTACAGAGCTCTATTTAAAGCCTGCATGAGGGGTCTTGTCAAGCGAAATCGCTTTCCGGCATGGTAGTAGATAGAGCTCTTGAAACGCTGAATAGCCTACAGGAGCGAGAATGGAACTGAAGTTGCGGATTTGGCAGACCATTGCTCTTCCTGTTAATGGCGTCCGCTATATACCGGCCACTCCTGTATGGATACTTCCCAGAACACTTCATGGGAGTGCATATGTAGGGAATCTTCAGCTGAACGGAGCCGAGGAGCCGGAGATATGGCTTGCATGATGAAATGGTCACGTTGAAGCTGTACGCCTTCCATGGTCAGTAGACTTCTTTCCGTAGTCCAAGTAGTGCCTCACCCAAGAAGAAGCTTGAGAGAGAAGAGAGCACAGGCTAAGGCGGGGCATATGTATATATTCTAGAGCTTCCTCCTGGGTACATTTTCCGCATGAGGCTAATACAGAGGCTTTGAGGCGTAGAAGGACTGTATGTAACTACTCGTAGAGACGATGGATTACCCGAACACGGTCTACTCTTGACTCATCCAAGGCGGAAATAACCCACTTACAGCCCCTGCAATCAAGCCAGGATGCTTCGTAGCCATCACACGTGGTTTTCTCGCTATTGCTTTTGTCGTTGCGAACAGCCGCAGTGTCCAGCTCGCGCGGCATGACCGTCGCCAAGATGTATGGCTTCCTCTGGCGTAACTAGTACTCAAGTACAGAGCTGAAGGTGCTCCGCGATGGAACGAAAATCGCCCGCTTGAAGAGTAACAATCTCAACTGGATACAGAGATTGTATTTCGGGCTGAGGCTGAGGCTGGGGCCATGGTAAACAAACTCCTCAAGCTCGCACTCTCGGCATAACCGTGCAAGGACCATGTAAAAAGTCCATTGCCACATCTTTGTATCGCCTGGCAGTTCCGATTTCATGCTAACCACAGCAGTTTCCTATGTAGAAGACGAGCACGAGCGGACTTGTATCTTTTTTTGTAAGTGTAAAGAGAAACTTCCCATGCGACATACATGTCATAAATCCTCCTATGCAGATCCAGACACCCCAGTACGCCTGCAATGCTTCTAGAGAAACACGACCCCATGCTCACCGCATCACGTCTCGTCATCCCATATCTTGACCTTGTCCGCGTACTCGCGGATATTGGAGTGGATCGTCTCATTGATGAGTTCGCCTTTACCGCCAGCGACTCGTAGGATTAGGTCGTTTAGGGAAGAGCGGCCGAGAATGTCAACGTGGTCGCCTAGTTCGACTGTGAGCAATGCTGATCACGTGCTATACCTTAATAAGATTCAACAGAGCCCCTTACCAGTATTCGGCCCTCCCCTCGGACTAAACCTATCCGGCTCATGCGGCATCTCATATACCGTGACCTTTACCCCCGCCGGATTGTACCTCTTCATCTTCCATCCCTTCGTGCACATATACCCGCTACTCAACAGATTCACCGTCCCATCCCCCTCTCCCAATACGACACCCCGGTCCGCATTATTAGCGGATACGCTTGTGTCAATAGTCACGTTAATCGTCGACGCCGGATCGTTATCCTCGCGGTAAAAGTACGCCCGCTCCGTCGGCTTCCCGATGCCGTAGAAGCAGTAGATCTTAAGGTTTGGCGCCAGCGGCAGGCGCGTCTCGAGCGGATTTACCCATTTAGATGGAATTTGCTGGTTGCGCTCGACTTCGGCGCGGGTGTGCGCGACGCCGTAGGAGTAGGCGGCTTGCACGGCGTTACGGTACCAGGACTCGGAGTGGGAGAAGAGGAAGGGGAGCGACTCCTCGACGGTTAAGTTGGCAGGAGAATTGGCCGTGCTGTTGTAGTCGCGGAAATTGATGAAAGTCCCGTAGCTGACGTTCTGGCCGGGAGTGTCGTCGGGCGCCCATGTTCGGTTGCCCCACACGGCGTCGCCGCCGATGGGAAGCATGCTGGAGATGCCGGGCATAGCGCGGAAGATGTCAGCACGCTCAGAGCGGGAGAGGAACTTCTCGAGGCCGTAGACGGCGAAGGCGTTTAGCTGAGCTGTATCTTTCATTTCGCCGGAGAGCACGGCAGGCATGCCCTTCAAGGCGCCCAACATGCAGCCGCTGATGTTGATCCAGGAGTCGACGTGGGCGTCCACCCAGCCGAATCCGCCGTCGCCATAGCCTTCCGCTTCGACCCAGTGGAAGAAGTAGTACAGGACCTGCGAGCCCATGCTGTGGCTAAGCAGGACGACCTTCTTGTTTGAGATGCGGACCGCGATTTCAATATGCGCCTTCAGGCGCGTGAAGTACTGGTCGCGCTTCTCATAGTTCATGTACGTGAGTCTCCAGTCGTACGCAGCCGTAAATGCATTCGTCGGATCGTACCCGATTGTAGCTAGGTTCTCGAGGATCTTGTTCCAGATCCAGTATCCCGTGATAAAGAAGTCCGCGGCGTCAAAGCCTTGCGCGGCACGCAGTTTGATGCCCGGCGGATCCAGCCCCGTGTACTTGTCCAGCATGATGTGCCGCTTCCAGCTCGCCTTGTCCAGCACCAATGCCCGCATCATGCTCCAGCTGCCCCACAACCGCTTCCTGAAATACTGCCGTGATTCCTCCGCCGTGCCCCAGCTTTCGAGCCCTGTGCTGATGACGCCGGGAATCATGATTACCGGGTGCGTGGCCTTGATGCCTTGCGATTGCGCGTGCAGTCCCACGGAAAAAGAATCGTAGTTTACGGCGTCACGTTCGTGTTTCTAGGGATGCCACTACCGTAAGCGTAAGCTCTTGCTTCGTCCTCGCGAGCTGTAGATACATACCTGCAGGGCCTGCGCATCCTTGACCAGCCCCGCGGGCAGCACGTCGAGGATCGAGTCCAGATTCAGGTCCGTCAGCGATGCTAGGTCAACCATGTCGCTGTTGCCGGCGAAGAAGACCGCCAGTAGGATACCGAATAGGCCCCCCAGCCCGAAGATCCAGACATTTCGCCGCTTGCTGGAGGACTTTTTCTTAGTAAGCTTTTGAAGCTTCTGGAGCTTGCTCGCGGGTATGATCTTGTATTCCTCGTCCTTATCATCTCTGCTGCTTCCATTGTCGCCTTCGTCTTCATTATCTCGTGCTGGGCTCGCGTCGCGAGATGGTTCGCTGGATGAAGGATCACTCAGGATGCGGCGGCGCAGGAAGGACATTACGAGCGCATCTGTCTGGAGGTAAGCGCAGTAATGTAAGCTTTTACAAACAATACCAGATGCTAATGTTCGACCTCAGAAATCAAAAGTCTGAAGCTTTTCACATGCGTGTTCCAAGTTGTTGCTCGGACCTGCATCTGCGTCATGCCCGATGTCCCGTTCCACCCCCCTGCCTCTCCCGCACCATAAACTTTGAGCCTCAACAGCGACCCTCCTGCCCTTCGCATCACATCACGAAAGCTGGATATGAGCGATGCCGCGCCAGCGTCTGCCGACCTGCGCTACGAGCAGTACGATGGCACGAAAGAAGCGGAATTCCTCCCCGCGATCCGGCAGCTGATCTCCAAAGATCTCTCCGAGCCCTACAGCATCTACGTCTACCGCTACTTCCTGTATCAATGGGGGAACCTCTGTTACATGGTACGATATATCTGCCAGCATGTCCGGCTTTACAATCCGATGTTTTCAGGGATAGGGTTGACCAGAGCTACAGGCTCTCGATGCCTCGAACAAGCTCATCGGCGTCGTCGTTTCGAAGCTGGAGGATCACCGCAGCGGAACATTTAGAGGCTATATCGCCATGCTGGCCGTACAGGAGGGATATAGGGGGCAAGGTATTGCAACACGGCTGGTGAAAATGGCCATCGATGCCATGGCGGCGCGAGATGCGGATGAGGTGAGCAATTCCCCATCCCGTTCAACCCCAAATCGCTAGCTGGTTTACTCATTCCATCTAGGTCGTGCTCGAGACTGAAGTCACGAACACCGCGTCCCTGAAGCTGTACGAGCGGCTTGGCTTTTTGCGGAGCAAGCGCCTGCATCGTTATTATCTCAACGGCAACACGGCGTTCCGGCTCGTACTGTATCTGAAGGAGGGGACGGCGGTCAAGATGCCGCAGCTGCTGCAGCAGCAAGCTTTGTGTGGTGACGAGCACGGAGCGCAGAACCCGCTGCTTGTAAATCATGATCTTGTTCATTGAGGGAAAGCCACACAGCATGCCAATTCTAGTAGAGAAGGGATATCTGTATGGTAGGCCAAGACAAGAAAATAACATTACCACAACATGTTGTGAAGTAAAGAGTTATAGACGCACGTTGAGGCTGGGTTTCAGTGGAAAGGATTCGGCCATGGACAAGGAGAAAATGGCATACCGTGCATTGGTGTGTCTTTGCTTGATAGCTCGCACTGGTCAGTGGTTTTCCCTAACATACTCACTCAGGGATATATTGAATCGATCTGCCTAGCTGAAGTGAGCCTTAGAAGGCTTCAGCTAACGATCACGTGCGCTGACAGTCACGTGCTTGGGCGTGTCCGTCAATAACATCCTTTCTCTTGAGCTTGACTTGACAACTTGCGATGGCTTCTTCTGCTATGCAAGACCACCGCGCCATTGTCCTATTGTCCCACTCGTCGCGCCGAGCGTTTTCGTTGGGTATCACGGCGTTCGTACCGCTACTGGACCTGTCGGACGAATGCAGCGCTCTCGACCTCTGCAAGGATCAGGCTGACCGGTGATATCTCCCGAGCGTAGCAAAAGGGAATCGTAGATGCTCTCCGCTCACGACAACAGCAGGATTGCCACATCTCAGAGGCGCCTTTGACACTCATTCGATATTACTGGTGGGAATAAGAGCAGGCTTTCAAATCAGGCAATTTAAGGAGGCACATTTAGAGTCTAATAATCCATAGCAATAGTTCCCCTCCAACTATCCCGCAAAAAGATGGAACATAGTCACAAAACAGCAGAAGGAGACCACTAGTCCAGGTGGCGCTCATATCTCACATAACAATTAGGTGCTCTTTTAGCTGCGCGAACTTCTGCAAGCGTGTACGAGGAGAAGACCCTCACAGACCAAACACGGCCGACCGATGGACGATCTTGCCGTCTCGAATACTCCTGTGGGGGCACCTAGGCCTCTGGCTTGAATCGGGAATGGCTGCAGAAGGAGGATTCTTGTGCGACTAAACTTTCGTCTCCCTGTCGACGCCTGACTTAAGGGGAGCGTCTACGGGTCATGGTTGGAGAACGGCACGCTGTTTGTTCGACATCAGTTCAGTCTGCATGTTCATGGGTGGCCATAGGCTCATGCCAAGCTCCCAGCGTCAAATGAGACCGTGTTGACAGCCCTACCGGAGCTTGCTCCGGCTGTCCGATTCGGAGTTGTCACCGTGAACTGACACCCTTGCTGCAATGGCTGTGCAGCCTCTCAAGTGAACAGCTGCACTACTCCTCATCAGCAGCATCTCAAGTCCGCAACAATGTCTTCACCCTCTTCAGGATCGACCCTGGCACAGCGGCAGAGATTTTCCAACAAAGCGGCCAGCCCTGAATCTTGTCGATATTCCCGAACAGGGACCGTGAGGGGTGCGGACGCGGAAGCCTTATTGGAGATGCTACCTTTGAGCGTCATGTGGGAGAGTGGAGTCGGCTTGAAAGGTTTGATATATATCTCCCTCTCCTGAATTGACCAGACTGCAGAGCGAATCATCCTCAACGAGTATCTATCGCCTACCCCAATCTTTGATACGCTTCGATCGTCGTTTGCTGCATCCTGATCCGCGACGCTTTTGCACCCTCATCGCTGAACAACGCTCCAGGTCGCTTCCTTTGTCCTGCAATCTTTCGCTGCATCCCTTCTCGCTAGCCGTCGAATACTAAAGTCGCTTCTCTGTCTTATCTCAGCCGTCCGCGATTCTACCACCCCGTACCCGATGGTGCCCCTATCCAACCAGCAACGAAAACTCCAACCCATAGCCTCCGGCGGCCTTCATCAGCACCAACAAGGCCAGCCGCTTCCACCAATACAGAGTATGTGTTGGATCACCACACACCTCTGGAAATGTTGCGGCAGTCCTCATAACTTTCGATTCGTTATGACTCCATGCGATTCGGCCAACAAGCACAAGACAGATCCACGAAACTGCCCCGACCGTCAGGATCATACCAACTACGTTGATGGGGAAGAGTGCGAGAACTGCCAGCTTGTCAGGGAAGTTAGAAGGCTTGCAGCGGAGAAACACAACGAATAAGATGTCTCCAAGCTGCGGCCAAGAAAAGGGGTTCCTGACGATCACACCTTCGAGCACTTCCCGCTAAAGGGTCCCGACACTCAGCCAACCTTATGCAACATCGTATGCGGCTTTCCTGCATCACTTTGGCGGAACAGTTTACTCATCTGGACGGCACGTATCTGGGAGTGAACATCAGTTGAGGAAGCGGTCGCTGCTCTCAGTTGCTATGTTTACCGTGCGGCAATGACTCATCATAACGCTATCGACAACATAGTTTCCGGGTACCAATTTGTTTCGCACGCTATTCGTCCGAGGATGCCTAGTTGTTCTTTAACCTGGCTCTGCTACGACTCCAGCCGTTAGTGGTCTTGCGCCTGGCGGCAACCCATCTATGATCCAGCCACCAGATTCGAACGCTTCCCAGACACCAGCATAATCTAGCACATGTACTCGTGTCGGTACCATGTCGACTATCTCAACCAAGACGCAACTCTCAACGCAAATTCGACCGTGTCACCCGCAATAATCTTCCAAAGCCCAATACCTGCCTACCTTCGCACGGCATACGGAGAACATATCTAGGTTGATGCCACCACAGCCTCTTAGCCCTCAGTTGTGTTTCTCGTCTCCGAATTGCAGCTTGAGTCTCATAGTTCTTAATAAGGCTTCATTAATTTTCGTCACAGTGTCTTTGCTATTTGGCCGTTTAATATGTTGCACTGTTTCCCTCTTAGCCCTCTCAATAGTTTCGCAAAGCTACAGTCGTGGTGTTGCATTTGATTACGAGGTGGACAACAGACAGCACCAGATACGTCGTTGACCTGAGTGGCAGGCAGGCAGACAGGGGTAGGTACAGGCGTGTTTCGTCACGTGGGACGCCTACGCGACCCCAGCTATGAACCATCGGTATCCTTCAGCGCTATGTCATGTAAGAAAGGCCCAATGGATATGGTGCTGGACCCGAGAACGATCAGGTGTCAATTAATTTATTTTGTTTGATTCTGCGATCTGCACGCCCACGTGTTGCCACTGCAGAACGTTACAGGATGGTGCATGTGCCAAGAATCCGCTTACTAAGATCCCATGCCGCGAGGTGGATTTTCAAGATAAGGTATTCGAGTACTTGAAATCGAAGAATCCTCACCGGTCTCAGAGAATCTCAGGATCAACCTAAAGTCAGTTCCATCTTACTGAGCATCTGGCCAGCCCCGAGCTTTCCCAAACCGCCGGAGAGGCACCAGTCATCGGCCTACGAACTCGTCTCAGAGCTGCCGTGGTGCTTAGTGCTACAAAAAAGAGCACAGGGGTACCAACCCACCCACATGCACTTGTCGTGCAAGCCCAGTACTAATACGCGTTGCAGAAGCAACGTTTCTTTGCCGCCCTCTCATTTCGCGCTCTCGCTTTACTCTCAGCTTCCCGGAACGAGTGCCGAAATGGAGAACGAGCTAGCTCGGGTGATGACCGAGATCACCGAGCTCCGAAAAGACAAGGAGTCGAAAGAGAGCGCCTTCGCGGGTGTTATCGACAGCTTGCAAGTGCGCAATGCGGGGCTTACTTCAATGGTCGAGAACTTGGAGAAGATGTTGGGAGACCAACGTCAGGCTATCGAGCGGCACGAGCAGCAATTGAAGCAATTGATGGAGGATCGTGGCTCGTGAGGCAAAGCTGAAAAGGCTATGAGATGGCGGCGGGTCAGTTACTAGGTTGTGATATCCATCGCGGACGGAATGGAAGCGTTCACTGACATTCTTTGGAAGTTCGGATATCGCTAGGCAAATTTTTCTTGCTCATGCTAATGCTTACAGCCTGCGCTTATCAGGAGAAGCTTTCCTCGAAGTCAATCACGATGATGCTCATATTCTTCAACCATGACACGCTAGATAGCCTCAGCGCGCCCGAGTTCAGTTGCCTTATTTACATCAGTACATCAGCACGGCAAGTTTTCTCCAGAGTGGCTTTTAAAACAATTACCAAATCTCATTCCATGATCACCGCGGAGCAACGCGAAGGAGAGGCGGTTGCGCACAATGGAGAGTCGCAAATTCTAGATACGATTGGTCGAGACATTGAGACTAGAGTTTCTCTTGAGGGTTTCGCGTTCTTGTCACACGTCGCCTGCGTCTCAGCTGCTCTGGGTTGCGATAGGGGAGAAAGTTTCTCCCCTATCGCAACCCAGCTCAGCGCTTCCATGTGAGGCCCTATCTGTAGTTTCTTGATATTGGAGGTGCAGTAGCACGGTAGCAGCGCGGAGCGCAGTTATATCACGTACAATTATCAACTTCATCACTTATTAAGGGATTCAGCGTATTAAGTATTAGCTCTCGGCTCTTGTGGATTTTTTACGAAACCATGTAAGCGTTCGCACATCGCTGATACAAATTGGTGTCCATAAGAGTAAGCGGCTTCGCGACAATGTAAAAAATTAAAGACTCGCAGTCGCACTGCCGATAACAACTCCGACCTTGTCCCACGCATCACGGATCGCATCCTTCACGGATGCGTCATTGGGAAATTCTTGCTCAGCAACCTCAACCGTGACTGCGGCGAATTCTGCAAATTTGCATTCCCACGGTATCCTGCCAGAGAGCATTGTCTTGTACCACACCTTCCCAGCCTTTTCCCAGGAATAACCCCCAAGACGCTTTGCAGCCAGATAGAATGCATGGTTTGGAATCCCCGAGTTAATATGGACACCTTTCAGGTCTCTATCTTCGGTATAGATATCGCGCATGTGCTTTGGCTGTGGGTCAGTGCCGAGGACGGGGTCGTTGGTATATGCCTTGCCGGCCTTGAGGGATCGCAACGCAGCGCCCGTGAACGACACCGGGAACAGCGTCTGCCCAAGGATCCAATCCGCTTCATCGGCAGTCTGACGCATATGCCACTGCTCGACCATAGAGCCGAAGATGTCAGCGCAGGACTCGTTCAAGGCTCCAGATTGCCAATAGTACATAAGCGGCGAGGAGTATTGGACAAAACCGTGGCTCAGCTCGTGAGCAATCACGTCCAGCGAGTCGGTGAGATAGTCAAAGGCGATGTGGTCGCCGTCGCCGAAAACCATCTGGTTCTTGTTGCCGTCCCAGAAGGCGTTGTTGTACCCGTTCGGTTCGCTGGCCGGGTTGAAGTGGACGCTAGCAACGAGGGGCATCCCTTGATTATCAAGGGACTTGCGGCCAAAAGCCTTGTAGAAAAAATCGTGGGTGATTTTGAATCCATCGTAGCAGTTGTTGACTTGGCGGTCCTTACCACGCACTTGTCCCTCAGATCTCGCAAGCGTTCCGGGACGGTTTGCGGTTTGTTTGCAGTCGTAGATCTTTCTTTGCACCGCCACAAGCTCACCGCCTGCCGGCTTCAGAGTTTGCTGCTCTGTTTGCTGGGCTTGGGCGGGGGCCTTTTTAGAGTGAGCGATTGCTTCGAGAATGTGTTGGGGGATGAACTGGTCTCAGTGGGGAAGAGAACTAACATGAGCATGAGTACACAACTCATGACGTTGATCAGCATAAGTTGAAGCATGCGTCAATGTGTACCGGCAGGCGATACGAGACTCTTCTGGAACGGACGCAGAGCCGGCTATGGCCTCGAGAACGTAAGGAGGCACGAAGCCGCAAATGAAATTTCGCTTGACTTCAGACATAGTAGGAGCAAGAATTGAGGGAAAGTGTATCTTTAGTAGGGATTGAAGAAGAAGCTTGCGTTTGCTTGAGTTGAAGTGCAGAGATGGTAAGACTCAATGACTTCTGGAGAAACGGAAACAGATGGATTGCCTGATATTACTACGCTTTATATATCTGTATCTGGAGAACCAGGATCCTTGATACAGTGTATACGGGCTTCAGCCTCAGCTATCATACTTATCAACCCGTTGCATGAAACTGCCTCGAGATTGGCTGGCCTGAAAAGCCTGGATTTGCCTACTTCCTTCAGCCCCGACATTCTTGGGGTGTCAGCCTTCTATCCAGCCCACACAAACGCGGGTTAAGGGTTACAGTGGGATGAAAAGTTGTGTCGTATTTCAACCGCGACTTTGAGTGGAAGCCTCCGCGACGTCCATTCTCACCGTCCCGTGGCCCATGCCATATTGCAATGTCGACAGTCATCTGCTCCATAGCTGTTGGCTCGGTCTGTTCGGTCTTTACCAGGTTCAAGACCAGCTGATGGAAAGAAAGAACAGCAGAGCGGCCCAGGAGTCACTTCTTTCAGTCAGCTCTACCTCGTTCAGAGGCATCACCGAGTCCTTCGAGTTGGGAAAAGCCTACTGCTTCACAGCCCGGAATCATCTCCCAGGTTCCTGTAACTCAGCATCAATGGTGGAACGGCTGAAAGATGGAGGGCAATGTCCTGCACACGATCGGCCCAATCTCACGTCCTAGAGTCTCTGAAAAGCTGCCAGCAACGTCGTCAGACGGGACGTTCAGCACTCCGGCTAGGCTGACGGATGAGAAGGAAGGTGTCTGGAAGTAGAACAAGAAGGCGCATAACAGGCAGGTAAGCATCGATGCCTTGTCCTACAAGACTCGGCGATCTGACGAATATAGATGTCGGCACAATCGATATATTACTTAGGAGTTTACTGGAAATCGCTTGCGCCTCCTTTACAACAAAGTGTATCTCAACGCCGAGTCGTCAGATATACATAACCCAAGATTTTCGGGTGAAGCTTGGCATCCGCGCACCGACCTCCGGGCCTGGCTGCTGAGGTCAGATTCGTTTCTCAGGCACCTGACAACACCATCTCTTGAATGTCAAGCCGCTAGGCCATGTCAACGACAACCTTTCAGCTTTCCATTCTGAGCAGCAGGACGATTGCCTGGCCAGTAATAGATTGCTGGAGCCGAGGCAGTCAAGCCATACGAATGGCTGGTTCGCCTGATCATTTCTGCCTAGGTTCGATGGATGCTGAGAGCTCTTCGTTGTGGACAGCGACGCTGAGGCTGATGGAACAGAGGAACAAGGCTCTGCCGCTGGCCACTTTTGAGGCCAGGCATTGTCCTATCTCGGTGTGCTGCTATGCTTAAGGACGTCAATCAATGACACATAGTGGAATTTGAAGCGCCACGCCCAGGTCAAGAGACTGGAATGGACGGAGACATCTGCGCGGCCTCTACAAGGAAGGAACAGATGCTCGTGGGTTGATGCTTTCACCAGCGCCCAAGGCTTCCCCTCACTCTGAAAACTTCAATAAGTATTCGAAGATCACTGCAAGAGCCCAACCAGCCTTGCTTTCAACTACTCGTAAAAACAATGGCGAGCAGTGTGGTTTGCAACGGAAAGACGTACGATCGTCACGGTCTCGTTGGCTATGGGCTGATCCCTTCCGTTGCACGAGACAAATTTGGAGATACGCTGGGAGGCATAGGCAGCTCAGTTGTTATTGACCAATCCTCGTGGGAGAAGAGCGGAGATGGAACTTACAGAGGCGTCGCCTGGTGTTTGCCTGACCGCGGATGGTACGTGATGAGCCCTTTATTTGACCCACTGCTAAGAGATGTCGACAGGAACAGAGAGGGCACGGTCAACTTCCAGAATCGCGTCCACAAGATTGGGTTGAAGTTAACCCTAAAACCGGATGCGACAGCGGAGAATCCCTCAGAGCCAAATCTTCAGCTCAGATATCTGGACACAGTTCTTTTCACTGGCCCAGACGATACTCCCACTACAGGCCTTGATGCAAATGGGCAGCTTTCCTATCCGGAATTTCCAGATCTACCTCTACCCGCGGCAAAGTATACAGGAGACGGCTTCGGAGAAGCAGGGCCGGGAGGTCACCGTATAGCTGTCGACAGCGAAGGCCTCGTTCTTGGCTCCAATGGCACGTTTTGGGTCAGCGACGAATACGGCCCGCACATCTACAAATTCTCCCCCACCGGGAAAATGTTGCAGGCCATACGCCCGCCTGATGCGTACATCCCCCGTCGGAATGGGACCGTGAGCTTTTCGTCCGCTTCACTCTCTATCTTCGATCGAAAGGCGGAAGTCGCACAAATTCGTCCAGAGGATCCTGACTCCGGACGCGGCAACAACCAAGGCTTCGAAGGTCTCACCATCTCGCACGACGGAAAGAAGCTGTATGCACTTCTGCAATCCGCGCTGAACCAGGAAGGGGGCAAGAGAAGGAAGACGCGCAGGCACGCTCGTTTGATCGAATACGACATCCCTGAAGCTGGAGATGCAGCATATGCCCATGAGTACGTCGTGCGGCTGCCACTGTACGATGAAGACAAGGCTGCTGGACAGTCCGACATCCTCTATGTGGGCGACAAGCAGTTCCTCATCCTCGCTAGAGACTCGAATGCGGGCCGCGGATCCGAGAATGGGGAATCGAAATCGAAGTATCGCCAAGTGGACATATTCGATATCAGCCAGGCCACAGACATCAAGTCTGACGAGTACGACCACGCTACTGGGGCGATTGCGGATCAGAACGGCGGACTAGTCAGTGGCATCGTTCCTGCAGAGTATTGCGGATTTGTCAACATCAATGACGAATCTGAGCTCAGAAAATTCAAGTTGCACAACGGCGGACCACAGGATGAATGGCTATTGAATGAGAAATGGGAGTCTATCTCCCTCGTGCCAGTAGAGCCGAAGGGCGATGGTTCTCAGGGTAGCAATGATAGCAAGGAGTATCTCATGTTTTGCTTTAGCGACAACGACTTCATCACTCAGGATGGGCGAATGAATTTTGGGGAATTTCATTTTAAGGATGCAATCGGCTATGAAGTGGATTCCCAGGTTCTAGTTTTCCGTGTCACTCTTCCGCAGTGACTAAGTTGCTCGCCTGAGGACACTCTTGAGCTTCATGTTGCAATGATGAGCCGCACTTTTTTCTTCTCGGGTGGTCAGTTGTAGGTCAGGGACCTTTGTGTATGATGTTTCTTTGATAATTACACGATCTCACTTGTGTGTTTGTTTTTCGTCAAGTTTATACTCAACCAACGGTCCCAGCGTGCTTGATTTCGGTTGATTTGGGTTCCCCACCGTCTTCCTAATGTTCACTCTCTCCTCCTCCTCTCCTACTGGAACATCCCCTTACCCGCGGTTCGGCAGGCTCCGAAGCGAAGCCACCGGGACTGAGCTCCAAACGAGTCGATATGCCACCGAAAATGCCTTGCAGTAAGCACAACTCTTCAGCTCGAAGCAACGAAGGGGTGGCTGGCTGAACAGACACTCTATCCAGCCAGATGGCTCGAACTTAGAGCAAAGCAGCACAACAGGCATCTATACGAATAGAGACAAAATTGTTCCCACAATCTCCGATCAGCTCCACCGTCAGAAGGGCGTAACCATACCCCGATCAGACTGACTTGACGCAGCGCTTTGGGCTTGACAAGCTCTGCGGCGAGCTGAATCTTTGTTCACCAGCTTCCCATCGAAGAACGCTTATTGGCCAGGCTGCAGTCAGCACACCATAGCCTCAAGCCTGTCCGTATTTGTTCAGCTGAGCTACTACTTGCAGGACTGAAAGCAGATCTCTCCTCGCCGTTGGATTGTAGGTAAACGCGTCCCCGCAGGCATTCGGCCTGTTCACTCGTTCTCCGTCCCGCTTACTCACGGGAACGTGCTGATACTGACTTCCTCTTACGTACTCGAAATATCCAATCCACGCTTCATCTCCGAGAGGCAGATATCTTAGCCTAGCGCAAGGCAGACGAGTTGTAATGCTGGAAATGAAGCTAGGGGAAGTAAGGCTAGAAATCCTCAGCAAAGACAGCTTTCTAGTGCTGTTGTTCATGTATATATATTTCGTTTCTGCTCAGGCCGTTTCCAAATCATCCACAGGTTTCTACACAGTCCTCACTTGGATTGCACGAGTCCCAGTCTGTTACAAAGCCATTGCTTCTTGCCAAAGCTAAGGTAAACAAGCTCCACCTCCTTCTTCAAGTACGATCCTTTATGGGGACCATCGCCATCAGTCTCTGACCACACGGCAGCATCCCAAACTCACAAACAATGGATCAGCCTGTTCCCCCCATTTCCTTCGCCGATTTCAGCGGCGCCCCCGTCCCCAAAGCTGAAGCCGCTACCACCGAAGCCGCCCCTCCCCCTCAAGCAATCATCTACACGACGATCGTCCGCATCTACGTAACCCGCACCGGCAACGACCCCGGTAGTTCCTGCGAGCTCAAATCCCAGGTCTACCTCTCCAACAACGCGACGCAGACCGCGAGCATTGACGTGTCCATCAACACGGACTTCTCGCACAATAACAACGGCCTAGGGCTGCTGCTGATCGAGATGTCTAGGCCCAACATCAACGCGCCGTTGAACTTCAACGCCACGGCGTATGAGGAGGGCGGCGTCGGGAGTGGCAATAGGTACTTTATCCAAAGGCCGATTGACTTTGCGAGAAATCCGGAGTTCATGGATGGGAGAGTGTGGACGTGGAAGCAGTGGAACACTAGCGACAGCAACTATGTTGGGCATACGGAGTGGCAGGTTGTCAGGCGCTTTGCATGAATAAAAGTGGTTGTGAGGGATGAGTGTACGTTCCGCGTGCTGGTTGCGTTGGCTACGGTCTCTGTCGAGTAGTGTAGTTGAATGTTGACGCCGTCTTTTCATCTTCGTTTCGCTTATGCACCTGGACTTCAGATCTACTCAGGACGGCCTCAGCAGCGAGCGCTTCCACAGCCTCTCCATTATTAGCGGGTGAACTATGCGGAAAGATTATGCCCGTTCTCGGCTCACGGATAGAGCGCTCACTCTCCATACCTTAGCCTGCACTGAATGGAAGGCGTTAAGCATCAGTCCCAATAGTGTGCTCCACTAATGGAAAGTGAAAACATCTCATGTTCTTCTAAACGGAGTTGATCCGATAACTGCTACACTGCGAGCATATTGCGCAGTTAGACAAAGTTCACAGGTGATGCTAGTTCCCTTCCGTTAGAAGAACGCCGCAAAGCCGAGGGCCGGGAACAGGAAGCTGGGACAAGCAGGAGAAAAGAAAAGTAAGATATGATCATCCGCAAACGGAACTCATGAGGAAATCGGAAACCGGTACAGACGTGGAACCCAGAAGGAAGCTTCTATGTCTCGAACAGATGAAACTTCGCGGTTTATGGCTGTCCACTTTTACATTGCGGACCAGCGCGCATTGGAGCTATGTACAAAAAGCCGAACGTACTGACAACAACGGCGACCTAGACAGGGGTAGCGATGCTCGCACTGTAACAAAAGCAAAACAGAAGGGGATATCATCCTTACAAACACAGCCATCACTTACACCAGTCCCTTGATGCGAAATTCCCAGAGCGCCCTCGTGCCATTCCTCAGGCGTAAATATCGACTTGCGCATAGCTCAACATGACCTACAAGCCAGCCTGCACCCTGCAATCCAATCCGCTACGTACAGACGGCAGGCTAAACATGCTCTCAAACAAGCACCCACTCACACCCCCTCTTGACGAACTTGTCAAGCAAAATCCCAACATCCTGCAGCACGAACCTGCAGACATAGAATCCGAAGAACTCCGCCGCGTGCCTGGTGCTAAGCTCCAAACCGACGTGCGTTTGCGAAGAGTGTCTAAGACCTGGATCCTCGGCCTGTCGGGCTATCTGGTCTGTAGAGGCACCTATTAGCTTTGCCTAAGAAGAACCCTATAAACCATGCAAGCCGCGAATGAGATCCCCCAGTGTGTACGGAGGTATGGAACACAAGCGGGAGAGAAGAGACCTACCAAGTATCTGCACCGCATCACACAATCGCACCAGACTCCCCATATAATTCGCATTCGGCCCTTCGCAGGTCACGGCCTTCACATCCCTCTTCGCGAACCGGATAGCCGGCAGCCCCGTCATCGGCAGACTCGGCATCGTGAAGGCATCCTTGGGAAGATCCTTGACTGCCCCTGTGCCAGCACCATGCGCATTAAGCCCCATCGCTGAGCCTTTACTCCTCAGTTTCCGCCACGAGGTAAGGTACGATTTGGCCTGCGCCCCGACTTTCTGTTCGCCGAGCAACCCTGCCTCGGAACCGCCGGTCGCCGGTCTGACAACACCCGTGGCGTCCTTGAAGAAGCTGCCGATGCCATTCACGCCGACCTCTGACCCCAGCTTCCTGGCCAGCGCCGCCTGCGCCTGATCCAGCACTTTCTCCAGCGCCTGCATCTCCTCGAGCACAGCCTCAGCATCATCTTCATCTACGCGGGCAAGCCGCAACAATGCTGCGGTCAGGAGGTCCATGTTCGCGATTTTCTCGTCGACGTGCTTGAGCTTAACGCCGTTGACGGTCCAGATGTTGCGGGGGACGAAGAGTTTGTTGGAGAGATAGCCGCCGCGCGGGTGTGCGAGGGTCTGGTAGACTGCGCGGAGTAGCCAGAAGGGGCGGAGGAGGTGGGCGTCGGGACAGGGCTCGAGTGGGATGGGGCCGTCGGTGTCGGAGTCTAGCTGCGTGGCGCTGTCGGTGCTACTCGGGCTCTGTATGTCGCTGTTGAAGAGGTGCAGGCCGCCGATAGCCAGGCTGTCGGTCGCGAATGTTGGGATGGTGGGCGTGGGTGCAATGGCTGGGTTGCTGAGCTTGCGCGTCGAGAAGGCAGCGAATGTAGTACTTAGGGGAGTGTGGATGCTGTTTTCAGAACCATCGGGGCTCGAGAGTGAGAGTGCGCGGCTTTTGAGGCTGAGTGAGGATCCGTTCTTCCTGAGGGAAGTGGGGGGATGTGAACTTTTGGTAGTTGAAGGTTTGAAGTGTCTGGGTGACTTGGGCGCGAGGGTGCTGTCTTCGGAGGTTACGCGAGTTAGCGCTGTATCGGGGTTATCGGATAAGATTATTGGGATGGAATCGGCAGGACTGGATCCCGGTAAAGGTGTTGGTGGCGTAATGTCAAGGCTCGCTGCCGAAGCGGGCATCTTGGGCAGCTTGAATACGTCGCCAGGTAGCATCTGACCACCGCCCACAGCCTCGCTAACTGACTCAAGAGCGGGCGGCACCTTGCGCTCTTTACCCTGAGCGGCCGTGGTTGATAAGCGGTCCTGGGAGAGCGGCGGCTGGACGACGTGAGGAACAAGAATTGATGTCTCAATCTTCAGGTGCTTCGGGTCTTTGCCCGACAGCCTTCGACTTCGAACGCCAATGCCATGAGGAGCTACGACACTTGGCACGCTCGGCATTGTACTTATCGGAGGTTGATGAGGAATTTCCTCTGGGTGGCTTGCAGACACGGCAGGCAAGGATATTGTGGGTGGCGGTGCGGGTAAGGGTAGGTCCAGTTGTGCTATCGTTGAGAGATGAGCGGCAGGCAGCTCTGCAACTGTAGAAAGTGAGGTCCCGGCAGTCGTCCGGTTCGAGGACATGGAGCTGTTCCAGGCACTGCCGGAGGAAAAGCCGCTGGAGTCTGATTGCCTGGGCAGTGCTGACTTTGACTGAAGGTCGAAGTCGAACCCTTCCAGCATATACTCCTTGGTCATTTCGTCGAGCATCCGCTCTTCCTCGTCCGCTTCGGGATCTCGATATCCGGGTTCTGCGCTCCCTCGTGCATGGGGTAGCGGCTCCGTGAGCCGTAACTCTCTATCACGGAGCTTCGCTGCCTTTATTAAATCCTCTCTTGCAAGTTCTGCGTCTCGCTCATTGGCTAACCTGTCCATCGCAGAGGGCGCCTTGCTCAGGACAGATTGGTGCATCTCCAGCGGCCGATCCTCCTCGTATGGCTCGAATCCATCATCGTAAGCGGCTTCGACAGCAGCGTCAAGCGCAGCATCGAACTCTGCCTGCGTTGATCCACTATTGTTGCGCAGATGCTTCCGATGAATAGCACCATCGAGTGACGATACTGAATGCACAGATGATGCGCAAGAAGAACCGTCAGACTCATCTATAGTGTCTAACCAGGATACGGGCTCGTCATTTTTTATGGGTTCGGGGTCGCTAGGGCCTTGCTGAGAGACCTGGCTGTTCTGTCTGGCGATTGGTCCTTCAGCCGGCTCATCTCCTGATTCAAGACTTGGCGATGGTGGGGGTCGTGGTGATAGCGGTGGTGGCATATAACTCTTGTCCATAGGCGAATCAAAAGCGGACAGCCGCATCGCAGGTACTCGCTGACTAAGCCGGGAGTTGGACGCCGTAACCTTTAATAGACCGTTGGACTGCGATGTGATTGGCATTGTGCTCTCCACGCCTCGTATCGCGGATGTCAACTCTGAATCTCGGTTTCCCGCAGGCTGCGAACTCCCTGACGGCAGTGCATGTCGTTCTCGCTCCATCGACGGGTCATTGATGATTCTTGTTGTTACCGCAGTTCCAATCACCACAGGCTCATCATCATCGTCTGACCCAAGCGGTAGCGACAGAGCGCCTGAGCCTAAGGACTCGTCGCTCATCGGTCTGGCTGGTAGGGATTTGCCTGAAGCGGGCTGGTGGGAGGGGTTCAGTATCTGAAGTTCTTGGATTCGATTCGTATAAGTGATTCGCTATCGAATTTCATTAACATTCCGCGGGTTGGGCGATTGTGTGGTATTCGCTACAAGACTTACAATGGAATCCAACTTTCTTCGATCATCCTCCCCAGAACTCCTCAGCATAACCTGTTGTAGCAGCCTACAAGCATCCTCATAGGCCTCAACTGCACCCTCAAAATTCAGTGCATTGTCAAGCAGCACAGCCGTATTGGCTTTCTGTAAAGCTCTAGACAGCATCGATTTCTTGTCTTTTTCACGACGCTCTCTTGTCCTTGGAGGACTGGCAGTAGACTGGCTTTCGCGGTTCCTGTCGCTGTCGCTTGTACTCCGCTCCCTGAGACGGGCAGATGGGTTCCCCGAGCCGCCACCTTCGTCCCTTCTTTCTTGAATGCTGTTGCTTGCCAGCCTCTGCCTTAATCCAGGCTCCTGCCCCACCAATGCTGAGCCGATCCCGGCACGTAACAAACCAGAAGGTCGAGATGAACTATCCGATAGTAGTATGGGAGGCGTGGTGTGAGGCGATCGCAACTGCGTGCTTCGGTAAATCATCGATCGCTTTGGCGATCCTGGCTTGGGTATTCGTGAACCAAAATAATCAGGCGTCGAGTTCGAATGGGACAGCGGCGTATGGAACTCAGATGCCGAGGACGTCCCAGCCGTCGCGGGCGTGGATGTGGATCCAGACTCGTAGCTGGTTTGAGGGAAGTGGGTGGGGGGCGTTGATAAAGGTGGCAGTGTTATTGGCGGTGCTGAAGGCAACGGAGACGGAGGTCGTGCTCGCCGATGAGGGCTGCGTGTAGGCGAATATCGCGGCTCCGTACTGCTTTTGCGCGATGGCGAGGAATGGGCGGCCGAGGAGCCATGAACTGAAGAGAGGGTTGTGCTGCCGCTAATGCTCATCCTGCGCGAGAAGCTGCTCCCAGCTGTCGTGTCCTTCGTCGACGACCTGCTCGAGGTTGTAGAGTGGGACCAGCGATTGAGATTACCAATGCCTTCCTTGATACCGCTAAACCCCTCCGCTACGCTCGATCGGCGTCTGTGGGTTGGCGTGGTGTTTCTGGCAGGTAAGGTGGCTGCGTCACCGAACGCCTCAGCCGAATCGAAGGAGGGAAAAGGCGCGGAGGAAAACCTCGAGTAGGGTGCATTGGAAGAGCTGAGCGATGCGGCGCGCTTGACGGTGGTGCCAGACGACGAGGCCTGCGACCCGGATCGCGAAGAACGTCGAGTGTGAGCGGACGGAGGACGTGCATTGGCGGCAGCGGAAGAAGAAGAAGAGGAAGAAGGAGAAGCCATCGACACTGGGTCCATGGCCGTCGTCGTGTGCAGGTGCGGTACCTTAGTCGAGGGATCCGTATGCGACTTCAGACCGCCGGTTCGCCGTTATGCAGGCCGCGGTGAAGGGCAGACGCCGTTCATGCAAGCCCTCGATGCGGCAGCTGCACCGCGGAAACCGGGGAGGGTCGACGCTGAGCCCGCAGGACGGCTGGGTGGTGGAACGCAGGCTGGACGGTGCCTGCAATGGGCTTGGAAGTGCCTGCGTGCGGTGGAGCGCAGTCGGACAGTTGTCTCCTCCCAGGCCCCGGAGGTACCTGAGAGTAGAGGGTCGAGGGTCGAGGGTCGAGTCGACACCTAAGGTACTGTAATGCCTGCAAGTGGCTTGCCAAGAGCTTCGATGCGACCTCCCTACGAGTAGAGCAGCGCCCGTTGCTGCACAGCGCTCGCGGGACCGCTTCGACTGCGAACGCCCTGGTAAACACAGAGCTACGGCTGATGGTACCAGCCTTTCCCGGTGTTGCGCGCCTTAGTTGCGTGAGTCGAAGTCGGATTGCGCGCCGCTGTGTGCTTGATCACCGTGACCACGCCTCGAAACCCAACCCGGCTCTACGAGTCGCGCATCTCGACTTGCTGCCCGTATTGGTCCCTTGGATGTGGATGTCTGGTTCGTCCCTTCTCTGGCGCAGCTTGTGTGCGTTGAGCTATCGATTCACTGCGCACTTGAGTCGCGGCTGGGTGAAGCGACGGGGGTTATCCGGGATGCAGGAGATGTGAAGAATGCCTGGCGTGGTTCTGGCGTGGTTCTGGCGTGGATCTGGCACTTGCAGAAACAATACAAAAGCCCAGTCTGGAGAAAGCGGATGGCCAATTGAGCGGGGCTGAGCGCGATTAGGCCGTCTACGCCGCTGTCGAGTTGTGGAAGTAGCAGCGGAGGGGTATCTAGGTTATTTGAGCGTACATGTCGGGAACAAGGGGAGAAGCTCCTGCGGCGTCTGCACGATGATGTGCTCAACCCGACCCGTTTCAGCGCTTCGGAGGGCTTAAGAGGAACCCTCTTTTGGCGACTCGGCTGCCCAATGTATCACGAGAAGCGTACGGAGTAGTGAAGAAGCAATCAGTATCAGATGTCGCCGAGGGCTGCATCAGACCCCAGGATTCAGGGCTCAGGGCTCAGGGCTCACGCGAGTGACGGAAATCGCCGGACTCGTAAACTACCGGACTTACTACTCACTCCCAAATCACTGAAATCTATTAGATTCACCACGTCTCTAAAGACCTTTACTCTAGCCACCTTACCTCCAGGTATAGCTTGCACATGTTTATGTGGCAGTATACCATGAAGGATTGCGCCTATTCATGACCTCCCTAAGCTGACTGAAGATCTATCTGTTTTTCGGAGTCCGGCAATTTCTGTCACGCAGGTGGGGCTCAGGGGTTGCTCAGGGATCGGCGCCTCGGGCTCGTGCTTCGAAACGCCTCAAGAACGGTCCGCCGTTGTCGTGAAACCTGGCCAAACGTAAATCTGACTTCCGCCACCATTCCGACTCTCGGCTATGATTGTGGTGTCGGCCATGATTCGAAGCTGTGTTGTAGGTGACAGTAATTTTTGACTGCTTTGTTGGGATCCTCATGGGGATGCTTAGGTGAAGTGTTTGCGCAATCGTCAAGGGAAAGGTTACTTTCAATTCATCAGTACCTAGCCGGAATGCTTCAAAGGGCTAAGATCCAGGGCTAAAATCCCTGGCCTTTTGGCATCTTCTTCAATAGAGACTGGCCCGTGGACAAGAAGCTACATTGAGTCCGTACCGATCTTCCTTTGCTCCTACCCGTAGCCAGTTCTCATACCCGTTAACACCAGTAAATGCAGAGCATGGATGAAGCGCCCGCACTCCCGGTTTGAGACCTCACAGAAAGAGAACCTTACCGCTTCCTATCCCGTACCTTCTCTTCCATCCTCCTCAGCAAGCCTTTCAGCCCTACACCTTTCTCACAGTTGCTCTCAAGGTACTCCTCCATCCTCTCCCTCACGCTCCTCATGCCCTTCAGCACCGGCAGCTTCCTCCCTTCCTCACCCTCAAGATGCATCAACGGATTCAACAGCAAATCCATGACCCCCTCCCAAATCTCCGTCTGCCAGTACCTCTTAAAACTCTCCCTAATCCTATACGTCTTAGTCGCACCCGCGCCCAACGCCGCGCCCCGCTCGGCCACTGTGTCGATATACTTCCCGAAGAGGAGATTATGCACGATCCCCGCAAGGCCATGATAGTCGACCTGGAACGTCCACGGCCGCATCTCGCGCATCTCGGCACAGTCCGCCTCGCTGGTCTTCCAGTCGGCGATGAACTGGACGTCGGGCCTGAAGACCTTCACGTCGATGCCGCGGCCGAAGTCGATTAACGTGATGCCCTTGGCAGCCCACCCATTCGTGCCATCACGGGCATATTGTGAGGACCAGGAACCGTCCTCGTCGAGCCGCACGAGCACGTTGTCGGCCTTGAGATCGCCGTGGATGAGGCCTTTGGCATGCAGCGCTTCTGTGGCGCGGAACAGCTCGATGGTGAAGAACATTGCCATGAGCTCATCCATGATGCCGCCGCCGCTCACATCCGCCTTGGCGATGTTGACTAAGTTGAGCAGAGTCCCCTGATCGCGGTACTCCTCAACCAGATAGCACTCGTCCTGGAAAAGGCGCATCTCATATGCCTGGATGATAGAGTCCGCAGATCTTGAGACACCGAGCCGTCGGTTCGCTTGCCGGATGATGTAGAACTCCCACGCCGACGGTGGGTCTTCCATCTTAATGGCTTCCAGCCTGTTTCGCCGCACGCCGAACGAGCCCCTGCCCATCTGGGCTGGCCTATTTTCGTCCTCGTCATCAGCGTCGTGGGCGGGATCGCTCTCGGCGAGGTAGACGGGTGCGAAAGCGCCTTTGCCTAGCTCGCGCTTGATGGTGTAGCGCCGCTCTCCGGTGCTGAAATTGAGCGTAGGCGGCATTGATAGGTTGGTAGCGGTCTTGTCGGCGGTATTCTTGCCGATTTTCGAGACCGCCTTCGTGAATCTGCGAAGCTCGGCGCTTCGGCCATATGCGCGGTGTCTGTCTTCGTAGTAGCCGTCATAGCTCGCGAGTGGGGGTTGAATCTGGCTCAGGATTATCTGCCGGATTTCCTCGTCCACGGGATTGCATTGGACGTCTTTGATGATCGGGCCTTTCTGCGTCGCCTCCTTGGGCGCGCTCCCAGCTTGCGGTTTCGATGCTCTGGAGACTCCCAGAGGTATTTTTCGCTGCGAGGCTTTTGAAAGCACTGGCTGAGAGATCTTCGCGTCTTGTAACCTAGACGCTTCTTCCAGGACATCCTGGAAAGGGCTGCTCCAAGCTTCGCCATCTAACTCTGGGATTGTAGGTGTTTTGGTACCATTCTTCCTGCATGGTGTTTTGGAGATGAAGTAGTCTTTCTCTGCAAGTGCCGTCGCAGCTCCCATGGAAGACTCCGTCTTCTCGACGATGGGCGTCATGAAAGGAAGTCTGTTGTTAGCCATGATGGCTGGATCCCGATACGGCCGGGTAGGTACGTCGTAATGCTCCGGTGGCAATGGCACATATTGGGTGGGTAGTTGCGCTGATTGGGCGTCGGGGGATATTGGTGTGACAAGTTCCTCTTGTTCTGGTGGAGAGTCTTCTTGCTCGTCCCGGTAGATCTCCCAAGATGTCTCTTGCGTTTGCCCTGCCGTCTGATCTTCAGCGGTATGCGCTTGTTCCTCCTCAGGCATATGCTTGCTGGCGGTGAATTCAGACCACTGGGTCCCGCTCTCCGTTACAGCTTCATCGTCCCCGACCGTGCTCTTCATCTCTGTAAAATCGCCCGCCTCAGTCTCTTCTCCATAATCGCTAGTCGCGCCAGATATCCTTCCAGTCCCGGTGCTTTCTCCTCCACTGGTGTAGTCGCCGTCGTCGCTCTCTGCAGCGCTCTCGACGTCCTCTTTCTCTTGGGAAGAGCTCAAGGGCTGGCTGAAGATACCGTAGATCTCTTCCATGGCTTCTTTTGTGTGAAACGTCATGGTTGGCTCAGCAGACTTCTTGCGTCGCAGCTTGCGTCCGGTTGGAGAGGCAAGGTTCGTTTGCACTTTGATTGTGTTAGCATGCTGCTTTCACTTGCTGATCCATACACCCACCTGTTTGCGTCTCGCCGCGGACTTCCATGACCCGGATCTTCCTGGTACGGTTCGCTCGTTCCTCTCTTCGCCTCTGCTTTGCCAGTTTGGCTTTCTCGACGTCCTCCTGCGATGGAGGCGCGTTCTCATCGTTCTCGTCATTCAGCGCAAGCTTCTGCAGCTCTTGAGATAGGACGGCAGCAGCTCCCTTCGAACGGACTTTTTCTTCCCGCTTGACCCTCTCCACAGCTTCGGCCTGCTCTAACGCTTGCTGCTCCCGTTCCTCCTCTTCTCGGCGCATGGCTGCCCAGTCATGCTGAAGCCATCCTCTATGCCTCGCGCGCAGCTCCTCAAAGCAGAACTCCGCAGCCGAGGGGTCGCTGGGGTCTGGATAGACCATCTCCAGATTGACAAATACATGCTCAGTCCTACCAGTTTTAGGGTTCACGCTCTGCAGTTCCGCTCTCAGCGGATGCGGTCGCAGTGGTTCACAACTCGTGTCATTCTGGGCCGTCTAGAGTACAGAAAAGAAGCTTAGCTACACCTGTACGCATCGCAATCAGAAACAAGAGGGCAACTCATCATCTTGCGGGATCTGAACTCACCTCATCCTTGAAGACCATCATCTTCTCCATCCCTGCATTCCGCTTCTGGCCCTTGATCGTCTCCCCAGCCCACGGCTTCGGCGCTATTGTGTTTTCCTTCTTCCGCTCGGCAAGACTCTGTATGCTCTCCCACCCCTTCGCCGAACCGCTCGACCCAGGCTTATCGACCTCGTCGCCGTCCGCGAAGACCGCCAACTTCGGCTTTCCTGCCTTTGTGGCCCCACCACCAGCCGCCGCTCTGGCACGATCCCGTGCCTGCGGATCCACGGCCTCCCCTACCGTGGAGCCAAAGGGATTAACCTTGAGCGCCAACGCCGGCCTTAGGGGCTCTAGTGCAGGGCTCCTGTGCGCCTCGCCGGCCCCTCCTGCTGCCAGCGCGGCCTCATACCTCCGCTGGAATTCTCCGAACTTTCGACTTAGTCGCTCTCCGGGCCGAGCCTCTTTCTGGAGTCCCATCTCGTACACTTCTTCTGCTTGCGTCCATCGGCCTTGGCCTTCGAGCCATGCGGCGAACTCTTCGTAATATAGCGCCAGCGCCTCGCCAATGCGGTGCCGCGCCAGAAACGCGAAGGTCTCGCGCGGCGCGTCGGAGAAGAGGCGGATGTAGTGCAGCCATATCTTGAGATAGCGCGGGTCGTTCGCATAGACGGGGTCAGGTAGGAAGTGCTTGGTGGCGCGCTCGAGCAGCGGAAGAAGCCCCGAGGCCGGTGTCGCAGAAGCTGAGGGGTACGCGTCAAGCGTCCAGCGGATGTAGCGGTCGTAGATGTCGAGGGGGTCGTCGGAGTCGGTGATGTGGAGGAGCTCGGTCTCGTAATCGGCGCGGATGCTGGAATTGGGGTCTTCGGTATGCGAGGGGGATGCGAGTGGTGCTGCCGAAGAGGGGCCGCGTGGGGAGAGGATGGAGGCGAGCGCTTTTGCGGAACGGCCGCTGGGGAGGACTTTGATGTTCTCTTTGGAGGACTCGATCAGGTCGAACGATATCAGGTCTTCCGTAGGTGCTGCCATGGCGGGCAGGTGGCTCGCATTAGTGGACAATTAGTGGACAAGCGGCGGTGATTCTTTTCGAGACAGTGCTTTAATCCTGATTGTCTGTCCTGACTATCTGTAGCTCTTTCCCGTAATGGCGGTGCCGGTATGCTGCTGTGGTTAGTTGGTGCTGAAGTCGTAGCTGAAGCTTTGTGCGAAGGGCGGCGAGAGAGAGAAATCAACAGACAACACTGGCGCACGGGGCCGCGTTGCTAGGAAGGGCTCCCGCGTCACTGCCGCAGCGAGATCTTGAGGCTACAAGGCTCCAAGGCTACAAGGCTGCAACGACTTCACCACCGCGCATGTGCCGCTTTGAGTCCGACTTTGGACCACACACGCTATCACGACGTTTATGAAGTTTAATGAAAGAACTCTTAGATGAGAACCACTCCCGCTCCCCACTTCCTCCCCTACTAGGCTTCCGTGCCTTCCCATAATCATCACAGATCCAGTGCCTTCAGCAAGCGAACTCATAGACCCACTGAGAGCTTCACCAGCGATACCCACGCTCCCGGCATTCGTCAAGCTGTCTCTCACCTCTCACTCGAAAACCTGCCACCCACAGTTCTCTGTCTCCACCCCTCGCAAACCGTCCACATGGCTGACGTCGCCTCCGCTCTGCTCTCTTTCCCACCAGATGCTCAGGCCCTTAGCTCGCTTCAGCATGTCGAATATGACCGCCAGATCCGCTCATATATCAACGTTCTACAAAGCATACCGCTAGCCACACTGGCGAAAGCCGCCGGGATACAGAATGATTTGCTGGAGGTAGGCGTAAGCAATTCGTCTTGTTGGCTTCGCTGACCTCGCCTGCAGCTCCTCGACCCGTCGATAAATTCCCTCGCATACATCTATGTCCTAACCGCCCAGATCCATGCGAGCTCCGTGAAGAGCACGAAGATCCCTGACGCGCACCGGCCAGACGGGCCGTTCTGGTTGAAGCTCAGCGATTTCCTTGTCACCTGCGATCCGATCCAGATGCGCTATGCTGGTGAGCTTTGGAGGCGGCTGCTGGAGTACATCGAGCGCATCACCCGGTTTTTCAGAGCGGTGGGCAGGCCCGATCATGCCTTCTCCCCGCCTACAAACCTGCCTGACATCACTACAGCCATTGGCCGGCATCCCTCTCATCTGCGCGGCCTTGCTCCGCCTCGATCCCATGACCGGCACCCTCACCTCGAACCACTTGAACTACATACGCCTCTGCCTCGAAGCCCGAATGTACCGTCACGCCCTCCCCATCCTAGACAACCCCATAAGCGGCTTTCCTACTGCACCCGTATCTGGTGCCACGAATGCAGTGCCGTGTGCAGATCACTCCGTCAGCAGTGCATGGATAACTTCCCGCTCCGGTCACTCGGACAAGATCGAGATCAGCCACGTGCAAGAGTACTTCCTGCTGGGCGCGATGATATACCTAGGACTAGAGAAATATCCTCAGGCGAGGCTCTTCCTGGAACACGTCCTCACCTCCCCTGCGCAGGGCGTGGCTAGCGGAATGATGGTGGAGGCCTACCGGAAGTGGCTGCTGGTGGGCTGCCTGATCGAAGGCAAGGTAAGCGTTCCGCAATGCGGGCAGGCATGGGCCCAGAGCGCTGACGATGTGGCAGACGCCCGAGTCTCCCCGGACGGTTAATAGCTCTGCGCTTAAAGTCCTAAGATCCACATCCAAGCCCTACGAGACGGTAGTCGAAATCTTCCAGAACAGGGACATGCCCCGCCTACAGGCCGACGTCGACGCCGGCGCCGAACTATGGCGAAACGTAAGTGTCCCCTCTGTCTTTTCCAGCGCGGCCCTGATCTCCTTCTTCTTTCACCGCACCTAACTCGCCACCTCCAGGACGGCAACCTCGGCCTCATCCGCACCCTCCTCCGCGCCCTCCCGCGCTTCTACATCCTCAACCTCTCCAAAACCTACGCCGCGATCCCGCTCCCCTCCGTCGCGCGGCTACTCAATCTCACCCCCTCCGACGCACACGCGTACATCGAATCCCTGATCGCCTCGGGCCACCTCAACGGCCGCATAGACTACCCCATCGCCCCCGACGCACCGGCCGTGCTGCGCTTCTTCGACGCCGGCGCCCCCGACGGCCCGCTCGCCCGGAACGAAAGCCAGCAGCTCGCGGCGCTGGTGGCGCAGATGGCGCGCACGAACGAGTTGGCTGAGATGGTCAAGGCGGCGGATCTGAGGCTGCGGCTTACGCGGGAGTATGTGGAGTACAACCGGCGGAGGAAGGGGAAGAAAGGCGGGGTTGGCGGGGGCGGGGATGTGGGCGGTGACGCCGAGATGGCGGATCCGGGGCTCGCGGACGTGGATGTTGGGGATATTGGGGATGAGGATTTGATGGGGGATCTGCATTGAAGGGCCCCTCTGCAGCGGTACGGAAGTCGTACCCTTAGAGAAGGCAGCCGCTCAGGTCTATGCGGGGCTGGCGCGCATTATAGTAGAAGAGTCGATGGACGAGGGTACTGAACAGAAGCCTGATGCCATGATGGAGCAACGACGATGCATGAAGGAATGCACGGATTATAGGGGAGATTATTGCAGCCGTGGCATAGCACATAGCACTAGCGCGTCGGGCGCAGGTAAAGGTCTGGCTTCTGGCGGCATAGTCGGCGCTAAAGCGAATCGTCTGGTGTTAGGTCGCCTTCTCACGGGCGGTGGGGCGCGTCTGGTAGCTACATACCAAACCTCTACTTCTAATTAGCGTCTGGATGTTCATACCCGCAGGTATCCTTCGGGGGTTCTACCGCACGGAACTGTCTTCAGCGATCGCATAACTGGCTAAGGCAGTAAATCTGAGAACCACACACATCTGACGTCCAGGCCTGCTGTCAACAATACCTGTTCTATGCGAGCATGATGTCACCTGATGTTTAAGGGCCGACGGAGATTATCATTATGGACGGAGCTCTGAATGCCTCCTCTCTCTTGTATTTGTGCCCCTAAATACACCCCCAAATCGAGTCTCCGGAAGAGACAACCGCCCGCACCTCGATGCCCGCACACACACCGTTGAGCCTATCTCACTTGTCAGAGCTAGCGCAAGATCTCTCAAATACCCCTCAAGCCAAGAAGCTCTCATCCATCCAGCTTCAAAGCGTGTCCTTGAAGTAGTGTCCCAACGCCCTCGCTCCTGGGTTCAACCTCCCTTCCTCGGCGCCATTGGCGTCGCAACACCCGGCCTTCCTTGGCTCTGTCCCTGGTTCTGCGCGGCTTGCTTCCTCGCCGCGTGCCCCTGCAGCGTCTTCTTCACCATGACCAGCGTCTGCTGGCTCACAGCGTCCTTGGGCGCCCTGCACGCCTCGGGGGTATACGGCTTGTCGATCATGACGGCGTCGTTGACGATGATGGTGCTGTCGTTCCAGCGGGCGGGATACCTGCTCGTCAGTTCTTCGTTAGCCTCCTGCTTAAAAGCAAACACGGCAAGACGCCGCGGCTGTGGATAGCGGGCGGTGTGAAAGGGAAGGAGTGGGGTGCCCCACATCTTCGCAAGCGCATCAAATATCTCCTGCGCCTCCCTCCCCACGCCCCTGCCCCGCATCGCCTCCTTCTCCTTCAGCTTCCCCACCGCGGCCGCCTCCCGCTGCCGAAGCGCCTCGACGTCAACCCGGTGGATCCCCAGCGCCGCACCCTCGAACCCGCCGGTTCCGAGGCCGGAGCTGTTCGTCGGCGGCAGCGAGAGCAGCTGGAAGGACTGGATGTGCGAGACGGGCACGATGTGGTAGTCTGCTGGCTGGTTCGAGAGCGCCGAGGACGGGTTCGGCGGCGCGGGGGTGGTGTTCAGCGCGATTAGGTTGGTGAGGGTGCAGGCGGTGAAGAGGGTGCCTTCGAGGGTGTGGGAGGGGAGGGTGGTGGTGACTCTGATGCTGTAGACACCGGGCTAGTTGGCTGGGAGCCCCATGCTCATGTTTAAGCGAACATTGACGGGATCGAGAGAAGCGGAGGAGCTGCGTGAGACGTGATCTTGACTTACCGCGCGCCCACAGCCTTGCTCAGCGCCGCATCGAGCTCATTCATGGCCTGCCCGCCCGTCTTCGGCGTGACGCTCTTTCCGGCCGTGACGTTGCGCTTTACATCTGCCATTGCAGACTGCCCGTGGACTCTAACGGCGCAGTAATCCGAGTAGTCTCTCCCTCGTCAACGCGCAGATGCTTCCTCAGTCCAGTCGCCGAGAAAGCATGCACGTGAAAAGGACGCAAAAGAGTGACGAGAAGGGAAGCGCGCGGCAGAGCGGAGTCAGGTGAAAGCAAAAGAAAGGACAAGGGAAAGAAGAAAGAGGTGAGCGGTGCGCTCGACTGCTCCAGGTATTGCAGTTGAATTCGGGTGATGATGCAGGGCAGACGGGGAAGTTTGGGTGCATCTGGGCTGGCCCTGGGGCTGAGGATCCGCCCGTCCACCAGCCCGTCCACCAGCCCGCTTCGGGCTTCGTTCGGATCGACTGGCACGCGAGTGACAGAAATCGCCAGACTCCAAAATAGATAGGTCTTCAGTCAGTTAAGGAAAGGTCACGAATAGAAGCAACTCCTTATAGTATACCACCTTAAGAGTGTGTTCAGGCTACAACTAGAGGTGGAATGGCTAGAGTAAATGTCTTTAGGAACGTGGTAAGCCTAATAGATTTTAGGGATTTAGGAGTGGATTGGAAGTCCAGCGATTAGCGTGTCTAGGCGAGTTCTATCACTCGTGTGCGGCCTTATAACTCACTCCTAAATCACCGAAGTCTATTAGATTTACTATATCTCTAAAGATCTTTACTCTAGCTATCCTACCTCTAGATATAGCTTATATATGTTTATATAGCAGCATATTATAAAGAATCACGCCTATTCATGACCTCCGTAAGCTGACTGAAGACCTATCTGTTTTCCCGAGTCCGGCAATTTCTGTCACTCAGGTGACTGGCTGTCCGCTAGCGCGTCCGCCGGGAGCAACATCAACATTTCAACCTTCATCTACTGCACTACCTTACCACCACATATCTTATCGGCCTAGTTACCGAGCAAGTAGTGTTCCGACTATTAGCACCCGTCCAGCTCAGTCGGTCGGGCAATGAGATTTGTACTCCGCGCCTCCACTTGGTATTGCCTGGAAGCCTCTTGCTTCCCAGAAGCTCCTATCAAGGCCCCTTGCAGGATACTCCAAGGGATCTTGAAATAGAGAGCTAGGTAGTGTCGTGGGTAAGGGATTTGAGTATAGACTCAGGTGAGCAGGTTGTGCGCGTCCGCGGAGGTGAGATATTAAGGTAGGACTATCAAGGCGGCGATAGGATCACAGTAATAGGTCATATAAGGCTAAACAATATATAGAACGAGTGTGGTAATACTTAATACTATAATATAACTAGTGCTAACTACCTTAGTTATCTAACTAATTAATTAATCCTTAAATCTTAGCACACGCACCCTATACTAGCTTCTATATAATAAACCTCCTACACTACTATATACCTCTCTTACCTAGCAGCTATTCTATAGCTACTCTAATCCTCTAAATAGTGTTGTAAATAAATGCTAAGATTACTAAAGAATTAGAACCTTAAATCCTACTATTATATCTTACTACTAGTAAGTCCTCTTACTAATAGCGCTATAGTTTACTACACACCTATTCTAATATATTCACCTCCTCTATAGCCTTATAGATAGCTTCTTAATCCGCCTTCTTAAGCTTCTATATAGTAGTAGCTACTAACTCCTTCTCTAAAGCTATTAGAGAAGGTGAAATCTAACCTTTAGACTCTTTAATTATACCTATAGCACTATTCTTAGGCTAGTTAATACTAATAAAAGCACTATTCTTAGATTCTTTAATATTACTAGAACTACCCTTAATAGATCTTTTAATACCACTAGAAACGCCCTCTATAGGTCCGCTAGTATTACTAAAGATGCTTTATATAAGCTTCTTAATAGGTCTAGAAGTACTCTCTTAATTCTCGCCTAAGTGTTACGACCTCATAGGACAGGACCGGCGCCGCCGGCATGAGGCCGAACAATGGCTAGCACAGGCTAGCCACCACGTGACTGCTAGCCACTACTAGTAGGAGGAACCACGTGATTAGGGATAGATAGTAAGGCTAGTAGAGGATAGCAGTGCTAGCACAGCTAGCCACAGCTAGCCACGGATGGCACCAGGCAGTATATAGGAGACACCGTTCTCATTCATTAGAACGGTGTGCTCAACTCAAATAAGAATCTAGCATTCTTTATAACTTAATCTAATCTCACTACGTGATATTAATCCTCACCTTATAAACCATATCTTAGCACTATTCCCTATCTCCTTAATTAGGACCCCAACCATTATAGTAACCTTTATTATCTTGTGATAGCACCTCGTTACACTTTAAGCACCGCCTTTATAGAACACC